CAAAAAAAAAAGGGACTTTTGGGCATAGTTGCAACGTTTTTCGTCGAAAAAAAACCACAGCTTATGAAGTGGAGTTTCATCCCAATGCCAAGTTCAATAATCGAGCCAATTCACGTTTGGAATCTCTACTTGTTGGGCGATCTTGGCGGAGGCCCGCTGGATATGCTTCCTTGTCTTTGTAGGTCCTGGGAGTCCATAGCCCCGGCACTGCTACTGAGTCTCCTCTTGATGATACTTTCTCTCAGACCACTAGGGTTTGTCACTGGTAAATGACTGTTTCCTATTGAATTCGATTGCAAATCGTCAGATTTTACCCCTGCTTTATTTAGTGCGTAGTCCCCGCTATCGAAATATTTTCGTTCTTGCAACTTGTGCTTGAAAAGATCCTTCTTGGATGGTAGTTTGCCGTACATTTTAAGCAGTTTGACCTCTTGGGGTGTCATTTTGGAAGTATCGACCGTTTCTTTCAAATCCACACTACTTGATGTAGGCGAAAGATCGTTTGATTTGCTCATTGCTGAATCCCGACTGATCTTCGCGCTGATAAAGTTAAACAATTGTGAAGCTTCTTTAATAGTCTGAAAAGGACACTGATTCAAGGACTTAGTAGGTATTGTTCTTGTATACCCGGACAGCTGTTCAAATTTAAAGGTTTGCTGTTCAAATCAAGATTAGCATATATTGATAGGATTTGATGATGTCTTTATTGTGAGAGGATTCTGGCCCTTGTATGAAATGTATCTATGTACGAGGTGTGATCATGTGTGTTTGTGTGTGTGTGTATCAGTACTGGCTTCTAAGTTGAGGAATGAGGATAATAGAGTCTCGGCTGAAACAGGGTTAAGTATACACCTGTTCCGTGTACTTGTTATAAGTGAATTTGGTAGTGAACGAGAATGTTGATTTTGGTAACACACTCGCACGTGACCTGAATGGAAATGCTCATATTGGCAACGTTAGAGCCGGAAAATAAATGGGGTTTTCGTAGCCTGTTCATTTGGTATGTCAATTTCTCATTGCTCTATGAAATTTCGGTACGTTTCGGTTCGTTTCGGCCTGTATAAATGTCTTTCTTCACCCTACATGACATTTAACATGAATTTTCGAATAGTAATTAGATTACCATCTGTCAGTAATGAAAACGTTAATGTTCATTAACTACAAATAAAGTGCAGTTGTAAGCGCCAAAAAGCTGGGTTTTCGTGTATTCAGGAGTTTTGCGAGAGTCTTCAAAAATTGTTCTTTCGAATTTTCGTGTCATTTCGCTTAGTTATTGAGTTTATGAAGGTACACATGAAAATGGATTCTATTTCAAAGTTGAGTCCGACTAGACTAACAGGATTCTGACTGTGAAAGATCCAGTTGCACTCCAAAACAACCAACAAGTCTCCCATGGGCAAGCACACTTGATTTTCTTATCCCATTTGCCAAGATAATCATGGTCACGTGACCCCTTATAGAATTCCAATTACCTGAGAAATCAATTTTAACATAATAAAATGTCAGTTTCCACAACAGCAAACAGCGTCCTCAAACAATAAACAGCGTCTTTTTAACTCCTCTTCTGAACTCTACTTCTCTCAAAACGATTTTTTTTACTTGCCACTCTCTATCAATACGCCTAAAACCTAATCCTTCAGAGCATATCACTTCACACGTAGTGTGTGTGTAAACCTCAATGAAAGATAGCTAGCTCATCTACACTAGTTAATCATTATAATCAAGAATAAAAGCTCAGTGCTTGCTAGAAAACGATCTTGTCAAGCGGTTCAAAAACCAAAGTTCTACCTCAGTTTCCGCTCCATTGAGCAGCCATGAGGAGAACGTATCTTTTGTTCATTGGCTTTTTCGCAATTGCGCATAGTTTAACAGATTATGCCGATCAAATAGTGTGCAGGTTCCGCACGGGCGACGCCAGTGAGATACGACAAAAAGTGCAAAGGTATACAGACGCACCTGTTGACATATGGACCCGCAGCCCAGAATTTGTGGACGTACGCGTTCCCGCCGGTTTGGTGGGTAGCCTCGAGGGCTGTGAGGTGATGGTGGACGACCTCCCAGAAGCAATCGCTCAAACGTATCCAGATCCCGAAACACAGCTGCATTTGCCCTTGCATGACAATTTACAGTCTCAGGTACGACCTTTGGACCCCATAACATCGCTGAAGGCGACAAACGACGTTTTTTTCACCCAGTTCCGCGATCTCGAAACCATTTATACGTGGCTGGACCTCATGCAGCTCACCTTCCCTGACTTGGTCAAGATAGAACTTGTGGGTCAGACTTTCGAAGGTAGAGACATGAAAGCGCTTCACATCAGTGCTCAGAACCGAAAATTGAATCCCGAAAAGAAAACCATCATAATCACGGGCGGTGTTCACGCCAGAGAGTGGATTGGAGTGAGTACAGCGTGTTATTTCATTTCTCGGCTGCTAGCAGGCTATGGGGTTAATAAAAGAGAGACACGCTACCTGGACCGTTTGGATTTTTTGATTGTGCCGGTCTTCAATCCTGACGGATATGTCTACACTTGGAGCCATGACCGTTTGTGGAGGAAAAACAGACAGCAAACTTTCTATCCCAGATGTTTTGGAATCGATATCGACCATTCATTTGATTTTCAGTGGACGGGGGCGCATGACTCCCCATGCAGCGAGGATTACAGCGGCGAGGCTCCTTTCGAGGCTCTGGAGTCTGAATCTTGGAATAACTACATCAGCGAAGCTAAAAAGGAGTATACCGTGCACGGGTATCTGGATCTACATTCGTATTCTCAAGAGGTGCTTTACCCTTACGCGTATTCCTGTGACGCTCTGCCCAGAGACCTTGAGAATTTATTGGAGCTATCCTATGGTCTTGCTAAGGCGATCAGACGGAAAAGTGGCAAGAATTATCATGTTCTTTCGTCGTGCGAAGACAGAGGGTCAGATTTGACACCTGGGCTTGGCTCCGGTTCTGCTCTGGATTACATGTACCACCATAGAGCCCACTGGGGTGTACAATTGAAACTTCGCGACACGGGAAATCACGGGTTCCTATTACCTCCAAAATATATCGTTCCTGTTGGAAAGGAAACTTACGGAGCGCTCAAATATTTCTGCGATTTTATACTGAATCCTGATCTCTAGTAATAAACGCCTTTCTATTTCGGAATGTACTTAATCTTCACTTTGACTTTTACCATAAACTCGAACGCAAATGGCGATACGCGCAATAGGTAGCTGTCAAGACCAGTGCTATATAAATTAGAGTGGAATAGAGATCCACCGGTAGCCCTAAACGCATGGCCGCTACAGACACGATGATTGGAACCGTCGTAGTTTTGATTTCGGGATACGAAAACGGCTCGAGTTTTATAACGACGGCGTATGTCAAATCGTTCGAGCCCTTCTTTCTGATCGGACCGTAACGTACTGTTTGCACATCGACTGGATCCGCGGCCGTCCAGCACAACTTTGTCATGTAAGTGTCCCCCGCCTCCATTCCATGAAGCTCAATTGAGAATTCAGTGCGAATTGGTACTTCAAATTCTTTGCTGGCGCGGTTCGTATTGACAAGAGATAAGTGTGGATTCGTTATGTCATAATAGGCTGCACTCTCAGATTTAAAGTCAGAGGGAACTTTGAAAACCAAGGTCTCAGTGTTGGCGAAAACCAGGCCAAAAAATGAGAAGAGCTGTGCCAAAAAACAAGATAGCAGCCAACTCCTTCTCATACCTGCTTTTGTTTCCACTAGGAGTCAAAATAAAAGCATTGTCAAGATTTGATCTGTGATGAGCAGAGCTCATCGCATTATATAAATTTCCAGTAGAGAAATTAAACCTCGAGCTACAAGAATCCAGGATAAGTTACGCAGCGGAAACCCAAAGTAAGGCTTTGGAGAATGCCTTTATTACTACAGTCGCTGAGATATCAGGACTGAATGAAACTGTAGTTTTTGTTTGTTTTGGAGCTTTTGGCCGCTTTCAATGCCATTGAAGTCTTGTAATGAAGAATTCAGTACTTGACAAGTTCTGTTCAGATTGCAATCCGGACAACACGACAATCACCAATCGAAATGTTCTACGAGTAACTAAACCGAATTCAGTACTCTTTTGAACACACACCAACTGCTATCTTCTACTGTCAAGACATTTGACTTAAACTGGCCAGGTCATCTGATAATTCTGATCAATAAAATAAGGTGTTCGTTCTTGTAGCTATAATAACTAACAGTAATCCAGGATTGATAAAGAAGATACCGCCTAAACAGCTTTCTCCAGCCTTTCAAACTGTTGATGGACCCTCTCTAACGCATCTAGAAGTTCTAGAGGGCCAATTTATATACCAAAAGCGCATAAATATGTTAAATAATGGTAGATATACAGGTGTTGAGGGCTCATATAGCTCGGAATCCGGACATGATGGTCAAGACAACAACACATTTGCTGGAGTGAACGACCGCCAAAGAGAAGCACTGGATCCGGCAGAGGACCGTGAGAATGTGGTCAATGGTCGTCACAGACGCCGACCACGCGAATTCAACGGACCAGGACGCGGAGAACCCGATTTCGTGCGCTGGCCGCCAGGGATCCAAAGACGAAATTATTTGCGGCTATTCCTGCGTTATCTCCTGCTTTTAGACCACCTTCTGATGGTCTTTCTGTTCCCATTCTCGGTCTATAACGTACTGAAGATTCTGCTAACGGAAGTCACCTTTTCAAACAACGATTTCGTCACAGACATCGCCAGCTACTGCCATTATTCCCGGATTTTGAGCGACGATGGCACCTCCGTGGTGTTTTTCAAGTCAGGCTTTGGTCTGCTGGGCAAGTTTCATAACATTATTGTCTACTACTCGGCTCCAGTGTTTGTATGGGCGTCGTCCAAAGCCGTTCTGGGCGTTTGGGCTCTGAAAGCCTACGTTTCGTTTATCAAAACCACTTCTGTTGCTATTTACATGGCTTACGGTATTGGAACCAGTGTCTACGTGTGTTTTGCTACTTTTTTCTTCGCCCTCTGTTTCCTGATGACTAGTTTCCGACGCTACAAAGACATTGCAAGAATAATGGGCCATCTGTACCGCACCACAGTCGGTGTTTTTTGACGCTTGGAAGTTCGCTGTTGAGCCTTCCTCGACGTCTGCTGCTGGCCATCGCTGTCCCCTGCTCTTTCTCGACAAAAGTTCTCGTCCCTGCTGTGCTAGTATTGGTCGATATTTGTTAAAGAAACCTTATCTCGCGAGCTCCTGCTGTCAAAACTAATTCCAACTTTTCCAATATTCCACTGCATGTTCCGTCCAGTATTGCAGTATCAAGCCAAGTTGTCAACCTCGTCCCTTCTCATCAAGGAACTATCTCTCTCTCCCTCTGTCCCGTTATCGGTGACGGTGAGTCGACATACACACTGCAAGTTCCGGGAAGCTATAAACGACTCACTGTGGGATGGATATATAAGAGGGAAGAGCATTACAACACGCTTGTGATGCAATTGGTACCGCGCTGATTGATAGCTTGTCACACATTTGAGAGGAAACTATGAAATACAGCAATTTAGCCCAATGCTTATTGGCATCAAGTACAAGTTTGGCCCACAACCATGTCAGCGATTTTGAACAATCAGCCGAAGATTTGGATAAAGTCTGGGGTCAAGATTGGCCTTTCACCGGGATTCAGACGTTTGCCCACCTCAACCACCAAAAATGTCTGTTGAACAGAAGCCTTGACTTTGATATTGGTATAATTGGTATGCCGTTCGATACTGCAGTGACATTCCGTCCGGGAGCACGTTTTGGGCCCCAGGCAATCAGAAGAGCGTCTCAGAGACAAACGTCGCTCAGAGGATTCAATTCCAGGGCAGGAATCAACCCATACCAAAATTGGGCAAAAATACTGGACTGTGGCGATGTGCCAGTAACACCTATGGACAATAAGCTTGCGTTGCAAATGATGACCGCTGCATATGAGAACTTAATGACGAGAAACAGCACAAGCCAGTCAAATGAGCTACCACCACGGTTCGTGACGCTGGGTGGTGACCACAGCATAATTTTACCGGTGCTAAGACAGTTGCGCAAAGTTTACGGACCAGTGTCTGTGATTCATTTTGACTCGCATCTCGATACATGGGCCCCCAGCAAATATCCTTCGTATTGGCACAGTGATGAGTCTGCGTTCACACACGGCTCCATGTTGTGGCTGGCCCATCAGGAAGGTCTTTTGGCAGAAAACACGAATGTCCACGCTGGCTTGAGAACCCGCCTTAGCGGTGAGGGTTGGGATGATTACGACGAGGACGACGAGAGCGGATTCCACCGTATTGAAGCAGACGAAATTCTATATCTTGGCGCTGACGGCATGGCCGACAAAATCCTCGCTTTGGTGCCCAAGGACAAGCCCGTTTATATCAGTGTCGACATCGATGTTTTGGACCCCAGTGCTGCTCCTGGCACCGGGACCGCCGAGGTCGGGGGTTTGTTGACTCGTGAGCTGATCCGCATCTTGCGCAGACTGGAAAATCTGTCTTTGGTTGGCGGTGACGTTGTTGAGGTGTCTCCGGCTTACGACCACGCAGACATTACCGCTTTGGCTGCAGCGCAGATTGCTTACGAACTTATGACAAACATGGTCAAGAAGGGACCTCTAGATGTCAGCATTGCCAACACTCGTAACGACGCGCATTTCAAGGATCAAACAAATTTCAGAGCTGCTGCCGATTTGATTTGAACATTGAAAATAAAGACACTTTTGTTCAATGAAGAGACTTGCTTCGATGCGAGCCGTTCATAAAGAACTTAGCCATAACAATGCTCCTTTCCGGCTTCAACTCAACTTCAAAAACCTACGAAAGCGTTTTAGTGAATGAAACGAAAGAATGGATGAAGAAATATAAAGCTCATTCTCACTCGTTGGTTCTCAATCATCAGCGCAACCAAGATAGTGACAACAGGTTTTTCAAATGGTGGTAATGATGAAGGTAACCTACTACCTGATAGCCTTTTTTGACATATACAGCGAGTGAATCCTAAGTGGAAAATGTACATAGCAGGTTCTAACTACGAAAGAATAAAAAACGAATGCTCAAGAAACTCATCAAGACGCCATGATTAATGGCACGCCAGAATGCGTTGAATGCCAAAACCATCGACAGTGTTGGCGAACCATGTGGTCAATGTTCTGGTGATACTCGTATTTTGTTACTGTCTTGAATACTCTTTAAATTAGCGATACCTAGCTCCAGCCTCAAGCACTAAACAGTTCTTCGAGCAAAACTGACCTTTAACGGCTCTTTTGCCATCTTTTAGAGCTGTTTGCTTGGAGTTACAAGCCTACTCAACATCAGTTTCTAGTTTGAGAGAAAAGTGTGCTCATTTTGGGCCCATAATCATCAAATTATGAGTTCAACGGTCCAGTCCAAAAGGCTAGGAAACACGAAACAAAACAGTCTAGACAAAACCAAATCTTCTTGCTCTAGTGGATCTCTTTCTTCGTCTGACAACCGGTCGAACAGCATGGAAGTATCGGATGGGAAAAACCGTGAACCAGTTTTAAAACAGTCGCGAAGCAAAGCAGGAAGTGCAAAATTGCGAGAAAAGGAGCAAACCAAGATAGAACCATCTGAAGACGATGTTTTCGCATGGATCGATCCTCTGCCGAGCAAAGCACCAAGCTACAATTCTGTGAACCCGAATAGACGCGTGGTTTTCCCCGTGTATGACGTCCCAGACACAGGACATCTTCCACCGTATTCTCCTTCAGTAGAGGAGATAACCCTGGTGTCAATGAAGATGGAGTGGGTGGATCCCTACAACATCTCACCTTCTCGAGGCTGGAAGAATTTTATCATGGAGATAAACTCTACGCAGGTCAATTTTTACCACATTGATCCCTCCCTGACCAAGACTATCCGGAATTACTGTAATGGTAGGTCAAACTTTGCTGGCGAGTCAATAGACCCCATCTTGGAATACGATAGCCATCACTCGATATTCAATTCGCTTGGTTCTAAAAGCACGTATCAATTCAACAAGGCCGATCAAGAAACTCTGGCGAGCAAAATCAAAAAGGATAAAACCAAATACTTGTCCAACAGCAGACTTTTCAGAACATATTCATTGCAGTTTGCGAAATTCGGTATTCCTACAGACTACAATAGAAAGACTTTTGTTTTGCGCTTGCGGTGTGAGACAGATCAGTTTTTACTAAGCTTCTCTCACGTAGACGACATGATTATGTGGGCGATGCATTTGAGCATTGGGATTGGTGTTGCTTTAGATCTCGATTTTAGGGAACTTCCCAGTTATAGAACTGTTCCTCGCAGGCGCAGGCGCAGAAGACGGAAAAGACAAGACGGGATCATTAGCGGGGTTGAAGGATTGCGCAGAATAACTGCTGATAAAAGAAAGGGATCAGTAGCCTCCAATGGTTCCGGATCTTCTCGAAATGGATTTTTGGAAGCACATTCTCCTTACAAAAAGCCTGCTCGAACTTTCTCGTCAAGTTCGCATTCGAGCCATGGCGAAGAGTCTCACCTGCCATCTTCCCCCTACACTCCCGGGAGTAGAAGAGGCAGTAACGACTCAATCAAATCAAAGCTGAAGAATTTTTTCAATTCGGAAAAGAAAGCTTCTTCCCCTTCTTATAAAAGTGCCTACTTCCGCACTGTCAGCACCACCGGGTTGAACTCTGTGGTGGAAGACGAGGAGGAAGATTCGGCTCCTCCAACAGCAAGCTCTGTATCGAATTCCCCAACCAAAGCGGCTGGTCCTATTCGTCCTCAGCTAGACCAACGTTCTCAGTCTATGGGAACCATGAATGGAAACGCAGAAGCTGGTGATTATTTTGGTTTCATCAGCACATCTGCACCCGCAGACAATGATGGTATCGTCGCGACACCTGGTTCTCCTGGAAGTGTAACATCAGTAGCTTCTGGAGAACTTCAAACGCAATCTGGATTTAAGAACAACGTGGGTTTACAGAACGATCTCGCGGAACTACATCAAATTATGCGTGAACATAATGAAGAAGACGAGGCGGTAGAAGATGATGACGAAGATGACGATGGTGATGTTTTGCCACAATTTACAGGTGACGACCAAGACGACGATATTGAAGAAGACGATGACGATATTGATAGTGTACATCACAATCCAACCACAACAACATCCTCAATCTACCAAGAAGAAGGAATTTTTCACGACAGTGAAGACGATTATTTATATGTTGTGGATCGCAGTGACGCCTATCGCCGACGTGCGTCTTCGGTAACAAGCAACATCAGTAGCACGCCATATGGCAGTGACGGTGTCAAATGGCACCCGCCTAGAAAAGAGATGTCGAGGAGAAGATATATCAGAGATTCATTGCGGTGTATCAAGCCTCTTCCGATAGATGAAGAATGGTTGGGCAAGATTATAATTCGTGCTATCCCTCCTCCTGGTTACAAGACAAATAATGCACCTGTCTCCGGATTCATCTTTGATCAAGGAATTAAAGGCAAACCCAAGGCATCAAAGGTCAAATCTTTGAGGATTGAGAACGGCATTATTTTGAACAAGTGCAAAAATCATTTCGTTAAGCCTTATGTCGTTGGTACTACGGGCCTTTTGAAGACCAACGCCAGGTGTTGAATTATGACCAAAAATAAGAAGTTGTCAGGACAAAACAACTTTTACGAATGCATATTTATACAATTATATTACACCATTGTATCCCGCCTTTAAAAAACACAAACTTTAAGAGTCCGGAACTGCTAGCTGCCAGCCATACGCAGTCTTTATTCGTGAACTCGACAAAAAGTCTTTTCACATCTAATGCAATGGCAGACATTCACCATATACATGTGAATAGATACGATAAATCAGCAGCGAATTATCAAACAACTACTCAAATCTTTCTAAAGGTTCAGCCTCGTCCTATTAGAGGATGAGAAATGACATCAATAGTATAGAAATTGTGCCAAAAAGTACGGTGCGTGTAAAATGCAAAGGATTAGCGTCTTCTGGAGAGAACTCCAGAGCGCCAAAAATCGGAATCTCGCGGCTATTTGGAGTGCCGTTCTGTTGTCGAAGCCTGCTGAAGACCAAATTACCTGAATTGAAGATATTACTGAGGTCTGACTTACGTTCAGATATTAGTGAATCGGTTGATCCTCAAAACAAAGTTAAATTTCTAACATACCATTTCCTTTCACCCAATGGTAAGCTTCGATTGTCAGAAAGGCAATCATCATCAAACTTATTGTAGCTTTAACTAAAGTTCTTTGCGAAGTTGTGACGGCAAAACCTGGGGCTTTGACTCCACCAGAAACCCTCAGAGGTGATGTCATGTTTTTGAAGAAGTTACCAGACTTTTGGTGGCCTTAGAGGAAATCTTGGGCCCATGAGATGGCTCATCACCATCAACATCATCATCATCGTTGAACTTAAGTTACTTATTGGTCGTCTGACAGTAATTCATGAATATATTACATGTCGTCGATAGTGATCAACATTTCATTTTACTGTCATCAAGCTTAGAAGAAGCATCACGAGCTTTCATCTGGGAGCGATAATTTCTAGACGTTCTGTACAGAGTTTTCAATTGATTGACACACACACACACACTCCATTTTTTTAATTCATTTTCTGACCAGATTGTCTTTGTTTTTTCACTTATTTTACAACCTAGTGGCCAGCGATGAATGAAAATATAAAAACATGTTGACTCCCGCTATAAGACAATATTTGGCTAGTTAAGCGGTTCTAAAACGTAATAATATCAACCTTCAGGCTCTCTTTACTTCCGTTTATAGTGTGGCCGGCGAATACTGTCTCGAGACTCATTTAAATATGTATCACCTCACACGAATTAGCGAAATTGACCATCTATGACAGTGAAAGATTCAACCCGCTGAACAAGAACAATTCCTCGAAAAAGACACACAATTTGAAGTGTTGATCACTTTTGTGAATCCTTACTGACCGCTAGTTGATCTTACTGTTATTTCACTCGAAAGCTTGATCTTTTTTATCTATTGGAATTCTTGGAGGTTTCTTAAAGCACGATCTCGAAAGTTAAGATCTCAAAAAGCTCCAAATTTGATCGATAATGGCGCCTAAAAAGACACTGAAACAGATCTTGGACTCTGAATATATCGAGGATAGTGACGATGACACCAACAAGGCTTTGAATGGTGGAAATGACATCCTGGAAGATGATGAACTTGTCGAGGATGAAGCCACTAATAAAGATTACTGTGTTGACTGTAAAGACATGAAAACCGAAATTTTGTGTAGGGATTGTGAAGAACAGTTTTGTGTTGTTTGCTTTGAGATGATACACCGTACTGGACGCCGAAAGAAGCACGAGATTGTGAAAATCACAGCCGAAGAACACCCTCTTCCGGCCGCTGAAGAAGAGCAAAAGAGACTGCAGGAGGCTAACAATAATGGTGCCAATCTTCAACCGGACAACGAAGCACCACAATTGGCGTCAGAATCTGTAAACTCTCTTGATCAGAAGATGTTGTCCATGTTGGCGAGGCATTCCAAATTCATTCCTATGCGATTGACACCTGAGGAAAGACATTTATTGCGGCTTCTAGAAGCCGCTCTCCAGGTCTCTGAGTATACTGACCGGGTGGATATCATTTCGTATAAATCCAAGGCCAAACGGATTGTGGAGCAACTCAAAGAAATGTGTTCCGTGCTGTGCGGTCTGGTCGTTGCTTCGAACTTAAAGATAGGTAAAAAACTACTGGAAATGAAAAACTTCAACGACTTCTCCTCTTGGTTTCAAGATGTCTTTGAGATTGGCAGGCGCTACAAAATCATGAATCCGGAGAAAATGAGGGACACATACGGAAAATTGTGTTATATGATCATGGATTCCCGACTACCACAAATCGAAGACCACATGGAATTCCATCTTTTCAAGCCTATCAAAACGGTTCACGATTATCTCAGTTCGAAACCGGACGATGAAGGACACGCCTTGAAGATTTTCGAAGACAAGCTTATATTGTATGCCACTTCCCAGGTTTCGCCCGTCGGGAAGTCTAGACCAGAGATCAACAGGCTCATCAAGCAAAAAGAGAACGCTATAGAGAAACTGGTAACAAAGTATAGCAGCAAGTGTTACAGCAAGGAGGATCTTCGTCAGGTTCTTTATTCGATTGGAGACTACAACGCCTACGTTAACATGAATCGTAGACCAGTGATGAGAATGCTTGAAAGGCTCGAAGCCTTCAAAGATCCCACGGTTGCCTCTCAATACTCGATAGGCATTCAGTATGGCAGAAACGGTTCGCGTTTGACACACGATCACGATCGCCAGATGCAATACGTACAGCAATCGCTGACTCTATGGTCGTCCATACAACGAGAGATGATACATCTCTGGTACATTGCAGATCAAGATCTTTACAGTCCCCATGAGTATAGATTGGCCTCTACTGGCCAGGGTCTGAACCGCATAAAGTCGTGCCCTGCCCTATATCGAGAAATGCAAAACATTCTTCGAGAGTGTCGTTCCAAATGCACCAACTGGGTTGGATCTTCTGTGGTACATCTTGGAGATGACGCCGTTCCCAACGCATTGTTCTTCCTCGACAAATATACCCAGGTTCCTAACATCTTAATCCCGTTCGATCAAGCTCTGATGAAAATTAACGATTTGGTCCAAGGCGACGCAGCCATTCAAGAGTACATCGATCAAGAATATGGTTCTGTTGAAGATCTCAAGCTTGTCATTCTACAGGACGCTTTTGCTCATATGTTCGATGGCTCGGGCGCAGACAATTTTTACATGAGCGGTTCATGTATTGACGGCAGACTGACTTCAGCATGGAATCATACAAACTCAATCGCGAAAAAGAAGTACTACAAGATCTTTTTGATGACAGGATTCATCGGATTCAATGGTCAAGAAGGATTCTAGTGTCATTGTAAACCTATTTTCAAACTTGTCTTCTCATGGGTAAATTTGTAGGTATTTTACTTATTTATACTATATCTAACCAACAGTTATCCATCGATGTGTAAATCCTGGAAACAAAGGCAAAAGGGAAGTTGAGGTGTCGCTATTTGATACATGAGCGACTTCAATGCGCTGTATAATCAACTGATAGTACTGGACAATGGATCGGGGATCATAAAAGCTGGGTTTAGTGGTGAAGAAAAACCTCAATGCATAGAATACTCTTTAGTTGGAACTCCAAAATACAGCAAAGTGATGGCCGGCGGGCTATCTAAAGACTCGCAATTGATCGGAAACGCTGCACAACGAGAAAGAGGGCTGCTAAAACTGCGATACCCCATGGAGCACGGAATTGTCCAAGATTGGGATAGCCTTGAAGATTTATGGACACACGTACTACAAGATACTTTGAAGCTGAAAAGTACAAAAGATCACCCAATTCTAGTTACTGAGGCTCCTCTGAACCCGATGAGAAACCGTGAAAAAATGTGTGAGCTTTTGTTCGATTTATTCAACATGCCAGCTGTGTACGTGTCGATACAAGCAGTTCTGGCACTTTATGCAGGAGGAAGAACTACAGGATGTGTTTTGGATTGTGGAGATGGAGTCTGTCACAGTGTTCCAGTCTACGATGGTTTTACTTTGCCGTCTGCGGTAAGAAGAGTAGACGTAGCGGGACGTGACATCACAGAATTCTTACAACTGCTGCTGCGAAAGTCAACAGGCGTTTCGCTCTTCTCCAGTTCAGAAAGAGAAATCGTGCGCATGGTAAAGGAAAAAGCCTGCTATGTGGCATCCGATGTAGCGAAGGAGGAAAGAAGATACGAGGGAGTCGATGGATTACAAGCGTATACCAAGTTCAAACTACCGGACGGGAAGATTCTTTCCATGGGAGCTGAGAAATTCAGAGCTCCCGAAATATTGTTCCAACCACAACTGATAGGTTCAGAAGGTGACGGTGTTGCAGAGATGTGCAACCAGAGTATTTTAAAAGTAGATTTGGATCTGCGATCTTCGCTATACTCGAATGTGGTGCTAAGCGGAGGTTCGACTCTGTTTCCCGGTTTTGGAGACCGACTACTCAATGAACTGCGCGTCAAGTGCGGTTCTAGCAATAAGATCAAGATTTTTGCTCCCCCAGAAAGGAAGTATAGCACCTGGATTGGTGGATCTATTCTTGCTGGTCTGTCGACCTTCGAAAAGATCTGGATCACAAAAGCAGAATGGCAAGAAAACCCGCAATGTGTGCATACGCGATTCATGTAAAAGAAAGACTCGAAGTTGTGCCATGCAACTAGAATAATGGGAAACGTCCGTCTATTAGTTTTACCAATTAAATGAATTACGGTTATTCTTATGCCAGAAGCAGGGCTTCTTGGTTTGAAAAAAACCTTTCTAAATGCAATAATATCTGTCTCCGAAATCGCCCAATCCGGGAACCAGGTATCTGTTTTCATCAAGACCAGAATCAATAGCACCTGTCACAATCTTGACTTCGGGGAACCTGGCGTGGAAGAGATCAACACCTTCCTTACTACAGATCAAGTTGAGGAAAAAAATGCGTTCAGGTTTGACACCTCTTTTGATCAAAACCTCAGTAGCCATGGCGGCACTGCCTCCGGTGGCCAACATGGGGTCCAACAAGAACACATATCTGTCGGAAATGTCCTCTGGCAATTTTTCATAAAAAAGCTTTGGCAAGGCTGTTTCTTCATCTCTCTGGATCACGATTTTCCCAATACGCACAGAACGGCAACATTCTCTGAGACCTTGTTCCATTGACTCGCCGGCTCTGACAATGGAAACTCCGCAGATTTTGCCCAGAAATGACACACCTTCGAATTTCTGGTTCGTGGAAGTTTCCACCGTCTTGGGGGTCACTGGAAGATGATTCAAGCCTTCTTCGACTAGCAAACGAATGATACGGTCTGCATAAAAGATAAAGTCAGGTCTGCGTGTACTTTGATCTCTGATAATGGTGTAAAGGCCCAAAAGTTGATTGGTCTGTGGAAGCAGAATAACGTTCTGGTATGGCTGGGAAGACATTATTCGACAAGGTGTTTTGATAATTTAGAGAGCGTCAAAAGAGAAGTCTCGTTTGATAGATATAGTTTTGGCCAAAAGTTGGAATTCCAAGACCAGGAGAAGTTTGTTTCGATGCTGAAAGCCTTGTTTTTTCACCTAGAAGTCAAACTTGAAGATTGAGCCCAATTGTTCGAGGTATCACTAAGATGAATCAAGATAATGAGAGGATGCAGAATGACTTTACGTACTTGTAGAATCAGGATGATCTTCAAGATGTTCTTCTTCTTATCTTTTATATACTTTGAATTTTTCATGCGATGCGCGATGAGCTTAGTTGAAGAAAAATCGCCAATCTCTCGATCTCCGTCGGCTTTTTTTGGAATTCTCCGATAGTATCATTGAGTACGAATATAGAAGCACGTGACAGCTGGGAAGAGCTGTTTTAAAGTAATATGGTCAAAGGCTGGATTTTCTAACACTTGAGATTAGCTTGAAAAGAAGAATTATAAAGCTCACCATAAAAAACAACCAGCTCCAGAGCTTCTTAACTATATCACTTTGTACGAGAAGAATAGACTGTCAAAACTATAACACTTTTGCAAAGAGACGTTACACGCATTGTTCGCGTCTGATTTGGTTTTTCTTTCCATGGTGCCGCCCATATGTACCAAATATGCCAAGAAAATTTCCCATATGCTCGCTGTAGCCTCCATACATTTTGTCTGAACTTCCCTCCATACCAGGCCTCGTCAGAACAGAGTTATGATATACTTTATAATGTACAATATATACTGGCACAGACGCTATATCTGGGCGATTTGGCTTCGGCTTAGGGTGCTTGTCTTCTTTTTTTTTCGTCTCTCTTTACGTCTCTATTCATCCCGGTCCCACGCTGCTACTACTGCACAGAGGGTCCGGTAATAATCTCGGACCCGTCAAGAGGACTTAGCGTCACCAACATGGTGCCTCTGATAACCACAAGACCCAGTTCTCTTGTTTGGCCTGCCAAGATTTTGGTATCGTCTTCAGGGTCTCTCAAATGCTCTACAGTTTCGTCCAGAACCAAATTCATGAGCTGGTCGTAACCTTTGAGGACTCCAACAACGAGTCTTCCTCCCATCAATTTTATCCGAATTTGCGTATCTGCATATTTCGACAAATTGACGATCGGCTCGCGTTTTGGGGCCTCAAACTTACGTTTGTTTTGAGACTGGTGTTTAGCCTGATAATTAGAATAGTGAGTTAGTTATATGTTCTTGTAAAATCCAAATGGGCATCAATTTCGAAGCTTGAAAATTCCTTGGAAAGAAGGCTATAAAAGCAACTTACGTTATCACTCATTTCTATGGGCCGAGCTGATGTTAGATGCACTCTTTTTCCCTTAACTTGACGGGTTTTTTCTGTCTCTTTTGCAAGTTTGAATATTCAAGAAGATGTAGAACTCATTTCAACTTCTTTAATTAAGCCCATCATCTCTAACTATTTCAATGATGATTTGAAAACAAGAAGCGATGCCATCGATACAGATCGAGTCCGAGCTATGTTCCACGAACCGCGAGATCAACATGAATCTCGATTGGAACCAACTTTGTGAGAAATTGAGCCAATTGAGTGGGGTTCTTCCTGCCGATATGGAATTAAGATTTGAATTTAGAGATAAAACCACCAAGACTGTGACAGCTCCCTGTGAGAAAACAGGACCATTTGGGGAGTTTCTGAAACAAACTCCTGTGTTGCTACACATCACAGATGTGAATTCTGGATCTTTGGCTCACGAACTAGCACAGGACATGGCCAGATCAGAAAACAATTCTGATCCATTGTCTAAACATTTCACTCTTTCTGAAGAAGACTACAAAAAAAGAGACGATTCTGTTTTGCAATGGAAAAAAAACACTGGACTTGGAAGCTACGATCCACAGTATCGCGCTAAACTGGATCAAGAGTTACAGCGACAGAAAGAATGGGCCCAGCGCCTCACTTTGAACGAGCGGTGTCGTGTTACCACTCCAAACAGTGGTCTCGAAAGAAGAGGTTGGTTGCGCTACGTGGGACATCTGCCTCACACAAGATCCAAGGATCAAGGTATATGGTGTGGCGTGGAGTTTGACGAGCCCTGTGGCAAAAATGATGGTTCACTTGACGGAGAAGTCTTATTTGGGCCAGTGAAGCCTTCTTATGGGGGGTTTGTGAAGCCCACCAGTGTGGAAACCTCGTCAGAGTTCCAACCGCTGGACATTGATCTGAATTCCGATGATGACGATGACGAAGAACTGTGAAGTTATGCTAGAGACTCGTGGCTTTCTTCGTTCAGGGTGACCCCTCTGCTCGATAATTCAAAGTTATTATAACTGAGCTTCTAAAGAACTCAGTAACCATTACAAATATAGCTCATCACTACTTCAGGTCAACTCAACAGATCTTTGATCCAGTGGTCTGATATTTCTCTACTTTACAATCCAAAATGGAACTCCTGGACAACGCCTATCACACTCTTTACGCCTCAATTGCGAGTCTGGATGCCCAACGTATTATCCGTTTGATCATTGTCGTTGGAGGCTACGCTCTCTTAAGAAATCTAGCGCAGAGACACTTGGCTAAGAGACAGCTAGACAGAAAAGTCCGTGAAGGCGAGGCTGTCAAGGCTGAACAGAAACTGGAAGATCTCGTTGACGATCCTAAAAGCGCGAAAGCCGCAGACAGCAATGCTTTTGGGTGGGGAAATAAAACTCGTCAAAGAGTGAAGAGACAGGAAAAAATGCTGGAAGAACGGATCGAAGAATTGCAAAAATACCAAGGTAACTTGGATGACGATCAAGATATTGCAGACCTTCTCGAGGATTGAACCCGGGATCATGTAAAAAAAAATCACAATCACGTGTCATATATTTGTATGTATGATTATATAATCAATTTTTCTGATAATTACGTCTAATGTGATCTTAAAGAAAATCTAAATGACCGTAATAGAGCGCTTCTGAAAAATTAATGGAAATAACGAAGCGATGAGCTAGAAAAGCTACAATCGAAAGCCAGTGAGTTTGGATCACCAGAGACCATTTCAAAGACTATTATAACTCTCTGATCGGTATTCAGAATCTCGATTTTCGCTAGGAAAAAAGAATGAGTTTTCAAAGGGGCCGGAAAGATGGCAATTCGTTCACAAAGAATCTCCCATTTGGATTGAATTATAGCGATGTTGGGGCCACGGAAAGCGGGGAACTTCCGTCTATACCAATGCCCGTGAACGGTCTCATCATGCCCCGGGAACGTGCAACAGCAATTCAATACATGAACCTTGTCACAGCGGTGCGGGAAGGCCCATTTTACACAGGGTCCATGCACCTTTCTGTAGATGGACAGGGCAAAGACCGGAAACTTGTGGATGAAGACGGTATAAATGACGGTGTGGAGCGTTATTCGGATAGGTATCTGAAAAAGCGACGTATTGGGGTCTCGATAGACGAGCATCCCTTCCATCTGGAGTTTTTCCCAGATGAGCTTTTCCAAGTGATGGGTATCAATAAGAAAAAACTACTAGCGATTTCGCAGCTCAACAAGCGCACAGACGTTTTCACAGGTTCTGGGGGTCCAGATGAAGATGCAGTTGGTTTGTCGATGCTTGAAAAACTCAAAAATCTAGCAGACGACGAAGACGACACTGCAAATGTAGAGAATAAGGAAGAACCTGAGGATGTGGATGACGAATTTGACAGTGACGAGGACGAAGATTACAACGCCGAAAAGTACTTCGACGATGGAGACGACGATGCGGGCGAAGAAGATGATTATGGTGACGAGCCAGCATTTTAGCGAGATCAGGCGACGAATTTGAAGCGAGTTTGATGGGAAAGAAGCCTTCACTAATAAATTTCATATATCCTTGTCACAAGGACACGGGCCATTATTTGCATTATCTTTGTACAACATGTATTTAGAACAAGTCATTATTTCTATTTGGAAAAACGAGAGACGTTTGTTGAGAACTCATGTAAACTTCTCATTATTCAACCTGTGCCTTAAGCCCTTAACCAGGGCCATCTTCTTTCTTTGACGCTTCCATCATCCTAGTGGTGGGGGCCTTCGTCTCGTGGGAGAATTGGACCCGTTCCGTGATCTCATTCCAGGTCTCGACAACGGACTGGAAGGCAAAGGCGGCAGACGAGGAGAGCTTTGACTGGAATGGGACGCAAACCGATCTGCTCTTTGCGAAATATCACTTCCAACACTTGTACCTCGAGAATGCGATACGGGAAGTCTCGGAAGTGGTGGTTGGGTATGTAGCTTCGAGGACTCGTACCTTTGCCGACTAGGACTTCGGCTCGCAACACTTGCATCATCGTAACCATCATTGTAGTCTTCCGGATCGACACCCACGACTTTCTGTAAAGCTTTCAGATCCAGCTTGTTCTCGGTATCAATTTCCTGTTGCTCTGAAGATGGATTTTTGATTGATTTCCACTTCTCCTTCAACTGTTTGAGCTTGGCAAACAGCGGCTCTGTACCAGCTGTCCCACTAGTCCCCACGGTGTTGACCGTAGCGTGGCTTTCATGAGATGTGGAAGTGGCATGTGAGCTAAAAGTCCCATTCGAGGCTACCGACGAATTGAACGCCAACGAATCTCGAGGACTTTGACTTCGCGGGGCAGCATGCCTTTCTGAATTCAGCACCATGGAGCTATCGCGTGATGCAGCTGCATGCGAGTAGCGATTACTCGATATCGAGTTAGATTCGTTTTCCAACTGAAACGACGGTACTTTGGAAGGAAGCGGAGGCGGCGATCTACCTTCAATCGCTACGTCAAAACTGTTTGCGTAGTCAGATTCTCTTTTTTGCAGTCTTGAAGTGGGTATTAGCGGATGGAATGTCAACTCGATGTATACCTGACCAGCATCTTCCTTCCCGAAATGCAAATCAAACCAATCATCGTGTCCGTCTTCTGGATCTTTGTAAAGAGCCGGTGTTAGATCGACCGTGCATTGACCTATTAGCTTGGGAGGTGATCTTTCATCGAACAATTCAACAACTAAAGCAGGTTTAACGTCTGGTGTAAGATCAAACTTCGAGTAAAAATCAAACTTGGGTGTTTGACCACCCCGAAATGCTATTTCTGACGTGGCTATCATATGGGAAATTCGTAGTCGAACAAACGGGCTCTGTTTGTCCAGTTTTCGCAGATTTGGCAAATCGCGAGCTCTACTAACATATACTTCCAAGAGGCCATTGGCTCCTCCAACAGCGCTTGTCGATGTAAATGACATGCTCTTGTCACTACGCTGAACTTGAATATGTGCTAGTCAAGTCCGATGGCTTTTGATTCGACATCAACTCTGCTGAAGTTGTTCTACTGAAGACTTACTTGGATGTAAATAATAATATAGCCATCTCATCACTATTTCTATAAAACTGACTAGAAAGGTCGACCAGAGAATCCTCGACAAAACAGTATAAAAGAGCTCGAACAAGCTATTCGATAATCTTGCTGTAATCCGCGATATCGAGTTTCCCATTCTTGCTAACTTTTGGCTCTTTTATCTTAACACGACAGTGGAGAGACGTCGTATTCTTGAGATTGCTCGTTGGCACCACTTAACATGTTCAGCGTTTGTCACCAGTTGTAGATGCGTGGGAAATGGAATGTCCAATGCCTTCAGTAAGACTTTGGAATGCTCCCTTGGACCTCTGTACGCCGATAGGGTCTGTTCTTGTATTGTAGTGGATTGAAAATGCTTCGCTCATCGACAGAAGAAATATCTCAGTTCCCTGTATAGTGTCACCGCTCTTGAGCAGGGAAATCGAAGTATTCATTCGTCGCTGAGTTCGTGTGATTTGGAAGAGTTTAAAGTGTGATACCACTCGAAATCCTCTACTTCTGATATCTGCTCTGCGGTGTACTAGAAGAAGGACCTTCAGGAGCTGGACTCGATCGACTGTCGCGATTAGGACGGGGTTTCTGACCTCGAGGACCAGCGGGCAACCTCAGAGGCCTTTCTTCACCAGCCCGATCGTTTTGCGGTTTTCTATCGTACCGACCTGTCGAGCTGGTTGCCGACTTTGAAGTTTCACGGCCCACGCCATGCGGAGCTGAATTCGAAAAACGGCCTCGATCGAAACCACGGTCGGGTTTTGCTCTCTTAGCCTGATGCGACTGGCCGCTATCCTCCCTCGGACGTTTCGCGAGATCAGCTCTACTACTGTCCAGACGGTTCCGATCGCCAATTTTTATCTTGTTCGCAGACCCATCGCCGTATCGACTGTTAGCGACAGAGCCTCGTTGAGAAGGGTTTGCGCGAGAGGGTCCCCGTGGGATAGGCGATTGAGCTTTCTTAGAGTCTATAGTGTCGTTACCGGCTCCTGAAACTCCTGTTGCAGCTTGACCCTCGTATCTTGATCCAGTACGCGAAGGCCTCTGTTCAAGTCCATTTTTTTCAGGTACTCTCGATGGCCTGGCATTTGAAGCATCAGAAGGACGACTCTTGCCAAAGTGATCAGACTTATTTCTGTCACTCCGTGAGTGAGATGCACCTTCATCTCCATTGGACCTACCAGCTCTGTTCTCTTTCTGTTCAGGTTTTCTAAAACCGCCGTATCTAGATTGTCGTTTACTGTCATCGATGTGAGCGGATGACTTAAACCTTGACTCATCTGGCTGAGAAGATAAAGACTTGGCGGCTTCTGCAACTGGTTCGTCATCATATTCGATTTTCTGAGTCTGATACCTGCCCTCAACCTTCTTTTGGGTGCTATACGGATTTGTCACAGACTTACAGGCACTCAGCATACCGTTCAACCGCTGCTTGAATTTTTCATGGTTTGGAGAAGTGACAAGATTTCGATAGAAGGATTCCAGAAGTTCTGCAAGTCGCGATCTGTACTCTTCGAGGTCCCTGACGGTAGTCTTTTCGATGGTGTGTAGCTCTGATAAAACACGCTTATTTCTGAGATGTCGATACAGAAACGCCGTTCTGTTAGCCTCCAAGCACTTAACAATATCCCACATCTCGTTAAGAATTTCATACATTGGTAGTGGAGGGACACGTCCAAACCTCGAACTGGTTTGCGGACCTGAATCTGTCTCCTCTTCCGGATGACTCTTTTGCGCCAATTCAGCTGTTTGATGATCCTTGGCCTCTTTCGCAGCGATCGCTTTTTTCGATGCTATCTCTTCTTCTTTCAAAGCTTCGTGATGTTTCGTTATCAGATCCTTTTCGTCAGCTCCAAATTCTTCCCTGTCTTCGGGACTCAAATGGTAGAAAGCATCCAGATCTAGGGCACCCTTCAAGCGTGCTTTGAGATGTCCAATCAAAGCGTTGCTTGGCAGTAGAATGTCTTCTCGCTTGTCTACACTAATAAGCCTTTCCATACTTTTGATCATCTGTAAGATGTCATATTTCACAACCGGGAAAACAGCCGACAAATGCTTCATAAACTCAATTCCATTACGGATTGACATATAGTTTTGCTCCACAATCAGGTTGACTATGTCTTCTGCAATCAGGCCTTGTATTTTGAAGAGTCGTTTGAGATCTTCATCGCTCAACTCCTGCGACTTTCTTGCCACTTCAAGTCTCTCAAGGTAATTAGCAAAGAAGAAACCAAGGCAACTGGCCTCTGAGCCCGTAGAGCTGAAAAGTAATGATCCCAGAATTCGCGTCGCTAGAAACTCTTCGATGATGTCCAACGCTCCTGAAATCCCGAATGTCTTCCATACGAAAATGACTACGAATAGGGCATCAGCGGGAGAAAATAAAGCTCTAGGGACGACACAATACTGCAGGAAAGGTGACACCATGTTTGAACTCTTCAGCTGCGTGATATTGATAGAAGAGCTAGCCAAGGATTCCAAAAATCTATTATGAGCCCTTTGGTGTGCAATGCGGCTAGCCATAATGCTTTCAATTTGCCTCGATAGGTCCTGTTTTTTTTTAATGGACTTAGTGTTGATCGCATTTTTCTCAATGAGACTCTTCTCATTGTCATAAAGTTCCTTCTGAAAACAAACATCATATAGAGAAAGCTTCCAAAACTTGACATACAGACCTCTATGCTCCTCTTTAAATTGTTGAGGAATGAAGTTTGCCTTGTCAATGGCTTCGTCAAACTGCTCTTGAAGTTTGATATCATCGTGGAGATTCTCATCGTAGTATTCTCTCCAAATGAGAAAAGCCCATTCCATTGATAGTGAGTATTCGCTTATCAAATGCTCAAAGTCAACTATATTGTTCTTGAACACTTCAGATCCTAGGAAGTATTTGCTCATATCAATAAACGCCCATAGCAATGAGTTTATATCGTCAATTTTGGAAGATAGCACCTTGTAATGTATGTCTTCATCGACAGATTTCTTACTCAAATGGTCGAGAAGAATGATGACTTCGGAGAGGGCATTCTCACTGATGAATACATTCAGAAGTCGTTGTGCAGACTCGCGGTTCTCGCTCCTCAGATCTCGAATAACAGTACGTGCTATTTTTTGCAAAGGAGGCCCGGAGTTGAGCATCATCAATTGCTTTGTATTGAGATCGTTAATGGCTTTGACTCCGCCTACTCTCGACGTGAGTTCCCGTATAACAGTCACTGCTATCATATCGTTTATATGCAGCCTCTTTATCACAAAGCGAATTATGTTTGTGATGTCCATTTTAGACGACCTTTTAGCCAACTCAGCGATAAAGACAGCAATCCTTTGCACCCACATCATTACATGGATTCCACTGTCTTGTAAGCTTCTTCTTCCAGATGTCAAGCGAAGAAGAATATGGTATTGTAGAACGTCATAGGTGAAGTCGCTGAAATGTAAACTGGTTTCAACAACCAAGTCAGCCAGTTTGTCGTAATTTTCCAGCTGATTCATTATTGGGTCCAAAGTGCTTACAGGGTTTTTGGCCAGAATTTTAGCAAAATTTTTGCCTTTCTTATCGACGTTATCGATGCTTAAAGACTTGAGCAATGATCTCGCCTCTCTAGCCGATGAATTCCAAGCAGCCTTCGAGAAAGTATCGTCTTGGGCCAATTTTGAAGATAGCTCATTGTAAAGGAAATAGCGCTTTTCGTAGTCAAACTGCCTCAGGAGATCGAAAGTTTCGTTGACAATGGCGGAATTCTCCGTCAATAGAGGAAGAGCAGGTAGAATAAATTTTCGTGTGAAATTTAGCCAAGCCAACATTTTCGATTCATCCTTTTGGCCTCTATGGATATCACTTAACGCCACTCTGCAAAGTTTGGAAACGACTATTGGGGCCCGAGCAACATGGGGGCCGATGAGAGTTAGCGACTCATGACATGACTTGATGAAGTCATCGATATCATGGACTTCTTTGACATGTCTCATACACTCATCATAGTAAAACCTGTAGACGTGTGTAGACTGGAGAGTTTGGAAAACATTATGAGTGGGTATCAGCCCATTATCGCTCTTCGTTGCCTTTGGCGTATATGAAATGAGAGAGCTGTAAAGAGGAGTGATCGAATGCTCGAAGATTCTCAGGTAGAGTTTGATGGTCGTCTCGCTAGTCAACAGAAAGCGCGAGTAATTTTGGAATGAGCAAAGGAACGGAACCACTGCACCATGTGCTAAAAGTCTCTGTAAAAGTAGCATCTTACCGCGTTCCAAATAGTTCTTTTCAGTCATTTCTTTACTTTTGTCCAGTTCGGTTTGCGTTGCTCCCACAGCCTCGGTTGTTTCGGCATCGTCTGTAGATGGCTTATTTGCATCCTCTGCGTCATCGGCGAGAGCGGCAGCCATCGCCAAAGGGTTTGAGACTCCCTTCATGCTATCAGCCTCCAATTTCATGTAAAACTTGTCTGTGAACTTTTGAATTTCCTCATCATTGGGCCCCAGATTATCGAAAACGGAAGAAAATGACACCAGGCCTTCCTTCATAAGTACACAGACCATATCGAAAAGTTTGACGTCAACGTCGCCATCTTTCAAATGCATTGTAAGCAGCTGGCTGGCCATAATGTTCCCTCCCTTGCCCAGGTTTTGGGGTGAGCTGCAGTCCGCTGTGGTATCGGGCCAATACGTGGAAACGCGCAAGAATTTAACCAAAAAATGGTAGTTATCGGTGATGTACTGAGAGGAAACGATCAAAATGACATCTAGCGCCCGCAAAGGATCAAGTGAATATTTTCCGATAATGCACTGAGCTTCATGCCAGTAGGTAGAGGCGCTTTCGATATTCGTTGGATCACTGTAAGCCACCAGCAAAAGCGTAACCAGTTGGGAGTACGCCACAGGATTTTCACAAAGCAAATTGAATTTGTGGATCATATATCCGCTGTCTAGGAGACTTTTCTTGAAAAGCGCCCGTTGTCTTGCGCTGAACTTTTGCGTTTTTTCCAGTAATTTGTCGTCGAGAACATAGGTACAGAAGTCTCCATCCATCATATAGAGCCGACGAATTAATTCCTGTGTCTTTTCTGACTTTTCAGGAAGACTGTTGACCAAAACTATGAATATTCGAGCGATCTTTGGCCCCTCTGCCATGTAAATTTTAGAGATCAGGTTTCTAGCTTCTTCCACTTCAAGGCCTCCAACATCGTCCGTACTCAGTAGCATCAAAATCTCATACATCAATGACTGTAGGTGTTGCTTTCGTTGTTTGCTGTCCTCACATTTCGTCAACTTGTCCAGGAATTCCTGCGTAAACTGTTCTAAGTTCCAATTGTCCGTTTTGAACGCTGCGAAACTGCTAAAGAAACCACTTGAATTAGCCTTAGCCAGCTCATTGATATGAGCACATACATTGGCCATTAGAACTTTGTTAAAGTCGCCAATATCGTTGGTTTTGTTCAAATTCAGGTTAGTTCATTGATCTTTTCTTTCCAGGTTAACAAATTTCCAATTTCATATAGAGATGCCTAACCTTACAGAACAGATCGATAGAAAAGATCACTTCAATCAGCAGCTCAGAAGATATCACAATGGTACGTTTAGCGCCTTTGCTTAAGCTTGCGGGTTCAAAAACCTTTTAAAGCTGACCGAACTTCTACTAACCGCGCAAACTAGTCTGACAAACACCGCCAACAACAGGTTTTCCAGGTGATGAAGCAGAAACACCTGGGCTTGGGCAACGAGAACACCACGAGTGAAGAATGGGTGAGCCAGGTACACAAAGACACTTTTTACAGTATGGCGTCTCATAGCGGAATGCTGGAGTATTTGGCTCTTGCACAGGGAGATTCCAGCAAAAGAATCACAGAGCTACGACTACTGGAAAAAATGTGCGACAAAGCACCAACGAATAAACGCAAGTTGACGGAGGAATCGTAGCGATTTCCCGTATGTAGCCGTCTCAGTCTTGATGGCAAATTATAAACTATATTACACGAGAAAGTCTGTGGGTCAATGAAACCTCCAGCACTTTTATGATGACACGATTTCGGCGGAAATGACGCGGTTGTTAACGTTTGCACGATCCAAACGTTTTTGAGCCTCCACTAGAACCCTACCGTCTGAACTTTGGAGCCAAAGCTCTGCCGTCACGGACCCTGAGGGCAGATCTACAATCGAGGTTTTCTGTACGGCCACACCAGCAATTCGTTCAACGGCTTGGGCTAGGGATTGGGAATCGGAGCCCAATGGCAGGTTTCGAAGCCTCAAAAACCGCGATTCTGATGACGTGTTGACTGTCAAGTACAGATCTTTACCGTATGGCTGTACGCGAGCGCGATCACGGCTTCTGGCTGCCTCGCGTCTCTGAACGGTTGTTTCCACACGTTTGTTGTTGTGAACGATGTTGCCGCCATTTTTCCTCGCCGTTCTTTTCGCGGCTTTTGGAGCTGGAGTTGTGCGGGCTGCGGCTTCTCTCAACAGGACACCTACGTCGTCTGCACTCACCAATCGTCCGCCAACCACGCGGAGACCCACATCTTTTGGGCTTTTCGACCTTCCCTTCGAATTGTCCACTTTTCTCGACATTTGGATCCTTTCCAATAACGTTTTACCACCGTTTGATGGGGTATTTTTGGCCAATTGTGGCTTCCGATGGCCCTTGCCAGCTTTCTTGTTGGCCATTTCTTCCAATGCAAATGCGAAAAAGCCTGTGTTTGATTTGGGTGTTGCGAATGCCAATTTCTTGAGCAATGTGTCTACAAATACGTTCGAAACAAAAGATTCACAGACTCCGAGGATTCTTCTTCAGAAAAGATCGATGTTATAAGTATGATTCTTGCTGATTATGCTTGAATTTGATGTTTTTATCAATAACAACCTATTGAATTTCCATTCTAACAATCTAAACATGGGTCACGTGATCTGTTGAATTTTTCAGTTTTTCAAAAATTTAAAAACATAGTCACATGACCTATAAATTGGAATTTCTCATCACTATTGACGTCTGGATTTTTCAGAATAGGGGCCCTCTAAAGAATTCAAGATGTTTTAACAGTTCATCCTCCAACAAACCACTTTCAAAACAACAACGAAAAGCTTAACTTACCGCTATCTGTAAGCTTACTCGTGGAATTCCAAGCTCATGACAGAGGCCAACACTTTCGCTATCCAAGGGTACAACTTGTCGCGGCTTTTGAAGCGCTTAGAAGATGCTACGGCGCGTTTGGAAGATGTGACGTTTTTCCAAGAAGGGTACATCCAGACGAAGATCGACGCGATGAAGAAGGAGGGAAGTGATGTGAGTAGTAGCAGTGTGAATAATTTAGCCGTCGAGCAACAGTCTGGAGTTGCAGAGCCAGCTGGAACGAAATCAACACCGGCGCCCCGGTCACCACAAGAGACCTCTGCAGAGCCTGCCAGCATAGTTGCATTCGAGAGTTTAGTGGATTTGCACGTCAAGCCGCTTCTGGAGGTATCGGAAAAAATCGATCCTCTGGTTAAAGAAGCCATTGACCACTTGTACAGAGCATTCAAAGCTCAAAAGCAATTCTTGAGACTCGTGGCGAATTCCAAGAAACCAGACTACGCTTCCGAGGCATTCGCCAAGTCTTTACAGCCCTTGAACGAGCAACTTCTGGCCATTGGTGATCTGAAGGACAATAATCGCCAAAGCAAATATTTTGCTCATCTTAACGCTGTAGCAGAAGGTGTTCCATTGTTGAGTTGGATCGGAGTGGAGACCCCAACGTCTGTGATCAGCGACTTCAAAGATGCAGCTCAATTTTGGACTAACAGAGTGCTTAAGGATTTCAGAGACTCCGATAGCAATAGCGTTGATTGGGTCAAGCAATATCTTGGCGTTTTTGACGCGCTGAAGGACTACGTCAAACAGTATCATATGACGGGACCCTCTTGGAATGCTCAAGGTCTAGATTTCGCAGAATCCCTGGACAAATTTGGCACCGTTACGCCTCAGGCAAGCGAAAAGGCACCAGCACCGCAGCCCACAAGCTCTGGTGCACCACCACCACCTCCACCTCCTCCAGCCCCACCGGCATCTGTCTTCCAAGCCGAAGATGCGACCCAAGCTCCTAAAGGTGGAATAGACGCTGTTTTCAGCGAGTTGAATCAAGGTCAAGACATAACGAAGTCGTTAAAGAAAGTGGACAAGTCTCAACAAACTCACAAAAACCCTGCGCTTCGGGGATCATCTGTTGCTCCTGCCGCCAGAACTCCGCCACCAAAGCCTAAAAAACCTACTACACTCAAGACAAAGAAGCCGGCAAGAAAGGAGCTTGTTGGTAACAAATGGTTCATTGAGGGCTTTGAAAACATAGAAGAACCTATTCAAATTGAAGTCAACAAAGATGAGTCTGTCTACATCGGTAACTGCAGCTCTGTTCTCATTCAAATTAAGGGTAAAGTGAACGCTATCTCCATGAGCGAGACCGAACGTTGCAATGTCATGCTGGAAAGCAGCATTTCGGGATTCGATATCATCAAGTCTGTCAAATTTGCTCTTCAAGTGGAACAAACTCTTCCTCAAATTAGCATTGATAAAAGTGAGGACGGTACCATTTATCTCAGCAAAGATTCTATGGATGCTGAAATCATCACGTCATGTAGTACTTCGTTAAATGTGAACCTCCCGATTGGCGAAGATGATGACTACGTTGAATTTCCTGTCCCAGAACAGCTTAAGCACACTTTTGCCAAAGGCAAATGGAATAGCTCTGTTTATGAACATGCCGGCTGATTCTCGTTATGGAGGAAACGTTAAATATTATACAATGATTTTACTATTAACAAGAATATACTCATTTACCGTTCCGAACGTAATACATGTACGCACGTTCATGAACAGGTAAATCAAAAGGCGTTATGACTTCAGATTGTCCTGGGCGTGCCACAGGATCCCTGAGGTAAACGGCATGACAGGTCTTGAAAGAAATTTCGATATGATGCGGTAGAATGGCAAAAGGTGATAAAAATGGTCTTGGTTTCCAAGGTGTGAAGTAGGGCTTGGATGCGTCTTGACGGCCGTAAACGCCTTTTTGCCAAGGAAGATTTATGGAGCTGGAAGCCTTCGACTCATCTTCTAGAAGCTCGCTGATAACAATCGGTTTATGACCTTGAATCTTTTGAGCCCATTGTGGATCGTACGGTATCGCTGAGGTTTGCTCGCTACCTTTTTTACCTTCATAAAGTTTGCGAATGACTTTATCCTGAGAAGTTAAAATATCGGAACAAAGATTTTTGGCAGCTCGCAGAGCTTTCTTTTCACCGTCAGACATTGTCCTCTTAGTTTCGTCCGAGAGGTTTATAAGGGTTTTTGAGTGATCTGTTAGCTGCTCCAGGGACATAGTTGATGCACTCTCTGGTACGGAGTTGGATTTCTTCAATTCTTGGAAACACTCCAATGCCTTATTTCCAAGAGTTACATCTTCGTAAAACTGGGGCAGAAACGTTTGAGCTGCTGGCTCAGCTACAGCAGCACCTGTGGACATGATTTTGGCCAAAATGGTATCCTTGGTTTGTGACTTTATTTCAGATTCCATCTGGGCATCCATGGATTTATTGTAGTTGCGAACAAACTCTAGCCACTCTTGTTTCTTGGGATTGGAATCATCCATTTGACGATATTTCTCTTGTTTCTCTGTCCATTTTTCTCTTGGGTTTTCCTTGAGAGCTTTGACGTATCTATTCCAAATGGCAATCTGGCGCTTGTCAACTTTCAAGGCCTCCGCCAGAGATGGTTTCTTTGCACCCAGTGCTTGTAGAACTTTTTCAGGTTTGACGAAAAAAACGTCACCGGGACTTAATGTGTATCCAGGTTGCGTTATCTTGATTCCATTAACGAAAACATTGTTATGCAAAATGAATTGTCTCGCTTGTCTCACAGATGACGCAAACATAGCACGGAAAACTGCAATGTCCAGCCGTTTCTCCAGGACACCAAAAGTTTGTAACAGAATTGGTGTTTGTTGAGATTCATGTCCCTTTAAGGACGCATCTAGTTGAGCAACGGAATCCAATCTAGGTGTGAACGTGGTTTGCCAACGGTTTTCAGTCAAGTGCTCACCATGGTAAGCTCTTGTCTCCTGTTTAGCAGTCCATTTCTGCTGATACAGCGTTTTTGATCTGAAATCAACGTCGCCTTTCTTGTATAAGTTGAACAAATTGTATTTGTTGAAACTCGAACGGACGCGACCGCGAGCCAACGACTTCAGCAAAACCGCCTTTCTAGGCATATTCGAATTGGTACTTGTGCCCGATTCAAAAAGTTAGGCAAGCTCGCAACGACAGTGTTTTTTGAAGCTCTTTGACTTGTTCAACTGGTGAGACAGATGAGCGTTAATATCTTAAAATTTTTCAGATTGTCATTGTAGACGAGTGATTAGTCTGGACAGCGTTTTGTTGAAGATGACATAGTTCGATGGGGCTTTGATAACAATATGGTCTAATCACAGAGTATATTAACAATTTCTAGCGGTTTCACAAATAGCAGGCGTATAGAGATTCTGTGGGCCCCATGAAAAGTTACAGTTTCGTACAATATGACTACTTTTTAGATCTCAAGCTTCTTTCAATTTGACTACTTTTCGTTATACACTGTACATTTTGAAATCATGCTTTGGTTATTATGGCCTCTCTTTTTTTTGGCTTCCAAGCTTTCAGGGTACCATTGTCGTCGGTTGGTTTTCGGTTCAAGTTTCGATATCGTTTTGTACTAATATGTCATTCCATATGTATTTGTTTTTTCGAGCTACAAGCTGACACTTTTTGAAAATAGTGAGAGTTTCCCCTAGCTTGTAAGCTCTTCAAACACGCTTGACCATATAATTAAATGACCACTCCCGATTCTCCTCATCCAAAACAATTGTCTATTTCGATCCCAGTCACCTAAATCACGTGATACCCGAATTTCTTACCTGGTATAATTAATTAATATTGAAATAATCTGACATTAGACAGCGAAAGAGGTTGTCACAACTTCAGTCACCATACTGATCAGGCTCAATCCCATGATTTTGCTCATTATCACTGCTGGCAGAATGACCGATATCCAATTAAGCGCAAAGGAGATCTTTTTCTATTTCCTACAAGCTGTCATTTTTAATATATGTTGGCAATGAAAATACTAACCACTTAACCAACCATAAAAGTGTCAAAACCACTAATTCTTGAATATTCTCAAAATCTACTCACCAATTTCACTAACCCAGTCGCCAACTTCAAAAGCTGTAACATTTACTCTTATTTTACTGTCATCAGTCGACTGTATTTCGTATAAGCTGCTGTCCTTATTTGATGAACTAACTAGACCTCTCTCTCAAAGAAGACCACTTGGAACTTTCCGTCATCTCGAACTCGATCTAGTCAGCCTCTTGACGAAGTACCTGCGTGTAAATGCAAGTGTCTTTATCATTCTGCTCAACATGAATAATCCCTGGAGTATCGAAGATGACATACGTTTGTTTCGATGGATTACGGACTTCAAACCGGCTGGAGTGCATAAGCATTTCCATATGATCAGCATTTTGGGAAGAATGAACCGACCAGATCAATTCCCCGTTGTACTTCTTTTTGACAAGCTTAAAAGCGATGGGAAGAGCCAATTCGTGGCCGACGAAGTATGGGCTAAACTTGATCAACATTACGACTTGGCCAAAGTGGACGAACGAGAAAACATGCTACTGAACGCAGATGAAAATGGAGAGCCTCACGACGAGGATAATAAAGAAGACGACGACCAAGACCACGAAAAAGCAGATTTTCACCACAAATCGCGGTTTCAAGCTCTGCGACGAGCTTTCCAAAAACCACGAGAATTCACTCTACCCTGGGATGAATATGGAGAATTGATTTTGGGAAATGCGAAAAGCTCAATGGAGGAATACCAAGAAGATGAGGAAAAGGGTTCTGAACAGGAAGATGCAGATCAGGAGCCCTCTAGCAAGATCCATGCGGAAACTGTCCAAAAAGAAAGGTCTCCTAGGCGGGTGACAAGGTCTAACGCGACCCAGAGACAACCAGGACGAGTGACCAGGTCCCAGGGACCTGCTCCAGCATCGAAAAGTGACGAAGAAAAAGAGGGAGGAAAATCCGATGAAGGTGGCGGATCTGAATCTGAATCTGAGCATGATCGTGACGGCACAAGCAGTCCACAAGACGAAAGCAGATTGCCTAGTAGTGATAAAGAAGACCAGCAAGATGCCGAAAAGACTGAAAATCTGGATTCTGTGGCGCAGGATAAGACAAGCTCTTCGCCGCTTGTAGCAGAGCATGGGACATCACTACCTGAGGGGTCCCCTCCTTCAAAAAGGACCAGAACAACTCGAAGCCATCCTTCAGACTCGATTCCGGAAACAACCGATATAGGCAAAGATTCTGTATCAATGGCCCCATCTGCTCCGCCACAGCCTCAGCCCCAAACGCAACATGCCGTGAGAACGAGCTCGCGTGTGGCTAATCGTCGCAGAAGTCGTAAATAAGAGGTATAGACACTTGGACTTATATTGTATAATATAATAACAAAACGGATTTAACAAACCTGTCACTTAAGAGTCTAGCTATACATGATCGCGATCAATTCGCAAGAGCTAAATTAGTTGATCTTCAAGAGTTCGACGTCAAAGACCAGAGTGGCGTTTGGTGGGATCAAACCTGGGAAACCACGAGGACCGTAAGCATATGGGCCTGGAATGGTCAATCTGGCCTTTTCGCCAATGGAAAGCTTAGGAATACCGGCATCCCAGCCCTTGATAACTTGGCCAACACCAATGTTGCACTGGAATGGAGAACCTCTGTCGACGGAAGAGTCGAATTTTTGACCGTTTTCCAAGGTACCGGTGTAGTGAATGGTCACCAAGTCACCAGTCTTTGGGAAAGAAGAGCCATCACCTGGAGAAATTCTGTCAATCTTAACGTTACCTTCAATAGTTTCGGACATTGTTAGCGGTAGTTGTAGATGGTTTTAGATGTAAAAGAGGTAGTTGCACTTGGGAAGGGTTTTTTCGAAAGTATTAACTTTTTAATCAAGACAATGGACGACAGATAAAGAGAGTGTGATGTGATTCGTAGAGTGCGAGTACGGGAAAGGAAGACGATATGGTGTGAGGAAGGTGGTAGAAAGTGAACTAGATTTGGAGTTTCAAGTCCTTGATGCATTTCTACAGCACTCCAACGTCTTTAGTTTTCTTATATATGTGTGTTGAAATTATTGGGATGCAGTGGGTTTACAACGAGTGATTAAATTGCAAGATCTTTATTCGAGACGGTGGTTCATGGATGGGGGCGAACAAAAACGAATTGAAGAGAGACGTTAGCTTTATATGGCTTTCGAGGGCGGATTGGAGTTTTTTGAAGCACTTCGTTTGCACGGAAAACCCGTTTTATCTGTTTTTTATCATTTTCAATCTAAACTGTCGCTGACGCTGAGAATTATATTCCAAGACAGACAAAGAAAAGGTAAGAAAAAACTTAAACTTAGATAGATCCAGCTACTGTTCGAAGATGGATGGAGGTGGGGAGGGCTAGAATGTCTGGTCTTGAGCTACCAAATGCTAGAGCTGACGATTAGGGAAAAAACCCAGATATCACTATTCACGTGATTTACTTCCTTGAGTGATTGATTCCCAATCATCAAAATACGTATTTATATCGAGTTCGTAAACCTTGAAGAGCAGGTGATGGGTGTTAAAATTCTAAAAATCCTACTGGGCTGTCCTTGACTACTTCTACGTAAATAATGATTATCCCGCAACGATTATATATCACATCTTACGGTATCATTTTTCTCTCTCTCTGGGCATTTCTTACGAATTTACCCTGTAATTTTTTTAGATTCCCGTACAGGATGCTCAATTTCGAAAATTAATCTCAATGGTATTACGTACACCCTTGTACCCACTTCTTTACTTTCAGCCACAAGAGCCGCCTTCTCTCCCTAAAAAAAGTTAAAACCTTGGTATATTCGAAATGTTATAAAAAAACTTATACGTATGTGAAGAGTGACGTCGATCCGTTCACCGGCCTTTCCTCTTTAAAAATCCTAATTTTTCCCTAACCGAGCCTTAAGTCCGCGTAGCATGCGTAACTCCGAGTCTCGAGAAAGAGAAAAGAAAAAGGAATTAAAAAAAAAGAAGATAGCTTAGCTAAGCGGTCACGTTGTATTCTTCTCCTTCAACCTAGCGTGTTTGAACCAGAGACAGTCCCACAACTTATTTAGATAAGCATGGCACCGGCAGCGACCAAACCAGCCATAGCAGCAGCACCGGAACCTAGGTTAGCAGCACCGTTAGCGGTCTGGGTTAGAATGGTAGCGTTACCAGTGGAAGAAGCTGGAGCGGAAGAGGCTGGAGCAGAAGAAGCAGCACCAGAGGTAGCCTGGATTTGACCGTCACCGATTTGGGAGACGGCAGCGGCGGTGGTGGTTTGGGCCAAGGCAACGGCACCGGAAACGACAACGAAAGAAGCGACAGTAGAGAATTGCATTTTTGGTATTTTGTGTATGGGTATTAGCGAACGATAGTGTTTATGACAGTGTTATAGAGTAGAAAAAAAGAGAAAGAGATAGATAGATGCCAGTTCTGTAGAAAACCTTGGCCTGTATTTATACGTTCGTGATGGGGGTCCACACCCACGCAATGAATGCAATCAATGGCCCAAAACACGCAAACCCCGTTTGGTGCAGTTGCCGGAACGGAATGTGTGTGGTGGTGGTGTTTGGTGGTATTGACAGCAACAGGAATAACAAGAACAACAATAATAAAAATAATAATAATAATAAAAATGATGATGAAAAAAGTGACATGCAGGACAGTGTTAAGTCGGAAGCGTAGCTAGCGTTCCCGTTTGGGAGAGTCCGGGCCTCTAGCCAGTGGTTCTACAGAGGCTTCCAGGCCCCTCACTTTTCTCCCGTTTGGGAATGGCGTTTTGAAAGTCTGTGGGAAGCCTGTGGGAAGCCTCTTGGGAAGCCTCTTGAGAGCCAAAAAGACCGGATCCAGAAAAAAATCTGGGCCTTGGCGATGCGGTCTTGTAGAATGTGTTGTTGTTGGTCGCAATTGAACAGGAAGGTAGTAGACGCGGCAGTCGTGCAGGTGTGCGTCGTGGTAGTAGTGGTGTGGGCTTCATTAGCGAGCCTAGAATGAAAAAAATAGCAGAAGAAGAAGAAGAAGAAGAAAAAGAAGAAGAAGAAGACAACGACGGAAAAGGAAAGAGACGACGGTTCTAGCGCGAGTGATTTTCCCTTTGCAGCAAGGACTTCCAAATCAGTACAACCATCGCCAACGCACCATCCTCATCCTCATCCTCATCCTCATTATCCAAAACTGTAACACCGCACTTGGCGACTGAAACAACAATACGTAAAAAGGATTCGCGTAGTAGTTTATCGAGAGTTGTGGTAACAGACCTAAAAAAAGCACTTTTTTTCTTGCCTCTTTTCGGTGTACGTCCGTGTGTATCTGTCTTTGCCTCTTCTTCTTCTTCTTCTTCTTCTTCTTCTTGTTCTTCTGTCTCACCACTGTGGGTTACTATCGTGTGACTGATGTTGTTGCCGGTTACGGGCTGGAGAATGCCGATCGCGAAAATTGAGACGGACACAGGACAAAATCGCGAAAAACGGCGGAACCGGCCCGGAACTGGCCGGAACCGGGATCACGGCAGAACAAACACATCTGTAGCCGTACAAGATGCTGTAAAAGTAGTGAGGCAAACACGTACAGAGGGATTTCAAGTTACGTCCGGGTCAGTGACCTATGAGGGAAAACTACCTGGACCAATTGGTGTCGCGAACTAAGTATCCGAAAAGTATCCGAAAAGTATCTGAAAAGTATCTGCTTTTTACAATTAGGGATCCACTCTGGGTATTACACTCTGGGATCTATTCTGATATGCCAAAACCACGCAAAATGATAAAGAATGGAACAGCAACAGTCTCAACGATTGATAGCTTAGAAATTGGTAGCGAATCCAAAATTTACAGTTCTTTCAGTTCCTCTAAGTACCTGCCCAGTTATAGTTTCCCCGCGATCTTGTCATTCGCTTGCTTTTCACTGTAGAAACCCGATCAAAAATCCATTCCGTATATAGTTACGACCGAATAGGGATTCGCTTCTAGGTATTTGGATACCCACTTGGCGATCCGGATTTACCCGTAGTAAATGACTGGTTAATGGGGCAGTAAAAGTAGCAAAGACTCTGGACTTATGGACACAGACATTTGCTCAATGGTCTTGACAAAAGCACCTGTGAGCACTTGCTGTTACATCAGTTTTTGTAAGACGGCACTTTAGAAAGACACTTTAGAAAGACATACCGGGTTTGGTTAGTAGGATGTCTTTTAGAATATATTTGCGCGAATCTTCACGCTAATGTGTATATGTTTATCTCTTAACGTGTTATGCGTGAGATTGCCTAATCTGCTTGGCTTTGTAGCAACACCCAGATGAGCCGTTTTAATACCAGGGGTCTCGTAGAAAAATTGAAATTGGCCGAAATTTAACTTACGCACCAACTACACACTTTACCATATCTTTTAGCGAATTGGTGTCTACCAGTTTATACCTCCCAAGGCTTTACTGTAACTTCTCTTAAGTTCTATCAACACACTGAATGTTCACTTCTAAAACTAAACCATGAAAAAAACCAACACCGTCATTTTAAAAAATCACTCGGCGTCAGCCGCTTAACAATGAAATTTAAACACTACATAATGCGTGTGCGTCCACGTCTTTATTCAATCATAACTATCCTTGCCGTCCCGGCAAACAAATAACCCTCACAATGATGCCACGAGCTTTTCACCAGAATTAACACCATTTTTGATGTCGTCTAGAATCTGTGGGACAGACTTTAGCCCTTCTTGGTAAACCCTGATTGCTATATGATGCAGCTTACCGTCCTTGATTCTTGATTCTGAGGCATTGATAAATCTGATAACCCCTTCACGATACCCAGGGTTCGCAGGAATGGTAATGGTCCCGAATGGAACATCGTAGCCGGACGCCAAATATAATAGTGTGGCATCAATCTTAACGCCCTCTTTTCTCTCAGATTCAGGAATATCCTTCTCTGACAACAACATTAATGGAACGATGGTGGCCTTGTCGGCAGCACACTTATAAACCTGTTGGAAAGTTTCAGGCGTGGAAACACCATCAACAAGTGCTTGGAAACCGCCGTACTTCTTAGTGATTTGTTCAATGACGTCTTTGTCGTGGTAGTCGAATACTTCGTCGGCACCGTATTGCGTTAACAACTTGGTGTGCTTCTTGGATGCAACAACCACAATTTTCGAGTACCCATGCAATTGCTTCGCCACTTGTACCAGCAACTGGCCAACACCAGTCGCACCACCCCAAATCAAAATAGGGAAATCGTGCTGAGGGGTCTTGAGGTCCCATTCAAGCTTGTTGCCCAGATGCATAGTGAGAACGGCACCAGCGGTCAGAAGCGATACAGGCAATGATGCCGCTGCTTCATAGGTCTTCACCGGACCTTCCGGAATCTCGTTACTTGTGCTAGCAGACAAATCCAACTTGTACGAGAGCAGCGAATCCAATGAAGCATATTCGGCATGTCCACCGTTGTCTGGAAACTTCACTGATCCCCCGTGCACCAATCCAGCGACAGCGTCGCCGACTGAGAACCGCGACTTGTCAACCTTTGGTCCAAGTTCGACCACAACACCTGCCACATCACATCCTAGAATTGAGCCCTTAGGCGCAATTTTGTAGTCGACATGCTTCCAGTCTGTAGGATTACCAGCCACAGCTTTCACCTTAACCAATATTTGCGTGCCATTTACTTTAGGGACTGGAACGCTTTCATTGAGAACCGCTTTTTCGCCATCAAATACCACGGCTTTCATAATTCTTGGAACTGTTGTCATTTGTTGTTTGTTTTTCGAAAAGATATCCTTCACCCTTAGCTATCGCGTTATTGAGCTTGCTGAAACCCTTGGACAACTACCAATCACTGCTTTGCTCCATTGTGAAATCCGAACAACTGATACATTTATACCATTGAGATTGTGCGATCGTAGCCCTTGAGACCATGAATGCTTCCGCGGGAGCTTATTAATTGCGTTTATTTTGCAGTTTCGTTTGTCAGACTTCAAATTAGAAGCATCGGGTGTGCTTTGAAAGCACATAGCCATTTTGTTAGCAGTCTTGTGCAGGTATCAAACGGAAACGGTTAGCTTTCCGAGAATCCAAGAAAAAAAACATCCCTATTAGTTAATCTTGCAGTGGAAGATACTGGAAGAACAAAACATGCATCATCGTTCGGTGAAAAGTTCACTGCAGGGCTTTTAAACCACAGTTCCCCTACTTTACGCATGAGAAGCACTTAAAAAATTCCCCTTACAATGGTAAGTGAGCAGCGGAGGCCGACATCCACAACTCCAGAACACCATCGAATGTTCGTGAGAAAAAATAATTCCCAAAATAATTGTCACCTGCAAAGCCTTTGTAGCCTCGTCTAACGCAAACCTGCCGAATCCGTGTTGTGCTAGTTATTTCGTTGGGTTTCTTGTGTAACAGCTCCCTCGAGTGGATTTTTTGGAGATAGCTCGAGCCAAAATTGTATAACTGACGACTGCAACTTTGCGGCCTATCGGTTCAGTCTCTCGACCGGACTGTTGCTCTCGCAATTGGCACCTCATCAGTCCCGGAAGCTTTTTTCCTTGGTTGACTTTGATGGTTCTGTCTTCTTTTTCCGAACGATTCCCTTGAGTCCATTCTTGGAATTTGATTTGGGTTTAGAGACTTTAGCTGGAATTTGAGTTCGTTTTGCAGTCTCACCAGTTATGTGGGGCTTGACTGTTGAATTTGGTGTGGTTTGCTCCAAGGCCTGTTTTTTCTGGTCAAAGGAACGAGTTTCTAGTTCAAGAGATTGCTCCAAGCTTTTCTTTTCCGTCTCGTTCTTCTCGCGCAACTTTTTGTAAAAGTTAACGGCGTCTTCACTGAGTCGATTAAAACTGTTCCTGTCTTTCACCAGAGCATTGAAGTTTTCTTGTTTCAAAATGGCGTTGAGACGTAGCTGCTCTTGTAGCGTCAACCTTTCTTTAGTCTTATAATCGGTGTCCAATTTTGCTCGTTCTCGTTTCTCCAGCAGCAATTGGGTCTCTAGATCTGCATCTCCCTCTTTTACGAATCTCAGCGGTTGAGAAGCTTGTTGGCGATCTTTCGGCATCTCTCTGGTTTGCGCCTTTCGATGAAAGTGCGATGCGCTGCTTCTTTTCACTGTTTTATGTTTTTCTTGAAGTTTTGAAAACCCAAGTGAATCAGTGACCAGTTCCAGTCTGGAGGTAGCCTCTTTTAATCAGCACAAGTCAAATGCGTGGTATGGAGACTGCTCTGCCAACGATCAAACTTTAAGTGTCTGATTTACCTTGCGTAGAGGAAATCGTCGTTTCTTTATAGCAGAATAATGGTATGATGCTTTTGAGTGAGGACCAAGATATCTTGTGCGGATTTAGCTCAGTTGGGAGAGCGCCAGACTGAAGATAACTTCGGTCGCTGAAATCTGGAGGTCCTGTGTTCGATCCACAGAATTCGCATAATTTTTTGCTTGTCAGCTCTTTAACTAATGATCTGCTTTCAATGTTTGTAGAAGCTGGGTTCATCGAAGGATTCATTCGTGCCAAAAACCTCCGAAGGCTTTGCGCTAGAAGTCAGCATATGTCTTGATAATGGCGCTTTAAGTGATGTGTTGGGCCGATACAAGACGCAAGCGCTTTGATCCGTGCCAAAATTCAGGCAGAAGGAGATATCCATCGGATTAGCTCTGACACCAGCTCGTGAAACAATCAAGCTTTTAGGCCGCTTTGCAGCCCCGCCTTCGTTAGGCGAGTATGGCTCGACATACGCGGTTTCAGTAAGATCCCCGACTTCAGTATTGGCCGAATCCTCTGAATAATTGGCTCTATTAAGAGACGACTTATTGTGGAGCTTTCTTTTCTTCTCCACAGGTACTTCCGCTGTATTGCCGTGTTGGATCGGAAGACTTGACGGCCCGAGCGATCCCATCCCCAAGTGAAAGGCTTCGTGGGTGAACCCTAAATCGTGATCGCTGTGCGATGAGGCTAACCTCACCAATGGTCCCAATTCGATGTCTTTCATTCCAATACCTGGCGGATTCTGACCATAATCTCTCAATATCTTAGGATATTTGTCCAGATCTTTTCTGAGTGCTCCGTCATCCATACAAGAAGCAGACCGCTCTAGCATCAAGGCCTCAATGCAGGACATGGTTTGCAAGTCAACCTTCACACGAGGACGGGCGATTGACGGACAAGTCAATCGAGATTTGAAGTTCGAATTCGGTGCCGCACCATCTCCCCTGTTGGTGATATCGCTCAACATGCGTTCATGTGCCTGTATTGAGTTTACGGGCCCGCAAAACTTGAAGCTGGGCTTCGTGGCTGTAGAGGAGCCTAATTTGGAATTTTGGTGATGCGGCCCAGGAGCTGTCGTAAACTTCGTTTTATTATCCTCCGTAGCTTCTGCATTTGCGCCGTAGTAGTTGGATGGAGATCTTCCGCGGATAACTAAAGGTGGGCTTATCATTTCAGTGATTGGAACAAATATGCATGTATTGCTGTCCAAAAAACATGCCTTTCCCTCAAACTTCTGGAAAAACTGAGGATGCAGGCGCGTCTCGTCAATGACACAGCCGAGAATGACTCTTAGCTGAAAATGCTTTGTTTGGTTAGCGCTTTTTTTGGCGTTGATTGATGAAGAGAATTGAACTCTTTCGTAGCGCGCCACTTTTCTTATGCGGTTTTCAGGGTACGTTGATATGACCTCTTTCCGAGACGAACTAGAACGATCAGGGCTCCGGCTTAAGTAAAAGAGATGATCGTATTTTTTCATCTTAGCTTCATTTCTCACATTTGACGCTTCCCGAATAACTTGATGCGTTGGTAATGGGGCGGGAACAAGTGGCAGAATTGGCGGCTCAAATTGAGGTCCTTTATCGCGCTTTGCAGTATGCTGGACAAGTGTCACAGGTGAATCATCTTCGCTGCATGTTGCCACAAGTCGTACTGCAAAGTACTTGACCTCGATGGCTTTAGTGCTACCGAGAATGCCGGTGGCCTGGTATGATTTGAGCAGAAACTCTTCACTTTTTACGCCCACAACTTCGAAAGACGTAACCAGCGTAAAATAGTTACGTTTGTAACCGATCCATTGATCATCGTATTGGTCAAAACCACGGTCAATTCGCGGTGACAAAGTAAATTTCACTGGTACCTGGGTTGCTGAGCACACAATTTGACAATAAGATGCAGATTCTTCGAATTTTGGCCCTATTTTGAATTGCAGCGTTGAACGCGGTGCAATTTTGACCTTGCGTTTATCGAAGTGTGGATTTGGACTTTCGTTGTCTTGTGTGTCGATCGCTCTTTCCTCATTTCCATAACGATACACATGCCGTTCTTCTTTCACAGGCGACGAGCCTGTGTCAAAATCAGAGTTATCGGCGGTCTCGTCGCCGTCTTCGAGGGCCATGTTCATTTTCTGAGCGGCTCTCTGGCCCGCTTTACGGCCAAAAGACATTCTTCGAGCTCTGGGTTGAACCCGAGTTTTCGTGTCAGACTCATTGGTCTCCTCTTGGTACTGACCGTGAATCATTCACACTGTTTGATGATATATATCTATATATCTGAATATTGAAGTCTATGTAAGTATCTTTGGGCGCTAAAAACTGTCGGTAAACCATAGAACTATTTCTTAACCGCGCGTTAAAACGATGTACCGTATGGGCCCCGGTAACGGGGACTCCTGATACGAGGTTTAAAACTGGTTTAGACTGCTACTTCTTGTCTACTTCTGATATGAAGTGTATTGTACATAATCTCCAGGTAATTGTTTTTTCTTGAGTCTTTGTGACACCTAGCGTCAAGAAAAGGTAAACAATCGAGACGACCCGCTAATCATCGCTTTAACATACCACTAAAGGTGGCAAGCTGTCCGATAAAGCTTCTCAGGTACTGTTACGATGACTTCGGAGGCTCATTGAGCGGCTTCCAGCTTGGCCTGTTGAAGAGTTTCAAAATTCATAACACAAAAAATTAGCCGCCCAGGTCACGCGACACATACACAAAAACAGAAAAGCATGTGATACGGAATTAGAGAATTATGAATTCCTTCATACGTAGATAGCGACTGACTTGAAAATTTTAAGTGATGAGATGAGATGAGATGAGCTTACGCCCAGGAAAGCGATGAGCTACAGTGACTTTTGTAGATAAAACAGTTAAAAGTTCAATCCCTCACAAGGCTGTCACACCGATACCATTGGAGTTGTTTGTTTCTGAAGCGCACTTTAAGTCTACGCTACCAAGGTGAAGAATAAAGCTTTTCAAGGAGCCCATATTTAGCGACATCTTTCTCGAGAACGCTGACCTCTTCACATAAAACGACCAAGCCTCCAAAACAAAATGGCCAAGAAAGCGATCGACTCCAGAATCCCATCTCTCATCAGGAATGGTGCTCAGACGAAGCAAAGAAGTTTCTTTGTGATTGTTGGCGACCGGGCTCGTAACCAGCTGCCTAATTTGCATTATTTGATGATGAGTGCAGACTTGAAGATGAACAAGTCAGTGCTTTGGGCATACAAAAAGAAGCTGCTGGGCTTCACTTCCCATCGCAAGAAGAGGGAGACCAAGATCAAAAAAGAAATCAAGAGAGGCACCCGTGAGGTCAACGAACAGGACCCTTTTGAAACTTTCATTTCAAACCAAAATATCAGGTACGTCTACTACAAGGAAACCGAAAACATTTTGGGTAACACGTACGGAATGTGCATACTACAAGATTTCGAGGCTTTGACGCCGAATTTGCTGGCCAGGACTGTGGAAACTGTTGAAGGTGGTGGTATTGTCGTGATCCTATTGAAATCCATGTCGTCTTTGAAGCAACTGTATACCATGTCCATGGATGTCCACTCCAGGTACCGCACAGAGGCCCATAACGACGTAGTGGCACGTTTTAATGAGAGATTCATCCTTTCTTTGGGATCGAATGAAAACTGTCTGGTCGTAGATGACGAACTCAACGTCCTTCCGATCTCTGGCGGTAAGAATGTGCAACCGCTTCCTCCAAAAGACGATCAAGAAATATCGCCCCGAGAGCAAGAATTGAAAGACTTGAAAGAATCGTTGGAAGATGTACAACCTGCTGGTTCTCTTGTCGGACTATCCAAGACTGTGAACCAGGCGCAAGCCATTCTCAACTTTATAGATGCGATCTCAGAGAAGAAACTCAACTCTACCGTGGCTTTGACAGCCGGAAGAGGAAGAGGTAAATCTGCTGCCCTCGGTATCGCAATTTCTGCCGCCGTATCTCATGGTTACTCTAACATTTTCGTGACATCTCCATCGCCGGAGAATTTGAAAACTCTCTTCGAATTCATTTTCAAAGGATTTGACGCTTTGGGGTATCAAGAACATTTGGACTATGATATCATCCAGTCCACAAATCCTAGCTTCAACAAAGCAATCGTCAGAGTAGACATCAAAAGGGGCCACCGCCAAACTATCCAGTACATTGTGCCCAATGACAGTCATGTATTGGGCCAAGCAGAGCTTGTGGTTATAGATGAGGCAGCTGCCATTCCTTTGCCGGTTGTGAAAAACCTTTTGGGTCCGTATCTAGTATTCATGGCATCCACAATCAATGGTTACGAAGGTACCGGAAGGTCTCTTTCGCTAAAGTTGATCCAGCAGCTTAGAGACCAATCTAACTCCTCTGGTAGGGAGTCATCAGAAACTATGGTTGTTTCTCGTGATAGTAGAAAAGCTGAGCAACATGTGTCGGGTCGCACATTAAGAGAAGTTATCCTGGATGAACCAATCAGATATTCCCCAGGAGATCCAATGGAAAAATGGCTAAACAAGCTTCTCTGTCTGGATGTAACATTGATCAAAAACCCTCGCTTTGCTGCCAGAGGTACCCCGCACCCTTCAGAGTGCAACCTTTTCTTGGTGAACAGAGATACTCTTTTCTCATACCATCCAGTCTCGGAGTCTTTCTTGGAAAAAATGATGGCTCTGTACGTGGCCTCCCATTACAAAAACTCTCCTAATGATTTACAACTGATGAGTGACGCTCCTGCACATCAGCTCTTTGTTTTGCTTCCTCCGATAAATCCTAAGGATGGTATAAGAATCCCAGATCCGTTGGTGGTTGTTCAAGTCGCATTGGAAGGTGAGATCTCAAAGGAGAGCGTCAGAAGCTCACTATCGCGTGGTCAAAGAGCTGGCGGTGACTTGATTCCATGGCTGATATCTCAGCAGTTTCAGGACGATGAATTTCCAGGTCTCAGTGGTGCTCGTGTGGTTCGTGTGGCAACTAACCCTGAGTATGCATCCATGGGGTATGGGTCGCGAGCCATTGAGTTACTGAGAGACTATTACGAAGGTAAGTTCACAGATTTGAGTGAAAACTCAACCCCGAAGGTACATGAGATCAAGAGAATCGATGATAGAGATCTCGCCAAGACCAATCTGCTGAAAGACGATGTGAAGTTAAGGGATGCCAAGTCACTTCCACCATTGCTTTTGAAACTTTCAGAGCAAGCACCACAATACCTACATTACTTAGGTGTTTCCTATGGGCTGACAAGTCCGCTGCATAAATTCTGGAAAAGAAACAATTTCATTCCAGTGTATTTGCGCCAAACGGCCAATGATCTCACTGGTGAGCACACTTGCGTGATGCTTAATGTGTTAGATGGGAGGGAATCTCACTGGCTAACGGAATATGCAAAGGATTTCCGCAAAAGGTTCTTGTCCCTTTTGGCTTACGATTTCAGTAAGTTTACCGCTGTTCAAGCGCTGAACGTCATTGAGAGCACCAAGAAGGCACAAGAGTTGAACGTTGAAACAAAACCAGAGACTGCCTTGACCAGGGAATATCTTGACTCGATACTTTCACCTTTCGATATCAAGAGACTCGACAGCTACGCCAACAACTTGCTGGACTACCACGTTATTGTGGACATGCTGCCAATGTTGGCTGCTCTTTACTTCAGTGGCAAAAGTGGCCAAGGCGTGAACTTGTCGAGTGTTCAGGGCGCTATTCTGCTTGCTGTTGGTTTACAACACAAGAGCCTGGATGATATTTCCAAAGAGCTGAATTTGCCTTTCAACCAAACTGTTGCCATGTTTGCGAAGATCATTCGTAAGTTTTCGGTCTATTTCCGGGAGGTTTTGAGCGCTTCGATCGAGCAGACTTTGCCGGAATTGAAAGACGCAGAAGTTGAAGAAATGGATGGTAACGAAGTCCAGGCTTTGGATGCTGCCGCAGCTCTCGACAAGATGGACGACGAGCTTGAAGAAGCGGGAACCCGTGCCAATGCACAACTTCGTGACAAGCAGCGTGAACTTATCAACAATTTGAACTTGGATAAATACGCTATCGACGACAACACAGAGGAATGGGCCGATTCCAAAAAAGATTTAGACCGTGCTGCCAAATCCAACGGCACTGCTGCTGTCAAATCTAACAAGAAAAGAAAGACGGAAAGCTCCCAAGAAATCTACAACCAGGAGATGAAGGCCTTGAACAAAGCCAAAAAGAAGTCCAAGAAATAAGGTCGAAATCAATGAAACTTCAAATAAAATAGTAACAATTACAATGTCAAATGCTTAAATGGACTCTTTCGGGTTCTTTCACGAGTGGACCGGATCTTCTGGTACCCATTTTACTATTTAAGTTGTGTATAGGTAGTCCTGTCTTCTCATAGCTGGTGCCAGCATCGCTATCACGTACTAAATGCGTGATGAAAAATTTTGAGAATACTATAATTCAACTAAGTTGACATCTTCATCAATTCGCATCACGATCAAGTCGCCAACATTCTGTTTCAACAAGCTGACCGTTGCTTATTTGCATTACATTTGCTTACAGTTTAGCGGCTCATTCAAACTACACAAGATCCAGTCATAATGGTTGAATTGACCGAAGTCAGGGAAGACAACAACACCAAGGTTTTCGAACAAGAAAGAGAGATTCCAGCAGGGTTTTCAACTAGCAACAACAACGAGGGCGTTGCAGAACAAGATTCTTCAGATGAATACTCGAGTGACGAAGAATACGATGAAGAAGAGACGTTTTTGGAAAGAATCAGCGCCTTGAAAGATATTATTTCTCCTAAGCACAGACAAACGGTTTCTAAAATCTTCAATACTTCCGTTGCGGTGGTTAAAAGTGCATTTTCCAAGAGTGGTAACGTTGCCTGGGCTGTCACGACTTCTGCCCTTCTTCTAGGGGTCCCCCTCTCGCTTTCGATCCTGGGAGAACAGCAATTGATCGAGATGGAAAAGAGTTTCGACCTACAGAAGGACGCTAACGACATTTTGGTACAAGGAGATTCTCCTGCCGCAGGTGCCGTTGCAGCAACCCCATAAGTGAAACACAAAAAACTTCTGGGAATTTGCGCGACTTCGTAGATGGGGGGGTTTTTATGTCTTTGTTTCTGCTAATGACGGAAAGTAGCTGGGTACTGTGTGATGTGCGGACTGAGATTCTATTCTTTGCCAAAAAACTATTCATTTGCTTCGTCCTATGTACTTAAGCGAGTATTCTAGCCTTGTATATAACTATGCAGCGATTTAACATGCTTGTATCACGAAAACACGTTAGCAGGGTTGCGATTATCTTTACGCCGATTTCTTGGGATGTTTAATCGATAGTGCGTAAATGTCGAGAAAAGAGGTGAATTCGTAAATGACTTCAGTTATGAACATCGCGTGGATACCCACGGTTAGGCCAAACCCAAACCAATTCACAGCAGGCAAAACAATCGACCTTTCGTATTTTAGAACGCGTACCAGCAAAAGCTTGATCACGAACTGCAGAAGAGGGATCACCATGGGGGGATTAATCATGGGGAATTCTTGCTTGGTCAAATGGCATACAATAATTCTTCCCACGGTGAAGGCAAGGGTAAGTCCAATGGAGAGGATAAACGGTAGCGATATAGTCTCTGGATCGACGGCTATCAGCAAAAAAACACTCGCAAAATACCCAAAAAATGGCACCAATCCAACAGTCGCCCAGGTAATTTTTGCCTGTGCTTCCTTGGCCGTAGCACTCTCTTTCTTATAATGATCCACGACGTTTCTTCTCGAGGAAAAGATGTTGAAAAGCAGACCAACGCCACAAACGGCAAAGAGTACATGCACGCTTTCCACTTCGAACGTGAAACCACCGACCTGGATCTTGCAGATCAATTGATGCCACAGGGCTTGGGGGCCAAGAATTCCTGTGAGAATGAAAGACAATACAATCATCAAAATTCCTTCCACTGGGCCTGAAAACTCGCTCAGGAATAGCAGGTGCGTATGATATTCCTCCCAGGTGCTGAGGTAAAAGTTACACAGCAATGCAAATTGCGAAAGGATCATCATAAAAGTCAATCCAGTGCCTACAGTAGAGCAGAATACCATCATCGATAGCGTAGTGTTCAGAGAGTCGATGCAGTGGTCGAAAAGTTCGCCCAATGGACCACTTTGACCCGTCCTCCGTGCATGCTGGCCATCACAGGCGTCAAATGTCTGGTACAGGAAAAGACCGAGTGCATATGTGAAATACGCCCACTTGGGTGAGTTTCCGGAAAAAGTGGGGTCATAGTAGAGAACCGTTAGAACATTGACAATAATGAAGCCCAAACCTGATAATGTGATCAGATTTGGTGCCATCCATAATGGAAAGATTTTGGCAAACTGAGTCCAAAACGGTTTCAAAACATATTTTGTCACCAGCGAGCGGTCCTCACTTTGATACCTGTAATTGACAAAGTAGGATGTTCTTGTTAGAATCTGCGTCTGGAAAAAGGGTAGTTTAAAGACTCATCACTCGTAGCGTCTCTTTATTTGACATACTTGTAAGCTTTCAGATTCTCGAGCTTGGAATGAGGAATGAATATACCCATTGTAGCCGAGCGCTGCAAAGTGTAACTGACGTCTGGAGACGTTCTCTTGACTGTCCAAGATCTGTCAGTTTTAACATCTTGCTCTTGCTTGCGAAAGGAAAAGATCGAAAAATTCCCTGGACCACGAACGCTAGACCTCAGTCGTGTATGGCGACTTATAGATCACGCGATAAAGGCGTGACGTTAATGCGATCACCAATGTGACATTTATTTGCATGTGCTGAGCATCTTGGACACGACCCCCAACAGTTGATCATTTTCGCAGGCCGCTGCAATTCGTTCTTTGTCGTTCAGTTGCTTGTTGACTTGATTTTCGCTTTGGTGTGAGCCCTGTTTGAGTAAAATTGTGATTCTGTAGCGTGCTGGAAGCGCTCGTTCTAATCTGACGCGAATGCCAAGTCCTATCAGCGTGGCCAGCGAGCAGTGTGTGATAGTGGGGGTGATTTTCACAACAACTTCTGAAATCTTGGATTTATCTGTGTTTTCATGCACTTCTATGTCGGGAAGGTTGACAACGGCCAGCTGGCCCAGCGTGAGTGGGTGTTCTGGGTCCGATATATAAGCAATCAGGTCGTATATTTCTTGGGCGTCGATTGGGTCTTCATCCTCGCCACCATCGTATTCCTCAATTTTCGCCTCTGTCACCACTGCCATGTCTTTGTCACTGTAAAGCACCTCATGCGCAAGTAGTCTGTCCACCAGCTCCACACTGCGGTATACCTGACTATTGGAGCTTCTGTGGATGCTGATAAGCTGCTTTCTGCGCTCACGGTTTGCACTAGTCAAGTTGGTATCCCAATTAACATCGGATTTGTCTTTGAAGCGAGAGGGGAGAAGGTTTTCGTCCAAAACATCGGGGTTCTCGTTGATAAACTCACTCATAGTATGTTTAGCTAAGTTGAAAGATGGCCAATGTGGTACTTAAAGGCTCTCTTGGTCCTTATTATCTTTGTTTGAACGATTCAGTTCGTTGGCCCATTAGTAACAGTAAGACATCATTAAAGATAACTTTATATAAATACTTAACTTGTTGGGCCTGAAAGATAAAGTATATATATAGTCGAGGTATCGGCGAAATGACAGCTCAAAAGGTGCTTTTAGTTGGGATTAGCGGATGCTCATCAAGCGGGAAAACAGTAAGTTTCTTTGAACGGTCTTGGAAGCTTCTCTTTTGACTCTGTTTTCTAACCTTTTTCAATTGATCTTTTAGACGTTGGCTAAACTTATCACGAAGTTTATACCATCAGCTGTGTTGCTCCATGAGGATGACTTTTTCAAACATGATGAAGATATTCCGTTTGACGAGAAGTTCCAGGTAAGTAACTGGGACTCTCCAGATGCGCTAGACCTACCTCTGTTTCGTAAGGAGCTCGATTACATCAAGAAAACTGGTAACATTTCTACACAATTGATACACAACGATAACCACGATGGTAATGCCGATATCGCACTAGATAAATCTACGCAATGCAAGATCGAGGAGACGTTTGCCGCTGCTTTTCGGAACTCCAATGTGAAGGTTGTCATTGTTGATGGGTTTATGATGTACCACGACCAAGAGCTTTTTGAAAAATTCGACTTGAGAGTCTTGATAAGGGCTCCATACAGTACGTTGAAGAAAAGGCGTGCTGCCAGAAGTGGATACAAGACGCTTGAAACTTTTTGGGTCGATCCACCCTTCTACTTCGATGAATTTGTCTACAAATCGTACCGTGACAGCCACGCACATTTGTTTGAAAATGGCGACGTAGAGGGCAAACTCAGGGCGGATTCTGATGTTTACAGCTACAAAAACGATGACGGCGTGGATATCAATGAAGCCCTGATTTGGCTTTGTGATCGGATCGTTACATTGCGCTGAATGTATAATGCCTGATCTAAAGTTTTTCTTGTCGCGCGCGCCCGCTATTTGTGAAAATGGCGACAGAAAACAGAGTTAAGTGTTGTAACCACCTTTGTTCGATCCCAACGTTGATTTCGACTTCAAAGTATTTGAAGAGAAATGCCGCTGTTTTCCGCTTGGAGGCCGGAGAGTATAATAAAATCCATTTGCTCTTCGCCCCTCAATGTTCACAAAAATGATTTGGGTCTAACCTTAGACCTTTCATATATAACCAACCAGCTCATTGTGTGCTCCTATCCAGTAGTCAGCTACCCCAAGCTACTGTACAGAAATAGTCTCAGGGATTTGGTGTCGTATCTGTCCTTATACCACGGATTTGGAAATTGGAAGATTTACAACTTCAAAGTAGAGCGCGGGGGTTCTGATTACAGTGATGAAAATCTGGCTTCGGCCTTAACCGAACATAGTCCCTCATTGAACAGCCCAGAATCATTCTCTCACAATTCGTTCTCCCAAGGAACCTGGTCAAGCAGCTCGCCAAGAGAGGGATCTACATTCTCATTTTCCGCCCTTTCACCAAATTCAAGCCTTTGCATAGAAAGATTCGGGTGGCTTGATCATTCCCCGCCACCTTTTTTACTTCTGCAGCAGATTGTGGACGACGTGCACGAATATCTATCTGCAGATCCCAATCGAGTAGCTCTTTTGCACTGCAAGATGGGAAAAGGTCGGTCTGGATCAATCGTTGTTGCCTACCTTATGAAGTTTATGAATTGTTCATTACGCGAAAGCCGTGATATTTTTATGAACAACCGCTTTAGAGCTGGCATAACCCGCGGCGTCACCATAAAATCTCAACTAAGATACCTCAGTTATCACGAACTGTTTCTGCACTTGGGTCAGCCAACTGAAAGGTCCGACATCCTCACCGAAATAGCTCGATCTCGTTTCAGAATCACCAAAATTGACTTCTTAAATCCGCTTCCGCACTTGGGCCAGGATCTCAATAGCTGTAGCATAGTCGTGAGAGTACATGTGTACAACCGCTCGCGCAATGGGTTGTATGAGCTCCTCGAAACCGATTGTGACGGAGTATTTCACGACGAGAAACTGCATCGACGTAAAACTTCTGTCACTGTAGATACCTGTATGTCAGGAAGTGATGTGCGATTTTCCTTCGGGTTGCGGTTCAGAAATAACGAATTTATTGACAACGTTACTCAAATGACGTCTATTTCTCATTGTTGGCTGAATCTCTACTGGGAGACCCTCATCTGCAGCAGGAACGAGTCTGCGTCGAGCTATACATTAGAAGAACTTCGGAGTGAGCAGAATCGCAGTCGAGATGGCAAAAGTTTTGCACTATTCACTATAAAGTGGGATGACCTGGATGGCGTCAAAGGCACTTCAAACAAAGGTGTCAAACTTTTTGAGTCCGTGACGTTACGTTGGCAACTTTTATAAATCAGAAAGAAGTATAGCTTCTCTACGTAAGCGAATAGAATGCAAATGCACTGAGCGAGAAAAAAAATGAAAGATCGCTTCCAATAAACTGAAGCCGTGAGAACCATTGTGGCATGTAGTTTAATAATTCTTTTTCCTCAGCTTCGACTTTGTCGAGCTCTTTCGATTCGTTTTTGCAGAGTTGCCTGAACGGTTTCGATGGCCACCTCAGATGGCCTTATTGGATCCTTTCTGAAGCTATTTTTCTGCGGTTTTTCTCCTATTACCTCCAGACTTTTTACAAAGCTTAGCTTGATGATTTTAAACTGCTCCAATGCGCTGGATCCTTTTTTCGCCTCTCGAAGCGTCATGGTGTTATTCGAAGAGTTGTAAGAATAAATACGGCCCACGGTCACCGTGTCGAGAACATTGGTGACCTTGACTTTGAAGCCGAGAACATGTTCGAGGCTGAAGCTCATCACCGCTGTATCTTGATGGATCTTCAATGGAAGTTTTCTCAGTCTCTTCTTCAAGGCTACATTCAGCTTTTTATATATATCATCATCATAAAGGAAATCGAGTTGTAACGAAAATCGTCAACTGTGCAACAACTCTCAAGATTTGACCGATATGTCAACAAGGCATTTGATGTAGATTTCGATAGAGGCGTCAGGTTGTTAGAATGGGGAATGTAGAGGCTCTTTCAGAATGCTGATGGTGTGTTTTTTTGCCCTAACAAGTTTTTGTAGAATAAAGATCGAGACGAACGTTTATCAAGACAGTTGATGGATGTTGAACTCTAGTGTTGGGAAACTAAGAATTAGCTTTTATTATCCTCTCCAATTGACCAGTTTTGTATAGAACATCGGGACTCAAACTGTAGCTATAAGGAAGCCACACCTTCAATGGTGCAATAGCTGAAGGCAGATCGTCGTTGTCAGAGCTCCTTCGAATTCAATGTGTTGAGCCGCATCCATGAATCTTATAAAAAAGCCAACTAGGTCACAAAAGAAGGTTTCCAACTGACTGGTGGCCTCTAGAATAGCTGAACGTAAATTTAAACTATCAGAGAGCTGTATACTCCATTTTACAGCTTCCTCAAGATCCCGCAGCCTAGACTTTACTGAGTGGGAAAGGAAAACACCTACTGAGATTGTTGCAATTATGAGCCAAACGCGTAACAGATCAAGACTTGTAGGCTACTTGCTTCTATGATAGCTTGGCGGATAAGTGTGTTTCTGTTCTAGACAGCGTAATATTCAGATATCATTTTTTGTATTAAAACGTCTAATCGGCTCTTGGAAACAAAACTATCTAAGACGAGCTGCCTCGTTGCTGAACAAAGCTGTATTCAAGATGCCAGATGGCACGAAAGGCAGGTCTCCTGTGATGAGATCCATCTCTTCCAAGGACTTGCGGCGCAGAAGTTCTCACAGAAACGGATTTTTAGCAGTTGATGCCTCAGCTGTACACGAAAAAGACAGCGTCAACGAAGGAGCTCATGAAGCAGAAGAGCATTTACTACAAGACCTGGACAATATACTGAACAAGAAACTGCATCTTGGGGAATCGAGTCCTAATGGTGGCAGCTTGCGCGGATCTCCCATTTCGTTATCCCCTCCAAGATCTCCAGGTGAACATCCAAACGGTGAAGTCCCCACGAATGACCTGGATCCCGATGCACTGCAAGACCAGGAAGAGGAAGAGGATTTTGCAAACGTGGATGAAATAGACGGGCCAATTTCACCTTCGTCGAGCTCTGGAAGTCTCAAGGACATTGCCAATAGCCATCTTCACAAGAACGTGGACACTTCACCCAACCGTGATATCGATTACAACCTTCCTGTCGACAAAGACTATCAGAATCAGTTGAATAAGCGGGCCGAACAACTCGAAAATGGCTTATACAACCATCAACCATCAAAAGCAGCGCTACAATGGTCAATGCAGGATTTCTACTCTCTGTATGAAGAACTCCCCGATTGGTTCTCTTTTGCCGACTATAGGTACCTAGAATCTATTAAATCGTGCTTTGACAAGCGCTACGATGCAAAGAGGTTCGTGGAAGATCCCCTTTATGCTGAAAATGTGGTGAGTCAACTTGTGGAAAAAACCAAAGCGAACAGTTCAGAGCCAGCTTCGTTCCAGTCATTAGCATATATATCCATGGGGCTTTATGGTTTCCAAGAGACGAACGAAGCTCACATAAACACGATTCGCTATGCGAACATTTTGTTGATGCCCTTTGTGTCAAGTCTATCTGAGATTTTCATGGCTCACGGAACGTCCTGTCGAGATAGTCAAGACCACTTGAGACACTACACAGATCTGTTCTTCCTATCCGGTACTATTCTTTTTTTTGTTATCAGTGTCGCCATTGAGGGTAGAGATGACCCGATCTTGACGTCGACAACGGAAACTGTGATGAAAGATATCGACATGGCTAATCTGCTCAACTTTATCGTGAAGTACATCGAACACTGGAGGTGGAGCAGTAGACTTAGTATGAGAATCAGAAACGTTATAATGCTCATGCATCGCCTTATACTACTTCAATTTGGTGAAAGGAAAAGGTATGGTCAAGTCAAAAAGTATGTGAAAAGAAAGCACCAATGCAACACCGAGGCGGGTCGCCCAAATAAACTTAACATCAGTCCTTTGGACTATTATGCTTTCCGGGAAGACGTTTCGGCTCGCTTTCCAAGCTTTACTCCTCCACCGTCCGATATCCCTGCCAGCTTTGACAACTCGAACTCTCTTTCTCAATTTTTGGAAATACCAAGGCCCAAGTCCAGAAGCTCTTCAAACATTAGCTTGAGCGCTCCTGAATACCATATTGCCACCCCTATGCCCTCACCTTCTTCTTCCCCCACTCAGCGTGAAAGAGGAAACTCCAAGTCAAGAAAATCGTTTCAGACTAACTTGGCATATCCTTCCTTATTCCCTTTTGAAAGTGCTGACTCTACCGATAGTGTTATAGCAGAGAGACTTTTCTTGCCCGAAGATTCGAGAGCAGCCGAAAATGTCCCCTACAGTGTTGTCGAGGCTGCTCGCATTTTGCATGACAGCATGGAGATTAAGCTCTCGACCCGACAACTATGGCATGAGCGCGAGCTTTTTATGGCGCAAGAACGTGGCTGGGGCTCTACTGACAAATTTCCGGATACCAAAAAGTATTTCTACGACGAAGACAACTGCTCTGAGGCACAAACAATGTGTCGCATTGAAAAATTCTACAAAGATGCATTGCCTCACTTTAGTTCGCTCGTGTATGTGCTGCTGCAGACGATAGAAACCAACATTTACAACCGTGTTACCTATCTTGACGACGCGAATGGTGATTGGGACAAGATAAAAGGCGCTTCTCAGTTGGAAGTGACCAGATCAAAAGAGGTAGCGATGAAATCTGCTAGCTCAATTTTGTTCTTGATGACGAGATGGTTCAAGTTGAGCCATATACTCAAGTTTGAACACCTTTGTGTTATTCTCCACGACTATAAGCTCATCAACACTGCTACGGGCCTACTGAACACCTTCACAGACAGAAATACGGATCGTGCTCTTGGGAAGACAGTTAAAACACAAATGTCGTTCTGGAAGGCGTGCTCCACATTCAACGCGCAATACACAGAGAGCTTTCACACCAATGCTGAGGCAGCGATGGTCCCCAACATTGACTGTCGCTTCCTGAACACTGAGGTTTACATGCTACGATTGCTGAGCCAGGTCACGAGAGACAAGACGCAGAGACTCAAAGAACTGCCTCTATCCATTGGTTCATTGCTCAAGAAGCTTTATCAGCTTTTCAATCCTGAAATCTTTCATCCAATACTGAAGATTACGCAAGAGTTAACGCCTTTCAAAAACAAAAAATGGAAGTCAGAGCATATGGATCTGATCTCCGGCGTGTACCTGTACAACAAACTGAAGCTCAGCGACAACTGGGTCACTGGTAAAGACATAGCAGGTGAGCTTAACGACGCCTGCGGTCAAGAAATAGCCCTGCGTGCTCTGCTTCAATTCTACAATTTCGTGCACTACAAGCAATCCGTTGAACACTTGGGCTATTCCGACAAAAGAGACAGCTCATTTTTCGGCAAAGAAGCCGAATCATTGACAGCAGCTCGCTAAGCTCATATTTACCATCCGAGCGCCTGAGTCCGTCAAGTTCTCTTCTTACCATGACTTTTTGATATGGTCACGTTTCTGGTGATGCTGTTTTTTTGACGATGATGATATTGATGATGATGATTTTGATGACTGTGCTAATAAATAAGCTCTGTTTACCATTTCATCTTTGTATCGAGAGAAATGAGGAACTTTGATCCTTTCAGATAGAAAAATCGGGAAAACACAGCCACCGAGCAGGTGTGATGATTCTTCGGACTGAAGTGTCACTCATAGTTAATGAACTGATAGGTATGAGTCTACCGGACTCGGTAGTGAAGGCTCTGGATGATGAAATAGGCAGGATGATGGGATCTCCGCCTGTGAACACGGAACAGATTGCTCGGCTGGTGAAAAAGTATAAAAGCAGTTCCGTACCATCGCCTGAGAACCAATCGCGGTGGCAAAAGCTCGAGAGCCTATTACAGCTGGTAGCAGCATCGCCAAACGAAGAAGAAGCCCTCACTTATCTGCGGCTAGCAAGAACGATGATGACACCATCATCTCAAAAGCATCAGCCGGTGTCAATTTCCTACAAGAATAGTGGATCTTTACTGAACAGCCATGCTTTGGAAGACCACGATCATATGATGACGCCCGTCCGGAACCCTAGCTACTCGCCTGGATATGCAGAGTCTTTCGAAAACATTGATCGGTATTCTGACAGGCGGTCGATGGTATCTTCAAACTACGGTCGGGCTCACTTAGACCGGACTACAGCCCTTTCAAGCCTTTCAGACCCTTATTTCAGCAATATAGCCAAAGAAGAAGACATGCTGAAGTCCTTCTTCTATACGCTACTGGCTACAACCTCCCATATGTTTACCTTGGATAGTTCAGGCATACAAATTCCAGAGAATGTCCTCAATGGAGAAAGTGGGATGCTCCACATCCTTTCTGAAGCTGGTCTTCTTTATAATTTTCTCGAAAAGCAGGTCCAAACTCACAGACATAAATCCCAAGAGTTATCACCTTTGAAAATCGCACTCCTAACCTGCATAGATCAGAAGCTGCATGACTACATGGTAGGGGTGAACAAAATGTCTAATGAATCCCATATTAACTCATTAAAGTCCCTTTACGTTGAGATGGAGGACTGGATAATCGAGCTCCGCATCTACCATAGCCTCATGGTACGAATTCCAGAGTCAAGAGGTGACGATTTACTTTCGCATGTTTACGACCTTCGAAATCACGGAAACCCTTTAGTAAAACGTGTGGCCGAGTCACTATACAGCTCGCTCGCACTCTTGTACTATGACTATCTAACCAATTGGTTGATTGCAGGTCAAGTGGATTCACATCATGAATTTTTCGTGGAACAGCTTGAATTGTCAGAACAAACATCTTTCAGGCTGAACATAGAAAGGATTCCAACTTTTATGCCCGTGGCTACTGCCGAAGAGATTTTTGTCATTGGTAAAACCTATCTATTTCTGGTAAAAGAATGCACAGAAATCCAATGGGTGAATTCTTGCAATCAAAAATACACTCAGATGTACCAAAATTTGAAAACGGGTGAAATATCCACACAGTTCTGCGAAGCCGTGACCAGTCACTACGCTGAGGTCACAGCGTATTGTAGGAAGGTTTTGGACATGAAGTATAGCTTTCCCGATGTTCTGCGCATGCTAAAAAATGTGCTTCTCATGGGAAAGGGAGATTTTATGGAGCGGATGATTGGTAATTCTGCTGAATTCCTTCAGGAGTCATCGGCAACATTGCCCAGCTTTAAGCTCACTCGATGTTTACAAGAGTCTATCAAGCAATGTTCCCTGAGGTTTATGCTCGGGACTCCCCAAACAAGAAAACTGGTTGATGGCATCGACGCGCGGGTTTTGGAACTTGGTCATGGCTCCATTGGGTGGGACGTTTTCACGCTAGATTACCTGGCCCAAAAACCTCTCTTGACGATTTTCGAGTTTAGCCGCACAGGTGGGCGAAAAGAATACTTGCGAATGTTCAACTTTTTATGGAGGATCAAAAAGAACAACTATTTTCTTCATGAACAGTGGTCAAGAAACAACACTTTGCTACGAGATTTCAGACGGCTGGGTCAGGGGAAACCTTTCGTCAGGGATGTTTTGCGCAAAATTTCTAAGGTCAATGTTTTAAAGTCCAACGTTCAGCATTTGAATCGTAAAATAGAAAACTTTTGCCTTCAGTCAATTGTCGAAAAGAACTATTCGAAACTGAACACTAAAATACACACTGATAATGCGTCAACGGACAGGGGCGCTTTGAGAACGACTCATACGAAAAACGGGATAAAAGTGGCAGAAGGAATTTTAAGACCTAAAAACATACTTTTGCAACGGGCTGGTCTTAACGTGGGCACAAATTCTCACAATTTCTCATACAATATAGATGATTTGCGGCGAATTCATGATGAATATCTGCAAAGCATTGTCACTCATAAGCTCCTTGATTCTACGTCACCCGAAAGTAAAAGAGGACTTTTTACAAAGCAGTTTTACCCTTCCTCACTTATTATACTGCTAGGTGAGGTTTTCGAGTTTACATCACAATATTCTGAGTTCAACGACATCATTCACGACCTATTACTGCGTTTGAGCTTACACAGTAATGATGAAGTATCAAAACTACTGAGCAGATTGAACGAGCTTTTAAGCAAGATTGTCGCCCATTACAAGTGGATTCAAAAAACATCATACTACTTCATCAAAGACTTGAAAGCAGATGGGAACACGGAGTTATCAAACCTAAGTAAAATTTTAAGATAGGTTACAAGCATTTCATTTTAAATCCAACTGATGCATTATATCGTCCGCAAAGAAAGTGATGTTTCATTCTTTCTATATCTTTTTATGATGGAACATGCGTCGAAAGAAGAACGATACTTTTGGCTGAGAATATCTCGAATAAAAAGCATGCTTTAACATCAATTCGTTCGTTGATTCTGCCGAACTTGCCGGATCTTTATGCGCCTCAACCAAGGCTCTTTCAACCTTATTGAGAGCCTCTCCAAAGCGTAGCCTGACGATTGTTTCGCGTAAAAGTAGTATCAAAATCAAAGCCACAAGAAAACACAACCCTGAAAAGATCTGAACATATAGGTAAGGATTTCTTTGATTCTTACTCGAGACTAATGCCTGTGCTATAACTTCGGACAGTAACAAAAACGGAGACGTGAACGTATTGCAGTAACCCCAAGCGGGAAGAAAGTCTTCAGCGCCCGAAACGTCCGCTATAAGCACTATGTTCATAACATTACCAACACCGATACATAAACCGACGCATATGCAAAACATGACGAGTTGAACAAACGTGTGTGCAGTAATCCAAAAAGCAAACAGGAATATTATCAAAACGGTGGTAAGTACAACAGTAATGTTAACACGACCGTACCGATCACCGATTACTCCAATGGACGGTCTACCTAAACACTGAGCAGCATTCAAAATGACAGTGAGAAGAGAACTTTGTTTTGAAGAGAGTCCACGGGCTAAACCATACGGCGACAACGTGAAGATCATCAAATTGTAACCAAATAATGCAAAAGTGCTCCACAAAGAGATCAAGTTGATTTTGTAAGCTTTCGCAACTCTCCACTGAAAGATTAAATCAATCTGTTCCTTGATAGCCTTCCATGACTTGAATCCCACGGGCGTGGTAGGCACCCGTTGACGTAGAAGTAAAGTGGCCACGGCGCAAACACTAGCACACACAATGGCCAACATTCGAAGCGCCCACCGCTGATCGCCAGTCCTTGTTATCATTTCTTGCGCCGCAATTGAGTAGATGACACCGCCAGCGCCAGTACCAAGTAAAGATAATCCAAAGGCCGTGGACCGTTTCTTCAGGAACCAGCCTGGTAGAATTGTAGTCGCAGGAACAAAGACAAACGCGATTCCCAAACCAAATAGGACACCCTGCGTTAGATACAGTTGCCAAAGTTTAGTGGCAAATGAGGCCAAAAAAAACCCTGCGAAAAGAAATATCACACCTAGCGACATAGTTGGTTTGAAACCGACGACTCTTGCTAATATCATTGCTGTTGGTGCAAAACACTGGCCGCCAAATACGCTGAACCCAGCTATGAACGCATAATCATATTTGGTAGCTCCAGGAAAAGCATTTGTGCTCAAATAGTATGCAAGAAAAATGCCAGATCCAGCACTGGCTCCCCAGGTGCATAAAAACACCGCTGTCAGACACCCACAGCAAACCCAGCCATAACCCCCATCGGGCGGAAGACTGAGCCCTCCAGTTGAGCGATTTGTGAAAACTTTTGAGACCACAGATTGTGAAGCACCAGCATCTGGTAGACTCAGTGTTTCATTGCCTTGCAGCGATTGAGACGACAGATTCTCGGGAATTCTGTTGGTCTTTATTCTATAGGCATCTTCTAGTTCAAATTGGTCTACCAATAGACGATCAAGGTCTTTAGCATTTTTGTCACCAGGACTTAAAACATCTCTCGACCGGCGAGTCTCCGACTTCTTCGAAGCGCTATTTGGAGGAATACCAGCTTCCACATCATTGTCTTTGCTTCTTCTGGAAACATCGCTTGTCCAAGTGTTGGCGGAACTGAGCGATGTAACCTCACTGTTTGAGGACACCATACTACAATACAGCTACAAAGAAACGATCAAAACGAATGATACTGCTCACTGCATAGACGTGTGGCGAGGAAGGCCAGATTTATCTAGTGAAAAGGTTTGGTTAAAGGTAGTGTATGTCGAGCTGATGTCAAAACGATGACTATAATTGGATAATAAATCGAATTATCTATCACTAGGCGACGACACTAAATAACCGTTGCCAAGAAATTTTTTGGACAAGGCAGTGAAATGCAAAGGGCAGATTATAACAGCTTTGCCTGGAATCAAAGAACCCGGTGCTCAATTTGAGGAAAGAATGCATCGAGTGGCGTGCAATCCTTTCCCAGGATTGAGAGTCAAATTTTGATCATTGAGATGGTCGGTGTCACGTGACATAGTGACAGCGTCAGAATTGACAAAATGTTTAAGAGACCTGAGTAATAGCTGATAGCCGCAATCCAAAGTGCGGAGCCAGTATTTTTTTTTAGCTATTGCATAGCTAGGAAGAACTGATTAACATGCTTCTCCTCCCCCCCCTTTTTTTTTTAGGTCTAAGAATCATTATTGAGGAGCCCAACTTAGAAGTACGACATCATCATTTGTATACTCTGTGAAACCAGGAAGAACATGCTTATTTAACTGGTCACTCCGGTAGATCAACATATCAGAACACGCCAGTGACTAAAATTTTAGTCTCTACAGCGAATACAAACAAGTGAATTCTTCTTAAATCAAAAAGAAGTACCCACGATCATTGCATTCAGAGAAGCCGTATACCAAAGCTGAGCATGCAGTTAATAAAATCGCAATGTTTGAAAGCTCTTTAAAAGCTCTTATGGCGATTATCGCTATAAGGCCTGGGTGATGCCAGGTGTAAAAGCATATTACAGCCCAGATGACATAAAGGTACAAAGTGATATGGGCTGGTGCTATTCAAAACCTCTGAAGTTGGGTCTCTACGGCGACTTCCGATGGCGGGAAGCACACTGAAGGTAGGTCATGGCAATAGTTCGCATAAATGTTATGTCTTTTACACAATAATCGCTAAGACTGCCAATTACTTCTGTCCAGCAGCGTCTTTAAAATGACAACATACACCTTTTTAAAAATACAAGCGATATGGTCTTTTTATCGAGAATTATTTCCTGGAGTGACACTCTACCATGATGCATTGATCATACGGAATTTTGGTTTGTAAAGCGAGCGAGCTCGTTAATTTTCAGTGCCATAAATTAGTTTTCACCTTAGACTGTACTTTCAAAAAGTTATGCAATCTCTATCCGTAAATTTGAATGGATAGATCGAATTGAATTCGTATGCGTCGTGGCGATGCAATGCCCGGTGACAAACCTATTGCTTCAGGTCAATTTTATTATGGGCGTGGTCGCGTAATTCTCAAAGATCTTACAGTATTGAAAACTGACACAGGAATCTTTGCAGTGGTTCCTCACCACCTTGGGCTTTTGAAAAAATGCTTTTCATATTGCCTTGAAAGTCTTGAAATATGCCCTCACGAATACGTTTGTTTCTCAATCGTTAATCATAAAGCTTGAAAGAATGTAAGATCAACGCCAAAAAACTTTTGAAAAGAAAAACACTCAGCACCCTGGCATTAGATAAAAGACTGATTCTAGTGAAAAGCCTTGATGATGTGCTCGAAAAATGGTTCCATCCAGCTCTTTTATTCTCAGTCTCTCCACTCAACTTCTAACTTTCGGTCATGTGCCTCGTGCATAAAGTGGATTATGCTGTGTAATTTTTCAGCGATGAGCTAGCTGTTCTAACTTACAGCTGTTCAAGGCAGACCAGACCATAGCCTTAGCTGAATCATTCGAGTCTTTTTGATCCGATTGACTGTTGCTAAAGCTTTGTTCAGTGATGAGCACTAATCCTTTCGACGAAGCAGTAAAAAATCCTGACTTCAAAATACAACCTGTTAATGATGATATTGATGTCGCAGACATCAGCAGCGATGAAGATGCGAAACCGGTCGTGAACGTTAAGCAGCATGCTTCAGAGGTGGTTCAGAGTGAACCGAGCAACCAAGCAAGTACAAAGCCGAGCAACGTCGGAGAGCAAACAATAGAGGCCTCCGAACAGTCCCATGATAATGGGTCTACCATTATCAGTGTCGAGAAAGATTCAAAAACACCAGCCTTGGAATCTTCGTCCGGAGATTCGTCTGCTGAATCCGAAGATAGCTCATCGGATGAAAGCTCTAGCGACTCTTCGAGCGAGCAAGTGCCAGTTATGGATGATGATGATGGAGAAGACGATGATGCGGCACCTCAGGGTCCTATCACGTCAAAGAATGAACTCACAGAAGAGCCAGTGTTTGAGATACCCGAAAATTTTGAACTGGCACCAAACGCACTTATCAATGAAATTGGTGTTATCAAGTCGGCGTTCGATCATAATATTATCATACAGTCTTGTAGCTCGGCGGAACAGCGAGTTCTGAAAGAAAACTCTCTGCTGTGTCTCCAAGATCGTCAGGTTTTGGGTCCATTGTGTGAGGTCTTTGGCCCATTGCAAGCACCATTCTATAGGGTTACTTTCCCGAAGTCAAAAACAGAGCTGTATGAGAAATTCTCGCAGCTGAAAGGACAAAAAGTGTTTTATGTTGCTCCAGAAGCACATTGGCATGATACTTTCGAGCTTAAGCGTATGCGAGGTACCGATGCTTCTAATGGATTCGATGAGGAGCTACCAGAAGAAGAGCAGGAATTCTCAGATGATGAAAAGGAAGCCATGCATAAAAAGAGTAAGAAACAATCCAAGAAGCAGAGAGTTGACGGTGCAGATGGTGCAACAAATAACAAGTCTTTTGCAAACAAATTTTCCTCCCGCCAAAAGGTCAAAGGGGATGGATTGGTGGCTGAAAAAGGAGCTGGGTCAGCGGTGAGTTCTTATCGTTCTCGAAGCGCACGTCACGGCGAGCCACCCGCCCCTGAAGCCCGCTCTGTTAATCCGACACCATACGAGAATCGCTCAAGCCAAAACGAAAGAGCTACTCAGTATCAGGAACCACACCATTTGCGCCAACAGCGGGAGCGGGAATACGTGCCTCAAGAGTTTCAAAACTTTCACTCAAGACCGCAGATACAGTCTCCATACTCTCAGCAACAGCCATACAATTATCCCTTCCAGGAATACCAGCGTACCTCTGATCAGCAATACCCCGGTCAGGGCTACACTTCTCAATACAACCACCATCACCTACAGTCCCCATCTTCCTCACCATACCCGCAAACATTTGTTGGAGCGAGCTATCCAGGTCAACATCACACTCAGCCATTAGGATCATATGCCCCAGCACAACCTCTGAATGCAGCTTACCACCCCGCTAATGCCGCTTACAATTCACAATTTGCACAACCTCAAATGGTCCCACAACCTGGCTCTTCTCAGGCTCAAATGGCTCAAATGGTTCAACAACCTGGCGCTCCTCAACCTCAGATGATGCCACCTCAGGGTTACCCACAGCCACAAAGCCAAAACATGCAACAAGTTTGGCAGTTACAACAAATATTAATGGATCAACAAAAACAGCATCAGAATAACCAGCATAACAACGGCCAGCTCTAAACAATTATTCACATTTACCATAGACTCTTTCATGTACATTGGCCGTAACCCATTAAAACTTCTTTAGCATCTTCTAAAGCACTTTTCGGAAAGCCAGCCTTCAGAGCTACTTTGATAGCATCAGACTTCTCGCAAATACCTGGTGTGAGCTTGTGGTCGTACAAGAATGAGTCACCTCCATCATCATGCACAGCGCTTTGATAGTAGCTTACCTGTTCTCGTAATGAGGACTCACATTTCAATTCAATCAGGCTGTGAAGTTCCTTACCAAAGTGCGTTGCAAATAAAGACCTACATCTATTCTTTTCAATGAGGTGCTTCAACGCAGCATAAGCGATGCTCACACCTTCTTTACCGCTTGTGCCTCTTCCAATCTCGTCCAAAATTGCCAACGACCTTGAAGTTGAGCCCTTAAGGATATAACCAGTTTCTATCATTTCTACCATGAAAGTGCTCATTTCGTTGTACAGATCATCGGCTGAACCAATCCGACTGAATATTTTATCAACAATGCCTATCCTTGCAGATTTGCAAGGCACTGGACACCCAATCTGTGCTAGAATAGCTATTATCGCATTCTGTCTCAAGTATGTTGACTTTCCCCCCATATTTGGTCCCGTAATGATCCACAGTTCACCAGCATCCAGATCTGTATCGTTGGGTGTAAATTTTTCGAGCGACCGTGTGGTGAGTGCGTCTTCCACCATGATATGACGTCCATCTTTGATAGTAAGATTGTATGAGGAGTCGACTTGCGGGCTAACCAAGTTTTTTTCTAACGCGAGCTGCGCAAAAGATGCCAAGACATCTAGGTAGTCAAGTGTGTGAGCTGCGCTTCTAATGGCACTACTTTTGGACACAAATTCGCGTTTGAACTCGTCAATTACATTCTCTTCCTCGTTTCTTATTCTGGCTGTTGCGTAGTGAAGCTCCTGTCCCAGATCTACCCAAGATTTATGGCTCAGCCATATTATTTGAGGCGATTTTTGCAAGACGCGGAAGGTGCTTCCCTGAAATTGAAGTCCATCTCTTAAATATCTTGTGATTTCTTTCATGTTAGCCGCGGTAGCTGAAATATGGATTGCATACTCGCTTGTTTGCTTAACCTTTAGTTGCAACGTCCTGGCTTGAATTTTACCTGTAAATGTTTCCATAAGCTCTTTTTTTAGGGTATCACGATTTGCCAACAGGGATTTATAGTGCTGGTGCAAGTCTTGTAGCTTGCTATTAGATTCTGGCCTAACTACCCAAAGAGGCGAGTCGCGATATTGATCAGAGGAATCCCCCGTCCCGTCCTCGTTTTCTGTCGCATCATTCGCTTGAACCTTTTCAAAAGTCCTTAGCTGCTCCTCATCGAGAGAACAATGGACTCTGTCAATTAGGTCTTTGTCGTAAATCAAAGATTGGACCAAGGGTACAAGGAGTTTCTTGGTACCGCTCTTTCTGCCAAAAAGCTCTCTTTCGATGAAAGAACCAATACTTTCGGCTCTTTTCAGCGATTGGGAAAGTTGCAACACCTCAGCAGCATTGCCTTTACCAAATGAAAACATTTGGATTATGCGCGGCATGTCATATGTTTGCTTTAGCAGCCTAATCAAAGCTTCAGTTTTATCAAAGTTTATTCGGAAAAGAGCCACGATCTTTTGGCGCTTATGGATTTCTGATATGTCCAGTGATGGTGCTGAAAGCCACTGCGCTAAAAGTCTACTACCAGACGGCGTCACAGTCCGGCGTATCACCGACAGTAATGAACCCTTCCTAGAATTTGTTCGAAGCGTAGTGTTTAGCTCCAATGCTGAGCTAGTTCTCGAGTCAATCTGCATTATGGAACTAGTCAGTTGTCTTTGTGGAATCTGTAGGTTTACAGCCGTGTCTGGCAAATGCTCTTCAAGGTACAGCAGCGCTTTTCTTAGTGCGGCGATCTCTTTCTGTGTGAGATCTTGCAACGACATGTCCAGCTCGGCGAAATTCTGATTGTGCGTTTCTCCGCAATAGAAGAGTTGGTAAAAAGATCGAATCTCTCGATGGCGCGACGGCAGACGTTGATAGGTAACAAAATATTTCTTCAGCTCCACAAGCTCTGGATACCACGCACCGTTTTCGATACTAAACTTTACCAATTCCTCATCCAAAAGAATTTCTCTGGGTGCTATGCGCACTATTGCCGAAACCACATCTTTCAGAAGCACTTGTAAAACAAAAACTTCGCCAGTAGATATGTCACACCAGCATAAGCCTACTTTCAAATCTAAATCAGCAGGCTTTTGCATGCAGTTTTCAGGGAAATCAAGACTGAGCAGATAAGTGTTTTCTTGTAAATTCTCAAACGCTTCGTCAATAAAAGTTCCTGGAGTAACAATTCGAGTGACTCTTCGTAAAAATCGGTTTGCATCATTGGAGCAGGCGGTTTCTTTTCTGAATTGATCGGCAACCGCAACACTGAACCCATGTTCTTTGACTAAGACTTTTAAATGACGTTGTATTTGGTGAACAGGAAACCCTGCGAAAGCCACTTTCCCATGCACATAGTCGCGACTGGTTAAACTTAGGTTAAGCTTTGGCGCGTAAAGTTCTGCATGTTCGAAATACAATTCATAAAATGAGCCCATTTGTGTTAGCACCACGTAATCTTTGTATTTATCCATAGTATCTCGGACATATTGTAGTGAGGGCGGCAATGAGCTGCTTGTCGTACGAGCACCTCTATTGGCTTTCCTGGAACTTTTAGAAGGCTCCAGCGGCGCATTCGTATCTACACAGAACTCAATCTCACTTTGAGTGTCCTTCAATCTGGTTATAGGCAGTGTGAACTTTTTAACAGTTGTTCCTGCTTTCGAACTGCTCGCGTAGCGAATGGCCCGTTGAAAGTGGACGTTATATCGTACAAGTCTCAAAGCATTGTTCAAGAACATGCAACCCGTTGATGAAGTTACCCGATGACGGCGTTTTGCCTGAGTTGACAATCATAGGTCGAGAGAAATAAAGCATTAGTACAATTCATTCGCTTTTTAAATGAATGATATGCAAAGATGGATGAGCGAAGATGGCCTCACAGAGGGTCTGCACAGAGTTGCTGCGAATATCATTGTGAAACCGGAAACGAATCCTGAACTGCTAAAGACCTATTTACTTGATTTTTATGCTTACACGGCTCATACTATAATGCTTGTCATGAACATGATCAGATTATTGCATTATTCGATGTTCATCAATTCAGGTATCCTTTGCAAGAAGGAGCACCGCAGTGACAGGGAAGTCTTTCTTCATCGTCCATTTCCCTTTCAAATTTGTAGTCGTAAGTCAATTCTTCATTAGCCGCGATGTCCCTCAATGCATAAATAACGATTCTCTTTCTTCCGTCAACTCTAATGATCTTGGCGGTACAGCTGGGCTCACAACAATGATTAATAAACCTAGCAATGCCACCCTTCTTTGTGGCATCGATAACAGTCGACTCGTCGACTCTGAAAAGATAACTCGATCCAATGCCGCACTTCAGATAGGTTCGTTCCCTCATTTCAGCAACCGGTTGACGAAGTATTTCTCCAACATACTCAATAATCATTTCTTTCGCAGCTATGGGCTCTAAAGCATAAAGACCCCAGTTGTGAATGGCAGACCGAGCGAACGTCACCGGCTTTTTCCGCTTTGTTAACTGATTGAGAGTCAGAAGCTCAGATTCTGAGCCTATCATTGCCTTCTGAGCTTCAATGTCTTGTTGAAATCGTCTATTCATTGCCCTATTGACTCTTGAAGAGGTGATCTCCGATGAGTGGCTCTCGGAATCTGGTTTGTCAGTATCTATCCTACCTGCTTCGGTGTGCATCTCCGCACCATCTTGATGATTGTAAACGGTATTGAGCGGCTGATGCAACTTCCTGCGATGTGGTAAATAGCAGTTTTTGAGTCTGTCAGATATCTTTCTAAAACCCCCAGCCTTAAAGCTGCCCGCAGCACTTCTAAGAGAATCATCAAATGCAACCTCATTTGCGCCATTCTGTAGGGCAAGAACCTTCTTATTCTCCCTAGACGCAAGACTCATTTCAAACAACATCGAACTCAGTTTAAATGTTTCCCTCTCGTCGAATGTATCCGCATTCTCGAATTTCAACACTTTTCTCAAAATCGTCAAGTCTTCGTCATCCTTTACTGCATCGCGAAGGTCAACCGCTGATATAGGCCCTGTGCTATCAAACAGGTCAGGTGAGTATACCATGGTAGGACGCTCAGAAGCTGTTGGTCGAAATTTTTCAGAGATCCTCATTAGTTCATCAGTTCTTGAGCTGCTCAACACGAATTTCTCAGCATCCACTTCGGGAGTTGTCGCCTCAGATGATTCATGCTTCGCTCTTTTTCCGGGACGCTCAAAATCATCAGAAGATGGCTCTTCCAAATTTTCAGATCCTTCGCGGACATCATCCGCTTCGGACGAGCTTGAAACCTCGGCCTCTTCGACTTGCGTTTCCAATCCCGATGGAGTATTAGTGCCGGAATCTTCATTGAGTAGGTGTGTCATGGGTTTAACAAGCGTTAGATCTGATTCAGAATCCTTCAAATTTCCTCTTCCAAGTTTTGTGCTCCTGCGGTGCTCTTTTTTGGAATGCGTTTTACTGCTAAAACGCGCACCGTACAAATTAAAAATATCAAATGTAGAAGACTTTGACTGTTGTTCTTGTTTTGTTGCAGCCGCGATGAGTCTCAATTCGTGCTTCTTCTTCTCATCCTCTTCCTTCCTAGCAAGGATTTCGGGGTAGTTTTGCGGACTCAATGCATCAAAAACCGTAGGTCCCACTATTCTCCTTTTAAGGTCCCTGCCAAGAGCCAAGATCAAGTCTTGTATAATACTTTCGGAGGCAGTATTCACAATGTCTTCTATAGAAGCGTATTCTTTTTTAACGCTGTGGTGCGATGCATGCTGACCCCTAGCAGGTGTTGGTGAACTTGACTCTTTCAAAGAAAATCTGATCACAACCGGTTTCCTTCTTTTCCTCGAACTGAGAGTCAAAACTTCAGACTCCACATACATGCATGCCTTAGCATCAGAAATGTCATTGAAAACAATATAAAATCCCGAGCTGTGATCGATGATTCTTGAGAACCTGTACTTCGCTAATTTTATTTTGAAATCCTCAACATTCAGCCCATGTATGGCTATGATCTTCTTGGTTACGAATAGTGATGGTCTCCCTTGAAGTACTTTTTCCAAGTCCGACGGAATCACATTCGTCTTAGGACCTGCTGGCAATTCCTTTACAACGTTCTGTCTCTCAACCTGTCTTCTCAATTTGAGAGCTTGTTTGGCGTTTTCTTCAATGATAGTATTGACAACTTTTGTCGATTGGTGATCGATATTGAGAGCAACGACAAACTTAAAGCCAGATACAAAATAATGTGTATTCTCAAAGGTTTTAGCAGCCTTATATGCAGCGCGATATGGAGCGTCTAGATTTCCGGGTGGACCAGTGTACCTTATGACGTAAACGTAAAGCGGTAATGCATTGCTAGGGTCACTGAAACTTTCAAAATGAGAGATTTCGCCAAAAGTGGAAAAGTAGCTCTTTATGAGTGCATCAGGCACAGTGTTCTGTGAATCTCGAACCATGGGGTACACTACGATCTCGTCAGGTGGCGGCGGTCCCACTGAATGTTTGTCGCGTGTAATGCGAGGTAGTCGTAACAACTGCCTGCGAGCTTTCCTCAACGCGTTTACTCTCGTGGCTCCGCTCCCATTACTCAAAGCTGAAATCCTGGGGTCCTTAGCAGCTTGGTCTGGAGTTCTAGCTTTGAGGACGGCTTTTGGCTTTCCTGCTGATTGTGATTCCTGCACAATCACGTAACCCGATTTCGGGAGGCTCTCAGATTGCCATGTTTGCATGACTCCACGATGCAACAGTTTTTTGACTTGTGGGTCAAAGTAATGATATTGTTCTTTGAAATGCAAGCTATTGTATTTCAATACCGGAGATGGTCGTCGCGTTCTGTTGATAGATTCTGGGGGAGTCTGGGATAGTCTGGATCTACTTGGATAATATGTTTCACCTTTAAACAGTCCTCTATTGCTGTTGTGACCGCCATTAACACCTTCTCGCCAATACGGACGACTGTAACTTTGTCTTTTCCCATACGCGTGAACACTGTGATCGTTATGGTAACGGCTCACGGGACGGTCATACCGCCCATCGTAACCACGACTGTAATCGTCCATCTTGCACCCCTTTACCCCTGAGTCCCGTATTATAGGTGGGTTATCAGCTCTTGAATCCTGTTTCTTGTAAAATGCTTTGGTTGCTGTTCCAGTTGTGATGAGATTGATTATTATTGTCTGAATAAAGATGAGCATTATATAACCCTTTCGTATTTAGCGATCAATTTGAACTTGAGAGTAAAAGCTTGTTTAGCCCGTGCCATACAAACATCACTTTTACTACCAATATCGAGGTCTTCATTCGAGCTGTTGAGATGATTTATCGTTGTGGTGTCTCTTCTCAGATCTCATTACTATGATATGTTAGTTTGACCGCCTTGCAATTATACTAAATCGCCTTGATGAAATATATATATAAATAATATATGTACTGTATTATCAGTGAAGTGCTGAGATGGACTTTTAAATCCTCGAAATGTCAACTCAGCAGGTTCGAAGCAGTATATGTGATGTGCTTGACATTGATCCAGATCAAGCAGACAATGACTGGGCGAAAGGCCGGTTAAAAAAACTGCAAAACACGACGTACACACTGTATAACGTTTCATTGAACAAAGTGATGTTGAAGCAGCACGAAGAAGTAGCCAGAACGCACTTGTGCGCTTTTCTGGCAGCAGAGAAACTTTCTGAGAAATATGAGCCAGGTTTGAGATATATTTCCGACAAAATCCCGCTCGAACCGAGACAGGTAGCCAAAATGCTGGATATCATGCGCTCCACAATTTTGACCTCATCGCCTGTCAAAGGCTTAAGTTGGTCACCCAGCCCGCGTAAAGCGAAAGGCAGTCCTGTGCGTAATGGCGGTCGTTTCACTGCAGTAGATCCGGTAGAAATGCGTAGACAATTGTTCGGAACGCCAACGAAGCAGGGGAGATCCTCCACACCAGTCATCCCAACACCCGCGGGGGAAGAAATTGGGAGTGCAGATGCCCCAGTGAAAGACTCTACTGAAAATTTCGAAAGGACGCCTCGAAGGAAGCTTGTCTTCGAGATGGACGAGGCCGACGACCAACGCGATGTCGCAAGTGCTGTCGGAGAAGAGGAAGCAGAGGAAGAAGCAAGGGAAGAAGAAGAAGAAGAATATCTTAATGATGAGAGGATCGAAGCGGTACACTCTCCAAAACGCCCCAGTCCACGTAGGCTGAACTCCTCGCCTAAAAAACGTTTCAAAGCATCGGATTTCGATCCCTCAACAGCTTCGGGAAACGGAGGTGACCAGCGCCGCTGTTTGCTTTACAAAAAATACTACAAAGTAACCCCTGCTGAAATCGTGGAGCTTTGCAACCACTTCGAAATTCCTCGCGATCTCGCGTACCGCATTCTGGATCAGTTTTTTGAACATGCCACCTATCTGGTTTTTCCCTATCAACTGGTGTGTGGGCTCATTCTCAATTGTTGCCAGGTCATTTTCAATGATCAGCGCCGCAAAGACCCTCGCGTTTCAGAGTACCTTTATCAGAAAATGTGTCTGCTAATGAAGACGACCGATATATCGGAGATCAAAGAATGCATGCGTATTGTGCGCGAGCTTATCGAGGGCGAACAGTGGTTTCGAGGACTCAAAGTCAAGTTCAACTACTACGATGGTGTTGCGTACGAAGAAGCAATTGCCATAAGGCTTGGAAACATGCTACAAAGGCCTACAAATATTGCATCTGATGAGCAACTCGAAATTTGGAAAAGTCGGCTTCTAACAGATCTATCGCTGAGGGATGGGGCTTGAGCGCTAGCAATCCGATCAAAATCCATAAAATCTTGTCTAGCCATTGCTTAAATGGAAAAGCTTGGGCGTCAATCGACAATATGTTCTTCTATTCAAGCAGCTGACGGGTTAGTTTTGTCAAATGTGTCTCTCAATTCTACTACAATGGAAAAAAATTCGAAATTATTGGAATTTTCAATGAACATTTCAAAAAAATCGACCTTGCGGGACGTTTTCCAAATAAAAAGACCTAACAAGACGACTTGTCTGAACTCAACAGATTCGCTTTATATCTTGTTTCTTCATCAAGCTTCTTTGATATCGGTCAGTGCTTCAAACTTCCTACCAAGACTCTTGCCGCATGAGCTTTCAATCAACCAAAAGGACACAGTCAGAGTCGAGCGAACCTGAGCTCAATGGGCGTGTTGTAAAGCGTCAAGCAGTAAATGGAGACTTTTCTGTCTCTTCATCGGATGCAGAAATAGATCTAGTTGACGAAGTGGAAGTTGCAGGTATCGAAGAACATGTTAATAACGCACAGTGGCAAAGCACTATTTCCAAAGTCGTGGGATCGGTAGTATCAATACATTTTGCACAAGTGGCTCCATTTGACTGTGACCCAGCTCTTGTCTCTGAGGCCACCGGGTTTGTGGTTGACGCAGAGCTAGGAATAATTCTTACAAATAGACATGTTGTTGGTGCTGGTCCGTTTGTGGGATATGCGGTTTTCGATAACCATGAAGAATGTGATGTCATACCGATCTACCGGGATCCAGTTCACGATTTTGGGTTTTTGAAGTTCAATCCAAAGAGCATAAAGTACATGAGTGTCCAGGCATTGGAATTGAAGCCTTCTCTTGCGAAAGTGGGTTCTGAAATCAGAGTTGTCGGTAACGACGCTGGGGAGAAGCTAAGTATTCTCGCAGGTTTCATCAGCAGAATCGACAGAAACGCTCCAGATTATGGAGAACTCACTTACAATGATTTCAACACCGAGTATATTCAAGCTGCTGCATCGGCCTCTGGTGGCTCGTCAGGATCGCCAGTCGTGAATATCGATGGACATGCAGTGGCACTACAGGCTGGTGGTTCAACAGAAGCATCCACAGATTTTTTCTTGCCTGTTAACAGAATATCAAGAGCACTAAATTGCATCAGGAAAGACGAACCAGTTACTAGAGGTACAATTCAAATGCAATGGATACTTAGACCTTATGATGAATGCAGAAGATTGGGACTCACAGCTGATCGCGAGCAAGAAGCTCGTAAACAGTTTCCAGACCGTATCGGACTACTTGTGGCAGAAACTGTCTTACGTGAGGGTCCTGCTGACACCAAGATTAAAGAGGGAGATACACTTATTTCTATCAACAACGAACTTATCGCATCTTTCATGCAAGTCGATGATATTCTGGATAGCAACGTCGACCAGAATATTGAGTTGCTGATCCAACGTGGTGGGAAAGATATTAACGTCACTTGCACAGTTGGAGATCTTCATTCGATCACGCCTTCATCCTACCTTGAAGTTTGCGGTGCAACGTTCCATGAACTATCTTACCAAATGGCAAGATTCTATGCTATTCCTGTGCGAGGGGTTTTCCTCAGCAGTGCATCTGGCTCCTTTAACTTTGATTCCAAGGAAAAAGTCGGCTGGATCGTTGATGCAATCGACAATCAAGAAACTCCAAATTTGGAGACTTTCATTGAGGTCATGAAACATGTTCCAGACAAAAAGAGGGTCACTGTTCGATACCATCATCTGACTGATCAACATTCGCCAAACGTTGCCAGCATTTATATTGATCGTCATTGGTGTAGCGAGTTCCGCCTATACCAAAGAAATGACAAAACAGGTATCTGGGATTATAAAAACCTTGCAGAACCACTACCTGCATTGCCTCAGGTCCCCCATGAAGCCAAGTTTATTGACCTGTCGATCGAAAACAAAAACCTCGCAAAGCTTTCGAGAAGTCTTGTAACTGTTACTACTGTCTCGCCCATCCCATTAGATTCAATGTCTGCGGAAAGCCGTAAAGCGGCTGGGCTTGTTATAGATGCACAGCAGGGATACGTTATTGTCTCGCGTCGTGTCATCCCTCATGACTGCCTGGATGTATTCGTAACAATAGCTGATTCGGTTATCCTTCCTGCTGAAGTGGTATTTTTGCATCCCACACAAAATTACGCTGTGATCAAGTATGACCCCTCGCTAGTCAAGGCAACAGTGGAAACGCCTCGTATGTCCTTCGAGCGGATGAAACGTGGTGACAAAGCCCAATTCATTGGTTATACTCATAACAATAGGCTCGTTTCCTCTGATACTAAAGTGACGGATATTTCATCTTTGAGTATACCAAGCAACATCATCCCTAGATATAGAGCAACCAATTTGGAAGCCGTGGGTATTGACTGCAATGTGAGCTCGAGGTGTAACTCCGGTATACTGGCTGATGAAGATGGGACGGTTAGAGCTCTTTGGCTATCCTTCCTGGGTGAAATCCAGGACGGCAAAGAGAAGGTATACCTTCTTGGCCTGGATTTGACGGATTTGAAGCCCGTGATCGATTTGCTGAGAAGCGGACAGAGACCAAGAATCAATATCGTTGATGCTGGTTTTGGCTCAATCTCCATCGCGCAGGCAAGAATCCGTTCTGTTCCAGAGGAATGGATCTCAAGAATGGAAGCTGAATCAGAGAACAGACTCCAGTTCATGCATGTCACAAGGGTTTCTTTTACAACTGAAAAGGAGAAGCTATTGCCTGGGGATGTCATTTTGAGCGTCGAAAATAGGCTGGTCAAGGAAATGAGAGATTTGGATGGAATTGTGACCTCGGGATTGGGCCCTAACGAGGAACAGATTTTGAATTTCAAGCTCGCCAGAAACGGCCAAATTGTTGATGTGCGCGTAAAGACGGTCGAAGTCAGTGAAACATCGCACTTTGCTGTATTCGCCGGTTGCATTCTACAAACTCCACACCATGCTGTTTTACAAGCGATGTCAGAGATCCCTAGTGGAGTTTACTGTACTTTCAGAGGACAGTCGTCTCCTGCAACGCAATACGGTATTGCTTCGACCAACTTTATCACACACATCAACGAGATCCAAACTCCAGATCTGGAGACTTTTGTGAAAGTTGTCAAGACCATTCCTGACAACACATATTGCAAAATTCGCTTGGTTACTTTCGACAACGTTCCTTTTGCCATTTCTCTGAAGACCAATTACCATTATTTCCCAACGGCAGAATTGAAAAGAGACCCCATCAGTGGCAAGTGGATCGAAAATGAGCTCAACAAAACCGATGAAAAGACCGCTTGATCAAACAAACGAACTTTTTTTTTTGCATCGACCGCAAAACTAAACCAGCGGCCAATGATAGAGATGCTCTAAGGCAAATGGTGCTGGCTGATGCGTTTTTCTTATCTACAAGAATCCTATTCATTTTGATATACCGTCTATATTTATAGATACACGGACGTATTTTACATTGATGTTGCATCCCCAACATGGTGGCCTCAAAGTCTTTGCTGCTAATGCTGTTGTATTCTCAAATCCTATACCCGATTCACTGATACGGAAGCAGTCTTTTCAGATGCTTTATGTGAGTAGAGTGTGCGAGAGTTTTTCCGCTCAGAGATTTCAAAGATGACCTGCTCCAGCCTGCATTACCGTGATTTCTACCGGCACGCCCTCTCTTGTAGCTCGTAGACGTCTTTTTCCATCTCTTAGCAGTGCCTTTATGAGTTTTCATCAGAGTTCTATTTTGAATAAGAAGTGGTGATTGAAATCGATTCATGACTCGGCCGCAGTTGGCAACAGAACGCATAAGAAACCCGAACATTTGTAATCTTGAATTGGAACTAGTTTCACGCACCAGATCTCGTTAATTGGGTATCTTGTGTCGATTTGATGAGCTTTATGAACTTGACTTCCATCACCAAATTTTTTGATGTATATATAATTCTAATAATTATTACTGAATACTTCCTTTAACTTGGTGACAGTGAGTCTACTGAATGATCGACCAAAGTTCCGACAACGTCAGTAAAAACGTCGCAAAGTTTGTGGACCCTGCCTCGAGCCAAGTTTGCGTGGCTGAATAACGAACTATTTAAGCCGGATTTTTTAAGCCCAACATGGATCCCTGTACATAATTTTGAAGAAACGATTTATAGGATTTTTGAACAACTTTAAAGAAAAGATATCCTGAACAACAGACAGTCAGTACTTCGAAGATGATGGACGACATAATTATGAGTGAATTCTGGAGTCCAGTAGAGAAATCTGAAACGATTGTCGATTTGAATTCTACGTCCCAACTTTGGTCTTACCCTCGCGAAATTATTGAAATCAGTTATTATCAGCAAGATGAGCTTCGCTGCAACTTGCATTACGAAATGGAATCCGCAACGGGAGGCCTGATAGCTCTTTCTGATATAGGTAGACCAAATTCCATGATGGGAAATGAAGAAACTGGCACCCGCAAAAGAAAATATGAAATCGAAGCGGACAATGATCAATTAGGTTCGCGTCCGACAAAACTGAGGACACTTTCTAAGTGTTCTTGAGCAGCAATAAAGTACCAGGATAAAAATCGTCAGATAATCGGTTTATAGTGGTTTATATTTACAGATACGCATGTAGGGAAAGGGAATAAAAAAGACTTGGTATTAGCTCTTAGAAAAATCTCGATTGTTTTGAACTCAACATATCGCTTTCGCACGCGTCTAACCCATCATACCACGGGCATGGTATGCCGCCAAGGTCTCATCAATCTTCTTGCTCATGAATTCATCGGCTCTGATCTTTTTCTGAATCTTGGAAGCCTCGGCGAAAGTTGTGGCCTGTAGTTTTTCGTCAAAGCTTCTGGCAAGGTCAGCGGCCTCTTCGAATAAAGCAATAGCCTCATCAATGTCCTCTTGTTGAAGCTTCAACTGAGCTAAGCCGATCTTGGCTTGTTCAGATCTTGGATCGATCTTGCAAGCCTCTTCGAATAGTTCCGTCGCTTCCACGAAATTCTCCACAGTAGGCTCTCTCGACAACAAAGTGGCTTTTCCAATCAATGGAGACACGCCCACATGAATTCCAGGTAAAGCGTTTTCCAGTTTTGCAGCAATCTCATATTGCTTTCTAGCGCCGGCAAGGTCTCCCTGATCGGCAAGAATCTCGGCATAGAAATTTGGTACTTCTGGAGCCGTTGGGAACTTTCTTCTAGCTTCGCTGAATAGCGTCTCGCTGTCACTATTCTTACCTTCACGGTAAGTCAAACAAGCCAGTTGGATGTAAGGGAAAATATTCGTGTCATTCAATTCCTTGGCCTTTTCAAAGTCTTTACCTGCTTCAGCAAATTGTTGGGTGATGAAGTACATCTGTCCACGGTGGTAGAATACAGCAGCACAATCAGGATCGATCTTTAGAGCTTTTTCAAAGTTTTCGAAGTATTCTTCACCTTGGCCCTTATCGGCCATAATGAGGGCCATGTAAACGTACGAGTTTGGTCTGGGGAAATATTCAACGGCTTGCTTCAAATCTTCGTGAGCGGCCAAGGGATCGTTCTTCAAAAACTTGAAGATACCAACGTGTTCTAAAGCAATCGCAGCCTTCTTTTTCAGTTCTTCATTCTCGGGTGATTCGTCCAATAGGGCCTTGTATAATTCACGAGCTTTGACAAAAGCAATGTCAGCTTGTTCGTAACCAGTAGCAGTTCTTTCATACAGTTTAGTCAAAGCATCGACCAGAGTACGGTCTGCTTCCGAGTTTTCATCATGATTGTCAAATGAGGTCTCAGGCTTGAAAATACCGAAAAACGAGGCCAGAGCCGTGTTGGCAGGCAGTTGGCTTGGCTTGTGCTTCTCTAATTTTTCCTTGAGAACAAGCATCGACTGCTTGTTCATGTTTCTTTCCAACAATGGTTCCACAGAAGACCCGTTAAAGTCACCGTATAGACTCAATGCAGACAAGTCAAACATTGCATCTGCAAAATTCCCTAGACTTTCATTAGCAGTGGCTCTGCGAAGCAAACATTTAGAGTAATCTGGTTTGAGCTTCAACGCTTCAGTGGTGTCCTGTACAACTTTTTCCTGTTCGCCCAGAGATACATAGCACGCAGATCTGTTGGAATAGAAAACCGGGTCGTTTTTCACCTCAATGGCTAGCGTATAAAACTTGATGGCATCATGGAATTTCTGGCTCTTGAAAAACTCATTACCTTTGTCCTTTAGCCCCACCGCAACCTTGTCCTTTTCCTGCTCACTCAGGTCTTTAACGTTGCTCAAATCGGGTTCCCCGTTGGCATCGACTGGATATACAGGAGCTGAAGAAGATGTCTGTGACTTCTTCTTACTCTTCTTCTTCTTCTTGCCACCCTTGGCCTCGCCTTCACCCTCTTTAGCACCACTGTCCTCTTCGTTTTCAGAAGGTTGTTTGGTTTGCTGAAGTTGTTGATAGTAGTAATACGCTCCCACTGCCGTAGCACCGGCTGCGATCGTAGCAACAACGGCAGTCTTGTTCTTGGCCACGAAGTGTCCGAAAGAGTTGTCAGACGACATGATCGCTGTTGTTTCCTGATTCTGCTGAACGGGATCACTTCAGAAGTGTAAGGTTTTGTGCTAGAATTGACGACTAGAATATAGGAATTTTTATATTCTATAAACTAAAAAATTTTCAATACCGAAGTGAACCCAAAGAGTAGCTGAACGGAGACTTGGATCTGAGTGACAGACCTAACAGTACTTGTGGTGCAATGCCAGGCGGTTTTTGAGTCTTTGGGAGAAAAAAGCTCTGAAATCGGAGCTTTTTTGATAGAGACACAATGGAAAAACGGTTCTTCTTGCAACCAGCTATAGGAGAACATCGAGTAATTGTAGAATCGACAGAACGGCCTTTTTTTTAAGAGGATATCATTGCATCTTTTATAAGAAACGGTATGACAGATTTTGGGAGGGCAGCTTCCTCCTCTCTCTGATTGTGGTGGGTTTTGTCTTATCTCTTAGGACCTTTAAAACAATTTTTGGATTTGAGTCTTTGGAGACGTATCTTGCTCACTGCCACTGGCTCCGGTTGTTCCTGCGGGCCTGAAGCCATTGTTTTTTGCATTCGCGATACGCATCAAAGTATTCCTGGCACATCGATTTGTCGTAATCATTCTCTTCCAAACACCTCAAGCTCATCTTGGAAGACTCCTGGCACGGGTCGTAAAACTGGCTTGCGTCTTTCGCAGCAAATCTGTATTTATTGAAACTTGATTCCGGATTGTCAGGGTAGAATTTGAAGCTTCCAGTAGACGCATCTTTTGGTGCATAGTCCACCTTGGCTTTATCAACTTGTAGCTGCGGGTCGGCATTTTCGCTCGGTACGCTCTTTGGATCAGACATTATGAAGTCCAGTTGTCAATGAAGGCAGTATTTCGAAATATAGCTGAAGAAAACAGAGATGCTTCAAAAGGCCTCTCTACGTACCGATTGAACGCTTGTCTTGCTCTGTAAATTTCAGAACGGCGCACAGGTACTTAGACAATGCCAAAAATATAGAAATCGGTGCTCAAGAAAAACTGAAACCGAGTCTTTAGACCACAGACTGATATTTCAAAAAGCAAATCAAACGATCGTTGATTTCATTGATCTAGATAAACCTCTTGTTGGCTCTCTTTTCACTTATGGCTTTTATATATATATATATATATATATATATATATATTCTTACACACATATGAATTTTGACGAAAAATTACAGCTTGCTCATCGCATCCAGCTCATCGCCTGAGATCGATCAGGAAAAATTACAGGTATTCGACGCTTAAAGTTGGATTGTATACTTGAAATGTCTGGAACTCAGTCGTGTAAACGTTGTCGTACTGAGAATGCTGTTATTGTATCAAGGAAGGAACCATTTTGTCCAGGATGTTTCCGTAAGTTCATATCTTTGAAGCAACGGAAACAGATGATGTCAGATCTGTACTTTCAAGATATCTTCAAAGTCATGTACGAGGATAAAGTGAAAAGTGCAGAAACGGCTGAAAGAATGAATGCGGAATCGAGGATTTTAGTGCCGCTTTCGTTCGGTTCAAGTTCTCTGGTAATGCTGGATGTTTTGAACGACACTATAGAAGAACAGCTAAAGATGCATCGCGGCAAAACTGGGTTCAACATTGACATTGTTGTCTGCTATCTTGGGAGCAGCGAAGAAAAGACCTATAAAGAAAAGATACGTGCTCTTCTGAGCACCAGATTTCCGAAAACCAAAAATCTTTACAAAGTTCATGTTGTTGATATCGAGACCTTTTACAATTCCTCCAAGCGCATGAGAGTACATTTGGAAGACACCAGTTACATAGTCAGAAAGTTGGACGAGACTTCAGACGACACAGCCACTCAGCACACCTTCAACGATCTTCTCGATCGATGCGTCAATCGATCAGCACGCGAGGATCTGCTCAACGTTATGAAAACATCTGTGATCAAACAATTCGCATTACAGGGTCAATACAAGGCTATATTATGGGGTCATTCCATGACCCGGCTGGCTGACGAGATCATGGCTTCAGTCGTGAAAGGTAGAGCCGCCCAAATTGCTAACGCTTTGGATAATGAAAGTTTCGATGCGGAATACGACGAGGCTTTCAAAAACCTGCATCCCATGCGTGACGTGCTACTTTCAGAGATCGACGCTTACTGTCACATATCAGATCTTCTGCCTCATGTTTATCAATACTGTCCTCAGCAGACACTTTTGACCGAAAAGAGCCCGCAAGGCGAACGCTTGAACCCAAAGCCGGTTAGAAATATGACCATAAATGAATTGGCTCGTCAGTATTTTGATAACATAGAGGGCAATTATTCTAACGTTATATCGACCGTGGTGAGGACTGGCGCTAAATTAGATAATCCCCAGAATACCCTGCCGAAAATGAGCAGATGCGAAATCTGCTATACCAGGCTTTACAGAAATGGACCTGAGTGGCTACGGCACATTACAGTAACCAGTAGTCATCCTTTGGAAAGTGAGGAAGATCAGAGTCTTTATTCTACTTGGTCAACTTCTGAACACGGCAGATCTAGAGACGAGTACCTCAGGCTGACCTCCGAGTTTAAAAATAATGGTGAGGAAGTAGCGGCTTGTTATGGCTGTCTGCTAATCCTAGGAGAAGTAAAGGACAAAAACATGTCTTGGCCGAAAAGCAAACCAGACAATCTAAAGGACGTGATAGATAGTTTTGTCATTGACGAAGATGACGAATAGTGTCGAGAAAAAAGTTCTTTTCTTAGACCTTTTATTTAAGGTGTACTGTGATTGTTGTGATAACAACTGTGTGTGATAGTTCCAGAATTAGAGTGTAATAGTGGTCTTCCCATTCAACACCAGACAGCAAATTACCCGCTGTTTAAAATGCGGGCAGAGCTAGTTTGACGCCTTCTTGAGCAAGCCAAGAAGCTGCTGCGATGCGTTCTGATTTTCTGCAGGGGTTTGAAAAATGGGACCCGGTGATGGGACTGATGCACTAGGACTACTCGATGCTTCTTCCCCACGAGTGGCCATGAAATTTGCAGACGAAAAGCCATGAAGCATCTTGAGCAATTCATTGCCTCCGTTATTGGTCCGATTTTGCCCCGACCCGGTATCTAGATCAATTTGCGGTTGAGGCGGCGGTGATGGTTGTTGCGGAGCGCACAATCCGGGTTTTCCTTTCTTTAATAGATCTAGCAAAGACTCCGAACCCAGGCTTTTATCGGTATCTGAAAGTTCAGTCCCTTTCATTAGATGATTGACGGATGAATGCCCATTGGAGTGTGGAGTAGCATTAGTGATCCCACTCTGAGAGCTTTTAGCGGCGTCTTTCGGAATATTCGGGGACAATTCCTGATCATCCTTCGATGCTGTCGTAGTGTTGGGTGGGCTTCCTAACGAATTATCGACTTCATTCGGTTCATGCGCGCTATTGAAAACTTCACCGCGTTTTAGTAACTTGAATTTTGGTTTCGGTCCTTGAGATTTCAGGTCTCTGTCCTCCTGATTTTCAGACTGTGCTCCTTTGTTCAAATCTGTTGGTCTGTTGGGTTGCGTTTTGGCACCAACGGATTTGGTGCTCGAAGTCGAAGCAACAGGAGATTTGACTGTAACTGCCTCTGATACTGCACTGCCCGCAAAAATAGGTGATGTATTCTGTGAATGATTTGAAATTTCTCTAGTGTCTTCATGTGAAAGACTGTTATTTGAACCTTCCATGGCTTTTCTCTGGTGCTTGTTATCTCTAGCATATCTAGCAGAGAAAGATTCTAAAGGATCTTCTTGATCGTCTTCTAAGTTGTCTTCTGATTCGCTTCCTGAGCAACTCTCAAAATCTTCATACTCAGAGCCATCACTAGCTGATGAACTCGTAACCGACGCCTCCGGAACTTGACTGGCCGGTATGATGTGAAGATCTGTTTCGATGTTAACTGAGCCTGGCTGTTGTGTTTCCGGATTCTCTTGTCCGAAAGTCTCCTTCCGCGGATTTTTCAGTAGACTCAGTAAGGTTTTCGCACTCGTGGTGTTTATCATTGATTGCTGAACAATTGGGAGGGCCGCTTGATTAGAGCCCTTTTGATGTAAAATGTCCAAGAGTTGTTTCGCAGATGCATTCTGTGATACATGCTGAGGAATGCGTGCTTGCGAATGATCCTCATCATGACGTTCTTCTTCTTCAACCACAGTTGGTTTGGCCAAAGAATTCATTTTTGGGGTTGGTGGAGGCTGTGTGCTCTCAGAACTTGAACTTGAAATTTCGGGACCAGTAACGCCCCCAATATGTACACCAGTACCGTTTGTGAAAGGGAAAGGCGCAAAAGGTTGGAAGGCCATGAAGGGGAAGTTATGTTGAAATTGTGGAGGTGGTCCGACGAAGGTAGGTGCTGGGATACCCGGTTGTTGTGCGGTGGCGCCATTGGTGTCAGTGCTTTGGCTTTCTTGGACAGATTTAATGTTGTTAAAGGTATGAGAAGCCTGGCTGGAATCGTAATCTTGGTTTGAGGTTGCGTTGCCAGCGGAAACAGAACTCTGAAGCATATTCAATAACTCTCGACCGGGATCTGGGGTGTCTTCCTTCTTGATACCTAGCAGAAGCTTCAACTGCGTCTCTACGTGTGCCTTGAGCTTCTCGTCGTCGTCAATTTGACGGTTGCTCTTCACCCACATGGCTAGGGGCCTCATTAGATTGTTTACCAGATAGATTTTGATTTGGGCCGTCTTGGGATTGCAGTTTTTGGACAGTTTTTTGAAATCGTGCCATTGAATCTTTTCTATTTCATTGCGCACTTTTGGTTCAAAGTTGAAATCTTCAGGAATTCCACTCACTAAGAATATCTTGTAGTTTTTGCCGCCAATGTTGCGCTCGATAAAGGCTTCTTCATCGATGTAATCGGAAATGTCACAACCTGTCTCCTCGAGTACCTCACGAACGCAACAATCAACGTCGTTTTCGTCTTTTGAAATTTTTCCCCTAGGGAAAGACCACGAATCTGATTCTGTGCCTTTGACCAGAAGTAACTTGGTCAGCTTTTTGTTGAAAATCGCAGCACCGCGAACTGGTATGCTTCTTTTGTACTGGGAGAATTTCTGGAGCGCCTGTTCGGCTCTCACGTCCCATTTCCATATCATTGGACACAGCTTGATAACATGCTGTGCAAACGATTTTATTTTGAGATTGGGCAAGTTTGGGTTCAAAATCTTAACAAAGTCCGTGTAGAACCAGTTAGCCTCCTCAACGTGGAACAGCTCTCTCTCCACTGACGAGAAATCTTCAGGCGGACAGTTGATGATGAATCTCACGATAAGGTCTTCCAGGACCCTATCCAACGACGCTGCAGTGTCCAAAGGGTGTCGAAGGGGCAATGACATGGCTCAGAATTGGGATTAGAGCTCTAAATTCGTTCCAGCACTAGCGGAGAGATGGTAAAGATGCTTTTGAAGATTGAACGTAACCTTTTTGTTTGTTGTTTTCGATGGAAACTTGGTCTTAGACGTGCCATATAGGTAAAATATTTTTATATTAGCTTATAAGCCCTGTGTACGAGTGCCGAAACTGAAAGGCTGATAGAGACCGAGACATACATCAGACGAATAGATGCAAGGCTACAGCGAAATCCAAGTAGAGTCGTGAGAGCATATATTCCAATTCAGTTGCACGAATGTCGCCCTTCGTAGTCGCGGGATTTAGAAAATTTTGTTGAAGTCAAGCAAACTTCAATAGATTGGTCAATTTGACTTAGATTTTTGGGATTGATGAAGCTGCAAGGATGAGTTACTACGATGCATCTTTTGATTCTTTGTCTTGGTGGCCCTACGCTCGGAACGCACACAAGAAAAGCTGCCAAGAATGCGAAGGTTCAGTATTCCCTTAGTACGAAGTGATCAAGATCCTGGCACCTACATGGGTCTTGGCAAAGGAAAGGCAAGACCAAGACCAAGACCAAGGCAGAGAGACAAAACAACATGAAATCAGAACAAGTAGAGCCATTCTGTTTGAGTTTCGGCCTCACGAAATATAGGCGTCTTCGAAAATCTTCCACATCACTTCCAACCATCCTGACGCTTTTTTCCACGCTGTTTTCCACGCTGTACCCTTAAAACAACGTTGAAAACCGCTGCATCTTAGCGTTGCCACACGACGCACAAACACACACACATTATCCCCGCTTGATCCCAAAACAAGTAAACCATTTGGCAAGCAGCACCCTATTTTTGTTTCTGGACCTTCCCTATTCGAGGATTTTCTTTTCTCATGTTTACTAACGGCTGGTTCTGACAAGTGCCCTGGAAACCTCTGAAGTTTTTTTTTTGGCTGCGCTCCCATCTTGCTTCGAAAGTCCACGCCCCTGATCCTTGTTTCGTTAGCATACACGGTCCATTGTGGGATAACTTACCCTTTTCTCTGATCCTGCTACTCAACAATTACTCTAGCAATAGCAAAGCTCTAAAGCTAGCAAAAAATAGTCTACACTTATCATAGTGAAAAGCTAAGCAATACTGCTATGCATGAACATCCAAGATACAATGTTTGCAATTAAGTAGGCGGAGATCTAATGGCACAATTTTGTCTCTTTCTCCTCAGAGTTTAGTTCAATGTATAAATAGTTGCCACATTTGTATATTTTGGTGTCAAGTTCTTCAAATTAGCCTCTTCATCTAATCCTCTTAATACTCAACTAATATCAATTGTAAAATTCGCTAAAGGTCGACATCGATAAATCTTCAGCATTTTCAATTGAAACCTTTTGAATAACAATACTAAAGATTCCCAAAAATCAAGGATCACAGTATTCGTAACACAACAATTGAAAATACCTCATTAAAAAACCAAACTCTTATATAGTGCCGCTATGTCTCTCAAAATTGGCTACATCCCAGAACACTTTGCCAGTCCCTTGGTCTTTGGCGAACAAAAGGGTCTGTTCGATAAACAAAACGTGAAAGTGGAATTGATCCCCTACCCCAGCGGTTCTGGCCATTTGATCCAGTCGCTTAACAATGGGGAACTAGACGTCGCTATAGGTCTCACAGAATCGTTCGTTCGTGGCATCGCCGATACACCTAAGGACACCAAGCCCAAATACCAGATTGCAGGCACATTCGTTAAATCCGCATTGGAATGGTGCGTTTCGACCGGTGCCAAGCGTGATGACTTGACAGACTTGAAATCTCTAGAGGGCAAAAAAATCGGTGTCTCAAGACTAGGAAGTGGTTCCCACGTCATGAGCTATGTGATGGCACAGCAAATGGACTTTGAAAAACCATTTGCGGGCTTCCCCGTGCTGAACAATTTCGAAAACTTGCGTAAAGGTGTGAACTCGGGCGAAGCAGACGCTTTCATGTGGGAATACTACACATCCAAGAAGTTTTTGGATTCCGGTGAAATCAAAATGCTGGGCCACGTCTCGTCGCCTTGGCCTTCTTGGGTCGTTGTGAAGCGTGTGGAAACCGATCTTGACACCTTCAAAAGTTTCATCAAGGCTCTGAACGAGGGTATCGACTACTTCAATCATCACAAGGAGGAGGCAATCGAATTGGTGCAGAAAGAATTTGGATACTCCAAAGAAGACGCCGAAGGGTGGTTCCAAACCGTCAAGTACCACGGCGACACAGGCGATATCAATGACTTGCATGGCGTAGTTACAGGCACTTTACACATTTTGGCCAGTGCTAACGTTTTAGAAAATAAGGACGAATTGTCCATCGAGAATAACATGAGGGAGGGGACTTTGACCAGTTCCTGAATGTAACGCAACGTAACGTGCTGCCTACGACTATTTAGAAATTTACGTACTCCATCGTCATGACTAAAAATGAATATTCTGATTTTCTGGTATGTGAAGGGAGCGGTCACTGCCTTCTAAAAGGAAACATTGAAAGTGAGTCTATTTCACTTTCAATTTCAATGTGCTACTTTTTCAAGGCAGCATATGGATATCGATCTCCAGACACTAAACTTTGTCTGCAGGGTTGGCTCTTTGAAGCAGGATCGACATACATACATACATACATACGTACATACACAGCGGGGATGAAAAAGGTTTGAAAAAGAGTTTTCAAACAAGAACTGTGTGGAAATTGATGTGATGACAAGAAGAGCAGGACAAAAGAATATAGAGGCTCTGAATAAAAAAAAAATGGTCTGGTGCCAAGGCATTGTTCTTGGTCCATTGTTGTGTGTGCTAATCGGTTTCAGTCACGTGACCTAGAATGAGCTATCTCTCAATTTTTTTAATTCACAAACTAAGTTGAATTTATGGGCCTGATCTTCTTATGTCTCCTGGACGCTGTTGAGCTTGTTCAGGTTTTTTAAGGCTAAACTCCATCTCTGATGGTTTCCATCGCACTTAGGCAGGATTATTTTTGACGCGAGTACTGTCGCGAGTACTTTTGAAAAGAGAAAAAACAGCTCGAAATTCCATTTTTCGTTTCCTTGTGTGAACATGACCGTGAGCACACTGTCGCAGACACAAGCAAACTCTGTTCTTGAGTAAACCCATTAAACTTTGAATGTCTATAGGGTTATCTTCGGTCACGTGACTTGTTCTTTCTTCCCCGTATTTCCTGGATTTTTTGCATCTTCTTGACAATCAATGGGCCATTAAAAGCTGAATTCCCAAACTTTCCAAATTGAACTCCAGCGTCGTCCGCCTCTAGCCCCACTCTACTCTCCCCTCCCGTCTTGTCACATTTATCTTTTCCTGTCGCTGTCGCCATTGTCACCACAACTCAGATTATTATTACACTCGCCTCATATTTTTCATCAAAAATTTTTTTTCCCAGGCTCATCTCATCGCGCGACCAAGAATTATAATGTCTCGATGGAAAATTGGAAAGCTCATCTCATCTCATAGCTCATCGGACTACAAAATCGCATAGAAAATCGACAGTTTAAAGCTTGTTAACACGGCAGAAGAGCTGATTATTTGTACACATTGTTGCAAGCTATTTGGAAACTGCGTTGGAAGCGAAATCGGACGACCAGAATCAACGATTTGTGTCATATTTTGTCTGTCAGAAAAAACCACGAAGAAGGAAGACATCGGGAAAAAGAATACGGGGAAAACGGATTTGGTGTTCAATACAAGGGAATCAGGGAAATATTTGAATGAGCACGCGTGGAATAGTTAAGTGGGTATCATAAAGTAAACTCTTTTTTTCGGTTCGCGCTTTGGATTTTGATTTTAGATTGTTTTACTGGGACATCATACAGTAGTGTCAAAAAGAGACAGAGGGAAAGAATCAAAGAAACCACCACATAGGATAGACTTTCATTCTTTTCATGACAGTCCCAAAGTCCGCAGTACAAGCTCCGAGCTCTGGGCTCGCAGCGGTGCAACCCAAGAATCCGTCGTCGTGGGATCCACAAGACGACGTCTTGTTGCGGCATTTGAAAGAGGTGAGAAAGCTTGGGTGGAAAGAAATTGCCCAGTATTTCAAGAATAGAACGCCAAACGCGTGTCAGTTTCGCTGGCGCAGACTGAGATCTGGGAATTTGAAAACCACGGGAAAAAACCCGTCCGATGGACATTCAGAGGATCAACTAGGTGCTGGAAGTGGGGCTCAGGCTGGAACTGGAACTGGAACCGGAACTGGAAATGGAAATGAAACTGGGGTTTCATCATCATCATCAGACGGTACTGTTGATGTGGTTCCACCCGTCACCTCATGCCTTACAAAGCCAGATACGGCGGTATCTGCAGCTGGAATCGACCCACTCTCGTCAATGGCTTCACAACCAGCTTCGGATCACGTGGCAAGTCCACTCGCCATACGTTCTCATGCAGCTTCGCACGGTGAGGATCTGAGTGCTACCTCTACCACAGCCTCTAGCCGGTCTATGACGCATTTGGTCCCATCTGTGATGCCCGGGACACCATATATGGAATCTCCAGCCGTTATTTCTAATTCAACACCTATTGCAGGACTATCCTTTAGAAATCCGCAAGACTCCTCGCAATTCGCACACGGTTTCCCATCGTATCAGCAGTTCCCTCAACAGCATTCAACAAGCCAAAGACCTCCAGCTCACACCCATACAGGTCCTGAAAAATTTGTGAAACCCAGGTCGTACTCGCATACCATGGCTCCACCTTCAGGCTTGCTACATTCTTCCTCTGCTTCTCATCTGCCCTCAACAGATGTCAACAAGACCTCAGAAGATGAGAACATAGGTCTCATACCCAAAGTCCTGGTGCGGTCGAGGCGTGCCTCCGTTGCCCAACATCCTCCTCTACCACACTCTGCTATATCAACGCCTGCCCTTTCGTCAGCCTCAAGTTTCAGCAATCTTTCCGCGGCTCTCAATACAACCTTAACAACCTCGAAACTGCGTAAGAACTCCTTTTCCTCTCGGCCAAGACGTTCATCTTTCCAAATGGCTGCTCCAGATAGAAACTTCTCGACTCCATCCCGAAGAGGTTCCGTTGTGCAAGCACCTTCGTCGGTAGCCTCATTGACCAGGCGTGAAAGCTTTAACAACCCTCCTTCACGCCGGGGGTCGTCGATTCAAGCCAGAAGAGAAAGTTTTGTGCAACCTCCTATGAGTAGACGGGAATCCATTTCCAACTACACAGATGTTCCTCGGGCTTCCATGGCGACGTTTACCCCGGTCATGAAAACGGGTTTGAGCCATGCTGGCTTAGTTCCCGATCCATCTCACTGGTCTTCGGATGAGGACCGCCTTCTACACGATAGAAGAGAGAAGCATCTGTCCTTGGATGAAATCAGCATTCTGCTTCCGCACAGATCAGAACAAGAAATTCAAGTCAGGATAGGAACTCTGGGCATCAGCTCTTCCTCTCCAACTAGCAATTCGCCTCTCGACTCTCCTGACAGATCGCTCACCGAAGAAACGGCAATAGAGGAAGAAACCAACGCAGATGCTGACGACAATTCGCGTGCACCATCGCAGGTGGTATTCGATATCAAGAAAGAAGTATCGCCATCACTGTCACTGTCTTCAGGTTCCAACGGCAGAGAAAACTCACCAGTTTTTTCCCCACATCCCACTAATCGTGATGCTTCACCTGCAACTTTCGAGACATCCACGAAGTCTGGGATAAATCAGTCGTTGGAGCAGTCGAAATTCAGTTGCTCGCCGGGTCTGACAGATCATCGTGGTATTTCATACACTCCTGTGAATAGCAGAAGCAACTCTGTTACGCACAATGCCGCTCTGCCTCCGCTCAACAGTCTTTTCAAAAACATACTGTGAAGCAACATCTTCACACCTACGCAAAAGTCTACGATATTTCGTTAAAATTTTTACGATGAGTTCATGTATAACAGCCGGTTTTTGTTAAGATGGCTCATTCAACTTATATAGGCCCATGGTGCCGGGATGGCCTCGGTCAAGTCCAGGCACACCTAGGGCGATGTATCATCTAAGTTTTAATTATGTTCATTACAATTCCACTTCAATTATTCTTGGAAGATTAGCATTTACATGATATTACAATTTAGTGGGAGCACTTCATGCTCCTTAGTTGCCTTCTGGTTACACGTTCCTCATCAGTGTCGTCGCCGCTATCAAATATTTTTTTCAGGACGCGTCCCCTCCTACTTCTTTTAACACAGGCAGTTGAATCCGATGAATCAGTCTCAAGGTGATTGTCATCTCCGTCCGAAGCGCTTGTGTATTTGGCGTCTTCGTATTCGTGCCCGTCGGTGAAATGAAGATTTTTATCAAGTAGTTCGGGTACATCTGATCCTTTTCTACTTGTCTCTCTTTCTTCTCCCTCAGAAAATTGCTCTTGTCCATCCTGTACTATGTCGTTATCCTCCTCGTTACGTCCCTCACTTAACATATGCCTGTTATGCAAATAAGTTTCGTCAGCCTGCAAATAGGTTGAACCATCTACAGTTTGAGGCGAGAGGCCGATATCTTCTGTCTGAAGTAGATTCATGTTAGCCAGAAATTGACTATCAATTTCAGGTACTCGCTGAGATCGAACCTTCTCTAGAGCTGTTTCCTCGATACTTTTCGGATCAGCAATGTCATCCTGCAGAAAGTTGACCAGTACCGAAATGCTATTCTTGAAGTTATCGACACCATTACTTCGGCCTGTATTTGTAGTTCGAGTTGCGCCCGTAGTTTCCATCATCGTTCCCATTGCATTAATGCCGCATGAAGGTCCGAAAATCATTGGCTTCCATACCAGTTTCTCGGGCCGCAGAGAGCACAAGTTCTTGGAGCTGAAAGCCGTTATAATATTGTCTATAAGCGACCAGTCGCTAATTTTTAGGGCGTAGAATGTTTTGTCACCCTTTTGGGATTTTTGGAGAATTTTGAGCTGCTCAAGACCAAAAACTATATCGGTCGGTATCATTCCTGTGAGATTAGAGAGGTCCTCCAGGCTGCATTGGAAGTTAAGTCCATTTCTTTGAGCATTCAAAATGTCGTTTTTTAAAGAGCCTATTACCTCGCATAGCTTGATTTTCCAGTAGTTCCTGTAGGACAGCAAACCCAAGTCAGAAAACGGTTTTTCTGGTGTTCCCCATTTATATTCTCTTCTAGTGAGCAGGTATGAAAAGTCCACTAAAAAATGACCATAACCTCGCCTTTGATAAATGGGTAAGGTAAGAATACAACTGAGGTTATAGTCCGTTGAAGTGAGCTTTTCTTTCGAAAAATACCCAACGAAGTGAAAATGACTTTGACCTCCTAGATCCTCCCGCTCGGTAAGAACGTAAAAAATGAAGGGCTCCACATCATAGTAAAGAGTTTTGGAGTTTAAAAAAAGTTTTGCCAGCAAACACAAGCTTTGGCAATATATGACGTTCTCACGCCCGTCCATCTCCCAGACCGATATTTTTCCATCTCTGTAAATCTCATTTCCTGGAGGATGTCGCAAAGAACACTTCAATTGATGGCGGTGAAAGACATACCTTGATTTCATGTACTTCAGACAATACTCGCAAATGTAAAGTATTTTATTTTTATTGAACTCTTCTGGGTATGGTGCCGTATACCACGTCTTTATTTCGTAACCACGGAGGTGAATATATTCAATTCTTGCAGCCTCCCTTTTGACCTTAGATTTTTTGGCATGCTGCAATTCTTTATCTTCAGCTTCTGTGAAGGCCAAGAGTAGGTTTCCGTTGTAATACGAGGCGGGACTCGCATTGTACAAAAGTGCCTGGAAAAACTCACGATCCTTTATCGACGGCGTGGTATTTTGGGTACTGAAGTCTTTCTTGTCAGCAATGGCACATCGATACGGCATAGAGTGATCGTTGTCTATCTTGTTGAAAAGAGTCTGCGTTTCGTGGACGTTAAAGTCAATCTCATACCTATCAGGGTCTACACTTGAGTTGGATATGAGGTTTTCAAAGTTCAAGAACTTGGTCGGATTATAGATCAACTTCAGAACATGTTTCTTATACGTTCCACGAAATGGATCAATTTTCGGAAATTTCACGTAAGGACTAAGAGCATTAGCAGTCTCTGCGTCTGCGGGAAGACACCATGAATATGAAGTCGGCGTTTGCGGCTTTCTAACTGTGGGGGATGGATTAGGCGACCGTTTCTTCTTCAAGGGCATGGAACCCTGGTCTTTGAAAGAAGCAGTGACTTCCTCGTAAGCATGTTTGGCCCTAGTTTGGCGAGAAAATTTGTCTGGATCTTTGGCTATCTCGTTTGCAATTGACGCATGTACGTTATCGTTGAGCTGGATATTTCTTAGGAGACGTAGATGTCGTTGCGCATGTGCATCAGCAGGGTTCATGACACTTTGTCGTGTTGGGAGCCTCGAGTTAAAGGTCCAGAGACCTAGAAAGCCGAGGTATTAAAGCCGTTCGGGTCAATCGTTGGTTGAAGACACGTTTAGACAGTGATTGAAACACCCGAAAGCCTTGACAGAGTCTGATTTTGAGCGCTTAAGATAGCATATATACCTGAATTATTGATTAACGTGTTTAAGATATCGTAAACAACCTCTAAATTAAATGATTAAAAACAGATGAAAAAATAAAATAAATTAAAATTAAAATAATAATGGGCAAAAAAAGTTAAAAATATTATAAAATTAAATATTAAATAAATATTAAATATTAAATAAATTAAATAAATTAAAAGAGAAAATGAAAGAATAGCTGGATGTGGTTAGTATAGAAACTTTTATATTGCATACAATTGCCCAAATCAAGGTATTCGAGTTCCAAAAAGTCTTTTTGGCCAAAGCTTTCAGCTCATACCAATATTCTGAGCTTCATCTCTTTCGATGACAGTTTCTAGAGTAAGTGGTTATCGCACTGCAATGGGGAACAGGGTGAATTATATTATTTGTAGCTGTCGCACAAATTTCCAAATCTCATTGGAACGTTGTTGGGAAGATGTGCTTGTTTTTATTGTGAGCAGTTTGTACAGAATTGCCCACTAGGTAAAAGGCGTGTACCGTCACGTGCCTAGTCTCAATCAAGGATAAATGAACTTGAAGTTCATCTTAATACCCAACACAAGATGCTTTTCTCAATCTTGAAGACTACAGAAATCAACAACCTTTTGTTTTTTTTGGCCCTCGATGGATTGCCTGGCTGTTTCTGTGAACCATTTATGAGCATTCGAAAAATAAGTGACAGCGCCAAGGGTTTGACACAGGGTGCTCGTGATCTGCTAATATGTAAGTGACGTATAGGGACAAAGTGACAGGCTTCGAAATCAACGAACTTGGAAGCTTTTTGACATGCATTTTGCGAGTTGTAGGGCAGGGACGGGCATCACTTCCAAGAAAGTGTATGCAGAAATTAAATCGGTTTTCGTAGACATTACCTCAAAAACGCCTTTTTCTCAAATAGAATTGACACCGATTTTCGCTGACATCATGCAAGCCAAATTTCGCATAATTGCGGCGAACCCAAATTTCAGTTCCACTAACTCGAATTCAAGGCCTTAACAAAAAGTCACTTTTCGATCTAGTTCCATTATGCACTACCAAATTTTGGCTTACGATCAACTTTGGAATACTTTTAACAGGGTCTGACTTTGAAATCTCAGTAATTTCAGTGGTTGGCCAAGGCTTCTCATTCCATCGGCAGGAGATTAATTGTTTTAACGAGAGCCTAGCAGCATATTAATGGGCGTCTGCTTATTCTTTTAGGTCCATTTCTGACACCTGCCATAAACTGTCGTCGCCAGGTGTCGTGTATTCACCTCACCCGTAATTAATGCTTAAGAAAGGTTGATCTCAAAAATTCCATTAAACTGGATGCGCTGAAGCTTAGCGGGTTCCGAGAATTCAGCTAGCCGCCTCATCTTAGCTCTTTCATTTCGGCTATGAGCTGCCCTCACTTGAATCAGGCTTTCAAAAATGAAAAAACCCGGGATGGAGTCCTAAAAACTTACAATATGATCCGGTACATCATAGAGCATAGCACATTTCAAAACCGTCATTTGCTATCGATGAGATGCACTGAATGCTACGAAATTAACCACGGGTCGACTTTTATGTGCTTACAGTGCGGATTTTGCGGATGCTGGAACTCTGAGCATTTTACCATGCACAGCAAGAAAGTAGGACACATTTTCGGTGTGAATTCCAGCAACGGACTTTTATTTTGTTTCAAATGCATGGATTTTGTTAGCGGGAATGAAATGCTCACCAACTCCATGCTCGTGAAATACTGGGACGACATATCTGTGAAAACTTCACCACCCAGCCTTCATGGGAGAGACGGCTTATGTGGACTCGTTAATATGGGGTCGACCTGTTTCATGAGTACCATTGTCCAAACACTGGTCCATAATCCATACGTGCTCAAAAACAGCCTCGATCAGCATCATTATGCACACTGTGATTCTGACAACAGTTCGGCTTGTTTTTCGTGCGCCTTGGACACCGTAATTGCGAACTTTTACGGTCCCTCAAGCGAGAGTTCTTTTCCGTCACAGCAGAAGGGCTTCATCGATTTACTGTTATGTTCTTGGAATGCTAACAAGAATTTGGCTGGATACTCTCAACAGGATGCACACGAATTCTTGCAGTTTTTTTTGAATCAGTTACATTCAGACTACGTCAGGATCAATAAAAACGCTGTGATAAAGCCAGAATTCTGTAAGTGTATTGCTCACTCAGCATTTCAAGGCACATTGCGGAGCTCGATCATTTGCACAGAATGCCACGATGGCAGCAATATCAAGTTTGATCCAATGATGGATTTGTCCTTGGACATAAACAACAAGACTACACTAATTGAGTGTCTGCAGAGCTTTCATGAGGGTGAAAAACTTACAGATTTCAACCACAAGTGCCGCAACTGTGGATCAGTTCAAAATCCTATCAAGCAAATGACGATCGCCAAACTACCACCAGTTTTGGTTCTGCAGTTGAAGCGATTTGAACATCGCATGACAGGTAATAGCGTGAAGCTTAATGACTTCGTCCAGTTCCCCGCATATCTCAACATGGCCCCATTTTGCCATAAGGAAGAGACCAAACATGTTCCTGACCTCGTTTACGAGTTAGTAGCTGTCATTTCTCAGGAGGGATCTGTGAATCAAGGCCATTACACAAGCATGTGCAAAATAACGGGCGGTCAATGGTTTCGTTTTAACGACTCAATGGTGACAAGTGTTTCGGAGGAAGATGTGCTGCGCCAACAAGCATACCTAGTATTTTACGTCATTCGCCAAATCGGTTGATCGGGAAGGTTAATCCAGAGGGCACCACACAAAACATCTGCATTTAAATTCATTCATTAAATATCTATCATCATGCACAATCAACTTTTCAGGTATCCCCATGCGTTATATAGGGTATTTTTTTGGAAGTCCTCACCACTTAATCAAAAAAATCCTCATCTTCACTGCCGCTCCCGACGCCAATGTTGAATTTGCCTTTGATGCCGGACTTGATGCCTTTCTTAGTGTACTGGTTGAAGCGGTCTTCCCTGGCCTCTTCGTCATCGAGGTTCATAACCAATCGATCATCTTTTTCATCCAAAGCACCAACCTTCACCATCAATTTCTCCAAGTCATCTAACTTGGTATCGTTACCACCTAATTCAAGAAGTGTCACAAGATTTCTGAGAACCTCACCACGGTAGTACACAATCAGCGTGGGACAGTTACTTTCAGGATAGTTTTCAACAGCTCTATTTGCTGGGATGTCCACAAATTTGATCTGTGGAAATTTTACGGCTGCCTGGTTGAAAATATCGGCCAACAGCCTACTTTGTAGTTTGCTGCTTGAAGACATGTGAACAAAGACGTAGACGCCATTGTTCTCATCACCCTTTGGGCCCATACTGCATTCTGTGATTTCTTTGCTGTATTCGGGCTTGTTGATATGAAATACCTGGCCAAACTTCGCTTTTTCATGCAATTTTTTGATTTCTGCCATTCTTTGCCTTTTGTACAACTCCAAAAACTCTTCATCCTCATCATCTTCCAGCTCTTCGAGGTCCGATAGGTCCTTTCCCTCTAGTCGGTTTTCTTGTTGCTTTTGGAGCGCCTCTTCAAGTGCCTCTTCAAGCTGTGCCGTTGGCGACGGTGCTCGTTGTGGGATAACGCCATGCGCTCTCAAGATGTCATTCCATTCGGTATCTTCCGTTTCATCAACGTCTACCTTCACCAGTGGATCGTTCTGCATGTTATTTCAATACCACGGTACCGCTGTGGCCGAATATCAGTCCTTTGGTAGGTGTCTTGGAGTGTCGCTTCATCCGCTCTTGATTAAATCGATGGGTCCCTCACAATAAGTAGGCTATAAAACTCCCCCGTAACAAGTGACGAGATCAACTAGTTATCCAGGTAGTACCTCCGACATCATCCGCCTCTTTTGCTCGCGAGCAGATTGTTCAGTAGGTCCGTTTTAGGAGTTTTTGCTTCTTTTTGCCTGGTTTTCGTTTTTCGCGTTCCGGTCTTTGGTGCTGTGTTAACATGACTTCCATTAAATTCTGAGAAATCCATTGTATCAACATCTCGCCTTTGGCGGTTTCGGATTGGTTCTGGAGCTTCCTCGTTGGTCTCAGAGTAGTTCTCTTCACTGTCTGAGTCAATTACCTCTACACTTAGAGCGGTGGTATTATCGATGTTTCGATTTCCGCGCCTTCCGCTTGCTGTCACCCTACGACGGGAAGTAGAGTTGGAAGAGTCGATTTCGCCCGTCTTCTCGCTGAAATGATCTCCAGTGGCAGCGAGTGATTGATTTGCGTACAGTGCAGCAGCGTTCTCCTGCTCTCGAAGATCAAGGGAATTAGGATTCACTGTATTAGCCGATCTCACGTCTTTAACGAGCCGCTTGATATCGTGAATGTCGTCCACGTTTCCCAACTGGTGATTGGCAATCAGGAGCTTCACCTCATTATCAATTTCTTTGTCAATGTAGTCTTTGAGCGCTGTTTTTTCGTCTTTCTCCACAAAGCGACTAATAGCTTCGTTGAGGCCAAGCTCCGGAAGTAAAGACAAATTCATGGATTTTAGCAGATTTTGCACCATTACCTGCACACCAACGTCATCGCCTCTATTCGCATCTAAGGAATCCATGTCCAGAAAATTTTGGACTTTCCTAGTGGACTGTTTTTTTCTCTTGTACAGTTGGATGACATTATTGGTATTGGCGACTTTGCCTACAAACCTGTTACTAAACCTTCTCGCGTTCTCCACCTGGTAATCAAGACCTTGCTCATCCTTGGCACTATAATCTACGCGAAGTCTAATCAATGGGAGTTCCGAAGAGGGGATAATCTCTTCCGATCTCTCTGCGCCAGTATCGATATTTCCGCCACGGCCCTCAATGATCATATCCTGCACCTCCCGCTGCAAAAATTTAGTGACGGAATCACGATCGTGGGGCTTGAGGCCTGGTACCTCCTTCAGCGAGACGTCTCTCATGATAAATCGACGTGCAGTGCTCAACGGTATACCTTCTAAGTTTGGTTGTTTCCCGTTTTCTATTTCCAAGATGAAAACTTGCTTCTCCTTTGATTCCGCCTCGCATAATGAAGTGGCCACTGATGATCCTGGTTGCAGAACGTCAAATCCTTTGGATGGATTGTGCACCAGGTGTGGTATGCATTCGTGTTCGTGGCCCCAGACTACGAGATTCAAAAAGTCGGGTAGAAACTGCTCGGGTAAAAACGCTGTGTTGGTATGACCCGTGTGGTTTTGATGCAGGCACATTATGCTAAACCACTCACCATCTCTAACAGCAGGAACATTAAACTTTACTCTGCCCTCTTTGAAAGTTCGAAATAGTCGTTCGTCTCGCACTGAGGCCATTCCATATAAAGCTAGTTTTGTATTGCCCTTTTGAAAAAGTAATGGCGTTATCTCGATATTATCGCTTTCCATGACTTTGCCAAAGTGATTGACTAATCCGCTGATTTGAAGAATATCCATTGGGCTCAGTAACTCATTGCCCGATGCATCATCGTGATTTCCTGAAATACCGAAAACAGGAATTGAGACGTTCATATTAGGATCTTCGTAGTTAACGTCAGTAAACTCGTCGTATTTGAAAACCATTGACGGATCACTAAGAAGTTCAAGCTCGCAGGGCTTGTCTCCCATACAGTTGAGACGCAGGCATTTCATGACATGGTAGAGTGCCTTTTTTGACGGCTTGTTGGCGTGGAAGAGATCTCCGCCTTGTAGGACCATATCTACGTTTTTTTCGCGAGCTAAAGACATTATTTCCGCGAACGTCTTCCATGCATCATCGCCAACTATTGGATCGTTTTCGTTGTATCCAACATGATTATCTGAAGTGACTAGAATCCGAATTGTATTGGGACCAGGATACTCCAACATTACACGCAACTCTCTTTAAAGTTCAAACAAACACTTGCTGATGCGAGTTATCGATCGCTTGAAACTTGAAAGATCGGTGGCATCAATGGTTTTTGACTTGCTCATAATCTTTTTCAAAGGTTTCAAATTATAAAGTATATTTAACTGTCTCTCAATTTCCCTGACGTGATATTAAAACCACTTAGCAGAAGAAGGACAAGTGTTCCGGAAGCCTGTGCACTTAACCTTACTGAGCTCCTGAGATGACCAAAGATATACCTTTCTACAGCACGAACGAAGACCCGGGGGTCCTACGTATTTTCTTGATCAGGCACGGCCAAACAGCCGAAAATTCTCAAAAGATCCTTCAAGGTCATCTCGACACAGACTTGAACGAAATAGGAATAGAGCAAGCTCAAAAACTGGGCCAGTATCTCAAGCAGAATCGAAAAATCAAGTTTGATCAAGTTTTCAGCAGCGATCTGAAAAGGTGCCAGCAAACGACTAAAGAATTCTTGGGTGAGTACCCAGAGACAGAGAGACCAGAAGTGCAATTACAGTATGGGCTGAGGGAACGTTCGATGGGCGAGATCCAAGGCATGTTCTTGAGCGACGCCGAACAATACGCAGAGAAGCGCGGCAAAGCTTCTTTCCGGGATTTTGGCGAAACGCCTGACGAGTTCCAACATCGGCTCACGCAAACGGTATCCGAAATTGTTCAGGGCAGCCAAGATTCGCAGAATATAGCAATTGTCAGCCACGGAGGTTCAATCAGACAACTTTTGAAATGGTTCAATTATACGGAACACGACATGCACCGCATAATTGTATTCAACACGTCCTGTACCATTATAGACTATCACAAACAGAGTCACAAGTTTGGAGTCAAAAGAGTCGGGAACACTCAGCATCTGGGCGGTGGAGAGTTCATTGTTAGTGACCTACGTCTACGCTGAAATCGAGCAGCTAAGAGAGTTTCTAGTGCTCTTTTTCTGTTCACAAACATAGAGCCAAACTACCGATGGAATAGATAAACGTACATATAGAAATATACGCGATGATACAGCTAAAAGTAGGTTTATGATGAATCGGTGCCAGCGGAAACCGGCGTCTTTAGTCTGAGGTTTTTCTGGCTTATATCAGTCACATGTGCTGACGATGGAAGTGGCTATTAAGGTTATTTCACAGCCATCAAGTAAACCTCACATTGAACCAACAAACACTCTTCTAGCGGTTAGTTTAACGAATTAAATAATTCTGCAATGTGGAAGGCTGTTGTAGATGCCTTTAACGGTCATGGGGATAAACCCGAGAGCCACAAGGGAGGCCAGACCTACGACTTCGAGCAAATCAGATCGTTCGTGAACTCAAGGGACAAATCGAAAACCATTATCGATGTGAGAGAGCCAAGCGAATACAGCGAATGCCACATTCCAGGCGTTCATAACATGCCATTCAAGACTGAACCTTTGGCATTGTCGAAGCCTTCTGTAGAGTTTAAGCAAAACTTTGGGTTCGAGAAGCTCGTCAAGGACCAGGAGCTAGTCTTCCTTTGCGCCTCCGGTTTCAGAGCGGGCAAGGCCAGAGATGAGGCATTGGAAGCTGGCTACAAGGTGGTCAGTGTGTATCCTGGTTCCATGAACGAATGGATCGCAAAGGGCGGTGAAAAGGCATGAAACACTATGCAAAAGCCGATGGCACGCTATTGTCATGGTAATCTAGGGACACATTTTCGAATTGTGCATTGCGAAAATATACACTATTTCCTCAACAAATGAAGAATTCGACGAAGGCGTACTTGACGAAAAAGTGTACACATTTCTTGGTGATGATCTACTGGGTGCCGCGGCCGCTACTTGTGCTGAGATGATCTCCAATGGTTTAACGACAGCATTCGTTTTTCGTTTCACGACAATGGCATAATCTATAGTACATGCTGTAAGGCGCTACCTTCGTCAAATTAAACATATGCTTATGTAAGAAACACATATAGATTAATTTATGTCATGTGACTTTCACATGGCAGATCCCCATTTTCCGTTATAAGTGATACCAGAAAAGTCAAGTTGCTGAGGTTTGGGCAGATAATGTAGAAGGTACGTTTGGGTGTGCTATGCCTAGCGTAGAACAGGTTAGTGGAGCAAGGATGTTGAGATCTGTATTCGGGGCCAGTAGAGCTGGAGCATTTTCCAGAAATTTGAGTACCAAAGTACCCAAAGTGTATCAGTTCGAGGATATAAAGGCACTAGTTCGTAAACCTGATTTTCACAAGGTGTTAGTGGACGTCAGAGAGCCTAGTGAGCTTCAACAGTATGCGATGCCAACAGCGATCAATTTGCCCTTGAAATCGGCTCCGGGCGCGCTAGGACTCTCGCCAGAAGAGTTCCAAGACGTTTTCGACCTTCAGAAACCATCCACAAACCGCGAACTCGTTTTCTTCTGTGCGGCAGGCGTCAGGGCCAAAGCGGCTGAAGAGTTGGCACAATCTTACGGCTACGAAAAAACAGGGATCTATCCAGGATCGATCAACGATTGGCTAGCGAAAGGTGGCGATAAAATAAAGCCCGAAACCTAAGCATCGCAACTTGTTTCTCTTTCAACGTCCGTGAGTTTTCCTGTAAATAGTTATCATCAAATGAAATTATAATCTACATAATGCGACTTTCTTAGAACCCTTGGTCGCCCTTAGCGATCGTGGAACGAAAATTGCTTGAATTCTTTACCCCGTCTCTTCTTACGCTTCCTGTCCATCACCTTTTCTCTCTGCTTCGCCTTCATGTGGTCAAATTTGTATTTCTGGATCACTTTACGCTGCTCGGACTTTTTTAGATGAAACTTGGTCTTGTTGCCCTTGTTCATGTTTGACTCGTAATCCTTTAAGATTTTTCGGTCCAGGTCGCGGTTTTGTAGCGTTTGGAGTTTCGACTTCATACTCATGAGCCTTTGCTCCATATCGTCTCTCTCGCCATCGCTGATCTTATTCAAAAATTTGCGATCCTTTAATAGTGAGCTGAGTTCTTCAATCTCTTTCTGCCTGTATTCGTCGAGGAATTTGTACCTCTTGCGTATACTTTCGTAGTCCTCCGATTTACCCAGTGACTTGTCAAAGCGAATATCTTGATACAAGTTCTCATTTTGACTTTTAGGAGTTTCAAGGCCTGGTATCTTTCTAAACTTTGGGGCTCTCTTCTTGGCTGACTGCTCTGTAGGTGCATGGCTTTTCTTCTTTCTTGTTTTGCGATCGCCTTGGGATCGACTAGAGCTTCTACCATCTTCCTCCTCTTCGAAAAGGCCCTCCTCGTCAGAAGAGGCTTCTGAAGCGTCGTCAAAGGACTCCTCTGTGAATGTTTTTAGCGACGTTGGTTCTTTTTCCTGACGATCTCTCGAGCTAGGCAGCTTTGATCCTCCTGCACCGTTTTTGTTTCGTTGAGCACTTCGCGTCTCCTGCTCTATCTGAGCTTCTGCTTTTCTCAAGGCATCAAAAGAAAGGGTTGAGAGCCCGTCATCGCTGTCGTGTTCCTCTTCTTCATCGTCCCGAACATGTCTTTTAGAGAGCGTGCTCAGCAGCTCATCATCTTCTAAGTCTTCGTCAGACTGATAGCCTGGTTTGATGTTTTTGAAATAGTATGACATACAAACGGCCCAGGCAACACGGGTAGTAGTTGATCTCGAGCACTATCAACTGCTCTATCGTCCATAAGCTCATCCACTACCAGCATGTACAACCTCATCGCTCACTTTTTTTACATTAATATCGCTTTGCCGCAAACTGACGTTATAACGAAATAAAAGTTAGCTTCGCGATGAGCGCAGCACCAAGTCCCAAGAAGCCATCAAACTACGTATGCAGCGCAACATAACACTCAAAAGCTTTCGAAGCTTTACTCTTTTTAATATCTTATATACAGTAACCCTTGCATTTTTAGCACCGGACATTCAAACTTTATTGAGACTCTATGCTCTCTTTCAAGCGCAGCTTACGCGAGTGTCTATCGAAGTAGTTGCCCAGCTCCTTGAAAGTCATACCGCTAGGATCCACTTCCATTTCAGTCTTATCTTTGAATGTGATTTTTACAATGGGCTTTTTAGTCGAATCCATTGTAAGTAGCTCATTTTGGATAGAAACGCCAGACATGCGCTGGGCAGGCGGGATAGCACTGAGGAGAAGGCGTGCACATTTCGCTTGGTAATAGATCAGTTAGTATTTAGCTCCAGTCGAGGTTATCAGAAAAAGGACATAGAAAGCCATCAAACATACCTTCTTTCCCGAATGGATTGAATCTCACGACAACTTTCGTGAAGTACTTGGTCAGCATCTTGCAGACGATGTAACGAAAAGGCCTATGTCGTTATTTTAGGACCGCACTTGTAACTTGGGCGCTAGTAGCCTATACTCAAGCTAGTCACATTGGCGTTGTCAGTACCTGAATTGGTTTTGAAGATGATAGAAAATTGGTTTAGCGTGTAAGGTGATTTGACAACGAGTACATAGAGCAGCATCTCTTTTAAGTGTAATGTTTAACTTACTGTGAAGGCATGCATCAGTGGGCAAAGCATCCGATATCTGATTGATGATATCATAGCTCATCGCGTGCTAATTTTCTATCTTGAGTTCCCTTTTTCTTGTTGTTTTTCTTGTTTGTGCTTTTTGTATTGGTTTTGAGGGCATCCAGATATTCTTGCCGTTTGGTGAATGGACCTTCGCGTGGTTGGGCCCACAGGGATAGAAAGCCCCCGATATTCCGTTTATCAAAAGATGTGCCATCATAAAGATGGTAGTCTTTGGTCGCAGTGTCAAATAATACTAGTTTGCTAGTCTCAGAGTCAGCTTGCGTTTTTTGCAATTCCAGTAGAAATTCTCGAAATTCGCCCGATAAACCACTCAATTGGTCTTCTGACGCATGCAGTTTCGAGTTGAGGAAGATGTGGTAATCGATGATGCCCAGCCAGTCCAGCGCTAAACTCTTGTACAATGGAGAAATTTTGTCTTTCTTGGAGAACAGGATAGCCTTAAGACGCGAATTCTCGTTTTTGCTTAGCAGATCTACCAGTTTTTCTACCCTTTGGATCCTGGTCACATAATTTTTGACACGAGAGACGCAGAAATCTACAAGAGGTTTGAGCTTTCTTTCGCCCTTGTAAACCTCGCTGGCATGGTTACCCAGTAACGGTCTATCTGCAGCATCTTTGTTAAGGTCGAATTTAGGTGGACGAAACACCATTAGCGTTGGGAACCCCTCCACACGGTGCTGGGCGCAAAGTTGTTTATTCTTGGCCTCATCGCAATTGACGCTGGCGACCTGTACTATCCCGTCTAAGTTCTTTGCAGCCTTCTTCATAATTCCAGTCAGTTGTTGACAGTAGCCGCACCATGGGGCATAGAACTCCACCAGTGTGGTGTAATTAGTCCTGTGTACCACTTTGTCGAATGTCTTAGGTGTAAGCTCGATGATATCCGCATTTTGATCGTAAAAATTACGACCAATTGCCAACTGAAAGCTCACGAGCGCTAGACAGATTTGTTGAAACTTCATGGAGACCACGTTCGAAGGCGGTGGATGTTAGCGCTGCTAAATGATCTATCCTCCATTAGCTCAGATTTCAGAGGAGGTTGATCTATGAAAGCCACATGATCGATGAAAGTATGAGCTACACCCAATTTACGAACGAGTACAGGTGTACTCAGTTCATCGGTCGATCATATAAGGTAGTCAAGTAAGGGATAATCAAGGTCAGATCAAAAAATATCGCAGCTTGAGCTCAGAAATCATGACTGGTGACTCGAGCTCACCATTTGCTTTCTACGCTTTTGACCAGCTTTACTGTGTTTTGAAATCCGATTCGGGACCCAAGCTTTCATTTGATGCAATAAGACAGTTATTTCCAAGTTACGCGATAGAAGGCAAGAGAACAGATGAAAAAACGTCTCTTTTCATCACCTGGAAGAAACGTTCGGGAAGTAGCAGAGATGGTGTTTTGCGTGGATGTATTGGGACTTTTGCCAAACTTCCTCTTTTGAAGGGAATCGAAAAGTACTCTCTTGTTGCAGCGCTACAGGATCACAGATTTCCCCCGATTACAGAAAAGGAGTTGCCGAAACTGACATGTAGTTGTAACATCCTTCATAGCTTTCACGCTATCTTCAGTGATGGGAAGGGTGATATATTCAATTGGGACCTAGGTACTCACGGTATCGAACTCACTTTTAGAGATCCTAGCAGCAATCGTATCATGAGTGCTACGTTTCTCCCTGAAGTGATGCCCGAACAGCATTGGGACAAGAGGGATACCTTCAGAAACCTTATCGAAAAGGCTGGCGTTTGGAAGGATGTCGATTCCTTGATGAATCACTACGAAGACTATTTCATCGAAGTTATTCGCTACGAGGGCGACAAAAGTCAAATTGGATTCGATGAATTTAAGCGCCTACGTGATGGTGTTTAAATCATAACTCATGAACTTTGTCAGGCACTGAGTCTTCCAGCTGAAGGCAATCTCCATGGGGTTCTTCACATCACCTCGTTGCCGTGGGCCTAAGCTTTTATCTTTCTAGCGCATTCCATTCGTTGACGCTAATTGGGTGCGCGGTCATTGCTCAGCCTAGCAACAGACCTGCATACCTTCGAATGAAACGAAAGCATTTTGCCGCCATTAAACCTTCGTTGGTTCTTTTATCTTCCCGAATACCCTGTACCACTGTCAAATCAGATGCGCCATTTGTAAGAGCGGTTGGGCGATATAATGCGCTCGATGGAGACCGATCTACGTAGTGCAGAATCGCCGAGCGCGAACTGTGACTTAGCTTTCAGACATCAGCGGCCACTGTACCCTCCATGAACGCTACGAAAAATATAATATTGTAAAAAAAATCGACAACTGCAGGATTCGAACCTGCGCGGGCAGAGCCCAAAAGATTTCTAATCTTACGCCTTAACCACTCGGCCAAATTGCCTTCAACTGTGATATTGATGCAGTTTCTTTAGTATCTACACTTTAGCAAATAGCACGGGATGATTATCTAGCATGGTAAGACGGCACGATTTAGGGCTGAAGAGCTTCAAGTTTGATAGACTAAGAGGCGCTGATCGATTGATTTTAAGATACCATGGTTTCCATGATTGAGGAAACTATAAACGAAGCACGCTTACTGTTTTCATATACGGAGTCACGAAGTGATAATAACTTTTAGAAGAGGTCTTCAGTAGCAGCCGAGGAAGTCTACTCTGGATGAAAGATACAACCTGATGAGCGGAAGAAAAATGGTTCATGGTGAAATAAGATAAAATTTGTACATCTCACTTCACCGTGATGTGTACACACGAATTAGCTACAGTGACGTTCGTAAACCTTTAAAATATCATGTGCTTATGCACCTTTCGTTTCAAGTATGATATACATGTTTTTAATTTCGTTCTTGACATTAAGTTTTTCAATTAGTCCATTGTCAATTCAGTACAATATTATACATTGAGAGAATGCGTTGTAGCTGAGTGTAAAAGGGCTAGCCAAAACCTGCCCACTCGATGGAAAAAAACGACACATCTTTCTCAGTCTCTCCTTCTTCACGTAATTTTACACCTGCCACGACCCACAATTTCTTGACACCTGTTCCTAGCCTGCCTCCGCTAACTACTTGCAGAAGGTTAAGTGGATCACGGCTGTAGTCTAGAGCCGGCTGCACAGTCATATGGGAGTGATACCTCAGTGGATCACCAGGATAGGCTATAAACCTGCCGCCGAACCTTGCACCCGGGGACAGGAAGTAATTTTGCGATTTTAAGGCCTGGTAAACGTAGTAGTCTCCGGAATTTTTGAGGCCGTTGTAAAGTTCTTTCCAAAGCTTTTGTTGGTGCGACGAATTGTGGTCAGCCATTTTTGGCACCAACTCTGACGTGCTGGGTGTTTCGACGAAAAGTGAAGACTCCAGTAGAGTAGAAGAAACTCTTCCCTCGTCGACTGGCAACCCTAGTTTAGCTAGTTTTTCGGCATGCTGTTGTTGTTTAAATGATCGTTGCTCTTCAAAAGAACGCTCCTGTTCGCGCAGCGTGCATTCCATTTCCCCCAAAGTTATCGTCTCGGCTGCAGCTGTGACGCTTTCTGGCCCGGTGATGAAAAACGCCATTCCGGTCTCAACAAGCCACAAAGCTTCTTCCACCATAAGCCGTAGCGGTACACTTAAGAATCCATTTTGTTGCGCTGCCGATGGCAAGGTACCACTTAGTATTCCTGATGTGCCCGAATTTCGAAGTTTCCTGATGTCGTCTATGCTAAAGACCAATGGTGTTGCACCATCATTTCCCTTCACGAGACTGATGGCAACTTTGGTATGATCATCCATCTGTGGTGACGCTACCTGTCTGCCTCAAATGACCGCAATCTTGCCGATTCCCGTTGACTCTTGTGAAGCAGCTCATCGCATCTTCTCCATTCAACAAGATATCAGATGATCAGGAATAGCTTTAAGTGCTGATCCACGTATATTACGACCGATGGTAAGCCGCTTAGACCTAAATGCTGTTGTAACGGACTTGTGATGCGGCAACTACGGGCCATGATCTTATGTGGTAGACTAGACCTTGCTACAACATGATCCTCATTCTTGTTGAATCGGCAGTCTCCTTTTAAATCGAGAAGTCTTTTCCGTGAGTTGGCTTCAAAAACCAAGGCCTTCACCGCTCAAAGGTGTCTTTTGCATGCTACCAAACGATAGATCGCTGTCAGACACTCTTTGAATACGAAAGTGTTGGGATAGAGTGATCAAGACAGAAGGATTCCAATAGCTCTTTGACAGCGTTGACTTGGCTCATGATACAATTTACGGCCGTGGTTTCAAGATTTGTCTCACGTACAAGCGGTGCTACTGTTGGACGCCCTTGGCAGTCTTTCAACCAGAGTAGATGTTGAATGTGCTATCAGCTTCTGTCAACCGCTAGCATCCGAGCATTCCAAAGCCTTTCTAACGCTTATAGTGCTGTCATACTATGGTGACATTGTGAAAGCGAAGCATCAGATCAGGGTGAGTCACCTCTGTGTTTGCCTCTCCATTGTTCGCGTTTCTACTGTCCACTACGCTGGATTAATTTTCATGTCATGCTAATTTGTTCATCTAACCCAGTGGCTTAAAAACATGATGTGACAGCTGCGAAGCGGCTTTCGCCTTGAGCAGTGATAATCGGGGCTCCTTGTTCTGGAAAAGGTCATCCTAAGGCTGAGCTTGCTCAATTATCAATTCAAACCAGCCTTCTTCAGCTTATGAAACGCGCTTTCTCTGAACCACAGACTGCAAATATACTCATAATGCTGTAGATTACCACTGCTATTGCGATAAAGCTCTCTTTATCCTCTTAAAATCAGCACGGCAACATGTGAACAAGGATTTGAGCCCGTTTTCAAGAAGATCATATGCAGGTAAACACGGTGCTTTTATTCCTCAACGCTCCTGTGATTTTGTTCCTCGAGAAAGTGGACCCCTCTGTCGCGAATTCTCTTGGACCCTATCCACGCAGGGAAAAAGGGTGCTGCGCTATTAGCCTATCTGCATCAAGATAATTGAAAAACTGCGGTTTTCGTTGTTACCCTCAATGTACAAATGATGAGCTACCCGAGTACGTCGAGGCTCAGCTGTTGCCGCATGCCCGCACACAATCTGTGCAGGATAACGTTTGCGAAGCGCGGAAACAATTAGATTGTCAAAAGCGTCGGCATGCTGCGTCTACAAGGAAATCAGCCTCACTCAACTTCAGAAAATATTATTGATATAGGTTGGGATATTTCTACAAGTTCTCATAACATATGCAGCAAACGTGAAAAGTCAAGAGCGTAGGTTTGAGTCCCGATTAAACAAATCTAGAACTCGCTAACATATTTTTGTCAGTTGCCAATTGTCAGTTGCCAACAACATAACTCACTGAGAATCAGTAGGGTTCGTTTCGTCGGGAACTCATATCTCCTGGGCCAAAGTGTCTATTAAACCCGATTCTGGTATTCAGATCAGGGCACGTGATCGAATTAGAGGCTGAATATTTCAGGGAAGAGGTACTGAAGGTTTCCATAAAAGGCTGTGATTATAATTTGAGAACTATCCAAAAGCAGGCCAGAGACTGCTTCACAGGCCTCTGTAAACCGAATTCCAAGCTCTCAAAGTCGAATTTCAAGCTCTCAAATATAAGTACACTTTGAGCAGTGCCATTTGATAGGGCGATCGTCAACACTCTTCAGAACTTTTGTCAACTTTTCCGCATCGCATTCGCCTTTTTCGGTTTCAGCATCTGCATAATGGCGTCGACGGAGAATGGCTCGAAAGACTTTCAGCTCAGACCAGAACAGCTGGCCGAGCTGCATGATCCCAAGTCGCTTTCAGCATTCAGCAGCTTATTCGACCATGATCCTGCCAATTTTTGCAAGTATTTGAAGACGGATGCCGTCAAGGGCTTAAATATACAAGATGAAGACGTCACTCAAACCGCTCGATATGAGCTGTACGGGGATAATAGGATTCCGCAGCGTAAAGCTAAGCCTTTTTGGAGACTGGCATGGGAGGCTTTCCATGACCAGACCATGATTCTACTGTCGGTAGCAGCAGTTGTGTCTTTTGCTCTGGGTCTTTACGAGACTTTGGGTCAACCAGCAGAGTACGACCATGAGGGTAAAAAAATCACAAAAGTTGACTGGGTGGAAGGTGTAGCTATCATGATTGCCGTTCTAGTTGTTATTTTGGTAGGTTCAGCAAACGATTATCAGAAAGAACGCCAATTCGCACGATTGAACGAGAAAAAAACCGATCGCGAAATAGTGGTGATGAGGGGAGGCGATGAACATCTTATTTCAATTCATGATCTTTTGGTTGGCGATGTGATCACCCTGCAGACAGGCGAAGTGGTCCCCGCAGACTGCATTCTTGTGGACGGAAATTGCGCGTGCGACGAATCTGCATTAACCGGTGAGTCTGAAACGATAAAAAAAATATCATTGGAACCAGCTTTCAAAAAGTATAAAGAGCTCTCTGCAAATGATGCAGGCATCGACATTGGCGGGCGCTTCAAGGGTGAAAAGGTTCCAGATCCATTACTTATCTCAGGCTCGAAGCTCCTCTCCGGTTTGGGACGGGCCGTAGTCACCTCGGTAGGAGTACACTCGGTAAATGGTAGAACAATGATGGCACTCAAAGTAGAGCCAGAATCAACTCCTTTACAGGAAAGACTTGACGGACTCGCCAATAGCATTTCCGTTTACGGTTCGGTTGCGGCACTCATATTGTTCATTGTTCTTTTTGGCAGATTTTTGTCCTATTTACCGTCGGGAAAGAAATACCACGAACTGACTCCAGCCCAAAAGGGTTCTAAGTTCATGAATATTTTCATTACCGCAGTAACAGTCATAGTAGTGGCCGTACCGGAGGGGCTGCCTTTAGCCGTAACGTTGGCTCTAGCTTTTGCGACAACGCGAATGACCAAAGATGGAAATCTTGTGAGAGTTCTTAGAGCTTGCGAGACGATGGGCTCGGCAACTGCTGTCTGTTCTGATAAAACAGGTACTTTGACTGAAAACCGAATGACGGTAGTGAGGGGATTCATGGGAACCACATTCTTTGATGAGGCTGAATCATCAGAGTCCTCGACGGAGGGGAATGATGTTGAAGAAGTTCTGACTAGAGATTGCGACGAAAGACTCAGGAAAGCTGTTTTAACAAACATTGCGCTCAACTCCACCGCTTTCGAGAACAAGCAGAGTACAGAAGAAGCCGAGTCGAATGACAATCCTTTTCACAAATCAGCCAAGTCCTTGTTTCCTTGGAGCCGGAACAACAAGCAACAGAAGAGTTCTACAAATGATGTCATTGATAATATCGATAGCATTGAGAGAGAACCATTCATCGGTTCCAAGACCGAAACAGCTTTACTTTCGTTCGCCAAGAAAAATTTGGGGATGACTGATTTGCACGCTCTAAGAGATGATCCAAAAATTCTGGGCATCAAACAAATTGTTCAGATTATTCCTTTTGAGAGTTCAAGGAAATGGGGCGGCATAGTGATTAAAAATGAGGATGGCCTCTATCGATTTTATATTAAAGGCGCCGCGGAGCTGCTATTGAAGAGATGTGGTCAGATGACCGATTCTGCTGGAAACACAGATATCCTGTCTCCGGAAGCACAGGAGGAAAAAAGCGAAATTATACGGAATTTGGCTGCCAATGCCCTTAGAGCCATATCAATTGCTCACCAAGATTTTCCTGATTGTCATAACTGGCCTCCGCAACACTTGAAAGATAGCATCGATCCAAATATTGCCTCACCAGATCTTATTTTCGGGCAGGACCAGGCTCAAGATGAACTTTCCAACACGCGAGACACAACTACCTCAAGTCTAGGAAATGCATTCACATTGGATGCGATTGTTGGGATTCAAGATCCGCTCCGGAAGGGCGTTAAAAAGTCTGTTGAACAATGCCAAAAAGCAGGCGTGACGGTAAGAATGGTAACAGGTGACAACATTCTGACGGCCACGGCTATTGCTAGAAACTGTAGCATTTTGTCACCAGAAGAGAGTAGGGACCCTGAGAGTGCTATGGAAGGCCCCAAGTTTCGAAAACTATCCCAGAAAGAGCGCGTGAGAATTTTGCCCAAGCTTCGAGTCCTCGCCAGATCTTCACCTGAGGACAAACGGATTTTGGTTGAAACGTTGAAGAAGATGGGCGATGTGGTTGGTGTTACCGGCGATGGTACTAATGATGCCCCAGCATTGAAACTTGCAGATGTTGGCTTCTCGATGGGTATCACGGGAACTGAAGTTGCAAGGGAAGCCTCCGATATTATACTGATGACAGATGACTTCACGGCGATCGTTAATGCAATCAAATGGGGAAGGTGTGTATCCACATCCATCAAGAAATTCATTCAATTCCAGCTCACGGTCAATATCACGGCAGTTGTCTTGACATTTGTTTCCGCCATTGCTTCAAGTGAGGAAAGCTCTGTGCTAACTGCAGTACAGTTGCTATGGGTCAACCTTATCATGGACACATTAGCTGCACTTGCGTTAGCAACCGATAAGCCAGATGAGCACATTCTTGAGCGAAAGCCAAAGGGCCGTGAAGCTGTTTTGATTGCAGTCTCTACATGGAAGATGATTCTTGGCCAGGCCACTCTACAGCTTGCCGTAACTTTCACTTTGCATTTTGCAGGCGCGAAAATATTCTTCCCTCATAAAAAGGTCTTAACAGGTCACGAATTACAGCAGCTAAATGCCATGACCTTCAATACATTCGTTTGGCTACAGTTCTTTAAGCTCATAGTGACCAGGAAACTCGACGAGGCGGACGGTATTAAAAATGTGCGTGATAGGATCACTAAGTCGAATCTAGATTTTTTTCAAGATCTTTTCCGCAACTATTACTTTCTGGTTATCATTGTATTCATTGGAGGCTTTCAGGTTCTAATCATGTTCGTCGGGGGCGCTGCTTTTTCCATCGCTAGACAAACCCCTGCGATGTGGGCCACTGCCATAATATGCGGTCTACTCGCGCTTCCCGTGGGTGCTCTGATTAGAATTATTCCTGATGAGTGGGTGCTTAAAGTATTCCCTGCTAAAGTGGTGAAAGCCATGTTGTACGTTCTTGGATTCAAGTTTTTGAAAAGATCCTCCAGAAAGTCGGAAGACGAAGAGTCTTTACTTGCTCAAGATGCTGACGCTACACTCGTGAGCTCTTCGGCTTTTGAAAGGGCTCGAAATGAGATGACATTCGCGAAGGGTCATTGTATTGAGGGTAATAGATTGAATCCAATCCATGCATTCAAAAAGTGGAGGCGGAGCAGTTCATCGACTGGCTCTGATGTTGAAGACCGCTCTTTCATCGCCTCCGTTACTATGGTGCCTACCCTAGTGGGTGGCGCTGTGGGTGGGTTTTCCCATATTTCCGTCAATGGTAATGATGAGCTGGATAGGAAGTCGGCTTAAAGAACGACGTACCAGCTTCCTATCATACCGCAAACCTACCCATTGGCTCAAACTTGTAATATATATACACACACACACACATTAATTTATAGGTTTGGTTTTGTTAGAGGAAAGTTGAGTCGATATTCTTCTTTTGTAGATACTGTTCGGCTTCTGCTCTGATGCGGTCCACGAAAACGTCGTATGCCGAGCCAAATTTGGCGAGACACTTGAAAGCATTTCTGAGCTCCTCATACTTTAACACTTTATCCAAAAGCGCAACATTCCGGCTTGCTGGGGTCTCTTCCGTCAGACATCTTTTGAAATCTGCACACAAAATATCTCCCAGTACATTTAGGGAGTCCTCGAAATCAGCCAAGGTTACCGTTTGGGGAATTTCGTCCTCACCGATACCTTCAAAAGAAGCGATCACTATGGCTCGAAGATCTGCCAAACATACCGAGACTTTGATTAGTCTATTTTTGACCAGATTCAGATCTTGCAATGCCTGCACTGACTTCGCATTGTCCGTGCTCCCTTTTGGATTCTGATCTTCTAGCTCAGTTTCAACCTTTGCTATGCCGTCTTTTAGGTCTTTGACGGAGTTGCTCAGGGTGTCCAAGTAATACTGAAGTTTTGTGGTGCGTTCGACTTCGGTATTTGCATTGGTGTAAGTCAAAAGTTCTGTTGGCTTTCGAAGCTTTCGTATCTTTGACTCTAATTGTGTTGTCAACCGGTCTGTATACAGATCTAGTCTGGATAGTAGCGTTGATGATATTGATTGTAGGCCACCTATTTGTTCGTCCGGCGACAACAGTAGGTCTATGTAACCAAAGGAGACAAACTGCTCGTCGAAAAACATTCTTAAAATCTCGTCATCACCGGACAAAGTTGAGCTAGACATTGGCCGGGTCCAAGCTTTGATATTCACGTATTCAGAACTTGGACATATACAATCTTATGGTGGTTTCGATCAGAATACGTTTGATGGTCATCAATAACGGATTAAAACGTACTGAAGAAAGATGAAGATGTTGTGTGAGTTAAAATCGCCATTTCCACAGTTGTTTAGCCGCCATCTTTTCGAACTCTCCGTCCAGATCCAGTGTAGTCTGTGTTTTCATCTCCATCGCAGCTTTCACTGATTTCATGAAGACGTAGGTGGTCTTGCTTATGACACATCAGAATGTAAAGAGGGCTGTCAGTCTTCGAAACTTCCATGTTATAAAACTTCCCGCCCAACGGTCTTAGCACAGCATACCTTTTTCTCTATTCCGGGCACCCTCTGCCAGATCACCTTAAAAACCAAAAGAAGCCCAGGTTGCGTCACTGTAAGTAATTTTCAAAGCAAGAGAGGCTTGAATTGGTAATGCGGCACAGCCGTTCTATCTCTCCACAGCCTTTCTGCCCCGGAACTTCATTTCCAAATAGGCCTTTGCGGTTTTCAGCGAATAAAGGTTATTTCAGACTTTTTAAGGCGCTTTTCAAAATCAACATACCTACAGACCGCAGACCATTTATAAACTCAGCAAACAAAAGCGGCGTAGTCTAGTTTTGTTGTGGCGGGTCTTTGATCGGAAAACAGCTCTGTTCGTCAGGCTCTTGTGGCGCTCCAACTGGCGTTAGCTTTTACGCGTCCCTCATCTGATACGCGTAATAAAGTAATAATTTCTGTATAAATTGCATATATATATATATAATAACATCTATAAATCCATTCAGAACGCCTTTCATACTGTCTCTCTGACAAAGCAAACCAAGCAGAAACATAAGCAGCTCGATTTTGACTGAAAGAGAGACGCACAAAATGTCTAATGTGCAATTGAGCGAAGGCGTCATTCGTTCGATTTTTACGAATGTGGAAAAATATCACAATCCAACAGGCGGAATCTTTCAGTGCCATAGAACACGAAAGAATGACCCCTCTGTTCAACCCAACAGGAAAAACTTGATTGTGATCTCGGATGGTGCTGTGAGAGTGAAAGCGTTGTTGAGGAATGAAGCGGTTCGGAAGGCACGCGAAATGGAACTAAACGTGGGGGACATTTTCCAAATGACGCGTGGGGAGCCTGCGATCGTGAAAGAGAAAAAGAAGTATGTGGTGCTAATCGACGATATTGAGATCTTGGAACGCGGTGTTGAACTTCGTAATCCTGGCTCTGATCTTATCGACAATTATCTCAGTGCTCATCCTGGAGAAGTAGTGTCGTTGGACGAGCCTCTTCAACAAGCAGTTCCAGCTGCTGTGCCCCAGCCTCAGCCTCAGCAACAGCAACCACAGCAGTATCAGAATACGCCACAATATGCACCACAACAACATCAGTATAATGGTGGAAGAAATGGTACAATTCAGCCAACTTCGTCCCAGAAAAGCAGGCCCATATTTGCCATAGAACAGCTTTCTCCATACCAGAATATGTGGACCATTAAAGCAAGAGTGTCATTCAAAGGTGATATAAAGACCTGGAGTAACCAGAAAGGCGAAGGCAAGCTGTTCAACGTTAATTTACTAGACACTTCAGGCGAAATCAGAGCAACCGCATTCAATGACAACGCTGTGAAATACTACGAACTTTTACAGGAAGGGAGGGTTTATTACGTTTCCAAAGCGCGAATCCAGCCCTCAAAACCTCAATTTTCTAACTTGTCACATCCTTATGAACTGCAGCTGGACCGCGACACGGTGATCGAAGAATGCTACGATGAAGTGGATGTTCCAAAAATGAATTTTAGTCTAGTTAAAGTGAACGCTGTGGAGACAATGGAACCTAGTTCAACTATCGACGCGATTGGGATCATTCAAACTGTGAATCCGCCCTTCGAGATTACATCGAAAGCAGGGAAGAGGTTTGATCGTCGTGATATCACACTAGTGGACGATACAAATTATTCGGTGAATGTAGGACTTTGGGGTAAGCAGGCCCTTGATTTTAATTTACCCGAGGGCTCTGTTCTTGCAATCAAGGGCGGACGTATAACTGATTTCAACGGGAAAGGACTATCCATTGGATTCAACAGCACGCTGCATCCCAACCCAGAGATACCCGAGGCTTACACACTAAAGGGATGGTTTGACTCTACTGGGCGCAGTCAACAGTTTCATTCATTGAAGCAAGAGCCCTCTGCAGGTGGCGGAAACAAAGCTAAGTTTATCGCAGAACGTATAACTATCGCAAAAGCGCAAGCAGAAAATCTTGGAATGAGTGAAAAAGGCGATTACTTCAACATTAGAGCTGCCGTGAACTTTTTAAAGGTCGACAACTTTGCCTATCCTGCGTGTGCTAATGAAGGGTGCAACAAGAAGGCAATTCAAAACTCTGATGGCACCTGGAGATGCGAAAAATGCGATGCTGACCATGAAAAGCCTCACTGGCGGTATATGCTGACCGTATCTGTGCTTGATGAAACAGGTCAATTATGGATGACGCTGTTCAATGAGCAGGCAGAGCTGTTGATGGGCACGGATGCAGGCACTTTGATTGATTTGAAGGAAAATGATGCTGACGAGTTTACGAAAGCCACGCAAAAAATACAGATGTATCAATACGACTTTAGGATACGTGCTAGAGAAGATCATTACAATGATCAGACGCGTATACGGTATTCTGCCTCCAACGTTCACGCTTTGAATTACAAAGCCGAAGCCGACTTTTTGGCTGAAGAACTTGGCAAGGTGTTTTTGAGCTGATGAATGGTTCCCTACCCTGCGAACCGATTCTCAAACAGAGCTGGGCTTGAAATGATTCATTTTCAAAACGGTGCCAATTTTCTTCGTTGCTGGACTTGTTCAACTTTTCCAATGCAGGAGTTTGTTACTGTATAGTGCAATCATTAAGCAACGACAACGTTGTGTCTCCACATTAACTCACGATGATAGTTATATACTTTGTTTTCAGGAAATTTAGGTATTTAATTCTTCATGCCACTTATCCATAATAGCAGAAAGCTTCGATTCCTGAGCTTGCTCGTTAATATTCTTTAGAGCAGCTTGTATCAATAATCGGATCTTACGATGTTATTGGAAGAGTTTGGTTCGAATTATTGTGCTTATACTTTTGATCAAAATTACCAGGTTTTAATCTACCATCGTTAATCTAATAATCCTTGAATGACCGTTGGAATTAGAAGTGAGATGAGTTAGAACGAGCTGAAAGAACTTGCAATTTGTATAAGCTATACTCTGTGCAAGCATCACGACATTGCAGTAACAAAATCTGCGATTGATTTCTTTCTGCAAACACAAATGTGGACTTGCTAGCTAGCTTCCATTAATTCCTCATGAAAGTTATCAAGAGACATCGATCTATCAAGTCGTGCAAGTATTGCTACGAACACAAGCTTAGGTGCTCGAGAGGGCGGCCATGTACGAATTGTAGAAGACATGGGAAGGTGGCTCTTTGTATTTATGGATTTGACAAGGAAGTAAAGAAACCCCGACCAACTACACAGTCCACTTTCAAACTAGACAATCGAGACTTGTTCGCTAAGTCAGCAACCAGGAATGCACCCGTAACTACACCCGATGATCCAGGTCCCTATTATCCTTTTCTGCAAGAGACTCAACACGTCAGGTCTTCAGGATTAGATCGCTGCAATTCTGCGAGGAGTAGTGATATGAAAAGGAATGCTATCGCTGGCTTTGACAATGTTGGAGAAGCTAAAATGTCGATGGATGCAATCTTAAACATGGTGCCCGAAAGTAAAGCGTCTATGAGTTTGTTGGTAGACAATTACTTCTTTCGCATAAATCCAATTATACCCATTCTGGATCGAGATTCGACTTTGTCACAGGTAAATTCCATTTACGAGAGACACCGATCTGGAAAAGAGGTTGCAGCATGCGACTGCATTATCATGTTCACTATTTTATTCACAGTGGCGTACGCACACGTTGCAGAAGGACAGATACCCGACCTTCTTCTTTGCAACAAGTACTATGCGGCTTTTCAGACACTGCTAATTCACGACTCATATCCTTATAGAACTTCAATCTCCGCCGTACAAGGCGCGTTGATCGTCAACTTTGTACTGGATCCGAACATGACAAGTACCGTTGCACTGTCGGTAGTTCTTCTGCGACACGTTCAGAAATTGGGCATTCATAAGCAGGCAAGATCACTTTCTGGCGGTGTCCCTCGCGACCAAATTCAGTTACAAGCATTATGGCATTTTGTTCTTTATTTTGAAGGATCCTCATCGGTAGTCGCTGGGCTCCCGTTTATGCACACAGAGCAACTGTTTGAATGTGTGAATTTGCCCGAAACTGAATTAAGTGCTGCTCCAGCTCATATGGCGTTCGCTAATGGAAGATTTCTCATAAATCAAATGTTTCGATTAATAATGCTCTGGAAAGATACGGACACCTTGCCCGTGGGCGACGCTCTTGTCACTGTGCGTGAAGGCTTTAAAAAATTGAGTGACAAGGTTGAAGAGTTTTGTGTCAAGATCGAAAATCTGAACAAAGGGGAGGCAGTGTATTTTGTGAGCACTTTGAGAATCTTTCTGTTGAGAGCCTACCTTAGATTTGAAGCTCTTTTTCCTGCTAACGTGGTAAGTCCTCGGCCAATTCTGGAGATTAATGACCAAGATTCAAATTCCTTGCAAGACATCGATCAGGTTTTACACTATGGTACCACAATGAGCCAAGAAACCGTAAAACTCTCCGCGCTGCTGTTATTTTACACCCTAAGGCGTCTTAGTGTAGAAAATTGCTCTAGATTCGCGTGGTATACAAAAGGTTCTACTGTGATGCAGTATCTCTTCATCCTTTTGAAGGCCATTAGTCAAAACCCAAGGGAAGCTTACGATATCAATGTACTCAACTGCGCGCCTTCGGTTGTCACCTCAGAGGATATTGCGGAGTGTGCACTCATCGATCCTGTGAACTTTAAGTACGTTCTTGTGGAAGAGCTTTTCAGTCTACTAGAAATTAGAATAGCTCCGCTATGGGAAGATCGCGATCTTGATTGTTTCCTACTTTTACGGTCGGTCAAAAATAGAGTGTGGGAGCTAAACAAAGAATACATCGACAGCGTCAAATCAAATGTCGAATCCTTAAGAGCATGTACTTTGTTTCGTGTACACCAAATTGAAAATCGAACAGAGGGCCTGCAAAGTCCAGGGAGGTACACAGAGCAGTGGGATTTTGGAGATAGAAACATTGATGCTGAGAATGTCATGAGATGGCTGTCAGAGCTATAAATTCTGAACCGTGGAAACACGAATATATATTTTGCCTACCTAAGCTGATTGAAAGCGTTGAGTAAAGCAGATGCAGGTTGCAGCTGCGGCTTTGGTTTTTCAAATAATTTCCAGTACCTCAATGTTTCGTCGCCTGCCCCAGAAACTACTGTTGTACCATCGGCTGATAACGTCATGTGCAGGACCCTGAAACTATGTCCTTTCAGTATCGCGACTGGGTCCAATGTTTTACCATCCCATAGAGTCAGATTGTATTTTGAGTAGCCATGAGAAGTGACAATCTCGTTTGTATTCTTTGACCAAACCATGTTACAAACTTGTGAGGCAGCATCCATATCGTGGAGTTTACTGCCTGTCCTGACATTCCATACTTTCAACTTTTTGTCTGCAGTGCCACCGCCAGTCGCCAAAATCCCCCTTTTGTGAGGAGACCAGGCCATTGCTTTGACAGCTGCTGCATGCTCAGATAGCTTCAGGGTCGGACTGCGCGAAGTCCCGTCGTAAACGAAGACTAAATTATCATTGCCGCCCGAAGCAAGCTTATTCTCTTCTACATTCCACTTCAGTCCGCAAACTTCCTGCGAATGCGAGTGAAGCTCTTCAAAACACGGAGCGGGAGTTCTGACGTCACGGTGCAGAATTCTACGATCACGACTTCCTGAACTTAATACGTGATTGTTCCATGATAAACAGGCAACGCGATCAATATGTCCTGGAATTGTCCTGATGCACTTTCTTTTCTCAACATCAAATATTTTAACTAAGCCGTTGAGCTGCCCTACGGCAAGATGGGAGCCCGCTCCCACCCAGCTCAGACTGGTGTACTCATCTTCCGTGCTCGACAATTGAACAACGTCGTTTGTTTTATTGTCCGTTAAAAAAATAGACTTGCCCAGGGCCACAGCGAGAATATCAGTGCTTGACCAGTCTATAAGGTCATAATAAAAGTCGTCTGCCAGTGAAGGAGCGTCGAGAACCCTGTATGGAATCTTTGCAATTTGTCGAATTTTCTTAGTGGGTTGCAATAGCAGCTTTTTCGAGTCAGGTCGTACTGGAGAAGCCGAACTCGAATACTGGGTTTGGATTAGTGATGCAGTAGATGGCCGCGAAGTGGTTTTATCACAGTATGTGAGTAGACTAGCACCCCTGGCTGAAGTAGTGCTAGGCTTTTGGTGATGATCGAAAATGAGTCTTCGCGGTGTGGCAGGACTAGATAGAATAGGAGACACGATGGAACTGTCTTCAGATGCAGCATGAGACCTTGGTGGCGTGGTAGGCTTCTGATGGAAAGTCGAAGATGTATATTGTATTTTTTCGATACTATCCTCGGGCTCGTTAGAATCTTTGGTCAGCTTTTCCCCGAACAGCTCGTTTTTCAAAACCGCATCAAAAGTTTCATAGGCCTCTTGCTCTTTTCTGAACTCTAGCTGATTCTCAGATAGAGACGGCTGAAGCCCTAGAAGGCTTGAGGATCCGACCGAAATCATTGATTTCAAATCCATATCAGTTCTGTTTGGCAGATATCTATCTGTGTACCCCATATTATTCATTCTGGGCCTTCGCATGGGAGATGACTGCGCAGACGACACATTTGAAGACGACCCATCTTGTTTCGACACCCTTTTACCGCTTTTCGTTCTCTGCTTCACCGGTGAAGACACTGGGGTATTGCTAATAAAAGGATTCTTGAGTCCGTCGGGCATCTTGGAGAGGTCAACTGCCGCCGCTGGTCACTTTACTTGATGGTTTTTAAACATGTTTTGTGTGACGGGATTTCGAAATAATACACTAATCATTAATCATTATAAGTGGTAACTATGCACGTTATATAGAAAGTTCATGTTCCGGTAAGGGGAAAGTTCCCTAGGTCAAAGAAGCCTGGTGAGACAGCATCAATGACCCGCCAAATGCTCGTTGTCCCAGTGTTTTAACATGAGGATACTTTCATAATCGATTGGGATGACGAAACGGTCAAGGTTTATTTCGTTTCCTCGTACATCAAATTTTTCGCGTGTCCGGAGGTCTATCTCGATTTCCTCAGCCTGGTCAAGCTCCTGTTGCTGTTCGAGCGCCCCTGCTTGATCGAATTCGTCCTCCTTCTCCCTATATTCTATGTTTTCCTCAACTTCCTCAAAATCGGGCGCAAGTGCACTCCACTTCGGAGGTATCACGAGTGACCAAATGTACACATTACCAGTCTCCAATCCGTTGCTTGCGATGCACATGTGGTTAAAGTCCCAATCAATGCACATAAGCTCTTCTTCTGCTCCTTCCAAAACCCTGACTAGGGATCCCGTGCTTGTTTCCCATAAGTATAAATCGCGTGTTGAACTTCCGTGAGCTGAGGCGACGAGGTACTCAGCAGGATTGCTACTGAAGCAAATACTGTTCCACTGAAGCCTATTAATGACATCCTGGTACCGATGCTCAAGTGTGAAATTGATCTCAGTAACATCGGGACTGATTTCTAATAGGTATTGTCTAATGGTTCGATCTGACGAGTTAATCGCCAGGCGATCCCCTGACTGAGATATTACCATATGTTTGGCATTAGTATATGCAAACCGGTAAGAATGTATCAGACGGATTTTCTGATCAGTAAAGCGATAAATTTTCAGCCAACCTTTAGATGTGCCAGTGATGAGTAGATCCTTGTGTACAGGGTGCACACAAGACACTAAAGTATAGCCGTAATCCTGATGTTGAAGCTCTTTTGAGTCATTTCCATCGTTTCCAAAGTTCTTTTTTTCGACGACTTCGCTAGGATCAAAAACCCTTTCAACAGTGGGCGCACCAGGTGCAAAAGTGATGGCAAATGCGTGTGAATCTTCGAAAACAGTGCCCACACAGCTCAAATCGCCATCCGCACGCCATTGACATGACCAGATCGGTGCATCGAACTTTACAGACCGATGAGGTACCCCTGGTCTTTCCAAGTCCCATACTTTGACATACCAATCTCGAGAGCTAGTGAGAATGTAACGATCGTCATTTGACCATGCTATAGATTCTACCGATCTCACATGGCCGCCACCTCTATTGCCGAGCATCGCAACCGGCTTACTGGTTTCCATGTCGTAAATTACAACAGCGCCATTGGTAGAGCCCATGGCCAAGTAGTCACCGCCGTGCGAATACCTTAGACAACATGTCTGTAGCGGAATCTCTAGCGTTTGAGTTAGTCGATCCGGATACTCCTTGAGAACCGTGAACGGATCCTGAAGCAGAAGGTTAGTCATTTGGCGTTCTCGAGCTCTTATATAATGATCTCTGACATGACGCGTTCTTATTAAATTTAAAAGATTTTATCTCTTCAGTTGAATATAGGTAAACATCAAATTCTAAATCCGACTAAAAGTACAACACCAATCAATATCCCAATTAGCCTGCGATGAAGCTAGTGGATGTACTAGTTCAAGTGAGCGTTTTGCTACTACTGACTCCGTTTACGAATGCCCTATATTACTACAGCAATGGCGGCGAACGTAAATGCTTCTACAAGGAACTTGTGGAGGGAACATTGCTTCAGGGCAAGTACAACGTCGAAGTCTACGACGAAAATCTAAAGCTCTACAAGGCACCAACCAAGAATGAGATTTCTGTGGTTGTGGATGTTGAAGAGGTTTTTGACGACAACCACAGGGTCATGAACCCCAAGGGAGGTGCTCGTGGTGAATTTACGTTCAACGCGCATGATTCTGGTGAGCACAAGATCTGTATACAGCCACAAGCACAGGGATGGTTGGCCAAGGTCAAGACCAAGGTCGAAATTGAATTTGAAACCGGTTCAGCTGTCAGCTTAGACTCGAAAAACTCTGAAGGCTACAAATCCCTGCAAACTAAGATCGAAATTTTGAACGAACGAGTTCTGGAATTGAAGAAAGAACAGGAACTAGTTAGAGAACGTGAAGCTATGTTTAGAAACGCTTCAGAGTCTGCTAACTCTCGTGCGATGTGGTGGACGGTCTTCCAGGTCTTCATTTTGGGTGGAACATGTGCTTGGCAATTGAGACATCTGCGTACCTTCTTCGTTAAGCAGAAAATTTTGTAGTTGCGCTAGCACATTAAAGTGCAATTAGTTAAACTAAGCTCACTTCCAAAATGAGATGGAATTTACGGCTCGACTCAAATCCAAGTATATGGTATGTAAGATGACGTCTATCTAATGCTTGCTGTCGCGGTCTCAGAATGCGAACGTACTTTTTAGAGTATTCACCAAGTCCTCATTAATTAACCCTGAACTTATGCCAGAACTTGGAGGAGCGAAAAACGGGAATGAATATCTTGACTGGTCAAACTTCGACTGGCTATCAGGTGAATCTTCAATGTCATTTCCCTGGCGAACGTTTGAGTTTCGATTGGGCTGAAATGTCAGAGAATCCATACAACTCCTGTCCTTGGCGGCCTCTGAACCCTCTTGATCTGGTGGCAGATCGCCGTCCTGCCGAGCATGAAATAGCTTTGACCCATTAAAGCCGTCATTAACAGCAACAAATGATTTTTTTTCTGCTGTCCTTGCATCATCTTGATATATAGTTGAGGTTTTTGAGCTGGGCGTGGGTGCCGTAGTCGAATAAGTAAAGTTGAACGCGCCTGAGTAAGGATGAACAGAACGTGAGTCGTCGCTGCCCTGCTTTGGGCCTGAAGTGACCTCCTCTGGCTGAACCTTAGAAGCGGAGACGGTCGAACGCAACATTGAGGCCTTAGCGGGCTTGTACTTTATAAATTGCTGCGCGGCCGGACTCCTGTCACCGTTTTCACCACCTTTGTCCTCCGCCTTGCGTATTTCACTTAATGCAATTGACTGAGCAGCATTCGCACCACCTTTAGAGGGCGTGTTGGGTTCCGAGATTGGAGGTTCATTTGATTTCTTGAACTTTTTGAACTCAGAAACACGACTAGCGTACGGATTTGCAAGCCCAGATGGCTTATGCCTGGACTCACTTGAATCTAGCAGCGATAGAAGAGCTGAGGCAGTATTGGTAAGCTTCTCTTGAGCGGGAGGTTCAGAAACCGGTGCTGAACTATTGTGTGGTTTGTTCTTTTTGATTACAGCCGATAAATCAGCGGCACTATGTCTGTAAGAGCCTGCCTTGTAGGGCAACGGAAGGCCGGAGTAATCAAATACTCTGCTCTTGATGGAGCTAGTTGAAGATATGCTTTTCATGGATGTGTTTGCGGTTGCAGAATAATTGTCGTACTTGGGGTGAAACTGCGGGGTTTTAATAGGAATTTCGCGCGAGTCAGGGCTGAACTTCAAAAGGGAAGGGGACTCTGCGTGAAGTAAAGACGATTCAGAAGAGATTCCGCCTCGGGGTAGATCCTCCGTCGGTGAATTTCTTATTTTCCTCATCAAAGATAAGACCCCTTCGTACTCAACTTCACTCAACGCATCGTCGCCCTTTTGGCGAAAAAATCTAGCGAGTGTCGAATTAGAAGTGTTCACCTCCTCAACAGTTACAGACCCCGCATCGGCCTCAATTACTTCAGGACTTTTTTCCACGCGGCGTTCCTGGGTTGAAATCAAATTGCTTGTTGGCTGATCATAAAACCCGCCTGGTGCTCTGACTCCTTGAAACTCTGGTGCCTTGACAAAGTTCAAGGAATTGGCAGAGTCCTGTCTCCCACTTGAAAAAAACGACTTAACTTTTGTCAGAAGCGACCGTTTCTGTTTAATGATCATAGTTAGTAAAAGTTTGTTACCAAAATGAGAACTATGCTAAACTTACACCTCGATCCTGCTTCTTGAGTATTCTAGAGTATGGCGCCTGAGGACCCTTTCCAAAGATATCTTGCCGCTTGTTTTCCATTGACCTTTGTCAACTCAAAGTTAAAGAAGCAGCGATGGGTTGAGAAACACAACTTTCAATCATTTCACATCATCAAAAACAAAAATTAATTAACCTGTTTTTGCAGTAAAAAAATTGGGGCGAGCTGGGAATTGAACCCAGGGCCTCTCGCATAATTGTGAGACATCAACCGGTGTTCCGGTTATCGCCCAAAGCGAGAATCATACCACTAGACCACACGCCCAATTATGAAATAATGAGAATCATATCCAGGTGTAGTCAATAGATGAAAACCATGATACCAGTAGTAGTTTGTCCTCAAATAATTTCACCTCTGTTGCCTTTCGAGCCAGTGAGAGAGTGACAGCAATACAGCCAAGCACCTTGGAAAGGTCTGACGACCCTCGTTCAACTAGGCGTACCTTTTTAACCTCTATTGATTTTACCGTAAGGCCAAATGTTCAGAAATGCGTGGCGTTAAGAAAGTCGCATGGATACCTAGTCAGAACATATAATTAAATATATATTTGACATCGTGACTAACCGATTGAAATAGCTTTGCCTTTGCAAGTTGACCGGCTAAAATGCCATATACCAGCCTGAGTTAGCAATAAGACCTCCCATATTAGTGGACCGAATTAGCTTAGATTCCAAACACCATTTGGCGATTTGTTCGACATCCGACGGTGACATGAATTTCGTACTTCTTGCCGCTAGAAATTCAATTGTGAGACCCGGGTTGAAAAATACTTCATTAAGCACTAAGAATACTAGCGACTTCCAAACATCTCCCCGCAAGGCACCATAGCCGTCGATCCACAAACGTGAAAACGGTGCCCCCATTGGAACACGGACCTTCTCATCAGGTTTTGTGACAGAAAGTAATTTAGGTAAAACAATAAGAGGTGGCATTAAAGCATCAAACCCATACTTGCGAGTAGTGTAATGCATCGGTAAATCTTGCGGAGAGACCGGTATATCCTTCATTAGGATTAGATTGGATTGGAGCAGGTCCAAGTAAATCAAAGCAGCATGGTTTCCAAGCTCCTCTTTCAAAATGACACCTTTTTGGCCATGCAGTATTGACTGCAACTGTCTGATATAGCTTGGAGCTCTGTCCAAGATCTCAAACTCTCCTTTCTTTCTGAGTTGATCGACGAAACCGTCATTCAACTGTAGTTTGGACGACCCACTTAAAACGACTAGCTTTTCTTTTGCCATATCCAAAACTACTCGATCGACCACTTTAGCATCAAAGTTTTTCAGAGCTTCGATTTCATTAGCAGCAGCAGAGTCTGTATCCAGAAGAGAAGATCGGATGATCGTTTTAATATCCTCATCTACATGTGACGGGTTTCTCCTCTTTCCGAGCACATAAGTATAGCACTTCCTCAGCAAAGCAGACTCGCGTTGAACCATGGAAGACAAATCTAGAGCTGTGACGCCAGTAGAGTGAGAAGTTTCTTTGACAAAGGTGAACTTTTTCATGTTTTCTTCGTGATTTTTTAGTAAAGTAGGTGATTTATCCGCTTTTTTTAGGTCAGTGCTCTCCCAAAGGCGTATTAGTTTGGGTAAATTTAGATTCTCGATGTCCTCCATAGTGGCGCGCTCTTCTTTTAATGCACCAACAAGAATCTTCCGCCACTTCATTTTCAAAGCTTTCCAACCAGCTAACCCCATTCTGATACGGCGAGTAGTCCATTGTTTTTCTAGATTACCGAGAGAATTGTTCGGAAAGAGACCGGTGATCAGGTCCCATAATATTTCTCCTCTCACAACTTCTGTTAAAACAACAGAAATGACAAGGGCGCGCAGACCAGCCTTACTTCCCACATTGTAGCATTCCTGACCTGCTTCAGACTTAGAGGCCTGTTGCGCCATGTTACTTTGCACTAAAGATTGACGCTCGGCAGTCGAGTCACATAAAGCAGCTGTAAGTTCAATAGGCTTTTCAAGTTTCTTTCCAACCTTTTTATTTCTGGCCTGCGTAGGCCTGCCCCGTTTACCTTTTTTCTCGAACTTTTCGATTCTCTCGGCTGATTTTGAACCACTATGAAATTTCTCCCGCTGATCGCTGTCAAAAAAGTAAATGTCGGTCGCCTCGATGACATCGTTGAAATATGATCTCTTGTTGTCTTTCTCGTTGTTCAGGAACGTTGATATCGTCTCAGAAGAGGTGTTCGGCAAGTAAATGATTTTACGACCTGTCTGTTTTTCAATGTCGAACTCTAATTTTCGAGCTGCCTTCAAAAGCTCTAGGTCTCCCCGTATGGTCTTTTTATCAAGAGTAGTCTTTGAGTCCATTAGTTTCGTGACCTCCTCAAAAAACTGGTCTCTAAATAACGCGACACCTCCTAGTTTCTTGATCGTTCTCAAAATCGCACGCTGACGTTGCAAGGACTTCAAAGACTTGGCTGAAAATCCACCTATACTGAAAAGTGATGGGTTCTTGTCACCAACATAGCTGTCCGTGACTGACACGCCCGCTTCTGCAGCAGTTCCAAGTGGCGTGTAGCGAGCTGTATCGCTGGATGTACTCCCCGTTACAACTGTGTTACCAGATGGCGAAGATCTTTTATCCTCGTCAGCCTTGATTTTCTTAGAAGCTTTCATATGCTCAACTTCGGCTAATTTGACTTCTTTTCTCTTCCGTCCTCGTGGAGCAGCATTTTCATTCGCGGGCGCCTTTAATTCACCATTCCAGAAAAAGTGGTCGCCTTTTTCATCAACTATGAAGCGAAGCGTATTGCTCAACGGGGAGAAATGCTTACTGCTTAGGTCTCTCAACGAATCGAGCTGGGGTTGCAAAGGTTGCATACCAGAATTAGCGTCCAGTCCCTCCTCAGAGGCGAGAAGTCTAAAAAAAGGCTTTGTGAACAGCCGATAGAACTTTCTCTTACCTTCAAAGTCATAGACTTTAACCAGTCCGAAACCCTCATAATCTTTTTTCTCTTTTCCAACCGTATCGATGAAATATTCGCTGCATTTTGCAAAAGATCTCTTGTAATCGCTTCCTGTCAATGAGGTAACACATTGCATAGAAGACAATCCGCTGGTTCCCTCCTTGTCAACTAGACCGAAGGTTTGGTTTTGCAGGGGCTGAAACCTGTTGAGAAGAAAGCGCTGTGGCTCACTGTTTGTATCCTCTTCGACAAGCAAGTTCTTGCTTTGCAGAAGTTGCGACGCATTATCCGCGTTCATCAAATTTAATTTTTCCTCGTCTTCGACTATGCACTCATCGTTAGCAGCGTTGTCTTCATTCTCCTCATCTAGTTCGGACTCGTCTTCGAAATCGTTAATTGACCTTTCCTCCGGTACATAGTCTCTCAAATACTTGACGCACCTTATTTTCAGTGAAGGAGTCGATGGAGAGACCACGAGCACTTTCTTCAGAAATCCAGCTGCATCAAGTGACGATATGGCCGCGATGAAAGCTTTGGATTGCCGCTTATTTTTATCAAACTTTAGCTCTCGCTTCAGATCAATAACCTGCCGTACACCATTTTTGGAGTGTTTCACAACGTCAACTATACTTTGTAAACTGTCCTTCATACTGGCATAACCACTATTGTCGTCCTCTCGAACGCTGAACTTATGAAATCTCAAGTGCTTTACCACATGGCCTTTGTAGATTGTTTGAACCGCTGTGACAAGATTGCCGAGCTTCTTCACTCTACCCGTGATGCTTCGAGGATCTTGTGATGTTTGGCGAGCCAAATCCATTGTGTTGATACCGCGCTCTTTAGCTTTCGCGATTTCAAGAAGAAGTTCGAACGCGAGACCACCTACAGAACATTCTCTTTTATTGTAACCGGTGAGAAACAGATATAGTTTATCTTCGGATATGGAAAATACGAGATCTTCCATCTCCATGATCTGATCATCAATGTCCGCAATCTTCAGAAGTTTCTGGTACCTTGAGATAGATGTATCTTGACAGCTGTCGAAACATCGCAGCACGAAGCTTTTCAACGGCTTGTCCAATGTATCTGTCAGCTTCGAGACTAGGCTCCAAAATTGCACAGACGTTAACGCTAAATTGCATGTGTGTTAGTCGTAATTGATAATCCTTTCCCCTGGAAGAGTCGTATTCCACTTACATCCCCCCGCATATGCTATCTCCTCACATATACGCTCAACAAGTTCATCGGGGGCCAACACTTGCATTATTTTCGGTTGGTGTTTATGCGTCGATTCTTTCTGAAGGGTCATGGCGTATAAATAAACCTTGATAATGTTGATGCCAAAGCTTTGAATGATGGTGTTCGTATTATGTTACTTCTGATACTGTTATGAAAAACTGGGCTACAGATGCATCAACCAAATGATGAATGACATGGGAACGCTTGAAATCTCGGTGTTGTTAATTGCGCTAGTACGATGGAATTACCTGATGAAATAGAGCTGTATGAGTATTTTGTTTCTTAATAATCTTTTTAAAACCAATACTAACTTCCTTAAACCAATTAGAACATTATCAAGCGATACTCTAAAAGCTCTTCAAGAGTTCAGACAGGAAGAGAAAGAACGGGAAGCCAACTTCGAAAAACTGTACCAGGATGCAGAAGTTCAATTTGGAGAGCAGAAGGTGATGGATTTGTTCAAGGAAGATTGGCAACTGTCTCAGTTTTGGTACAATGAGAAAACTGCAAGCATATTAGCTGATGCTTTACTAGATGGCGCCGACAGCGAAACGGTGATTTGCATTTTGAGTGCACCATCCGTTTATGCCGAAATAAAAAGACGCGCCGCTTCGAGCCTACCTACAAAGCATATACATCTCTTTGAATTTGATAAAAGATTCGAAGTGCTCGCAGGGTCCAACCACTTTCACTTTTACGATTATAACAAGCCACTGGCCATACCTCCTGAATTGAAAGGAAAGGTTCACAGATTTTTAATCGATCCGCCATTTTTGAACGAGGAATGTCAGACAAAATGTATGTTGTATTGAAGCATCCCATCTTGACCATTTCAATTACTAACTGATCTTCTCTAGTTTCTTCTACCACTAAGGCTTTGCAAAATCCTGATTTCAACTTGACAACTAAACATGGTCAACGTCAACATGCAGTAGTCTCGAGTACCGGCGAGCGTATGGCAGATGTTGTTTCGAAATTATATCCCGGTATCAAGACTACCAACTTCCGCCCCGAACATGCCAATGGTCTCAGTAATGAATTTCGATGCTACGCTGACTTCAAGTGGAAAGGGTGGGACTATGAATGAGTTTTTTGCCGATCAGAGGATCAAGTGCCACCGTCAACCCCATTCTAAAGGTCCTTTTGCTTTCTATATAATCTGAGTTGCCCAGATCATCTGGATTAACTAAATAAATGAAAACTTCTCAATTGATTATTTTCAAGTCAGAAAACCAAAAAAAAAATTAATTAAATAAAGTTAAGTTAATGTCGCTAACACCTCTTAACACATTTTACTGTTTCGGAAACTCTAAACACATTATTTTATTCAATAATATCAATTAAAAGTTTTTCTATAAACTTTAAAGGATTTTAAGTTTAGTTTTTTACAAAGTAGTAAAAAAAGTTATCACGTGTTAAGCTTAAACTATCACGACGGCTCTTCTTTGGAATTTGTAACGACATATACATATTTTGTTGGCGTGCCAGCACGCTGTATGAGATCTTCCCGTGCTCAGAGCGTGTAAGAGATTAGTGGTGTCTACTGATTAAAGTTTCACTCTGTTTTGAAGCCTCCTACACCCGATTGCAATAATCTCACGCTTTCGTATAACCCAGAAAAGTGAGAAAATGATATTAGGATATATATTAAGTACTTTTTTCCAGCAAAACTCCTGCCAGACCAAAGCTCGCCTAAAGGATTAGAAGATGAAGTCGGTACTTTTGATTGGTGGGTCAGGATTTTTAGGACTGCATCTCGTTGACAAGTTCTACAACTTGTCACCACGCCCTGAGATTCATGTTTTCGATGTTAGACCTCTTCCGGAAAAATTGTCCAAGGCATTTACTTTTGATCCGAAAAGCATTAAGGTCCACGTCGGCGACCTAACGTCGGAAAATGATGTGAGGGAGGCCCTTCGCTCGAGCAACGCCGATGTAGTGGTACACTCAGCTTCTCCAATGCACGGATGCAGTCAGGAAGTTTATGATAAAGTCAATGTGGAAGGAACTAAAAATCTTTTAAGGGTGGCTAAAAGCATGAGTGTCAGAGCTTTCGTGTATACATCATCGGCAGGTGTTATATTTAACGGCCAAGACATTCATAATGCTGACGAATCATGGCCCATTCCCGAAGTTCCAATGGATGGTTACAATGAAACTAAGGCCACAGCAGAAGCGATGGTCCTGCGTGCTAACAGTCCGAAAGAGAGCTTCTTCACTATAGCCTTGAGACCTGCTGGTATTTTTGGGCCTGGAGACCGTCAATTGGTACCAGGTCTGAGAAACGTAGCGAAAATGGGACAGTCTAAATTTCAGATTGGAGACAATAACAACCTTTTTGACTGGACTTACGTGGGAAATGTTGCTGATGCCCATGTTCTTGCTGCAGAAAAGCTACTGGATGCTTCCGCATGCCCCACTGTAGCGGCTCAATCTTTTTTCATTACCAACGATGCCCCAACGTACTTTTGGGCACTAGCCCGGACAGTTTGGAGAGCAGATGGTCATGTAGACAATTATAACATTGTCCTGTCTAGGCGTCTAGCAATCGCTGTTGGTTATTTGTCCGAATATTTCTCCAAGTTGACGGGTAAAGAGCCAGGTCTTACGCCCTTCAGAGTAAAGATCGTATGTGCTTACCGCTATCATAATATCAGCAAAGCAAAAAGACTTTTAGGTTATAGCCCCAATGTTGATATAGAAGACGGCATTGCCAAAACGCTTTCTTGGATGGATGAGTCGGCTTAGTGGTTTCGATATATAGACGCACCTTGAATTACCTTTTGCCTGAGCACAACTGCTATCCACTTTAATTCTGATGCCAACATCCCGAAAATTCCTTATGTAGATCAAAATGACTTGAGATAAACTATACAATGGCGACGCGCTTTCTCAGTTTTCACAGAAAAAACACCTAAAAGTTTGAGAATCCTGTCCCAAATTATTCAGGCAGTCCTCGTGGAAGCCATGGTTACAGTCAAATAAAACTATGCACAGCTTTGGTGTTTGCCGATGCACAGATACTGCCGATTTTTTCGATAGGCTCTTTTGTTTCCAAGCGAGAAACGCATCGCTGGAGACGTTTAAACCCCATAACTTCTCTCCACAAATGTCGCAGTCACTAGTTCCAATAGACCATCCGCTTTGCAGAAGTTTCTCATAGTATGACAGTTCGTCTGCAGATGAGTGGTATATGATGCTGCTTATAGCCGACAGAAGACTTCCGTTGATATCCGCTGAATTCATTATTTCACAAAATGTGGGAGCCAAGTCTTTCATTTTTGTGAGAATCAAATCTGGGTTTTCAAGTGCTCCTGTCACTACCTCTTTCACGGAAAATGCTGGGGCATTGCCAAAGTTTTCATCAGTCGCTTTTGTCAGCTCGTTAAAAAGCTGTTTTATAGCAACTTGGTATTGATCACTTCGTTCACGCAATAAATAGGTTAGAAGGCGCGTCCAGCAATTTCGAGCTTGTTCGCCTTCGGCGGCTTTACATGCTTCGAACGCGTAGTCAAGAAGCTCATTGCATCGCAAGTCGTTTTGGCAACTTTCTGAGAGTTTGATGAAATCTTCCACAACGCCTTCTAAATTCCTCATTTGACGTTCCACTAGAAGCGCACCGTACATGGAATTGCTGTCTCTAAGCTTTTTCAGTAGTCGTTCATATTCCTTCATTGGAAGATGTGTCCGCTCAAATAGCTCCCTTAACCCGCTTTCATTTTGCGAACCCTCCAGGTCCAATACGTACTGGCTCATCATTTCAAATTCCCAAGAACTTGTGGGATTATGGAAAAGAAAGTATTGGTGCAGGAACAAACATCTCGAGGAGTAGGAAGCACGTTTAAATACTGTGAAGTGAAAGGTCGCGTCATACTTGTCCAAACAAGCAATGAATGCAGCGACATCCACTGAAAGGACAGCATCTATTTTATTTGCAATGACTTCCAAGACAGCGCTTCGTTCTGTTGGCCTATTTCGAGTACTTTCAAGGCAAAAACGGATTGCATCCAAAACAGAATTGTGAGCACTATTCACCGCTTGAGACACAAGGCGAAGGGCTAAAAACTGAGAGAAGGCCCCAATATGCTTGTAGACAAGCAACAGTACGCGTTCAAACTTGCCGGACTTCAGGTGAGGAATTAAATTTTTAGGATCTGAGACATAGCCGCCAGTAATAAGAGCCTCTAACGCTTTCTCACTTTCACTCCACACTTGCTGTGTATGGCCAGTGCAAAGGAGTGTTGCCAAATCGTCGATTACTGAGGTGGAAAGTCTAATGAACTGTGGATACTTCGAGAGATTTCGCACAATGAAAATTGCAGTGAGGACCTTCTCATGTAAAGGTAGTAGCAGTTTCAACTTGTCTATCATAAAGTCCATGACAAATTGTCTGCTGACACTTGATCTCGAGGCTGTGTCATCTCCCCAGCTTTGAACCTCGTTAAATCCAATATCAAAAATGGAATCCTCGAGAATTTCATTCAGCATCCCCAAACACGTCTTCAGGTCGAAGTTAAGGAGCAATTCTAAGTACGGGAAGGCCGGCTCATCCTTTTGATCAGCACAGGTGTAGAGCTTATGATTGGACTCGGGCGGCCAGTCAATCAACGTGCCATTGAAAAGAATGTGGCATAGTTCAACTTTAACCTTAAATCTCAAGGATGGGGGCTGGATCGGACATTGCAAAGGAAACTGCCTGCCGGTCATAACAAATGCCAAGTAGTCGTATATCAAAAGCTTATCACGGCAAAGTTCCTCCGTAAGTAGGTAAGTTCGGTGCCCACAGCTCGCTATGATTGAAAGCATTTCGACAAAAGGTGTCAGGTAGTCAGAGGATGCTACAGTCCATAGGTATATGAGCTCCCTTCCGAATTTAAGCTTTTTGCAAAGGTCCACCGCGTTATCCACATCCATAGAAGAAATGTCCAAATTAAACAGCAGGTGTTTCATCAAGACTGGGTTTTTGCCAATATAGTTGGATCTCAGCAATTGGCTAAAGACGACCGGTGACAGGCTCCTAATGGTATTTTTTTGTATTAGAGAGATCAAGCATGAGAAAAAGGCATCTGTGCACTCATCTGGAATTTGTTCCAGCGCGAGCTCGACAAAATCAAGAGCAATTGTCTGATCGCGAAAGACCAAGTAGTAAGTGTAAAGAGATTCTTCAATAACTTGATACAAGACAGATTCATCGCAAATAGTGCCTTGTGCTCGCACGATGTGTCGTACGCTCGCTATCGATACGTTCTTTAAAGGCTGCTCGAGCTGTTTTTTCCGTGCCGTGACGTCATCCTCTAGCCTAAGAAGATTAAATGGCAAGCCTTCTTCGGCAACAAAATATCTTATGCTTCTGAGTGCACTAATATATGCTCCGCTTTGAACAAATTTGAGGATGATATCTGACCATGATAAAATGTAGCCGGTTTGTAAATTATAATTCGTCAACGCGTAGATTTGTCGATTGAAATAAACGACTGGGCATGCGACAGGGCTTAAAAGTGCAATGGGCAGCATATCAATCGTCTCAAACTGCTGTGTACCATTACTAGCACTGATGAAAATGTATTTGTTTGATTGCGTGAGAATGCCCAAATAGGAAGATGAGAGCCATTCCACACACTTGATAATTTCTTCACAGCTCCAGCTAACTTTTGAACTGTTTACAAGCTTCTGTGTGGACTTGAGGAGTAAAAAACATATTACCTCTAAATGGTGTGATCCGAAGTAGCATAATTTGAGTCCGCAAGCGCTCCAGACGACCGATGAGTTCGTGCTGATATTTTCTTCGACTTTTGTATGATAGCACAGCTCAAAGCTGTTCGCTGACACCAGATCAAGAGACCTTTCAGACAAGACTGCCACCGGTTGCAAATCAGAAAAAGGTGCATTGGAAAACCCTGGATATGATGCCGTCGCCACAACACTGTGCTGGTTGGGCGATCGATTGTTTAGATCGATTGTTGAATATGAGAGATGCCATATGCCCTTTCGAAATCCGTTGTGACATGAAAGAACCCCAGAATCATCACTGACCACAACGGCAGTATGACGTTCTGCCAGGAAGCCCAATCCAGTTATGTGTTTATATTTATGCTCAGTGATATGCAAAATTGGGGCGATCTCACGAGGTCCTACCCGATTACTTGATTCGCGTGTTTTTTGGTTAAGGTTCCATATAAAGATGTCTCCAGATTCCAAGCTAGCCGCAATATGAGTACCATCAACAGAAGACCTTATCATTGTCACCTTGGAACCCGCGAAATCGTCGTCCAGTAGTAGCGCCATTTGCAAAAACTGCTTGTGGTTGAAGATAGTGACTACCCCTTTGCTTGTACCAACGGCGAGGTAAGAATATGCTGGATACACCGCACTTGGGCGACCATATTGGGTGAGGTTCTGGTATATTTTCTCAACGGGTACCCAGGAGATCCAATCAATTCCTTGCTGGCGAAGGTCCTCGAGCAGATCATAGTCAAAAGTAACGTCATTTGGTGTGTGGAATTCCGCCACTGAGGAAATCGGTGTATCCCTTAGGCCTACGGCTCGGCGGTCGAGAAAGCTTTCCTCATCTTTCAAGTCCACGTCCATGAAATCGGACGCCAGAAGTTTTGATCAACATGAAAGAATCCTTTACTTTAAAGTCAATACCCGTCTAGATTTTTTTTTTCCTACCCACGTCCGTCAAGCATAAAACGACGAACAAAAGCTTATATTATAAAGGCTAGGCTGTACATATGACGAGGGTCAGACATTACTTACAACTTTTGCATAGCAGCAACATCGGTAGATTGAACGTGGTCTTCGTCCTCCTCAATGGCCACTTGCAGGTCTTCCAGAGAAACCTTGGCGTCTTCGACGACCAAGTTGATCTGCAACTTCTTGATACCGAAACCAATAGGAATCCATTGGTGAGCACCCCAGGTTAGACCGTCCATCTCGATAGACTTGACGTTGGCAACCATCTGTTCCAAGTCGGTTTCGTCATCCCATGGCTTGACGTCCAAGGTGACAATGGATTTAGCAGCTGGCTTTGGCTTGGCGGCCTTCTTGGCGTTGTATTCAGCGAGTCTCTTGGCCTTCAACTTTTCGGCCTCCTCGTCCACTTCGTCGTCAGAGCCGAACAAGTCGACATCGTCGTCGTCTTCCTCCTCAGCAGCGGCAGCGGCTGGAGCCTTGCCAGAAGCGGCTGGAAGAGAGGCGAACAAGCCAGACTTAGAGGCAATGTGGTTGAACCATCTGGAAAAGTCTGGGTAAGATTCCTGGAAAGCCTTGTAAGCAGCAACGTCGGCTTGAGTGGCGGAGGTGCTATTATCAAAGTTAGTAAGTCTATTTGACACGAGCACGTGTGGAAGCGGAAAAACTTGACAACCAGAAAAAGCATTTTGCAAGAAATCAGAACAGCAAAGTCCAAAACATAACCCGAATAGCGCAGCCACTTTCTGCTACACTTAATCTTCTAATATCAGAGTTGTATAATGAAATACGTCTTCTTTGTCACTCATACCGGGGGTCTTACTTCCCGTCATAAACACGGACCAAAGATTATGATCATCATTTTCGAAGATTCGGCTTGTTCTGAGACTTCGACAACATTCGACTGCCCACTAAACAGTTTCGCTAAGGGCATAGCCTATGCGCTTCTTCATGCTCTCAGGTTTTGTCGATCCAAACTCGTACAATATGGATCTTTGAATCAAAAAACATACCCCTCGACGTAAGACTTGTCAGCCAAGAAGGTGTTTAGTTCCTTCAGGGTCTCAATTTTAGAAAAGTCGGTGAAAGACATTGTGCTGGTAGTTTTGATCTAGTTCGACGATATTTTAAACATCTTGTAGTGAAGATGGAAAGCTAAAAACTAAAATTTTTCTTGAATAAAGCAGACAGAAATCTCGAAAATTTTTCGAAATAAATATCAAATATTACGGTGAATGGGTATATGTCATTTTGTACTACGTGGCGTCATGAGACGTTTTAGGGCTACTTGAAGAGAGATTGCAGGCGAAGATGGCGGTTGAGCTTACGAAGTGAGCTATTGAATTGGTTGTTTCCTTATTATCCAGATCATTTGGTGAGCTTGAATTGTTTAATATTCTTCTTCAACTCTCAAAAGTTCCGATATGCTGAACCTTAGAGATTTCGCGCTACAATCAATACAGAGGGCTTTAAGGCCTAAACTAAGCTCATAAAGCTGCTGGTTTTGTACCTTAGGGCTGCGCTATAGTCTCTAGAATTGATTCTGTCTCCCGATTTGGTCACTTTGAACGCAATATTTAGATTATTCAAGTGAGTATGCACTTCAGATTAAAATGGCTACAAGCATCCATCAAAAAAGAAGGACAACTGCAATGTCACAGCAGTTACTGCCTCAGGCGTATCTCACAAATTTCCACAATCGGCTGAGGAATGAGAATGTGCCGTGCTTTATCACGGGTCAGCCAACTAGAGGTCACAAACGCTCAAAAGTCGTAAACTACGCCGAATTCGAGACTGACTTGCTGGAAGAGTTTGTAGACGAAGAGGGCAAGGATCTGAACGGCAAAGAAGACGAAAATGGAAAGCCCGTGGTATCTGCTGAGGATTTAGCCAATGAGAATGCCCTGCCAGATCTAGACAGCCAGGAGGACCCGACAAACATCCTCAAGTACCCAAGAATCCGCGAGACTTTTCTGCAGAGTAAAGTTGCTGCACCTTACAAAGTTGCTCTGTCAAAACAGACCAACGCGCATCTGGCGCCCGTGATAATTCCAATACGCCTGAATGTTGAACATAATGGTCACAAAGTCATTGATTTCTTCACCTGGAACCTCAACGACCAATCTATAACGCCAGATCAGTTTGCAGCCATTTACTGTCAGGACTTAGACTTCCCTGTTACTGCCGCAGTCTGCGGTCAAATAAGCGCATCCATCACTGAGCAACTGCAGGAATACTCAACTTTGGCGTCTGTCGTGGTACCCGACCTGCACGTCATCATCAATCTTACTTGCAATCTGGATGACAAAATGTACGAAGACAATTTTGAGTGGGACCTCAATGACCAAACCTTGACCCCGGAACTGTTTGCTAGTACGGTGGTTCAAGATTTGGGCTTAACCCGTGAGTTTGCACCGGCCATATCGCATGCGCTTCATGAAGCCCTACTCAGAGTGCGAAAAGATTGGCTTGAAGGCCACTTGAGTCCTGATCAGATAGAAAACGGAGCAGCGTTCGGCTATTTATCAGGAATTAGATTGAGTGTAGATTCGTTGGGAGCTGATTGGTGTCCGAAGGTCGAAGTACTGTCACAATGGGAAATTGAGAAGCGTGAAATCGAGAAGGAAAGAAACTTGAGAAGACTGAAAAGAGAAAGTGCTAAAGTGGAAGATAGATTGTCGCGCCGTAGTCGGAAAAGACGCGTGGATGATCTGGAGACTACGATGAGAATATGAAATATTCGGTAAGTATCAATGTATTATAGTTAGTGAAGTGTTCTTTGCGGATGGCAGTATAACGAAGACACTTTAGCTGTCAAAACAGCAGAGCTTCTCTTGAAGATCCTCGATTACGTAGAAAACAGACAATCGACAAGTTCACCTATACCGTAAATTAAAGGCATCAGTTGCAGCGCCTGTATTGAAACTTGAGGTAAAGGTTCATTTCATAAATAATTGTTTTCTTAGTTGAGGTGGACAACACAGCTCAGACAGATATTTAAAAAGGGTAAGAAACCGCCACGAGTTTTTGGGACTTTCGTGAGGCGTTCGTGAAACAATAATCCTGTTGCCGTTCCAAAGTTGCAGGATGATCGCGGCCGCACATTTTTCTGTTAAAAGACTCTCTTGTTGCCGTGATAATTTTAGCGTTCTTCAATAGAAGTCAAATGATTCAAGTGTTATAAACATTTGATTGCACCTATGAATCACCAACAAATATCTTACTCTCCTGAATGCAGAGATTCAATGTCTGAGAGCACTATTCAAGAATTCTTGGCACAGGGTTTACTAGCAACATCGCTGTCTTGGCCGCAATTCCACGCGTTAGTCGCTAAAGATCATGAACTGCTATCTAACGATCAGATAGCTTACGTGTATGAACATTTGAAAAGGGAAGAGGAGAAGTTTCTCAAAAATAGTCGAGAAAGGGTACAAGAGCATTTAACGAAGACAAGATCCAGGTCGAGAGAAAATTTGGAAGCTACGCAATTGAAAAGTACAGTGTCGGTTGAGGATCTGGTGAATTCCCTATATTCGGCACATCAACTTTTGGATGATCAAACGACTCAACTCAACTCTAATATCAATGATTACGTACAGAAACTGCGGGTTATCGAGGAACAGATGAGACCCCTAAAGAAGCCAGGACATATTCACAGCATCCTGGAAAAACTTGAAACTCTGGCTGACCAGGCCAAAGGTTCTCAAGACTAGCAGCATATACCACTTGCGATTTTCGGTACTGGATATTCTGGCCCTATCCATCTGAATGCTTCATATTTGGAATTCAAAGCATGATTGTTATGCATACAGTATCCGTCGCCACTTTGACTCTCTAAAGCACCTGTCTGGCGCATGGGTTGCAGAAAGATGCATCTTTTGATGCGGGAATGTATAAGAGCCATACAACACATGGAACACGGCTCATGCGTCGTGTAGACGTCGAAGTTAAGACACAGGTAGGTCTCATCTTCTGTTTGTTTGTCCTCAATCAATTGGCGTTTGTGTTCCGAAGCTGCGACAGAGCGAATCCCTTGCATTATGCTATGCTCTAGAGGCGAGGAACTGCAGCGGGAATCAGTGCTAAATATGACTTTTTTGGTTTTGGGATTCACAAATGCTGACACAACAGGATGGTTTGAACTGCTCTTTGCTTGCTCAGCTGCCTCTGTGCTTATGGCATCCAGCATTTTTTTTATAAATGGCATGTCAAAAACGTAATCGTTCATGATCTGATCGTTAGGATTGCCGCGCCATACAAGTGGCCAATACAGTTCGGACCACTCCAAGCTGAGCTCTTTCGTGGATGGTGCGGTTGAAGGTACTTCAAATTTGTCGCTCACATCGAAGAAGTCAAAAGTAGATTGCTTCATGAGTTCAAGAAAGTCATCTTGTTGCTCGGCGAGCAGTTTTGAACACACAATAACACTTAAAAATCCCGATTGCTCACCCTTCTTGATCCTTTTGATATGCTGAAAGGCAATGGGGTCATAATCTTGAACAACTTCGCGTATAAATTTAATAAATTGTTGACTGTCTTTAGCGCGTATACTCACTGTCCAAACAGCTTTTAGATTAGGTTCATCGGATTCACTGCTGTTCCTGACCTGTAGCAAGCAGTCATTGATGATGCCTTCCTGATAATTGATGCGATGCGGATTCTGGTTTTTCTTGACCATGCTCACTCAGATGTAGTATAACTTCTGTTTACGAGACTCAGTTCATATTCAAGAGTTTCATTACCCGATAATGCGCAAGTACCATTTTCTTTTAAACTAAATGATCAACAAAGTGACAAACTTATGAAAAGTCTTGAAGAATATATTTTACAGGATCTTCTCAATCGCTCCGAGGAGAATGAGGACACCATAGATAGTGTCAGAGATTGTTTAACTGGAACCAATGATCAGTTGAAGCATGCACTTTCGAAATTTTTCGTTGGCCGCAACTCGCTTGTCAGTTCTCTTCCCTCGGTGACGTCTACGGAACATGCATCAGTGATAGATGAGTGCATACAATTCCTGATCAATAATCGCAGCAACAATGTCTTAACGTATGGCTATAAAGTGGGGAAGAACGGTGATGTTTTGAGCACATTTCACTGTGAATCGACTAATTTTGGCGTCTCCGTTCTGAAATGCGGCGTGTGGATAACGCTGCACAAGATATTAGGAACCCGTCATTTCGTGGATCTTGTCGTCAATTCAATAATCTTTGAATTCAAGGATGGGACTTTCCAACAGATTACAGGGCCTGCTCACGAGCATCCAGTAAGATCGGAACGAAATGTTCACGCGACAGTTGGGAATTCATCGTTTTTATACAGAACCAAAGGGCAGTTTAAAGTAGCTGATATTATCCCACCGACAGTCAGTATCTTCTGGCTCGACATTTTTTACAGCACAGAGCTTTCAGGGTATACAAGAAAACACCTGGAACCTCGATGTGCATATCTTCGAACAATTCTACGTCAAGTCATTCGTAATCATAAGAGACTGAAGTACAGGCTTATATTTCAGACACTGTGTACACGCAGAAGCCTGGAAAATTTCGATACAAATCAGGAGCTTCAAACTAGTGTCAAATCAGTCATCAAATTTTTGACTGTCATACTGGGTAAGTTGTTTCCCTTAGATTTTTTCGGCTCGAAGCATAATAAATCAGTGCTTTTATCCAAGATTTCGGCCTTGGTGAAACTCAACTTGCATTCTCGCATTTCGGTCGACTTGCTCGTCGAAGGCATAAAAATCAAGGACTTGCGATGGCTGGGAAAGCGATCAAAGATCGATAGCAAGGAAACAACGAAACGCAGAGACATACTCAAAGTAGTCTTTCAATGGCTGTTCGGAAAGTTTCTGCCATCATTGATAAGTTCTTTTTTCTACTGTACTGAAATATCGTCTACTCAGGACATACTGTTCTTCAATTTTGATGTCTGGTCTCAGATGACGCAGCCGTTTTTGACTTCGTACTTTGAAAGCTTTCTTTGTATCAATAAGATATGCTCAGATCATGGGAACAACAACAAATTTACTCATGGATATCTAAGGCTGGCCCCGAAGACTAAGAAAAATGATTTTCGTGTTATATTTGTGCCCTTGAAACTGAAGTCCTCGGATCAGCTCAACACGCAGCCGGATCGCACACACAACACTGTTAAACCAGTAGGAAATCTCCTAAATTACATGTTAAGTAAAACAGAGGACAAGAAAAAGAGCGCTTTCTCAAACAGGCTGCACTCACCATTGGGAATCAAACCCGCTGTCTCTCAATTCAAGCGGTACTTAGCAGCAAGGTATCAAGAGTTTCCGCAGCTCTTCTTCATAAAGTTCGATATCCAATCATGCTATGACTCGATTCCAAGATCGATGGCCAAAAATGTCATTAAGACAACGGTCGAGGCCTTTCCCGAATTTTACATTCGTTCTTATTCCTTTTACGACTCGAAAAGGGATGTTTTTAAGCAGCGGTACAGTGTCAATGGTGAACTAGCTTCAGAGAGCCGAACTGTATCTATCGACAACGTTCGCACAACCTACTTGAGCAGAGATGATGTCTTGAGTGTCCTTGATGACCAGATGCACAATTGTTCCATTATTCACAGCGGGTCTTGTTATCTTAGAAAGGCGGGTATCTTTCAAGGAGCTAGTCTCTCTGCAAATATCGTGGATTTCTTATACAATGACATGATCGACAAAGAGGAGGCATTTTCTGATGATAGCGAAGAGAAACTCTTGCTTAGACTGGCGGATGATTTTCTTGCAATATCAACAAGTCAAGACTATGTTGCTAAGCTAGAGAGGCAGGTTCGGCAAGGGTTCAAACGCTACAACGCATTCGCAAATCCACATAAAATTGTGTCAAACCTCGAAAATTCCACGACGAAATTGCGCTTTTGCGCTATTGACGTCGATTTGGGCATATCTTAAGCTCAAAATTCATTCTCAGACCCATAGCCCATGCGATAGATTTAGTCCATGCTACCTTTAAGATAAACCTCTTCGAATAATTTCTGGTAATAAAATAGGCTCTCTGGGTGGGGGCAAAGATGGTCTGTATTTTTTTGACCATGGCATCATTACACGATACTTATTTCTACGCATATAGCACAGTATTTAGCGGATGAGCCCCTCTTCATTCATTGCAAAATGTGCGTTTGAGGTCGCGACCAAAGATCTGCCGATCAACACCAAACTGTGCCATCGGCTACAACCTACATATAAACGTGGGCTACTCAAGCTCAATTCATGTCGACCTCGGTTTGAAATTCGCTCGCAAGTTTTCTTCATCCCTCCTTTGCCTCTCTCTATCTATTTCGCATATGCCGCCCGCTTTTTTGAAATTATGGGAATTGACAAAGTTGCCTAATTCATCTTCAAACTCGCTGTTATTTCGATAGTTCATTTCCTTCTTCCGCAGTTTCTCAGCCTTTTCAATCGCATCGAGTCTTTCCTGATGATCTGGTTCGAGTGCCGCTACCTCGCTCAACACAGCATCCCTCAGTTGATTGAATGTGCCAGGTTTCGCAATAGGTAGAACAGGATCGTGGGTCTTTTTGGGATTCTTCTCCTTCTCTTCACAGCATAAGTTGACGAGGTCAAAAGTTTCCTGAACTTTATCAAGGTCCTGCTTGAAATCGAATGCGAGGTCTTCTTGCAAAGTCAAAAATTGTTGCTCTTCACAAACCTTTTCAAGTTCGCTTTCCCAAATTTTCTTCCAATTTGGCTTCTCAATTATGATGTGTTGATCCATTTTATGCAAACAATTTACAGCATCTGCCAATTCCGCACCAACAGCTTCAAGTTTCTTTTTGGAAGGTTTTGCTCCCCTCACAGCGACGTCCTTTCTGAGAGCTTCGACCACGTCTTGCAAATCATCGACTTTACCAAGTAGCCCGTCCGAAACTTCAGAAAGCTTTGAATGGCTTTTCTCCATATAAATGCGATTAGCAGAACCTGAAGAGTTGAATGATAGACTTTTGAATTTTGAAACCTTTTCCAAAATATCAGCGATTTTTTTTTCGTAGTTTTTCGTCTTCGCAGTATGGATTTGGAGTAAAACGGCTAATTGACGTCTTAGATGTTCCAACTCCGCGTGAAAGGCCCCGTCAAGCTTTTTATCTTGTGGCTGTAGAAGCGGCTCCTGCCGCGACGAAGGCAAATCTCTAAGTTTTTGTATTTCCTCAAGTAGTGCTTCTTGCTTCATTCCTAGACGCTCTTCGAAGCTTTCCAGAACTCCAGTCAACGTTCTTTCGTCAGAAGACGACTTCTCGGCTGTCTGCAACGCCAGAACGGACCCAGCTTGAATGTTGTCAAGATGACCAGACTCCAATTCATAAAAAACGTCGTAGTCAGGATCTCTAATGCAGATCTCAGGAAAGCTACTGGAACCAGGTGTATACGTGAATTTTTCTACGAAAAGGAGCCTGAGAGTGTTGAAGGATGCCGGCAAGGATATAGAGCATTTTTTCGTTCTCCCGTCGAGTTTGAGAAATACCATAACGCGCTTAGCTGTGCCTTCCGCCTCAAGCGAAGTGTCGTTATTTGGCAAAGCTGCTGATTGTTCCGCATCATTTGTCGCGAGCCCCGTGCCAGTGTGCAAATTGTGCTCATTAGTGCTCCAATCTTTACCAACATATTGTGGAGGAGTAGCTAATGCTGCTGCCTCACTTGTTGACTGATGGCTGAGCTTTGCCATGTGATAGGCCGAAAACCTCTTTGATGCCCTTCTCTGCAAGGTATCACTATTTTTGAGTTGTGCTAAAGCCGCATCCTGGTCTTCACGCTGTTTTCGAACAAGCGACGAGGCCTCGTCGTTTCTCGTTGGAGTACTGGTTGCGGCCGGCGACCTGGAACGTGAGGATTGTCCATTTTCGCCTACAGAATCAGAGCTTCTGTGAGCAGGAGTAGACCTTCCAGAAGCAGCGTCTGAGGATACGCCAGAACGAGATCTTCTAGGAGTGACGTACGGAGGCTTAATATTGTTTCTCGTACTCTTCAGCAGCGTTTGCTTGACTTTGAGCTTGTCTAAAAGTGTGACCACGATCTCACGAATGCTGGGAAGATACTTATCAAGTGTTTCTTCTGATGGCTTCTCCCTCAAAGCTACTTCTAAGACTTGCCGTAAGCTAGACGGAAGATCGCCCAAATCAGAAACCTCCAATCCTGCATGGGAAAATTGTTTCGTGACTAGTTTGAAGTCGTTACCTAGCTGAACGTACGCGTCCGACACATTCTTCTCATTTGCCTGTCCTTTTGACCACTGTGTGAGCCGCTGTAACAGTTGCTTGGTTGACATCAGAAGCTTCGTTACACTCGTTTCGATGCTTGAAGCATTGCGAGAAGGCCGGCCCGAAGACTGACTGGAGGATCTGCTACCATTGGTATTTGAAGTGGCCGACTGATCAGAAATATGCCCCTCCATCGGACCTCGAAATTCTATCGACTTGACTGATCGCCGACTAGAATTTGTGCCTGAAGGTAGTAATAATACACAACAATAATAACCTTCAATTTCGAGATGACCTTCTTAGGGCACTTACAGATCACATGATAAAAATCTGCACGATATAAGGTCCTAAGCGAAGGACTATCTGACAACTAAGCATGCATCCTAACACAATGCCAGACTTTAGTGAGATATGATCCGCTTCTTGTAGTTTTAGCCATACATCGCTACCGGGCGCAAGTTGTCTCTTCACCATGCAATGCCATTAGAATGTACGTGGTGTTCATTGAACTGCTCCATAACTATCGTTCAGAGACAGTAGGGCAATGATGAGCCGTGGAAGCCGCTGCTGGCAATAACGACAATAGGAAATAGTAGAGCTCACGCTGAAAACCTGTTTGGCAAAACAGATTCAAAGATGACGAGTCATCAAGCACATTTTGTGCTGTTTACAGCAGCATGTTTAGTTTTCGAATAAAGCTCATGCTGAAGTACCGACCAACCGCGCGCGTTGGAATTGTCCGCTTGGAGATTGAAAGCATAGGTTGATTTTCACAATTCTGATCAAAAAAAAAGGTAACCTTATGAAGAGGTAGAATATGATAAACGCATTTCTTTGGCGTGTTTTCTTCGTTCCCGGGAGCAATTAATGCGAGATCCAAGAGTTTGCTCATAGTACTTCTCGTCTTTACAAGGCTTTTCATGTATGGCAATGCCCTCACAATTAGCGTGCTTCGAATAGTTAGCTAGTTTCACTATTAGGCACCTCAACCAATTCTTTTCGACCACTCAACCTTCTCTCTGTGTTTCCGAGAGTTGATTTTCAAGTGGCCCCATGAGCATATTGTTTTGAAGCTTTCTAAAGATGGCGCGGGCAGGCTTGCCAATTCTCAATGACGTTTGGCAACTTATCCAAAAGGAAACTTGAAGTAAAGGGTTGCCATAGTTGGGTAAATAGATAGCAGGTTCGTTAGCCAATCATTGCCGCCAACGTGAGAAAGATATGAAGTCACCTATCCTAACATCATAGGTTATCTTTCCAAGATCGGTTCACACGTAAATTAATTTAATATTCACCTGAACAGTACATAATCAAAACTCAACTCTTCGTCTTCGAGCTTGGATACGAACCGACAAATGGTTGGGAGTCTAAGAGCCAAATATCAAAGGTCACCGGTCATCAAGAAGTGTTTATAAGTTGACAAGCTCACCGCTCAGATGGAGCATGGGTGACATTGCCGGTGCCGCATGTGTAGCGGACACAGAAGCTGAAGAATCTGAAGAGGTGATATGGAGGCCGGATCGGCAAGAGAATCTCTTGAATGAGCGACCCAGCATGGTTGAAAGATCTCAAGAACGAGGAACCGAGGAAGGTATTCGAGAACGACGAGAAATCGCAACACAAAGGTTCAGATCGTTCAGAAAAAGGACAGCCATTCAAAAAAATCCTTACAAACTGGACAGAATACGGCACAAACAGTTGCTGAAAGGATTCGAGTTTCAAAAGGAGTCTGCAGATCAGAAATCGAAGGAAAGGTACGATGAGTGGAATGACGCAGATAATATTTTATCGCAGGACGCCGAATGGCAAGAAGGTGTGGGTAACGCTCAGGAGCCTGAATTAGAGGATACTTATTCTAAAGCGAGTCCAGTTCGAGAATGCGAGAGCATCTCTGAAGATGAAGGTCCGGTGTACTACAGGGGCAAACACGTAAGTCTGCAAACCGGATTTCGGGGCATTTTGCCCAGAGTGATGTGGAAAAGGGCCCTAGAAGACGATAGAAAATCAGAACCAACTCGTTTTCAGCGGTCCAAAAAAGAGGGGAAAGGTATCGCGAAGCGGAAAGTGACGAACAAACGACATGGTCTAGCCAACTCCTCACTAGATGACAAATTGTTCTTGGCGGACGATCTAGTGGGTAGTGAAAGCGAAGCTATAATGGGCAACTTTGACCTCGAAAAGCTCGACAACGAGTACATGGAAACATTAGGAAATCAATTAGAGGACAAGTATGGCAATTCATACGCATTTGATGATTTGTCGGATGATGCAGAACTGCCAGATAGCGAAGTAAGAACCTTCCTAACCCAGGAAGATGTGAAAACATACTCAACACAGAAACGGCTATCACAACCCGGTGTTCCATCTCTTTCATCAAAATCTTCTGACTCTGACTTGGAGATTATAGAAGAAAGGCAGCGCTCGATGAAAGGTGCTGATAATATCATTGACGCCATGTTAAGTGCAAGGGGACGTGATGGTCAATCACGGGAAACCCGAAAACAGCGAGCAGCTTTGCCACAAAACGTGAGGCAATCGAACGGATCGAAAGCTCCTGACAAGAACAAGCGAAGGAGGAAACTAGTGAACAGCATATCATCTGGAGGAGGCACAAGATCGAGGAAGTCAAAGTACAGCGTCCTCAAGAGGTCTGTAAGGCGTTCCCACACCGCTCATTCTGGTACCATTATAGCCCGCCCGCCGGATAGTATTCAGCCTGACCTTGTTGACCAGAGTGAGAGAAGCGATGCCACCAAGGCAGTCATGAAGAAGAAGGAACTAAGCATTGATAGTCTAGAAAGGTTTGTCTTTTCATCAACAAAAGTAAGGGTACCGACTTTTGACACTGCTGTCGAAGAGGAGGGAGACAGATTTACAATAATAAAAAAGGTAGGGAAGAATAATGGAAACATCGCTCCTGCCCGAACTGAAACTACAGATCATTCGGAACCGTCCTCTACAGCACAGTCTCCCTTGATGTCCGTATTATGTGGTGACAAACCAGCCGGACCACAAAGTGTGGACTTCACTCTCTCAGGAAAGCCCTACAGGATCTCCATGTATGACACGAATCTAGCCTCGAGTCTCGAGGCAATGTTTCACCATATTGTTGAAAAAGGCGGTTCCGACTCAGAAATATACTCCATGAACAACCTTATTGTACCACTCTTGAGCCAGTTGGATGCTCCTGGCTTATGGGCCGTTGTTGATAACTTTCACAGAACTTTCAGGTCAAAAGCAAATCTTTTGAGAAATCGTGCTAAGCCTATACACTTTTATCAAATAGCTGCTTGCCTGGTCATGCTGAATGAGATACGATGTTATTCTAGTGTCTCGAAGTTGTTAGCCGCCGAAATTATGAACAAAATTCTTGATCACATAGTCTCCTTTTTCAAATTGGTCTCAAAATCACACCTCACAAATTTGGACGACGATCTGCTCAAAGAGTCTTATGCTTTAATGGCTACTCTGATCAAAGAAGCTAATAAAGGTCAAGAACTTTGGGATAGGATTCGTGCTTTGTCATTCCCCTCAAATGTTGCACTGATAATTTTGCGAGAATTTCCTAGTGGGGAAACCTGTTGGCAGATGGCAGAGATAGAGCCATCCTATGAGGGGGCTCATGACTGGATTCAATTGATATTCTTCTCCGTCGCTCATCGCAATTGGCATGCTGATGGAATTTTGATTCAAAAATTCTACGATTTCTACAAAGCGCGGAAATTTCAGAACTTTCCTGAGGAGAAATCTATTGAATCAAAACCACTCCTCATCGGTGCACCTACATGGGGCAAGTCGGCGAAGACAGTCTTCAATGTGTTCATTGACCTCATTGCATCATGTCAACTGTCTGCCGTTCAAATGGAGCGAATAACACCAATAGGTCAAATAGTGTCATTGCATTCACCTGGCCTACTAGCTAACCGCATAAATTTATTACTAGTGCTTGCAGAGCATGCTGAATCGAGCTACGAGCAGAAACTAGAGGATCTTTGCTATCCATACATTGAGGCGAACAACGAAAAGGTACTCGATTTAGAAGGAACATTTGAACTGATATTAACAGGATTTTGGTGTCTTTTGCGTGTAAATGCGAGCAAGAACCTAACTACGAAGGCAAAAATTGCTTTTCTTGCGCTCCAGCAGATAGTCAGATACCGCGGAACAAATGTTGCCAGAATATTAGGTGAGTTTTTCAAACGACTTTACTCGATAGCACCTTCGCTAGGGAAGTCGATGCCATTTGTGTTGAAATCGCTTTACCCAGCCCTGATGTTCCTGATCAAAGTGAAGGAAAAGGTCGAACTTGTTCCTCTCCTAAAGTTTTTCGGCCAGAACCTTCATCTGTTAGATGTGACATGGGTCATGACCCACCTGCATCAGGTCTTTTCAGATTTAGCTGATGATGACGACCACCTTTTTCAATTCTACTTTATCATTACAAAGCTCCTTGCTTCAAGAAAGGTCATAACCTGGTGGTCTGTCTTGAACTATAACAACATACTCAATGCATCAAAAAAGCATTACGTTCGTTTTTGTACCCTTGTCGTTCAGAATTGTGACGAACATTCGTTCCTCCAAATCAGGCACAAGCTTTTGCAGACTGTTGTTGACGTTTTATTCGAACCTGTTGATATTGTGTTCGTTAAGTTCTTAAAAGCACTTTCTCGACGGGATAGCGAATTTGAGGTACACGGAAATCTCTCGTACCTAGCAAGCAGCTTAGAAGTGGCTACGGGTGCTTTAAGCGCTTTTAAGAAAGTCAAGGACCACTCTTACATGGAAAGCCTAGTCACAAAACTCAAAGACCAACTACTTTTCAAACCAGCCAGCAAGCCACTTGTAATGGTGCTGACCAATATCCTTAACCTGAATTTTGTTGACATCATGAAAACAAATCCCAACTTTCTTCACCTCAAAAGCCAGTTCAATATTTCCGACACTGAAACCCAAAAAAGTGTTTTCCGAGAAATTCTATCTTCCCAGAAGGGTGAGCTTGAGAGAGCCTTGTTCATAGAAGAAGAGTTTCTCAAAATAGCCATCCAAGGATCGTCTTTATCTCTTTTCCTTGAAAAACTGGAATCCTCTATGGGCGCGAACATTTTTTTCAATGATTATCTCTTTTTTTGTCAATTGATTGAGGCGAATGCATCCATGGAGGGGGAAAGTCGAACCGAGGTTCAGTGGTTTGTTCTGCTAACCTTGGTTCGATTTGTTAATAGACATCTTGACAGATACCACTCCCAGATCAACTCAGCCGACTTTTCGGCTCTTTACCAATTGCATTCCTATATTTGTTCCACACATCGGTGGTCACACATGAGATCCTTCATAAGCTCGTGTGAGGGTGAATTCTACTACGAGATATCTCTTTTTTTCATGCGAAACCTTTTCATATCATCGGGATTTATTGAGTATGAGATCCTTACTGCAAAGTGCAGATCATTCCTCGGCAACACTGCGCCCTTAGTTCACCGGTCGGGCGACGACGCCTCATTTTATCCAGTGAAGAGACTTTTGCAGAAATACGGTCCCTCAATACATTCGAACTTTCACAAAACTACTGACTGTTCTGACCTTCAAAACGCGACCAAGGAGTGCCACACAAAATTAAGTGCCTTACTCCAATGAGAGAACTAAGTTCCGCGTTCGGCATATGTGCGGAGAGATTCCACCGCGCAGCATAAAATAGGCACATATTACACTACCTCAAGGTAGCAGCATTATACTACAGCATTTTTTAATCAATTGAACGCAATTATTTAATGATTTGCTTCGTGAATACGCAGTGTTCGATTAACATTGATAAAAGTCTTACCTCTTGACGTCTTTTTCTGCTTCTAACTTATCAACCTGCCTTTTCAAGTCAAGCATGCTGTTGATGCGCGCAAGCAAGATTTCATGATTATGCACGACCTGATATGTCGGCATCGCGGGCCTACTAGGAAGCTCCAACTCTTGCAGGGTAGCTGCGATCTTGGTTTGAGTTGCAGCCTTAAAGGTCGAGATTCGGCTAGACCTGAGGTAAGCTCCAGAAGGCAATTTCTCCCCGTGAGTTTGCACGCCCAAGGTCTTTCGTTCTTCTGAAGTAAACCCCTGTAGCAATTGCTCGGCGTACTCGCTATCAGCTTTCCTTTTGACGGCTATTTGCATCTCCTGCTTCTGCTTTTTCGTCTTTTTGACTTGACTCTGATCATTGGCGATATTATTATTGGTAACAACTTTCTGTTCCTGGAGCTGTTGCATCTGCTGCTTTTGTTGAGCAAACTGCTGTTGCTGTTTCATCCATGGATTCTCTGGCACTGTTTGCTCGTATTTTCGTTTCTTAGTTTTGTCGGACAGCAAGCTATTGTAAAGCTGCGTCATACCTTGAGACGTCAAAAATTGAGCAATAGGCTTATCGGAATTCGGAGAATCTAATAGTCGCAATAAACTCTCCCTCTCACTTGACGTTTTCTTTGCCGCCATTTCAAATTTCTTGGACTCCACAATCAAGGCTTCTTCCTCAGCAATTTCAGCAGCTGATCTCGATAGCAGCCTCTGTAAATACCTTTTACGCTCGACTTCCTTCTCCTTCGAAAAAGAAAGTGTTTCTATAAGAGGGTTATTCGGGCTTTTGGCCAGAAAATAGTTGCGACACACGAGATAAAATAACTCCTTCAAGTCTTCTAAAGAGTAGTCGCCTTCCAATTCGAGCCTATCTTGTATAATAAACCATCGCATGTCGTACTTTTTACAATTATCGAAAAGCTGTCGAACGTTCTGATAGCTCCAATTTCGTAGAGCATCTTTTCTTTCATCTTTGCCACTCATAAAAGAGTTATATTCGTCTTCTGTAAACTCTGGAATGGTGAGTTTGGTATTGAATTTCTCAAATGAACTTACTTGAGACTGTTGTTCTACCAATTCTTTTGATCCTTTGACCCAATGTCTCAGCTTCACTGCTTGTCTGGGTTCAAATTCAGCAAAACTCCAAGGGGACGGCTTCGCCATGGTTCTCATTTTATCTTTGAACTTGCTCCCCTTTTGAACCGCAATTGGTGGTGTATTGTCTCCCAAAAGATTGTAAAGCTCTCGCTGCATCCCGCTAACCTGCGGTTTTGGCGTTCGACTAGGTACAGGCGTTTGACCAGAAGACCCAGGACTACCTGCCCGGTGATTCTGGATGTTTAACACATCAAATATATCCGAAGAGGACATTATAGCCTGCTATTTCTGATCGCTTTTCTTCAACTGAATTGTCATGTTTAGAAGTTTTGAGTTATAAGCATGCTTGATAAATATCGAAATTAATCAAAGTTATAAATTGAGAAGAGCTGGACAAACACTACCCACTACCTCATCGCCAAAGTGGTGACTTTGATTTAAAGCTGTGGCACTATGTTTAAGATTCAAATACGATCGCCCAATGGGCTTGGTGGTAAAACTGCTCCTTCCTTCAAGGATTCGTGGGAAGTACTAAGAAGCGCCATGTCGATGATTTATGATGGACGTGTAGGCGAGCTTTCCTTCGAGGGTCTCTTTAATGTAGTCTACAGCCTTACACTCCGCCGGCAGGGAGCAGAGCTCTATGAAAAGATTGGCGGGTTTTTTGAGGAAAAGGTCTGCGAATTGAGGAATCCAGCTATCGAGAGTTCCACACTAAATGTACTATCAGCGTTATTGGAGGTTTGGGACAAGCATTGCGAGTCTCTTCGCTTGATCAGTGACATTACGATGTATCTCGACAAAGTTTACTGCAAGGAGAATCGCAGGCAACTTGTTTATGACATGGGACTTGAGAAATTCCGAGGTCTGGTATTGAAGGCTTCAAAAGACGATGTGCATAGTCTGATGGGAAAACAAATCAACGATGCCAGGCTTCGGTCCAAAAATGTCGACTTTCAAAGTCTGAAATCTTTGATTGCAATCATGGAAACCCTGACTGATGTCAACGACACCTATTATCTTACAGAATTCGAGCCTTCTTTACTTGAAGAAACTAAAGCTTTCTACAGGAACTTTATTCAAAATTACAATAGTGAAGCAACATCATATCCTAAGGAAGTTCAGGCACTTTTGAAAGATGAGCAGGAAATGGATGCGAAGTTTTTGAACCAGGACATAGTGATCAAGATTAGGACTGTCGTCGAAGGTATACTGGTTTCGGAAAACATGCAATTTGTAGGAGAGCAGGTTATTCCCGAACTTCTGCGAAAAGGAATGTACTCGGACTTGGGACTGATGTTCAGTTTGTCCCGCGCCCCGCAAGAAAAGAAGCGGCTTTGGAAGCAGTGTTCTCAATATATTTCGAATGAGGGTCTGTCTATTGCAGAGGACTTTTCGCTGAAGAAACGAACTCAGGTCGCAGTAAAATGGGTTACAGAAGTAATTGCATTGAAGAAAAAATACGAAACGGTATTGAGAGACATGGCTGAAGACGACTCAACTGACGTCAAGGCAGTCAATGAAGCATTTTCCGTGATCTTGAATCAAAATGGAAAAAGGAATGCCGATTTCTTGGCCATGTATTTAGACTTCTTGTTACGGTCATCTACTGCCGAGGAGTCGACGAAAATGCAAATGGAAGAGACGATAGCGATGTTCAAACTCCTGAGAGAAAAGGATGTTTTCGAAAGATTATATCAGCAACAATTGTCTAAACGCCTATTACAGCAGCGATCGTCCATTAAGTTGGAAAAATACCTGGTGAATCGCATGAAGGACGAGGTTGGAGGTTCTTTCACGTTGAAGCCGGAAGGTATGTTTAGAGACATTTCGGTATCACAGATCAACAACTCGAAGTTTCACCAATCTTACCAAATTCCATACGCATACGACATGAGCGTACTCACATGGACATGCTGGCCATTCCAGCAGACAAGTAACGAAAAAGACATAATTCTACCAACTGCGCTTGAAAGCGTGAAGCTAGATTATGAAAACTACTACATGAAGACATACAGCGGAAGAGTACTCACTTGGGCTTACCACCTTGGGTCCCTGGATATCGGATTTCAGTTTAAAAAAAGTTATCATGTTATTACAATGCCGATTTACGCCGCCATCATATTTATGCTATTTGAGGATCATGAGGAATTGACTGCCCAGGAAATTGGCGAGCTTACCAACATTCCGGACAATGAACTCATTAGAAATCTTTTAACAATAGCCATTGCTCCCAAAACGAGACTTTTAAAAAAGCAGCCCATGAGTAAAAAGGTTCTTCCCTCAGACAAATTTCGTATCAATTACTCATTTTCAGCGCCCACTACGAAAGTGAAGGTCCTCGCTGTTTTGAATAAAGCTGAATCAGAGACGCAGCAATCATCGGGTAATGGGGGTCTAACCTCTGATATTTTAGGCGAACGTAGACAAAATGTCGAAGCCGCGATCGTGAGGGTGATGAAAAGCTCTCAAAAGTTATACTTGGATCAACTGTTTGAGAAAGTGCGAGAAGCCGTGGCGTTGCGCTTTCAGCTGGACCTGGACACGCTTCAGACAAGTGTGGACAAACTTGTTGAGCGGGAATATATGCAGAGGGATCCTGACGACAGCACTTTTTATCATTATCTTCCTTAAGTGTTTAAAACTTCCGTAAGTGATTAAATCTCACAAGCTTTCGCAGAAAATCAGGATTTACGTTTCTGCAGTATGTTGCGGAGGTCTTTCGCAACACGAGCTACTCCGCCCGTATCCTGCGAGCAGACATAACATTTTGTTGTACTTTTGGCTCTGTCCATGAAGCAAGCGCTGCAGAAGTAGTGTTTGCAATTAGTCACAATAGGATTGGAATAGTCCTGCTTGCATATAACGCACTTGAAAGGGATTTCTTCGATATTTTTGATTTCTTCTTCGTTAAAATCGATTTTCCAGTCCTGACTGAGTTTCCAGCCAGCTTTGAAGTCGTCTCTTGCGTGCAGAAACTTGCAGCTATCGCCATAACCACAGTAACCGGTTTGTTTGAAATCTTTGCAGATATCTGGCTGGTAGTCCATGTAAAGTGTCGATTTCGTGTTGTTCGCGTTTTGCTTCGCAGGGTCCAGCCTTGAAAGCGAGATCGATGCACTTTCTGCGGTCTTATCGTTAATTATGTGTTGTTCGTTATTGAGTTTCTCCCCCCAGTCTTCATTCCTGCTTTCTTCCTCAACATCCTCCTTTTCTTGCCGATTTTGACCAAGCGATGAGCTGGACGACGAGTCCCGACGTGTATTTGAATCTTTCTCTTTCACAGACAAACCTGGCGTTTGCAGTGCATCTTTTAACCTCTGTCTTTTGTTCGAATCCTTACCAGCTTTCACAACCCGTTTCTTGAACATTCGTTGGTCTAAAACAAAGATAGTGTTTGTCTTAAATACTGTCTTTTGATGTCATTGTCTCTTAGAGATGAGTATATCTGATATTATAAGATTTAAACCTTATTTTATAATGTTAATTCAACAAAATCCAACATATCAATGAAGAGAAACTCTGACATTGCAGCTCTTGCAAGGATTCACACCGCTTCAAAGACGAGTTACGCGATGAGTGAGAGTGGTAAAGAGCGGGAAACCAGAGCACAATTCGTGAAAGAACCCGAAGCGCGGCTTGGAGGCGAAACAAATAAGGTTTTGCGGAGTGCAATGAAGCATCATGGTGCTAGAGGCAAAGACAGAGGCGCTAGTGAGCAAGAAGGAGACGAGGAGGCAGTAGAGTCGTCGCCACTGCTGACCTCGACGCCGCCTACGGTGTCAAAGGCATTGGTGAGACTATATCCATATCTGATAATAGCAGACAAGGTACTGAGCATCACAACATGGACCAACGATGATATTTGGCCAAGCGTTCTGGTGGTGACGGGCTACATCACAGCGGTGCTCTATTTTCAGAACATGCTGCGGTTTTTCGGACATTTGGTGCTGGTGGGAACCCTATGGTGCTACTCGTTGTTGGATTCCTTTGTGGAGGATTCAATCAAAGAAAAACCAACGCTGGATGATATAGTCCAGGTGATAACACGCGTAAACGCCAAGGCAGATCTATTGCTTTCACCAATTGCAGTTTTGACCGGTAACGATATCAAAAGACTACTGTTCACGACTATTTTTTTGTCGCCCTTGTATGTGATCATCACATTGTTCATCTTCCCACCGCGTCGTCTGCTATTGTTCGCCGGGGTGTATTTACTGACGTACCACTCGTCATGGTCAATAGTGAGCCGAAAGCTTTTGTGGAGATTCAAACTGGTAAGGCTACTGGTGTTTTACGTCACCGGTTTGGACTTGAGCGGTGCCAATAAAAGTCAGGGCATCTTTGCAGCGGTTCAGAACAAAGTGAAAAAGCTGTCCTCGCATAGAAGCAGTACAGACGAAGGAAAGCCCACCAGGTTTACTTATGTGCTTTACGAGAACCAGAGGAGATGGCTGGGTATTGGCTGGACTTCTAACATGTTGAGCTACGAAAGAGCGCCCTGGACAGACGAGTTCATAAATGAGGCTCCATCTCCGGAGCAGTTCAAACTTCCGGAGGAAAATATGGGGATGTCTTGGAGATGGGTAGACAGGACCTGGAGACTTGACATGACCAACGACGGCGCTATCCAGCCGCCTAGCTCGCGACCCAGGACTACAGCTCAGCCTAATTCTGACGATGGATACATTTACTATGATAATACGTGGAAGAAACCCTCGACCGAGGACTCGTTTTCAAAGTACACCAGACGCAGACGCTGGATCAGGACTGCCGAATTAATTGGGGGCGACAAATACGAAGTCAATACCACAACTTCTACAACCAGCACTGCAGCTGTGGCCGCTCAGCCGGTAGACGCTACTGGTACGGTAATTGCCAAGACAGAAGGTACAGAGGCGTCTTCTTCAATCTTGGAAAACGTGAAGGAGCTTGAGTCATACAAACGCAAAGTGTCATTCAATGAGCAGGATGACGTGCATATTATCCCGCGATCGAAGGAGGCCGATTTCAGAAGATCTTCACAGGCACTAATCGACGATAGCGACAACGACGACAGTTCCCAACGAGATCAAGGAAAGTACCAGACCGCGGCGGTGGTCGATAGGCGGAAACTCTCAACCGGGGACGAGCCTGTGCAAGGTGCTACTCTCAATGATACCACAGCGCTCGAGACCAAGAAAGACGCATAGGATAGGGGTGGGTATACCATAGTAATACATAAGATGAAGTTGTTAGACAGATTCCGTCTGCAAATTACAAAATGCACTAAGTCTCGATTAAAAATGTACTTGAAACACGTATTCTTTTTAAACTAAATACTATTAGCTTCCCGATATCAAGCTAGCCGATCCGTCTGGCCACTCGGAAGGTCAGTTTGTTGAATAATCAATTACTTGACTTACAACTTGTTGACCTTCAAAGTTGGAGGCAAAGATTGGATCAACTTCTTGGCCTTACCGGCGTCGTTGACAATCAAAGTGTACAAGTATCTGGAGCCTCTGACCTTGAATTTGGTCTGTCTGAAAGCCTTACCGGACTTGTTCAACTTCTTGTTGATCTTGACGGTGGCAGACTGCACGTCGGCTCTTCTGGCTAGTTCCAAAAACTCTTTGATGTCGGTGATTTCCTTGGCCATTATTGTATGTGTGAAACTCAAACGGTGATCAGCGCTAAAATGTAAACCGAAAGGCCTCCTAAAATGAAGTTGTAAAAGAGCTGAGTTTGGATATATCTTCTTAGAGGGCGAGTTTCCCATCGCAGAGGTGAAAGTTTCGACACCGCCATTGGATATTTTTCGAGCAGCACGTGATCGAAATTCCAAGTACATTTTTGCGTGGGTACAAGCATTTGATGACATAAGCATTGTCCCAGGTCACGAGACTTATCAAAGATTTTATCACTTTTTTCAAACAAACAAATTTGAGTTCTCGGATGTCCGGATGTTGAAGAAAATGTACAGGTGTTTATGCCGAGTCACGTTTGAGCAGTCACAACGTAAATGTGTACTCATTCTAGCTTAGCTCACAAGATGTCCTCCATCTCAATCTCATCCTCGCCATCTGGGTCTCCGTTGTCGTCATCATCGTTATTGTTACTACCGTCTCCATTTTCTTCGTCATTGCTGCCATTTTCATCGTCTTTGGCCAGTTCACCCAAACGAGCGGCCCTCTCAGCCTCTTTAAGTCGCTTATACTCGTTTTTGAGCGTATATTTGAGCGCGTAAGGACCCTTCTTGACTAAGATGGCCACCTGGTCCAAACACTCTTTCAAGTACACCTCAGGCTGTTTGGTACGTTCCTTGAGCCCCTTAAGCGACCAGTAATCGTATTCATCAAACAGCTTGAACAAGAAATCCAATAGTTCCTTCTTGGGCATGCGGATGGCGCGCGCGTTGTTCTTGGCCTTTTCACGCCCGACCTTCAAGAACTTGGAGTTGTCTGAACGCATCGACATACCGGCGTGGCTCATGGTAACACCAGGCGTTTGGTCTAGGACTGTGACAGTTGGTTTGTGCACGTTACGCACAATGTCTCGACGTTGCTCAACAATCTTGTGATAGTGCGGGTCAGCCATCGACGGAATGACATGGCATTCGTGACATACAGTACCAGCAATTGCCGTTTTCTTGGGAATGGTTTTGACATACGGGATGTACCTGTCACGTCCGTCACGGTCTGTCATTACACGATTTTGGAATCGCCGCTTGTTGTTACGCCTCTTGAGCTGTTGCTGTTTCTTCCGCATCTCTTCCTCACGCTCCTGCCTCCGCATGAAGGCCTGTTTCTGTTTTTCAGGGTCTGCTGCCAGCTCACGCTCACGCTGTTGATATTTCTTTAAATTCTGCTCTGTGAACACATATTCGTTTTCTACCAACTTCTTGGTTAGCTCCAAATCGTACTGGTGCGGGATTTCTTGGTTTTCCTCGGTCTGCTTCAAAAACATTTGAATCGTTTGGCTATCTTTATTGATGCGTATTTTACCCAACTCTTGGCCGTTCAAATTCGACTTATGACGCCACTTTTCTGCCAGAAACTTCGGGAGACGAACCAGCCAGACCTGGCGCCCACTGTTAGTGATGTCTAGATCCAGAGACTCCTCATACACTCGCGTTTCATTGTCTTCAATGTCATTTCCATCAAACACTTCCTCGTCCTGCGAAAGGTATTCATCTCCAGACTCGTTTTCTGCGCCCTTTTCGGGCGTTGTGCTCTTAACTTCTGGTTCTGTACTCATTACTGAGGCGTTTGGAGGACAGGGTTGTTTCGAAAGAGTGCCAGAAGAGCCTCTTTTATAGCTTTTGTATCTGGTTTAAACAGAGGTTTAAGAAGTTTGATCATTTAACTTTAGTATCCTATAATTTACCATACATATATCCAAGGGCATCGCATCAAGAAAGCGAAGACAAATTATAAAAACGAGCTGGGAAAGCCTGAGGAATGGCTGTCTGATCCGCAAAAGATGGATTTGAGTAGTCTGCTAAAGAATGAAATAGCTAAGAAACAAAATGAGCTCGAAAAGCCGTGTCTTGCAACGCCTGAGCGTCCCGAAACGAGCGCGGGACTCCATACGGAAACTGCAGCAGATGTAGCTGTCAAGACGGCAGAGGAACCTGAAAAAGTGGAGGAGGCATTCAAAGAAACGCCCACTATGGTGTTGCAACGGCTTCAAACGCGTCCGGAGCGCGTAAAAGACGCTCTTGAACAAGATGAGCGCGCCGACGTTACAATTGCAATCGCAGCCATCGGCGACAGCGATCCAGCAACGGCCGCAGATTTGGCAATCAAGTGCAATTTGTACATACATCAGCTGCTGCAAGAGTGGCAAGACACCGATTACAAGCCTGAGTTGGTTATCGAAACAAAGAAAGCACTTTATCCATTATTGGTGCGACTTCGTAAGCACACACTGGCTGCAGAGCTTATCACATCTGTGGCGACCATTTTGTACCATATCCAGCACGCACAATTTGCACAAGCTACACAATCATACCTCAAACTCAGTATAGGGAACGTGGCATGGCCAATAGGTGTCACATCGGTGGGTATTCATGCTCGTAGTGCACACGAACGTATACAGGGCCGTGACAAGATTGCCAATGTGATGCTAGATGAGACCACCCGGCTGTGGATTACCAGTGTGAAGCGATTGGTTTCATTCGCGGCTGTTTCGGCAGCAGAAGGGCGTCGTAGGAAGTCACAGCTCCAGCAAGAGTGATTTTTGGCAAGTTGGTAGGTAACGGTTAAACACTAACCTATCCGGACTACATAACCATTGTTGCTCAGAAAAACAACAAAACCACCGTCTGGCAAGTGGATAAGCAAGACCTACCCATGACTTCATTGGTACAGGGATTTATCGAGAATCTAGCAGAGAACTACGCTTCTGACAAATGGAACGATTACGCGGGTGAACGCTTTCAGCCAACCAAAGGTATGATACATTCAAACAAAGCTGATTCTAGTACCAAACAGCGGCTGTACTAACAACCCAATTCTACTTGCAAAAAGATCCTTTTTATGAAGTATTACCGGAGGGCAAACGCAAAAGACGCAAACTGCCTGAGTACTGCTCACCGCGCGAGAAAAAGCTTTGGAAGAAACTGCAAAATCGGGCCTGGAAGGATGATAGGTGTTTATGTGGATGTTTATGGGTGAACTGGGGTTTGGGACTCGCTCCCATGCTGTCCATAATTCCGACAATCGGGCCTATCATTATGTATTCAGTTCATTCTAAACTGATCTCCATGGCAGACAGAGAGCTGGCTTTGCCGGCAGAACTGGTCGCAAAGATGCATGGAAACATCTTGTTGGATCTGTTAATCTCGCTGCCACCGGTACTTGGCGTCATTTTTGCGTGGATGAATGCATGCTCGACCCGCAATTGCGCCATGATTTACAATCACCTTGCTAAAAAGGCTATCAATAGTCATAATGCATATCTACAACAGCAAGCTCAACAGCCTTCACCAGCTGCCCCTCGACCCAACACTGCAATCCGGCCTAATACTGCAACGGCTGCTACAATGCCACCAGCTTCATCAATGCCACCACAGTCTACGAATTCCTACAAAACCAGAAGTGATCCACGTATGGCACCTCGAAGACCTCCCCCAGTCCACTAAAATCTTTGTTTTAATATAAGGTCAACTTGATGTCGATGTTGAATAAAAACCTTGAACCTCGATGATCTTTCAATTCATTCACTAGTATGTATAAGTACAGATATACAAGAAAAAAAGTCGAAACATCGACGATGAACCACCCAATTGATAGACTTTGGATCGACGGATGCTTTGATTTCACCCATCATGGCCATGCAGGGGCCATTTTACAAGCTCGCAGCCTGATTCCAGCGAGTTCCGACTCAAGTGTCTTGCTTTGCGGAGTGCACAACGATGCGGATATCACGTATAATAAAGGAGGAAAGCCCGTTATGACGCAGCTTGAACGCTATGCACACACCCGCAGTAACCGTTGGTGCAGTGAAGTCGTAGAAGACGCACCTTATGTGACCCAACCAAAAGTTTTGGACGCTCACAACTGCTGGTACGTGGTTCATGGCGATGACATCACCACCGATGCAAACGGTGAGGACTGCTACCAGGAGATGAAAGATATGGGGAGATTTTTGGTGGTCAAGCGCACTGAGGGTGTCAGTACTACAGATATAATCCACCGTATTCTGACTGGAGTCACGGTGGGTAGCGATTTATCGCTTTGCAATAGCCATAGCGCAGAACTTACACGATATGCATCAAATTCAGATGGTCACAGACCATGGTGCTTTGTCTTTGACGGCCAAGCTTCAGAGGACGCGATGGTGGTACGCGGCGGGTTTGATTGGCTTCCAGACAATATAGTGTACATCGAGGGCGATTTTGACCTTTTCCACATTGGACAGATTGACCAACTCGCGCAACTACGGGCTCGGTACGGCCCCGAAAGAAGATTGGTGGTAGGAGTCTCGACAACGGACAATTGCGTAATGTCACCTCTTGAACGAGTACTTGGTGTGCTGAGCTGTAAATACGTGGACGCAGTAATAGTGGAACCCAAAATTAAGCCTGAGGTGAAGGACCTTTGGGTTTTGGATGACCCAGATTTAAGGACTGGACCGTTCGCATATTTGGATAAAGCCACCATTTTGGAAAGAATTGTAGCGGACCGCGACCATTATGTTGCACGCAACATCAAGAAGGGCATGTCCGGTTATTAAGAGCTTACGTTTACCTCTGAGGTGTAGAGCTTTCAAAGAAAAAAGCTGCTACTGGATCACCGAGAGTATCAGTTGAATCACAAGGCGCTTGCAATTTCAAGGTAACGTCCCATAAAAAGTGCATAACAGTCTCACTCTAGCTAATCTAATTGTCAGACCAACGCTTGATGAAGTTTGCCATTACAGAAACTCGAGTAACCTGGCTCATTACTTCCTTCCTGTTCATTGCCAAGCTCCCTTGACATCCCATTACCATAAGAGTTGCGGCGAATATGCTCTTTGTAAAGCTCATTCATTGAGTACATCTCATCCGGTAGGCAATTTCATAGAGATGCTAAAAAACTGCCGAATCATGGGGCTCTGCGCATTTCACCATTAGCCTTGCTAAATGGGTAGGGACGTGAGCATTGTTGTTTGACTTCTTAATGACATGGTGAATGCAGCAGAATGCGATCAAAAATCCAAAGCAAGTGATGTAAGGCAAGAAAGCTCGTGTCACAAATTGAAAGGAAAACGATTACCGTTGAAATGGGATGCAAGAAGGAGCATATGATATTGACTGTTACGTTGGGTAAATAGTAAATTTATACATTTTGGCAAGGCAAAAGGTTTCGACACTTCAAGAGCAGTGAATACCAGTCATCAAAAAGCCAGATAGCTCTACCAAGTAGTCGCGCCGCAACGACTGTGGGAAAGACACGAATATCATTGTGTTGCCGCCTGACGCGCCTGTAGAAAACGAAATCACTTTGAACGAACAAGATACTACTAATGGCTTTGAATTGGATGTTTGTTATGCCCAAGTGAGACGACGAGTTTTATGGATTCACAGCGTTTTCGCTTCTGTTGCGGGAAATAGAAACTAACTAACTAGATATCCCATGGACCCCGCACATCTTTACACCAACAAAAAACATCAATTATCTTACGGTGAGAGTTTTCACGTCACGTGATATCAAACAGAGGAGGGCATATTTCCAGTTTGCTTAAAAGCTCCGATCTTCTCAACGTGTATTCTTTTCCTCCATCTCTACGGGTTCTATCTCAGATACTGCCCCGACCGCTGCTCAAATAGATATCTTGTAAACTTTGTCGTAAACTTTGTCGTTATTATCTCATGTTATACCGCCTATTTACTCAGCTGTAATAACTATATGCCTTCGTTAATTCGTCTCATTCATGAAATTGTTGAACCTCGCCTAGCTTGCGTTCATGGTCCTGGACGTTAGATCCACGTCTTTGTTTATGGAAAACTGGTGGAATTTCGCCCGTTTCAATGAGATCTTGAATTTCGTCACCGGGCTTTCCCCAGTTGCCCTTGCCGGACCCGTGCTTCTTGACACCATTAGGTGCTGCTCCAAAGTGGCCATTGTGGGTGAAATAGTGTGAGTCTGCTTTGTCTTCGTGAATTGTCCACTTATTAGTTCTAGTCATGATGAAATGGAGAGTTTGAAAGATGCGGTGAAATTGAAAGATGTAAATGTATCTGTAGGTGTGTGTGTGTCTACAAGTATAGACTGCGATATGTTGATACTACAAGAGAAGATGAAAAACCATTATGGAAGGTGTTTCCTACCTCAGACGAGAATTACAGCCTTATATACATCGAAAGAGACCAGTCGAACGAGCGTCACCCCTGTTCAACTGTGGTATTCGTCGTTCCTGTCCTAATCCTTGTTGTTGTTGTGTGGGTGTGTGAGTCTTAGTTTCCCTTTTCGTAGGGACCCCCCTTGATTTCTCAATTCTTCTTTTTTTTTTCTCCACCTAGCCGGGTTAGCTTAAAATTACGGGGAAGGCTAAGTGGAAGCTGCTAGCGGAAACCGAGAGACACGAGCCTAAGCCAGCCGAACAGAATAGAATAGAATACAGGGAGGGGATCGGAGGAGTGGGAGGCGAAGTTTTTGGTTAAAGTTTGGTTTAAATTTAACTCACAGCGTTATGCGAATGACTCAACGGGGGAAATTGGAGGTGACTGCTCAGAGCGGTGCGCGGTGAAATTTAGGAGTAGGAGAGGCATAAACGTGAATGTTCAGTTCAGTTCAACGGATTTGAGCATCATGTAGAGCACCCCGCTTTTTTTTGAAACGAATAGAAAGACTTGAAGCGTGGAAACGAAAAGGATCAGCACCGTGCGTATGTGTTTGAATGTGTTCTACGTGTGTACGTAGATAGTTTTTGAGACTGTCACGTGAGACCAGAAATCACGAGCGATCATACCCGTATGATGTGCTTTCAATAATTTTCTTCTAAGGGGAGATCATCTTGTACGAGGATTGACGTTTTTAAGGGGCAAGGGGGGGGAAAGGGGAGGCTAGACTCGGGGATAAGGATCGGAGATAATAAATTCAAGATCACGATCAATAAAACTAGGTTTCTAAGATAGTTTTGGGTTAGTTAAGTAGTAGAACAGTCATTACTGTAGGTTTTTAAGCTAGCTATCTTCACAGAACAACATAGCGGATAGACTCCAGGGACCACAGGGATGAATCTCTAAACCCACAAATTCATCAGCCTGATACAAAAAAAGCTGAGACTTACAGAGCTACGGTCAAAGTGTGCATCTAGCGCTCTTGTACAATACATTACATACGGATTATATTGATCTGCAACTTGAAAAGATGCAATGTAGCTCCGGACGGGTCCGGACGGGTCCGGACGGGTCCGCTCAAAGATGTATAGTCCTCTATTCTCATCCATTAGAAACACCATTTCCTAACCATTCAATGAACGGGTATGAATTTGCTCATGTTTCTACCAACTGATGAGTTATGACATGCAAAAAGCTTGAATCCAAAGAACTTCAACGTCGACGCACTCAGTTTCCTCTGCAATCTTTCAGTCTGCAATCTTTCAGTCTAGCTTCATACAGTGTCAGAAGCGCGTAAAGAGCAAACTAAACGTAAATGAAGGTTGCCAGAAATTCCTACATACACGTCTTGCAAGTTCTTGGAATGCACTCCATCCTACCATTTCCGTAGTTCATTCCGATCGATCTTCCCGGGCTTACCGGCTTGATATCTGTCGAGTTTTAGTCATTTTCTTATATACAAGCTAGCCACTGGCTAGGAGGAAATCCGCTTGGATTTCCCGGCCGGCTTTTCCGGAACCAAGTTCTCAAATGTAAACGTGTAATAATAATACTATCTCTAACACGACCTAGTCTGAAAATGAACTTGAGCTCGAAGAACATAGATATAAAAGAAGGTCACTCAAGATATCATCTCTAGTGAACCGAAAAGTGATACCAAAACCATCAGAGCTTCAAGAACAGTATCGAAAAGCTCATTATTCCGAGCATTGACCCTATTGCTCACCAAACTACATATAAAAAAGGCACACCTAGCACGTATATAAAACGTTGGTCCCCTGATACTCACATCCATATTTCGAATTCGATAAACTAAAAACTATTCCAATCATGACCGAATCGGTTGCTCAAAAGGCTGTGTGCGTGTACTGCGGGTCGTCTTATGGCGAAAAACCGCAATTTGCAGAGGAAGCTCGCAAATTGGGATCGTTATTACACTCTATGCAATGGAAACTTGTGTATGGCGGTGGAACGACGGGATTGATGGGCGAAATTGCAAAAGCTGCAATGGGACCGCAAGTGGACGGCTATGTTCATGGCATCATCCCAAACGCGTTGGTTTCGAGGGAACGCACGGAGGACTCTGGCTCACAGGAGAAGAAAAACTCGGTATCGTCGTTCAACGATGAAATCAAAAAATCCGTGGAAAACCACAACGGTTCTACACCATTGAGTCACGAATACGGAACCACCACCATTGTGCCAGACATGCACACCCGTAAGCGCATGATGGCTACTGAAAGTGATGCATTTGTCGCAATGCCCGGTGGATACGGAACGCTGGAAGAGATCATGGAGTGCATCACGTGGTCGCAGCTAGGCATTCACCAAAAACCGGTAGTCCTATTCAACATGGACGGATTTTTCAACGGGTTGCTAGAGTTCATCCAGCATTCCATCAAGAGCGGATTCATCAGCGAGAAGAATGGCCGCATTATCCAAGTTGCATCTACTGCGGAAGAGGTGGTTGATAAGATTCAGCAGTACGTCGTTCCCGATGGCCGTTTCACGCTAAACTGGAGCGATGAGTACGCCGAAAACAAATAGACGGCTGGGCGGTGATTGAGGAACAACATGCTACACGCTGGACGGAGGAAGCACTTGGCGCGCTTTTTTCATGAACCACCAATTTCGAGAGACTTCCTCATCACAGATATCGCCTTTTAATATTCATACATAAGCATATATCATGCTCAGCTAAATAAATAGAAAGAGTATAGTGTTGAACAGACTCAAGGCGGTGACAGATTCTGACACGCCGGCCAAAGGTTTAGTGATCTCTTTGGTTTTGACAGATATCACGTCAGGTGACGTTCTAATTTACCATATTTACCGTCAAATTCATGTTGAGGCGGACAACTGATGTTTGAACACCGTTCAGGCGAGCCATGGCGAGCCATTGCAAAGTGTCGTGTTGTAGAGTGCTAACCGAAAACTTTTAGATTCTTCTAAAGGCTGTTCTGAAGCTGTTCTGAAGCTGTTTTGTCACTGAATGCCGCCTTCTTGATGCAAGCAAGAGTCATCACCACGAGGCGTCCCTAAGAGCAAAGAGCAGGTTGGATCGTTTTTGGTAGTTTTATGGTTTGTGGGACTCTATTGCTGTAGAGTTGAAACTGAGATTACGATTCATTGTCCAAGATGCAATATAGCGGGTGTTAAACAACGTTTCGATAGTGCTGATTTGCACGATTGTGTCTTTTTTGGGTCTGATTCCGGAAAGGCCACCGGGTGGTTTCTGATGCGAATTTAACAGTCTTTGACCAAATACGAGATGTGATTATCTGAGCTCGGGGATTATGTTGTAAGGGCGCAGTTCAAGGGTTGTTGTACCAATGGCTGAATAAAGCGAACGATTATTAAATCCCGCACTTCCAGGATGCATTGCTTGACTGCTGGCGGGACCATCGGCAGCAGACTTGAAGTGATCCTAGGTTGTTGATACCGCGTTTCGAATGCCGGCTACCCGGAGGATAGCTGTATTGTGATGCAGTGAACAGCTACGAGATAGGGAAAGTATTGGAGCTCGAAGCAGCGATGTCTTTGAAGGTGTTAGTGATGCAGTCATTTGCGAGCTGCATTGAAATGCCGGATCGGCAGATCTGGTGCTCAGCAGAAGAAAGAAAGGGGATAGCAGAAGGTCAGGGGATAGCAACACCACCCACCACTAAATCCGGTTTGCACTACACTTCACGGTGTATGTAGAAGCTTCCAATACGAGGATGACGACAACGACCCCATCGACAACAATACTCCCAGTGCTTACATTTGTTGAAATGCCGGACAATACCTTCTTACGGCCGGAGACCAATTTTCGTTACATCTCCTCTCTCTCTCTCTCTCTCTCTCTCTCAACGACAAACGGGTCATACATACACCCTATTATGTGCATTGCCGCTCTCGAGAGTAAAAATAGCCCTTCTCACCTCGAATCGAAGCATTCCGGGATCCAAGAACCGTGCTTACATCTTCGTCATTACGAGAACGCTCTTCTTCTACCCACCCGCCGCATTTGTCGGTTGAAAAACGACGAACCACGAACCACGAACGACGAACGACGACCGACGACCGGCTTCATCTCGAGCATTCTCCCTGCTGATTGCTATGTGCTTCGAGAGACGTGCTACAGACAACATGGAGAGGGCTAGTTACGTCTTATCCCCAAGACTCAACTCAATCAGCGCGCTGAACTCAATACTACTTGCTGCATGGATGCACTCTTGCGCATGAAAAGAATGTTTGGTACGTATATTTTCATGCATGGACTTTGGAAGTCCATGGCCGGTATCCTTGTTTCGTGCATGATACATGCGCCTCACACCACTATTAGAACTACTACTAGTAGCACTACTGGTACTACTACCGCTATCATTACCACGACCCTAAAAGAAAAAAAAGATTGTCCCGTTTATTTCCGAACAGCCGGTATAACGCTACTAACCAGACAAGACGCCATGAGGCCGGTACCGGGTTCCGTACCGGGTTCGGTATCGAGCGTCCTGAATTTCCTATAGACTGGTTCCTTCATCAACAGACAACGTCTTTGTGTGTGTGTGTGTGTGTGTGTGTGTATGTCTATGTGATGGGCTTTTGTGTATGCATGGCCTGTGGTGACAACAACGGCCGGCGATAACCGCTAGCGGAGAGTGGGACGCTCCCGGTAAGAAGTCCCGCTGGGCTCCCACTAAAAACTCCCACTAAAAACTCCCACTAAAAACTCCCACTAAGAAGTCCCGCTGGGCTCCCACTAAAAACTCCCGCTGGAGGCTCCCGCTGGGCTCCCGCTGGGGGCTCCGGCTAGGCTCCGCCCAGCTCCGCCCAGCTCCGCCTAATCTGTCCCATGCGCTTCCCGTTTCCCGGCTGGACGGTTACAAAACGTCCGCTGTTGTCTGGGACACCCACACTAGCTTTCTTGCTATCACCGAACAGGAAGTAAAGAAAAGGTATAAAAAAAAACAAACTTAAAAATACTCACTCAGGAGAGAAGAATGACACATGCATGGATAGCGTTTCTCTCGGCCGCGTGCGTGCGTGCGTGTGTTAGTGTGCGTTTGTACTTAAGTCCGCCACATAGCCTTGTGTTTCCTCACATCTCTCTTCCGGTTCTCTCCTCACCTCCCTCTCACTTCCCTCCCACTTCTCCTTTCCACTCTCGAACAAATGCAATGCGCGTGGAAACAACGCTCAGGCCGTTCCGCGCGTCACGCAGATGCAGCCGAATCATGACGTTGTAATTACCCGCATCGAAAGCATTCTTTAATGAATTGGATTATCCAAGCGGGGCTATTGCGTTCCCAGAACGGGTGGGAAAAAAAAGTTTTTGTCGTCCAGGCGACAAAGCTTCCATACTGATACGACAGGTTATGGAAGAGTCGATGGAATATTAAAAGAAGGTTATTTTTCCAGGTCGGTTCAGGCAGAATCGAACCAGACGTGCGCGGTGGGCCCACAATAGAGACACACAAAGTTCAAAGCCGAACTTTTTTTTTTTTTTTTTTCCCATATTCCAGTCCAGTCCTTACTATTCTCGTTCTGGTTCGTTCTGGTTGTTCGTTCTGGTTGTTCATTCTGGTTGTTGTTCTGGTTGTTGTTCTGGTTGTTCTTCTTTTTTTTTGTTTTTCCCGGGCTGTTGTAGGCTTCCATTCCAAGTCCTCTCTCCCTGATCTGCGCCCATCTCATCTCATCTCATCTCATCTCATATCCTTCCATTTTGCCTTTCTGCCCTTACTCTCTTTCCCAGGTAGGACCGGTGTGTATTCTGAAATTCCACTTTTTTCCGGTTCCTTTTGAGTTCTCATACTTCCTTCCCACGGCAACGGACCTGGTTTTCCATTTTCAATACAAACCCGTTTTTGAGCCCAGGTGAGCAAGCAAGCAGCCAAGCAGCCAAACAAGCAACTAAGCAAGCAAGTGAATAAGCAAACGGGCGGGGCGATTTTTCACAAATTAGAAACTACTAATTTGTTGATTTCGCTCTCATTACCAGTCTATCTCTCTTTCCATCTTTCGGTCTCTCCCGGGCTTTGTTTCTGGTGTGATTTCTTCAATCGCCCCAGACGTCGAATTTCTCCGGGCGGTCCCCGCATAGTGACAAGAGATACACACTCACACATAGTCCGATACCGTTGGACAGATAGAGATAATAAACTTTGACCGAGAAGAATAAAGAAATTAACAATAAGGAGCCATCCAAACCGCAGAATTGGCTCTTTTCTCTTTCTCTCTCTCTCTCTGTCTCTTTATCACACACACACACACACACACACACACACATACTCACTCACAAACAGGTGAGATTTTTATGACATCAAAATCGACCAAGAAGGGACCCTGGACCTCAAGTGAGGACCAGGCCCTGCTGGCGCTGGTGCGCCAGCTGGGCCCGCAAAACTGGGTGCGGATAGCAGCAGCGCTGCAACATCGGTCGCCCAAACAGTGTCGAGAACGATACCACCAAAACCTAAAGCCTTCGCTCAACAAACAGCCGATCTCCGAAGCAGAAGGAGCGGTGATTGAAGACTTGGTAAGCCGGCTAGGCAAAAAATGGGCAGAGATCGCCAGGGTGCTCAACAACGGCCGCAGCGATAACGCGGTGAAAAACTGGTGGAACGGCGGTGCCAACAAGCGCTTGCGGGCCCGAGGAACAGTCTCGGTTCCAGCGTCAGTGTCAGCGTCAGTGTCAGCTCCAGCGTCAACTACAGCTCCGGTTCCTGCCACTGCTACCATGCATCATCCGCTCGCACGAACAGAGTCGATGCCTGCGTCGCCGTCGCATTCCGTTTCTGGCTCGAACTCGGTATCGTCTTCAACGGCGTCCTCCTCGCCATCGGCTGCCGCCGCCGCCGCCGCAGCAGCAGCAGCAGTGGGCTCGGCCACCACCGTCTCACACTATAACCATCACCATCAGCCCTCACAGTCGCCGGCTCTCCGACCAGCTTTGGTCTCCACAACTTCGCTCCCGCCTGTGAGTTATATCCAACAGTCGATCTACAACGCGGGTCACACTGCGAGTTCTTCGATATCCTCTAGCACAACAGCATCTTCGGCTTCAACTCCGGCTTCAACTCCGGGCTTCCAAGGCCACCGAAGCACAGGCTCGGGACCCTCACTTTTCCACAACCTGGTGGAAAATCGACATTCTCAGTCTTTCTCGACTCCCTCGCAAAAATGGCCCTCGCATTCCAAGAGCCATTCCGAGCTGCCGTCGTTGGGAACCGCCGTGTGGGGTCACTCCAGAACCGTTTCGCCCACAGCCGAGGTTTTCGGCGCCAGCTTCATGGATCGATCCCGAAGTACGTCCAGAAGGTCTTCATTAGCGTTTTTGGACAGTATTGGCAGTAATAAACGTCCGAGTCCCAGCCATCGGGCTGTTCAGGATTTTCCTGGCATCCAATCCGCAAGTATCAGCTCTACTAGCAGCAGCATAATGAGCCCTGCCAATTTCTCGAGCACACCCGGATCGGCAGTGTCTGCAGCGCCGGCCCCAACATCGAGCTTCTTGGCGAGTGAATCCACTCGTCAACTTAATGACGCCGACATGATTAGACCGGATTTCAAATTCGGCGGCGATTTTACAAAACATACCACCACTCCCATGCCACGGCCCTTGCTACCGCAAAGTGCCGTTAGAGAGCAGCAACACGTACCGTCGGCTACAGCGCCGTCGAATCAGCGCAATAAATCGCAGACTCGTGTGACCCTTGGTGATATTTTGAATAAGCCATGAAATGGCCTTCACAATCGGTAATACATCGCCACTCTTGAAGTTGACCTTTTCAGAGTTGGCGTCGCAGGGTGTTTGGTTCTTTTCAAAAAGAGTGAAATTAAAAGATAAAACGACGGAGGCAATTCGCGTCCACCGTGCAAAACCTGCGTAACAGTTGGACTCAATGCTCTCGTGGATCGGTTTATTTCTTACAAACTTTCCGATTTTTGTCATTCAAATTGGGCCAAGCAATGTCATCAGCATATTCGTTTTTATGAAGTCTATTTGTGGGTTTCTCAGGCAGAAACTTAATTACACAAGCAGAATATTCTTTTCGTTAATATGTTGACTCAGGTGTTAGGAGCATGTTATACCATGATCACATTCGATCAATCACATTTGTTCTGTTGATGATAGAAACTATTTTGAGCCGGGTGTCAGTTAAATATTTCAGTTTGTCATGTAAATATTAATGGATCAACAAACTCAAATATCTAAAAATTTTAAAAGGTGATGAGATGCCGTATACTTCAAAGATACCAAAATAAGCTGTGGTGTTCCCTTTAGAGAGTTTAGGATGGCCACTTCTGATACGGCTACTGCGAATGTTACAGATGCAGCATCTAAAGTAAAAAAACCCGGTTACACCAACCCTGCTTTTAGAGCAATGGGAATCCCTCCGTTGCGCATTCCATCACGAAACTGGATGATATTTTGGACAGTACTGACGGTATCAGTTTCAGGTATTGTTTATGACAAAAGACAGCAGAAGAAGATAACGGAAAAATGGTGCAAAGCGGTGGAGCCACTTTCACAAGAGAAATTGGCGTTCAACGAAAAACCACGGAAAGTCACAGTTTTTATTGCCCCACCTCCCAGTGATTATCTGGACACTAGTATGACTGTTTGGAGACGATTTGTGAAACCTGTTCTGTTCTCTAGCGGTGTCGATTATGAGGTCTTCACGGAAGAAAAACAAGGTTTGATCAGGGCAGAGGTTGCAGAACGCATACGACAGCTGAGGAGGGAACTGCTGGAACAAGAAGTTGAGCTCAAACGGTTAGAAAACGAGCGCCGACTATGGTCTAGATGCAAAACGGCTATTTCCAAGGGGCTTAACTTCGTCAAAGCGTCCGAAGAGCTCGACGAGGAACAAGAAAAAATACTGGCCATCAAGTATAAGACAGAATTCGACTATAGAAACTTGCTTGGGGTGTACCTCAAGAATCCTAACCGGGATCTAAAGGCTGTGAGTCGAGACGCCATGGTCTCAGATCCAACAATGGCCGGGGGTGTTATTTGTGTTGGTCGTGGAGCTTACAAGGAATACATCGATGGTGTACACGAAGGTATTTTGGGGCCACTAGAGGCTCCTAAGAAAGAAGAAGCGGCCAAAATTGAAGAGGGTACTCAAAGCGTTCCACAGGAAATTAAGGAAGAGTCTTCTGCGGAGCCTAAGCCTGTCGTTGAAACTGTGGAAGAAAAACCGGACACACCAGCGCCTGTAGATAGTGAAGAAAGTCCAGAAGTTTCTAAACCGGTACCTCAACGCTACATCTATCCTAATGAGTATCGCGAAGCCAAATTCCCATCCGAGCTTTCGTCTTCCAAAATCATCAGAGAGGTGGAGTCTCAAATACCGGCTATCTATCAACAACCAATTCTTGTACTGCCCATGCCAAATTTGAGCGGATTTCTCAATATCCCAGAGCGAATTTATCGCTTTTACCGGACGCGGTACGTGGCAGACTCTTTCTGCAAAGCCACTGCAAGTTGCGTGTTACAAAAGGTAAGACCGTTCAGCTCTTCGATAGATCTTGATCTTGCCATAGCTGAAGAGGCAGATTGGCCCAAAAAATGGGTTGAGCAAGGGAAGGAAAAGGGCAGCGAATGGGTCAGTGATTTGAAAGGAGATGACAGAGTACTAAACTTATTGAGCGTCTTTGAATCTTCCCAGATTGACTAACGAAGACGCATCTCATCTGTACATAGAGCAATGCATTTACATTATAGTTCGCTAGGCGGGATCCAGAGGAAAAGAGCGACGGTGCACACTGTCGCTCTTTTGAATCGAAATTCATATGATGCTATCGACTCATTTATGAGTTCAAGAGTGGGGACAACGACACCGTGACTTGTCAACAGCCCGAATATTACTTGAATATTCTACATCTAGATGTAATCAGAGGTTTATACATCTTTATCTACAAGTAATCAGAGGTAAAGAAACCATGTCTTAACTTTCCAGGATTGAAGAACAAGAAAGCAAGAAATCTCGAAAGCAACAGTAAGATGCAAACTTGAATATCGGTGTGAACTGAATGCTTTCAAGTCACGGAAAACCGTGACATTACTTCTTATGTTTGTCTTGGTGGTGTTGACATCGTGAGTAGTGCACTATGTAAATTAAAGCTTTCATCTTAATGTTCAACAACGCAGTGACAGCGACCCTAAGAGTTCTAGCTTTGCAAAGTAACAGCTGTTCACTATGGCTCCCTTCTTCAAAGCACCGATCGATATAGAAATCTTACTGGATGGTGAAGAGTCCCGCAAACACGTTGAAATAGCCAATTCTTCCGATAGCCCGACTGCACGAACGCTGAAGGACAGATATCCGATCTACGAGGATGGTGAAAGTGTGAGTGGGAGGGTCACATTAAGAGTCAAAGAGGGAAAAAAACTGGAACATTTGGGTGTGAAAGTGAGTCTGGTTGGAAGCGTTGATCTGTTGAAGTCTAATGGGGAGAGTAAGAAACGACCTGCAGAAACGTTTTTGAGTTTGAGCGCAGATCTCTGTCCACATGGAGAGCTGATGCACTCCCAAAGCTTCCCATTCCATTTCAAAGACGTTGAAAAGAGATATGAATCTTACATGGGCAAGAACGTGGATGTCTCCTACTATGTGAAAGTTACGGTTTTCCGGAAATCTACAGATATTGTTAAACACAAGCGGTTTTGGTGTCTGCTTTACAACCGGGATGTTTTACCACCTGTTGTTGCCAACGCTCCTGCCGACACCAAGCCCGTCAAGCTGGACATTGGGATTGAAAACTGTCTTCACATAGAATTCGAGTACTCCAAGTCGCAGTTTTCTCTGAAGGACGTGATTGTGGGAAGAATATACTTTTTGCTCACAAGACTCAAAGTTAAACACATGGAACTCAGTGTTATCACCAGAGAAACATGCGGCTTGGAACCCAATCAGCTTTCGGACTCTACGTCTATCCGTTATGAGATCATGGATGGATCCCCCGTGAAGGGAGAAACTATACCCATACGACTATTCCTGGGTGGCTACGATCTGACTCCCAGCAGTCAATCCAACTACTTCAGTATCAAGAACTATTTGAGTTTAGTGATCATCGATGAGGATGGCAGAAGGTATTTCAAACAGTCCGAGATAGTTCTGTTCCGGAGGCGGAACTGAGAAAAAAAATGTCAACTCCAAAGATTGGTTAACAGAGCGGACGGCTGGCTGCGAACATGCATGGCTTTTTGGGTAGCCTTTGATGATGCTTAGAAAGAACAATCAGCTACTTCTCTCAAGGTTCCAAAGAAACGACCAAAAAACAAAAAAAAAAACGACGAATGTGAACAGACACCGTTGTGATTACTTTCCAACACCTTTGAGGACGATGATCGGTGAATGACTCGAAGAAATCTACTCAAATCACTTTAATTGCTGGATACCGGCTCGAACCGGCTCGATCAACTATTTTACGTCGTTCACCTCGAAGGAACGACCTTTTTTTGTCCCAGTTGGAACCTGGCTTGGACCAAAGTCTATTTACATGAATACAGAAGCTCAAAGCCACCGAAGCATCTGGGCTCTCTTTACTTGGTCTGAACGTTGTCATGGTTAAATCGAATTACAGTATTGATGGTTATTATTTCAGGACCGACTGATTATGTAAGAACATCGAACCCTTTTGGGAATAGGATAAACAGTATTGAAGAGACTCAAGAGAAATACCCTATCCAAAGATTTAACACTCGAGGCCTTGCAATGATCTGATCTGAGTTACTTTTAGTAGCGAACAGTTGGACTCCTCCGTAAGAGTATCGACCCTCGATTTGACAAGGTTTGGTTTCTGGTGGTCATCCTCGTTGGCATTACCAAGAACGGTTGGTAAATGTTAATTAGACGAACTTTGACCGGAGGCTTTTCAGTATTCCAAGGATGCACGATTTTTGCTAATGCGGTCGGTGTCGGCCTTTCTATCGCTATACTGAGCACTGGCTACCATCAAAGCTGCTTCAGCACAGCTGCGCTTATAGTCTTGACTTGTGGAATGTCTGCTTTGGCAGGAGCACAGCTTATTCACAGTTTTAGAAAGCTGGCGGGGCTAGGCTGGTTAGTGTTGCTACTTCAGCTCTTAAGCTTGGGGTCTGCTATCGCATATGTGAAAATCCTGCTGGAAAAGCTACCGACATCGTCGTTGTCATCCGTGGAAATGCATTTGGCTGTAGCTCATATCAGCGTGCTTCTGGCTGCGATGCTGGCAAACAGTTTGGCAGTGGACCTTGACTTTGGGTCTGCGGGTTCCAACAAGCATATCTCCAATGACTTGGAGAATGGCCCTGACGAATCTAGAGATGAAGAGCTCGACTCTAATCATCTAGAAATTTCCGGACAAAGCCAAGGCAAACAGAAAACGGTGTCCATGAAAAATTCAGCCCAAACGTTAACGCCAGATCTCGAAAATGCAGCAGCAATGATAGCTCAGCAGAACTGGATGAACAACTACCCTTCGACGTATTCTAGCTCGGAGAATACCTCAACACATTCTGTTGTTAAACATGCGGTGGAGTTACAAGCTTCACAGATGCATGATGCTACGAGCACTGTTGACGTCCCATCCGCTAGTGGATCCATCAAGACGCCAAAAAAATCCAAAATGGATGTGTTCTCGTTGATGCGGTCCAAAAGTAAGTTATTCAAAAGCCCCAAGGTGTCAGAACCCCTTGAAGAAAACAAGCTTCGCTACGTAACGAGGCTTTCCACAATTCACGATAGTTCCAAGAGTTTAATAAATGTTGCTCTAAACTCTCAAAATTTCGATGCAAGCTCCAAAAGCGTCCACTCCAGCTACCTCTTCGCCGACACGCAGAAACGACCTCAATTAGACGAAGCTGCCCTATCCATGGAAAAACTTGCAATCAATCGAATTAACAATGCGCTTTTACCACCTTCCTTGCAGGGTTACGAACAAAACCGCTCGACGGCGATCGAACTAGGCTACGAAAAGACGCCAACGACGCAGATCGCACCAAAGGCGTATGACTTAACACCACCTTCAAGCTCAACAGAAGACGACATCGTGGACGTCTTAGGAGAAAATGATCTCGAAGACATTCCAAAAATCCCCGATCAATACCTCCAAACAGATAGACCTCAGACGTACCACCAATCAGCGGCTTTGCTTCACAGTGTGAGCTTGCCTGAGTGGCAATTAAATCGATCTAAGCTAATGCACAATGAAAGATTGATAGGCCAAAACACTCTCGAACTCGGTCCTAGTCTTGAACTCAAAGCCTCGACTTCTGATAAGCTACTGGCAAGTCAAGGGTTCAGCTTTCCCCAAGTTAAGCCAAAGCTAAGTTTTGAAGATTTTTATGAGCGAGAAAGCGGTGACGCGGTAAGTGAGCTCGATGTTTTTTTAAAGAATGAAGATTTCGAAGGAGACAAAAGTGACACCAAAGCTCAGATGATGAGTGACGTTCTGAGACAAGAAGATCTTATGATAAGTCCAAAAAGACTTTCTAAAATTTCCAATTTTAATGCAGGACCGCACTCTCCTACTAAATCGGTGACGTCTATGTTTTCGAACTCAGCCTCGGGAAGTATGAAAAACCCACTGAAATTTGGCTCTGTGTTTACGAATGCTGGTAATTCTAACATACCCAACCAACCTTCTCACTCGCGTTCCAGCTCCCAGGTGACGTCATGTTTACATTCGACAAGCAACCTGAACACTATCAATTATTCCACACAATCTTCCCCAACTAAGAGCGGAAGGCTTCGACGAATGAGCAAGAAAATGTCCTTGTCCAACATATCCTTTAGGCACGAAAACGAGGACAACGTATATGGTCATGAAAGGAACAATAGCGTCGATTTCAGCTACTTGTACACCTTACAAAACAAACATTCTCCGTCGAAGTCTTTATCGTCGATATCACGGCGTAACAGTACCATTCTACAAGGTGACCGTACGCTTCGGACCGCCAGTGCACTGTTCGAGAGTAAAAATGAACAGGGCATGGAAAATGTCAACATTTCTCTGATACCAACACTCGAACAGTGCGATAATCGCGAACAGAAAGCAGACGACCAAGAGAGTGCACTAAGCTCTTCGTCGAGAAGAAGCGATACCCATTACCCGCGAGCAGTGATCGGTGAGTATGACCGTGAAAAATGGACGACCCTTCAAAACTTGTCGTTGATCGATGAGCCTTAACATAAGCTATTTAACGAAGCACAATTAGAATAAATCACGCTATGTTAAGCACCAGAAGTCTCTCGCAAGTGTACTCGCTGCGTCGGTGATCTTGATCATTATTGAAATTTTGTCGAAAACCCGAAAACGAGAGGAAACAAAATAGAGAGAAAGAAGGTCAAGACGCTACCAAATATTAAAGACATATTGAGAGATGATACATGGTGCTCTAAAATCGCTTGAACGTGGATCAACCGCTATTGCAATTCAGATGACATACGCGTACAAAGTGACTAAAAACTATAAGTATTAAATTTATTCAATCTTTTCTGCAATCTAAGACGATCTAGTTACTGTAACCGGTATTCCTTCTTTTTTTTTGTAGATCTTAACAGCTTCCATCAAATAATCGAGGCATTATTCTTTAGCATCAAGTCTCAAGTTTCTGTTAATTCTGATCACGTGTTCATCTTTTTCACACATATTAGGAAAGGGGCCCTCTATAATTATATTATACATTCAAGATGAATATCAATAAGTGAGTTGTAATCTTTCAATAGCTCATCGGATAAGGCAAAGTGAGCCAATTGAGACCGTTTTGGACCTCTGGAAGCACCAAGACACTTCTAATCGGTGATCCAAGGCCTTACGTTTTTTCAGGCAAAAAAAAAGCGTCTCTTTAAGCCCATATTTGACTCACTTTTACACTTATTCTGTGATATACTTCGCCAAACCATTTGCATACTTCAATGGGTCTTTTAAACGCCCAAGACAAGGAGAAAATCAAGCGAGCCCTTCCCAAAAGCTCCAACAAAATCGTGGATGTCACTGTGGCCCGATTATACGTGGCATATCCCAACCCTCAAGAATGGCAGTATACTGGTCTTTCCGGAGTCATCGCTTTAGTAGATGATATTGTGGGACATACATTTTTCCTGAAGCTTGTGGATATCCAAGGCCACCGAGGAGTTTTGTGGGATCAGGAATTGTGGGTGGGATTCGAATATCATCAGGATCGAACTTTTTTCCACACTTTTGAGCTGGAAGAATGCATGGCAGGACTACTATTTGAAGATTTGGACGAGGCGGCACATTTATTGAAAAGAGTTCAGAAACGCGATAAATACGCGTCCAAGAAGACTCTGGGTAACAAGAATGCCATCGCGTTGACTAAAAAGCTACAAACTGAGGAAGAATCACAAGTTGTTCATGGTCCCCGAGGAGAATCTCTCATTTCCGATCAAAGACAACGTTACAAAATCCAAGATTTTGAAGCTCCTGTAACCAAGAAAAAGGCACCTCCGCCGCCTCCACCTGCTGCTGCAGGTGGGTTTTCACAGCCTCGTTACACTCCAGATGTTCCTCCAGCTCCAAGATTTACATCGCCCCCGCCACAACCAGTGGAAACCGCATCCTCATATGCATCCGATGCGTTTGAAAGCCCAGTATCTGACGACGACAGTTCGTCGGCCATGGCCTCCAAGCCCGCTACGCCAGCTCCTCAGCCAAAGCAACCAGTACACAAACTACCGCCAATGCCTGCTTTTGCCAATCCACCCACAACTTCCATGCCGCCTGCACCGCCTGTTGCTCCTGCACCACCTGCACCACCTGCACCACCTGCACCACCTGCACCCTATTCAGCGGCACCGGTAGCTCCACAACTTCCCGCATTCACAGCATCTGCACCTCCGCAGCGATCCAGCAACAATCCTTTCCCTATTCCTGTCCAACACACGGCACCGATCGCGTCGCCAGGAAATTTCAACCAGACAAGTGGCTCTGCACCACATCCGCCTCTACCGCAAGCTAATAGACCCCTTCCTGGTGTTCCGCCTCGTTCAAACGGCCCCCCCGCACCGCCTCCAAGAAGAAGACCGGGGCCACCTCCTCCGCCACGGCGAATCACCTCTAATCCAACCGGCTATCCAGCACATGCCCCTATTCAGCCCTCACAAACCGGTCCCGCACAGGTTCGACGTCCAGGTCCACCTCCACCGCCCAGACGAGGTGCTGCCCCCCCACCACCATCGAGGTCGGCTCGTGTCTCTTCAGCACCACAACCACCGCAGCGTAATGCTTCAATGTCGTCCCCACCACCTATGCATACATTTCCACAACAAAACTCTACTCCAGTTCCTCTCCCATCTCGTCCTGCAATGTCATTACCGCAACCACAGCCTAACGGCCAGCAATTCATGCCACCTCCTCCTCCACTTCCTCCTACATCTCAACCTTCTGCAATACAGCCTTCCGGTATGGCCCCACCGCCACCACCACCTCCTCCACCGGCATTTCATCAAAACAGTGCAGTCACAAATGGCATTTCACCACCGCCTCCTCCTCCTCCTCCGGCATTCCAACAAAACAGTGCAGCCACAAATGGCATTCCACCACCTGCTCCGCATATGCCTTCTAGGGAAGCACAGCCAGCCGCTAGTGCTCCTCCTCCACCACCTGCTTTTTTGGCTCAACCACAGCAATCTCAACCAGCAGCTGGTGCAAACGACAACACCGGGGATGCTGGTCGAGACGCCTTGCTTGCATCAATTAGAGGAGCCGGGGGTATTGGTGCATTGCGCAAGACAGATAAATCGCAACTTGAGAAGCCTAGCGTTGCTTTGCAAGAAGCTCGGGGAGAAAGCACAGGTCAGCCCTCTGGATCTGCAGGCCCTTCTGCAAACGGAGGTGGCGGACCGGCTTCTCTGGCAGATGCCCTAGCTGCTGCACTAAACCAGCGTAAAAGTAAAGTGGCACAAGACGACGGCGATTACGACAATGGTGACGATTGGTGAGCAAATGTACAGTTAAAGAAGGCTTACACACAAGAAGGCACAAAAATTTTGATAATGACACTGTTGAAAGGATTCGTGGTAATATTGAAGTCCAGTGTGGTCTCCAAAACCGAAAGCGAACCTGCGAGTAAAACTACTCGAAACAAAAGTGCAAATACAAAACGATGCGATTGATGTGATAATGAACAGCTCGCTCACTAACATCGCAACTCTCAATCTCAGTCTTTCCAATGGGCAGCGCCGAACTTCGCCCGCGCCAGGTCTCTCTTTCCAGTTTATGTCACCATATACGGACGCGACGCTCGACATTGTCGATTTAACATCGAGGCATTTTGCAAATACGGTTTCTCATGGTTGTAGAGCAATTTTGAGACTTGCCGATTCTAAATGCATCCAAATTACGCTTCAAATCTAACATCCAAAAGAGTCTTTTCTTAATGACATTTTTTTCCAGAACCAAGTCAAAATATAGCTGCAGATTCATGAATCTTTACGGAATTCTGCAGAGTACCCGAAAAGTATCTGAAATAATTAAATGCTACCCGATATCGAGTTTTAGGTTATTCTTTAATCACCATCTCAAGTCCTCAACGCCTATTCTCTATGAGCTTACCCTTCTCTCGAATTTTCTAGCATAACTGAAATTTAAAATTGATATAATTTGACATAACGAATTCTAACTTTAACAGTGAAAGATCTACCTCAAACAGCATTGGATTCTCACTTTCAGTGATATCAAGTCTGGATAATATAGTTTAAGTGTTGTGCACTTACCGGTAGCTTAAATAGCCCTTGTTTTCTGATTCTTTTGACTCCGGTTTCGCGAAAATACGTTAAGTTCAAATATGTCCACTCTTATCAAGTCTGCCAAATCAATTGCACCTTTGTTGGACCGTGTGTTGGTTCAAAGAGTCAAAGCCGAAGCTAAGACAGCCTCCGGTTTGTACTTGCCCGAGAAAAATGTTCAAAAATTGAATCAGGCAACGGTTTTGGCCGTGGGTCCTGGCTTCACCGACGCTAACGGAACCAAAGTTGTTCCTCAAGTAGCAGTCGGCGACAGCGTGCTGATCCCTCAATTTGGTGGTTCCAGCATCAAACTAAAGGATGACGAAGAAGTTGTTTTGTTCCGCGACAGTGAAATCCTAGCCAAGCTCAACGAATAAGTGGGCGATGCGCCAACTGCCACACATGCCTGGCGTATCTTGTAAATAAAGCCTATGTGGTATGTGCGAAATGAATGTGCGCCAACATCCACACATATATATATATATATATATATATATGTATTACAAATTCTCTAGCTGAAATACTTGTTATCCCAGACTTGTATCCATTTGCCCTTTTTCTCGTCACCTTTGTTCAGATCTTTGATGATTTTGACCATTTCGCGAACTGCTGAGTTCACTTGGGATGTCAAGCCTATGATCTCCTCATCTTGGGGATCGAAATCTTGACCTCCAATGAAGGTGGATGATATCAGTTCGTCAACTTCAGCCACGATCCGTCCATGTAGGGAATTGAGTCGATCCAGTTGCAAGGATGTGGGTTCTTTGTTTTTATAGTCGTTAGACGCAATAGACTTGGAAAACGATTGCAGCAGCAGACGAATCATTTTCAATTTCGTCTGCCATTCTTGTATGAACTGTATCATTTCCTGTGGAGCTTCGTGCGCCTCAGTTTCTTCTACTTCTTCATCATCTTCACCTTCATCTTCTCCTGAGTCACTTCCAAGACCAAAAGGATCATCAGTTTCTATACTGGGCTCTACAAGCCACTCCTCCAATTCCGTTAAAGTATCATTAACAAGCTTGGTGCTGACTTTGATTTTCTGGTTGAGCAGTCCCAATTCACCCATTTCGCTTAGTTCCAGCATTTGATCGCATGCAGCCCATATTTTACCAATTGGTACTAGTCTTGCATTGGCGCTGTCGTCTGAACCACTGTCTGGATTGAAAGATGTCGATAGAAGCTGGTTTAACTCTTTGCATAGACCTCCCACGCCATTTAGAAGACTCAAAACATTCGCTTCCAGTAAACTCGTGAAATACTCTGGGTACTGGCCTTGGTAGAATAGCGGAAGTAGACTGATCAGGAAGAATATGGAATTAGCCAGTGATTGTAGCTCTTTAAAGACGGCATTCAAGTTGTCAAAGAACTTCTCAGGGTTCAGAATAATACCAATCTTTGTAGCATGAGCTTTCAAGATCTGGGATAGTTTTTTTAGTTCAATGATGGGCTCAGAATCTTGAAGTTTGATTTTGGGTTTTAACTTCTGCAGTGTTTCCCTGGACGTGAAGGTTTCTACAAAGTCAGCTTGTAAAGTAGCAATCAGTTTCTTGATGTCGGAAGCAGCTTGTGACATATTTAGAGGTGGTGGAACACTGATTATGGAGAACTTTCTTGAAATCGGCAGTGATGACAAGGCAGTGATGATCTCTGAGTTTCTAAACTTTTCAAATCAACAGAAGAGATAAACACCACGCATATATTCAAGCAACGTCTGTGTGTTATACGCAGTTACATAGGAGAAAAAACTAGATAGCGACGAAACCGGTTTTACGCGGCTGCCATCCTTACAGTCTTTGAAACAGATGGTTTCTCTTGCCAAGTTACTTATAAACAAACAAACAAACAAAAAAATACCATCATACTAGTATGTGTGAAACCTTTATTTTTTTAAAGCGAAGATGTCATGACTATGCCGCTTAAGAGGATGGAGATGGGTTCATCTTTCTCTTACCGTTGGTCAAGGTAACGTTGACGAATCTTCTGGTGTACAAAATTCTCTTACGAGCGCGACCCTTTGGGGACTTTGGCTTTTCTTGCTTTTCAACCTTTGGGGTCTGAGACTTGACCTTACCGGCACGAGCTAGGGAACCGTGAACTTTACCCTGTAGACTGTTGTTAGTAATCGTGAAACTTGGGAGAGACGAGAAAGACGAAGATTCAAGCAAAAAACACATGAGTGAAAAACGAATGCTGGTAAATCAAGGAGATCTGGGAGCACTCGTGTACAGACATGCAGCGGTGAGGCAACGAAATGGTCACAGCCTCTTCTCTTATGGAAAGGTCCTCTTGTACATATCCTCTGGTTTGCCACTTGCCACTGTCTTGCCAAGTCATTCATCTTGTAAGCTAGCAATATCATTTTGGGCTCATTTGAACGGCATTTTCAACCACTTTATCCACACCGTATTCGTCGCAACAAGTTCTAGCATCCCTCGTGTTCCTCGATCTTTCTGAATCTTCTTTCAACGCTCTTTTACCACCATTTTAACGTACCATTTTGATGTGGTTTGTATGTAAATGTTCTTGACAGAAGTATGGACTGGAAAGAAGGATAGTGTATTATAGCTAGAATGAGCTTTTTTTTTCACTATCCTTCTTTGACAGTGAGGTGCCGTACCACATTACATTTTGTTTTATGAGAAAAATTTATTGTTTTGAAAAAAATTGAAAAACCGCTACCCACGCGCGCTGCTTAATGTGCGACCAGATCCTTAGAAGAGATCGCAGAAAATGGATGAGACCGTGTATAAATGGTCACGTGGAAAGCTAATATGGTTTTGAAGTGTGGTTTATGGGTGTTTGGAATTTAGAAAGCAGTCCAATGTGAAGACGGAAGTGTCGGGGAGTGAAAAAATGACATGATGCAGCCAAACAATATGGAAATAAAAAAGAAGAATAGTGTGCAATTGGTTTGAGCTGGTTTCTTCTTTGTGAGCTTTGCTTAAGGGCAGAAGATATAATGTGGAGAGAATTGATGTACATAAACCATCAATACACTTTTGATTTTTCTGGTCACTTTGAACGTGAGTGACGCTCGACTCATTGGCTCTCCCACTGAACTGATTAAGGTGTCCGTTGAGGAAAACAGGTCATTCAGTAGGTCGTCAAGCTTCGAGTCTGATGCAAAGCAATCGCATATATCCCATGCTACAGCGGGTTTCTCAGAATTTTTTTTAATGATCGTGTGTCGTCACTCCCAAGTGACGACACAGACGTATATTGTGATCTTACTTGGATCTTCTGTAAGAAACTCGGAACACGCCAAGACACTACGTTTCGTCTTCTCTTGTGACTACATTTGGCTTTTTAGATCAAATTCGTATAATTTACCATGGTTCAGTATCTCACTCCTTGTGCTTTTTTTTCATTTTGAATTCAATCTCTAAATGTCATGAAAAACGTCCAAAGCATTAAACGGTGAAACTACGCGGGGTCCACTTCATTAAAAAACTTGATAAATACCACCACCCACACTTCTTAACACGGCTGGTCACAAATTTCATACCTCATCTACTCTCAGAAAACCGCAACCTGTTTTATTCTTCCCAATACAACTCTAAATCAATCCCGAATCTTTAAAACTCATAATTGCGCGAATTGACCCGTTTGAAGCCCTGAAAAAACATTTCACATCGGCGGTAAATTCTCAAGTAGCAATACTGATCCAAAAATCACCTCCACCTCTCTTTCATGACGATGACAGGGTTTGTTCAAACTTTTAGCCTTGAAATAACCATTATATTAGCGTGACGTTCTTTTTCACGAAGACTAATAATAATATGAAAATTGGGCCTGAATAGAGTCATTAAATCACATCAATCCATTATCATCGCTCATCTTTCAGAAACAGTGTCTCTAAACTTCACCTCCAAGGCTTTGTCACTCAAAACAACTCGGTAATGTCTTTAGAAAGAGAAGAACCCAGCCATTTCGGTGCTGGCCCAGCTCAATTGCCCACCAACGTCCTGCAGCAAGCTGCTAAAGATTTGGTCAATTACCAAGGCATCGGACTTGGAATTGGTGAAATTTCACACCGTTCAAGCGATGCTACGAAGGTTATCGACAACACTAAGGAAAATTTGCGTAAATTGATGAATATCCCCGACTCTCATGAAGTCTTCTTCATGCAAGGTGGTGGAACAACTGGATTTTCATCGATAGCCACCAACCTTACTGCTGCCCACGTTGGTAAGACGGGCTCCAAGGGTACTGCAGGATATTTGATCACCGGGTCCTGGTCTGCCAAATCCTTGGAGGAGGCTCAAAGACTGGGAATTGATGCAGAAGCTCTCTTCAATGCTAAGGATTTCAACAAAGGGAAATTCGGCACAATCCCTGCAGATGCTGAATGGGCCGATAAGTTAAAGTCCAAGGACTACTCTTACGTTTATCTCTGTGAGAACGAAACTGTACACGGTGTTGAGTGGCCGCAATTACCAAAGGCGCTAACAGAATCAGACGTTGAAATTGTGGCAGATTTATCAAGCGACATTCTTTCTCGCGAGATTGACGTTTCTCAATACGGTGTAATCATGGCCGGTGCTCAAAAAAACATCGGACTTGCTGGCCTCACCATTTACATTATCAAAAAATCGATTCTAGATAATATTTCTGCCGCTTCTTTGGACAAACTGCGTCAACTAGGAGTCCCCATTACTCCTATTGCTTTCGAATATCCAACAGTTGTGAAAAATAACTCTGCTTACAATACCATTCCAATTTTCACGCTTCATATTGTTGACTTGGTTCTGCGCCAGATTATTGCCAAGGGTGGTGTTGCTGCCCAACAAAAGGAGAATGAACTCAAAGCAGAACTGCTTTACACTGCGCTAGACAAGTATCCTGAATTTTATGCTGTTCCCGTGGCTAAGGAATGCAGATCGAAAATGAACGTTGTGTTTACTTTGAAAAAGGAAGGACTGGACAAACAATTTTTGGACGGAGCTGCAGCTCTTAAGCTTACAGGCTTGAAGGGTCATAGATCGGTAGGCGGATTTAGAGCTTCCATTTACAACGCAGTTTCAGTGGAAAGCACCAGAACTCTCGCACAGTTCATTGACGACTTTGCTTCCAAGAACGCCTAAAGGCCTTTGGTAGGCATCAATCTCTGTGTACATTATAGATGAATTCCTGGAACATTTGTATCGGTTTGTCATTAATGCAAGCAGAAGACAAGTATTGGTGAGGCGATAGGCGACGATGCTTGATTCGCGGTACCACATAAATTGAAAATGTACCGCTCTATGCTACTAGCCATATTGAACGCAATGAGACACTGCAATCATGCAATTTGCCGGCCAACGCTTACGATGCCTGGACCCTTTTAACCCTTGCCATGTAGTATATGACCTGACCGTGCTCGCGCGGTCTTTCGCCGTTTTCGTCTTCGACGCTGCCACGAGGAAGCGTGCAATGGAAAACACAAGACTCATCGTGAGAAATGGCAAGCACAACTTCCTCGAATGCTTCGTAAAGCTTGGAGCACACCTTCCAGTCTCTGCTACGGACCACCACTTCGTGAATTACTCTATGCTCGTCTTCCGCGGGAGCAGACCTGCTGCGACCGTCATGAGATTCCTCTGTTGTTGCTTCTGTGATATTTGCAGTATCAGTCGAGGCGCTTTCCTCGATAAAAAGACTCTGGTCGTGATTTTCATCCACTGGGATCTGGCTATTGCCTTTGTTGCCATTAACTTCAGACTCCTCCGATACTGGGGTGGCTTCAACATCAGCCTGCGGCTGAATCATGGCCTCCAATGGCCCATTCCAGCAAATCTCGAGATACCAATCGAGCTCATCTACAATGATTTTCAATTCGTGATCACTGCCGCCTCGGCTCTCGTTGAGCTGCCATATTTTCTTGCCACTAAGTTTGATGTTATGAACGGTGGAATAACGCTCAACACGTCGCAGAAAGTTTGCAAACCCTGAGCCCCATTCTCCCTGAGGTGCTGGAAGCCTGTACATCATTAATTGCGTGTAGTTAATCATAGGCTCTTGAATCTTGGCGTCCTGAGCTCGAAAAAGTAATTTGGCCGGCACCTTGAAGGAATGCGATATATTTTTGGTGGAGTTGTTTAGAGCTGGCCCGCCCATACGAGCTACAACGTTTGCATCGGGGTTTGTGTTGATCAGTTCTTCAAAACTGACGCCAAGTGCACACACAGGGTTTACCTTGGCCGCAGACTTGCCGTCAAGATTTGAAGTAACGTTGACGTTCCACTCGGGCATGCTCTGTAGCTTGATGGTCAAATTACTGTCGTTACCTTGATTTATGCTGCGGTCGTACTTTCTAAAGATATTCTGTAGTGCATCGCAACTGCATTCCATAGCGATGGTATTCAGATCGCGAGCACTGACGACTTCATATGTTGCAAACACATCTTTAGGAATTGTACACCACAGCTGACCATTATCGCCGTGCAGAATTGAGCTATTAGAGACAGAAGAGCTGGGTGTTGACACTACGACTAAACGTTCACTGCTGAACCTTAAGACGGCCGTTTTCCGCAGCGCTGCCACCGTTGACATCGTGGATTTCAGGAGTTTATAGTCTTCCGGACTTTCGGACCCATTGATGATCAGTTTGAGCTTCATGGATCAGCGTTAGCTTTGAACTGAATGGCGATGAGCTTAACTCTTAGTTTCAGCTTGTCGATGTACCTTTCCAATCGAGGCACATGACTGGACAACTACACATCCAATTTAAATATTCCGTACATGGTGATGGAAAGAAATCACTTATATAAAATGATCAATATATTTCTAAAAGTATGCTGAGCGGCTATCACATTTTCGATCGAATTCTTGATCTCAAGGGCCAGAAACTTGAAACCGATCTCATATGAGCTACATAGTGTATCGTTGAAGCGTTTAGACGAATGCTGCGGCAAAAAGTGTGAAAATGGGCCTTTTCCCCGAGAAATTTGACCACGTTTCAGGGTATAAAATGGAAAGCATAGAATCAGGAGTTTGACAAGAGAGAGAGAGCAAGGAAACGAGAATAAGCGGTAGAAAGGAGCTTCAACCACATGGCGTGTTGTCACCAAATGCTGGGCTCGACACTGTACCGTCTCCATGATGATCTCAGGGAACTTTTTTCCAACATTGGCAGATGTAGCACCAAAAAACTGATGAACAGAACATTAAGATGAGTGTCTGCGCTCAAAGTGGAACTACAGTAAGTCTAAGAGGCGGGTCGTTTCAATTCCCGTTGGTGAGAGATTGTACACCAAAACCTCCGAAAGTAAATTAAACGATTTATCGAAATTGTTCAGCAAATGAGGTCAATGAATTCTAACTCATCGTAATCTCGTCGTCATCGCCCATTGATAAACATCCAGTAGTGCACGATTTATCCGATTTTCTGTTCGAATCGTTGATAATCAAGTCACGTGGGACATCTCAAAAGTTGTATGCGTAGACTAATCGTCTGAACTCTTTGAACAAGTCCAATCCACAGAAAGAAGCACCAGTTCCCAAGATCAGCCATCTTATGAACCCGTGGAAAACAGTGTTAGCACCCTCATGGCGAATCTTGCGACGTTACAACCACATTTCGTCCAAGACGGTTTCATCTCTTCAACAAAGACTAGACGACATACCGCTCGAAAACTATAGAAACTTCTCCATCGTGGCCCATGTTGACCATGGAAAATCTACTTTGAGTGACCGTCTGCTGGAATTGACAGGTGTCATCAAAGCTGATGATGCAAGTAAGCAGTTTCTGGATAGACTGGAAGTTGAACGGGAACGCGGTATCACTATCAAAGCTCAAACTTGCACTATGTTCTACTACGACAAACGTAGCAAAAAAGACTACCTATTACACTTAGTCGATACACCGGGTCATGTCGATTTTCGCGCTGAGGTTTCTCGGTCATATGCTTCCTGTGGAGGCGCGTTACTACTCGTCGATGCATCACAAGGTGTTCAGGCCCAAACTGTAGCCAATTTTTATCTGGCATACAGCATGAATCTCAAACTTATACCAGTAATCAACAAAATTGACCTGGATAGCGCCAATATTCCACAGGCAGAGGCTCAAATTGAGAACACATTTGAGCTACCGAAGGACGAAATCGTTAGGGTAAGCGCCAAGACAGGTCTCAATGTCAAAGATCTTTTGCCTTCGATCGTCGATCGGATTCCACCGCCCACTGGAAAAATAGATAAACCCTTTCGTGCGTTACTGGTAGATTCGTGGTACGACTCGTACCTGGGTGTGGTACTTCTTGTCAATATCGTAGATGGAACTGTCAAAAAAGGCGACAAGGTACTAAGCGCCCAAACCAACAAGAAATACGAGGTCAAAGAACTAGGTATTATGTACCCTGACAAAATTCCAATGGGGAAATTGAAAACTGGTCAAGTAGGGTATCTTGTACTTGGAATGAAAGCATCAAAAGATGCCAAAATTGGTGATACGATCTTACATCTTGGAAAGGAAAGTATTACTCGGGTTCTGGACGGGTTCGAAGAGCTCAAACCCATGGTATTTGTTGGGGCCTTTCCTGCCGATGGTACTGATTTCAAAAGTTTGGATGATGACATCAGTAGACTCATTTTGAATGACAGGTCGGTATCGTTGCAACGAGAGTCATCCAATGCGTTGGGTCAAGGTTGGAGACTCGGTTTTCTCGGCTCACTACATGCGTCGGTGTTCAAAGATCGATTGGAAAAGGAATATGGGTCAAAGCTGATCATCACTCAACCCACTGTACCATATGTCATTAAATTCACGGACGGTCAGGAAAAGGTTATCACGAACCCCGACGATTTCCCTGATCTATCTCTGAGGAAGACTCGCATCCATTCTCTTCAAGAACCATATGTCGAAGCGATTATTACGCTTCCTCAGGAGTATCTTGGGCCTGTAATAAAACTCTGCGACAACAACCGCGGGATACAGAAGGAAATCACTTACTTGAATGTCACAGGGCAGGTTTTACTGAAATACGAACTCCCATTAGCACACCTGGTGGATGATTTTTTCGGTAAACTCAAATCGGTTTCCAGGGGTTATGGTTCTTTGGATTATGAGGACATCGGTTACAAACCCTCAGATATTGTAAAGCTGGAACTAGTGCTTAATGGTAAAAGTGTGGACGCCCTGGCACAAGTAATGCACAAGAGTCAAGTTGAGAAAGTGGGTCGAGAATGGGCCAAAAAATTTAAGGAATACGTCAAGTCTCGACTTTACGAAGTTATCATTCAAGCAAAAGCGAACAACAAAGTAATTGCAAGAGAAACCATAAAGGCCCGCAGAAAAGACGTTCTTGCTAAGCTACATGCATCTGATGTATCTCGAAGGAAGAAGCTACTGGTCAGACAAAAGGAGGGGAAGAAACAGATGAAGAGCGTGGGCAACGTCCACATCAACCAGGAAGCCTATCAGGCATTCTTAAAAAGGTAAAACCGAATTTTAGCATAATTACATGGAATAAAGACTCATAAGCATCGTGTACATAGCTGAGATGCACAATCTCTAACTTTCATTTTTCAAGCTTCGATTATTTGCTCTAAGCTAACCACGCCTTCGAACGTTGGATCTTCGATTTTTTGTAGCAACGCCCTGCTTACCTGTTGAGTAGAAACACTGGGTCTAATAAGCTGGTTGATGCAGTCTATTCTGCGACCAAGAAGTCTACTGTTACTCCAATTGGCGAAATCAAGTAAGTGCTTGATTTGCGTCCTGGGTTCTAATTTTCCTATCGTTGAGTCGAGCTCGTCGAACATAAATCCTGGGCGCATCAAGATGGGTCTCAATTGCTGTTCTAGCCGCATGATACCGACCTCTGCTGCTCTCTTTGATTCGATGTAGCCTTTGGGAATCCCGGGAAAGGATTTATCTGCAGAAATGTAGGTCATAGTTCTCCTTTGGCCAGACTTGGCACTATTTTGAAAGTTGGCGAGTTCTTGAGCGAGCGTAAGCGCGCTTTGTTTGTTCATAACATCGTAAGTGAAGTTAGGGTTATTTTTCATAGGATTGGGACCCCATTTCAACAATTTTTTGGCATCAAACGCTAGATTTCCGCTAAGTTGCGTTTTGTAGCTAGAGTCTTCCAATAAGATGCCAATGCTATGAACAACATTGTTGGCATCTTGAAGATATTGAGAGTAAGTTTTAGGGTCCAGGACATCGCATTGACGCCATTTCACCTGCTGAATCCACCGATTTTCCCATAAAGCTTTTGCCTTTGGGGCTGTTCCCGATCGAGTTAGGGAAGTTACTTCGTAGCCATTTTCGACCGCAGTTTGGCAGATACGTCGACCCAGGAATCCACTACCACCAAATACAAGCAAGTTTTTGATCATTGCGACCTCAAATTGTCCTTGGTGGTAACTGTGAAGGGAAGTTTGAGTTTAAGTTGATGTTTTTAGTAGTTAAAGTTTGATAATTTATACGTTTCTACAGGTCAAGACAAGACGATGAGCTAGCAAAGTTATAGAAAAAGAAGACATTTGACTATTCAGATGCTGAGGTTCAAGAGTCAAGTGGATATTCTACGATGTTCAAAAGTGTTATGTTTGACATTCTAATTACGAGAATAACCATGAATGACAGTAAAGTCGTTGGTGAACTCGTACTCAAAAGAAGTCAAAAGGTTAACTTTTGCCCATTAGCGTGTTAGTTCCACGGTAAGTGAAAAAAACGAAGCTATCCAGCTCAAGATCGAGAAATGGGAAGTACTCGACCGAGCAAGGCACAGGGCGCTCAAGAAAGTAATTTACTGCTCCATTGTGGATTCCATTTGTAGTTCATGTAGATTGTAATATTGGCACCGATGTTCATATTAGTTGCTATCCGTTTGCAAAATACAGACTTCTGGTAATGACGGGGGTTCTAATGCATAAAGACACTGTATTTCCGTAGTCTTTGTCGTTCTCGTTGTCGTTCTCGTGGTCGTTCTCGTGTGATTCTTGAAGTTTCTCCTTTCACCTTTTAGTGGTGGTCCCCAGATTCACGTCTTGCTGCTTGTAGTTGTCCCACACCACACGGTATATGAAGCTGGGAGCAAACCCACCGATATTGGTAATGTAGATATCGATGTTCTCAGGCGGCACGTAATCGGCAATTGGATTCACGGTATCTAGCCTGTTGTGATTTCCCAAGCGATGGTTTTCCATGTTGGGCAAAACGCGCTGTGAGCCACCAACTTCCACGAATTTCTCGATGTCGAATGGGTAGAGAGGCGAGAGCTTGTATAGACCAGCTACAGCGAAAACAGGCGTCTTGAATTCACGAGCACATTCACACACGGAGGAAACACCGGCAGTGGACGAGATAGTGCCACCGTTGGTGAAAACGGTCTTAGCACCAATAATGACTTTGCCCACACGACTCATAAGTGCAAAAACTGCAGTATCGGGTATGACAGTTGTTTCTACGCCGTGCTCAGACAGTTTTTTCGCAAACTGGTGGGCGACCTGCGTGTTATTGGGGAAACCCTCTGTAACAAGAACCGTGAAGTTTCTGTTGTTGCGTTCGCGGGCTTTGATGAGAAACTTGAGAACAGTCTTGGAATCTGGGGTAGGAGTCAGCAGAATTTCACGATCGTGGATAAGGTCGATGGCGATCTGTTGAATGCTATCGTCGATGTTTGCGATCTCGTCTATCAGATCCTTGATTCCCTGTATGATAACCTGACGCATGTCTGCTTTTGTTGTGGAGTTTTGCTGCGGTACAGGAGCAGCGCTGGGAGTAGCGGTGGCAGAATTGGCAGATGAAGTTGTGGCCGGTTTTTGCAAAAGACTGAACATTGACGAAATCATGGGCTCTGCGGTTTTATGGAGCTGATTTTGCTGGGCAGCCTCTTCCTCCACTTCGTCTCTGATCAAAGCCAGTACTCTTCTGATGATATTACCACAAGTGAATTCTGTGGGCTGCGCTTTGCCCAGTCTCAGACCCAGTTCTCGCAGTTGAGCGATCAAATCGTCTATACCGGACCATCTGGCCGCAGAAACAAACCGTTTCAAGAGCTGGAGCGTCTCTAAAGAGACTTGGTAAGATCCATACACCTGTCTTCTTTTCAGTCTATCTATAAATGATGCAACGGCAACGTTGATATCTCCCGACATCATGGTAAAGTAGACTCAAAAGGTAGCTTTTGATAGCTTTTCAAATACACAAGATCACCAATGGGTACGCCAAGGTTTGTTGAACTATCTTCGCCGGCAATTGCAGTTCAAAACCGGTAATCAAAGTGTTTTGTAGTTGGTTAAAAAACCCGATGAGATGATGTAAAATTTTCCACTATTTGAATTCTAACACAGGCCTTTATATATATACATATATACGTGAAAAATCACCAGAATCAAGGAAAAGAGGGCTAAACAGACGATAGTAGAACTTGATGAATGCAATGGAACGTTTAACTTTGTAGCGGCGGCTAATAGCTTTTTATCGATGTAAAAAACTTGCGAAACGCTTGAGGCTCACAAGTCACCGTTGTACTCGGCCAGTCTGCGAGTATTTTCGATGTGTAAAACCCGCAGTTTGGCATTGGTGGGATCGAGACTTAGACCGCGCTCGACCTCGGCGCGGGCCTGTTCGTACTGTTTCAGTTTCATAAGAGAGTCAGTTTTGCGAATGAAAACGTCAGATGTTGTCAAACCGGTGTTCTGCAAAAAGTCCAAATCTTGCAATGCATCCATGAATTTGCCCTGTACCAGACAGAGGTCTACCCTATTCTTCATCATAAACTGTAGTTCTTGCAATTGCACGGCAAAAGCCTCCCAACTTGCACGTTTGCGTTGGGCCATTTCTATAGCCAAATTGACGGATTTGAGTGCTTCAGCCATTTTCTGCTGCTGCAATTGCTTGAGTCCATTTTCGAACAGTTTCTTGATCATAGCTGTGGATTCGTCGCGTGGTTGAGGAGTGAAGTTGGGATTAGTCTCGCCCACCAGGTCCTGGGTCAATTTGTTAATCTGTGTGAGGTTCATTTCGATATCCTCGCTTGCATCTGGGACGTCCAGAAGCTTGGAATTGGCATCGTACTGTAACGTAGATAGATAAGTGGTCATAGCGGTTCAATCCGACACAAAAGTGGTTGGTTGAAAAGGTTTTTGAGTGTGATTGTTCTCGAGCAAGATGGTGGATTAGATGCATTGGTGTAACTAAACACTTGAATATGTCGATATTCTAATACAAGGCTATAAGTCGGGTTCGTGCCAAAGTGATGTCAAAATTTGGTGACAACAAAGAGTCGAGACGAAATATAGCCAGTATCTCCTCAAAGAGTGAGATGTGTTTGACCTCGACTTTGAATTGATCAAGCTCAGGTTTCTAGCTTTCCATTGATACCCGTATCTTCTAATTTGGATGTGTTTTCTAACCGTCAAGGCCTGTATAACAATCAGAACGACCAAAAAAGTCAACGAAAATGACAAGAACAGGATACCGAATTCGCATGCAATGGGCTTTGGAAACATCTTTGAGTCTTTGAGTCCCTTCTTCTACAATTGCCGGAATCCCTGTACGGGATTGGGCGATTTTTTCCAAGCTCCTACCACCACGCTTAGGCTATGACAGATTATTATTATATATCACCGAGCTCTCTCATAAGACAGGAAACCCTTACATACAAACAGCAAGAGGAAAAAAGTCGGAACCGCAGTGTTGAGATGTGCAATTGTGCTGGACTTCTCGTCTTGTTTACAAATCAGCGTCGTCTTCGTCAGGCAAGGGCAAGGCGGTGGCCTGCTCCATTTCCTGCTGGTACTGGTGCATCAAGGCCTCGTCGACCTGCACCTCTGGAGGTGCTAGGGCAGGGGAGGCCACAAACTCCAACTGAGGGTTACCGGCCAGCTTGCGGGCTAGCCACAAGAATGGCTTTTCAAAGTTGTAGTTGGACTTGGCAGAGATGTCGTAGTACTGCAGGTTCTTCTTACGGTGGAAAGTGATGGTCTTGGCCTTGACTTTACGTTCCTTCACGTCCACTTTGTTACCGCACAGCACGATAGGGATGTTTTCACACACACGCACCAAATCACGGTGCCAGTTGGGCACGTTCTTGTAAGTGATACGCGACGTCACGTCGAACATAATCACACCACATTGTGCGTTGATGTAGTAGCCGTCTCTTAGACCACCGAATTTTTCCTGGCCGGCCGTGTCCCACACGTCGAACTTGATCTCACCAAAGTTGGTGTAGAACGCCAAAGGGTGCACCTCCACACCGATTGTAGCAATGTATTTTTTCTCAAACTCACCCGTCAAATGTCTCTTGACAAATGTCGTCTTACCAGTACCACCGTCACCAACGAGCACCAATTTGAAAGTTGGAACTTCTGCTGCCATTTTTTTTGCTTGTTTTTTGCTTCTTGATCGATTGGACTAAAAGTTTCGATACGTTTGATTCACGGTTTAAAGTAAAACAACGATCTTATTCTGTATAAAATCAACGATTTTTATAGTCAAAAAGTGTTATGGAAGTTTATAGATTCTTGAATCAAGATATTTTTTAGTTTTTTTTCCATCAGGGCTATTTATTAGGAGACAGGGCAAAAACCTGAGGTTGGGAAAAAAAAAGTAGTAAAACAGAGAAAAGAGCATTGTGTACGGGAGGGGAGAGGGGAAAGAGGAAGAGGAAGAGAGAGAGCACGTGACGTACGTATAGAGCGATGTTAGTTTTACGCAACAAAGAAGGAAGCAAGAATGATCTGGCGGCAGGTAAGATGTATAAGATTAAGATTTAGATTCAAATTTAGATGGTGATTAAGATCATGACTAAACTTGTAGGTTGGGTTTTTAAATTGAGACATGTGGAACGAGTGTTTCGTGAGAAGTGATCACAAAACAGCAGCAAATGGAAGACTCGGGAGGTGAGGTTAAAAAAGAATACAATACAAATGAATCGATCATTTTTTATCATTCTCTTGCAAAAGTGTGATGTGCTTGAAACTCTGTTTTTGCAACTTCTTTAATAATGAAAAACTCTCACATCATTTTATTAATGAGCTGACGCAGACGAGTATCACGTGACACGAGCACCCACATCTTGCCCATCGTTCCTCCATCAGGACTTTTGGCATCTTATTTTTGGTCCATACTTCCCACCAATGTGCCTCGGGGTGAGTCTGGGTGTGAAGGTGTGTTTCCATCTTCTCAAATTCGTTTCTCCTGTCTCCACACCTTATTTCATTATCCGTTTAGCAAAAATGTCACCGCTCCGTATCGCCTCCTCCCAGCAGCTCTGCGATATCGTACCAATCATTCATGAGTTCCTGAAGCTTCCCAATAGATGTTTGCAGCTCCAAATCGACCGAGGCCTCCACAACAGACGTCAGCTCAATTTTGTCCGGAATCTGACACTCGTGATGGTGCACGCACTTGGTGTACAAGTATCCATTACAATCATGCAAAAATCCGGCCAATTGCTCTAAAGCAGCAGATGATGTCGCCTTATGTCCTGCCAGACTTCGCAGTTGCTGGGTGACAACATCACTGTTTTCGTCCAAGGGCATCCCATCCTTGACCTCTGGTATGGGCCGGGTCGACCAAGTCAAATCAGGGCCGTCCTGCTTCAACCTTGCTCTTAGTTGCTCCAACATAACCTCTGTGCGGCGAGCACAGACCTGTTGATGACGTTGCTGGGACAAAAGCTTGGAAATCCGTTTCTCTGGAGCTGGTTTGGCTTGATTTCCGGTTGGGATCTTTAACGTCGAAAAAGAGTCTTCAGGACTTTCTACCGGCACAGTGAGTGATTCCAGCTCATCTATTCTTTTCAGTAGTTTGTGGATAGTGTTTATGGTCAGTTTATCGTTGTTGATGCGGGTCAAGTGCGGTTTCAACGCCGATTCATCAATAGTTTGAAACTGAAGCTTGCGAGACGCCGGCAAAAGCGACCGGCGGTGTAGCTCATCGTTCACATACTGTGCAGCATCATGCACACTCAGAAATTTCGATGTTGCACTCATGAAACATACACGCTGTGCAAGTCCCGATCTTTTTTCTTCAAGTGAAGATAAGTGGTCTAGGTGATGAGCCTTAAATCTTCAAATGGACCAGCAGGTTGCCGATCTACAAAACTCGACCGCTTTTTGAAAAGGAGGCATTGGTTCATATGTAGTATAATGTAGTGTACACTCCGCCTCTTACTCGTTACTCATGAATATATATGGACGATGCCTATTTGACTTTTTATTTCTTTCGCTTTATGATTGTGAATGTTAAAATGTAGTTGTTTTGGTTTCTTGTTGTTGTTGTTGTTGTTGTTGTTGTTGTTGATGACGATGGTGCAGTGTTCGTGTTGCTTGCTTTTGAAACCTTTGACTTCATACAACGCTAGATGACGACTATTTTGTCTTTTGCAAATCGTAATGTCACCAAACTAGGGTCGTCAAAGAAAAAAAGACGCAATTCAATGGTGGTTGTCCTCCTCGACTTCTTCCAAGACCAACCAGTCTTGTTCTTCAGCCTCAGCAGAGGACTCTTCCTTAGTCTTGGAAACTTGCACATCGTCTTCAGCGTAAGCCTTCAAGGCTTCTGGGCCCTGGCCTTCCAATTCTGGCGCCTGGGGGGCCTTTGGAGCGGTCCATGGCTTCACGCTGGCCTCAGCATCTTTGGCGCTAAGTGGCTGGAGCTTGACATTTTTGATCTCTCTTAGGTATAGGTCTTGAATAGCATTGGCAGTAACACGAGTAGACGCGAACGAACGGGTGGTTCTTGGAACAGCAACTTTCAAAGCTTGTAGAAACATGGGAATAGATCAGAGATGAGTAAACAAGCGGGGTAGGTCACAAGGGCGATCGAAAGCAGGTTCAACGAGCTTTTGAGTTTGAGCTTTTCGAGTATTGTTGTAGTTTATCTTTTTCACTGGGATGGGAGTAAGAACGCTATTATTGAATTATAAATTTTTTAGATTCTATGATTGGTTCGTCGTACATGAGGAGAGACCAAGTTCGGTGAAGAAACACAACCAAAATGTGAGCAAATCAAGATCTGAGATGAGTCGCTTAACATGAGCCATTAAACTTTGAAGATCATCGAGTTAAACAATGTTTTGAGGCCTTTGAAACTTTAAAAAATGTCAGTTTCGTATGAAGTGATATGTTTAGCTATGTCACTCTAACGGGCACTCCTTCTCGAATAAAAGTTTCTCAGATCATTAGAGGCGTTTATCCAAACTTGTGTCGCAAACGCATTCGTTATCCCAGCTCGCTTGCTCCCAGTGCTTTTGACTTTTTGATTTTGTCATTTCTCGTCATCTAATCACCTTAAACGAAACTGACACTGTAAGTTTCGATCAAGATGTCTCAAGTCTTCCTGACATCTTTTTCTAACTTATCTGCACATACGTGCTGCTATTGGAATCTGTCAGTCATGAACTGCCAGTTTTTGGTGATAGATTCTCTCTTTTTTCTCAAGGCCTTGGAAATTATTTTATTAAAAAGCATACATATTAGGAAAGACGAACTAGATAGCTCAAGCATCAGGGTGCGCACCCTGCTGCTCTGGGAAGTGATTCTGAAATCGATATGAAGAAAATAAATGGGTTCATCAGCAAAATCGGTTCACGGGTGCTTCGAAAGATCCCGCTTTTCCAATTGTTGTCAAAGTCAAAAGTGTCTTGTCACTTTTTCCGAAGAAGTCGCGGAAAAATGTTAGCTACACGATGACACATTGTGGGTCCCAGGCGTAGCCCTTGTGAATCCAGTTGTCCTTGTTTTCGGAGTTGTCTTTCTTGGTGGCTTGGGCAATTGGTTGCATTGTTGAAGTTCTGTTTGGATATGAAAAGGCTTGTGGGCTTTGATTGATGATATTTTTATTCCACTTCTCTAATATTTCTGGCATCTAAACCATACTAGATGGACCCTTCTTATACCAAACATTTCAAAAAGCTGGAAGCCCCAACCGAAACAACTCTGGGGTAGCTTGCCAGATAGCTCTTGAGTGAGGCTCTCAAAACCTCTCTCGAAAATGATTAACCGTGTCTGCAAGCCCATGATGCCAGGCTCTTAATTTACCTATTCGGGTTGTCACAATTAGGATTGAACGAAACCAACTTGCAGACAGAAGGCATCGAAAGCGTCAAAAGAGGAGGTGTGGTGGGGATGCGGATCAACCGCATAAAACGCCTATGTCCGATAACCTCATTCGATGGCTTTTACTCACCTGGCGCTGCAATGATGCAGCAAGCTTAAAGAATAATACAACAACACTGGAGCGGTTCAACAAGGCACCGCTTAGCGATACCTTCGAAGTTTGTGGACAAGAAATTCTGATGTGTGTGCTTTACGGTATTTGAGGATAGGAGCCCCATTCCACTTGACGGCGATCATACGGTATTTTCAGATTTCCGTTTGATCGAGTACACTGGCCATTAAACAACTGATTGAGCGCCGAAAACAAGAATGAATTACACACTGTTTTCCCCAGAAAAAGGTACTTTTCTCTTGCTCCTGAAGAAAAGCCATGCATATCTCAAAAGCAAGCGTCTGAATACCGACATGTTCAGTTGATTGATGGTGTAGTGTAGTGTGATCAGGTTTGAAAGTTTTGAAAAAAACAGCCGCAAGCCAAGAAAGCCCGGAATTCCAGCACTCATTGCGGTCTCAAATCAAATCTCTCCCGCATTTTATTCAACTCAAAAGATGATGGGCTTTTGGATAACGGTTTCCTGGATGACGCTGGTACAGCTCAGATCTCTGTAGGCGATGAGCCGTGTGATGTGATGCGTGGCTAGTGAAAAATTGAGCTCATCGCTAAAAGAAGTATAGGCCCTTTCACCTATCCAAGAAGAGCACAGTTGATACTTCTGAGCTAGGACCTTAAGATCGCACTCATTCTAGCATGGCCTTGTTTCAAGTCGAAGGATGGGATCTGAATACCACACAAGTTTCTTACGATAGTGCCAACGCTAAAAAAGAGCACAAGAAAAAGAAAAGAAAGGAAAGAGCCAAGAAGATAGAACAGAGCAGATTAAAGGAAACCGAAGATGAATATGCCAACTATAGCATCGAGAAAGATGAGGAGGAGGCTGGAAATACCAAAGACGCTCCAGCAGAAGAGGCCAAGAAAGATTCTTTACTTAAGAAAAGGGCCAAAAGCAGTAATGAGAAACCCATTTCCAAGAAAAGAACGTTAGATGATGTAGAGTCTGCACCAAAGGCCAAACATGCACAACAGGACGATGGAAGTGTTGCTAAAAAACCCTTGACTGCGCTTCAGCAAAAAATGCTGACAAAATTGAGCGGATCCAGGTTTAGATGGATCAATGAGCAGTTGTACACAACGTCTTCCAGCAGTGCACTTGATCTCATCAAAAAACAGCCGCAGCTTTTTGATGAGTACCACGATGGATTCAGATCGCAGGTTCAATCTTGGCCTGAAAATCCGGTCGACGTTTTTGTCGAGCAATTCCGCGTTAGATCGCAAAAGCCTGTCAATGCCCCTGGCGGCTTGCCAGGCCTACCGTCGGACAAAACAATCGTGGTTGGAGATATGGGATGTGGTGAAGCCCAACTAGCACAAGATTTGAACAACTTTTACGCTCAATATAATCGCAAGCAGAAGAAACACTTCAAAAAGAAGTGCGTCGTCCACAGTTTCGATCTAAAAAAGGCCAACAAGCTGATTACAGTTGCAGACATAAAAAACGTCCCGCTTCCAGATCAGTCGTGTACGGTGGTGGTTTTTTGTTTGGCTTTGATGGGAACGAATTTCTTGGACTTTATTAAAGAAGCTTACAGACTTTTGGTGCCGCGTGGTGAATTGTGGATTGCAGAGATCAAGTCTCGTTTCGCCGACCGTCAAGGTGACGAGTTTGTTAATGCAATCAAGCTTATGGGATTCTTCCACAAGAAGACGGATGATTCTAACAAAATGTTCACCCGATTCGAGTTTTTCAAGCCTCCACAAGAGATTATTGAAGAGAGGAAGGCAAAACTCGAGCGTAAACAGAAGTTCATCGAGGCTGAAACTGAGAAAGAGGAGTTCGACGCAAAGAGGTCAAAGGCTCCGGAAGGAAAATGGCTCTTGAAGCCTTGCATCTACAAAAGGAGGTAGCTGGCACCACAACGGCCAATTGTGAAAGCGTAAGCTGTGTCATCTTGGGTAAATGTCTCACTTGTATAGTAGTAAACGCGGCCTAAACGCAGCGGAGTTCCATTATTTTTTTAAAATCCCACACAGCATGGATCGCCCGCTAGTTGGAGCGGAATATGTTCTGGACTCTAGCGAGATTTCCTAAATTGCCAAGGTTTGTTATGTTGGGAAACTGGAACCAAGTGTCCGTTTGGTTGCCTTGCGCAGATGGATCCCACTGATCGCACTTTCTAAAGCCGTGCGCATTCCATCCTGTAAGACAAATCGCCATGACAATCAATATCAAGTACAAAACTTTAGCCTGAAGCAGACACATAACGCCAAAAACAATCCATACGACTGGTGCAGCGTATGTTGAGAGCCAGAAAAGCTTAGAGTCGATTGGATTGATTGGAGGACCAGGTGCAAACTGTTTATAGGACTCAAACGACAATGGTCCTTCTTCTGAATTTACCGAATCGTACCACCACCTCAATTGAACAAGTTTTCGGCCTGTGATGTTTTTTGTTATGTAGAAGTCTCCTGCTAAGAGCAGTAAAACTGTGATGAACTGGGCCGTGAATGACATGAACCATGAACCCACCAAATAAAACACAATCGGTAGAGATTTACCTGCTAAATGTAAGCCCATAGCAACGGGATGCGACGATTTGAGAATCATCTGATAGAAATTCTTAGCATGGTCCATCTTTTTTTGTTAAAGGTTCGTAAGCGTTTTGTCAATTGTGATGTAAAAGAAGCTTTAAAGATATCGGACAACTAGCTCTCAGGTTCCCTACAAGATCAAATCGAATCGTATCTTATCAATCTAGTTATAATCTGTTAAAGCTCGATTACTTTGGTTATTATTTCACTCTTAGGATTGTTATATTCAGAAGTTGTATAATTATATGATTTGATTAGCTAGAATAACGGTCAAAGAATTCATGGTTAAAGATATCACCGATTGGCCTTGATTGTAAGACATTTTGTTCGAATTGATATTCTGACCTCTTTCTTATGGTTACAGTGTTCAAAGTATTCCAGCAACCACCAACAAACTGACTACCAAAAAACCTCTTGCACCAAAAAACATCTCATAACAACTTTTTCGAGAGTCTATACGTGCGTGTGTGCTGTAGAGAACTGGACTACAGAAAGTAGTGAGTGTTCTTGAGACTTTCATTGTGAACCTTCATTTCCTCTCTTTTGAAGTCGTTGAGTTGATGCTTCACGGCTTGAATGAACGCCATGTTCTGAGTTTGCATCATCCGGCGACGAGCACGGATGAATTTCTTGTCACTTCTTTCGTAATCATTAGCCGCATACGTGTCTTTAACATAAACAGCTTGTCCGAATCTCAGCTTTTTGGGCTGCACTTCCTTGACAGGCTGCTGATGGACAGCCACGATGGCAATGACCGTGTCGTAATAAACGTTTTCCCACTCCCGCTTCAAATTGGCATCTAGCCTTTCATCGGGGTCTGAGGTTTTGTTTTCAGATGAATGCTTCCGATAGAATCCAGCCACCGACTCTTTGTTGGCCAAAAGAGGTCTTCTGAGAGATCGGGGTGGAGGGGACATCACCAGTGAATTTTCAGGTGGCTGATACCCATCGGCGATGAAGCTTCCCAGCCGAGAAAATTCTTCTATGAGCCCGTAGTCTATATTGCTCTCCTCCGTGGTTGTCTGGTTTTTATCTACTGGTTTTGAAGGTTCTGCATCCCTTGAAATGGCCTGTTGTGGTGTCTCGCGTGCTTTTGGTGCGGTGGTGATAGGGTGGTCGTTCTTCAGTAGTAAGCTGTCAAAAACCAAGTCTATGTCAAGAAGTTGGTCATCATCGTCGTCAAATTCATCCACTTCATTGTCACCGTCGTTAGCATCGTCCATATCGACTTCCTTTACCTCTGCTTTTTCAGAAAAAGTGACATTCTCATTGGAGGGCGAATGGCTTGGACGAGATACCGAAATGCTTGGTGTTTCGACGAGTTTGGCCTCAGCAAGGCTCGAGGTTTTTCTTTTGAAAAACGCTGGTCTGCTCTCTACAGTCTCCTTTTTGGACTTCTTCGTTGGTAATAGCTTTCTGAAAAAGGAACTTATTCGAGAAGAAGAAGATCTTTTCAGCCCATTCCTAACACTTTGTTTATCCGACTCACCCAATGGACTTTTCTGTACAGGTTTGACCAAAGGAGTTGGTTTTGTTGTCACCGTGTGAGCATAAGTAGAGACAGGTGCTTTCTTGGGCGCTGACAATACTCGCGCAGGCAAAGAAGGCTTTAGGGAATGAGAGATTGGAGGAACATCTTTAACAGCCGTAACAGGCTTTAAGGGAGCTTCACTTGCATCTGTGCTTGTGTTGCTGCTCACAACATTCTCACTTCGCATACTGTTGGTGCTGTTTGTGGAATTATTACTGGAAACGGCCTGCGTTTTTGATAAATTATTGTTGGAATCGCTAGTGAGATATGTTGGAGCGGACCTAGTAGAGGAATGAGTTGGGGGTCTACCGCTCGGTGTGTTTAAAACGGTTGGCGCTTGATTACTTCTGAACATCGCCTCTTGCGACAATCTGGAAGTACTTGCGGATTTGTGGAAACGATTTGTCGGAGGCATTGGTATGCTCGAAATGGTCGCTGTTGTGAAGCTTCCAGAGCGAACGGCGGGATCGGGCCTTTCCGGCACCACAGAGAAACCTGGTCGATCCACGCCAGCGTGAAAATTGCTGCAGCTTGCTGATTTCGGTAGTCCACGTCTGTGGGTATTTTCAGTGTAAGAGGGGAAAGCTTTGACGGGTTTTTGCTTGGGGGTGAAGTTTTCACCGTTTGGGAATTGGAAGCTGTTTTTCATACGCTTTCTTTGTTTCTGGTAGGGTGTTAAAGTGTGTGACGGCAAGTTTGGCAATTGGGCCTGCTCGGGTATCAACGACAAATTTCGACTGGTCCGTTGAAAGTTTTGAGGGTTGCATGTGGCAGAAGATGTTGAGGAACGTTTGTAAAGCTTCGGTTTGATACGACCCACTGGTACTTCGAACAAATCCGAGGTCGATCTGGCCCTGGGGTCAAGATCCCCGAACGGGCTTGCATCTCCAGAAGACGATATAAAGGAGTTGACGCTGACATCGTCGCGCGACGAATATCCGGTACGATGCATTTTTCTATAAGTTCCCTCTAATGCGTTTGTTTAGAGCCTGGAAAGAGTCAAAAGCTTAATTGACAGAACAGAGAAAAAGGAAAAACAAAAGGAGCAAAAAGGCTTTTAGCGAATGTGTGTGGTTGAAAGAGACAGGTCCGAGAAAACCGTAGTGATCCATATAGGGATTAAGGTCTGTAAACGGTGGTTAAAGTCGTTTTAAATACTCGATGGGCTGACAGTTTTCGAAGAAGCCTAACTGAGTCAATTTGGTACCAAATTCAACGGCTGAAAACCCTTTTGAATATATCCGTTCCCGCAGATCTAGTGACCAGACCTTTGAGGCTCGAAAAAGCCTTTGTTAATTGTCAGTTAGGACCGATTTGCAACGCATTCGAGGACTTGTCAGGGAACAAGTATTTAGATTTCACTATTTGAATAATAATTTGTTGAAAAGAAAGCGTCACGAAAAACAAAAGTTATAGAAATTTTGGTGTTCCGTTCCGTTTACAACATTCCATGCTTATGTTCGGGTAACGAAGATCATATACCCGTTTTGAATCTATAAGACCGTTGATTGGGAGATACCATAGAATACCCGCTTTTACGTAAGCCATACCCGTTTTCCAACCCGTTTTAAAAAAGCCAGCAACCCACTAACTACCCGGACGCGCAACGCGTAAACTCTTGAAATAATAAAATAATATGAGCAACGGTAACGCCTGTCACTGGCGTTGATGAGTACTCTTTCAGCTATCCAATTCAATGACTGGCATGATACGGATACGCGCCCAGTGGTAGTTTCAGCATGTTCATACCTAATTAGCCTTATTAATACTTTATAAGCTTCAGATTTAGGCTTCATAGAGGACTTGCAAGTTAGCTGTGCTTTATTATTTTACATACAAGCTTTACTTGCGCGTGCTATCCGAGGCCGAAGTTTCTGGCGTCACATCCGTGGTTATGCTTGTATAATTACCTTTAGCTCTCGGACCGTAAATCGTATCCCTCTCATCAGCGTCGCTTCTGGAAGAAGCTTTGGCTGCACTCGTCGAACGATGGTGAATGTAGATCAGCACTTGTCTTATTGCGAAGACGACAAGTGCAAAAACAATGCCACCAAGCGGAGCCACGACAAAAGCGCCGAAAGCGCCCCAGTCGTTGTTGTAAAGACCATTTGATATCAGCAAAAGCTTACCACCCTCCTTGACGGAGTGATAGTAGACGGATCCAAAAATCCAAACCGAGAATACACCACCCAGGCCTCCGCCCATCACCTCCCAAGCTGTCATAAAGTCGCAGAATTTAAACAGGCCGAGCATTAGTACTGGAACTACAGCACTTGATAGAAGATCAACAATTAGGTATATGCTCAAAATGTCCTGCGCAACGAGGCCAACCACCACGATTGGCACCATAATGACTGCGACCATGGCACGAACGTATCGTAATGGCAACTTGTTGCGGAAAATGTCGTTCGAAATGGAAGAGACTAGAGCACTTTGTAGCGTATCGATTGTGCATGTAGACAGCACGGCCACGAACACAAGGACGAAACCTACCACCCAGGAAGGCATTTGCGCTAGAAGAACAAAAAAACAGGAGTCTGATAATTCCGGGTCATGGACTTCAACGAGTCCCGCCCAAACGGCTATAAATCCAGTGACGCCAATGACCGTCAATACCGCGGTGATGAGGAAGAAGGCTATGGAACAGCCGATGAGCAGGTCCTTGTCGTTTCTGGCTGCGAACGTACGCAGCCACAGGCCGCTCATGAAGAAGTCATTGGTGAAGACGGCAACCACCAGAATGTAGATCAATTGATATCCAAGCTTGCTGCCCTTCAGCAGCCCAGAAGACTCAATTTTCGAGACATCGATCTCGATATACTTGCCCATAGCACTGGCTACTATTATCATGAGAACGAAGACTATGGATACTTGTAAAGTATCTGTTAAGAACGAGATACGAAATCCACCGACAGACGTGTACAACGTTGTGACTATGCATTCCACGATAATGACGGGAAGGGCATTGAGGCCAGTCAAGGTTTCTATGCAGAACTTCAAGGACGCTATTTCGCTAACGGTGAACAAGAATAGCGTCAAAATGGTACACAAGCTCATGTAAAGACCGCAAACGTACCCGTAGCGATGGAAAACCCATTCTGTGAGCACAAAGCCATCTGGTACTTTTTTGCGAATTCGCGGGCCTAAAAATGCAAATAGAAACATGGGAAGGCCACACGAGAGTGCGTAAACCAGCAGGCCTTGCAATCCATCCACGTTGGCGATTTTGGGGAAAGTTGAAAGCACTCCCACTCCCACGGACGACGCCAGAAAATTGAACGCCAACGGGATGGCTTTTTGAGTTCGATTTGCAGACAAAAATGTCTTTGAGTCCCGATACCAATACGCCACGATGCATGCAGAAACAAGGATTACCACATAGGTTGGCCACAGTATACCATTTGCAGCCTTGTTGGAAATCTCACCCATTTTTGACCTTCAGCTGAGAGCGATTGTTTTTCGAGCTTATTCCACAAAGCTTCAGCGACAGCTTAACATATATATATATATATATATATATATGTGTGCTTGAACAGATGTTAATCGCTGATGAGAGTGATTGGCAGCGGGATAGGACCCTGGCTCAGATCTTTTGGTGCGGGAGTGAATCGAAGGTGTCGTTACCACTTGTTACGCCAGTGACGCAGCAGAATGGGCAGTAGAAAACAAAATTTTTTAACCTTTTCCCTCTCTCCCTCTCTCTGCTAGGAGATAGAGTCACGACGCGGCTTGTTCGCTCTCAGACGATACCAAAGTTAGTGGTTTATTTTGACCATGGGGTAGTTTTAAGAGCTTGGACGAAATTATGCTGATGACGGTTTCTTTAACCTATGAGACTAGAAGTGAATTATAGAGTATATATGAGAAAAGAATGAGAGATAGATTTGGAAAGGTTGGCAGTTCGCTACAAAAATGGGGAACGACTTAAATAGAGGAAATGGCCTTGAGGAGAAAAAGTGGAAGTTTGCGAATTTCTGGAGATTGTTGTGTTGAATGAAGGTTTTGGATGTTGATGATGATGATGATGATGATGATGATGATGTTATTAATGGTAGCTGTGACCCGGTTCACGGTCATTCACAACGAAACAGCTCTTTTTGGGTCAAAACGGGTAGTCGCTATATACGGCTCACTGGCTTGGCTTTAGGTCCATGGCAGCGACAGAAAAGTTCAAAGTGACGAATGCTGACCCTGAGAGTTAGGAGGAAAGAGCCGACATGACGAGACGTTTCCAAGGGAAGATGTTCTTTTCAACCCCCCCAGATTTTGGCCCACTTCGCACTCACGAAATTCCATTGCGCAATATATTACCCAGGTTTACTTCACTTTACTTTACTATACTTTACAGAATCATTACTATACAACGTGGTGAGCGGCGTCCGGACATCACTCTTCTTCGTCTGCGGTCGTTCCACCGGCCGCACCACCACCGGCAGCATCCTCACCATCCTCACCATCGGCCTTACCATTCTCACCACATATCAGCTCTCGCAGAAAATCAAACTTTTCATCAGACATGATCGTCTTCTTCATCACGTCCCCGCTTATCCTACGACACCCCATGTCCTTGGCCACATGCCCACTGCGGTTCACCAGCATCGCTATGAAAAATTCCAGCGACCGGCCTGTGATCACAGGCGTGGCCTGCGATACTTTGCCGATATCCTCGTCTGTTTGCATTATTTTCTTGATCTTGGCCGGCGGGAAATGTGTTTTTATCCTGCCGAAAACCTCGTTTCCGTTATTTTCTTCGCTCATTTTTAAAAAGTTCCAGTACTGACACTATGTTTCCACTAGACCGATGTGCTATTGTATAAGCCGTCTAAGCACGCAGAAGACGCTAAAGAAAACCCGTAAGTGGTAGATACAATCTTGTTTTCGTATCGTCTACCCAAAACTTTCTCTAAGTTTCAATCCACGATGTTTCTGATCAGATCTGAGGGCATCATCGCTCACACTGTGTACTGGCATCTGGTGAAATTTAGCTTGTTTATATACACGCTGTAGTGCTGGTACCGAAAAATATAGTGCATTTCAGCAGTGGGAAAAAATGTAGAAAAGTTAGCTAAGCTGGTTTAAGAAAAAAAAGGCGACCAACGGGATTCGACTGGAGGCGAAAAAAGCCTGAATAGGCGTCACGTGAGGAAGAGCGTTCAATCTTCGGAGTAGGAATTTGTAGTGCAATGAAAAGGAGAAGAATACATTTGAATCTTGTATTCCACTCCCAAGTTTGCCAATAATCTTCCCCGTTCCGACCTCTTTTCTACACCCTTCTCTGTTTTCTGTTTTCTGTTTTCTTTGTTAACGAACTTTGATTCACTAGATTACAACAAACTACACAATCTGATGACGCTTGCACGAGAGATTCCCAAGTTCAACTTCAAAAAACCTTCGATGCCATGGCCCTCCCGATGAGCATTGCCCACTTTTCCATTTTTCTTTTTCATGAATTTTGACTCACACAATCAAGTAACGGATTGGGATGTGTAACAGCTTGATGGCGTAGCCAATGATACCCACGGCCACGAAACCGATCCCCACTGCACGGACGATCTTCATAAAGTCCTTGTTGCCAGGTTTCTTGCATTTCTGGATGAAAGCAGTGCCGTCCTTGATGAACTCCACGGGGGCCTCCGCGAGTCTTTCGAGCTGGTTGTTGTTCTTGGCCATTTTATAAGAGTCAATTGAGCAGAATTAGCAAGCGAGAAAGCGATAGGCTGAGACTCAAAGCGCAAGCTGTTACTTAGTTAATTCACGAAACCTGTGTTATTATTGTTAAGTGTAAGATTGAACGCTAACGTGTACTTATTAAAACTTTTCGATACAGAAATCGAGCATGTGACTAATTGGTTACCCGGGCGGTAACGAGGTAAGGTCGCCAGCCGGGACAAATATGCACTATATATATATACAAAGCCAAAGAAATGACATGTTTAAAAACCAGTCCATTCTTCTTCTTCGACGTTGTCCGCATCGACGTTGTCGAGCACACCCCAGCTGCTGAATCTTTCGTCTTTGAAAATGTCCTCCTTGATCTTATCACGCATGGTCTTGACGTTGTTCGTATCAGACGACAGGTCTCTAAAGATGTCGATAAACAACGTAAGCGGCGTTTCTGCAATCTTTTCACGCTGATATTCTGCCACAGAGTCTGAATCTTGATCCTTTTCCTCGTTTTCGTCATCCTCACTGCCGAAAATCAATTTCTCCCATTCGTCGCCGAAGATGTCGATGATGTGGAATGGAATGCCGTTGTAGATCTTCTTGTCACCACTCAAGGGCATTTTGCGAAGCACAGCACGGATATAGTTCGAGACGACGGCAGGAGCCCATTCTCTAAGTTGCAGGTATCGCAGCTGACTAGCCAGCACCCGTCTGACCAGCATCAGGTACTTGTCAAGACGGTGGTGGTCGATACTGTACCATTCCAAACACATCACACGCCAAAATGCTTTACTGAATTTGAGAAACGCCTTATCATTCAGTGTCAGACGGGTGATTGAATCCTCGTCCTCGTCATCGTTCTTGGAAGTTGTCAGCTGTTTGTTGTCTCTAGCGTCAAAGTAAAGCTCGTGTAGTCCGGCAAGGGCAGAAGCCAGCCTCTGTTGTGGCCTAGGTCTATCGCTGAACCACATTGCATAGTACAGACCTTTCCATAGCTTGTCAAATTGTAACTGTTTGCTATCTTTGAACTGTCTGGTGGTCAAGTATTTCTTCAGAGTTTCTAACGCTTCTTCTCTTACAACCCTGTTGTTAGACGCTAGCTGTTTAACAAAAGCAGAGGTCTCCATGATATCGTCTGGTCTTCTTTTATAGCTTTAACCTTGAGATGAGATGAGATGAGATGAGATGAGATGAGATGAGATGGACGCTAGAAGTATCAATTTTTTTTCTTCAATATTCAACTATGCCAGCGACAGATATATTATTGAAAAAAATGGGCGTCAGCGATGAATAAAAGCTGGGAGATTGAGAGTGTAGAAGCTTGGATGGCTTGAAGACTGGGATGTCGATAGTTGAGCTTTGAATCTGTTGCAAACGCATTTTTTGGAAATCTGAATAGCCGCATAGATGAGATATTCGGGTGTAATTGATGCTTTTAGAATACGAGCCAACACGAGCCAACAGCTAGGTTGCGCAAGGAATTCTTCACTTGCTAGTTTCAGTGTTTGCTCAGAGTGCAGAGCCCCATCGAAAATACACAATTTTCGCGCTCGAATTTCATCGTCTCGCTACGTCGAAATCCTGCTTCGTTGTAAAGACTTTTCATACAATAGCATTGACAGCAGCTAGCTTAGTCTAGCCGTATTTTTCCAAAAGCTGCGATCTTTGGTCTTGAGATTGTTTTGTGCCTGTTATTTTCTTGGCACTCTTATCTTTGTGCGAATCGTCACTGGAAATGTCTTGTTCGGGAAGAGCCTTCTTTCTCATTAAAAGTTCGTACTTTGTAGGATTAGCCACCAAGACGTGCTTCGTCTTCGCAGCATTCTCAATTTCGTCTCTTATGCCTGACTTGAGCGTCTGCTCACGGGCAAAGCGATTCAATTGAGATAGCTCTACCGATTCACCTGTCAGATGTCGGTGGAACATTTTAGATTCAGGATCAATCTCGCCCAGAGCGTCGGACTTGTACAGCCGAGACTTGGGGTCGTAATTGAGCGTATCTGACCCAATATCCTTCAAGTATGCTGCTCGATCTTCCCTAAGTCTCACAGAAGCTCTGAGCTTGGAGCCCTGAGCGTCGTCCTGTGCAACCTTCCCGCTGACTTCTTGCTTGTAGAGTCCCAGTTTCAGTAGCTCGATTTCCTCGTCTGTGTCTATTTCGTCTGCATCTTGCGACGTTTCTGTCTGTTCTTTTACCGTCTGTTCCTGACTTTTCCGCAGAACAGTTTCGTATTCTTTACCCTCATACCCGTACCAGCGATCTTTTCTGGCGTCCCAGTTATCGTTCGAGCCTGTACGCCTTTCTGCTTGTGTTGTGTGTACATTTGATGCATAGGCTCTCCGCTTTTTCGGTGCCTCTAGGCAGTCTCTTGCCCTGTGCCCACGCATCCCACAGTTGCGACAGCTATCATCGCTGGAAACAAGGGAATTCTGAGGTCTGGCACTTGGCAATTGTTCAAATGCATCACTAATACCACGTCCCACCTTTGGTTCCGCATTATTGTCGATATCCAGATCTTTATCGGACGTTTTTGATCTGCGATGATGTGCTAAATAATCTTCATTGTCGGTTGAAGCAGTTGTGTCTTTATAGAACCACGGCTGGTCCTTGATGTATTTGGGAATATGTGCGTTTTCCTGCTTCTTGCTCATGATACCGATGCAGATTGCAAGTCTATTGGTGACCTGGTCATCGAGTTTTTAGTCTTTATGGAAGGTTTTCGTGATATAGATCGATCATATTAGGTTTTTGTCAATGACAGCGCCGATACTATACAAAGCAAGTGGTTTGAAAGTTGACAAAGCTAGAAAGGCTTGGACCAAGGCAGCACTACCGATATTCATGGTTTCTGTTTAAACAATTACTTTTGCTAGGTAGTGAAAAACCCACGTCAAAGTTCGGTAGAACACAGAATTTCGTTTATAAGATGATCAAGTTGAAGTTAATAGCGTCACTGCTTACAATGAATAGCTATAAAAGCACGTAATGTCGGGAAAAATATAAACTGAGGATTACTGATCTTTTGACAAGTCAGAAAATCTTGAATTCGAGTAGTGTCTACGTTTGAAGTCGGATGACAGCTTCCAAAAATGCAATTGGGATGCGGTCAAACTTTAAAGCCATTGTTCAGCCTTAAGACAGAGTTAGGGAAATTGGTCTATGTCTTGCTTTCAAGTTGATAGATACAAGTTTGTTTATTCTGCTTAAACTACGCAAATGGAAAGGCCTTTTTGGACTTTTTTTCCACCATGCATCCGCCTGCTAGCTCTCAAGTTCAAACCACGTAACCAGAAGCCGTCAGAAAAGTTGTGAATTTGTATTTCGAGTATCGCTTTGTTTGGATCTCTATATTTGAAATGATAATACAATTATCATTTGAACAAATCACAATCTAGCCGCCTTTCATATATTGGAAAACCGATTTGACAAGTAATAGTTCGACTTAGCGAACCGGAATTACCGTTTTGAAGCGCTACAAAGCTCGAATTGATATCTGTGCGTGTTTGGAGTGCTCAAAACGACTCTGAAGTGACAATCCTGAGGCAAAATCTGTCAATTTTGAACAAGAGAAAGGACATTTCGCGTTCAACGCACAAAAACCCGCATTTTTCTTTGCTAAAAGCTTCAAGACTTGTCTACATACCATTGAGATTGTTCCAACTCGTTACCCACAACCACATTGTCTTGCCAAAACATCCGGTTCTTTGATTTGACGGGATAAACACAACACTACGAAAAAAAAAAGAGTACAACGGCAATTCCAAGCGCCAAGGTTCTTCCAATTACCAGCACATATTACTACATCAAGGCCCACGTTTTCTGGTTCTTGCCCGGGTCCGGTTACGAGTCATACTGTGTCCTTTCCCAAGTGCTAGGCTACTATAACGATAGAATTTACCAAGACCGTGAAATCATCCATCGAGTCTAACCCTCTACTAACAAATATCTCTAAGATCAGCCGTGGCGGCAACCGAAAAGCCGTGTTCTAAACATGTCCATCCTTCAATCCTACAACGAAAAGATTTTTCTAACGTCCGAACGATGTGCCAAAAAAATACTGCAGGGCAAAGCTGCAAAAGTTAAATCCGAAACGCCACGCCAAAACACCACATCTTTCTTCTCAAACTCTTCCCGCATGAAATCTTCACAAACATGGACCCCACTAGCACTCGGTACTTTTCCACAGTGAAAACTCTTTCGTTTCTACGGCAATCATAGCCAGGGTGCCCAGAATAATTACAAGGCGCCAAGAACACATGCAATGGATAAAGACATAGCCCTGAAAAACCGGCTGAAATATTATGGTACATTAGAAACTGGGCAGCAATCAAATTGGGAACTGGATAAACTACATCATCTATCCACAGGGCCTAATTTACTGTGAGTGATGTGCATATGCATAAATTGGCTTGAAAGCTTGAAAGTGACCAACCTTGAAGATATAAAAAGATAACAAGTTTATCTGCTGAACTTGATAGGCGAGACAGTTGTAGTGGACAGACTTTGAGCATTTTTGAAAACGAGTCGTTCACTACTTATTTCACACGAACAAGTTTACCAAAAGACTATCAGTGTCTCCTTTATTAACTGCCATTTCCCTGCTAACTTTTGCAGACGGCAAGTGACTGGTAACAGTCCTGGAAAGGTAGTTTGTAGGACATGAAATTCGGATCTCAAATCCATGATCGGTCTGTGCCGGAATGGAGGTTGAACAATATCGATTACAAAAGTCTGAAGGAAGCAGTCAAGAAAGTTACAACGTTCAGACCAGATAAGGAAGAAACGGAAACCTGGAAAACGGACAAGGAGTTAAAATGGCTATACAAGGTGTTCGTGCAGGAGTTTCGCAATATCAACGCTTTTGTGAGTCTCAAGATCAAAGAGGCATCCACTCGACTGGTGTCAGTCCAGTCTTCGATCGTTAGGCTGCAACGAAATGCCACAGGACCAACCAAAAGAAATTTGCAGAGACAGCTGGGACTTATCTATCTGCATCTCAATAGCTCTAACACCGAGCTTCTAAGAATATGCCGTTTTCTCATCTTACAAAAAATCGCATTGCGCAAACTCTTCAAAAAGCTGCTCAAGTACTACCCCTACGATCATGCAAGAGCTGAAGAACTGGTACAGGCGCTGAAAACGTGCCCCGAGCTCACAGAGGGCGAAGACGGCATCAGTTTTACTACCGTGGATTTGGACCCCTATCTACTCGAAATCTCACTCATAGTGGACGTCATGCAGGAACTTGAGCAGACACGGAAGAAACAGCAACACAGTGGCGATGAACCTGAAGAGCCTGTTCCACAAAGATCATCCATAGAGTCGGCTGATCGGAAATGCAGCTCCCAAGCTAGTTTCGATGCCACATTTTTGGGTAAAGCTTCAAGACTTCAATCTTTTCTGGTCTCAGAAGAATGCGTTTCTCAAGCAAAATTCCTCTTGTTGCAGCTCGGGTTTCACGTTGTTGACGACGAAATGCACACTGCTTCGCAGCAAAGCGTTCAATCCGCAAGCCCGACAAACCTGGCAAGCTTAGCTGCCGTTGGAAGGTCACCGCGCTCGTTTCGAGACCTACGAGCAGCCTTCGAAGCTGGCCAATCGAATATACAATCTGCTGCTTCAGCGGAAGCCAAAAGCTCACATCCAGTTTCTCTCACACTTTTCGACACAGAATCGATTCCGAACTTTCTCGGTAATGATGCTGCTAACCAGTACCCTAACCTCGCAATTAAAGGCGGCGATGAAGACGACTGTGTATTGATGTGCCACGTTGGTGGGTTGAGAAATCACATTATCTCTGAGAAAATGCCTTTTGAAGCATTCAAACAAGCCTTAAATGGCCACCAGGCTACCTCCACACAAGAAAGCTCCACAGAAATGACGTCAAAAAACAAGTTGTGTCTCGACTGGATAAAATCACATCCGATGGATCTGTGCAGCCCTGAAATTTTGACGAAAAGAACACGATTTTTGAAACCGCGGATAGGTAAAGAAAATGAATATCTAGTATGCGTGGACGAGGCTATCATGTTAAATCAGTCAGAAAAAGTGCCGCACGCGCTTCTTGAAATTAGGTCATATCCTACAAGTTCCGTCGTAAGGAAACCTAAGAGTGATCATTTTATTGTGGCCCTAATCGAGAAGATTTTGGAATTCAATCTACATTGCTATCCTCTGGCAAAAGACCTTACTTTATGGAAATTAATGTACATGGTCCAGGGATCACAATCAATTGAGTCTACGCTGCTATCAACCATAAGTCACGGGCTGGATCCGCTTACCAGCGAATCTCTTTTTGAAGCTGGTACTATTGAGCTTACAAGCATAATTTCCAAAAGCGAGTGCAACAAACCGGATTTGGGTCGCAAAAAGATTACCAATGCTTGCAAAAGTAACAGCTCCACAGCATCGGATTCCTCGCCGCCTAAAGTCAGATACTGGAATGAGTTTGATGATGGTGATGAAGCTGATCCATATGCGGGAGGTTTCTACCTTGACGAGGAAGCCCAAATTGATCATGACGGCCCTAATGGATTCATTCATTTCAGCAAGAGCTTTGTTAACTCGATATATGAAATCTCGGAAAAACTTAGAAATTTCCCGGCATTTGCTCACACCGCGGAAAAACGACCTTTACTCGTGGATAGCCTTCATGGGCCATCATTGGAAAGTGTCACCACATTTGGCACCATGGACACTTCCCAAAGTGCGAAGAGGGATTTCGACCGCTATATGGGATATACAGCACAGCAAGATGAGGCCGACTATGGTTACGAATACAAGCACGATCACGTTTTGACCCTATTCTATATGACCTCGTTGCTGATATCCTGCATCACCTCTGGAATTTCTTTGGGAATTGTGGTATCTCTCTTTCGTGAACTGAACGACGATGGTGTCCTACTAGGGCCCACAACAACTGTGGCCGGCATTATCATCATCACACTACTAGTGTCCCTACTGTTGAGCTGTATGAGTCTCCTGCTTTTATTCAGTCGCGTGCATATGGCACCATGGTGGCACTACGTGAGCTGTTCTTTCATCTTCCTCATAGTTGCATGTACCGTCTGCTACGGTCTAATAGAAATATTTCTGTAATTAAATAGCATTTTAAACTTAATTCAAATGATTTTAGCGGATGGTGGTCCGTTCAGCTTTTTAGGACCTACCGAATTTTTTCCTCTTCTTTTCCTCATGGCGCTTCAACCATTGTTCTTCCTTTTTATCCTCTAGTCTGGCCATTCTCGATGCTTGTTCTTCTTCTTCCAGAATTTCCATTTCGTTAGCCTCCATGTCCGACTCATCGTCGCTCTCAAAGTCTCTTCTCTTTCTTCCCTTGTTGAACATAGCCCAAATTTCATCACGGTTATACTCTGGTTCTTGCTCATCATCCTCTATAAAATCATCCATGTCATCTTCCTCGTCGTAAACTTCATGCTTGGCTTGTCTAGTCTTTTTCAACGTATCAAGTTTCTTCCGCAGTTTGGCATTCGGCTGCGCAATAGAAGGCGAAGGGACTGAAATATGAGGCCTTGTTGATGCTGCTGTCTTTTCACTTTGATAACGCTGCAGCGGCATGCTATTCTTCTTTTTGACAGACCCGCTCCTTTTTGCATAGTCAAGCTTAACAGGCCTTATTTTGGGCTTTCCCCTATCCAAGAGTCCATCACTAGCGGATGCATTAGGTTGTGATACTGCTTTGGCTCTTTCGTCTGCTTGTTTCATTAGTTCTTCGAAACTCAGTTTTTTAATTGGAGCACGCTGCACAGGTTGCATAGGCCTCGCATTTCTATTGAAATCTCCGATTTTTCTGCGAAACTTGGTGTCTGTGTTGTTCATGCTGTGTTCTTCCTTCTTCCGCTTCCTATCAGACGACGGCGCCGGTATTTTTTTGCCAGATTTGGCAGCTAATTTCATCTTTTCTTTCCGTCGCAGCTCCTTCAACCGCTTGACGGCAGGATCCTCTTGTCTGACGTAGTTTGAAGGCAGCGTTGAAGTCTCATTGTTCGTTGAGCGCGCTTGCACTTTATGATTGTTCTTAACTTCGCCATGAGCCGATGTCTTAACCGATTTTGCGCCTTGAAAATGCTCACCAGGCTTTTTTAGCTCAGCAAGTTTGGCTAGAAAACTCATCGGCGTCCTGAGTGGCCCGAACCTATTGTTATCAGGATTTCAAATCTTTCTTCAACTGCCTTTTTCATTGAGATGAGCTCATCTCTAGAAAAGTTCAACGTTAATTTCACATCTCTTGATACGAAGAAAGTTGGTCAAGATATACTTGCACTCTGACAACGAATCCTGGATGATGCGACTTCTCATTCAAGCACCCATCTCTTGTCAAGTTCGCTATTCTCCTTTCAAGCCAAATTTGTAACCTCAAAAAATGGCCTTGTTTCGAATAATCCGATTATTCAGATTCGTAGTCGAAATCTGAACCCGACGGAGCAGAAAAATCCGCTTCATTGTCCTTCGTTTCGATATCTTTCATGAAGTTCTCGTAGTCTTCAAACTCATCACCTTCTGCATCTGTCTGTGAGCTTGCCGGTATCTTTTTTGCTTGAGATACCACAGCTGGGTCCTTTGACTTTACAACTTGTGACTCAAACCCTCCTTTCTGCCAGCCATTGGTTTCGGTATCATCTTCATCGGCAGCCGTTTCAGGAACAAATCCACCGGCATCAGGAACAAATCCACCGGCCTCAAATTGCATCTCATTGGCATCGGAGTCTCCTTCAGGAGCCGCAGTTTCAGGAACAAATCCACTGGCGTCAGGAACAAACCCACCAGCTTCAAACTCCAATTCACTTTCACCCCCATCTGTGTCATTTGGATCAGAGACCTCAAGGTCGGCACCCGACAAATTGTTCCTGTCTGACATACGTTCTCCCTTGTTATTATTGACATTTCCATGACTTGTGATGAGTCGTTGTTTGATTCTCAGCTTTGCTAGAAGTAAATTCCAATGCCGTAACGACTCTAACTCGTGTTCTTGTCTCTTATCTTCTTCTGCTGTGTACTCAATGCCGTCGATTGCAGCTTCCACTGCTTCACGGTACTTTTGAGCGGTTACAATTCCTGTGATTTGCGGCTTGGCAACCCTCTTTTTCTCGAATTTGAAGCCTGTGACAGCCTTCGCAAATTCAATTCTAAGGAAGGCAGCAGCTTTGACCGCTACGGGACTTTCTATCAGGCAAGCTCCGGCAGGAATCATACTGTCCACGTACACGTCAATGTTTCCATACACGTTTGTGTGTACCTCGTCCTCGAGACCCAGTGGTTCAGGGATGAAAAGGTCAGTCTGATCGAAAGGGTAGAGTCGCTCTTCGGTGACCTCACCGGTTTTGAACTCTCTAGATTTTGTCGTCTTAAGAGCCTTGGCGCCAGGTTTCAGTATACGCCCCTCAGTGTACCATGATCTGGCTGTTTTGAGCACCAATATATCTTGACGCCGGTAAACTTTCAAACTGGCAGTATTGTTCTTCAGGCGAAGAAAGCCGCATTCTTTGCAATTTGTCTTCAGCACCTCGTTCCATTTTATGTCATTCTCTAAAACATAGTAAGGGTGTCCCTTCAAATCTTGCATGTTATCGGGAATTCCCTCCGTCTTATCTCTTTGCTCAAAATAAGCATCTTCTAAATCGTCGGTACGGGTTCTTTTCCTACCTTGAAGACATTTTAGCACTTTTTGAAACCATTCCTCGCCAGCGGGGTCCTTTGTAACACGTCGCTTTCTTGTTTTCGAGTTGAAATGAATCGTGTACCTTCTGGTGACGTCCCTGCACCCTCCTTTTCGATCATAGGCAATGATGTATCTAAAAATGTTGTTCTTGCGAGCCTTTCCCTGGGGCTCCAATGACGTCTGATGTCGTATTTGCTCAATAGTCTTTTGACCCATAGGATCTACTGTGATCCACTTTTTAGTGATTTTGTCCCACACCTCGCACCAGAAAATGGAGTATCGATCTTGATCTGCCTCGCTTTTCTTACGGGCGGCTTGTTTTCTTCTTCTTGATCTAGACGCAGAACCCGAGTCTGCCAAATACTCTCCAGCAGTCATCTTACCGTCAATATTGGAAGCTTTGTTATTTGTAAAGTCCGGTGGTTGTATGTTGAAAACTAATCTAGCATTTACACCGCATGCTCTCAACATTGCAACAAAACCTTGCGATGCCACTTCTAAACTGCCCCTCCCATGAGCTAACTTTTTATTGAACAGTTTTTGCGACATGTAGCGAGCCGGTTGTTCCCATGGGCCGCTAAGTTCGTCCCAATCAAACATGTACAAGCCCTGAGTCTCGGTCCGTGTAATTCGATTGAAATGCTTTTGCCATATCTCCATGCATTTTTTCAAACCATCCAGCAGCTTCCGTGTGCTTCTCAGCGGCAGTTCTTCATCTTTTTTTGGATGCAGTAGCTCAAAAACGCTATCAGGCACCAGTTTTGACAGCTTGACGTGCAATGCTTGATCATTTAGCCATTTGTTGCGGATGGATCCATGCACCATCAAAGTCAATAAATGAAGCATATGGAAATATCTGCGAAACTTACGCTCTTCATTTGAGATAAGATTCTTGGATTTTGACCTTTCCTTGGTTTCTGACTGCTTAGTATTTATGGTGACAGACACGCCTTTCTGTTGAGAGCCTTCCTGTTCATTGCTCTCAAGATCTGAAATGTCTTCGAACTCATCAGAATTGAAATCCTCGTCGTCGTCGTCGTCGTCGTCGTCCTCTTCCTCATTCTCGTGCTGCGATATATCTTCTTGTGAGCTTTTCTCGTTGCCGTTTTCCTTGTCTGTGTTGTCAGAGTCCAGAATTACCACTACTTCGGCCTCTTCCGGCGACTGCTTCGTCTCGTATTTCGGAAGTTTTCTCTTTTTTCGTTTCGGTGCTTGTTTGTCTTCCCGAACAGCTTTTCGAACTAGATCAAAGTACTCTTCACTGAGTTTTGGCATGAATGCCGATCCTATCTTTAGTAGATCTTTGGTTGAACTTGTCCTTAGGGTTGGCAATGAGATGAGCTCAGGTTAGTACCGCTATGACATATATTACGTACCTAATGGTGTAATTTGGCGTACAAAGTGACTATATATATACAGACTGTGTGCTTTTCTCTCTCACGTGCTGGGTCTCGAATGCAATGTCAGAATCCGTTGTCGCAAGGTTTGTGAAGGCTGAAATACACTCTTTTTCTATGTGAGTGTGTGTTTCAAGTGTATATTATCGCTCGTCTTCAAGTTCATAAGTTTCATGAACAGACTCCTCTCCGGAGCTTTTCGTTTTTTCTAGGGTTTGAGGCTGATTTTCGGGATCGGTGGGCACTGCCTCACGTCCGAACCACTTGAAACGACAGCACCATATGAAATGGGAAGCAAATATGCCGAGTTCGAGGCCTGCTACAATCCCGTACAGAACGATGCTCAGAATATCCATGTTGCCCACTATTACACTGGCGATCGAGAGCCATGCTCCAGCGGAGTCGATTGCTAGAAACACGAAATTGATGCCCACCACACGTCCTTTGCGTTTGGCAAGCTCGAGATAGGGCGGGATCAGCCCGAGAGCGAGAAGAACGGAAGCTATGATCCCGAAAATCAATGCTGGCCATTTCGTTCCGTGCGCATATACCGGCCGTAGCCACAGGGTGAACCCGATTTCCATGCCCACGTCCACGGCAATTAGTGTCAGCAACGTTGCTACAATTTTGCGCCTTTCCCATTGCACGGGTGGATAATACAGCGACTGCACGTAACTGACGCCGCAGAACAGCATGAACAGGTGAGGTTGGATCTGCAGTATGATGTTACCCTTGATGACCATAAAATATATGGCAAAAGGGATGCCGCTGGCAACCCACATCAGCATCATCAGCGGTGGCAAGCCCTCGCAATCTTTACGCCGGTAATTGAAGATAATCTGCGGAATCAGTTGCACACACCAGCACACCGTACCTATGGTGGCCAGGGCTGTGGCAGCCTTTTCTGAGATCATTGGGAAGAGTATGAGAAAGAAGATGCAAGCGAGATGGATACTTGAGAGTTCTCTTAAAAGCTGTTTTCTGTTTCTGCTTTCTGAAGTTTAAGCTCATCGCCTGCTTCAACATTGTCTTATTATTCACCAGTACCGGGGATACTGGTTTTTCAGTGACGTATTCAATGAGATCATAGTATACGGGATATTTTGACTCATCATGAATAGTTAAGATAAAGGCCCTTAATTTAAATGCTTCAGGACTCCGGTCACATGTGAATCTCGAGGCATGAAGAAGAAGAAGAAGAAGAAGAAGAAGAGGGAGTCTTTATGCCAGTAAAGTAAAGCTTTATAGACCTCTGAGGATTCTTTGCTTTATGTCTAGATTTCAATGTAGAGCTCTTTACCCATTCATTTCTTGACCTCGATTAAAGGTAATTCTGGCCTGCAGATTTTCGCGTAACTAAAAGTGGCCAGCAAGTCACACACCAAGTATAATGGTCATGTTGAGATATCTAGACATATTGTAAAGCAAATGCATGCGAAAGTCTTCTCATGTGGATCAGGAAGTGAGGACAAAATTCCTTAAGCTCGGCTAAATCTTTCTTATTCTACCTGCAGAGCCAACTAGCTTCAATTGCGTATGATACACTCTTAATTATGATCTATTGACGCTCTGGTATAAATAGGAAAGACAAGAAATAATATTGTACAGACATTCCGTCTCATTACGAATGATTGGGTTCAAGACGGGGGGTGGGGGTGGGGAAATGAGGGTGTTGTTATGATAGTTCACACACCAGTTTTGTTTTGGTAGTTCACACACCAGTGTTGTTATGGTAGTTCACACACCAGTTTTGTCTTGGTAGTTCACACACCAGTGTTGTCCAAGAAGAAATAGTTTCCGCTCAACTTCTGCTCCTTGTCCATTTGAGAGTCGAGTTTGTTAATTCTGGGCCTGAAAGAGTTAGGGTCTCTTCTGAAAGTGACATTCAGGTTCTTCAAGAACCGGTTGCAACCTGTCAACAAACTCTCTGGCGTGCCGGCCCGGGAATTCTGAGAAGGTATACCGTCAAAGACAATGACTTTGTCGGCCAAATATGTGGCCATGATGAAATCGTGCTCCACAATGAAAGCTGTCTTTTTGTTGTGCAAAATGAATCTTCTGATAACCTTGGAGCAGATAATACGTTGTTCGGAGTCTAGGTAAGCAGATGGCTCGTCAATCAAATAGATGTCTGCGGCAATACCCAACGACAACACAATGGCGACTCTCTGCAACTCACCACCGGACAAATGCTGGACTTCTTGGTCAATGATATCGTCAATTCGCAGAGGCTTGACTACATCAGTTTGGAACTGAGGATTTAGAAACTGGCCTCTGATTCTCTTGAAAAACAATTGTCTCACAGTACCGGGGAATTTGGGGGCAATGGTCTGAGGCTTCATGGAAACGTTGAGCTTTGGTACCTCCGTTCCGTCGTCTGCTGGCAAAGCACCGGCCAGTAGCTTAATTAAAGTAGTCTTACCAGTACCGTTTTCTCCCATCATAACAATAATCTCAGAGTCAGAGAAACTACCAGACTCTACTTGCAATGTGAAATCACCCTGAGTGCGCTTCATCTTAGGGTAAGTGAAGGCACGGGTAGCGTCTCCTACATCCAGCTGTTCTTGTGCATCTACGATTCTGAACTGTAATGCTTCTCCTCTGAATCTCATGTTTTCACTTGGAATGTGACCGTCTAGGAAAATGTTGATACCTTCTCTCACAGATGCAGGTAAAGTGACAACACCGTACACCGATGGGACACCGTAAAGGATACACACAAAGTCGGAAAGATAATCCAGAACGGACAAATCGTGCTCAACACAAATAACGTAGGTTGTGGCATCCAAGAGAGATCTGATCACCAAAGCGGCGTTCAAACGCTGCTTTACATCCAAGTACGAAGATGGCTCATCAAACATGTATACCTGAGCAGTCTGGACACACGACATACCAATGGCAAATCTCTGTAATTCACCACCAGACAAGGCGTGGACGTCTCTTTTCAGCAAGTTTTGCAAATCTAGAGACTTGATCACGTATTTGGCATCTTCTTGCGATCTTTCCAATCTCAGTTTCAAAAGTTCTCCCACTTTTTGAATTGGCCCTTTAATAGCTCTTGGCAAGTTGTCCACGTACTGAGGCTTAATGACAGCTTTGATGTCATCTTCTAGCACCTTTGTGAAGTAATTTTGCAGCTCCGAACCACGGAAATGCTTGATGATGTCTTGCCATTCCGGAGGATCGTCGTAGCGGCCCAAATTGGGTTTTTGCTTACCTGCCAAAATCTTCAATGCCGTGGATTTACCGATACCGTTGGTTCCAACCAGTCCTAGCACCTGGCCGGGTCTTGGGGTAGGTAATCTGTGAAGTTTGAAACTATTAGCCGAGTAACGGTGGGTGACTTCAGCTTCCAGGTTTGTGGGTAAATTGATAATCTGAATGGCATCGAAGGGACATTTCTTAACGCAAATACCACAACCAATGCACAGAGTCTCGGAAATGAAAGCTATCTTAGACGTTGGTGCCACTTCGATACATAGTTTACCAGTTTTCACCACAGGACATGCTCGCTTACACTCTTGACGACACTTCTTGGGCTTACACCTGTCGTCATTAACAATTGCGATACGCGTGTTTTTCGAACTCATTTCCTGGTATTACACGGTGGGACAATCCTTTCTGCTTAACTTCTTTGAACAGCTGAAAGCGTTCAAGTTAAGCTATTGCAAGCGTAACTTTCGACATGCTTGAATTTTTCATCAGCAAGCTGAGCGATGAGCTGAAAAATTTTACGTGAGTACAGACACGAGTACAAAAAGTTGTGACGCCGAGTTTCAAGAAACTGATGCGGATTATGAGTTTCAGGATGTTTGGAATAAGCGCTGCATGTCACTGGTAACAAGGAACGTTGCTGGTTGAGTAACCGAAACATTTGTTTCATTATATGTAAAGTTCCGTTACTTGGCTCATCCGAAAATGTTTCCTTTGTTTATGAGTCCTGTTGTCGGCAATTGACCAGTGCATGCAAGCTTGACGAAAGACTTGTTGAGAGTGGTAGATGAGGAACACGCTCGAAACAAATACGATTGATTGTCTTTGGAGTCTTACAACTGTAAGATTGATATTAAACGTGGCCCCGCTTGTGGTGGCTCATTGGAAATGGTAGATCAATCAATTAGCAAACTCGAGATCCCACGCAATCGCCAAGTGAAATTCATACAGGCATGTAAAGTGTAAGGATATAGGCTTTTCAAACATGGCAAACTCGCTGTTATGCGGTGTCTATGGAGTTATCTTGATATTGAATATCAATCAATTTAGAATGTGGAGAAAGTTACCCGGACACTAGGTCAAAAAGTATATAAGAAGCGAGAAAAAATTGAGGTCTTGAATCCGAAGTTCTTCTTTACTGACCACTCGGCGACCGCCAGTTTTTAATGAATTGATCTAATTTCTGTTTTCAAGCGAAACAAAATGGCACAGGGCTGATATATGGTAAAGAGTCTTCTTGATACTGTTGAGAAGTTGGGCAAACGAGGTGATTGAGACATGACTGCTGGATGCAGCTCCAACTGCTGATTCGAGTGCTCTTTTCATCGTGCTAAGGAGTTGGGCACGAGATCTTGAAGGTTTCAGGAGCTGCATGTGGTTGGGGAATTAAAGGATCAAAGTGATGATATATCAGAAGCCCAATGTTTAGAACTAACATCAAAAGTGTGTTTGTTTGTCAGAGCCGCTGCGAAAGCAGCTGGGGGTTTTGTCGCATTATCAATCAACGCTGCAGCGGAACAAAGAAACTTGTTATCTTTTCGACCTTGGCAATACACAAGAATGTCTAATGCTCGGCATTTTGGCAAGCATAAGCAGGCGCTTTTAGTTGACGGTCTTCCGTCCAGTTCGGTCTGCACCCTTTTCATTCATTTGCTTATGAAGTTGATGTGATCCTTTCCCCTCATGGAAACGGGCGTAATGCCGATCAAGAGAGCTTGAAACTTCAGCACCTGTACTTAATTCTTTTCGAAGATTTTGTTCCCCCTCAAGCCGCTCTTATTGCCAACCAAAAAAGAAAAAAAGAGACCTGCTGTACAGGACTGAAATCGGCCATTACAGACTTTGGGTTATGGGCAAATGATTGTCGTCCACCAAATCAATTTTTCTCCTTATTGATCCTTCTTTTTTATTATTGGTTTTTTGATTGTGCTCAATCAATGTCTTGATACATTGTTTTCCAGACGTCGCGGTCTACCGCATTGCTTTCTGCCTACCAACATACCCGGGCGGCTGTCCACCAACTTGTTCTTTTATGATACAATGGCTTTTAATGGCATTTGATAAGGTGGCTGTTGGCGGCGGATTATTTTACTGTTGGACAAGTGACAAGCTTTACGATTCTAAGTGACAGATTTCAGCAAGAGTTGGTTTACATCTCTTGGTATAAGGCTATGCCAATGCTTAAATCCATTAAGAAGAATCACAGTTAGCGATGTTACAAGCTTGCAATCTTCTGCGACTGCAAATTCGGCCAAAAACAGCCGCGTGTGTCTGGATCCAAACGACCTTCCAGTTGGGCATGCAATGCCGCCTCTAATCAGTCATTGGCCGCGGTTTACGTTGTTCAAATACAGTCGATGGACACAGTTACCCTCCAGAGTTTGTAAATTTAAATAAAAATTTTCTCCCTTGAATAACGCGGAAATGTTCGAGTGATTGATGCACACGCTTGATTCAACATTAAATCGTTTTTTGGATAAGGTGCGGGCCGCTGCCATTTACAAACGGGTTCACTGATATCTGACATTAAAAGTCCTCTCGTTTTGAGTTTACTTTTCAAGTTAAATTGTTATTACCGGTGCCAATTTTGGTCTATACCCGGTAAACATCATTAACATCACCACTGCTAAAACGTGAGGTACTCAGAGTAGCCCATCTCAGCACAACAGAAGATGGTCGCTGAAGATATATCGCACGAGATACTGGATAATCCAGAACTGTACGGGCTTCGCAGATCAGGAAGAGCTGCAGCCACAAGCCGTACGCACTATTTTTCAGACGATGATGATGATGATGAGGTTGTAACTACAAGACGTGGAAGAAAAGCCAAAACCGACAAAGATGTAAATGAAGATGAGGTATCAGAGCTTAGCAGCGAAGCTGATGATGAAAGCATGACGGATGGAGATGAAGAGGTAGTCTTTGGACGACCAAAGGCCACAAAAAGTAGAAAAACCTTGAAAGGTGGAAGAAGCAAACCAAAAAAGTCAAACGCGACCGATTTTGAAATCCCCACAAGATTCTCTTCCAGACAAAACAAATCTGTTGATTACAACATTGACTATTCCGATGAGGATTTACTGGAATCAGAAGTTGAAGAAGGTGAAGAGTTAAGTGACGAAGACGACCTAGACTCTCCTAAGCAAAATTCTGTGACACCTCAGACGGGGCGCGGTATTGATCTAGTTGTCACACATAGGCCAAAATCGGATACTGAGGAATACAAAGGCCCTATCGATTTAGCCACCTGTAAAGAGAACTACAAGTTTTTGATCAAGTGGGTGGATGAATCACATTTGCATAATACCTGGGAGTCTTACAAAGATTTGGCTCACTTTCGAGGTGCGAAAAAGGTCGACAATTACATCAAGCAGTTTATCATTCTGGATAAACAAATTCGGGATGATACATATACCACGGCGGAGGATATAGAAGTCATGGATTTAGAGCACGAACGTCGCTTAGATGAATTCGAGGAATTCAAAATACCCGAAAGGGTTGTGGATAGTGACCGCGTCACTCTAGAAGACGGCACATCTCAGTTACAATATCTGGTTAAATGGAGACGTTTGAACTACGATGAAGCTACTTGGGAGAATGCTGGTGTTGTTGTAAAGTTGGCTCCAGAGCAGGTGAAGCATTTTCAGAGCAGAATTAACTCTAAAATTCTTCCACAACACTCAAGTAATTATGGCTCTCAAAGACCCCGCTTCGAAAAATTGAATGAGCAACCCTCTTTTGTAAAAGGTGGTGAGCTTCGTGATTTCCAGCTAACTGGTATCAACTGGATGGCTTTTTTATGGTCAAAAAATGACAATGGTATCCTAGCCGACGAAATGGGTCTGGGGAAAACAGTTCAAACTGTAGCATTCATTAGTTGGCTAATTTATGCGCGTAGGCAGAATGGGCCACATTTGGTCGTGGTTCCGCTATCAACAATGCCTGCTTGGCAAGAGACCTTCGATAGGTGGGCGCCCGACCTTAACTGCATTTATTTTATGGGTAATCAAAAATCCAGAGATGCGATCAGAGAGAGCGAATTTTACACTAACCCTCAAGCAAAAGGTAAGAAGCACGTTAAGTTCAACGTTCTCTTGACAACTTATGAGTACATTTTGAAAGATCGCACTGATCTAAGCGCTATAAAATGGCAATTCTTAGCAGTTGACGAAGCTCATCGTCTAAAGAATGCCGAATCATCTCTTTACGAGTCCCTTAACAGTTTCAAGGTAGCAAATCGTCTGTTGATCACTGGTACACCTCTTCAAAATAATATCAAAGAGCTTGCAGCACTTGTGAACTTTTTAATGCCGGGAAGGTTCACCATTGATCAAGAAATTGATTTTGAGGTACAAGATGAAGACCAGGAGAAGTACATTCGAGACTTGCATAGCAGATTGCAACCTTTCATTTTACGTCGTTTGAAAAAGGACGTTGAGAAATCTCTTCCTTCAAAAACTGAACGCATATTAAGAGTAGAGTTGTCAGATGTTCAAACAGACTACTACAAGAACATCCTCACTAAAAACTACAGCGCTCTTTCGGCAGGCTCGAAAGGCGTTCATTTCTCACTTCTCAATATTATGAATGAGCTCAAGAAGGCTTCTAACCATCCTTACCTTTTTGATACTGCTGAAGATCGTGTTTTGGCGAAGTTTGGGGATGGAAGAATGTCTCGCGAGAATATTTTGCGAGGCCTTATAATGTCTTCAGGAAAAATGGTACTTTTGGATCAACTTTTGACCAGGCTAAAGAAAGACGGCCATCGTGTTCTGATCTTTTCCCAAATGGTAAGAATGCTAGACATATTGGGCGACTATCTGAATATCAAAGGTGTCAATTACCAACGGCTTGATGGTACTGTTCCATCTGCTCAAAGACGGATATCAATTGATCATTTCAATTCTCCTGATTCCAATGATTTTGTTTTCTTGCTTTCCACGAGAGCCGGTGGGCTAGGAATTAACCTGATGACTGCTGACACGGTGATCATTTTCGATTCAGACTGGAATCCCCAAGCCGATTTACAAGCTATGGCCCGTGCTCATCGTATCGGGCAGAAAAATCATGTCATGGTCTACAGATTTGTGTCGAAAGATACGGTTGAAGAAGAGGTTTTAGAAAGAGCGCGTAAAAAGATGATTCTGGAGTACGCCATCATTTCTCTAGGGGTTACTGATGGTAGCAGTTTTTCTCAAAACAAAAAAGCAGACCCTTCTGCTGGAGAGTTGTCAGAAATTCTAAAATTTGGCGCTGGAAATATGTTCAAGGCCAACGACAACCAGAAGAAGTTGGAAGACTTAAATCTAGACGATGTCCTTAATCATGCTGAAGACCATGTAACAACACCGGATTTGGGTGAGTCGCATTTGGGTGGCGAAGAGTTTCTGAGACAGTTTGAGGTCACAGACTACAAAGCAGACGTGGAGTGGGATGATATCATACCTGAAGAGGAGCTCAAGAAGCTAAAAGACGAAGAGCAAAAGCGGAAGGACGAGGAATATGTCCAAGAGCAGCTGCAATTAATGAATAGAAGAAACAATGCATTAAACAAAATAAAAGCATCTGTCAACGGCAATGGTGGTAACCAAAACGACAGCGATGAAGGAACCTCTAGGTCAGAAAAAAGAAGAATAAAAAGCGAAAGTTTGGACTCTTTTGGCGAAAAAGAAATTCGTGCACTGTACAAATGCGTACTAAGATTTGGTAATCCAGAGGACAGGTTTGAGGAATTGATAGGAGATGGGTCTCTGCCAATGAGAACCATTGACGTTTACTCTAAACTTTACCGTGAAATGACTGAAAAGGCCAGTAAAGTTTTCAAAGAAGAAGATGAAACCCGTTCACAAATGTTTTCCGTCCTCGAGGCCAATGCGAAAGCATATAAAGAGAAGCTGAAAGCAAATGGCCAGCAGCTCGATGAGAAAGATAAAACCACGCCTGTTGCTAAGCTTGCAGCCAAAAGAAAGGAAAAGAAGGCCATCCTTTTCGAATTGTATGACGTCAAATCATTGAACGCGGAAACTGTACTGTCAAGACCAGAGGAGATGCAATTTTTGTCTTCATTCCTCCTGAAGAACTATCCTGATGATCCACTGCTGTTCAAATTTGTTAACAAAATTCCTAAGCCAGTGACGAACTGGAATTGTGCTTGGAACAAAGAAGATGACGAGAAATTGATGGTGGGTGTCAACAAATATGGATATGGTTCTTGGGCCCAAATAAGAGATGATCCTTTCCTAGGCTTGACTGAAAAGATTTTCCTCAATGAGCCTCAAGGCGCGAATTCGAAGGCTGAATCGGAAGCTGCTAATGGTCCAGGACAAAAGAAGGGCAAGAATAACACCACGGCTGGCTCTAAAAAGGTTCCTGGTTCAGTGCATTTGGGTAGAAGGGTGGATTACTTGTTTTCAGTGTTACGTGATGAAATAAAACCACACACCTCCTCAGGTGCCAACAGTGGGAACTCAACACCCTCAATGTCACTACAAGGAAATACAAAAAAACGTGTCAGAAAACCAGCTGGTAGTAAATCAGGAACCCCAGATGTTAAGAAGGAGGAAAATCGCGCCGGAACCACTAAGAGAACCAAGAGAAACGATGACTCTCAAAAAAGTACCCCATCTTTGGGTACTGCCGCTAAAAGGCATCAATCTGCCAAGGCCGCTGGCGGAGACCGTGGTGCTTCGGTCGCTTCCGATAAGGAGTACGACAGTATGGAAGAGGCCGAATGCAAGCATACCATGCAAGCTGTAAAAAATTCCTTCAGAAGTTTGAGTCGCGGCGGAAAAGGTTTGGATCGGAAGGATTGGGCCCGCATTTTGAAAACAGAGTTGAAGGCTATTGGAGACCACATAGAGGCTCAAAAGGGCTCCTCGAAGAAACATGCAGCCGAAAAGTTTCGCAAACATCTATGGGCCTTCAGTGCTCACTACTGGCCTGCTAAGGTAAAGAGTCCGAAACTTTTGGCAATGTACGATAAAATTGTTGCTAATGATGGATCCTGAGCGTAGGATTGTATATATGATAGTAAAAGCGTGAGTAAAGGAGGAGACAATAGCTTGTTCGTAATAATGTGAATTCTTGGAAGAACATGTAAAGCTGTGGCAACTACTCACGACACATGATGGCCGCGAAAGACGGTCTTGAATACGTACCATAGATGACAAGATTTTTGAAAGCGAGAAATTGACTTTTGGTCGGCAGATGTTCCGTCTAGGGCATGGTAATAAACTCATGGAATATAACCAACTTACTGGTGTCACTAAGAAAAACCGTTCTAAAAGCAGAGATCGAGAAAACTCGTACTAATTGGAAATTTTCTCAAACTTTACTGTGGGCATTTTTTGAAGAAGTCTTACCACTCAAAGGTTGCAGCATTATCGGAGCTTTGGCGCAATTGTTCTGCATCGAAGAGACAAAATCATTGCGATGCTCTTAAACTGCTCAGATTCCAGAATTAGCCGTCGCCCATAAAGCAGCATTTCAAAGGCGAGCACTGGAGCTCCGCTCTTTGTCGTTGAACTATGCAGAGAGAGTGCTATCTGATTATGCGCGATGCAGTGCTGTCCAACGGGTTGACCCGGATCAAAAATTTGCAACCCGGGTTGCAAAATTCGGGTACTTAACGGGTTGCTGTTTTTTTTCAATCAGGTCTTTGAGTATTAATAATTTAATATTTACGGATCCTTCAGTGAGTTTCAATCACATTCAATAGCGTCGCTAACGGGTTGGGAACACCTCACATCGCCTCGGTGACAAAGAGGAGCAGCTCATGTTTGTTCGCGATGCTAAAAAACGTTTAGACTTGATATGAATTGTATAATGCTACCTGGGCTAAATACTGGTCAAAATACTAATTACGCCGCCCAGCGACCGTCGAGATGGTCATCATCATCATAGGCATCATCATCATCAACACCGTAATCATCATCCTGACAATCATCCTCAAGGGGTTCTTCATCAGATGATATATTTATAAAATCATCGGCATCGCCCGGTTTCGTGAGTAGAAGTTCCTTGTCGTACAGGCCGAAGTTAAAAAAGCGGTCTCTTAAAAGCATGATTCTCCTCGCATTAGCGCTCCCGAGACTTCTGCGGTCGCTTCTCATTAGTTTTCCACTGATAGAGAATGTTCTCTCAATACCGCATGTGCTGAACTTTGTGTACAACATGGATAAAGCCAACGGAAACAAATGAGGGTAGGTCAAACGCCGCGAGTACCACCACTTCACGGCATCTGTCAAAGAATCTGAAGTTAAATGAGAATCAGCCTTATAGTTCTCCCATTCTTCCAGAGCTTTAGAGGTTCTTTCTGGAGGCTGCTTGAAATGCAATTTTAGCCTTTTGAACTTGGTGACGCGATTCGTGTTCACTGGCTTGAGCATATTGTCAATGTACGGATGGTTTTCGGATTGGCACTGCTTGAGGTAGCCCTTGACATATGCCTCTACCCTTCGAAAGTGCTCTGATCCCTCATTATCACCAAAAAATTCTTTAAAATAATCGCCTTTGATACTAGGATCCAAGAACGCCGCAACAAAGTAGATGTCGTTCTTTTCATACAACTCGAAGTATTCGTCGAATTTTGACTGGAAGAGATGATGGCTTTCAAAACAGTACTCTTTATCTCTTCAGAGAGTTCGAACTTTCCATTAATGAAGGTGAAATCAAAAAACCCCTCTGGAGAAGCTGGAATGGTTTCCGTTTCACCCCTGCTGCATAAGTCATAAAATTCCTTCATCGTGGAATAGAAAGTGACTGCATTAGCTATGTTGCTTGCATTGTTGTCTTGCAAAGTATCGTTCATTAGCTGGAAGATCGAGCAACAGCTCGTAAAATACTCTAAGAGTTGTACTGTTTCGTCCGTGAGCTGCAGCCGCATTTCTATCTTCGGAAGGACATTGTGATATTGTTCATTTGACTTCAAACTCTGAGCCCACCCTAAATATCCTTTGTGATGCTTTAGAAATGTAGCGACCTGTTTCCAAATGAAAATCCACCGCGTTTCGGGAGCCGAAGGCACCAAGGGTAATCTAGCATCCGCTATAGCAGACCTTAAAAGAGATGACCTCTTGATTATTTTGGCGAACGCACTAACATCTCTCAAGCCTTTTTCAAACCTCTCATCTTCCCTCAGCTTTCTCACGATCTCCTGAAACAGAAGGTTCAAAATGTGACTTGCGCAGCGAACATGATGAAAGTCTTTTGCTTCTTGAATGCCGTCGTCCTCGAAGGTTTTATGAGATTGTGAAGAAGGAAAGAATGCATGGCCGTATTATTAGTAGCATTGTCAGAGGTAAAGGAGAGGACTTTATTTGTTATTCTAAATCGGTTCAAAACCTCCACGACCGTGGTATGCAGACTTTCACCTGTATGGCGTGAGCCGCTGATATCAACAAAATCCAAAAGGTGACTGTTATTGGTCTCTTCACAGTTATTGAGTAATGCCTTTTCTCCAACGCCTTGTAACATCTTTTCATTCAGCAAGTTCGGAGCGAATGAAGCTGCAATACCCAAATAAGAGTGACCGTTGCCTCCAGTCCACACATCTAGCTCTAAGTTTATGAAATCGGTTTGTTCTAGAGCCGCAACGAGTGCCTTATCAAACCATTGGGAGTAGGTTTCGAGTTTTGTATTTATCGTGGTGCGAGATTGAATGAATGGCATTTCTGGACATGCCTTACATATCCATTTCCACGTTCTAGAGCTGACAAACGAAAACGGCAACAGTCTTTCCGTCAAAAAGCCAATTGTCCCGATGGAGCCAGGACTGTGCTTACACTCGCGAGCAATTTCTCCCGGCAGCGGAAGCGAGCGAGATTTCATGATCAAAGAGTCTAGTGAACGCTCCTTTATAGTTGCAGCCTTTTGGGATCTGTACTGGCAGGGGTGAATGTTCTTGACGTGCTTGGAGAGATTACCCGTAGAATTGCTTTCGTAGAAGGTTCTTCCGCAATGTATACAGCTAGCTCTGGTCAAACCATCTGTTTGAGAAAGTCGAAAGTGCTTGCGAAGTGCGGACCTTTGCATCCATTGTGATTTTCCACGCGCTAGAGCCTTTTTTGTATTGTGGTGGGGCAAGTCACCTAGGTGGTTCTCAGGATCACTTAGAACCGTATCCCCTTCAAGATCAGTACTGGGACTCGGCGCTAGTTCATGTGGTGCAATCATAAGAGGGGCTTCCATTGTTGGTAGAAACTGTGGCCTGAGCCATGTTCCTGAATGTGAAGTAATGAATTCTGAATTTTGTCACCTTTTATATCTTCAAAAGTTTACGCGTTGCATTTTAAAAAAGACGCGTTACATTTTAGAAAAAACGCGTCCAGGTTCCTCTCAGGTTGCAGTTCAATTCTAAGCGGGTTGTACGACAGGTTATGATTTGCCCGAAGCGGGTTCTTTCAGGTACCTAGCTATTTAGCAGATGGGTCCTCAAATTTTATGAATTTTTTTTACCCGGCCAGTTTTGCAACCCGTTGGACAGCACTGGCGCGATGCGTATGATCACTTTGAACTAGTCTGTCATTCCTCACTTTGCAAGACCTTGAAAACTCGTTTTCACGGTGATGAGGGCCAGAATCGTTTCCTTTACGATGACTTGTGACTTTTTTGTGAATACTTAGTCTGGGTTTGAGACAATCGTTGTCTTGCGAATTTGGCGCTTTTTCAGTTTCGTCTTCATCAGAAGACGCGTAAACCGGTCATTTTTCGAAGTGCTTTACGCGTCAGTCATTATATACGTTAGCTTTATATATTAGGGCAGACCAAAAGTTCCCGTCCCAACTCGACTATCCACACTCTGAAAAGAGTTTGAAGATCGAGTAAGTCAGGACTTGCCAGCTATGGTGCTGCCCACTACACCCAAAAGCGTTAGGAAAACGGCCCCTTTCAAAAATTCCCCTCACTCCTCTGGGAAAAAGACCTTCAAACAGGCGTCTTTACTGTCATTCTTTGGTAAAAACAAATCAGCAGGAAGCGGTACACCACTGAAAGGTTCCAAACAAGAATCCTTATTTGTGGAGAATGATGACTCTACCGACATGAATTCAGAGTTTGTCACTGCTATAGAGGATGGCGGTGACCGCTCAGCTCCGTCTATCGTGGATGCAAGTGTCACGGACGAGAATAAAGAGGACAAAGTTGTTGATGAAAAGGAAAAGTCAGAAAATCTGGAGGGAGAGACGGATGGTGACATTCAAGGTACCCCTTTGAGTAGTGGTGCGCTTTCGAACCACCCAGATGAACCAAATAGTCAAGACGAAGACCAATCAGTACAAAAGCCAGATGTGAATGCCAAACGTCCAAATAAACGGCAAGTCACATATGCAGAACTGAGTGATGAGGAACTTGATACTTCGCCCTTGCGATCAAAAGCGAAGAAAAAGAGACATTTACCAAGCGACGACGAAGAAGAAGAATATACACCACCAAAAGAACAAGAAAGCGATGGTGACGATGTCGAGGACGAAATTGACGCGTCGGATATTAAAAACGAGCTTTCGGGAGGTAACACCGGTGCTGCAGAGGAAGATCTTGATGACGAAGATGACGACGACGACATCCTTCAGTTATCTCGCAAACAACCAAGGTCTCTAGGCAATAAAGTTGCTGTAAAGGACAGAGCAACACCTCAGTCAGTGGCTAAACCCAAAAGCAGTCCTCAGCGTAGTAAACCATCGGTGCTCAACAAGGGAAAACATTCGAGTTTCAATAAAGAAAATGAAGAGCGCTATCAATGGTTAGTGAACGAGAGAGACGCGCAAGGAAGAGCTCCAGATCATCCGGACTACGATTCCCGATCTCTGTATATCCCATCTTCTGCATGGGCAAAATTTACGCCATTCGAGAAACAATACTGGGAAATAAAGTCGAAGATGTGGGACTGTATCGTGTTTTTCAAAAAAGGCAAGTTCTTCGAAATGTACGAGAAAGACGCAATGCTCGGAAACCATTTGTTTGATTTGAAAATTGCAGGTGGTGGGCGTGCTAACATGCAACTTGCGGGCATACCGGAGATGTCATTCGATTATTGGGCGATGCAGTTTATTCAACATGGCTATAAGGTAGCGAAAGTTGACCAGAGAGAGTCGATGCTCGCCAAAGAAATGAGAGACGGGAATAAAGGGATTGTGAAGCGTGACCTTGAGAGCGTTCTGACTTCCGGAACATTGACAGACCTAGGAATGCTTCTATCTGATCAAGCTACATACTGCATGGCTATACGCGAAGAGCCTGGCGACTTTTACGATGTCGAAAACGGCGCGTCAAGTTCACCTCCAAGTGATAAGAAAATATTTGGTGTCGCTTTCATAGACGCAGCCACAGGTGCGATTGACCTCCTAGAAATCGAAGACGATTCTGAATGTACAAAGCTCGACACAATTTTATCCCAGGTACGGCCAAAAGAAATCATAATGGAAAGGAATAACCTTTCCAACCTGGCTCATAAGATAATAAAATTCAACGCACAACCTCAAGCTCTCTATAATTATTTGAAGGCAGGAGAAGAGTTTTACGATTTCAACAGAACTTTCGACGAGCTTACGTCCAAAGACAACGGTTATTTTACGGACATGGATCAATGGCCTGAAGTTTTAACCAGGTTTTTTGAGCAAGGGAAGAAGGTTGGATTTTCTGCTTTTGGTGGACTGGTGTCCTACTTGAAGTGGCTCAAGCTGGACAAATCATTGGTGTCCATGAAGAACATCAATGAATACAGTCCAATCAGATCACAGACATCCTTGGTGCTGGATGGAATAACACTGCAGAATCTGGAGATTTTCGGCAACTCATTCGACAATACCGACAAAGGAACCCTTTTCAAGCTACTGAATCGAGCAATAACGCCCATGGGTAAACGAATGCTAAAAAAGTGGGTAATTTATCCTCTCCTTCACAAGCATGATATTGAGCAACGTTTAGATAGCGTTGATCTCTTACTTAATGATATGGATCTTAGAGAGCTTTTGGAGAGCAGTTTGAGCGTATTGCCCGATCTGGAGCGTTTGTTAGCGCGCATTCACTCGGGCACCTTAAAAATCAAAGATTTTAACAAAGTTATAGAGGGATACGAAACAATTGCCGCTCTCACGAACAAGCTTCAGAGTCAAGAATTGAAAGGTTCGCTGAAAAAACACCTCGAACAGATACCCGAAACATTGGCCAATGCTATAAACAGCTGGGGAAATGCGTTTGATAGAAAAAGGGCAGTTGATGATGGAGTGATTGTACCAAAATCTGGCGTCGAACCTGATTTTGACGAATCCCTCAAAAGCATTGAAAAGATCGAAGATGAACTCGGCGATCATTTACGTTCCTACAAGAAACAATTCAAAACCTCCAATATACAGTACAAAGACTCGGGTAAGGAAATTTTTACCATCGAGGTACCGATGGCGGCCACCAAATTAATCCCATCGGACTGGATTCAAATGGGAGCCAACAAATCAAACAAGCGTTACTATTCACCCGAAGTTGCAAAGCTGGCAAGAACAATGGCTGAAGCCCGCGAGTCGCATAAGATTCTAGAAGAGAGTCTAAAAAGCCGCTTATATCAAAAATTTGACCTCAACTATCAAGACATCTGGATACCGACTTTGAACGCCGTCTCTTCAATAGACTGCATTCTTTCGCTGGCTCGGACTTCAGAATCATTAGGATTTCCTTGCTGTAGGCCTGAGTTTGTCGACAATGTGGATCCGGAAACTGGACACAGTTTGAACGGCTTTGTCAACTTCAAAGAGCTCAGGCATCCATGCTTCAATTTAGGTTCTACAACAGTCAAAGACTTCATTCCAAATGACGTATCTTTGGGAGGTGAGAGTCCGCAAGTTGCTCTATTAACAGGTGCAAATGCGGCTGGTAAATCGACAGTGTTGAGAATGACTTGCGTAGCGGTTATTATGGCTCAAATTGGTTGTTACGTGCCTGCTGAAAGTGCAGTTCTCACACCGATAGACAGAATAATGACCCGACTTGGAGCTAATGATAACATTCTGCAAGGAAAGTCCACTTTTTTTGTTGAGCTGTCGGAAACAAAAAAGATATTAGACACAGCAACTAACAGATCGCTGTTGATTTTGGATGAGCTGGGAAGAGGTGGGTCTTCTAGCGATGGATTTGCGATCGCCGAGAGTGTCTTACATCATGTTGCTACCCACATTCAGAGTCTGGGTTTCTTCGCAACACATTATGGTGGCTTGAACATGGGTTTCAAACATCACCCCAAGGTATTACCGCTCAAAATGAGTATTCTCGTGGATGAAAACTCACGAGAGCTCACTTTCTTGTACAAACTTACCAGAGGACAGAGTGAGGGGAGCTTCGGTATGCATGTTGCCTCCATGTGTGGGATTCCCAAGACGATTGTGGAGAGAGCGCAAATTGCTGCTGACAATCAGGAGCACACATCCATTTTAGCCAAGGAACGACATCGTTCTGCTGGAGACATTCACGGTAGCATAATACCGCTTGGTTTACAAAGTGACTTTGTCAGGCTGGCCTACGGTGAAGGACTTACGACTGGGAAGAAAGGTTGTGGCGAAGGTGTGAACTTTTATGACAACCAAATCAAAGCTAACGCTTTGAAAAGCATCTTTTGTATGATAGACGGGTTGGAATGAGTTATCAACATCATTATTTCTCACGAAGATGAGAAAGAATGATGAGCATTTAAGATCAAATATATATATACATTATACCATACCTGCAGCCCCTATGAAAACCTTGAAATGTCAATACCTGACCGTAGTTAAACGCTTCGCAAAGCGCCATCACTCACAGACTCGGCATACCGATCCCCGCTATTCTCCACAGCGAGCTCCCTACTGTTTTCGGCAGATTTAGGTGGTGGACTCTCGCCGCCATCGGCAGTGCATGGGATTTTCTTGTTCAAATGCTGCAGTACATGATCGCGCCTTTTAAATTTTTTGCCGCACTTGGGACAGGAGTGAGGTTTCTCTCCTGAATGAACTGATTTCTTATGTCGCGTTAGGTGATGTCCAGAAGAAAATTGACGTTTGCACTCTTGGCATACGTAAACTTTGCCTTTATCTGAGACAATGATTTCTTCAGAACTTATTTTCGACTGAGTGGCAGGCCTTTTCGGGGATTCGGGCACTGATGGCTTTGCTTCCGTAGGTGACGAAGGAGATGACCTATCTATAGTTGTCGTTTGACTTAGGTTAGAATTGATAACCGTTGTCCCGTTGGTCGGGAGTTTAGTTGACAGCGGTGACTTAAACTCTCCATTTAACGATACCGGACTTCTCGAAGACTCACGAGATATATTGAGCGTGACTCTATTAGGACTTTTGAGCCTCTTTATGAAGGGAAGATTTGAGAGGCCAGGTGAACTGGGTTGCGGTGAGTTCACAGCACTTTTGAATGAGGAATAATAACTGAAGGGATTGTTTTGCTCGTACATCGGTCCCGACGCTAACATAGTGTCACCAGCGCCCGCCGGTGAGTATGGTCTAGGTTGGATGGGCGGAAGTGGGTATCGGGGAGATGAGGCGCCACTTGCCATGGACGCCAGACTGAGAGCTAGCATGTTGTCGTCGTGATCATCAAGCATTTGATTTGATTGGGACGGATTTGCGCCCTGTGTTTGAACTGAAGTATTCTTTTTGAATTTTAGCGTCGGATCTTCCAACGTTGGCTCCACAATATTTGACAGATCCATCATGCGGGAGAGTAAAGGTGACGATATTCGGCTCAGGGACTGACTTAGACCGCTATAGTACTGACCAGGATTGGGAGTAGTGGAACGTATGGCACTCTGTTGGGCGTTATCCTCCATACTTTGAAGCTCATAAGAGCTATGATGTAACAGCTCGTTAAAACCTTTCATTTTAGTAGTTTCCCGGTCAGATAATCTGTTATATGCCAAAGAGCGCCCAGGAGTTGGGCACACTACTTCGAAGTTGGATTTTTCCTTCTTCAAGTCCGCTGGTTTGACTAGCTTTTCTCGTATCAATGACGGGCTGCTAGGTCGGGCCTCAGTTTTCAGTTTTTTTACAGGATCTTTGCGTGAAAAGCGGGAGTCGGGGGCCTCTTCCTTAATATCGTTCATGCCCCTCTTTTGTTTGCCGGCGGCCCAATCATTTTTTAAGGTCTCGATGTCGATGCCGACTGCATCGTCAACGCATAGACATTTTTTGGCCTTTGAACCAATATCCAGCCAATCCTCCAATGCAAAATTGACAGATTCAGCCAGATTGTACCCGTAATTGAACCCAGCATGATAACCGTAAGGATATGTGATTACGAATTCGTTTTGATAGTGCACGATTTTGTTGCACGGTATGCCGTTTTTTTCCAGTGTCTTGGGAGATACAAGGAAGGTCTTGTGTCTTAGAAACTCGTCACACTTGGCTGAATGCTCTGGAAATTGCTCTTGCATAAATTTGTAAAATTTATCAGAATGCTCCTGAGGGATTGCATACCACTGTTTGGGAGCCCCGAAGTGAATATAATTGATGGAGTACAAGTCTTGGTCCTCCAAGTGCCAAGCAAATGAGGCTTTCCACAGGCCTGCGTAAAGATAGGAGTCGTTGACACCTGGAACTTTGGTGCGCACGTAATCCAAAAGACTCGGCAACTTTGAAACGTTCCACACATCTAAATTCTCATGAAACAAGGTGCCCAGTGTGTCAGCACCGTACATGGGTGGTGTAAATGCCAGAGTCTTCCAGAAATAGGACTCCAAAAACTGCAACCTTTTTGGGTCATGGAACTCGCCCAGATTGTCGTGATTGTAGTGATGTGCAAAGTCCTCGTAGTCCTCTTTGGTGAAGCTTTCGTGATTTCTTAGCTTCACTTTCGAGGATTTCAGTGGAGAAGGCGACTTCCGCACCCCATCATTCTCCTCTCGATGATCGTCCGTAGCAGAACCTCGTGGATTTTCAGCCCCACTACTTGTCGAGTCACTGGATCCACCCGGAAGCCGATAATCATACGATAGATCCTTCCATTGTATAATATTGTATGTCTTTGGCTTTTCCACATTCTGTACCACAAATACACCTTTGGAACCATTAAAATGCTGCTGAATGGGCGATTTGATCCGGATTTTTTGCAAGGTCTCGGCCTGCAACGGTTTCTCCAGTTGTGAAACCCACTCTCCTGGCGGTATGACCTTAACAATACCGCTTTTTTTACCATATTCGTTGACCTTTTCCATGTAAGCGTGGAAGTCCCTAAATTCATCGTATTTTGGTCGGAAAACCGGCACGCCGTTCTCCCAGCTGTAAGGTTCTGCTCTGCTCATATTGAAGTCATATAACTTGCTTCTCTGGGTCTCAAAGTACGCTGTCAGTCTCGATTCTTGGAGTGATGTTCTTTGGTCAAAATGCTGCGTTATAGACATGGGGAAGTGATGAGCAGGGACGCCCCTTAGAAATTTTTATGAATGGGCAGCATGTTCGTTGACAGTGATGTGTGGTCCATTTAATTATTATAGCTGAGTGTGATCAGGTGATCAGAGTGGAAATATAGTAGAAAAGTAGAATTTGAGCAAGGCATGCGTGAAGTTGGTGGAGGAGAAAGATATTTGTGAGAGTTTCATGGTATATTTGATGCGTTTTTTTCTTTGGTTTTAAACATGATCGCTTTGAAAAAAGGGGGACTCATAAAAATCGCAGATGAGTACATCACTATTACCCATACCGACATGTGATGTTCAACTCTTTGGTTTTGTAAAGGTTTTGAGCCCGAGGGAGGGGCGTGGAAGCTGTGAGTATTGGGTACGTATTTGGGACATTCAGAGGTGTTCTGAAAGCAGATTTCGTCAAAAACCGATACCCTGCTATTTTTTTAAGCTTGGGTGGGAGAAATGGACATTCAGACGGCTTTTTTTTTTTTTCGAGCGAAAAAGTTTTATCATCTCCTATAAATTGGCGCAGCACCCCCAATAGTATCAAGTAGCCAAAAAACTGAATTCTTTGTCTCCCATAAACACGACTGAGGTGTCTATGAAAGCATTTCAGACTACCTATATCAAGCTGCTTGCAAATCATCACTTTCTACGTAACGCGTCGCTGACACTATCTTAGTGCACGTGACTCAATGTGTCAGGAAACAACTCTACAAAGTTTATGCAAATGCCTCGAGAGTTCTGTTTTCCTCAGGTTACGCCTGATGATTCCCCAACCCTTTTCCAGGATTGAACCAAAGCTCAAAGCTCAAAAATAGTCTTCAAAGATAGGAGAAGAAAAAAAAACCGAGTATTCAAAAAATCGAGTGATCAAAAAACCTCTCCAAATTCGAGTCTCAGAAACTCATACTAATTCGAACTAGAAACTATAGTGGCAGGAAAACGGGCAATTCAGAAAGCCTTCAACTTTGGCTATAAATCTCTTCATTATGAATAGATGACATCACTATACACGAATGACCATCGAATTATAGATATAAATCTACACATCTTCTTGAACTTAACGCACTCAACCATCAGCTTCTAAGCTTTCCCAGGCTCCAATTGAGCTTCAAAGAACTGCGACAGGCTTCTTCAACGGATCTGGTTTCTACCTTATTATGCTCAATAGAGCAGCTGGCACTTTTGTTAGAAGAAAAATGACATCGAAGCTTACTCTTACCAAGGTCGAGCAAAATGTGTGCTCGCTATTAAAAGACTACAGTCGCGAGTATAATCAGCAGAACAAACTTGCGGAGCCATTGGTTCTTCGAATCACCGGAGGCTGGGTTCGTGACAAATTATTGGGTTTGAGCTCCCATGATTTAGACATAGCCGTGAACACTATGTCAGGCGAGCAATTTGCACTAGGACTCAGCGATTTCTTGACTAGAAACCATAAAACTTATGGAATAACTCCACATTCAATTCATAAGATTGACAAAAATCCCGAAAAATCAAAACACTTAGAAACGGCCACCACAAAACTCTTTGATATCGAAGTGGATTTTGTGAATTTGAGATCTGAAGAGTATTCTAACGAGTCCCGCATCCCAATCGTTGAATTCGGGACTCCAGAACAAGATGCTCTTCGACGCGATGCTACTTTGAATGCTTTGTTCTATAATATCCAGCGCGATGAGATCGAAGATTTCACCAAAACGGGATTACAAGACTTGGAAAAAGGTGTTTTGCGCACACCTTTACCACCTCTTCAAACTTTCCTAGACGACCCCTTAAGAGTGCTGCGTCTCATAAGATTCGCTTCTCGATTTGGTTTTTCAATCGATTCTGAAACTTATCAGGCTATGCAAGTTCCGGAAATCAACAAAGCGCTGGAAGCGAAGATATCTCGCGAAAGAGTTGGAATTGAGGTCCAAAAAATATTGCAAGGACAAGATCCATTACGCGGGCTAAAACTTATACAAGAAGCAGGCCTGGACAATGTTATATTTTACTGGCATAGTGATCCTGTTGTGATTGAATACAACGCTCAAATGACGGAAATGAGTGAGCACAACCAGGCTTACGCTAATTTGAACCAGCATATTGCCAAAGTGCTCGAAAAGCTGCCGGGTCTTATCGAAACTTTACCCACCTTAGCACAGCGGTGGAAAGAAAGTGCGACATTCAAGCAGGACTTCATTCTGAGCGTTTTGCTGGCTCCATTCAGGGGGATCAAAATTGTTTGGAATCCTCAGAAGGCATTGAAACGTGAAATTTCTCTATCTGAGAGTATTGTGAAAGATGGACTGAAGCTTGGTAAAAACGATTCCGATCTTATCGGAAGATGTGTCGAGACGCATCTTGCATATCACAATATGGTTTTAGAGTATCAAAGTATGGCGAGAAGTGAAATCGGCATGTTGCTTCGCGACTACAAAGGTCAATGGGAACTGGCTCACCTGGCGAACTTGACCCTTGCATTTTGTAATGAAGAGACGCATTTGGACCGATATCAACAGTTTTCCAAATTCATTTTCGAACACAACTTGGAGGACTCACATTTACTGAGACCGTTGATAGATGGTAAGACTTTATCGAAGCAGCTGGGAATCAAGCCTGGTCCTTGGATGAGTCATGTTGTTACAGATATGATCAAATGGCAGTACGACAACCCCACTGGGGACAAGGATGAATGTCTGGAATATGTGAGACTTATTTTACCAAACTACGTTTAGGTAAGAAAACTTAAATGAGTGCAATGAACAGAAGTTAGCGTGTATAAATGCTTAAAAAAGTTTATAGAAAGAGTTTGACCTCACTAAGTTTGTAGGCTACCCGTTCGTTGCTTGTCTAGGAACTCAGCCTTCTCCTCTCTAGTTTATCTTCTGGATATTCTCGATAAATGCTTAAAAGTATGAATTGTTCCAATCGTTTTTAAAGTTACCAGTGTTTTCGCCATTGTTGATGGAGTTTGTAATCTGGTCAATATCATGCATTATGCGACTGGAGAAATTCGTGTAAGGAACGTTTTCATTATGCAAGCCGTCCTCTGAGTGTTCCGCTTTTATGCTATTGCCTGCTTGGTTCGTTACCGTAGCAGGAGAATTATTAGCGATGGAATGAATAGTGGAAACATCTCCTTGAAAGAGCGCATTGGATACTGACATGTCGTTCTCTGGCAAACCATTTTTGACTTGCTGACCCACAAAAGAATCTGCACCATATCCAAAATCCATTTCCATGTACAAGTTCAAAAAACTATCGTTTTGACCATTCGATACGCTCTCAGAGGCTGAACGTTGGCTATTATTGTGAGTTCCAGAACTAAACTTAGATGGGAAACTCGAAACTGGGATATCGGCTTGATCGAAACCTTTCATTACCGGAGCTGTGCTCTCCAATGTCGAATGAGAATTGACCATTGATGAGAACATAGTTACACTGCTGTGGCTAGTGTTAGGCAAAGACACAGTATCAGAATCCTTTTCTTCGAAACCCCCGGTACGGGCTTTATGAATCCCTTTTAGAGCTGGAGCTTCATCAGGTGAATAAGAAGTTTCCTCATTCTCTTCCAATATCTCATTTTCCAAAGAGCTCTCACGATCCAGTGAGAAGAGAACACTGTTCTGTCTTTCTTGCCCTTTATCGATGTTCATATGACCGGTATCGAAAAAGCACGGTGTCGAAGCAGAAGACAATGAAGAGACGGTGCTTGGGCCTCGTACTTCTGAAAAAGACTCCTGCTTTTTCTTGTGAGAGTACCTTTGCTTAGCCTGGGTATCCAGAAATGAATCTAGACCAATATTGAGGTCTGTTCCGTAAGTTGGGTTGCTATGGAAAGAAGAGAAGTCGCGAGAATATCGATTGGAGTTGGATCTTCTCAACGATGCCGATTTCCCAGGTGACGAAGTGCGGATTGGTGAGTACTTTTGCGCTAACGAGGAAATGGAATTTGTCGACATGTTTCTATGCAAGCTGGGGTGGTTGTTGGACGTTACACTGGAAACGAGAGAACTCATGGACCCGCCAGTGTTGGCCCGTTTCCGAGTGAACATTTTACTGAATGCAATGGAGGCGTCATTTTCGTCGCCCAGACGTGGGGATAGCGATGAATGCAGACTGCTGGAATGGGGACGTATTGCCGTTGGATAGACGGTAGATTCGTTGTACTGATCCGCGTAGTGCGGGTCGTATTGGGTATGATAAAGCTGAGAGGATGCTCTGTCCTTTGTGGGTGAAGAAGCAGCGCTACCCAACGTTAGAAGCGATGCCTTGCCGTTTGTATTAACGAGGGCCACATTGGAACTTAACGAACGGTTCAAACCAGGCTGAGTTTCTGAAGAGCTGGGGACCAAATCTTCTCGGGACGGCACCGAAACGGTAGGCGAGGTGATGGTAGACCCAGACCCGAAAAACGAGCTGTAAGACCGTTTTGTAGCTTGTGACGATGGTGTTGAAGCCCCGGACCGGTCTTGTCCGGAACTAAAGATCTTGAGCATTCTACTCTTCGATGACTTTTTCTTGCCCTGGTGCTGCTGGTGCTGCTGGTGCTGGTGCTGGTGATGGTACTGTTGTTGCTCCTGGGCCTCGACCTCGGCCTCAGCCTGAGCCTGTGAATCCGAATCTTTCACCGTGTAGTTCACAAACACCATTTCGCCCTTGCGAGGCTTTCTCTTCGGGTTACGCTTGCCCTTGCTTTCCAATGGCACATGCTGTGGGGTGGTCATTATGTTGATGTTGCTATTGCTGTTGCTGTTGCCGTTCCCATTCCCATTCCCATTCCCATTACCACCGTGCGAAACACCTGTTCGGCCTGAAGAGGCAGATGATGCCGTTGTCGTTGTCGTTGTCGATGTCGTTGTTGAATTCGCCGGAATTGCAGCATTTGCCGCGGGCGAGCTTGAAGAATGCGTCTTGCGGTAGTAGTGGGGGATTTTCCACTTGCTGACACTCTCAGCAGGCGTAGAAACGTTACTATTCCTTCTGGAGTCCTTCATGGTGTGCGTGTGCTGGGCCTCCTCGTGCAAAGCGATCTCCGTCCTGTTCAAAATCTTGTATTGTAAAAATACCGGTATGGGACTGGTTTCTCAAAAGGTAATGAATGCCAGCTTGAATTGGCAAGTTCAACGAGAGTGATTTTGCCAAACTGTAGCCGGGTTTCCTAACCAAATACAAGCTCCCCACCCACTAATAATTCTTACCGTTTTCCACCTTCCCAAAAAAAAAAATTCCTGGGTCAAAAAAAGCCCAAAAAATGATGCAAACGCTACAAGCCCTATTTCAGCACTGATATCACCAATTAGCTGAAAAAAAATAAACGTAGGACCAAAAGTTCCCCCCAGGTTTCGTCCAGAAATTGTAATCACGCTGTAATCGTCGATCTGTCAATTCCCTTTCCAATTCCTCTTCCAATTCCACTTATTCCTTGTAATTCACGTCTTGTTTCTCGCCTGGCTCTTTTCCCCTGGTCTCCAGTACTGGGCGTAGTTTTCCAGTTTTCCAGTGAGATGTGGAATAATTGAACCGACAAAAAGCGTAGTCAGATATTGGTAAGACTGAAAACGAGAATGATGGTGAGTGTTTTTGAGTTTTGATCTGGGATGGGGTCGTTATAGACGGAGAGAGCCGTGGCTCGAACGACAGGCTTAGCGATCGACTGCGAACAACTGAGAGCGTTAGCGATCAGTTGTGAGTAGTACAGTTGACTATGGCACATTCTCAGCAACTGAGAGTGTTAGCACTGAGCTGTGTGCCGAGACAAAAAGCACAGCGATCGGTTGTGAGTAGTAAAGTTGATTAAACGCACAGTGATCGGTTGTGAGAAGTACAGTTGACCATAGCACATTCCAGCAACTGAGAACGTCAACGGGCAACAGGCACAGCGATTGACCTTCCAACAAGGTTTTTGACTTTGTAATTCCCAGTTTATCACTTACCTTTTCCATCGTTCAACCATGCTTGTATTAGAACCAGCTGCCCGCACTCTCAGAAGTGTTGAAAACTGGTTTTTCACAATCAATTGCCAGCGCTTTCAAAAGTGCCGAAAACCTGGCTTCTCAAAATCGTTTGTAGACGCTCTCAAGTGTTCTACAATGCTTGTAACTCCGTTATTCACAAGCGATTGCTCGTGCTCTGCTTGTAGTGTGATCAATTGCCGGCGCTCTCTATAACATAGTAACGCTCGAAATGACGCTAATACTCGTTTTCCGCAATCCATTGCTGGCGTTCTCAATTGTTCAGTAACACCCGAAATCTCGCCAAACCTCGTTTTTCACAATCGATCGCGGGGCGTTCTCAATTGTTCAGAATTACTTGTAATCACGGCTTCACTCGTTCAGCAGTGCTTGCAGCCCAAACTAAACCCTCGTTCTTCACATTTGATCGCGGGAGCTTTCATTTATACCATATAGCATGTAACCTCGCTGCTCGCAGTTGTACGCTGGCTTTCAAGTGTCCAAAACCCCAGAAGCAACGCCATTCATAGTTGATCGCCAACACTCTCGATCCTCAAAACCACGTACTTCACAATCGATCATTGACGCTCTCAGTTGTTAAATAGTGTCTTCTTTCTTTCTGGTGTTGGTTCCGGAGTTTCTATCCCTCCAGGTGTCATACCCGTACAGAATGACCATTTACGAACAATGGAATAAAGTGACACATTTCTTTGGCATTGATTTATTTCGGAAACGTTTTTCCTTTTTGGTCCATGATGCATTGTTTCTTTGTAATATAAATAATCAGACTTCCCGCTATCAATGCCCTATTTTATATGTCGTTTTTACGTTACATTTTTGTCGCCGCTATATGTAACACATCATATAGTGACATAGCACTAATGTCACGCCTAAAATTTCACCATTTACAGAAAAACGCTCTTGGGACGCCATGTAAGGAACAAGCCTCAAAAGACTGCGTTAGCCCACCAAAACACTGACTTATTTTAATAAGGTTTGATAATGATTGGACTCTCTGGCGTCAGACTCAAGCGAAAAATGATTTCAGGCACGTGACTTTTATGACACTTTTTTTTATTGAATTGCGTATTGGGAGAACCTGAGTAGAGACTTTTTTAGCGTAGTCGGTAGCTATAGGTAGAGAAGAGCAGGTAGCAATTAGATTAATGAATAGAGAGCTGGTCTACACCACTAATGTAGCGTAAATAGGAGGCTAGTCAATGCGAATCGTTAAATAGGAATGAATAAATCTCTCCCGTATAAGATTACACGATCTTCTCTTTCGTGTAAAAAGCTCAAATTTTAATGCAAAAGAATTATACACGTGATATGTAAATAAGCAATGCTCTTACGTAATAAAAAATTAGGGGTGTGGGGAGTTGTGCAGATCCCTCACAAATTACGGCGTTTTGTCTTTCCAGGATAGGCACGTGATGTCTATAGACCTGATCAAAAAATAAAGTCACAGAAGATCTTTAAAAACCGAAAAAATAGCATTTCAATCGACCAAATGGCTTCATATGTGAATAATAGTATTCTGTTGCATGTTCCCTTGAGATTTAGGATTATAAATATCGCACAATCATATCGATCACGTGACACTTAATCTCTTTCAGCGTCAGAATAAAGATGACTTTCCGTATATTTTAGCTACAACATCGACGACTTCCCGAAATCAGACTGTACCGTTCGTTTCCATATCGTCAATGAAAATCTTATCTGGATTTCCACTGGGTCACGAAGATCTCACCAAAAAAGCCATTTTTTTTCTCTTTCAAGTCTGGTATTTAACGACAAAAACCGTGGACATATTGCACCACCAGATCTGATGGCTTCCCTCTTCGATTGTAACCACCTAGTGACTTGGTAATTAAACATCGTTTATCTCTCCATGATCTTTTGAAAACTCCATGCTTCTTTTGCTGTCTTTAGTCCCCTTTGCAGTATAACGGGAATGTTCTACCAAGAAAAATACGTCTACAAATATAAAGACAACTACTACAGGTTGCACCCAAAGCCGGGTGCTTACCTCCATTTCAATTTTTAACGAAATTGTCAACTTCTTTCTACTATACAAATGAAAATTATAGCCCTCATCAATTAATCGTGACCCATTAACACCTCGGCTCTTGTGACCCCAGGTAATTCGTGAGATGCTCTTGCCCTCTCTACAGAGTAGCGCACATCCAGCTCATTAGAGTCCCGCATTTGCTGCCGCGTTCTATCAAGCGAAGTTCTAGGAGCAGACGAACGACGGTACCGTCCGGGAGAAGTCTCGGTGCTTGGAATGAAACTCATCGGGATGTCTTCGGTCACCACTGTGTCGCGAGAAATGGCGTTGTCATTGACTGCAGCATCAAGGTGGTCAACAGGATCTACTGGTGCGAGTTTTGTTTGAATGCTATTGACTTTTGATCTATCAGGATCTGTAGGATCATAGCCGTCTGAATAGCTATCAAAATGACCAGTCAACCAATACTCTCTGATGATGTCCACATCTTTTGGGAAGAAGATCTTTTGAAAAACGTCAAATGTGAACCGAGGTAGCATGCAGAACAAGACTCCGACAAAAATCACTGCCCAGTATACGGGAGAACCAAAAACCCTGGCTCCACTTTTGTAAAATTCACCACTCGACGTGGAACTCGTCCAGATACCAGTCCATCCAAAAACAAGTAAGCAGGAGAGCGCATTGAAGAGGGATGAAAACCAATCCCATCTGTACTGGTGTATTAGCACGTACAAATTGGAAGAGAAGACAGCAATACTGGCAACAAAGACCCCAACAAAATATCTGTGATCCAAGGTCAAGCCCGTATTTGTGACTAGGCCAGTTTTGAAATAAATCCAATAGGGGAAAAAGAAGCAAACGAAGGATTGGTAAATACCGTCAATCATGTAATACCAGAACTTCCTTTGATTCCATTCAGTTCTCAAAATTCCGACTTGGTAAAGCTGAGGAACCAAGAGCGAAACGACATCATTAACATCTTGGTCGAATATACCCAAAAAGATAACAGGCAAAGATGTGAAAGCCAAGTTGTAAAACATCAAATAAGTGAACTCAAATAGATAGGAACCATCATAGTTGTTGTAGATTCCGAACCAGAACAAAGTTAGAGTGAAAATGGCATTCTTGTAAAAAAAGACTGGAATGGCCTCCGCAAGTCTTTTATAAGACCATCTTCCATGTACCAAAACTAGTCTCGTCAAGTATCTAAATTGTCCGATACCATAATCCGACGACATGACAGCCTGTCTTCCCTCCTCACCAGCAATACCAACACCTACATCTGCCGATTGAATCATGGCGACATCGTTAGAACCATCTCCAATGGCTAAAGTCATAACATCCAATGAGTTTTTGACTAATTTGACAATCGCAGCTTTTTGAGCAGGTGAAACTCTGCAACAAAGCACAGCTTGGCAATTTTTGCAAAGAATTAAAAATCTGCGCGCAATGTCATCGTTTTCCAAACCCAGTTTCAATGCCTCTCCATCGATTACCACACCAAAATTTCCAGTTGGCGGCTCATGATGCTTTTTAGCTTCAGCAAGTTCTTCGAAAGAACCTGTAAGACCGAATTTTTCGCTTAGGTGTTTGTCAATCATATTTTCAACGATCTCAAAAGGCGTTCTACCCTCTGTGGCAACGTCGTCACCAGACGTCTTGATAACAAGAAGTTCCATTTCGCTGTTAAGCAGGTTACAAGAGAAACCAATATTGATAGCAGTCTCAACCTTGTCTCCTGTCAACACCCAAAGCTTGATACCAGCTTGTCCAAGAATGGCTATCGATTCAGGAACACCATCTTGAAGACGATCCTCAATAGCTGTACCACCCAATAGCGTAAGGTCCCTCTCAATAACATCGGCTACTAGCTCCATTTCTTCTTCTCTATCGGCCAAAGATTTGGCAGCAGCCTCATACGTTTCGTTCCACCTCTCGTATTCATCCCAGGAGATTTCCTTCTGGCCGATGCATAAGGTTCTCAAACCTTCCGTTACATACTGTTCCAGATGTAGGGCCGTCTTTTCCAACAACAATTCCTCTTTTTGTCCACCGTTTCTTCTTAACCTGGAGTAAATCACAGAATCAGCCCCTTTGCATATCAACAGAGCTCTTGGTGGAGAATCGGGAGTAGCACCAGGTAGTTTAACAATGCAACTCATTCTCTTTCTTGTGGAATTGAATTCCAGTATGTTCAAAATCTGAAATTCCTTCTTGACACCTTGCACCTCCACGATTAATCCCCTTTTAGTCTTACCAGCAAAAGAAAACCCCATCTCTTTTGCCGTACCCACCAAAGCGGCTTCATCAGGCGATTGCGCTTTCAATTCCAGCTTTTCGGGATCAGATTTTGATTTTTCGACTAAAACAGAATGGCATAGTGCCAAAGCGAGCATAAAGTGCTCGTTGCAGCTTTTCTGATAATCACCACTGGCGCCGCGCAAATCCTGAACTATTTCTTTGGATACAAACGTCAATGCGTTTTCGTCAACTTCGCTGGAGGGATTCAAGGTCATCAACTCCTTTACCATAATACGCTTGTCTTCTCTGATGGCATTACGCTCTTGTTCACCTTCGGCCTCGACGTCAAAGCCCTGTCTTTTTCTTAGCCCAGCTAAAGCCTCGGTATAAGCTCTACCGTATGAGATTCCGTTGATCGTACATTTCTTAAACTCCATGACATTCTGGGTCAAAGTACCTGTCTTATCAGAGAAAATGTATTCAATTTGGCCCAAATCATCTGAGATATTCCAGGACTTTGGTGTGCAAGGGTAGTCAAGCTTTCTGTTGTATAATAGAACATCACCGTAGATGAATGCTGCCTGCGCGGTTCTGATAATTTCCAAAGTAATGTAAAGAGAGATTGGAACCAAGGACTGGTAAAGAATAAGAGCAACCCAAAATGACAGAACCCCGTTAGCTGCAGGGGAACCTGCAACGGTCCCGAACTCAAAAAAATCTCTGGACACATTTTTGGAACGGTAATAAACACCGTTCACTATACCAGAAGCAATGCACATGACAAAAAGTAGGACGAAATTCATCACAACCGAAAAGTTGAGCTCTCTTGCTATACGTGGCTTCTTGGTTGGTGTAATACCAGAGTTCAGCATGATTTTTGAGTCGGCTCCGGTAAATATGACCATACCCATAGCCCATTTGGTGTTTCTAAGTTTACAACCTCTTAACAAAAGATTGTTGATATTGACTGGTTCATTTTTCAGTTGATTGTCGCGACTATCTTTCCATTTCAGATTTCCTTGGTATGAATACAAGTTGCTATGAGGACCCTCACTTTCCAACCAAAATTTGGTTCTCGTGATATCCCTGGAATTTCTTATGTGGTGAGAACAACGAAGTGATTGACGAACTTTCAAATTGGTTTCTCCATCCAAGTTTTTCGTCTCGAGGTAGCAACCACCGTCTGCGTCAGAGGAAGATAACAAAACGATGTCTGCAGGGATCTCGTCGTCATTGTGTACACGAACGATATCCCCGACTTTGACGTTTTTCCAATAATCCTTGGAAAATTTACAATCAGTTCTGGGTGTGATGTCTGGGTCGATGACATTGGCTTCATCTGAAGTGACCAATTGTCCCCCATCATCGTAATCTAGGGAGTCACGACCAAATGCACCGGAAGGTCTATAACTACCGACTGTGTCTAGAGAATTTCGGGGTGTTCCACCAATGGCCATTTTACGGTGGTATTCGCGCTGACGCTGCGCAGCAGCGGCCCGGCCTTCCTTGCTTAAATTTGATTTGCAAAACCCAATAAATTTGAAGAGAGCTCTAGAATTGGCTTTTTTGAATTTTCTCCAAGTAGAAACATTGTCCTCGGACACGTTTGGATTTGGAATTCCCGAAAGAATATGGGTGATGGTGTTGTTGACTTCCATGTCGGAAATAGTACGCTGAGAGTCTTCGACTGCATCTTTAATGGCTGTTAACACAACGATAACAATAAGGGGCACTGTTTGTAACCCTGGATTGGTGACACCAAAAATGTCAACGAAACCAAAAATAATGACCACCAAGAAATAGATGTTGGCCACGTTACGAAATTGAAGCGACAAATTCTTGGGGAAGAACGAGAGCGCTGTGTATTTGGTGGTTCTGATCTTGTTACGTGCGTAGTTGGCCACTGGGTTTCCTTCTTCGTCCAGATACACGTCCGGCAGCGGCATATTGTAATATACAAAGCGCAGTTGCGACGCACGATTGGTGTTGTCTGTGTCCTCACTGTTGCTGGAGCTATCTGCGTCATTTTCGTGTTTTCTGTCGTCTTCGAAGGGGTTGTGGAAATTTTTTCTGGCCCACCTTAACGTTCTGGCGCGTCCCACACTGGGGATGCCCTTTTTGTTACGCTTGGTACCCCAACGCATTCGTTTCATACCTTCAGATCGTCCATTCTGGTTTTCTAGGCCGATTCCCAGCTCGTCGCTGGCATCATCGTCGCCGATATGGTGTTCAGACAGCTCAGAGTCTCCAAACGTAGTCAGCTGTGTTACTCTTGGCGTTCCTGTGAAAGAATGGGAGTCGTCTCCGTCTGACTCCAAAGATAGTTCTTGAAACTCCTGTGGCTTGTCGCTGTCTGCGAAAGCTATTTTGCTGGAGACGTTTCTCTTACCCTGGCCCTGCCGTCTTAAGATTGATCCCCCTCTGGACGCTGTGGAAGGTACAGATAGTCCTCCGTTTCGACTGTTGTCGAACACACTGGCATCCGTGTCCATGGTCAAGTTATCTGCGTTTTCGAACTGGAAACGGTCGTGGAATGGTGACGAAACGTTTTGGTTATCACTATTGTTGATGTTGTTGTTGTTGTCGTTGTTGTTGTCGCGGCTGTGAAATGGAGATTCCGGCCGAAAAGTCTTGTCATCACCGCCAGACATCTTCCAGTTCAAATCACAAACAACAATCTTATCCGCCTGTTCAAGCCCACAATTCTGTGTTGTGATGGAACAAATGAACCGAAACGGTCTCCAATGAGTGTTTTGTTCTTATTCTTTTGAAGGGAAGACGTTGAAGATTGAGTTATTTGGTTCAATTTGTCATTTTTGATGAAAATTTCATAATTAAAATAATGGATTTCCTGGAATGTACTAGGAGTGGCTACTACTACTTGTAGTAGTAGTAGTTTTAAAATAATAATTTTTTTAAGAACCCGCCTTGCCGAAACCAACAAAAAAAATAGCGTTTTGAAGCAGGGAATGAGTGGGAATCGAACGGTAATGGACGGGTAGAAAATGTGGTTATGTAGTTGATTTTGAGATCAGAGAGAAATACGAAGAAATATGGTTTAGAAAGCTTTACATTTTGTTACGGTTGGGTTGTGGATCATTTTGGACGAAACATCACGGAATTTACAATGTAGATTTTTTTTCTTTTTTTATCGAATTAGAGAATCAATGCGGTTTGTAAGTGTATCTCAAGTGAGAATGCGCTGTAGTCTCTTGTTTTTTTTCTCTTTCTCTCTTTCTTTCTTTTGGTTTGACTTTTAACCTTGACTTTTGAACGTGATAAGTTGTTGTTTCTTGGCGTAAAAGACCTATGCAACGTTACCAAGAAGTATCGTTTTGAACGAGAATCCAATTTCCAAAGAAAAAAGACACACATATTATATACAAACATATCAGCTATATACCCAAGTGAGAGAGAAAATGACATATGGGGTTTCTATCAAAGTTTTTCACTCTTTCAATAGCCTGCTCCAGAAAAAAGTGTGAAAGAAAAAACCGCGCTCATGTTGGTGTCACTGTATACGACTCCGTCTTTTCCCACTCAATTTTCGTTATAGTCCAACAGAACCCACACCAACACAACCAAAGGCGACCGGAAACGGCGCATTTAATCCAGAAATTATTCGAATCGAAAAGGGCATTGTAAACTTGAATATCAAAACGCGGTTTCCCCGAACACGGAAATGGTGGCGTGTCGTTTCCGGAATATTGTCCGCGGAACGAATTTTTCCGCGGACGATCTCCGGAGTTTCTCAACACGGGCGAATAAAATAAGGAAAAAGAAAAGACTCAGGTAAATGTTAGAGATGACGATGTCGCGTGACACCGCTGTTGGCGACACACTAAGTACAAAGTGAGAACGCTTCAAGGACGCTTCAAGGACGCTTCAAGGACGCTTCAAGGACGCTTAAAGGACCTTTTACCGATGGACGACGGAACTCACACTCACACACACACACACACATACATCAAGCATAAACATCCCATTTGGTATCGCTTTTTAACAAACACTTATATAATCAGCTCAATTCCTTGACGCATACAGCTTGGTCCACTCCCGAGCCTTGGCAATGGCGGCGTCCTCATGCTGGAGCCAATCTTCAGCCACATCGTTCGCCAACGGATCGTTAGGGTTGGGGCTGGCAAGCAGCGCTTGCACAGACAGCAGAACGGTGCGAATCTGCAATGCGGGCGACCAGTTGGTCTTTAACACGTCCAAACAGATCCGGCCCAGCCGGTCGATATTCGGATGGTAAATTTTGGTCAAAAACCGCACTTTGGGGGCCTCCATAGGGTAGTCATCTGGAAGAAATAGTTCTAGTGCAAACACTCCGTTTTCGTACGGTGACTGCTCTGGACCCTCTATCGTGACTTGGAAGTAGCGAAGATTGTCGTCGTGCGGCGTTGCTGTGATTCCAGGCACTGGATCGCTTACCAACCGCTCCGTCTCCTGTGGCGCGCGTTAGTTTCCCATCGTTACATTGTAAAAGGGCGAGAAAAAGATCGTTCTTGTTTCTAACATACTTTGATGATTCTTTTAGGAAGTGAAGCCATGATCCAGATATCTCAGGCCCTGTCAAATTCACAGAATTGTAAACCAGCTGTTGAAATGGAGTACATCAAGATTAATATTAAATACTTACCAGATGATGAGTATAGTAATTTAAAAGGCTTTCTGATGATGAAAAACGATACCACGTGAAAAATGATCTGAGTCTAGAAAGAAATCGTATAGTGAAAACGGTCAATGTACAAGATAGCGTCTTCGAGCCTTGTTGAAGATACCAATTGAAATTCATTGATGGCCTCAAAACTTCACAAGCTCTTCAAACTGTTTATCACAGCTTCTTCATAATTAACAAAAAAAACGTTACTTTCCCACAATTTTATTTAAAAAAAAAATTTACGACATCGTCGCCCAAAATTTGTTAGCTTACTCTTCAGCAGCGGCGGCACCAGCGGCAGCAGGAGCTTCAGCGGCAGGTTCAGACTGAGCCTGTGCATCCTGGTCCTTCTTGAAGGAATCGTAGGCAGCAAATGCTTCCTTGAAGTGCTGTTCGAAAAGTTCGTCGTTTTCGAGCAAAGGAACAACCTCTTGAGGAGGTAGGTCTAGGATCATACCAGTGATCTTTCCGGCAGCTTCTTCGTCTTGAGTCTTGGCGGAAACTCTCTTGTAGAGCTGCTCACCCAAAGCCTGTCTCTGCTTCTGGTGGAAGAACTGGTTACCGTTTCTTGGGAATCCACCTTGAGGACCCTGAGGTGGAACACCGTACATTGGGGCACCTGGTCTACCTAGTTGCTGTGGTGGAACGCCATTCTTTGGCATACCGCCCATGCCACCCATTTGAGGTGGGTTAGGACCGTTGAAAGGCACACCTCTTGGAGGCATGACACCGTAGAACATAGGCTGCATGAACTGACCGGGCATACCAGCGGCAGCAGCGGCAGCGGCAGTGGCCTGCTGAAATCTCATTTGGTTTCTAGCCTGGATCTGTTGGGCCAACTGGGAGCGTCTGACTTCCTTTCTTTGAGCAATGGCGACGTACAAAGGTTTGCCAGCAACAATCTGCTGGTTCTTTTCGGTGATAGCCTTGGTGGCTTCTTCAGGAGCAGAGAAACAAACGAAACCGAAACCCTTGGAGGCGCCAGCATCGTCTCTCATAACCTTGACAGAAGTGATGGTACCGAAAGGTGCGAACTCCTCTTGCAATTTCTCGTCGTCGACAGAGTCATCCAAGTTCTTCACGAACAAGTTGACACCTTGGTACTTAGCAAGCTTTTCCAATCTGGAGGACTCGTACTGTTTCTTCAATTCTTGCAAACGCTCGTACTTCTTTTGGGCACGGCCAACGTATAGCTTTTCACCCTTGAAGTCGGTGTCGTTCAATTCTTCCACAGCCTTGAGGGCAGCGGTGTGGTCTTCGAAGTTAACGAAACCGAAACCTCTGAGTTTGCCCTCGGAGTCAGTTTCCAAGACGGCAGAAGTGACAGGACCGTATTGAGTGAACAATTTTTCAAATTCTTCCTGAGTGGTCTCTGGGTTCACGTTCTTGACGTAGACGTTGGTGAAGTTGGACTTGACTTCGTCCAATTTGGATTGACGGTCCTTCTTGGAAACGTGTGGGGCGACGTACACCTCGATACCGTTTAGAAGCATACCGTTGATAGCGTCAATGGCTTCCTTAGCAGCCTCTTCCTCTTCGAAATGGACAAAACCGAATTTTCTGGACTTTCCGGTTTCATCGGTTGCGATCTTGCACGACAAGATGTTACCGAAGACGGAGAAAGTGTCGTGCAAGGCCTTGTTGTCGATGGCAGGGTGCAAGTTCTTGATAAACACGTTACCGGAACCCTTCTTTCTGAGAGAAGGATCACGCTGGGACCACATGATACGGCAAGGTCTGCCCTTGATAGGGTGGTAGTTGAGCTTTTCAATGGCAATTCTACCTGCACCGCTGTCGTGGAAGTTGACATATGCGTATCCCAAAGAAGTCTTAGTGATGGCATCGCGACACACACGGATCGAGGAAACGGATCCGATTGGCGAGAAAATGTCGTACAGCAAGGCTTCTGTGACACTTGGATCCAGTTCACCCACGTACAAAGACGCAGAAGAGGATTCCACCTTGCTGGACTCATTTTCGCCGCCAGCAGCGGCAGAAGACGATTCAGCGCCCGATTGGGGCTGCTGTTCTTGGATGTTCAGCTTTTCCAACTGCTCAGCAGTTTGATCGGTGACGTCAGACATCCTAGAGAGATCTTATAAACACTGGTTGGGTGTTGATAATGATTTTTATTTTTTTTATTCGATTTCTACGACTAAGATTCACTAATCTTAGAATGATAGAAACGGTGAATAGAAAGTTGAAGACTTAAGCAAAATGAACCTAAGAAACGAGCACTGACACAATTTTCAAGCAAAATGTGAGTACTGTAGACTGGTGCAATTGCTGGTGGAGCTGGTAAATCAGATCTTCAATATTTTTTGGGCTTTTTTTTTCAAAAATAAACCAGTGGGAAAACTAGGTCTTTTTTGGGCGAGTTTTTTGTATTTTTTGGTGGTTTTTTTGAGTTTTGTAAAGGACCAAACTGTGCTGGTTCTCTAGTGATCTCAAATACGAAAAACGGGACGGTTTTTGGTGGCTTTTTTAGTGGTTCGCTGGTTTTCTACAAAAGAACAAGAAGGTCAAGAAGAGAGATGAGTTCAGTCTTTGGATATATATTTTTTTTTCCTGTAATTTTCATGATATGTGTGAATCTTCTACGATACTTTAGGTGAGTCGTTGAGGATGATACAAACAGAAGTGTGGGAAGAGCTCATCGCCAGGCTGATGAGCAAAAAAGAAATGTGTTAATTTATTTTTTTTGTGTTTTGACGAGATCAACCACAAAAAGAGAGTGGTCATATTGTACGAGAATTGGGTAGCGTGATATTGGCGTGATATTGGCGTGATACTGGCGTGATAATGGCATGACCAGAGTGACCATATATTCACCCGTTGATTATGATGTACGTACGTGTAAAGTGATGTACAACTGTGCAAGAAGTTTACAAAGGTGAAATGTTACAGAGTTTTTTTTGCGTGGGTGTGTGTAAGAGCTGTGAGAGTGAGATGGCTTCTTTAAACCATTAAGTAGACCCTACAAATATTTCACTTATAACATATTGGTGGTAATAGTTTAGGAGTCACGTGACCCAGCGATGTACGACAGGTTCGAATAAAAGTGATTTGACACTACCGGTTGGATGAAGTCTATTACTCCTCTCCGCCATCACGCAAGAACATACCACATCAACTGCTTTTGCGGAGTCGTTCTTTTATATCGGCTTCAGTCTTTTTTCGTTTTTTGAATTTGTTCTTTATATATGCCTAAATTCTTTAACGAGTTCTTTCATCCTGTTTCTTACAACTTTCCAATTGTTGAGCTCGCCTATCTTGGCATTTTATGGGTTGAATGCGTTCAAAAATCACAATTGTGCATTTTGTAGAAAATTTCGGATCTTTTTCTTTCTTGTTGTTACGACTTTTCTTCAACTTATATCCCATCTCTATTTAGTGAGTGTTCTTCCAAGTATTACCGGGACCAAATCCTCAATGTAGCATCTCAGGACGGCAAAAGCTTCCTGTCTCAATTGAAAAAAAACAGTCTTCCACAATCACTCTCTGTGCAGCATTGGCTGTGTCTTACACTAATTTTCTAATCTCACCGTCAAAGGAAACTTAAGAACAGACTGGAAAAGGACTACTGCCGATAGCGAAGTAGTTTTTTTGGTTATTCAATACCTCATAACTCCTTCCCGTTGTAGAACATCCCGCCCTCTTCATCACTTCTTCACAGCGGTGGACTGACACTTGCATATGCAATTTTTAGCTGTCATCTAGCTACATAACATGCAGTACACAGTCTGGATCATAATTCACCGCATCCAAACACATCTATCTGATTTAATCATCAAAAATTAGACTCAATTCTTACAGGTTTGGAGTCTAAAAAGTTGTTCTACAAAGTCCTCAATCGATCTCTAAAATTTGCAATTGGCCACTTCAAACACCACACCAATTTCAAGACGGTATTCATCACATTACTGCTCTACATACTCTCCTTCTGTAAAGATCCAAACCTCACTTTCTGTCACTAACTTACCTTTCTGTCTCGAGGGCTTCTACAGCTCTAACTTGACATCCAATATTAGAAAAGACTCACACCGATCGTAAGATCAGGAAAAAACCGTCAATAGCTTGAACCTTACACTCCAGATACTCACTCACTGCGGTACTCAATGAATCCTATTCGACTTCTGCTACTCGGAGCTCCAGGAGCTGGTAAAGGAACCCAAACTTCAAGACTTCTGGCCCATTTCAAGCATCTGCAATCGGTATCATCTGGAGATTTACTTCGACAGCAGATTCAACGCGAAACACAATTGGGCAAAATCGCCGAACAGTACATATCCAAAGGTGCTCTGCTGCCCGACGCTTTCATCACAGAGCTTGTACAGAACGAATTGAGCTCTAAAGGATGGTTATCCCCTAAGTCGAGCTTCCTGCTCGATGGGTTCCCCAGAACTATCAAACAGGCTAAGGCACTGCGTAGTAAGCTTTCGCCTCACAAGGCAGCTCTCACCATGGTCGTGGAGCTGGATGTCCCGGAAAGCGTTATTTTGGAGCGCATAGAGAACAGGTATGTTCATGTTCCAAGCGGAAGAGTGTACAATTTGACCTATAATGCTCCAAAAGTGGCTGGAAAAGACGACGTTACGGGTGAACCACTAACAAAGCGTGCTGACGATACTGCCGAGGTTTTCCAAAAGAGACTTGACAATTACAAGCAGACACTGGCCCCGCTCAAGCAGTTTTACGCAGATCTGGGCATTTTACGTCAGGTTTCCGGTGAGACTTCCGACATTATATTTCCCAAGCTTCTCGCAGAGGTTCAGAGAGCGCTTGACGATTGAAAAGTAAGCTTCACGAACGTCCTTACAAGGTTTCTAAGGAGAGTTCAGCATGTTCCAGTGTTGTGCGTCAAAATTCAAATCTAATTTCTGAGACAACCACTTAAGCAAAAAAGCTGCTAGAAGTGGCAAAAGATTACTTGAAAGGCTGTTATTGATCCAAGCAGTCCGGATAGTCATTAGAACTGGAACCTGGATCTAAAATATCATTCTTTGATGCGTCTACGTCCATGGTCACATGGTCTTGACTTGACGTTGGTTATTATTATTATACCTTCAAGATAGATCATCTATGCAAATCTAAGTAAAAGCTAAGAACTGATGAGATACACCTAGTTCAAGAACTCCTGTTGATCCACCAAGTCCTATCATCACCATGAAATTCTACATAGATGATTTACCGGTGATTTTCCCGTACCCAAAAATCTATCCAGAGCAATACCAATACATGTGCGATATCAAGAAGACTTTAGATGCTGGTGGGAACAGTATTTTGGAAATGCCTTCAGGAACAGGTAAAACTGTTTCTCTGCTTTCGATGGCCGTGGCATATCAAACGCATTACTCAGAACACCGCAAGATCATTTACTGTTCCCGTACAATGTCTGAGATCGAAAAGGCTTTGGTGGAATTGGAATCATTAATGGACTACAGGGCTAAAGAACTGGGACATAAAGAGCATTTCCGTGGATTAGGTCTCACAAGTAGAAAAAACCTGTGCTTGCATCCAAAAGTGCGAAAGGAGAGAAAGGGCACGGTGGTGGATGAGAAGTGCCGTCGAATGACAAATGGGCAGAACAAACGTATCTTAGAGGAAGATCCAGAGGCCAATGTGGAACTGTGTGATTTCCACGAAAATCTTTACAACATGGAACCTGAAAACTACGTTCCCGAGGGTGTGTTCTCCTTTGAAAAACTGATAAAATACTGTGAAGAGCGGACGATGTGTCCATATTTCACGGTTCGTCGTATGATTTCCATGTGCGACATTATGATTTATTCTTACCATTATCTACTGGATCCTAAAATTTCCGAAAGAGTCTCTAGAGAGGTCTCTAAAGACGCAATTGTGATATTTGACGAGGCCCATAACATTGATAACGTTTGCATCGAATCTCTGTCACTAGATTTAACTAACGACGTCTTAAAGCGTGCTACAAAGGGTGCTAATGATTTGGCTGATAAAATCCACGAAGTCAGGCAAGTTGATGCCCAAAAACTACAAGATGAGTACGATAAACTCGTAAGCGGTCTTCGTGGTCCAGATATGTTGGGTGACTCAGAGGAACCCCCCGTAGAGTCGCCAGTTCTCTCTCAAGACTTGCTCAAAGAGGCGATTCCAGGTAACATACGAAGAGCCGAACACTTTGTATCATTTTTGAAAAGATTGATCGAGTACCTAAAGACCAGAATGAAGGTTCTGCATGTCATTTCTGAGACTCCAAACTCTTTTCTCCAGCATTTGAAACAACTGACTTTCATCGAAAAAAAGCCTCTTCGATTTTGCTCCGAACGTCTGTCTCTTCTCGTGAGAACTTTGGAAGTGACAGAAATCGAAGAGTTCAATGCCCTAAAAGATATTGCGAGTTTCGCTACTCTAATTTCCACCTATGAAGACGGCTTCACACTTATCATTGAACCGTATGAGATCGAAAACGCTGCAGTTCCAAACCCTATCATGAGGTTCACATGCCTCGATGCATCCATCGCTATAAGACCCGTCTTTGAGAAATTTTCATCCGTTATCATCACTTCGGGAACCATATCACCTCTTGATATGTATCCCAAGATGCTCGATTTCGAAACTGTTCTGCAAGAATCCTATGCTATGACGCTGGCCAAAAAATCATTCTTACCAATGATTGTCACTAAAGGTTCTGATCAAGTCGCAATTTCGTCTCGATTTGAGATTAGAAACGATCCTAGTATTGTAAGAAACTACGGTTCGATGCTGGTGGAGTTTGCGAAAATCACCCCGGATGGAATGGTAGTCTTTTTTCCATCTTACCTCTACATGGAGAGTATCATTTCAATGTGGCAAACCATGGGTATACTGGACGAGGTATGGAAATACAAACTAATTTTAGTCGAAACGCCTGATGCGCAAGAAACCTCGCTTGCTTTAGAGACTTATCGAAAGGCATGTTCCAATGGTCGCGGTGCAATTCTACTATCAGTGGCAAGAGGTAAGGTTTCGGAGGGAATTGATTTTGACCATCACTTCGGTCGAACAGTTCTCATGATAGGTATTCCTTTCCAGTATACGGAATCTCGTATCTTAAAGGCCCGGCTGGAATTCCTGAGGGAGCATTATCAAATAAGAGAAAACGATTTTCTCTCATTCGACGCCATGCGGCATGCCGCTCAATGTCTGGGTAGAGTTTTGAGAGGAAAGGACGACTACGGTGTCATGGTACTAGCAGATCGAAGATTTGCAAGAAAAAAGAATCAACTGCCAAAATGGATAGCTCAAGGTTTATCTGACGCGGATCTCAATTTGTCGACAGACATGGCGATTGCAAATACTAAGCAGTTTTTGAGGACCATGGCTCAACCGACAGACCCAAAAGACCAGGAGGGCGTTTCACTTTGGAACTACGATCAGCTCATTAAGTATCAAAAGGACCACCAGGAAAAGGGAAAGGGTTTTCTAGTCACATCGAGCGAAGATAAAGACGATGAAGGGGACGTTAATATGCAGTAAAAGAGCTCTCGTATTTAATAATGCTGTTGTGAAGGTGTTGGCGATACTAATGCAAATAGGATACTTAAGAAACATTTAGACAGGGAGTTTATTCGACGCGTATCTGCAAGGACACTTCCTTGTCTGCGTCCATGTACGAATCGCTGACGCACCAAATAGTAATCTCATGGCTGCCTTCTTCATCAAGTGCTATTTCGAGGTCGTAGCTTTGACTTTCTTTGCTTAGTGAAACTTTTTTGATGCAAAGTAGTTCTTTCGTTGATGGCTCCCCTACTACAAGCCACCAGCTTTCATTCTTTAAGTTAGGAAACCGGCTTGTAGCAACCTGAAGGCTCTCAGGCTCCTCGTCTCTTGTGAGTGTAACCGACATTGTGATCGGTAGTCCTGCCTCGAACTTTGCGGATTGTTCGGGAAGCGCATATTCCAGCTCGATATTCGGATATGCGTTAACAAACGCCGCAATGGAGGCAAGTTCCTTGTGTTGGAAAATCAGCAATTGATCGCGTTCCTCATCCTCAAGAGCCATCACATCGTAAACAGTCTCGACATTCCTCTGCTTGCACTTTTCTATCATTTGAGTATCGAAATGAGGTACCTGTAACAAAGGACTGTCTGTATTCCACATACCCTGAACAATCATTTGCGATAGATCCATTGCAATAGTTGCGTTTAAAAATCCCTCACCAGCCATGAAGTCGACCATCGCGTTCACCACTGGCAGGGCCTTTTTCAAGAGGAGTGCCTTATCTAGACTTAGCTCATTTCTGAGGGGTATTCTCGAGAAATGACACTGAAGCAAAACAAAGGATTTGAAAGCTGGTGAGTCGAAATCAGTGATTAGTGCGGTTTTGACTGGTATCTTTTCGTACAGGGATTTTAACGCATCACTGTCGGTCTCGCGAAATTTTACAAAGCCCAGCTCGGACGAAGACGCCAGGGTCTCCAGTATAGTTCGCAGGCCTGAACCTCTCGACAGCTGTTGTTGAAAGATTCGCATACTCGTGAATGAAATATTGTAATAGGCACTGATCAAACAGCCGTTCAAAGGAGATAAAATCGAGCTGTCATGGTCTTCATTGTTATTATCTTCATGACTTTCTTCGGTATCCTCTACTTCAATGATTGAACATTTTACCAAATCGTCGGTTACCTCTTCAACCTGCTCTGTCAAGTATGCAGAAATTCCCACTGGCGATACGTCTTTTACGCCGTAAAAACTTGGGTTCCCATGTATCCTTCGGTACAACAAAGTAAATGTGAGCCAATCGATACAATCTTGCTTCGTTTCGATCACGCCAGCACTGATTTCCCGAGATATGGCATCAGGTAAGTAGTAATACATGAAGCTTTCCACCGGCAGAGGTTCACTGAGGAATTTTTTATAGTATTCCTTCTTGCTTATGCTGGTCATGATAAAAGCCCTGTTGAGTGTGCGACTGGAGCACGCAATACTGAGCACTTTTTGAATCTCATTTACTGTATAATCAACATTACGATGCTCGCTTCCCTCGTAGTGACTGGTACCGAAGACGACCACTGAGCTGGATTTAAGTTGACCAAACTCGACATCTCTTGTAACAATGAGAAATTTGATAACTCCATTTTCGAACAACTCTCTAACAGCTCGCTGATCGTCATCATTCAAATCTCTGTGCAAAATGCCAATGCGCCACCCCAAAGATGCCTGCAAAAGCTTGCTAGACAGTGACGGGATCACGGAATCTGTCACCGCGGCAATTGCTTGTTCTTGAATTAGGTCACTTCCATGTGCTATTCTGATAAGCTCAGCTACAATCTTGGTTGCCTGTACCCTTGATGGAACATAAACGATTGTATTTTCATCATCGAGCCCGGCCCTCAGAGTTTCAACGCAAAGAGGCCACAGTGAGTCTTGGATGTGAATGTTACTTTCGTCGAAATTGGGACCAGCTTGAAACTTAATTTGCAGCGGCAGAGTTCTATCAGCGGGCGTAAAATTGTAAATGTTATTCCTTTTGGCGCCCATCCACTCCCCAAAATCCCTGCTGTTAGCCACACAATTTGACAAACCCACTATACGAAGACCAGTTTCGAGTTGTGCTGCAATCAGGTTCATTCGGGAGATTATGTTCTCATAGATTGCCCCGGCTTCGCCATCACCAACCATATGCGCTTCGTCTAATATCAGTAAATTTATGCTTTGTATGTTTTTCCTTTGCTTCCACTTCCTTGAGGCTAAGTCGAATTGTTCGGGCGTGCACAGAACTAAATGACTTCTCGCAAGTAATTGAAGGTTGCTGGCATTATTGTCAGTAAATTTGTTAATGACTTTTTGTCCCGCAACATCAGTAAACCGTTTGGTCCAGCTTTCTGCGATAGCATCGATTTTTTGTTGTGATGGGCACACGAACACTGACCGGCCACCACCCTGACGCCATAAATTTAGGAGTGCTATCTCGGCCATTACGATCTTGCCGGTACCTGGTGCACTCCCGATGAGGACACTGTCGTTGGTGTCATATAGAGAGTGAAAGACCTGGCTTTGTATCTTATTGAAGTGGAGGAAATCAAACAATCCAGAAAATTGGTCGCCCAGCTCGGATACAGAAAGTTCGTCTACGTCAAGTAACGGCGTGGGTGCAGGAAATCGTCTTGGTAGCCTGACATCTTCTAGGAGAATAGGAATTTTAACTTCACTATGCAACCATTTCTCCGAAGTTAGAGAAATGAAAAAGTTGGGTGGCAGTCTTTCTTGATGAGCGGAACTCAAGAATATTGAGAACTCTAGGTAATGTAACTCATTCGCGTACTTCTGTCTCACAGACAGCTTGTCCTCATAAAGAAGCTTGTCGCCCATTTCGTTCTCAACCATCAATATAAACCTCTCATTGTAGCCATGAATTTTTGAGTCCCAGGTCCAATTGGGCAGTATTTCTAAATCGAACTTCAAAACGCTAGGTGTCAAAGGTTGTACGGAACAGCTCAACTCCATTCGTGGGAACCTTTGCAAAAGATCATAAACAAGCTTGCCGTTTTTCTCTGACCGTATTGCCTCTCCAACTTCCCGAGGCGAGGACAAGCGGAAATAGTCTTGCCATGGCAGAAAGGAAGCCTCCGTATGCCGTATCACTTCCAAGGGACAAGATTTGAACTGCCGTAAAGCAGAATCAGTTACCCACATCCTTTGCTCAACGGATTTACACAAAGTCAGCATTAACTTGGCAAGTCTAGGTAGCCTCTTGGCATGTGCTAGTTCATAAAGAGCTCTCATTAATCTGGCAGCACTTTGAGTAATGTACAGCATATCAGATTTCAATGCGAAGCCATCTAATTTCGTGCGGGAGATATAAGCTTGTAGCAAAACGTTGACCTTAGCAGTTGGCTCAGTCGAATCTTCCTGGATAGGAATCGGAGCTTTTTCTAGGAGTTTTTGAAGTTCAATCTTCTCTTCCTGTCTCACGGGAATGTACTTGAACTCATCAGATTTGGAAAATATGCGCAAAATCTCAATGGATGTCAAATGCTCATTAATCAAACGATTGTACATCGATATTGAGTGGTATTGGATGTAGAATTGCGAGGCAATTATACCGAGTTCCGTTGAAGATACTGACCCTGTGATTGCATTATATACCACAAGGCCATGTTCCTGCAAAATCTCCAAAGCAGAATGCGACAGTTGTTCGCGGTACTCGAGCAATCCCTTATCTTCGTGTTCACTCAAAGGAATCTTATACAGTTCAGCGTTTACCAGCATGCGGACAAATAGGTAAGTGAACCCAAGCCAATCGACAGCATCTTTTCTAGATTTTATATTGCCCAAAACAACCTCGGCATTCATACTATCAGCGAGTTTACCCACAAGCTGTGACTCGATTGGAAGCTGCTGGTTCAGCATAGCAAGATAGTACTGAATACTGGACTGATGAGTGATGATGATCCCTTCTCCAAAAGTATCATAACGAGGACGTCCAGCTCTACCCAGCATTTGAAGTACATCTTGAGGTGAAAGACGAGTCCATGTCCCTTTCTCAGGAGAGTAGACATCTGTACCCTTAATTATAACGGCATGTGCAGGCAGATTGACACCCCATGCGAGCGTAGCGGTCGAAACAAGTACTGACAAGAGACCGTCGGCGAAAAGGTCCTCAGATAAAGAACGGTCTGATTTTGAGAGACCAGCGTGATGAATACCAAATCCAAATTGCATCAATTCGGCTAATTGTCTATCAGAAACAGTTTCAGACTCTCTTTTTATAATTTCTTTAGATCCCGGTTCAGACTTGATGAAGTTATTAAGTTTATCTTCCTCAGCAAGCTTTTCTTTCAGAAGTTGAGCTGTCCTTGCGGTGTCTTTCCGAGAGTGCACAAACACAATGACTTGATGTCCTTGCTCGACCAACTCCAGTAACTTGTCGTAGCAGGCCTGATTCATTGCGTTTATTTTTTTTACTGCATTTGTCTCAGTAATTCCACAAAACTGTTGTGCCAAAGGACAGGGTCGATAAGAGGAATCGAAATAGAAGACGTTTTCTTTGGGTGCCCGTAGGAATCTACCAACATCAAGATAGTTTGGGAGGGTGGCAGAAAGCGCTACAACTCGAGTCTTCTCAGCAGCTGTTTTGTCACGAAGAGTTCTGGCGACTATATTCTCGAGAACAGGGCCACGGTCATCATGTAAAAGATGAACCTCGTCGATAATCAAGAGCTCAACTAAACTTGTATAATCTCCATCCCTTTTCTTTCTCGTTATTATATCCCATTTCTCCGGCGTCGCTATCAATACTGTCGAGTCCAAAATCTGTTGCTTGGTCAAGCTCGAATCACCAGTAAGCTCACCAACTTTGATACCAAAACCTGCGAGCCTTCTTCGAAACTCTCTGACCTGTTCTTGAACAAGCGCTTTGAGCGGAGCAATGTAAACGACTTTATAGTTCTTCAAGTGGAATGTTCCGCGAACTTCGTCCCGATGATGGCTCAAGATTCTCAAAATCGTGAGCATTGCAATATTTGTCTTACCCGAGCCGGTCGGGGCGCATATAAGCATGTTTTCATCATTACCGAAAGCAGAAGGGTATACCTCTGATTGAATCCTATTCAAATGGGTTGTTTCATTAGAAGGAAATGCACTTCTTGCCCATTTTGGAAGTTCTGATATAGGAACTAGTTCCAAGTCATTTGATGGCCGCGGCGGTGGTGGGATATGGATCTCTTCGTAGGAGTTTTTAACCCGTTTGAAAGAGTCGGCTGGTAAAGTCACACGCTCCGCAGCAAATAATTCCGACCCTTGCCCAAAGGCTAGCTGTTGTAAGTCGATCGTCTTTGGAACGCTCGACTTTGCTTGCTTCTTTGGTCTCTCCTTGCTTGTAACGTCCTCAACAGAGTGATCTTCAGACAGCTTCCGTTTGAGCGTGGTATTTTTTGATTTATATTCGTCTATCAGTTCCGATAAATCAAGCTGAAGCATCTCATCTAGAATTCCAGACTTTTGTTCTTCTGATGCGCTTGACAGCCTAGTGCCCCAGTGAATTCTTGCGCCATTGTTGACCAAGAACCTCAACAACCGATCGTCTGTGATTCCTACTGATTCCTTGAGTTCAATCTCCAAATCACTTTTGCTCAGGTTTTCTCCTAGTGCCTCCAGAACTCTTTCTTTTAAAGCTTGGGCATCCTCCTCAGCAATGTCAGTAATAAAATTTGAAATTGATTGCAGCAAGAAAAGATCATCAATTTCGTAAACTGGGGTAACATTTTTGTAGATTTCATTCTTAGTTGTATTCGCTTGAGCAAAAGTCAAAGTGTCGTCTTTAGCCTCACTATCTTCAGCCCACTTTTGACCATCTGCGTTTGTGCCCCTGTCGATTTCGTCATTATTACGCTCTTCTATGCCATCTTCATCCACTTCTTCATCTTCCTCATCCTCTTGTAGTTCATTCATTAATGCGTTTTCAGGCTCTTCGCCAGCCAATGTCTGCGATTCGTCCATTTCGTCCTCACTCGCCAAAATGGCTACACCGTCCTCCATGTCCTGCTTACTGGAGTCATTTTTGTGATAGTCAGTTATTTGTTTGCTCAGATCGACGATTTGATGGAATTTTGGTTCTGAAATTTGGACTGAAAGGTTCTCTTGAATTTCGGACAGCTTACGGTCCATGTAGAGTCCTTCTTCGTCCTGTTTACCTTTCAAAGCTTCCAAAATAAAGTCAGTAGCCGATAAAATGATATCGTGTGGCATATCGTCCCCCAGCAGCAACGAAACGAGATACACAATCTCTTCGTAGCGTCCTGAGTTGGCGGCATCTGAGGGCCTGTAATTGAGCTTTAGCATTGAGTCACCGCTAAGTATAGTGGAATTTGCGCCATTCCGATTCTTTCTGGCTTTTTTGGGCCTACTTCTCGCAATTTCTCGACTCGTAAACTCTTCAGCTTGGTACGTCTCGTTTTCCAAAGGTGTTGTTGCATGTGTCTGAGCCGCCGATGCGCCCATGTCCTTCACCGATATTCTTCCTAGCATAGATTTCGGCTGTGATTCCGCTGCATCCCTCAATGGATCTGTTCGCTGAGTATGCAAGGATCTGTCGGCACGAAGTACCTTATTAGACATCTCATCATACCTGTACAGCTCTCGTATTTTCTTGTCCTTCTCGTCACCGTTTGCAGCTTGCATCTCTAAATTTGTAGAATAAAACCACCGTCTATCAGTAATCCGTTCTTGAGCGTTGAGGAACGGTTAAAACTTAGACTTGTTTGATAGTTTCAGCTTGACTGTTTCCTAGGTATAGGTCGACGCTAACTTGAGTATATCTTACTGGATTCAAATTGATAAAATTACATGTAACTTAAGACGGACATCACTGCCTTTCGAGAGTTTAAACCTGTATTTAAAAGACAAACTCAAGAGCTATGAGCTATCTGATGACCACAAAGCTCTCCAGACAACTTTGATATCTCTTTGGAAACCTTGACCAGCTTTTGAAGAGGTATTTGTGCTTTTTTCCGCTAGTTTTTTTGGTTTTTGGTCCATTAGATCGCTAGAAAAGGCACAGTAATAAGCCCAACATCGAAGGGTAATGGAATCGCGACGACTAAAGCGTACCTTGAGTTCTTTAACGACACAGATCAATGGCCTGCGTGAAAATTCGTTTTCTCCTGGTGCGAATACTACCACTACGGGGAAAAAGAGACGACAAAATCCGAATATTGCATCAAACGATGTGGATATGATTGAAGAAGGAATGGTCGAATTGAAGGACTGGTGCCAAAAATACGAGCCTGACGACACTGCAAGCCTTGTGCTCCATCAACGGAAACTGCAGGATGTGCGAAAGGTTTTGGAACCCATGATTAATGGCAATAGCATGTGTCGAATTCTGCTCTTAACAGGACCTGCCGGGACTTCCAAGAGCAGTTGTATCAAGACCCTGGCTAGAGAACTCATACAAGACCCTGCCGATAAACGTTCTGGGTCACATTTCACCCTTGGAACTCGTCAAGAACATCAAAGCTACATCGAGTATGACGGAAGCAATGTTGCATCGGGCGTGTCTAAAGTGGATCATTTCGACCAATTTCTAGCTGAGGCCAAATATAGAGTGGGACCCAACGTCGCTTTAGTGCTTATTGAAGATCTACCAAACCTCTTTCATGAGAGCACTAGGATACAGTTCCAGCAAGCATTGCTGAGATGGCTTTGTAGCCCACAACCCCGCCTGCCGCCTTTAATCATAAGTTTGACAGAATGCGAGATCCATTGTCCCAAGGATGTATCTTACAGCTTTGGCATTGATACACAATTTATAGCTGAAACAGTGCTAGGATCTGAAGTTCTCAATCATCAGCGTCTGCGACGCATCAAGTTCAACCCTATCAACAAGACTTTACTCAAGAAACATTTAAAAGCCATATGTGATAACGAGAGAAAGGCCTTCAAGCCAGGCAGGTGGGAGCAGAAGGATGAGTTTATTTCAAGTATTGCTGAAAATTGCGGGGATTTGCGATCGGCAATATCTGCATTGCAACTGTGGGCGACCACATCAGGACCCGCCTCTACTTTTAGCAGCACCAGGGAACAATCTATTTCCTATTTTCAAGGACTGGGTAGAGTACTTCACGGTTCCAAGGATGTACCAAATGACAACCGCATGATCAAGGAACTGATGCTCTCACAAAGTGCTGGCACGGGAGAGTTGCTGAAAATGGGAATCCTAGAAAACTATGCGACTTTTTGCAAAGGTCAGTTTTCGCTCACTCATGCCGCTAGTATTCTAGAGTCACTAAGCTTGGGTGATATAATGACCGTGGAGAGCATGTCAACAAACACACTCACGGAAGCGGTTGAGTTTCCGTTGCGCGCAGTGAGACATACGTTTGCATCTTTGGGCAAAGGAACTTCTTCTTCGCATCACAAGCCTAATTTCCCAAGAGAGTCGAAGGTCCGTAAGTTGCGCAACAAATTTGTAACCGAAGCAGGATACTACGCCTCTCTTAGTATTCGAAAATACAGAAACTGGCCGAGGATGGGTAACATTGCATTATACTTCAGCTACTACGCGCCTCTCATAAGAAAACAGCTGAATTACAAGAGAAAGTATTTGCAGCACTATCTGGATAGCCTTGGGTCGGATAGTGAGCGCAAGAAAGCCATGTCTGGCGCTTCGGATCTGTTTATCATCAACGAGCAGGAGGATGTTTTGAATCGCATTGGTGGGGAATTAAGCTCCATCAGTGCTTCCTCGGATGTCGTGCCCGAGGAAAATGACGGGATCTTCGAGATACGACCGCCTTTGGTAGTGACACACAATGCCAACGACCCACAGGCCATTAAAGACGACCACCAGATGTTCACCGATGAGGAGAACGACACAAATGATGAGGAAGTCTTGGACCCAATTGATGAAAGCGCGAGCGAAGCTGACAGTTTTAGTTTCAGTGATGAAGACGATCCGATCTACGATATGCTGGCGTCACAGTCGCCTCGCAAAACCAACCCGCCGCAATGACCGGCGTCAGATAAACTGGGAAAACCAAAGGATAGAGAGCTCTCGGGAAATGAAAAACAACCTTATGAATTTTATTTTTTCTTGTTATTATGAAAGCTATTACACCACCATTTTTGGTCTTTAGAAGAACAGTATTTATTCGTCTTCGTTTTATTCTTTGAAACTAACCTTTCCTCCTTCTTGTTGTTCAGGCATTCATTGCATTCTGGAAGAATTCCGAATCTTCTTCGAGCGACTCTTTGATGATATCCAGGCCACCCTGGAACTCGCCGCTAATGTACAGCTGTGGGAAAGTCGGCCAATCTGAAAACTTCTTCAGACCCTGTCTTACAGAGTCGTCTTTCAATATATCGAAAAACCCAAATCTCACCTGGTACTCCCTGAGGATGCCCACCATCTGTCTTGAAAAGCCGCACTTGGGCTCTGACGGCGTGCCCTTCATGAATAGCATAACTGGGGCAGCCTGGGTCAACTTTTTGAGTCTCTCTATTAGTTCTTCTTCACTTTCTGCTTCTTCGTCGGCTTCTTCTTCCTCTTCTTCGTCTGCGTCTGCTGTAGCGCCTGCTGTAGCGCCTGCTGGAGCACCCTGGCCTGCTGAAGACTCTGGTTTCGAAGCCAGACTACCGTTGAACCTGCTCAAAACCTTTACAAACTCCTTAGGGTCAGCTCCAGAGAGCTCGTGTAGAATGGTACCGTTTCTGATCAGTACGAAATAGGGCACCGATGTCACTTCGAACAGCTCAGCGATTTCGGCGTTGTCGTCAGCGTTCACGCTCAGAAACAAAACTTCCTGGTTGACCGGTTCTTCACTCAACGCACTCACCACAGCACTCATTGTCTTGCAGGGTTCAGCCCATGATGTGTGGAAATACAGTGTTATGAGCTTTCCGGCTGAGTTTTCCGTGGTAAGCTCGGTGAATTGGTCCTGCGATTTGATATCCACTAGTGGCATTTGGAAATGTTGTTAAAGGACTGTATGTGATGTGTAAGTGTTCTTGCCAAGTATTTCTAGTAGGTGGGTCAAATCTTTAGCTTCGGAAGGTAACTCAGTTTTTTTCAAAGCAACAACAGAAACTAGCACGGAGTTCTGGTTTTTTGTAAGTTGAAACGAATTTTTCCAGTTTGAATCTTCTTGATGCCTGGTATTTAAACTCTGGTTTTTCAACTTGACAACTAAGCTTCTAGTTCATCTCCTGATGAGGCCTAGCTCGAACTCTAAAATCAATGAGTGTCTTTTGACTAGGCGTGATAGTCAGTTGAAAGAGCATTTTTGGAAATCGATGAGAGCACGTGATCTGAGACCAATAGGGTGAGTCGACATTAGTAAAAGCGGCAAAAGGCCATAGTAAGCATAGCGTTAAGCCAGCATTAAGCCAGCGTAAAGCTAGGAACTCGCTCTGATTGGCCTAAGCCGAATGGAGTTTTTGACTGACTTCACCTGGTTAAGACTTTACCTTTCGTCTTCAGCTTCGTCTTCACAGCCTCGTCCTCTTGCGTGCAAATTTGAACACGGTGTTCCAAGTGACATTTATAAGAGATTCAGAGCGTAGACGTGTGGTGGCCTTCACCTGTTTGATGAACCTTTCGCGTACATCGGGCTGTGTGTTCTTGTTGGCGCGTTTCCACGCGTTGTAAGCACTCCAGGTCCCGATGTAGTCTTGGAATTGGGCAACAGTCATGGAGCAATCAATTCGTAGCGGTTTGTGGGTAAGCTGGGTTGTGGGGATCTTGGAGTTTCGAGACCAATATAGGACCTCAATTATGTCGTCAAAACGTTTTGGATCGAGTCTTTGAGACTGCAAAAGACCGCGTAAAATGTCTCGACCGGGCTTTTCCCAGTAGGGTCCCAATTGGTCCGTCCCGTACTGTAGCTCGTCAATAGCGGTATCGAGTTCGGGAAAATCCGTAAAAGAAGGGTCTACATACCCCCATATGGCAAGTGAGCCGCGATTTCTGAGCGCTCGAAAAACGGCAGTTTCGAAAGCCTCAAAGTCCAACCAGTGACAGCACTGCGCTGCCGTAACCATGTCTGCAGTGCCGGCCGGTACCCAGTCCAGATCCTCTGCGGCGTGTACACTGAACTGGACAGTCCCCGTTTTTTTTCCGGCGCCCTTTTCCTTGATTGCAGCGTCAATCATACCTGGAGATACATCGGTTCCATAAACGTCTTGGAATTGAAGATTTTGGGCAAGTTCAAGCGTGAACTTTCCAGGACCACACCCAACGTCAATGAGTAAATCACGCTTGCCCTGATGGAAATCGCTAAGTTGCTTGAAAAATGCAACGGGATACGTTGGTCTGGCCCTGGAATAGCCGTTGGAAGCGTAGTCTCGAGATGAAAACTCCATTGACATTTACGCAATCCAGAAATCACTGATAAAAATCATTTAAGAACGGTTACTTGATTTTAAGGTCAGACAGAGTATTTTATATATATATATCAAATAGGCCTTTTATTAAACTGACATCTTACTCTTCTCACCTCTAATATAAAAGGCAGACAGAGATACGTAACAGAACGACACTTTATGTTCATTTGGTCTAGCTTGCTTGATGTTTATCTATTGAGACCACGTTAAACTGAGAGTTTGATGCCAGTATCATGTCAACGAAGCGACATTCATCGATGCTTGTGAGCTCTTAATTAGGTGCTTTTCCAGTCACTCGAACTTATCCCTGAAACACGGCGAAAAAGACTGATGTAACGGTAAGCTGGATTTATCGTGCAAATGAACCATGAAGAATTGTGAAGCAACGCTAGCCATTCAACAATTCCATTGAAGAAAAAAATCGCCTAGCATGAATGAACTCAGCGCTCTCTTAAATATACCAAAAAGCGACGCGCGGATTGCTTCTCTTCTCTTCATCGAACAATTGAATCTCACTCGGGTACACAATAATAGCGTCAAAAACAGGGCCTCAGGCATCAAATTTGGCGTAAAACGCAACTCAGATCTCTGCAAACTTCACGTCACGTGACTTTTTTTTAAAGATGCTGAAGATCTTATAGTAATGAACATGTTCGCAATTGCTAGTGCAAAGTGAAATGGATACTACTTTTACACCACTTCCAAGTCAACAACTCAAGCTAGCAGCTCTCAATTTAACCGCTATGCCAGCGCCAAAATCAAGAGGTGGGGGCAAACCCAAAAAGCCTCTCACTCGCTTGGAAGAGATGGCAAAACAGGCCTACGAAACCAAAAAGGTTAATAGCACAATCTCCAGTGAGTCTAGTCTCAGTCTGCGATCCTTCAAAGGTGTTAAGGCCTCAAACAACGGAGTGGATACTGTTCCAACTTTCAGGAAAGACAGCGGCCAAGCTAGATCTCAAAAGCAAAGAGATACCAAGAATGGCAAACCGGCGGTGAAGAGCTCAGTCAAGCCTCCTGCGAAGAGCAAGGCTCTGCCAAAAGCACAATCCGCAAGTGGAAAAACCGGTAAACCTCCCAAAAAAAGCGGGTCTACCAATCAACGGCAGCAGGGTAGCGTCGTTGTTGAAAAGCCAGCGTCAAGCGCTTCAGTTCCGCAAACTCGGCCCCAGACAGGCGATAAAGGCAAGCCAAAAAAATTGGCATCCAACGGATCTTCCAAACGCTCCGAGACTTCTCCAACGCACAAGCAACATAACAATGCCAAGGCCAAAACTGCTGGACGCAAGGAAACGGCCTCTAAAAGCAGGCCTAATGCTAAGGCTAGTGGTCCTGAAACGAAACGTGGTGCCAAAGCAAACAAGCCAGCTAATGCCAGCGGCAAAATTCAGAACGTCGCCACTCGGCCCCAAGTCCCTACCATTGATCAAGACTCCGAAAGTTTCGAAGAGGGTGAGCCTTTGAAACGCTTTACCCAATATGTTCCCAAAATGTCTTACCCCAGCCTAGAGGAGTATTTTAACGAGTTTTCTTTTGCTCTTTTCCTTGAAGAGCGCCTCGAGAATGACTTTTTACAAGACTTTGAGATTATATGGCCCAAAAACCCAAACGAAAAGGCATTGGTCGTGAGAATGAAGGCAGACAGTGACGAAGTCAAAAAACTTTTGCCGCCTCATCTTGTCAAGCTTGGTAGGCTGCCATTTACCAATCAACAACCCTTGATGTTGACCAGCCAGGACGAGTCGAAGGTCTGGTACACTTTCGTGAGAGAGCTTGACTCCAAGAAAAACGCTATAACCATTCTTCTTGAACTGTACTCTTGGAACCGAGTTCCTCTTCCTATCAAAGAGGGCAACAAGCATTTCAAGCTTTTACCATGCTCTGCCCAGGTAAACAGGATTATGTTTGCAATGACCAGAGTGCAAAATCCAAAGTTCATCAAATTAATTTTGGGACAAGAGCGTATAAAACAATTGAATTTCAACAATCGTTTGCAATTTTCCAAAGATACCTTTAACGATTCACAAAAGTCCGCTATTCAGCATGTTCTCAATAATAGTATCACTGTTCTTCAGGGACCTCCCGGCACAGGCAAAACGTCCACCATCGAAGAGATCATTTTGCAGGTGATGGATAACTTTCACACGCTTCCGATCCTCTGTGTGGCAGCTTCGAACATTGCGATCGATAATATTGCAGAAAAGTTCATGGTCAACAGACCTGACATCAAGATTTTGAGGATTTTGTCACAGTCCAAAGAAGCTCAATATAACAACGATCATATGTTAGGCAAAATATGTCTGCACAATATCGTTTATGACCAGCTACCTGAAGACATCAAGGACAATATAGGAAAATTGAGATCAGGCATTCCTGGCCTTGTTTCAAAGAATCAGTATAACAAGCTTTTGACCACACAAAATGCCATCTCTGATCGGCACATTGCACAAGCTCAAATTATCTTCACCACCAATATTGCATCCGGTGGGCGCCAATTGAAGGCCATCAAGGAATTACCGGTCGTGATTATGGACGAGTCCACTCAGTCCTCCGAAGTTTCGACGTTAGTGCCATTGTCACTGCCGGGCATTAAAAGATTTGTCTTCGTTGGCGATCAAAAGCAGTTGTCGAGCTTCAGTAATATACCACAGTTGGAGATGTCATTATTCGAAAGAATCTTGAGCAACGGAACATATGACAATCCTCATTTGTTGGATACACAGTACAGAATGCATCCCGCGATTAGTGAGTTCCCGATCAAGACTTTTTATGATGGCAAGTTGAAAGACGGTGTTACAGCGGAGGAGAAAAGTTGGCCTGGCCTAGCATACCCATTATTTTTTTATCATTGCAACAAGGGATCTGAGTCTAAAGTGTTCAATTCCAAACGTGGGATGAGAGGTTTTACGTACAATAACGCTCATGAGGCTGAGGCTATCATCGAGGTTTTGCACAAGCTAATAATCGAGAAAAAGGTGAGTAGAGACGAGATAGGTATCATCACACCGTACTCCTCGCAAAGAGATCTGATCTCGGAAATGTTGGTACGCGACCCTGTGGTTAATCCATCAGGAAAGGCCATGGAGCAAGAAATGGACAAGGATGATGTTTTAGGAGGCGGAGAGTCCGTCGGCGGAGGTGCAAACAAGGTAACCATCAACATCGTCAACGACGTGTTTGTCTCAACCGTCGATTCGTTCCAGGGTCACGAGAAACAGTTTATTCTGTTCTCCTGTGTGCGAAACAACAGCGAAAACAAGATTGGGTTTGTTAAGGACCGCAGACGTATGAACGTGGCATTGACCAGAGCGAAAAATGGTCTGGTGGTAGTCGGAAACAAGGAGGTTATGAGACAGGGCGACGAACTGTGGGGGCAATACGTGGACTACGTCGAGCAGAAAGGCGTCGTATTCGATACTTTGAAGGAGTACTGAGCGAGACAGATACAGCATATTTTGACATACATATACAGATACAAAATACAATTGACAGCACTCCAATTGTAGGCAGTTCCCCGCCTTGGTCGAAATCAGGCTAAGTAACGTTACCTGGACAGGCTTCAACACAGGGTGCTCGAGATTTTGGGCAGCGCTCTTATTGCTCTTATAGACATAACTTTGTAATGGTATCAAAACCCGTTATAATTTGAGCCAAAAAATATAGGTCCTACCCGGATTCGAACCGGGGTTGTTCGGATCAGAACCGAAAGTGATAACCACTACACTATAGAACCGATTTCGTAAAAACCAAGCTATGTGTATTAGCTTGTGTTTCCAATCACGTGTATAACACACATCCTTCATCACGTGGTGGTAAAAACTCATGTTTTTTTATCAAAGTCAGGCACGTTCGGAGTCTTTTCCAGGCGTTTTAGCCCGTGTGCAAGACACGTACACATTCTAAAGGTAGCTTCTCTGCTGTCCTTTTCTATTTTTTCTTTAGAGCTGGCAAACTTCTTATCGCTTTCTACGAGCTGTGCTTGTCGTCACCAGTGACATAATGACAGTTTCAGCCATTTTCGGGGGGTGGTGGGGGGCTCAACTTTCATAAAAACTCGTTTTAATACTAAACAAAACAATGCTTCCTACACTTTCACCAACACTTGTCCGCTGAAATTAGGAGAAAAACCCCAACCAAATAGTATGTAAACGTGTGTTCGAGACTGTTTGGAGTGTAAAAACAAAGTGTGTTATGTCAAAAGCCAGTGCAAGGAAGTCTCTTGGGAGTTTTAACATCGTTTTTGATCGTGCGAGCTTGTGAATCGCCCCTGATTGACTTTTCGTTTTCCATGCGTTGGTAAAGCTATCAGGAAATCTACGGAAATTCAAGAGGTTGTGATGATAAACAATGGCCTCGCTGGCGCGATCGACCAGCGACAATAATTGAAGAATTAGAGGCCCTTTTCCAGTGTTGTTGTCCATGTTTCCTTACCGGTGAGTGGTTTTCCATACTACTGTCCGTGTTGTTTATTGTTTCCGCTCGGGTGGCAAAAAAAAAAACGAAACAGAGAATGAAAAAAATACTGGCCGAGTCGGTAGACGGTGGCACGTGCTTACGAACGGGTGTTCGAATCGCGAGGGGAGCGACAATGTTATTCATGGAATAGTTTTTCTTGGTGGAAAAGCAATTTATTATTACGACAGTGGTAAAAGTGGGTCATGCAAGTAGGAAATCGGGCTGTCAGAAAAGGAACATGGTGGACAAAGATAGCAATTCTAACGGTGTCTGGAATTCTGGTTAGTTTTCCTTACCTCAAAGTGTGTGTGTGTGTGTGTGGTGACAAAGGATGATGATGCTGATGATGATGATAGTGATAGTGATAAACATTAGTTTCGCAACGGACATTGATCTAAGTTGTGGGCTGGCTGGCCGGCCAGTAGCTAGCTTTGTTGTGTCGTCACCTCGCACTCGCCCCTTTTTGCTGCACGCTACAAGCAACGTGCGTCGTTGTCCGAATCGGGACGTTCAGTGAGCAAGGGCATAGGGAAAAAAATGGAAAAAATAAAGAACGAAAAAAGGAAAATGAAAAAAAAAATCCAGTGGAACGTTTATCCCGAATTTTTCCAGTTCCGTCTAATCTGCAGCACTGCTAACAACTCCTATATCATATCGTTTGCTTGTTCACCCCCACCCCCCACTCCGTTTTAGAGCACTTGTTTCTCTAAAGTATTGCAAGGATTACAACAATTACCAACCCATCTCCCAAGGGCCGAAGCATTTGTCACTGCGTATGGGCACTAACACTCACTCCTAACTGTTCGTGCTTTAGAATTTCATTTACTAACCTCTCCCATTGCAGAACTCTTTCCCAAAACCCAAATGTCACAAAGTCGCGAAGATTCCGTTTACTTGGCCAAGCTGGCCGAACAGGCCGAGCGTTACGAGGAAATGGTTGACAGCATGAAGGCCGTTGCGTCGTCCGGTCAGGAATTGTCCGTAGAAGAGCGCAACTTGCTGTCGGTCGCTTACAAAAATGTGATTGGTGCTCGTCGTGCCTCTTGGAGAATCGTGTCATCTATCGAACAGAAAGAAGAAGCCAAGGAGAAGTCTGAGCATCAAGTCAAATTGATCCGCAATTACCGCTCTAAGATCGAGTCCGAGCTAACCAAGATCTGTGACGACATTCTTTCCGTGCTTGACACCCATTTGATTCCATCTGCCACCACCGGTGAGTCGAAGGTTTTCTACTACAAGATGAAGGGTGACTACCATCGTTACTTGGCCGAGTTCTCGTCCGGTGAGGTTAGAGACGGTGCCACAAACGCCTCTTTGGAAGCCTACAAGACAGCTTCTGAGATCGCCACTACAGAATTGCCTCCTACCCACCCAATTCGTTTGGGTCTAGCCTTGAACTTCTCTGTGTTCTACTACGAAATCCAAAATTCTCCAGACAAAGCTTGCCATTTGGCCAAGCAAGCCTTCGACGACGCTATTGCTGAACTAGACACGCTGTCCGAAGAATCGTACAAAGATAGCACATTGATCATGCAATTGTTGAGAGATAACTTGACTTTGTGGACTTCTGACATGTCAGAAGCCGGTCAAGATGAGCAACAACCTGCAGAAGGTGCTCAGGAGTAAACTTGTGTTTGACGACCGGTTTCTTTTTTATTTTTTGTTCGCTGTGTTTGTGCGTTTGAGACCTTTAAAAATTCAGATAGGAGGAGCCAGAGGGGTGTAGGGGATAGAGAGAGGAAGGGAGTTTCAGTTTACTTGTGGTACCTCCAGTTTTGTTTTCCATTGCGGTTTTTATTATAGGCTTCAATTCCGGTAAGAATCCGCAAAAATGGGCATTGTCATAGGTTACCGCAAATTTGATTTCCAACTGTTGGTCCCAGCCTTTGCAGTGTTTTACAAATACTTCTACTTGATCTAACTATTATCTTCGCGATGCTTTCGCTAAACTCGCTCTCTCCCACACCCTCCAAAAAAAGGAAGGCAATGTCCTTCAAGACTGTTCCGTCTGAACCCCCCATAAACCTTCGCGCTCAACGCATATTCAAACTCTAAACACGAACCACGACCATCCCGATTACTACCTTATTCCTTCTAGCACGAACCCGACTTTTGAATTAATCCCCTTCTTCTCTTTAACATTTGAAAGCGCTGGGCATTTTAACGATGATGTATGAGGGTGATGATTTCAAAACCAACCAACCTGCCTCTATAATTTTCTATACCGCGAATATATCTTTGAAAGATATTCGATCAATTGTAACCAAAAACAACAACACCACCATTGGCGGCCAAGTCTTATTTTTTCGTCGATTGAGGCTGATGATAATTACAGTAGTCTTTAAAAGGAGCGATTTTTTTTTAAGATCATTGTTTAAAATTCGTGGTCAGGGGAGAAGAGTATAAACTAGCACAACAAATCCATTTTCATTCAGCTGGACAATACCGGTCTTGACACTTGATTGTATTTCGTTTCTCACAATTTTCCACCACAAAAATGTCCAACGTCTCGCCTCAAATATTCAAAATCGTTAACCTCGCAGCCGGTTCGCTGGCCAGTTTATCGGCCTTGACGCAAACGTCGTATTTGCTGAGCAGCTTTCCAGCTTTTTTGATGGCTGTGTACGCTTTGGGACTGGCTGTTCCCATCGTTTATCTGGAGTTTAAAGTTCCCCCTAATCTTTACAGATTCGCGTCTTTCTACTTCAGCTTTATCGGTAGAGGACTGTGTTTTATCCTGCTATCTCTGCTATTGAGCTTTGGCGGTGCTTTGAAGATTCTATGCTCTTTGCTACTGTTCCTAGCAGGTGTGGCCTTTGTCATTGTGGAGTTCGTACCCAGCGTTCAAGAACCAGACAACTTCAGACCCGAGGGAAGTTCCATTGCAGTGGGAGAGGACGCAGATGACATTATTTGAATATTCAACGCTATTACAACCTGAGAAGGCCAGCCTAAAAGAATCATATATATATACATGTATACGTAAGCTTTCAGAGGACAAGCGCTCATTGATCGGGCTAACGCAGAACATTATAGCCTTTTACAGTGATGTCCCATTCAGCTTTTGGACATGGTCTGGTTTTTTACAGTAAATGACACATATTGTTACCAAATCATTAAATGCCAATTGTTCAGCATGAAAGGAGAATTATCAAGACAACATGTATAGAATACATGAACGGTTGAACGTTAAAACATCGTTCGTATCGTCACATAACAGATCACAAAGGTATGGATTCCTGAGTCGATAGCTTGAGAATGATGGTGTCTCTTGTAGAAATATCAATTGTATCACTAGTCACGAAAGAACATTAATTGATTTGGAGTTTTTAAAGGTTCATCATCTCATCGCTACGTCAAAACCGCTAAAACAGGGACTGACATCTTTTGATGTAGTACAAACTGCCCTTCGATAAGATCAAGTACTTACTGATTCGCTATTTCTGGCTTTGAAAAGTGTGCTGCACAAAAGCATGAGCAATGAAGGTGCCCATGTATACGAAAATATAGCATTAGACGAAGAGGCGTATGCGAGATATGTTTGCAAAAATGCTATACAATCCATGCCTGAGAATCACAAAATTCCAGTTCTGACAATTCCTAGATCTTCCTTTACTGCGTTCAGACTTACATATGCCTCTCCTGTGGAAATTTCACAGAGTTCGAAATCTGTTCTTCTGGGAGGAGTGCCCAACCTATGGTACATCCAACACAAAAACAACTTTGTCAGGTCAATGTACCAATTTGCGTACAAAAATGTGACAAGAAGGGTGCAACAGGCTGGGAAGTACGCTAATTTTAGGCGGCACCGCTCAGGTCGAAAATTTCGTCGTCCAGGCAGCACTACACCGAGAAACTTGCGTCTGAGCAAAGAACAAAACCAGGATAGACAAAGTGCCACTGAAATAGGATTGGAAGGCCTTCAGGGCGAAGTTTGTCTTGAGGATTCACCTACCAGAGACTCGATTTCAAGCGAAGATGAGGCCAACAGCGTCACCGTTGCAGAAATCGAGGGCCTGGTCAAATCCTCCTCTTCATCTTCCCAAGGAATGGAGTCGAAAAACTATCGTCAAATACCACGTATTCGAGAACGTCAATGTTCGCAGTCTTCTAAGCAATCCCTGCAGTCCCAGATTAATTCCAAAATCCCCGAAACTCACAGTGATGCGTCAATATCCGAGCTTGACACAAGTAACGCCAAACACGAAGAACGCCGCAACAGTTGCAAGCATGCTCAAATGACCTTAAGCAGAGATTTGCAAAATTTCGAGGATCATGAAAGTCTCATTCCGGCCACAAATCCTCGAAATGCCTTAAGAAGCACTCCTAGCGTTCGTGACAGTATTCAGTCAGAATCCTACTATTCGGCTGATGACGGGTACATTTCAGAAAACCAAACTCGAAAGTGCTCTGTAGACGAAGAATACAGTTCAACAGTGCAAGATTATTTTGGGGGAAACGAAGATACACTTGCGAAAGACGCACGTAATTTGAATCAGAGGTTTCAGGAATCAGGATCTGAGAATGGTACAATCTCGGAAAGCTTTCCAGACACATTGAGTACTGGCCCAAATATGACGCCTCGACTCTATCATACTGATGTCCCAAGATTGATCAAAGATTCCCCAGAAACCGCTGATTTGTCCTCTGTGAGATTCAAAGAAGAGCCAAAACCGAAGCATTTACAGCAACATTCCATGAGAGATAGAAACACCAGGATTAACACCGCCTATTCCGCCTCTAGTTTCTTATCAACCAGTTCGGACGAGGAACAAGTTGTGGTGTCGCGCGACGAATGTCAATCAAATGCAAAGTGCAGTCTCAAAGTTTTGAGTCCACAGCCGTATGCTCTGGGCAGGCAAGAAAGCGTTAACATGCAAGCTCTCAATCGCCGCAAGATGTTAAAGGAGGTCAAAAGTTTTGTCACCAAAACAGGTAAAAGAATTCACTTGAACAAACTGGATAAGCTTCACTTTGACCTAAGTAGTGTCATGGGAAGAGATTCAAGACTGTCACAAAGACTCTTCACCAAATATCGAGCAGGCGAAGTCGTGAAAATGGAAAAGATGCTTGTTTTTATCAAATCATCCAAATCTACTCGTGGACCACTCCTTAACTTTTCGGACGTTGAGCCCATTGACACCAGAGTCGTTGAAAGGTGGAAGGAGTACATTGTGGTGGCAAGAGCTACAGGAAGGTCGGAATCTCCGCTTTACATACAGTTCTACCGCGACAGCAAGATACCGCGAGTCGAGACAAACGCTCATACGGAGACATACAAAGCAAATTCGATGGACTTTATGTTGGACTCATCTTGTATTGTGGATTTCTACAATACCTTAGATAAAACGATTCATGTGATAAAGTCTTCACGCTCTTGCTCAGAGGAAGGAAAGGGAACAAACGGGGAAAATCTCGAAGATGTTGGAAAACTGAGGATTTACATATTAAGGTGTGGTTCTTTTGCATCAGCTGAAAAATGGTTGCTCTTTCTAAGACAGTCGTTAGGGCATGTGAATGAATCTGGAATGGTTACTGTCAACGTCCCTGAGGCCGGGTTTTCACTCGAGATCCCGATGTCGAGAAATTTACGACGTAGATTTGAGAATAAAGCTTTTACTGAAGAGGAGCAATTCAAAGTTTTGATGATGCCGAGAGGCTACAAGCCTCTAGGATATCCTTTGGCAAGATATCTGGAAGTCGTGATCCTAGGAAAGCTACTGGAGTGCGGTTTTAAAGCAACATCGTTGGGGTGGATCCAAGCAAATACGTTAACTGGGTTCTGTTGGAAACATTACGACAGACTTGAATGGTGCCCAGGAGATCAGTACGATTCAATTGTCGGCGGAGTTTCACTACAGGCATCTCACTTGCTAGAGTATCGGACTTTGTCACATTATCCACGAAGTGTAAGGAAGAATTCAAGAGAGACGTTGGTTGAACCTCCTGGCATTGAAGGGTTTTTAATGAAGTGCACGGATCGATACGGGAAGGAAATAGAAAAAGTGCTGCACACTGCGTACTATCGCTTCTCGTACTTTTTCACCTCAGATAGTCTTTTGTTTTTCATGAGTTCTTTTAAAGGAGCCCCTCCTCTTCCCAATGAAATGATCAGCAGAAATGGGGCATGCGCTTACGATGTCCAGCGGATGAAGGCTAATATTGCTTCTGTCCCCAAAATTTTCGAACACAATCCATATCCTCTAGACTTGAATAGTCATATCGAATGGCTTAATTCCAAGCTGATGTCGGAAGAGTTTGATGAAAAGGACAGTATCGCTTTTGCTGCAATGTGGAGAAAGATAGCCCTCATTTTGAAAGCGGAGAAGATTATCGATCTGACCGAAGTAACTTCGGTCTCAAAACTTGATGTCCACCTAACAAAGACAAACATTTTAAGATACAAAATCTTGGCGAGGGCCAACAACTTTGTGTGGAAAGCTTCAAATACGCTTGAAGACACTTTGAAGTCAACAATTGTTCTTTCAATGAGAAATGGCTTGAGCGTGAAGCTCCTAGCGTCTTCTCCTGAGCTTGCAGAGGAGTGGGTGTCGAGACTTAACTCATTGAGGAAGTACTGGAAATATAGGAAGGCAGATGATGTTAAAAACATGTGGTCTGCGAAAGTTGAGAACCTTCGCACTCTGAAAATACCTGAATCAGAAGAGTCCAACATTAGCCAAATTACTCCCAAATGGGTTACAGACCGTGGCGTAGCAAATGAAGAGGTTCATAACATAAGCGCTCAAGCTTTAACAAGGCCTTTGATGCAAAGCGGTGTGCTATATCAAAAGAGACACAAGCACGCCAGCTTCAAAAAATTCTTTGCTCTGCTAATTCCTGGCTTTTTGATACTTTACAGGTATCACAAAAGTGCAAAATCGAGCCATTCCAAAACTGTGGTCGATCATCGACACTACCTTACAATCCCCATAGAGGAATGCTATGTCTACAGCGGAAATCTAACTTCGTTGGATTTACTCCAGCGAGACAAACAATTTGATCGTCTGAACTCCGGTAACAATTCTCTTCCAAGGGTTTATCCAGACGGGTGGAGATCGAGCGAAGATGAATCTACAAGATGCTTCACGCTCTGGTTCGGCACAAAGGGAGCCCTGTCAAATTACAATTCTTTGTTCTCGCATTCACCGGACAACGAACTACATGGCCCCGATTCGTCACATTCAGCAGAACCCTACTCGATCGAAAACAATGGTGCGTTGAATACGAGTTCGTCTGACGGACGTGATCTCAGTATGGAAGAAAATTTGCAAAAAAAGACGGGCTCTTTGAGGTTGGCAAGCAGGCTGGGCGTTGCCGGTAGCTCACTAGTCTTTATGGCGCGCTCTCGTCAAGAGAGAGACCAATGGGCATTGAAGTTACATTACGAATTGGGACGTCTGAGAGCCGGCGATGATGATCCGTAAATTTTAAAGCATTGTAACTACTCTAATCAAAAACCCGACCACCTTACATATAACCGTAATTTGATTGCCCAAGAACTGACAGTTTCTTGCCATCACTGGTTTCAACTTGACAATCAATCGCTTCGTCTACGACCTTGTTAAAGCCCTCCACGAAACGAGACCATCCGGGAAAATCTTGTGCCCGAGCCGCTAAACTAGGAAACATAGGACTTTCGCACTTACTATATGAACTTTCACCTTCCAATTGCAAGGAGCGTATTGCGGACCTGCGGGTCGTGAAGTCATCTTGTGGCGCTCCTTGCGAGTTCGGATCTCGAATGCGAATTGGTGAATAGAATGAGCTGCCTGTACTTCCCGGTCCGCAAATTTGACTCGTGTTTTTTGAAGAGCTCGAATATGTACATGATGCCTCGCAAAGCGTCCGATTGCTAGGACTTAAAGGTGACGACAAAGTCGAACAAAGGCTTTCTCGATAGGCATTGTAGTCCACTAAGTCACTGTTATGGTCCTCATCTTCGACATTCCTGTCATTCGTTTCTTCTATTCCCCAACCATTGTGCGTACCTAAGTTTCTGCTGGTAAGTTCCGGAGTAGAGTCCTTCTCATGGTCATTTGTATCTTCATCAGCGTCGCTTTCGTCATCATCATCATCATCAAAATCGTCATCGTCTTCACCAAACGTGAGGTTGAAGCCGTAAGACACAGTTTCCAGGATGCTTTGAAATGAGGAGACTTCAACCAGCTCAGAAATTTGATCCGTATAGTCCACGTTAAGAAAACCTACGTGTACTTTGAGCTCGTGTGGCCTATTTCGGTTGGTGCTTGAAAAAACCTTGTAATCCATCAAGAGACAAGATTTGCCATCTTCGACTGACGTGTTGGACAGGACGACAATGCCAACCTTATCAGTCATTTTAGAGCAACAAGCATCCTTGAATTGTGTTGGCGAAAATCTGGGCCTATGGTCAGCAGTGAATTTATGCGACGCATCCTTCAAGTTTTGAAGCAAAACTAGCAATTTTTCGGCCAGACCTTGATCAATCACCCCACCGCTAGAGTCGACTAGACACATTTGAGTTTCTTTCATATTCATTATCAGGGCGCGCAGACTATTTATGAGGGCAAGGAAATCGGCATCTTTCAAATTAGTTGCGTTCACCTGCAGGACAATGGCAAGATTTTTGGGACGATCGCGTTGCAATGACAAGAGCGATGTAATGGTAGTTCTGCGAGACTTTCCGTCGGGGAAAACTATACTGTTGCGAACAATAATGTCCGTATCATTCAGTTCGTCTTCAAAATCCATATCGGATGATTTTCTACCAGTTCTCCGAACTGTCAGCCTAGATGAGAAAGGGTTTGTCGTGACTGGCAAGGGCGGTAAAGTTGAAGAAAAGTTGGAGCTTTTGAACACGATCCCTTGATTCAAAAGTGCAGAAATCCACTTTTCCACGACCTGGCTTTTGTCTGAGTCTAGCGACTCCGTTAAGTAAAACGTTGAGCCTTGCATTATTTTTGAATTCTTCATGGCACTCAGTATCGTACACTTCAGTACCGATGAATTGAGCGAATCAACACTTACACTGGATAATGGATGGTGTATCAGAAACTTGTCAAACCGCATACCGGCAGGAGTTCTGGGATCGAAAGTCGGTGAGACGAGGGCGATCAACAACGCGTCGGTGAACAGGTAGCAACAAGAGTCATGATATGTCTTACCGTCCTCCGAAAACATCAGCCGATCAACGATTCGCAAGAGACCAAATTTGGAATCCAACTCCCAGCTTCGCAGATTTTCAGGAAAGCTCTCCAAAAGCTTGTGGGAATAAAAAGAGCGAAGAACTGTCAACGGCATCGTAGGAGCAGAGCCCAAGGTCGAAGATCGACTTCCATCCTCGGCATCAGAAGAGTTGCGAGTTGGGACGGATGACACAATCGAAGATATACCAGAAACGATACTGCCCCTTGCGTTTGCGTTGGTCGAGCTAGAAAATGGAGTGAGTTGAAGAGAGAGCTCTTTTACATTTTTTTTGGAGGAACTGGTTCTTCTAAACACACCGTACTGAGACTTTCCGAGTCCCAGCGGGACAACATTGGGCGGATTGACGACATATTGCTCCGGAACCAAAGGCTTGGGATCAACGTTGGTAAACGTTTTTCTCAAGGGACTGCCTCTCATGAGAATGCGTGAAATGCACTGATCTCTAAGGTCGGGCTCAGAAGGTATGCAACGCACACTTTCGTCACACTCTCGACACACAGGAAACATATCCATGACGCTTGGACTTGCAGACGCCTTTTCGAAATACGCCATCAGACACCCTTCGTGAGTTAAATGGCCGCATTCAAGCGCAATGACTTTTTCACCCATTGCTCGACAGGATATGAACTCCTGGCACAAGCAACAGGGCTCATTGACATAGGACTTTTTATTTCTAGCGTGGTTTGGCTGGTCAAACGGTTTCACCCTAGGAGGTGTACCGTTTGCACTAGAGGGAAGTGCACATCTCCAACCATCTTGAGGCACGCTGGTGCTTCTTGGCAAAGTTGGTTTTTCCGATTTGACTTCTGAGTGTGGAATCGACGTAGACCTCAAGGGAACTTCCAATAGACTCAGGGACCTGCTACAAGGTGTAGACGGCGTATTGGACACAAAATACGGAGTTTCTTGACTGTGCCATTTACCCTCGGACGTTTTACGTTCCATAAGGTAGCTGCTAGGGCTAATTTGGGGATAATGAGGCTGGCTCTTAGGTTTGCCCATTTTCTGGAATCGGCCTTGACTCCATTTCCTGGAGCGAGAAGATCCAGGTGTAACTGTAGTATCCGATGAGATCGTAGTTCTTGGCGGAGCTGTGTACCCGCCAATGTTTGCAAGTTGGAATACCAGTTCCTCCTGTCTGACTTCATGTGCAAGCATTGTTGCCATTTAGTGTTTAAACTGTGATGGAAAGCTAATCCGGACCTCTCTGGGAATCTTGTTAGATCCATCACTGCCGTAATACATCTGCACTGCTCCGGTACTTATAAACCCTGATCGGGGAGTTCTTACCACATGGTTTCAAAAGGGATTCAAGCTCGTTTTGAGGTTTTCTTGTTGCAATGGGAAGTGCTGCAAGAAGCCTTAACAGGCAAGCACCACAGCTAGAAACTTCAACCCCCACAATCGTTAAAAGATGTCCAGCTGATCGGCCAAGGATAGTCCTGATAGCCACAGGGGTTGCTGGCTCAAAAATAACGTACAAGGTTGACAAAAGTTACATTTATAAAAGTGGAGTCCAAAACCGGTATAAAACACATTGACCGTCCGTTCCTTATATTTGAGTTCACGCAGTACCGCAGCATGGAATGATGAGTAGTAAGTAGAGGGGTAGGAAGAAAAGGGTATTTGACAAGTTTGAAAGTTGTTGAAGGGATAATAGGGTAAAAACTCAGCCCGCAGTGTGTGTAAAAGGCGGGAAAAGATTGCAGATTCTGGTATGTCAATTGCTGGAGAGAGAAGTAATAGTGCAATTGGCAAGCGAGGTTCTTGAAAGCACCCTAGTAGCCGAAAGTAAAACTCACAAAATTTGCCTGGTAAAAGAGGTAGATGAGAGGACAAGAAGTCTGTCCGAGCCCTCAACAATTGGGAGAGAGAGAGAGGGAGGGGTCACACAAGACAACCGACCAATCCTGTTGCACCATCGGGCTTTCTTGTTGGTTAAGCCTTTCGTTTCCTTTTCTTCATTTGTTTGTTAATATCTTGTTCTTTTTGAGAGTAGGCCGAGTAGTTGAATTTGATGGTTAGGGAATATATTATCGAGAATCACCATCATCTAAAAGAAAACGTCTTAAGTTGATTCTGATAGAGACGCGTAGATCATTCACAGTGGAGAGAGAGATTAGAGGCAGGAGGGTTTCTGGTAATCGTCCGGGCATCTTAATGCGTCGGTCGTTGGAGGTCTCAAGAAGTTGACGAAAAACAATTAATATCGTATTTCCAAAAAAAGACCTTTCTACCTGGTAGCAACGACAATTTAATCCCTGAAGGCAAAGCCGTTCTTCTTGAAGTCCCAAGTATCGTCAGAAACTCTACCTCTCAAGGTTGGGGTTTCGGTACCTGGAATGTAGACATCTTCGAACAAGATGGACATCTTGGCCTCTGGAGCTGGAGACGCATCGGCAAGCTCAACCTGTTCGTCCACGTATTTTCTTGCAGCCTTGTCATAGGCCTTGATTTCCTCTTCAGTGGCGATGTTCAAATCCATTAGGTACATCTTTAGACCGGCAATAGGGTCGTTCTTGGATCTCATGTGCTGGATTTCGTCTCTGGTTCTGTAGGTGGTACCTGGGTCAGACATGGAGTGACCACCGTATCTGTAAGTCTCGTATTCCAAGACAAGAGGACCCTTGCCCGAAACACACCAGTCCTTGGCGAATCTGGAAGCTTGGTAAACGGCAAGAATGTCCATACCGTTGACCTTTAGACCTGGAATGTACTGGCCACGCTTGAAGTACTCTGTCATGGCCGAAGATCTCGACGCAGCGGTACCCATACCGTACTTGTTGTTTTCACACGCAAACACACAGGGTAGGTTGTATAGTTTGGCCATGTTGAAAGACTCGAAAACCTGACCTTGGTTGGAAGCACCATCACCGTATAGGTCGAATGTGCACGCATCTTCGTTCTTGTATTGGTGGGCAAACGATAGACCGGCACCCAATGGAACCTGGGCACCCACAATACCATTACCACCGTAAAAACCTGGGGCGTACAAATGCATCGACCCACCTTTACCGTAAGACACACCGGAACGACGACCCATCAATTCGGCCAAAACAGCCTGCACGGAAGCACCACGCATGTACGTGAAACTGTGGCAACGGTACGACGTGATGATAGTGTCTTTCTTGGTGATAGCATTTTCGATACCCACGGCGATGGCCTCTTGACCCACTGTCAAGTGGCAGAACCCACGGATTTTTTTGGCCTTGTATAGGGCGTCACACGCCATTTCCATACGTCTCACCACAACCATGTCCTTGTACATTTGCAAGAGACCGGCCTTGCTAGTAGTGTAAGACAAAGAGGGTGGTTCCAACATGTAACCTTCAAACGACGACTCTGGGAGCGTAATTTCCACCGTTTCGTCGGAGTTCGACTCCTGAGCGGCAGTAGCCAGCCCACGGGTCAGTTTGCTGGCCTTTAGCAGCTGTTTTCTGGCTCCAAAAGCCACCCCACTGTTCAATTTCACGGATCTGAGCATCCTATACAATTGTACAATTATGAGAGAAAAGTCCTAGTTTGCAATACCCAATTACCGCTTTTGAATCGCGTCGACTATAACAAGATAAAGGAAAAGACCGAAAATGTGTCTTTGAGTATCAATACCGTTTGAATCTAGCTTTATCGCGAGGTTTCTTCAAGACTTTTTACTGTGTTTCCTTCTTGAAATGTGGTCTCCAGAGGACAATGATTGAAATTTCCAAGGGACCAATTTTGTTGGGGCTATTTATACTGGGAAAAAAATTAAGTCAGCATCGAGAGAGGGAGAAAGAGCGGACGCCAGCCAATGAGAATCGAGAACTGAAAGGCGGGGAAGCAAAGCTCAAAATGATAGAAATGGAGCAGTAATTGTAGCCAATATTTTGATTGCCAATCGTGAATTTTTGAATGGCGTGAAAAATGGCTTTTTTTGGTTCTAGTCTTGCGATGCAATTGGTGACGGACAGGATGAGGGAAGGGCTTTTTTTCAAATGTTAAGCGAACTCAAGGGAATTTCGTGGGTTGAAAAGGGTGTGAAATAGATGTGAAAGGGAGTAGTTACTGGAGCATTTTTGAGGTTCCGCTGGCGGTTTAGACTAGGGTTTACCATATTTGTTTTCATGTTTATCACTTTGTAGGTACTCTGACATGAAGAGAGAGGGCGTCAGATTATTGAAAAACTGATATGGGAGGAAGCGGATGTTCACTCGAGAAAGAATCCAATGGGAGGATGGGGGAGAAGAACCCTGAAAGTTTGGCTATCTCCTGATTTGAGAAACACACATTGAAGAGTGGGAGAACACCCCCCAAAACGGCACATTTTTAGAAAAATTCAAGAAGAGGAACATCGATATTCCAATTTTCCATCTTCTCAAGAAAAACCTTTCCTTTCTTAATTGGAATAGAAACTCTGCATTTTTGCACGGAAGTGTGGCAAGACCTCCCCCTCTCAACGCTCTCCTGAAACATACACTTCAAAGTCTCTTCCGAATCCGCGTCTCTTCGTGATCGCTCTCTTCCAAACTGACACCAGATCTCTTTTTTTTTGAAAAACTTTTCCGCTCATCTTCGAGATGAGCATCTCATCGCATCGGTATAAAGATGCATCCTGTTAAGCTGGAGCTCACCTAAAGCACACACAACGCCTCTTTGCTGACACCACCGATAAGCTTAGTCCCAAACAGGTTACTGAAAAGATGGCTTTAGCAGTTTCCCGTGAAGACACACAAGTGCTTCTGCACCAGAAAAATGTGTTGCAAGAGTCCACGCTCGACAAGTACAGAAGTGCTGGCCAAATCACTCAAACGGGTCTCACTTTCGTGACCAAGCTGGTCAACGATGCGTACCACACTGGCAACTCCCGCCGTTTGGCCATTCACGAAATCTGTCTTCTCTCAGACAGCTTTTTGGCTGCGTGTCTGGAGTCCAGTTATAAGAATAAGGTTGCTGAACGTGGAATTTCTCATCCAACCACCATTGACGTAGACGAAATTGCGTCTGGATGGTGTCCAGAAGTTGACGACGTGGAGCAGATCCGGTCTGCAAACAAAAACCTCACAGAGTCCGGGAACGTAGCCGGCTGCAAAAGAAGCGTCGAGGGATACTTGGCACCTGGCGATGTGGTCAAAATTTCTCTTGGTGTTCACATTGATGGGTACACATCCCAGGTCTCGCATTCTGTGGTGATATATCCCACTGAAGACAACGAAGATGGGTCGAAAAAACCCACGGGTCCCTTGCTGGGCGGAAAGGCCGACGCCTACGCAGCAGTTCACATCGCAATGGAAACGGTAGTTTCGCTATTGGCTTGCGCTTTGACACCAGAAAAAATCCCCCGCTCCCTTCCAAACAACGGCCAGGTCACAGGCCATTTGATCCGCACCGTCGTGGACACCATCGCCGCTTCTTATCACTGTACTGTTGTTCCAGGCTCCAAAGTTCGTCGTGTGAGAAGGTTTTTGGCCGGTCAGAACGAAGGTATTGTTGCCGAAAGAGAATACAAAGGTGTTGCCTGGTACGAGTCCCACCAGGAGCTGGCCCTTCTACAAAAATCCGCAGAGGCCACTCAGGATTTGGTCAAAGTTCAACCATCCAGCCTCCACAATGCTTCTGCCGTGCCGGCCGATGACTTTGCCGTCACTCCTGGCGAAGCATACGTGATCGACATACAGATGGCCCCACTAGACGGTGTTTCTGCTGGCCTGGTAACACTGGAGAACGCTGACAACTTTTCGGGAAAATCGCACAGATCTGACCAGCTAATCGCCAGACCCGGCGCATACGTCAGAGATTTCGCCCATTCGTACACTCTGAAGCTGAAGACTTCCAGACAGCTTCTAGGTAAGATAGACAGACAAGGTGTCTATCCATTCAAGCTTTCGCATATGAGCGAGACTTTCCCAGTCGATGTGGCAGAAGCCGAACAATCCCAGATCGAAGCCATTTCGAAGGAGCTCAAATCCTACAGACTTGGTATGAGCGAGATTTTGAATAACTTTCTGGCTATCCCCAACCCGATTCGCATCGCTAAATGCATTCCTTGGGAGAAAATTCTGAACACTGCTAACCCAGCGGGTAATCGTGGAATTGACGCCACTGAACGTTCCCTACCTGGCCAAGAGCTACCGCTACCTCGTTTAGGTATCTCTTCGCTAAAGTTGAAGTCACTGTTGAAGCACGCCGTTTCACTACCGGTGGTTCGTCAAAGCGCTACTGTTGTGCTGTGTACGGCAGACGTTGTCTCCACGGGCAAATCGGAGCTTCTAAGGCTGACCGGTGGTAGCAAAACCTGTAATCCTAGCTGGGTTCACTCGGCTTACCAATTGAACAAAGAAGATTCTCTTGTTCAAGGCATTTTCCAATTGGCGGAGTTGACCAAAGACAAGAGATTCGGTTTATCAATCAGAGAGACGCAACCCCTCAAGAGGGACACTGCTACCTCTGGCTTCATGACACCTTCAGCGCAAGACGTCGACATGGCCTAATCGGTACGATCAAACCATTGGGCTCAAATATGTACACTAAATTATAGATCGAACTAGGTTCTTAAGCATCAACTCTAATAAAATAGGTTCAGCCAATGAATCCTCGATAGACGCAAAATGCATAGTGCAAATCAAGAATACTTGAAACCAACCAACTTGCCCACAATGAAGCCAGATACACTGGTTTTTGATAAGCTTTGTCGCATTTCTTGACTTTGTTTGTCTTGTTTCTTGAAAGATTCTTACAGGTTCTTTTGAGTTGCCTGGGGTCTATAAGTATATATATATATAAGTTTCCCAATTATAAAACGTCACTTAATCTTCAACTCACCACTTCTTGGAAGAAGAGAAACGGTTAAATAGACAGAATCAATTCTAAGCACTGCCATATTGCATCAGTTGCCATCATCAACATAGTATTTAGAACTTTTATAGTCCCTGCTTTGTTCCTTTACTTTTATATTTGTTCATACGTTATTTAGCCGCCGAGAGATGTCAACTATTACAGAAACAGAAGCGTCGGGTCCGTCATCGATCATAAATGTCGACGAACTCCAAAACTACGGGATTAATGCTTCTGATTTGCAAAAGCTCAAGGGAGCTGGAATCTACAGCGTCAATGTATGTAAAAGTTGCCAACAGTTTTGACTTTGCAACTAGTTCAACAACAAAATACGCCAGAAGAACATTCTACTAACACCAATCGTAATACCATACAGACTGTGCTATCGACCACTAGAAGAAACCTGCTAAAAATCAAAGGTCTGAGTGAGGTCAAAGTGGAAAAAGTGAAAGAAGCCGCTGGCAAGATAATACAAGTTGGTTTTATACCTGCCACCATACAAGCCGACATAAGAAGGCGGGTGTTCGGTATCTCGACTGGCTCCAAACAGTTGGATAGCGTTTTGGGCGGGGGTGTTATGACAATGAGCATAACCGAAGTCTTTGGAGAATTTAGGTGCGGCAAAACTCAAATGTCACACACTCTGTGTGTAACGGCACAATTGCCAAGAGAGTTAGGTGGTGGAGAGGGAAAAGTGGCTTACATCGACACGGAGGGAACTTTTCGACCTGAAAGAATTAAACAGATTGCTGAAAGATATGAACTAGACCCTGAAGCTTGCTTAGAAAACGTGTCATATGCTCGAGCTCTCAATAGCGAGCACCAGATGGAGCTTACGGAACAACTCGGGGCAGAACTCTCTTCAGGTGAATACAGGCTGCTGATTGTTGATTCCATTATGGCAAATTTCAGAGTGGACTACTGCGGAAGAGGTGAATTGAACGAGCGACAACAGAAACTCAACCAGCATTTGTCAAGACTGAACCGTATCGCGGAAGAGTACAACGTCGCTGTTTTTATGACCAATCAAGTGCAATCTGATCCAGGTGCATCGGCACTTTTCGCAGGCGCAGATGGCAGAAAGCCAGTGGGTGGACACGTTTTGGCACACGCCAGTGCCACGAGAATTCTGTTGAGAAAAGGTCGTGGTGATGAAAGGGTAGCCAAACTTCAGGATAGTCCAGACATGCCCGAAAGAGAATGTGTTTACACGATTGGAGAACAAGGTATCACAGATTCCAGTGACTGAGGCCAAAAGAAAGAAAAAATTGGATCCGCTATTTGGTTGAAATTACAACTTTGATTTTGAATTTGCTTCTATTTTGTTCAATACTCGTTATACCCGAACCTGTCGGGTAGAACCATTGGTGCCACTAACGTCCAGCCGTAGAGACCATAGCAGATCCAGGCACTTATTACTTTAACCCACGAGTAAAAATAGGTTCTTCCCACGGGAATGAAGTCGCCCACATCGTCCTTAGTCACATTGACGGTAAGTAGAATAGCTATCCATTGTGTAGCCAAGAAAAAGATAATGTGAAACAGCGAGTAGTTGTATTTCGTTGAGATGCGCTCGTCATCACCATTCTCACCAATTTCGTTCGAGCCATTGGCCCATGTAGTATCGTTTAGAGCACTTTCGGGCAAAACGCCCTCATCAACCGCCTGTCTGATGGCTTCGATCCGAAGCTGGCTTCTGCTTTGTCCAATCCCTTCGTAAGCTATGTCGTCGTCTCCGTCTAAAAACACATGCTGTCCGCCTGAGTTGAAAGCAGAGTTGGCCGCAGCGCGCGTTGTGGTATACGCTATTGCGACGAAGGTGAAAAGGGAGCCTAGAACAACGCTGAATTTGCGGGTACGGTCGGATCTGACAAACGGGTTGCACTGACGGTCGTCAGGCTCAGAAGCTAGCGCACTCATTGTTAAGTACGTTCCGTAGATGGCCACCATACTGCTCTGAGCTAAACCACACTTGGGATTGTATTCTTGAACTTTGGGATGTATTGATAGTCCTGTAGTAATGATACTGAGCAGCAAATTAACCGTCACAGATACCTGATTCATTGTACAGTTGCTTTGGCAGAACATGATATACATTGTAATTGTCATGGCCAAAGACCCCACGTACATGCCGCCAGTACCAAAGACTAGAAATTTCTGCCACTTTGAGGAGTTTTCATCCTCAATTTCGACATGCTGAATGCATTTCTCAGCCCATTCGTGAGCAAAATCGACCAAGAGTACCAGCCCAATCAGAATAAACAGAGACCCGGATGGAACAGAAATCCATTTGGAGAAAAATACGAAAAAGCCGTTAGGGATCGTGAATGATATTACCACCAAAAAAACATAGGCAAGTAGTTTCAGAGGCCACCACGAGTTCTGCAACGAGGCTCGACGATCTGTGGTCGATTTGACGTTCACCATGAGCGACGAAAGTAGAAGGTGCAGCAAGCCCAGCGAGAAGTTGAGACGATGGACTGTGAAAAAACCACATTCTCCGGTCGAAGTACATGTCTTGCCACGCCATAGGAAGGCATAATTTGTCGACATAGATACCCAAGACACCAGTGAGTTCAGCAGAAGCAGCATTGCATAGTTTAATCTTGTAGCTAAGGAGCTAGAACCCCCACTCAACGACTTGAAAGTCGAAACTAAAGCCGTGGAAGAAAGCGAGCCTATCAGTGATGCAAAGAAAGATGCTGCAGCCGTCGAAGCGGCTATCGGAAGTGACAAAAGTACGCCCATTGTGAGAGTTCAGAATGAGACTGATTAGTACATCGATGAGATAAATTATAGATCTTGTCTTATAATATTAAGTATATATATATATATATATTGAAATATATAAACCTTTAAATCGCGATTACGTATGTAGTGATAAAGAGAAGTATAAAAGGAATTTGGTCGGCGGCTAATTGTTCTTCACTCTTTACTCGCACAAACCACAAAATTTCATCAAGCTCTATGTATGAGTATAGTGATAAAAGTGGATAAATGAAGAGTTGTGTATCGATATATACATGTAGTCCGGCTTGTCGGAGCATTAGTCTATGTAAAACACTTTATAGGTTGGACAGGTTCGAAACAGCACGTCGGCTTACATTTTTGTTGGCGCGTGAGGTGCATCGCAAGAAAAGCTATAACCTTAGCGTCCTGATAGTACAAGGCTGAAGCTGAAATAGTCAGTCTCGCATTTTCAAGTGAGTTCTAAGCTATACTTCATTTGAGCTCTTTCGCCTTTTCAATGATCACTCCAGTTTGACGGTCTTTGCCACAAAGTTGGACCGAGCCAAAAGTTGAATCGTTCTATTAGAAGGTTCAAAATCGGATTTCCTGGCTGTGAACCGGCCTCAGTAGAAACGATTTTATGAGTTGAGAACTAGTGTGGCTACTGGAGAGTATTGTTGCTCAAGCGTTTGAGGAGTGCTCGATAGGTTCCGCCACGAAATCAAGCAAGAGTAGAAATGCTATGCTTTTGACTAGAAAATCAAAATCGGCATGAACGTGGAGAGATCTACAAAGCCGATTACTGGTCCGTTACGTTAGGTGTTAGGGAAAAAAAGGCGATTGTCAAGTTTGCGGTTTCGTTTCCTGTGGAGACGCTTTCTGGGCATCTAATTCTCGAGAGAAAGCCTTTTAGATGTTTCGCCACATGTAAGAAGGAGAGGAGAAAGAGCTTTCAGGAAGTAGGCGGATGGAAGACTGTCATATTCAGTTCTGGATGCTTTGAAGTCGCTACAACATTTTTGTCGCTATCAATCGCCAGTTTTAAAAAACTCCATGGTCTTCACGCATTCGATTTTGAGCCAAATTGACATCAAAACAGAAACGCAGTGTTCCTTCAAGATGTTCAAACTTCTCGCCTCGGTTTTTGATAACATGAGGCAAGTAATTTCCTCTGTCAATCAAAATAAGAAAATAAACATTTCTTATTGAAGATACAGCTCGCCTTATGCCCTATGCGGGCAACGCACAAGCTGAACATTCCATGGGTTCAAGTTATGTGGTGGTTCAATTGGGTTCCAGGGTAGTGCGTGTCGGACATTGTGGTGATCCAGAACCACTTGTCACATATTTTTGGCCCGCAGGCGAGGCTTTCAATGAGCGCTTGAGTACATTTTTATTCACCCGTTGGTTCCAGGATCCGTTGATGGTAGACTGCCGCCAGACACGAATCCTCATAGTAGAGAATGCGCTTCTCCCAGCATCGATAAAAACGATGGTGACTCGCATCTTCCAGGAAATGCGCGTGGTTGAAGTAATTTTTGTTCCTGATGCATTAATGTGTCTGGTTGCTGCAGGACTCAGGAACGGATTGGTGATTGACGTAGGATGGGAGCATCTGCTGGCAGTTCCAATATCAGACCTCCGCATTGTGGACTGCGGTCTACAATTCAGTATAAAGGGTGGCCAGTGGCTGGCTGCTCAGATAACAGCCGTTGAGCCCACTGCGCCGACCGACACCGAGGAGGTCGTTGAAAAGGTACTCGCAAAAAACTCAGATCTCTCGGATGGGCTACGATTGATACAGAAAAAGATTGATGATGAACTGATAGGGCAAAGCACCGCAGACAATTTCGACTTAGACGAGTTTCCCATTGTTCATTTGGTTTCGCATGCTTATGACAGTTTGCCCATAGATGTACGGAAAGCTGTCAAGAAGCATCTTGTGATGTCAGGGCTAGCGTCTGGGGCTCCTGCACTCCAAGCGCGCTGTGAGGAAATGCTGCCGGACTTCTGTTTTGTAGATACACTGGGACCTTGGATAGGCGGTAGTCTTTTTTTCGAGCAATTGATTCAAAAGAGTTTGAGGGAAGATCGCAAACTCAATGAGCTTGTTCCGAACGACTGGCATGCACAAAGATTCAAAGTTTATAGATGAGTTATGTGTTATTTTAGACATTTATCAAATTTGCCTTGTCTTTACAGGAAAACATGGGGGCTCAATGCTCAGCAGCGGTAGCTGAATCATTATCTTGTAAAAAGCGTGCCCAGGGCCTGTCTATAAATTCGTTGCGCTCTTGCAATAAGGAGAAGTACCCAGATCTGTCGAATCCAAAAATATAGTACAGAAGTCTGTCGAACGCATTCAGCTGCTCTTCCTTCTCCTGAAGCTCAAGATTTTTTTCAAAAGTAGGGCTCTTGCGATCAACAATTCTGGAAATCTCATCTTGAAGCATCGCAAGGCAAATTCCCTCATAGTCATCATTATCAAGTCTCTTCTCTAGTTCACACTCGCCAAAGAAAGGCGGATAATCTACACTTCTGGGAATCTCTTTCTCAAGCGGTTCAAAATCCAGTATTTCATCATCTGAAAGCAGCTTGACATCTCTGAGATAGATTGGAACGAATAATTTTGAATCATCAATTGCTGGTGCGTATTCGAATGGTCGCATGATTCGGGACTTTAGTCTTTGAGCCTCAAAGGGAGTTCTTGATGACCAAGCACCTCTATGATGCAGTGCTTCAGGCTGTCGCAAATATGCCACCAATTCTTTGACGTCCAAATCGATAGTTGACCTCTTGGACGAGACATTTGGATGCACATTTTGAAGGTCAAGTTCTGCTTTTTTCACATTATTGACATCAGACTTCGATCTCAGCTTTATACCAACACTGAGATTCACATCTGAAGTCGCATTTTCGTCGCTGGCCAAATCGCATCGATGTCGCCGATGATACGCTTGACCGGTCATTGCAAAAGTCAGATTTTATCGCTCAAACTACTGATTTGAGTGCTATGTGAAGAATTGTGATCAAATCGTCATAAACTCAACAATCCTCAAACTCAAAACCACCGATATTTTGTTGTCGTCGCCATAGTTATGGTGACGTTTTACGTCCAGGGCCTAACTCTGCTTTCTGAAAGAAAAGAATGTCAGGAATCTGAACCCATTACAGCTTGAAATGCCCCATTCCAAGCAATATCCATCTCTTTTCTTCTCCAAGTCATCATTTATCCAGAACGTTTCCCTGTGACATCAAGTTTTCGATATAATCTTGCAAATATCGATTTTCATGCGATAACTGATCGCATTGTTTTCTCTGCTCGTCAGACCTATCAACAAGTAGCTCTAATGTATCGCGGAGTAGTCTTGTGCGGTTTGAAATCTCGATGTTTCGATCAGAATTTGTCTCTCCAGTGGTTTGTATCTTGCCATTAAGATCCTGAGCATCAGACACACCGTTGCTCGTTTCAGCCATGTTGTTATTGTGCAAGCAAAGTTGTGATTGCGAATCAATTCAATTGTTGACGCCGAAGCTATAAAGGCGGCCAGGCTGACAGATGGTTTATTTTCTAAGTTGGACTACGACTCTCATCACAACTTGATTCAGTATATATATATATATAATATAGATAGTTTATATATTTGGCAAAAAATATGGTCTCTAGCGGGATCGAACCGCTGATCCCCGCGTTATTAGCACGGTGCCTTAACCAACTGGGCCAAGAGACCAGATGTTGAAAAGAGGGGAATTTAAGATGTATAAGTAGAGAACGGTTAAACACACACACACTGATCTTAACAGCTTCACATCTTAGCTAAGGAAGACCTCCAGATCTTGAGACCTTCGCTGGCTTTCAAAATATGATCTAGTATTACTCATGATACGATTAAGTGATTATAGATATGAATATTGTATTCCGTTATAGACTCGAATACATGACATTTACACGTTGTTTTGTCTTTTGACTTGGTTCACGGTTTAGTCAACCTTTATAGATGAATAGATTCTTCTCACAAACCATAAACTGCTTAAAAACCCAATCGTACCGGTTATTAGGCACGACAGCAGCGAGATCAGCAGCGAGTAGCCCAGGTATAGTACGATAGTCGTCAAACCACCAAGTTTGAACTGCGTGAAAATGATGGAATGGACAAAAATGTAAGCCGCACAACCAGTACCTCCTATCCAAAATCCTCTCCATTGCCACTTCCAGTTTTCCAAACACAGGGAATAGTAGGTGAGCATAACGGTCATCAAGGAAGTTGTCAAAGTTAGCAGCAGGAAGGATACGAATAAGAAACCAAACATATAGAAGATCTTGTTGAACCACAAACTGGAGTAGATGAAGTAAAGCTCCACAGCGATCGAGCCAAAGGGGAAAATACCGGCGATCAAAGATGCAGGTATGGTTTTGAGATACCATGGTTGGAAAGGGATTTGTCTGGGAATTTGTTTGGTCTTAGTAGGGTGCTCGTCCCAGTGACATTTCTTGCGTGCAACAAATGACCCCACTGCAGCCAAGGGAAGGGAGAATATGAACCACAGGGCAACCATGGCACACATAGTGCCGAACGGAATGGCACCCGCAGATTCAACAAAAATGAGGAAAAAGTTCAGGGCCAGCATCACGCAGAAAATGAAACCAGGCACCAATAAAGGCGTCAAAAGCATGTTCACTTTCCAGTATTGTCCTCCGAAAAATTTGTATGTGGCCATCGAGGTATAGGAGCCGAAGAGTCCGAATAGAGCGTAGAGAATAAACATCACGGTGGCCAATGACCCTCTAGAAGATGGGGATAGAAGCCCAAACAACGCGAAAGCGATGGTGCAGGCTGCCATCAAAAAGAGTTGAGCTCCAGATCCGACTAGAACCGACAGTAATAGTGATCTCGATGGAGTCCGGAAAACGTCACCATGAACCAATTTCCACCCAGTTTCTTCTTGAAAATCATCGTCCAAGTTCAATTGGTTGTAACGAGACAAATCATCTCTGAGTGTGCGGTACAAGCTGTGTATCATAACGGAGGATAGTAAAATCACCACCAGCGAGAAATTGACTAGCGAAAACCATTGGATTTTGGGGTCATAAACATGCAAATACTTGTCCCATCTCGTGGCCCATGCAGTGGGCGATGACTTGAAGCGAACAGAGTAAGAAAAGTTCACCTCAGTTTCCTTTTCTTCTGATAGCTCTAACAATTCACCAGTCGCGGCGCAAGAGTCAGAAGAAGATCTTTTGATAGAAGCAGGGTTCACAGTGACTCCCACCACTCTGTAGTCTCCATTTCCGCGGTCATGATATTCAATTTGAATGTCGAAATGGTTGACAAAATAAGGTGTTTCGATTTGTTTTACCATTTTATCGACATCGACCACGTTCTTTCTTTTCATGAGCTTGTGTGATTTTTCGAGAGGAGGTTCTTCTAAATAGTCACCCTCAGAAACGGGGTTTGTGTGGGGCTGTGATTCAGGTTCATTGGAGTTTTGGTCCTGTCCGTTCATTCTCAATTTAGACCCGCCTACATCGACCAGGCCAAGTTCAAAACCAGGCGTATAGAAGTCCGTCTTTGTTCTTTCATCATGGGAGACACGAGCTGCAGGCAAACCGTCGACTAGCCAGTTTTGGAAAAACCCGTTGTAGATTAGTTTGTTCACGAATTTCGCGTCTTCAGCTGGAATAGTTTGGGTGCATAGTGGAACACACTCTTTTTCTTCTAGCATTTGAATTTGAAAAGGTGAGTTGTAAATTCTGTCTCCGAAAATGATCGATCCAAGCGATTCCCGTTGTTTTTCCAAAGTTTCCGGACGACAGAAATGAAGCTTGTCGTAGTAGTAATCGTACGAGTATAAGAACGACTCTTTATCGCCAAGATCTTCGTTATTCTCACCCTTGTGCTGAAAGTACATCGTTGGCGTCAAGTGATTGACCAACAGTGGAATGTCATCACCTTTATGATAAGTGGTAGGAGCCACTCCCGGAAGATAAAAGGCATCCGCAGAGGACAAAAGTCCCGCCGCGGCTAGCAAACAAGTCACCAGAGTTCTCATACAAGTAATAGCCACGAGAGATGAGGTCAAAGAATGGTACGTTTGCCCTCAATTCTGCAAGTTATTATTCCGGTGTGGATCTGGTTAAAACGCTCATTGTTTTGTTTTAATTTAATGGAAACCGACCTTCGTTCGACGTGATATAGACTCTTATTTGAAAATTGATATTTTTTATAAAATTGAGGATCCGACTGGGGTTCGAACAGAGGTCAGATCAAACAGTTTAAGCGAGTGGATAGGATTGCCGGAGTCTTTATACTGTCGTTACTGCAAATCTTAGAAGAGACAATCGTAGCCAGAACTGTTGTTTCAGTAAGGAATTTGCTTGTGTGTGTGTGTCTTTCAATGATGGATTAAACTTACCTTTTCCACGTTAGAAAGGGAAGATCATTCATAAAGTTTCCATAGGGCGTGTCGAATACTTTCTTCATGCTTTTGATATCTTTCTTTAAATTCTTTAAAGTGCATTTGGTATTTCAAGTTCTTGGATGAGTTCGAAAAAGGCTATTGCGTGCGGAATCATTCAAGCGATCAATACCTTAAGCCGAAAAAGTGATTTTCAAACCCAGCTGAAGACTTTAAAAGTGATTGAAATTTGCTAGACGCAGCCAATGACACTTTTCAAGCTCCTCAGCGTGAACTGTGAAGTGATCAAAGTAATTTATCAAGTCATTTCTGACACTTTAAACCACCAATTCTAGAAAAACAACATTTCGGAAAGAAAAAACCGCAAGACCCTGTCAACTCAGATATCACACTACGATTCTTCAAGAACAATCACAGCTCTCGCGTCTGTTGCTCATTTCTTCTCAAGGATTTCGTTTGCAAGTGTCCGTATCTCTTGTAACGACAGTGTCGCGCTGGACCTGGCCGAAACTGTCAACAGAAAGAAGCAGAGTCACCATCATTGATTGATTGAAAATTCATTGCTCAAAATCTTATTCTCAAGATCTTTCCCTCCTTCGTGCTTCTGATTCATCGAGTCTTGGCACTCACAGGTTCTCATTAGGGCTGGAGACTTAGGGCTAAAACCTTCAAAAATTCATTAATCAATGTATAGCATAGTGATAATAGCTTGAACATGACAGTCTAAACGGTAAAAACCGAGTCTTTTAGGACAGTAAACCCACTTATTTGACTTGAAGAAACGCCTTCAAACTCTATGCCACTGTCATATGAACGATATATGAACTTGGTCTTTCACCGGGACTCAGTTTTGGAGCCCGTACCGCAAGAAATCTCGCGAAAAATTGTATCTGGAGCTGTATCACCAGTAGTCACCGTCACATCAAATGACCTACTAGACCAACATATACAGGAATTTTATGGTCTTGATAGTTTGTACATGCTGCTCCGGCATTTTGGGGACTGTATTTCCGATAGGGCACAGGCTGACAACGACGACCCAGAAGTTACCCCAGATGACACACCAAAACCTTCAGGCGCGCTTCTAACACCAAACGTAAAGTCCAGAGCTCGCAGTAGGTCCAATAGCCTGTTCCAACGGTCTTCTTCGCAGTTTCTGCGGTTCACGAGACCTTTAACGGACCTAATTGGCACTCGAGAATCTCACGATTTGTTGTTCGATTATCATTCTCTTGAAGTCTTTCTGCAACACTACTTGAATTTGATCGAGGAAAGAACTACTGCAAATACACCGCATATTCTACTACAGCACTCCCTGTATCACAAGTTTTTCACAACGGCAATATCATCAACCACACATTTATCCCCCTACGAATCGTTCAATCACCCTGTAGCGTCGTTACTCGCCCTGGATATAACCAAAGGTCAAGACTACGAAACGGCTAGGGAATTGTTGGTCTCATTCAAAAATATGCATAATAGTACCCCACACTTCCCGGCTTTCATTAACGTTAACGATGTACTGCCCGTGTTTTTACTCTGTTACGAAGAAGATTCCCGCGAGCAATTCGAGAAATGTCAATCCTTAGCCAAAATGCTTCAAAAGCAGTTATTTGTTGAGAGTCTTTTACTTCCACTATGGAATAAAGATAATGCTGCCGTCAAGCGTGTGTTACGCCTGCCGGTTATGTCGTCGCTCGAGGAGACAATGCTCTCCACGATGAATGAAAAACAATTTGAGCTTCCTCTACCTTTGATCGAGACCATATACGACAAATTGATAGTTTTTGCCGAAGAATTGATGATACCTTTCATGAAGCGCAAGATTTCATTTTGGGAAGAAACTATCCTACAACCTCGCAAATCTATCTTCCCCAATTCCAAGTTTTTCCGGAAGCTCATAACGAGAAATCCAGCTCCTACGGCAAACAATGATTCTGCCACTCATAACTCTCAAGGTCTTGCTTATTTTGCTGCGACTTCTAATGAATTCTTGCTACGCAAGCTAGCAGATTGGTCGTTTATGCTCTCCGATTACAAGACTGCTTACTCCACTTATGAATTACTTTCTAAAGATTTTGAAACAACTCCGGAGTATCTGGCATCGTGTCTTGAATGGTGTGCACTCTCCGTGCTGATGGGTGCCCAGAGTATAGTTACCGTGAAGATGATTAAGAACGATATCGACCCACTGATAACTCGAGCACTGAAATCGTACGAGCTGTCAGCGACAAGGGCTAAAGAAAGAAATGCTCTTATCAAGAGTACCAATAAAAAGGCCAGTGTACCAGGTACAGTTCAAGAATCTGAAGCCAAAGCTATCGCTGACGATCAAGCAACATCTACACCATATCAATCTGCACAAAGTTACGAAACAAGATGTATGCTTTTGGCAGCAGAGCTTTTTTTGAGCTTGAGTGATACATGGACAGCAACGCCATACGCCATCAAATATTTGGAGACGATTTTGGACGACTGCACCGTGGGCACTTTATCAGAAGTTGTAATTTGGGAAAGGCTTGCCCAATGTTATGCTTCGAGAATTGATCCAAGAATCAAAAGTAGAAAGACCTTGACAGACATCCGTGGAACTGATGACTTGGAAAAAGTTAATGAAGGTGAAGAGTTATCTGATGCCGACTCTGATGATGAAGGCCAACCATACAAACACAAAATTGAACAGGATTGTGTGAGCGCAATAGGGCTCACAAGAAAACGAAAATCTGCATTATTTCGCCTGATAGCTGCAAAGAAATGGGTCGAGGCAAAGCAATGGAGACAGGCTTCTTGGACCTTCAGAGACGTCGAGTTGATGTATGCGGATTCAAAAATCGCCCACAGAAAAACTTCAACCTCGATACTCGACCGTCTACGAACTGAGATTCAACGTCATGAGTCGTAAATTGAATACGGTTGCATCATGAGCTGGGAGATAATTTGATAAAGTATTAATATTATTACAAACCTCTGTTATGTTTTATAGAGAATGCAGGAAGGCTACTTAGCCTTGTTAATGCAAAACGTCATAACGTTATATGAATTTCATTAGTTTTTCGGGTGGAACCGTGTCTATCATCTCGTTTTCGTCGATACGTGGTTTCAAGAATTGGTAGTTCTCACCAGTGTCACCAAAGAAATACGAGAGAGCAACCGCCAGTGTACCTAAGACCGCAATCGTTCCCATTGAGAGTGCCAGACCAATAAGGACAACGAACCCTCTGTCGATTCGCTTTCTTTTGTTCCCATGGTACAAATTGGGAGTAGCTGGTTCGGAAGGGTTCCCACTACCACTAGGGCTCGTAGTATTACCGTGAAACGAACTCTGTAGGAGCCCTTGATAACAATTGGCTGAAGATATGTCCCTATTGGGAAATAATGCCGGTGGAGCCTCAAGCCTTGAGATCGATACTGCCGATGATGTTGTGTAGAACGGATACCACTTTTGAGAATGGTAGATAAATGCGTTCAACGAACCATACGTTGCGTGATGGATATCGCCAGTAATGATAACAGCATTAGTTCCATTGGTGTGAGTGTGATCGGATGAGTTATAATTTAATGGGAATGCGTGAGCAGCTGCAAAGACTGAAGAGGCCTCGAAATCAGAAGAAATAGAGACCCAGTTACCGTTGGTAAGGTGATAAACATTGCGGTCTGAAAGCACCACAAGATCGTTGTGATTTTCATCCAGGTGTGCAAAGTCCTTTATTTTCTCATCTCCACCTTTTATTATCTGAGATGAACCGTTGACCAACGACAAGCTTAGGAGCCCGGCAGTTTGATTGTCGCCATTTTTTAAAGCTCCTGAGATAACGAGTGTGTCGTTAAAAGTCTCCATTTTGTCGACGACCCCGTTTACAGAATTATTCAAAAATGGCGACCATTTATTGTCGTGGTAGTCAAATAAGCAAAGTCCAGAACATCCAGACCTTTCATCAGTATAGTTTCCGCCGACAAGAACTGACGTGTTTCTCTCCAGAAAAATAAATGAGTTCACGGAGGCTTCATTGGGCCACGAATAATTTGCCACATCACTGTTGGTACTGATATTTCTCAGAATGAATTGCGGTCCACCGGTAGCATTTTCTAGGCCCATCGCTAAGAGAGACTCATTTTTCAGGTAAGCCAGGGCGGATACTGAATTTGGCCATTCGTAAGGTAAGTTTTGAGCCGCAGATGGATTTTTTAGCTCCATCAAATTGTATGCATTTGGGAGTCCTTGTGGGTCATAGCATGCATAGATTGTAGTTGAATTATCGATGAAAACAGCATCATATGGAAGTTTACCTCCAAACACGTCTGAAAAATTCGAGCTTTGACTTGATTTGCTGGGTATCGAGAAACTACCGTCAAGCATAGTAAATTGATTTCTTGTGATGCTTCCTTGCATCAAAGTATCATTCAGATTATTAGAGCCTGCACTGAGAGCGGAAAGTGCGAGTTTGGAAGTATTGTGCAGAAGTTGGTTAGATGTGACATTAACGATGAAGTCATCATTGAAAACCAAAACTTCTGCACCATTTAAGGTAATGTTAGTTGAGCGCAAGGCCGTTGAGTTACCTTCAACAAAATTAGATGTTGTGCCATTAGAGTTAAGGGCAATCGCCGATTTAGAGGTGTTGAATTCTCCAATGACTGCTAGTCCGTTAGAGAAAGCGCTCGCAGAATCAATCTTCCGGCCAATGGTGCTTGAACGAATACTAGAAAACTCAAGATCTTCATTTGGGCTAGCTGTAATCATTTCGCCTGCAGAGGTCAATACAACAGCTGTATCTTCTAAGCGTTCAATGAACAAATTGGCATGTTTTGGAATTTTCGAGCTCGTGAAACCCATCAAACTTGCAGTAGAATTGGCCATCTCGCTGTAAGGAATGGCTGCTGATCCTGTCAAATTGTACTGCAACAACCCGTTTAAAAGACCATGTTCATTGATGTCAAAAACAGATTCATCATATGCGTTGGAAATAATCTCGACTTTTTCAGCAACCATAACAGAAGTATCAGAGCTACCAGCACCCTTGAACACCACTGTGATATTCAAGCTGTCATCGAGAGGCCCCGAGTAAAGAGTATCATACTTTTCAAATGCATTAGTTTGATAAATTTCAGATGTGGAAATAAGTGTGTTATTACTTTTGAAACGCACTGTCGCATTCACAACACCTCTTGCCTCACAAGAATTATCCGAATTACATCCTGGTGTCAGCAAGTTAATCGTGTACTGACCAGGATAATTGATATCAATCAGGTAGTTTACCCAAGGGAGGTCTTTGCCGCTATCAAACTCTGTGTACACGTAGTTATCTCCCTGTGTATTAGACTGCCATGTAGAACTACTGGACAGTTCTGATTCAAACATATTGGCGGAGTCCCCACAGTTGGGAGCGTTCTGTGTATTGTTGGCATAGACAGAAACTTGATCTTCATAAAGCTCGAATGAACTGAGTCCAGCACTTGAGCCGTACGAGTCCAAAGAAATGAAATTCAAACTTGAAATCGGAACTTCATCAACAAATGCGAAATCCTGAAATGATTCAGACCATTCAAGAGTCGTCTGGTTTTTCAAGAAATAAAACTTATCATAATCTGAGGTATTAGAGTTTAAGGCATTCAGATTTTTGGTGGAATACAATGGGCACCATGCGTCGCAGTATGATAATTGTCCAGTGGATGGATCCAGATAGGTTAAGTTCATAATTCCATTGGAAGGCGAGGTTAGAATTCTGAAAAGCGAAACTTGTTCGTCATCGACGGGAGAGTTATAAAGTCGGACCTTTGATAACTTCGTTTTGGCCGCAAGCGTTACATCAAACTCACCCTGTGAGCTGTCGCTCTGTAGCCAACCTGCGCTGCTGGAAGACGAGGGACAAATCAGCTGATCCTTCTGCAAACTTCCCGTGGAGTTCCACTCTGCAGTTTTCAGAGAGAGTGGAGTGCTCAATTCAGGTACTGTCACATTTGAGCTGCTTGAATTTGAGCTATTCATTATGGCTTTAGAATTTTCGAGTGTTGAAAAGTTACCCGCGAAGAAAAGTGCTTGGTCGTTCCAGGACAAGATTGAGTTTACTGCGGAGCCTGAACCGAACCCTCCAAAGGGCAAAAGTTCGACTTTGTCAGTTGTATAGTCCCACGAAACCACAGAATGTGCTGTTGCATTGGTGCTTTGGTATTTGAATTCCCCACCGAAAAATACCTTATCCTTTACAACTGTGATGGCATTGACCTTTGGTAAGGCTTGGGTAAAAATTTGACGAAATTCGACGGTCGAAAGATTGAGGACCAATTGGTGGTCTAATTGAAGGCCCGATAGAGAACCTGTCCCGCTGAGGATGAAGGAATCGGATGCTAGCGGCACTATGTGCTCGACATGGAAAGTCTCGTTGCTGTGTGCTGCATAAAGCTCTATGAGCGTGTCACCGGAGGAGTAGATGAGTCTTTGGTCGGTTTTGTTGGTGACTTCCCCGGTAAAGTTGTTCTGGCCCGAGTATCTATAGAAATTGAGGTCTTGGAAGTTGCCCAGCAACTGTATTTGGCCATTGACGCTCTCTGAGAGATCCAATTGAGGTTGCTCAAAGGTCTCGATGTTTAAAACTTTTTGGATTTGCTCCAGGTGCGCTGCACCACATAATTTCGAACTGGCGAGGATTAAACTGCAAATGAATGTTGCAATGAGACCTCGCATTGCTGAGTTTTTGAAGTGATTTTTGCTCTAGGAAACTCAATTAAGCTTCAATTGAGGGCTTATAAAACCAGCTTTAAGTAGAGCTTCAGAACCTCTCAAGTTCACACGGTACTTGAGCAAAATGCCTATGGAACGAACGCCGTGTTTTCTGGTTATCAAGAAACTGAGAAGTTCCCACAAGCAATCGATCAATTGAAAACCTGCAGTCTCGCAAAGGTTGAGATATCAAATTGAATAATGTGTCCTTTTTCTAATGGAAAAAACCTCTCGACCTGGGAATGCAAGGTAAACTACTCGATCAACGGTTCTTCGATGAGTTTACATCGTCACATCTGCATTCTTCGAAAAATTTACGTTCGTGCCAGATTCACTCTAATGGGTAATTGTAAATATGATCTGTTGAAGCAGTGACAGGAAAAGTCAAAAAAACATGGGTTTTTGAAAAGTCAACTTCCAAGAGAGCGTCACAGTGAGTCAGAAGATGTCTTTAATATTTTGATTCGGTTGTTGGGTTGGGCGCCACCGAAAAATAGTGAAGAAATTGGCTTGTTTTCCGTGACAGAATGGCTTTGTTTCCATGAATTATTGTAGTTCGCCAAAAACAAGAATAAACCTGGTTTTTAGCGATGTATAAAAACAAGAAACTGATTATAAACAGGTGGCTTTTGTCGAGTTTTCTTGAGCCTCAAAACCCATTGTTTTTCTGCTGTTAGAAGCTCTCAAAATCGTTGATAAATTTTAATGTCATTAATTGGTCTGGCGACAGAATATAATATTAAGCTACTTATTACTTGAAAACCATCTAGTTTTGCATTTCTCTATTGAAAGCCCCAGCGTTTGCGATACAAATGTCTGGATAATCGTCAATTCAATGCGTTGATGCCAATTTTTATGTAATGTCTTTCTTGGACATTGTTAAACCAATTCTTTGGTAGGAAGTTGGTTGATAATACAACTATCTGAAATACGTAAAATTCATCCAGAGTCTGTGAGTTTTACACCAGTTTCTCCAAGAAGCTTCAATCTTGAAGATTAATTACCAGGAAATTTTCTATGCTCGAATTTATCACAAACTGACCAACAAAAATTTTATCTATACCCTCGGCAAAGGCCGTCTCTTAAAGTTTCTGTCATGAAGATGTGTACCAGCAGTTCCCTCTCTGCACCCATCAAACGTTGTGCCACATATTTCTTAGTGTCACCGTTAAAAAGTAAACTTGGAATTACACACTTCCACGACAAACTTCGACAGCTGATGAGATCGGCAACTCGTTAATAATTGTTTGCCGTCCACCTATTAGTCAACATTCTTCTTGTTGCTGATTTTCCATTTCGCTTCTTTTCACCGAGTTTGAAAAATCCGGAGTTTTCGATTTCTGGTCTGACCTTCCAACGGTTCTTCTTACAGGTCAACGTAAATATTAGTTTTATTAAAAACAAACAACTTTTCTGGCAACAAAGTAATCGTATTATGAGTAGTTACCGTGCACTTGGTCATACGCAATGACATCTGATTAATTTCCCTTTTCTTCTCTCTCTCTCTCTCTCTCTCTCTCTCTTTTGGCCTCGAGACCTGATCTAATCTGTATCCGACATTGCGATATCTCGGAAATCGGGTTTATGCTTCACGAATGCTTCCTTCATGCTGCTCAAATTGTTGCACGACCAAACGACAGATCGTTTCTCAAGATGGCGAACTTCGTCAATCATACCAAGAACGGTTTCTGGACTCAAGCCTTTGGCGTAAGATATGCGCTCCACCCATTGCACAAACGCCTTCTTCTTTTGAAAAGTGCGCTTCTTTCTAAAATGCACTAGATTTCGTTTACCAAAATCATTCACGAACGCATCGATCTGCGGTCGCAGTGACTGGTAGTACTCGTTGTACATACCGTAAATCGAGTCTTGGTCGTTGGCCATGACGATGGCTAGCTTTCCGTCTTCGTCCAGATAGTAATGCTTGCCTTCCGGTGTGACGGGCGGCTGATATGTTTCTCCCTTAGTCAGCGTAGCTCCCATAAATTCTCTGAATTTGTTGCGTGGTTTCTTTATCGCGAGTTTGCCGCTGCTGCTAGCATTAGAACCAGCTGAGAGATGGGCCATCATCAATGGAGCCGAATGCTGTAGTGGAGATGTCTGAGATTTTCCCTCAGCGCCGAAAACCGTGACACTTTCATCGGCAGCAATAGGCTCATTCACTTTGAGCCCAGGGTCAAATCGAAATGCTGTCGTTGTTGAGTCGTAAGGTAGCCCAGCGTCATACGGAGCGGTAGTGCGAGAAGGAACATCCAATTCTAATTTTGTAGCATGGCCCACGCCGCTGAGGTCTGTCGACTCCATAGGTTCTGACCCACCTAATGCAATGTTGCCGGCCACACTTTCTTGGAATTGTGACAGTTCCATCTTGGGCGATGGCGGAGATGGAGTCTTGGGCAAAGCACTCTCTGTGCTGTTTTTGAGAAGCATGAATTGGTATCTGAGGTTTCTCAAGCTTTCAGATAAAATGTTGTTTTGTCGACGTAAATCGTCGTTTGCGGCACCCAATGCATGAAGTTTTTGTGAGATGTCGGGAAGTGTGTGGGAGAATAGTTGGTCTAGACGTTGCTGCTGATCTGCCTCTAGGTTTGATGGCTGGGGCGGTACTACAAAAGGTTCTTGAAATTCCGACAAGCTGGAGGGGAAAGGTGATTGGTGTACGCCATAAAATTGATGTGACGTGGGCTGTAAGGGTGCGACTGGAACGGATGGAGATTGATTTGACAAGTCCAAGGGCAAATATTCTGGGACGCCCGTGTTTGGTTGGTTCAGATATTCGGGCGCCATTAATGGGAGCGCTGCAACGGTGCTGGGATTTTTATTGGAAGAGACGACCAAACTCTCGAGTTGGGTGTCGTCCAGTGGTGTCCAATTTGGATTTTTGGCTTCGTCATCGGAGTGGTTTGTGTAAATGGCGGGCTTGTGGGGGAAAAGTGACACTTCGATATCTTGTAGCAGTTTGAGCGCCTTGAAAGCCTGATACAACGTAGCAGTGTTGTAGCCGTACTCGTTCCAGTTTGCGGTAAGAAATGCGATGCCTCTCTTGGTAGTGACAATGAAGCGGTTGCTGCGCGTGCCTCGGGGGTCCTGTTCTACCGAAAAACACCACTTGAAGTATCGCAAGATCACCGGGATGTACATTGCTGACAGTACTTCCGCTGGGTATGCCATTAGGATCTTGAAGATGCTGTCGATGTGCAGCAAGCAGGTGTACTGCGTCTGATGGCGCGATTTGGCTGCGGAATAGCAGTCGTAGACGCTTTCGCGATTGCGCATTTGCAACAGTGTGTTCCACAGCGTTTCCTGCAGCAGGAAAAGCGTGGATTCGACCAGCTCTGGGGAATGGCTTTGGTGGTGGTCTGAAGCCTGAGTGGTTGACCGTGGTACGGACGACGACGACGACGACGATGGGATCGGGATTTTGGGCGTGTTTTTCAGGACTGTTTGGCCCGTTGCGATTCCCGCCACGGGTGTTGCACTGGGATGCAATGTGGGTGAACCACCGGGTTTTGTCGTGTTTTGTTGCATAGCGCGGATTTTTCCCTGGTTGTAATTCCACGCTTCAAAACACTCAATTTCCTATCAAATTACCACCTCGTTGCTGTCTGTCTGTCTGTCTGTCTGTCTGTCTGTCTGTCTAGCCTGTTTCCTCCACACAAAGCTAGCAAGCCCCTGCTGGAAGGCCCTGTGAGAAAAGTAGTGTTGAATTAGTCTTTAACGCTAAATCTCTGTTTCTTGCGTTGTTTGCTTCTCTCTTTCTCCCGCGTTTTGCTTCTAACTTTGCTTATCGCTGTGCTTGTCACTTGGCTTGTCACTTGGCTTCTCACTTGGTTTCTCACTTGGATTCTCACCCTGCTTCTCGCTTTGCTTCTCGCTTTGCTTCCCAAGACTGCTTGCCAGTGTGTTCAGACCACAGCGCTATGCGCAAACTAAATAACAAAGATACACAATACTAAACGCGCTATTTCGACACTAAATTCTAGCTATTTTCTAAACCTCGTCTCCTAGACTTCTTCCACCTCTAACAAAGTCCTTTAAACTTACTTATCCGATCTCTTTGTGACGATTTATCTCTTCAACTGGTTTTCCATTGTTCAAGTTCGGACCTCCATTGTATATTAATTTTTTTGTACCGCCCGCTAGAATTAAAGAAAGCGTTGACGGTAAAAATTCCACATGCTAGGTGATAAAGAGAAGACCGAGACGGCTTTAAGAAGTGAAGTGAGAAGCTAGAGATGTGATGTGAACAGAGAGGGTTTGGAACTTGAGTGCGTGGTATTGGTGTATTTGGGATGAAATTTGGGTTTCAAGTTGGACATTTAGTGTTGGGTTTTTGTTTCTTGAAGAGCTTTATCGCCGGGCTTGCCATTGTTAGTGGTAATTTGCCTGGCATGTATGAGTAGGAAAAGTTCCATGCGTTCGAAAGAGAAGAAAAAGAGCAGGGTGGAAAAGGGTTTTGATTAAATTTTTTTTTTGGGAAAAGCTGGATATGCGAGGGGAGATACTGTAGTGAAAGGAAAGCTATTTTGGAGAAGTAGAGGCGTTGTAGAGGTGGGGGGGGGGGACGAGTAAACATGGAAGGAGATTTAGGACGAATTCTATGATGGAATGTGGGGTCACGTGACCTTGGAAAAGATAAAAGGTTTTTTGAAAAAGAGAGAATACAGGTGGCCTGGTGGTACGTACATCAAGAAGTTAAGTTCACATACGGTTTCTTGTGTGACTTCCCCCCCAACCGCTTTCCCCATCAAAAGATTTCACTTACTTGATTTTGCTTCTCGTCACGTGACGGATGACAAAATCGAGTTTCTTTCGAGTATATATATATATTAGCGAGCTTGTACAAACAAACACCTCTGGGTTAAGTAAATTTTTCTTGCAAAAGTCACGCACGAGAAGAAAAAAAAAATCATCTTGTGGCGATTCTTGAAGTGAAATGCATCTGCGGGTCAAGTGATTTCTTCCATATATTTTTGTACGTTTTTATGTAATCAAATAAACGTGAGAAACGCGTAAGTTTAAAGATAATCGTTGATGACACCTTTTGGCACCCTTCGCGATACCTTGGTAAAACTGATACAGAGTAATTATTGAGGGTACTGAAAGCTACGAACAATCGATAGACCTTCCCGCCGATAGGACAATTGCTTTAAGCACTCGGTTAATGATGGAAGTCGAGGGCGCTGGTTCTTCACCGGTGGAGAACTCGTGCATCTCAGAGCAGTTTTCGAACATAGCAACTCCCAATAATGTTTTGGCGCTTCAATGCTTTACTGAAAGAGGGCTCGATTTGACGCGACCTCACGCGTTCCTTGATGCATATTACTAGACGCGAATTGTCGATGTGTTACAACAAGGTCGCCACATCTACATAGTCACGTGATCTGGGAAAGGTTTTTTTTTCCTTAACCCAGAGGTGTTACAAGCTCTCTATTATTACATCCATCCTTCCAGGTCTCTAACGGCGGTGTCATTTCCATGACGACAACACCGAGTTGTCTGTAGAGATCAAGGTCGATGAGTTAAATGGCGAAATAACGTAGGCTCTACAAAAAAGCCATTTCATCCAACATCTCACTTCCGTCTTCTTCTAATCTTGCTAATAATTTCTTTAATCGCTACGTAATTCTCTCTTCATTATATGGGCATTATTATTTCTCGACAGCGTCCACCATCTTTCTGTACTTTCTTTGGGTGTCGGCCATGTCGAGGAAAATCTTGTACTTGGTGTTCAACAGCACACGGTCTGGGTGGTCATCGGCACAAGGTTGAACAACCTTACCGCTGCCGGTCATGGTGTACATGACGTTCCACATGGTGTCACCGTTGTCCGAAGATCTGCCCTTCATACGGTCTTCCATGTCTTTCTTCCATTTAGATTGGGCCTTGAAGTTCAACTCAGACCCACTTTCCTCTTCTTCGTCGAGTTGGTCCTCTTGAGGATCATCCGCGGATGGGAATGGGAAACCAACAGTGGCGATCTGAGAAGTGCTGGCAGTAGCAGAAGGAGCAGTGTAAGGGGAGGGCAAATCGTCGTTAACAACGTTCCCGAATTTCGATAGACTGCTCTTGGTGTTATGGTGAGATGGATCGCCAGCAATAGATGACTTACGGCTTGCGGATATGGCCGTTTGAGCACCACTCTTGTCGAAACTCTCGCTGGCCACGGCACCTAGAAGGGCCGAACCAAACACTACGGCAGCATCGATGTATCTTGGAATAACAATTGGCAACCCCGTACAATCGGCCAGCAATCTCATCAACAGACCGTTACGGCACTGGCCACCAGACATGAAAATCGTGGACAAGTCGTGGCCTGAAGTGGTCATCTTTTCGACAATTTGTCTCGTCTGTTGAGCAATGAACTCACAAGCACCCAAGTACATTAGGGCCAAATCGTCAATGGAGTTATCCATGGACTGACCGATGATGGCCGCACGCATGGAGGCATCGGCGATTGGGGATCTGTTACCGTGGTAATCACCGTAGAAAAACAAATGTCTTGCCAAATGAACCACAGAACGAGCCTTGTTCTGATGAGCCAAACTTTCTAGTCTGGAGTTCAAATAGTCGAATTTTGAGACGCTAGCAGCGTCGGCCAATTGCGACAATTCCGTGTAGGCTGGATGGGTGGTCAAGACATGTGCCAGCAGAGCGCCTGTGCAACTTTGACCACCTTCGGCACACCAAAATTTGTTGGCCATCACGTCTCTGTAGGGACCCCACACACCGTCAACAAAGACTGGGTCGCGAGACATGGCTATGTGACACGTAGAAGTACCTGCCACGGCCGCGAGACGGCCTGTGGCACGGTCAATGCCAACTTTTTCGCGATCGCTCTTGGCCAACGCTGGAAGTGAAACATCGGTTCTGGCAGCGACTGTACCGACCCAACCGGCGTAGGCGTCGATCACACCGGACCCGACCACACAGTGGTTGGAAAGACCCAGTTCTTCGGCCACAGACTCGTCGATGGCTCCGATGAACTCACCAGCACTGAGGAAGTTCTTGCCCTTGTTATCGTTTTTGACGGAGCCTCCGATTCTGCGGAAATCGTCTTCCACCAGCTCATCGAGCCCGATTTGGTGGAAAAAATCGCGGGACCAGCCTTCAGTGGAGCCCTCCACGCCCACGGGCAACAAACCCTGTTTGCAGGCCGTGGAGCAGAAACTGCGGGTTTCTTTGCCGGACGCTTTGAACGTCAGGTAGTCTGCCAGATCGAAAAACTTGCAATTTGCGAATTTGTTGTCTGGAAGATGGCTCTTGAGCCATTTGATCTTGGGGATCTCCATTTCCACAGACATCTGGCCACCAACGTACTTGAGACATTTGTCACCCGTGGCATTGATTTCTGCGGTTTCTTGGATGGCCCGATGGTCCATCCATAGGATGATGTTCTGGTCTGTGTTGCTGAAATCCGGGCCTACGGCCACCTCTTTGTTGGACTGTTCTTCCACCACCACAAGCGAGCAGGTGGCATCGAAACCTATACCGTGGATTTTCTCGCTGGGCACTCCTGAGTCCCGCACCACGGATTTCACACAGTGACACACCGCCTGCCAGATCTCCTGCGACGACTGTGTGATGAAATTGGGCTTTAGTTGTTCTCTCTGGATAGGTCTTTCGGCCAAAGACAGGATGTTACCCATGCTGTCGATGATACAGGCTCTAGCAGAGCCTGTTCCCACGTCTACACCCACGTAGTACAGCATTTTTTGCTGTTCGAGCGACAAACCAGACATGGAATGCGATAGCATTCTCTGTTGCGAGATTGAAATCGAGGTTCTTGATCTTCTAGATTGCATTATTGGTTTAATTTGGTTTGTGTTTGTGTTTGTGAGAGGAATATGGGACTGATATTTGTGTGAGTAGAGTATTATTGATTGTGTCTGTATCAGAACTCTAATTGTTCTTGTTTCTTGTTTCTTGTTTCTTGAATCTTATTTCTTGGTCTTGTCTTGTCTTTAACAATTTGACTTGACTTATCTACACACTCTGCAGTTCGAAATTGGAACCCTATAATCCCCTATATTCATCAACATCAGTGGTTCTTATAGTCCTCGAACCGGGTTTCCCAACGCTTTCACATAAGTTTCCCACGGGTTACCCTAAAATCCTGAACCCAACCAGAAGTCATCTGTTTGACGGCCAAATCAAGCCCAAAACCGAGCTGGCGAGCCTGTATGCGGTTACGTGTGTTTGCGGAAGCAAATTTCGAGGTGAAGAGCATTTTGTACGAGGCGGAGAAACCAAGACTAACCGAACCGGGAGCGTATGAAAGCAGTAGCAGTAGCAGTAGTAGCAGTAGCAGTAGTAGCAGTGGCAGTAGTAGCAGTGACGGCAGTAATACAGGTGATAGCCACGAGCAAAGAGCTGGTTATCGCAAAGCTCGTGGCAAAGCTCGTGGAAACGCGAAGAATTCGATAGAAAAGCGAGATTTGAGAGAAGCCCTAGAGCGAGATATAGTAGAATGAGACACAGTAGATTTCTCAGTTAGGATCATTCATTGCTTATTGCATCATGTGTAGAGATAGAGAATAGCTATTGGAAGGGCAAAGACGACCACATTAGGAATGCAGATCTTGTCTCATCGGTGGTGGACGTCCTAACAATGGCCAAGTGAGCCGCTCTACGAGGTGCGTTTTGAAACGTACGTTTTACGTTGTTTGGCGTGTTGCGAGGCGGTGATTGTCGCGATACGATGTGGTCTAGCCGTTGGTTAGTCCGTTGGTGTGTTTTCTCGAGCCTTGAATACGTTTTATCTAGCTATAATTAGCGTAATGGGATAGATTAGTAGATTGACGAGAGTACTCTAGGGATGTGTACTCGCGCAAAGTACTCGAATTTAAGATATGTTTACGTGTAAAATGATATTATAAAGTCAAAATAAGTATCCAAAGACGCGCTCTCTGCACAAATAGACAATAGAATTCAAGACCAGTGCTGTTTTTGAAAATTACAACTATTTCATTGAATATCAACCTCTACGCTCGGCTGCAAACCCAACGCGTCATTGATTTGACCCTAATCACACTCCTCCACCCTCACACTAGCTATCCTAATCACTATATACGTTAAACTAGTCAATTAGGCCCCCTCCATTTTGAAGCATACACCCAGAAACTTCAAAGTTGTTTTAGATCGATCTAATTCAATCGGTAACAAACATTGGGTGTGCCACAATTGCGATACGCGATCTTGAACAAATCATAGCCAAATCTCATCTCGTGATGTGCAAGCTTAGCTGTCGTTTATCATTATATACGTATTTCGTCAAAAAAAATCACCTCGATTACCTAAGTGTCTCCTAAACTCCGTCAAAGCATCGCTTTAACGCCCAGGTTGTAACCAAAAGATATAGAATCTAGCATTAGCAGCCCAGTAAGACCAAGAACGAATCACAGACTCTAAACCATGCGATGAGCAGAAAGCTGCTAAAAAAATATCCAGCTGCGCCATCCCTCAATTTGGAAGCCCGGTCAAGCACATTACATTCCCGAGCTCTCTTGTTCTGCCAAGATTCTCCTGATTTTCTTCCCTCGTAATCATCTCAGACTTACTGAAATGTTGGAGCGCATACAGCCTGTAAATCTTACTTTCTTGAATGAGTTGCCTTTTTCCCACGCCTCATGTAGCCACCCTCGGCCTTCTGTCCAGGTCCCGTCTCTTGTTATTATTATTTTGATGACAATGGGTCTGTCGGTTTTCACCGACCAGCAACTTCTTTAACTGCCATCGTTAGGTTTTGAGCACCATCGAAACAAGGTTTGAGCAAATCCCACAAATATTGTGGTCGATGCAGCGCTTCGGTTGGCCCCCGAAATCACGTCTTACCAATAATGTTACACCCCCTTCATACCACACCTACAGCCAAGCCTGGTATCCGAACCTCTTTGCTGTACACCATTCTACGCCATGCTCGTAATACTCGTCTCTTGTAACCCGCGAGTCTAAATAACTTTGAGTGCCTGAAAACTGCTTCATGCATTGCCATCCAAACGTAGCATTATTGCCGCGCGGAACAAATACTCGGCAAGACCAGTCGGTCGGGCACTGTCGCTGCAGTTCTGTAGCTAGTCGCGATGCAAAATTTGGGATGTTGAAGTTTCCTCCCGTTACGGTGATGTTTCCGACCATAAGTGGCCGAAGCGCTTCTGGGAGCATGGAAACGCTTTCCAGTATCGTTTCAATGATTCCGGGGCTCAGCAGAGACGCAATCTCAGGGTGTAGAAAAGTCTCAGGGATAGAAAACAGTTCATCCTCCAAAACGATGGTTTGCGAATCTTCAGGTAGCTTCTGCCCAGGCTTCCTTAGATATCCTTTGAAACTGGTGTTGAAATCCGGGAGAACATATTCCTTGGCTGTTTCCGACTTGGATTGAAAACTATCGAAATAAGAATGCGGGCTCATGAAAAGACAGTTTTCCTTTATATTATCGACCAAAATAGTTTCGTCCATTACATTATAGTGCCGAAACGAAAGTGTCTCCCGCAGAAATCCGTTCAAAAACCGACCACCAATATCCAGTTTTTTCACTGCCTTGTAATATGGAACTCCTTTGATTACAGGTACGATCCACGTACAGTTAAACCCAGAATCGATCACCAGGTGGAAATTGTTGTAGTCATGAGCTTCTTCTGTTTGTGCCCACTCCAATATATCGTTTTGATTGTTGCTGTTACTGCCGCTGGAATCGCTCTTGGCCTGAAGTACACTAGTCGTTTTGTCGTTGACAGAGAAAGGGACGAAAGTCGGTACCGGAGCTTTAAACATACTAGTGAATTCGCATTCTTCGAAAACAACTTGGTCCATATTCTTGCTTAGTTCAGGTATAGTCATGCAGCTCTCTGAAGTTACCAGATGTTTCCCTCGAGTTGAGTCCAAAGACCACCCATTGAAGTCTTCTGGGTTATAGAAGCAGTAATCCCATACTTGATTCTCTAGTTCCCAAGATACAAGCTGTCCCAACTCATGTGGCCTCTTAAACGCTACCGATGAGATGTCTTTGATTGCATTGACTTGATTCGAGAGGTGAAAATTACCATACTTGTCTCTTGCGATACAGTTTAAGGCCCTGTGAGGCTCGTCTTGGTTGGCAAGACCAAACTTGATCTCATAGGAGCCATTGTCTATGACCACAGGTGTCTCTTCCATCTAGTTGCTAGTGTTTTATACTAAAGACAGTGATATTAGTTCAGCTCTCAGCGATTTCATTGTTAATATATATAATATATATCCTTAGCTGATCCAACTCGAACTTCAGAGAAACTAGTTTCCAGCACCACAGCGAGGCAATGTGAGATTGCATAGCTGGGAACTTGAGATAATGTATATAAATCCAATTGGGTAGCCACGGAATTGACCTTTGTTTTCGAATCTGAACCAAATTCCTTTAGATAAAGCGACACTCAGCTGAACTTCAAGCCGTATTAATAAAGGGGCCTATGTGAAAGGAAAAGCTGTTGGCGAGCTTAAAACGATGTTTTTGCTTCCTGAGAAGCAGCGCGGAAAATTTGGTCGCAATCATTGTACTTGTCAATGGACGATTACGTGTGTATACTGGCAAATTTAGAACATTCTCGCGATATATTCAAGTGGATCGTGCACTATGAACTCCAGCTTTTGAAGATGATGCACTCAATTCTTTTATGTTTCAAACCCTATCACCAACACTACGCGGAAAACGAAAGGATTTTGGCCCCGAGATCTTTGTGACAAAAATGATTATCTTGTCTTGGTCACAGTCCGCACTAACGAAAGTTCAGCTTCAGACTGAAGTATCACCAGTCTTAAATTATTCCTCTCTTCTCAAATTCGAATATCAAGAGGTGCGCATTGTTCACACCTTCAAATCAAGCATACCCTTCAATGCGTCATGAGGGGAATCCGTGTCATGCCAAAAGTGTCTGTTGCCAGCCGAGATCCCAGCTTCCCTTTAACGATACGAAGACACATCGCATGCGAAACTCGGTCCATGATGCGCGTTCAAAGTGTATTAGCTTACAGATGTGGCTATTTTTCGAGCATTCCAAGATATATTTTTGGACCCTGCGAAAAAAAGCATCGAAGAAAGGAGTGGATTTATAAACACTTGAAAGAGGTTGTGAACCATTGGATATGAACATTGAATTTCGCTCACATCTAGTCAAATTACAGCTCCAGAAGGCCCGACCTTTCTGAATTTTAGACTTAGATGACAGCGCATGGCACGTGACTTTTTCGATCTCAATAAATTTCAGGCTTTAAATCGATGAGTATATTGATCAGTGATGGGCCCTCGATTAACAAACACCAAACAAACACGCCTCAAACTGGCTCAGATAGTTCACCAAGTGCTGTCATTGTTATGGACAGTCCACTGTCTAAGAAACAGAGAATTCACATTGATCGAGATGACGATTCGTCGCTGGAAGAAGATTCGATAGACGTGACTAGAGCCTCGAGATCAAGAACGCCCCGGAAACTCGTTTTGGGATCTCCCAGTAAACAATTTGAGATCTCACAACGTGGAAACTCGTCTTCTTCTAATGTTCCATTTTTGCAGCCCCTGAAGGACGATTTCACAAGCTCGAGAAGTCGAGTGTATTCACAGTCACCACCAAGATCACCAAACAGGTCACCCACGCGAAAATTAGAGCTCATACAATTGTCTCCCGCAAAGAAGACAAGACTTGAAATACAAAGACTTCAAAATAGTCAGAACGGAGCGGATAAGGTCCAGCGATTGTGCATAAGTCAGTTAGTCTTAACAAACTTCAAGTCATACGCTGGAACCCAGGTTGTAGGTCCCTTTGATACTTCGTTTTCGGCCGTTGTAGGCCCCAATGGATCTGGAAAATCGAATGTTATCGACTCGCTGCTTTTCGTTTTCGGATTCCGCGCAAACAAAATGCGACAAGGTAGACTTTCCGATCTAATTCATAAGTCAGAAGCATTTCCCTCCTTGGATTTTTGCCAAGTCGATATATTCTTTCAGTATGTCCAAGACGAACCGGACGGCAGAACAACTGTTAAGAAGGATAAACAAGAACTCGTTGTAAGCAGAAAGGCATGGAAAAATAGTTCATCCAAATACTACGTGTGTGGCAAAGAAAGCAGTTTTACTCAGGTAACGCAGCTTTTACGCAACGAGGGCATCGATATGGATCATAAGAGATTTTTAATCTTACAGGGCGAGGTTGAAAGTATAGCGCAAATGAAACCCAAAGCTGAAAAAGAGAGCGATGACGGTCTACTAGAATACCTGGAGGATATTATCGGCACTGCCAAATATAAACAGCTTATAGAGCAGACGCTTTTGGAGATTGAACAGCTGAATGAAGCATGTCAGGAAAAGGAGAATAGATTTGAGATTATTGAGAGGGAGAAGAGCTCCCTAGAATCTGGTAAAGACGAAGCAATGGAATTTCTTGAGAAAGAGAAACAATTGACATTACTGCGAAATAAGTCCTTGCAACATAGCCTGTGGCGGAACGACACCAAACTAGCGGACTTTCAGCTCAAAAAAACTGCGCTCGAGGAGAAACTGGCCAATGAGCGGGAAAAATATGCCAATCACCAGCAGGAGATAAAGGAGTTGGAGGCCCGATCTCGGGATTTCAAGAACAAACTAAAAGACCTGAAGGAAAAGGAGAGGACTCTTATGCTGAAGAAACGAGATTGTGATCGTGAAAAGATCTCAGCAGAAGAAAGGTTGAAAAATCTTAAGCAAAAGAAAGTCAAATCCGAGAAAGCTCAAAGCACCACGCAATCCTCGATCGGAAAAACGGAGGTGAGACTTAATGAATTGCACAAGGATCAGGAAAACTACAATAGTCAGATTTTGGAATTGAATAAAAATTTGGCGGAAGAAAAGATCAAATTAGATGAGATCAAAGTTTCACTCAAAGATAAAACCGGAGCTATCTCAGATGAAATAGCTAAGCTCCAGAAGGATCTCGAACCCTGGAATGCTCGCCTACAGGCTAAAACATCCCAGTTAAAATTAGAAGAGACCACAATATCGGTGTTGAAAGAATCACACGCCAAAATTGTACACGAAATTAAACAAACTGAAGATGAGATCTCATCTCTGAATGGAAAAATCAATACAGCTCGCGATGCTGTTAGATCACTCGACCAAGAGGGTGCCACAATCAAAAAACAATTGACCATAGGTCAAAGCGAGTGCGACAACGCATCTGTCAAAATAAAAGAGATGAAAGCGGTTCTTACTGGCCATCGTCAGCGAAGTATGGACGCCCGTGCTTCGCTTTCTACATTCGAGAACAAGAACAAAGTTCTTGCTGCTCTTCTCCGTTTGAAAAAGTCCGGCCGGATATCTGGACTTCATGGTAGATTGGGTGACCTTGGAATAATTGATGACAAATTCGATGTTGCCATATCCACAGCTTGTCCGAGGCTCGACGACATTGTAGTGGAAACAGTAGATTGTGCCCAGCAATGTATTGATTATTTGAGGAAAAATAAGCTAGGATATGCGAGGTTTATTCTGCTCGATAAGCTTCGATCTTTCAATCTAAATCCGATCCAAACACCTAGCAACGTTCCTAGACTTTTTGACTTGGTAAAGCCACATAACGAAAAATTCAGGAATGCATTCTATAGTGTGCTGAGAGATACGTTAGTGGCAGATAATTTAGGGGAAGCGAATCGCGTTGCGTATGGTAAACAAAGATTTCGAGTCGTGACCTTGGATGGCAAGATGATCGACCTTTCGGGTGCCATGAGTGGCGGTGGTAATTACCGAGCGAGTGGGCTTATGAAGTCGGAACGTCAAGATAACGCTAGCGCTTTGACTGCAGAAGATGTTAAGCGTATTGATGCCGAACTTGTTGAACGAGAAAAGAACTTCGAGATAGCAAATGCGACGCTACATGAAATGGAGGAAGCATTGCAAGCGCTGAAAGATAGGGAGCCAGAAATCGGACTTGACATTTCCAAGCGCGAAATGGATATTGAATCTCTTCTTCTCGATATAAAAGCCAGTGAGCAAAAGCTGGCCAATCTGCGCAAGGAGCATGCGGAAAAAAACACTTCAAATGAGGAAATGACATCAGCTGAAGAAAAGGTTGCGATGCTGAAAGATGAATGCAAGCAGCTCAAGGTGGAAATGAAGTCGAAGAACGTCGCGATCGACAATCTTCAGCAAGAAATTATGAAAATAGGTGGAACTAACTTTCAAATACAAAACTCCAAAGTTGAATCCATTGCTCAAAACATTGAGATCATACTAGGTAAGCAGAAAAGAGACAAGAACTCCATCAGAAAAGAAGAAGGTGATATGCGACGCTTCAATCGACAAAACGAGGAACTTTCTAAAGAACTCGTGAAGTGTACAGCAGAATTGAAGGGCATGGAGGAGAATCTCTCAAAGGCCAGTGATGCATTAGCTTCTTTTGAGGAACAACTCGACAAGCACATGGACAACGTTTCTGAGCTTGAAGAAGAACTGAAGATTGTCGAGGAACAGCTAGAGCAGAAGTCTACGCAGGACAGTGGATTCAAGGTGCTGGAGGTTGATATCAACAGTCAGCTGGAAAAGCTTCGCGAAGTTACCGTTGCTGTACAAAGAGAGCGCACAAGTCTAGAACGGCAATTGGATGCTTTGGAGATTCGCGACGTTACAGCAATCCTGGAACAGCTTGAAGAAAACATTCTACCTTCCGACTACGTGGATACGCAAAATGGTGGCCCCGTTCAAAGCAATAACAATGAGCATGGGGACGATTGCATGGATATCGATGAAGAGGAAAACACTGGAGGCCATTCTGACGACCCAAGTCACGGCATTGAGGTTCAAGACGAAATGGAAATTGATAGTCCCAACGTACATTCAGTATTACCAAAGCTTTCGCAACCAGAGTTGGAGGCGTTTGATGCAGAAGGCGTCAATCTGGAAATTGCACAACTGCAAGACTTTATCGATAATGCGCACGTTGATATCGAGGTTTTGGATGAGTATGCCAAAAGCTTGGCTGATTTTCGAGCACGTAAACTAGATCTCAACCTGGCTGTCGAAAAACGAGAGAATGTTAGGCAAGTCAGCGAAGACTTGAAGAAGAAAAGACTCGACGAATTTATGGATGGCTTCAACGCGATTTCGTTAACTTTGAAAGAGATGTATCAAATGATAACAATGGGAGGAAATGCCGAGCTCGAGCTCGTGGACAGTTTAGATCCCTTCTCTGAAGGAGTGCTATTCAGTGTGATGCCTCCAAGAAAAAGCTGGAGAAATATTTCCAATTTGAGTGGTGGAGAAAAGACCTTAAGCTCATTAGCTCTTGTGTTTGCTCTACACAAGTATAAACCCACCCCACTCTATGTGATGGATGAGATTGATGCGGCACTTGATTTCCGAAATGTTTCCATTGTCGCGAACTACATCAAGGAACGTACAAAAAATGCTCAGTTCATCGTGATTTCTCTTCGAAACAATATGTTCGAGCTTGCACAACAACTCGTTGGCATCTATAAAAACAGCAACATGACCAAAAGCGTAGCACTGCAAAACAGGGATTTCATTGACCGAGGTTGAAGGCTGCTACGTAACACTACTTAAAAAAACCTATCCCCTAGTTCACGCCCGACCAAATATTCTAGTCCATTCGGTCTCAGCCATGTGGGCGAGATTCTGTAGTGGTATAATTATTCCTTGGTGAGTCATTCCCGGGAAATGCTTTCTATTCACACCAAACCATTCAATGGGTGGGGTCGCATTGCCAAGATCCCTTGTCTGTGGAATTTCAATATGGGGCTCTTCTATGGGAACATAAGTATACTTGCTTCCTAAGTCGACGTCTTTCAACTTATCTTCCAAATGCTCGTCTTCGAAAAGACTTTTCGGTTGTTCATCATGAGATCTTCTGAGTGCTAAAGCCCTGACGTGAGTAGCCCACATCTCTCTTATAAAATTAATCGACCCCAAGTTCCATCTCACACTTATCTTTCCACCAAAGCTGTTACTGTATAGCAGTTCCACAACATTAGTTGCCACATCATGCCACGTTGTCATTCCTACCAAGATAGCGGGAATGACCAAGATTGTTCCACCTTGTGCTTTTGCAGCATGCTTGATATATTCTTTGACACCGATCTGCGATGCCACCTTTTCATTCAGTTGATTTTTGTAAGTGGATAGGGCAAATTTGACGTTATGAACTTGACAATTGAGTTGACTCTTTAGCTTCTCATGACCCTCAATTTCGGACCGGGTGACAAGATCAGCAGCTCGGAATGTTAAAACTTCCATGTCAAACAACGTATTGGGGAAGATTTGAGTGTTGATAATGTCCATTCTGACCTCTAAGTCAGTCCGCAAAAAGCTGAGCGAGTCCAATATTTCACGGCTCGTGCTTGGGCGTTCTGTATCTCTTGTATTTGAGTCGCCTAACGTCTCGAAATAAGACTTTCTGTTCTCTCTCCGCATCCTCAGTACTGTATTGTACACATCGAGGATATTGGCGGCAGCTAATGCTGTCGCAAATATATTTGTACTTCCACAACTTAAGGACACAGACAGAAAGTCTTTGAGCAAACCACCAGTCTCTCTTTTATTGAAAAGCATTATCTTGAAGTGCTCTAAACTTGCAATCAAAATTAGGTGATAGTCGAAGGATAACTTGACTGCAAATTCTGATATCGTCACACCAAGGGTTATCAAAGGGTTTTGGAAAATACCACCACGGATTGGCCAACTGATTCGTGAATTCCAATTGAAATCTCGTAATAAAACGTTCCCGCCTAGTCTTCCATCGGATGAGAGGGAAACTCTTTCAAGCTGCAGGTACAGCTTTTGAGTCCAGCCTTTGTAGTGATCTGTGATAGTCCATAAAGAGTCCGTAGATAAACTTAAAATCCCGAGAGAGACGCCAAGATCGATCTTACCCTTGACTTTGGAGATGATTGTGACGAAGCTCCAAGGGAGTGAGCTACTCGAAGCGAGTTTTTTATGCTTCGCGGCAAGAGATTTCTCTGCCACGATGTTCGTCTTATTCTTGTCAGATTCAGGCTGGGAGAGAACTTTGCTGTCCACCTTCCAGATGTTGATGAAAACATTGAGATCCTGGAGTTGCTTGAAATTGAAGAAGACATCGATATTCGGAACAAGTAAGACGCCATAGGTGGTAATGACATCCGGATGAGTCAGAAGAAAGACAACTGTTGAATGATCTATCTTTATGGAGGTGCTGATCTCCCTCGAAAATATGTGTCGGGAGGTGGCAGTAACATTTTTGATATCAAGAGCAAAGCTCACCGGTCTCAGATGATCCAAAGTATTAGTGAATACACTGATCACCAAATTTTCGAATCCGACGTCTGCTTGAACCTTCGCTTTGGGTTCGCAGCTCAATGTGATTGACTGCTCATCGAAGTGGACTTGGAAGGATATGTCGAATTTTTTCAACAAACTCTTGTAGTCGACGCTCTCCTGCATCTGTGGCCTTTGAACAGAAACTGGAAATGTGCTGAAAGTTTTCATAACGCGGTTGCTGTCCCGTATCACTTCTCCTAGAATGGGAACGCACGAGGGAAATATAGCATTGTGAGACTTTTCCACATGCACAAACGATCTAACGATGTGGGAGCGCTCCTCAGAAGGATTGAACTTGTAATCGATAACGACTTCGACTGATGGGCTTTCCACTTGGAAAGAAGGGTGAAGGCCTAGACTGAGATCTTTCTCTGAGTAAAGCTTGAAAACGCCTCCGGCGTAACGTGCTCTGCAGTTCAAGCTTCTAAGACGCGAAAAGCCTGAGAATTGTAAGCCTTTTGAAGTACTAAAGGTTTTTGGTGTTTCATTGAAATTTGTATTGGAGCTCAAGTAAAGGCTTTTCAGCTCTTCGAACGCCTGAAGAGATTTTAACATTCCTTCTGCTACTAAAACTGACTTTGACAGAAAGCTCACATCAAGCTGTTCCCCATTAATCCTTACAAACAGATCTTTGGCTGCCTCTTCACCTTCGAACCAATATCCGAGCTGCGTACTTGGGAGAAAACTTCTGTTCGGTTTGTCCAGTTCACTTTCTAGGGCATAGAAGTTATTTGCAGCAAAACCTCTCGCGACGGAAAAGTACGCGTCCAGAATCGTAAGCTTTCCAAATGGCCACTCGTGTGCGGCGAACAGCCGTTGGTATCCCCATATGAGGCCTGGATGAGTCTTCTCCTCATCGTTGAATATCCAGCCCAAACACAAGTTGTATGATAAGAAATGGATTGACTTTATACTGCTCAACATTTTAAAGATTTCATCAGAAGTGTCTGGTTCTGCGCTTTTTGTTGAGTTGTATTGAGCAAGTCTGGCACCAAGCCCCGAAAATTCTTTACTCAAAGCCAAAATCTTGACGAGTGAAATCGGGCAAAGAGCCACTCGAAAGTGTGAGCTTTCTATTTCGAGAGATTGAACGTTTTCTGGTTCTTGGTCCACTTTCACACTGACGCCAAAGTCGAGGACTTTGGACAGGTTTTCGGGCAGTGCAATATCATTCATCAAGAATGCGACGCTTGTGATTGAAAATCTCCCCTGAACATATTGATTTCGTATGTTCGAGCTTTCAAATCCATCGCTTCGGGCTGCGACTGTGGAGGACACTTCGTTTAGCTCAAAAATGTAGCTTGTCGAATTCAATGGAAGAAGAAAACCCATGTACTTCGCTCTAAGAGATATGGCATACTGCACGGGCAGCAGCTGTACTGTTGGAGTTTCCTTTACAGCATGCGCGTTGTCCCTAAACAATTCCATTTGTTTAATATTCTCGAAAAGCTCAGCTGAACTCTTTTTCGCGACATCGAACCCATTTGCTAAGATACTCACCAATTTTTCAGGTGCACAAAACTTGATCTTTGAAATCTCAGAATCTACTGAAATTGAGTAAATCTTCTTTGATCGTGAAAGAGTTTCGCTGAGTTTCAACTCGGACTTCGATTGAGAAAACTTTATTTGCTGATCAGCATCAGCTACCATGCCCAGCGACAAATCGAACCCTTCGGACGTCAGTTCAACGGCTCTTCCAGAAAGCATATTCACTTTTAGATTTAGCTTTTGCACGCGTTTCGATATCACGAAGGGCGATATAGCACACACGTCGAAGGAAAGATCTTCAATGTTTATCTGAGAGATTATTTTTGAGCTAGCAGGCTCTTGCAACGCATGGGGTGGGAATGCTGCATTGTTCCAATAATTTACTCTAGATCCGATCAGCGCATCCAACGGCCCTTCCGATTTGATGAATTCGTTGTATGCAGTAGAAGGAGAAGGCAACTTTACTCGTAAGCTCCGCAATTGAGCGTCAACCAGGCACGGAGTGTCGTCGCTATTCAAAGAAAGCAGAGCACCAACTGATCCGTGCCGAGAAAAAACGTCTAAAAGAATGGCGTCTCCGTACCGCACTCCTAGTTCGAACCATGACCAGCTTGTCGTGGCAGAACAACCCTGAGCTTCTTCAGATAAAGCCAAGGCTAAACTGTTTCCAAAGGATTTGAAGTTCAATTTCGTGATTCCTGAGACTAGCTGAAGTTCACAGCGATCTATCAGTAAAACAATTTGAAGCAACTGCAAAAATTTCCCTTCTCTAACATGTGCTGTACTGGGAGACTGCGACGCTGAGGAAGAGTTTTTCATTAAAACTAGCTTCATGGTCGATTCGCTAGCAAACGCCTTGACCAATTTGACTGAGGCTGTGAGATGCTGTGCACCTCCTTCGATCTCAAATTTCTTCTCAGCTTCTTTGCGATCGTGGGTGATCCCTTGTGTAGCCGGTTTTGAAAGCCGAAAATCTTTAAGAGTAATAGCATCACCATCTTCGTTTACGTTTTTGGACAAGGTTAGCGAAAACGTACTGACGTCGAAACGCAATTCAGCATTTTCTATCTTAATCCCGGTTGGCTCTTTACTACCAAATGAATGTTCATAAAATAGACCTTTTTCCAAATCAGAAAACTCCCAACTCCTCCATTTAGAGAAGACATTAAGAAACAGTTCTCCAGCGTTTTCTGGTGCTTTGAAATCAGAACCCTTGATGTTACCGTATATTTCAGATACTAGCGCCGCTGGAAGATAGTTCAAAATGTGACGCAACCTGGTGATAATTTTCCAAGTCCTATCTTCCCTAACGTGTTGATCTGGAAGTCTAGTAATATAGGCGGGTTTCGTAATAACAGGAGGGTCGTGCACAATATGATATTCCTCACTAGCTTTCGCAATCTGATAAAAAAACTCCTTCTGTGCATTTTTCCTCGAACTGATGTATTGAGAAGAAGCTGCTTGTAGGGTGCTAAGATCCTGGAATAGCTCTTGAAGATAGGACCACAATTTATCCACTGTGGTCGGATTTATAGAGCTATCACTAGATTGGATATTAACAGAAATGACTCCGCAGTCATACGATGAATACCAAGCTTCGAAACCTTTTATGGATGAGTATAGGAGGAACTCGTCATTTGAAGTCGAAAGGCGTCCAGAAGTATCAAGTATTCCAATGCTTGCGAAATTGAATCTGATGCAAGCCGAGCTCCCCTCGTGGTTATCCAACTCGACCGATTTATCATCTTCTTGCAATTCTCTCTTAGTACTTCCGTCGACATTCATGCCCTTCACTGAAACTTCCAGCTGTAATGAAGAGCGTGTTTTGCTATCGATTTCACCAAGTATCAACTTGAAGTCACGGCAAAATATCTTTACGTTCTCCATAAATCCAGCCGCGTGGTTTTGTTTGAGGAAGTGCATAACAGTGTCGATCTCGCTGTCATCAATAATCTGATCGACCGAGTCTGAAAAAAGTATCCCCATATAATCCTCAACAAGGACAAAGCCTGCTGGGTCCAGCCGCAGCCCTGCTTTTTTGAGATTCACTATTATACTGTTGGCCTTCAAATTTGATGCAGCATCGTTTCCACGCCGTTCTTCTGCTGATGATACTTCTTGGCGATAGTTGCTGTCGTCTATACGTGAGCCGTTTTTGTGCCAATCTCTAATCTTGATAGGCCTTTCGATGTCTTCGACGTCTTCGCCCTCTAAAAATCTGTCCAAAAATTGATCACAGTTTTCAGCATGCAACGGCTCCGTCAACGTCGGTATGGACATGCCAGGTGGTATACAGCCTAAAAGTTCATTGTAGACTTCTGAGTTTTGAATGACTAGCGGTAGTAAGAATGGACAGCGATGAAATGGTGCGTCGTTGGCGGCAATATGTGCTTTCTGCTGTCGCGTATGCAATAGGAAATCTTCTAATTGTGCGAAGTTTGTGACGTCAAGCGAGGACTCGAAACGAACAACTGGCCTCTCTTCGCTGCCTTCTTCCAGTACTGTGACAGACAATGCGGGCACTTCGATGTTAGCTCTGCAAGTATAGGAGTCGTTTTCAAGATCCACAACTGTTGCTAGCAGCTCGTTCGCACGGACTACAACCACATGGCGGGTTGAGATACTCTTCACTCTTAAATTGATCGATCTGACAACTAAAGTGACAGAAGTTAGGTCAAGAACGTCCTCAAGCTTGTAATTCATGATATTTTCAAAATCCTTGAAACCAAATGCGAATTTTTTGATGGCTGCTCCAAGTTGCAACGGGAAACAGAGGTCCGATGACATCTCAATGTCGCCAATGAAAAAGTCCCACTTGCATACGTATGTTTCTTCACTTGGTGGCAGCCCATACAGCCGATGTGCGTGTATTTGAAGTTCTGAGATGACTCCATCAGGTACTTGATCAGCGTTTTCATGCTGCACGCGGTTGAAAGCTGCATCTGAATCGCAATCCTTGAGCCTTGTTATCTTGACAGGAGACAATGCAGTCTGTAAGTCCATATAGTAGTTAAGATCGCGGATGTCGATACTGAGATGGTCAAAATCGAAGGCAAAACAGTTTTCGCAATCGTATAGATGGGCCGGCAATATTATGCATCCGCTTTCCACTATGAATGTGAACCAGACATCTTTCTCATTAATCAGCCGCTTGAGGGAAAACTTTCGTTGAACGGAAACTTCCTTTGGGAGTACCTGAGATGAGTCTGCACGTTTTTCACCACTGGGATCAATAACCTTCATGAAGTCATCTACCGCTGCCGAGGCCGTGGTTACTCCCGTTTCCGCACCTTTGAGTTCCTCCATGTATTCTTCAGTCGTCTTGAAGTGAACGAAATCGCCGAAATAGTTCATTTTCACTCCAATTAGAAATCTTATGACAAAGCCGTAGCATTTCAGAGTCGTGTTCCTGCTATGGCAGTTTATCAAAATTGTGTCGATATTGTCGACATCAAGCTTGGAATAAGTTAAGTAGGAACCATTGATGGTAAAATCGTGAGACCTGCCCACTTCCTGGTCTTTCATAAATTCGTGAAGGGTGTTCCATGAGGGCGTGTTGATACGGAGCCGGAACAAGGATGTGAACAAGCTGTAGTCTATGGTCGTGCTATTTCCGGCTATGGTGGTTTGTGGCACACTGAAGTCGATCTGTAGGTCGTCGCCGTGGAAAGAAAGATAGCAGTTTTCGTTGAAGTCCACTGGGTTGTTCACAATATTGGCATCATTAACATTTAAATAGATGGAGTACCCTTCAAATTTCCAACTGAATTTGTAGACAAACGGGCGAAACAGATCGTAAGAAAGAGGCTCGCCTGATCCGAAGTCTGTGAGCAGGTCAGCCAATAAGTTAACGTGGTCCTTAAGAATAAATAGCTGCGCTTGAGTTGAAGTGAGATTAAAGTTCCAAAAAGCCAACTGGTTCCAGCCCAGTGGGTATCCAATTTCGGCATGAATATCGTGCATGTCAGCGCTGAACAAAATGTCGTGGTTGACACTAGTTCGCACCTCAGGTTTCACAAGGTGCAGGTCCAAAAAGTTCTCAAAGCCGGATGAATTTGGAGTCATCGCGAGATCGAAAGTCACTTCAGACCCTTTGGCGAGTAGGATCTCTAGCCAGCCGAATGATCTCGAATCGTCTTGTGTTTCTCGGTATCTTTTCAAAAACTCCAAATCCTTACTGGGCTCTCTTGTTGGTAAACGCCAAATACTGGAGCTCATTACAGTGATTGATGTTTTGGCCTTCGTATAAAGTCGTGTCGCACCAGCTTTTGCGGCCCGTGGTGGCTGACTGTCCCTCGAAACAACTGGCGAAAACATCATTTGTAAGGGCAGTATTTCATGATGTGCCCAAGGTCCGTAATGTATTACACCTCCAAACAGCTGCATGTCCACAGAGAAGTCAGGCGACTGATCCAACAACTTAGCGTCATTTATCTCAGCTTTACTCGGGGACTCTGCTGTTGCTGATTCTATTCGTGGAGTGACGCCAGGAACGTCGAACGAATAATCGACGACGAACTTTTCACATTTCATGATCTTGCTGTACCTTGCATATTGATGCTTAGAGACGTCAAATTTGAAAGTATCATCCCACGCAGAGTCATCGTCTTTGCGGTATAGTGATAAGCCTTTCCAATCTTCAAAAGGATTCTGTAAGGCTTGAAACGCGCTTTCTTTGGCTTGATAAATCTCTTTAAACCTGCCACTAGTGGCAGACATTAATAAATCTAGGCCCTTGTGCCATAGCTTAGAGACTTTCTCGGGCTTCACCGGATGCTTCGAAGGAATCGAAGGTGTCTCCACTTGAAACCCTAGATTGGGCTTGAGGCGAATGCAAAAGTTGTCAAAATTATTGCTAGTTTGCAACTTATAGAGATCAAGACGCGAATCTGGCTGACCCACGTCCACGATACCGGCCAATTTGTCATAGCTGACAACCAAGATGGAGGAAGTGTTTTTATTCCCAACCACAAGAGCGCCCTTATGTACGGCAATTTCTAGCGGAAGAAACTTCAAAAACGCGGGCAGGGAAGGCAAAGGCTGAGGGGCGGGCTCCAAAATTGTATCTGATTTGGCATTTGATGAATCCAGGTTAGAGAACGACGAGGATGAAGACGTATTATGAAACGAACTTTGATCTTCGCCAAATCCCTCAAATTGTCTGAACCGAGCTTGTTCGGTCTTGGAGAAAGACTGCCACAGATGACTGAAAACTTGAGTTCTGTTGTAGATGAAGTATTCCAGACCTTGGCATTCAAGCTTGAACCTGCATAATCTGGAGTCGCTTCCTGAAGCCCCGTTCTGCTGCCGCTCGAGTGGTGTTTGTCTTGAGCTGAAGATCCAATATCGCCACGTCAAACTACCATTCAAAAAGGATACGGTCTGATTTTCCGTGATTATGGTGAGATTTTTGAAGAACACACGTCCGCCAAGGAAAGATATCTTCAGCGATTGAATTTGTACCTTAACGGAATAACGTCTCCAGACGAACCATTCTAGTAATGCAGTAGTGGTGAATCCGAAAGCTCTTCCGAAATAGAAAGCTGCCAAAAGACACACGCACAGGATCAATATCCAGTCTATCAAGAAAGCCCAACTGAAGTCTCTACTAGAACTGAGAGACACTTTTTTAAACTCATTTTGCATCCTGGGAGCTCCACGAGAAAACTTCGCCTTTGAACTGTGGCCATAAATCTCTCAATAGCCCAGTACTGATAGATACTGCTAGGAGTCCGAAGATGGTCGTTTTATTGGTGGGAAGTAGCGTTTCAAGAAGATTGTACAGTCTTCCTTTCTTCCTGCCAAGATGTTTAGTTTATTCCAGTAGAGATGAGCACATTGAGATTTCACTTTGTACGACGCACCATAAGAGAACACTGCTTCAGCGGTGTAGTCGATACCGTCCGGGTTGAGAGAGCTCATCCCGGTCTCGATGTGAACATCTCTTGTTTTTTGAGGATGGTCTTTGTCTTTTATTTTGATGAAATCTCAACAGTACAGTGTGGCCCACATCATAGCGTCATGATGATAGTGCTGTCAGTCCTGTCAGTCCTGTAAAAAATCGAGTAGATCCGAATTTGAAACTCTGGAAAAGCTTGAAAAAATAGAAGGAGTTTGACACTTTTATTTCGTTTCTCGTTTGATTCTACTCTTTTGACTGCTAAGCTCCCTGAACCCTACAATAATTGAATATTTCAAAGATATTTGGCACTTTCTGTTGCTTTCATACATTTTGACCATCTAATTAACCTGATGAAACAGTTTCACTGTTTTCGAAGAATCTGGTCAGACGTGGTACTTACGATATCCCATTGTTGCGACCTCTCTCTATTGGAAACGCGTTATCATCATCACACCTAGTAGACCAAAATATATCAATGAAATGACTTCTCGAAGCCCAATCCGAGTGATTTAAAAACGGGAAGATCGCTCATGATGTCAAGAAATATCATCAATTGCATCAGGGCCGCTAACGACTTGTGATAATCGATTCTTTCTTGTCTTTCATAAAAGACGTTTGATTTATGAATACATATTTATATAATGTGAATTGAAAACATTGAAATTCCGAGAGTAACTAGCACTTTTGTCAGACCAAAATACATAGTATCTCCACCAAATTCGCTTATTTGTGGCTTTCTATAAGCCATCTGAGCCATGGCGTTGATTGAAAGACTTCAAAGAAGAGCTTCCGATTGGGGACTGCTTCCAAGGCTTTTGCAATTACTGCCGAGATTAGCTATTCTAAGTGGTGTTGTTGGCTTCTTATGGCTCGCTGCGTATCTGCCATTGGAGGGCGAGTTTAGGAGCACATACATATCTGAGAATGCCCTGATGCCTTCCCAGGCTTACAGTTACTTTAGAGAAACGGAATGGAACCTACTGCGTGGCTATAGAACCCAAATTAAAGAACTCGTTGACAAGAAGTCAGACGAAAGAAATGCAGTTTTGGGCTCTTGGCTAGAGGAAATCGGCGTGAAAACAGCTCTTCATCATGACCCTGAAAACAAGGACTCTCTTTATGGCGTGTGGCATGCTCCACGTGGCGATGGAACAGAGGCGATGGTGCTGGCAGCTCCATGGTATAACGGAGAGGGCGAATTCAACATCGGTGGGGTGGCCTTGGCCACTGCTTTAACCAGATATTTTTCAAGGTGGCCATTATGGTCCAAAAATATAATCGTGGTTTTCAGTGAGGACACGAGGGCTAGTCTTTCGTCGTGGTGCCACGCCTACCATAATAATCTGGATCTTACAGGTGGATCTATAGAGTCCGCCATTGTCTTAGATTATCCAGGCACTAATGACTACTTTAAATACGTTGAGATCTTTTACGCAGGACTCAACGGTGAGCTCCCAAACCTGGATCTCGTCAACGTGGCTGTTCACGTAACAGAGCATGAGGGCATGAAAGTCTCACTTAATGGCGTACCAGAGTCCGAAATTGGCGATGACGATTATTCTGGAAGAATGCAAAAAATGCTGTTGGGCATCCGTAAAATGGCCCTTGCCGGCGTTCAAACCTGCTATGGGAATGAAGCCTTTAGTGGGTACCGAATCCAATCGATTGTTTTAAAGGCGCGAGGACTGGAAGGTCCTTTTGATATCACCACTTTCGGAAGGGTCCCTGAGGCAGTTTTCCGGTCTGTGAACAATTTACTTGAGAAATTCCACCAATCCTTTTTCTTTTACCTGCTCCTGGCACCTCGCTACTTTGTGTCTATCGCCAGTTATTTGCCCGCCGCCGTGGCTTATTCTGTGGCCTTCATTCTTGCAGGTCTCGATAATTATCTGAAGAGCAACAAGTACATTCCCGCTAGCAGCAACGCAGCTTTCCGCATTTTGGTGAAAACAGCTTCAGCTTTTGTTGGGTCTTTTCTAGCATCGTTCCTCATCTCGCAGGTCTTTGTTAAATGGAACGAGCCGCTCCCGCTTGTGTTGGCATCTTGTGTGGTTTCATTGGCCCCGTTTTTCCCTTCAAAAGCATGCATTTCTCAATCACAAGCCCATCAACTCAAAGCTATTGCGTTCTTGTATCTCAGTGTGGTCCTGACATCGCTTTTAGTCGTGAACTTTGCCCTAGCCTTTGGCATTGGTGTTTTTGCTTTCCCAATGATCTTGTTGGTGAGCACAGCAAACCCCAAAACTAGAATGAAGAACACTGTGCTGTTAGCACTCACCAACCCTTTCATTTGTAGCTGTCTGTTCGCTAACATTTTTGAATCGCAGCTACCAAATTTTGAGATTATTTCAAGACTTATTTCTGCTTGGAAAGAGCTCGGATGTTGGACTTGGTTTCTAATTAGCATCGGATGGCTCCCATCGTGGATAGTTGTCGCTCTATCCAGTTTGCCAACCACCTCTGGCTACCTCGCGAGCCAGGATTCTCAACCTGCCGACGCTGACGCTGACGCTGGCATCAAGAAGCTGCAATGATCCCGTGATCTGATGATGTTTACTGTACGAAAGAATTTTAGCCCGGACGACGACGAAGAAACTAGAGATGAGCTCGAAGCGCATAGCCTTCAATTAGCTTGCGAGGTTGATCTTTGAGATTTCAAGGTATCTGAGTTGACTCGATATCAATCGGTCTAACATGAAGAAAGTGGAGGGAGCAGTAGCTCAAGACCAGAGAAAAACCGAAAATGTGGAATTTGAAATGCCTACTATGGGCGAAACGTTAGGTAAACACCAAAAGGACCTTGATGAGAGTGTATTATCCCGTGGAAGGTTAGACTTTGTCAAGTATTTGGAGTCTGTCAAAGGTCAACTTACGCAAGAACAGTTCGAATTGGTCCGTTCATGTGCTTTGGATCAAAATAACCTAATGGCAACCAGCGACAAGCTGCACGCCAAGAACATTGAAACCAAGTTTTTATTACTCAAAAGACGGTTTTTTTTAGATAAAGACAATGTGGTTCGGGATCATAAAAATTCTGACAACATTGTTTGTGAACCTGACATGATATTCAATCTGGTGATGTGTGGACATGTAAAAAACGGGCACATGCATTGGCGTCGTCTACACCGAAATTTGAAAACGTATTATGCCAATGTCACACGGGACTTTACCCAGCTGTGCGTACGTTACTGTTCGAAATGCAATGCTACTAAAAGAATACCTCCACAACAAAAATATCGTCATTATAACATCTACAATGGGCTCTTGCCCCTAGAAAGAGTGCACGTTGAAATCGTTTCTCCACTACCAACGCCCATTGAGGGCACATATTCTCATATCCTGTACTGCAGAGATTATCATTCGAGATTTGTATGGATGCTACCTTTGAAAACCGATAACGTCGAGGATTTGACCGGGGCGTTTTCGACCTTTTTACTTTCATTACCCCGGATCCCCATGTTTATCGAAACTGCTTCTATGGATCGACGGCTTCTGTTCGAGATATGTGAAAAAATAGCTTGCGACTATTCTCTCACATTAGGTCTCGGAATGAGCCCATCTCGCACTTTCCAACGAAATGGGATCACAAGACTGCGACACCAGCTCAAATCGAATTCAAGTCATTGTATAGCATCATGGCCTATGTGTTTGAAAAGCGGAGCCACCGACCATAATTTAACATATAACAACAGAGTACAGGCTATACCGGGGAATCTTCTGCACAGCACGGTCAGCGATTACGTTCGTCAATTTGAACAGAAGCGCGAGAAACTAATAGAAAAGCTTGCCGCTACTAATGTGGTAGTGTTGAGAAAGGCCGGGCGACGGCAGGGCTTACTTTACCTCGAAGACGAAACAACGGCTTTCCACATGCCAGATGAAGACTACAGTTCAACAGAATACGATACAGAAGGTCAATTCGATACGCCGATTAACGAGGGGTCGTCCATAAGTTCTTCACCACAAGCTCACTCTTTTATTGAGCCGGCATTTTCATCATCTGGGACAAATCCGCTACTTTCAGACAAACCTGAGATCAACCAAAGTCCAGAAATTAGCATGCGAGCTTCCGTTGGTGGTAGTTTACAAGAGCGGGATCCTGATACATTGGTTAATGCATCTATTGAACTGTGATGATTATATATGACGATCTGGTTACTTTGTATAGACTGAAGATTTTGAGGCATTGGTACTATTCGAGTCTAGTCGCGATGGGCATCCCAGAACTTCTCGTGAAATTCCTTCCATGATTCAATCCACTCTGTTCCAGGCGCCAAGAAAGTTGTTCTCACATGGTATGTTCCAGGTACTTGACGGAATCCACTGCCGGGAACCGTGCAGATACCGGTAGCCTCCAGCAACTCTTTGCAGTAATATTCATCAGGGGCCATGCCTAATGCTTCAGCTTTGGCGATAGCCTTATTTGATAGGTCGAGCTTAGGAAACAAGTACATGGAACCCAAAGGCTTCTGGCAAGAAACTCCTTCTAGACTTTGGAATGCACTGTGTAACAGAGATGCTCTGTGTTTGAGAGACTCGTGAATTGCATTGCGCTCTTTCTGGTCTTGTTCGTATGACGGCTCACCCTCTTTGGGCGGACGAACCATCAAGTCCACTAGAGCCTGCCCTGTCACGACAGAACACAAAGAGATCGAGGCTAGCTTCAAAACTACCTGCTTTAGTTCTTCGGAAAAGCCCACTAATTCCATATATCCACCTCTTTGACCACATTCTCCTGATAGACCCTTTGAAATAGAGTGAAGAGAAACCAACTGGACGTTGTCGTAAGCGCCAGGCTCAGTCTTTTGCAAAACTCTGAGCACTTTTTTCATGGATATAAATTCAACATCGTCAAAACCATTTTCCTGGTACACTTCATCGGCAATTACGACCAAGCCGTATTTGTTAGCGACCTCGAAAATACCTTCAATATTTTCGGCAGAAAGTATGGCGCCAGTTGGATTTCCAGGGTTAATCACCACAATGGCGTTTGGTTTGACACCCTTTTCAATGGATGCCTTAACGACGTCTTCGATTTGTTGTGGATCTGTTGACCAGCCAGATTCTTCGTCAAGGTAGTAAGGCAAAGCCGTTGCGTTGTTCAATGCAAGCGTGGCGGTGTAAAGAGGGTATTGAGGAATGGGGATTAAGCATCCGTTTTCAGGGCCAGAGCAGAAAAGCTGGAGAATATGTGAAACAGAGCCGGAGGCGCCCGATGTGAGAAAAATGTCGTTGGCGTTGGCAGGTTCTCCGTCACGCTCAGCAATGAAATCAGCAACCGATTGACGGAATCCAGCCACACCTTGGGATTGGGAATATGCTCCGACAGATCTGCCCACATCTTTAAGCATTCTCTGGGCACGCTCGATAACGTCGGGCTTGTAAAGCTTTGCCAAATCTGCAGGAGGCAGCTGATTCACAATGTCTGGGTTCTGTAGAAGTGAAACCACCTGTCGATAGAAGGATAGCGGTTTTTGATCCAATTGCTGTGGGTTACCAATATTCGCGTTGATGATCTTGGAAAATGGTAGGGATTCTGGGTTTTGGGCAAGTTGTTCTTTTAATGACTCAGCAAGAAGTGGAATGCGACCTCTCACAGCATATTTGGCGTTGAGAACAAACTTGTTGATGTCTTCAACCGTTTTGGCACGCCCTTGTGCGACAACGGGTTGTTTTCCCAGAACAGCGTTGGTACTAAAACGACGCGAGACAACACTGTATGTGCAGTCTACGCATTTTTTGGGAACAGAACGTTGCACGTTTCTAAGAACTGCAATTCTGCCAATCATGGGTGAAAGATGTATTGAATTTTACTGTTTTGAATTGAGATAACCAGTCTCTTGTTGCTCTCTATGGCCTTTTTTCTCCCCGAGTTCTTTGGACCTGAGTTTAAGGTGGAGGTGGAGTCAGTCTCGTTGGGAAATTATCTATGGTTTCCCCTGTGCTAAAAATTTCACCGCTATTTCGTGGATGACACGCAATTGAAATTTTAGTCAAAATCCACAATTGTAACTTTCTTGAACCCAGTGCTCTCAACTGCTACTTATAAGCAGAGGTGCTCTCGTCGTTTCAACGATTCCGGCGGTAAAGGACCTAGGACTAAACTGGGCCGAACGCTAGATAAGCGATTTTCGTCTCAACCTTCCCTTTCAGACCAGGTGCAGAGATAAAATCAGCTCTGTATCGTGATCCATGACTCAGTTTAAGCTTTTAGATCGCGACCGGCGGACATTTAAGTGCGTTCGAATCCCGCTCTTCTGTTTTTAGTTGATAAACGGAATCATAAGGGACGAGACCCACCGTATCCTGAGACCCTGGGATAAGCGCTGGCTGGTGGCGTGTATAGCGGACGTTCTTTACTTCAAAGGTTGGGTGACAGCTTTGTAAGGAGCAGCACACAAGCGAATGTCGTGCCCATTGAACGGAGTAGGAAAATGTTAACTTTTATCGCAGAAAGCGTTTAAGAATGACTGTCGTTGGAGAGTTTTTGCCCGATCCTTGGTGTCAACAAAGCAGACCCCTTGATTGTTAAGCTCTCAAAACTGGTTCTAGGATGACTGTGTGATACCTAGGGCGTTTATGACCACAGTCCCGTGGTCTTGGCGTCCTGATCATACCTTTTTGTTGCTGTCGGTGTCTTTTTATGTCTTTTCGAACATGTAGTAGTGGTGGAAAGAAGTGAAAGTGCTGGGCGGCAAATTTATGTTTTGCGACACTTTCGTTATTAGTGATGTTGTGTAATATGTATCACGTGACAGCTCAATTTGACTATAGGGTTTTCAAATATAGAGGTTTGTATTGAAAACATTTGTTTCGGTCAAGGCACACACGGGATTTTTGGAAAATTGAGTGAAGATGTAGGCTTCTTTTTTGCCGTGATTCATATTTCTGTTTCTTGCTCAGAATTGTCAGGTGTGATTTAGTCTACATAAAGTACACTTAATTACAGCTTATAAGTAATAAACATATAAATTTCAAGTTTATTGTAAAATAATGTCAAATATGGCTCAAAACAAAAAGATAAAAAGCCAGCCCCATCACCAGAAACAAAACGCCATAATCAAAGCAACAATAAGCTCTCACTGATCAAAGGTTAAAATTACAAACTGGAATTTCTCACTTATTTAATTCAATTTTCTGTTCAGTCACTTGATACGACTGTGTCGTGGCCAGTAAAGTTTCTCAAAAGCTTCTCAAAAAACCCTCTCTCGTAACATTGTCCTCCTTTCAAGTGAGATGGTGACTATCTGTAGATCTACGTATTACACTGCTGTTCCCCTCGCCTCAACCACTAAAGTTATGTGAAAACCCCGACGTCACGAAAAAAAAGTGATCTGAAACTGAAATTTCCCAAATGTGTTGTGACTCCAGTATCCTCGAAGGCCACAACACGAGAATCCTGCTTCTCCAGCTCTCGCTCTGATCAATACGGTTACTTCTCGATAACCGCTTTCGTTCGAAACCAACTTCAGCTTATTTCAGTAGCACTCACCTACCACGAAACCTCAACTTTTCATCACCTTGAAGGATCGACCTATCGCTGTGGTCATCTCGACAAACAGATCCCTCACCTAACAAGCTTTTGGTGGCCCATGGATCCTTACGAGACCCTGGGAATAGCCGTTGATGCTTCCCAGGACGAGATCAGGAAAGCTTACAGAAGACTAGCGCTTCAACACCATCCAGACAAAGTATCCGATGAGTCCCTGCGAGAAGAAAGCGAAATAAAATTCAAAGATATAGCGGCTGCCTATGAAATTTTGAGCGACGAGCAGAAACGTTCCAATTATGATCAATACGGCGATGCTGGTGGGTATTCCAATGGATTCGGAGACGACTTCCGAGATGGAGATTTTGCCAGCTTTTTTGGTAATTTTTCGAACAACCACTACGGCGATGATTACAACGAGGGTCCTTCACATCGTGAATCTTATAAGCCAGACGCTCATATTCCGCTAAGTTTATCGATGCAGGATCTCTACAATGGAAAAACTGTGAGATTCGAGTCCAAGCGGAACGTTGTGTGTAACCGTTGTGAAGGTACCGGTATTCGTAAAAAGGCTCGACACGCTCGAAATTGCGCCCAGTGCGAAGGTTCTGGTGTGAAACAGAGACTCAAGAGAGTAGGTCCAGGCTTCGTTACGCGTGAAACTGTGAAATGCGAGCATTGCAAAGGTTTGGGCAAAAGTGTGCGAAATGAAGACTTGTGCAAAAAGTGTCATGGCAAAAAGGTTGTGCAAGAGAGTAAAGACCTCAATGTGTACATCCCTCGAGGATCGCGTCACAACGATAAAGTGGTTTTGAAGGGCGAAGCAGATGAAGAGCCGGGCAAAACGGCCGGTGATCTTGTGTTTGACATCGATGAAAACAGTACTACAAGCAGTCTTGAGAGACGTGGATTCGATCTCCATACCAAACTGACAATCTCGTTATCCGATGCCCTTTGTGGTTTTGAGAAAGACTTGTGTGTTCACTTGGATGAGCGCGTGATAAGACTGAAGATACCCACAGGCCAAGTGTTGAGACCAGGAAATTTCCTACGTCTCGCCGATGAAGGTTGGCCCTTAGATGGTCAGGGAACCAAATTCGGAGACATGTACGTTCAGATCAATATCGAATTCCCGCCCGACAATTGGTTTAGCGAGCGCCACGATTTACAAACGCTCCGTAACATACTTCCGCAAGCAGGTTCAACTTCGAAAGCGTCCAGCTCCAAAAATGTAACCGATTTCGTTAATACAGAATTCCCCTCTAATGTTGAGGTTGTGAAAAACGCTGACGAGCTACCAACCTATCTGCCGGAAGAGCCCGAGCAAGAGGGCCCTCAATGCGCGCAACAGTAATGACCGCCATGAAATTTGACTAAAGGCTACTTTTGTAAATAGCTTCCCAAATATATTAAACCCTGTACATATATAACAAAAAACTACTCCAAGAGCGATTCAAGCTCCTTCACCGTGAGTCCCTCGCAACCATAAGTGGGCTCCAATTCCAAAAATTCATTGCCATTTTCAACCTGTTGCGCCGTTAGGATGGGGGGTTGAGTGTTACTTTGTGGATACCCATGATACCGCTTGCGTTCCCGATCGTTTTCATCTTCTTCGTCGCCGTCATCATTAAAGTCCAATTCCAATAATTGACGCGATTTGGATGGAGCACTGTCATCGATGCCATCGTTTTCATCTTCGTCGCTAGAATAAAGCCGCAGAGTCAGAGCTGCTGGTGAATTCAACTTTTCAATATCTTCGTCCCTGAATGGTGTGTGAGCACTAGGAATGTGCGGCAAAGGCTCTGGTCTTGGCGGTATGGTCTCGACTTCGCGATCACTATTGCTGTCGCTGTCGTTGTGCGATTGTTTTGGAACGAGGCTCAGGTTCGGTTTCGAACTAAGAAGACTTTGCAAATCGTTACCACCACCTTGAAGACGACCTAAAAGACCCGATTGAGCATCTTGATCGTCATTATCAGTATGTTCTCTACCGACCTGGTCACGTGCGGCCAGCGATCCGCGTAGTTTGGCCGCTATAGAACCTGTTTCCAACTCTTCATCCGCATCCGATACCTCACTATGCTCCTTCGAGTCTTCTTCCACAGCATCACGCAGCACCAAGCTCTTGAGACGTGGCGCGGGACCTGGTCGTGTGGTCCCTATAAAACTCCCCGCGTAATTCACCACGGGCCGGCCCCTTTTCTTCTGCAGGGGTTCCTTTTGCGCCACTAGATTTGCAGTACGATTGTTGTCCTTACTTGCCAGCGGTTTCCGGGCCATTTCACGACGTTGAGGCGATTTTTTGACATCTTTCAAAATTGAGGGTTGAGACCGGCTCAACAGGTGTGTGGGCGTCACAGGCGCATTGGAGAAAGACCAAACGCTGTTTTCTTTGTCTTCTCCTCCAGCCATGGCACTGAGCTAGTTATATGTGTGCTTCAAAATAGCTATGCGAGTTGTTGTTCGATTGTTTAAGCAATGGAGAGGGAGATCTATGATTTCTCAAAGATGTTTTGTTTATGGTTTGTGAATTTAAAACATTTTCGTGTAAAGGTATAGAGAAGTGTCATCTATATCACGTGACACCAAGAAATGCATTAAATATACAAAAAAAAGATAATATTAAATCAATGGTGCTTACCAATTTTCCACCGGTCAGATTTCCAGCCTATCCTTTGAGTTTGGTTCCTCGAGTTTTGTGTCTTTTTGATCTGTCATTTTACTTTGACATCTCATCACTATGTACGACAAAACCAAACAGGTCTTTACAAAACTGCTTGTTCTCGCGAAGAAAGATATCTTTCGATCGCTGTAAGCAGCTCATTTGCAGCCTTTGAATTGTGCAGTTTTTACAACGCTTCTTTATCATTTGCGATCTCTCTTTTTATCCAACTTTCGCACGTCTTTATATAAGACGTCTAATTTAAATGAAAGTGTATACTCATCTCATCTCATCTCATCTCACCTCAGTTAGTGTGACTGTCCTCACCCAAAGCGATGAAAGATCATGGTAAAATCCTTCCTTGAAGTGCTGGAGACGCTGCCTCTTGACATCCGCACACTTGATGTTTTGGCAGGCAAGCTGCGAAGTTCCACACGACCCCAAGAACTCATCTCCTTACTGCACCAATATGAATTAACAAGAGAAAACAAAACGCTGGAGAATATCATCCATTTCACGTATTTTCAGTGCAATAACGGCCTACCGCCACACATCCGTCTCTTCCGCACTCATTACGTGGAATTGCGGGACCATTGGCCGCATGAACGCCATCGCAGTATCTTATCCATGGAGAACCCAAAGTCCCAGTCATTGCGCTTTCTTTGGAGTAATGACAACTCTAAAGTCCTCACTGCAATGCGATACCAGCCGCATTGCTGGGGCTCATCTCAAAATCCAGAGGCACAACACGCCTTGCCTGAGCTCCGGCGAACTGTACTCTTCCACGAGATTTTCCAACACTACCTGTTTCTCAAGAAAAATCCACATCTTTGCAAAAATCGAAGGGCTCTCGCCATTCCTATAGTGGAAATTCCAATGGACCCGCTAGGCCACACAATTGCAGATTCGAGAATACGCAACTTGTTCAAGCACAAAGTGGCTCACGTGTGGAACGTGCTAGCTCTCGAAAACCCAGCTCTTTCGCCCTCACAAGAGGGTTTGCTTACCGAAATAGTGCACAATCCTTTGCCTTCCTCTGCTGTTGCCAACCGCAGGTCGTTACAGAGGATTTACCGACGTGCCTGCAGGGGAGCCTACGTGATACAGCCACATCCAGATTTCGGTGTAGAAATCCAAGAAAGCAGTCTTTTAAAACAGCTTTGAATTTGGAATTCAAAGAGAGGACTTTGGAGAAGAAAAGAGCGCATGTACGGATGCTTGTCTTTGCTAGGTCGTGTTGGCAGTGGTAAACTCAGACGCGACGACAGTAAAAAGATAGATTTTCACTTTGATATTTTGTCAAGGGAGCTCTACCGATAACAAAAAGCGTGCGTCCTTGCCGAGAGCTTGAAATGTGAGAGACATAAAGCCAAAGCTTCGCTTGGAAGTCAGACATATTGTTGATCGTTTTGTCATAAAATGGCCTTTCAAGAGCTATAATCTTGACAATAGTCACGTTACTCTCTCACGTGCACAATTTTTCGTCAAAAGTGTTTTAGGTTGTTGATCCAAAATTTTTATCAAACGATCAGTGAAGTTCTCGATGAGCAAGCTGACGAGCCAATTGGTCGAGAGGTCGAAACATACAGCATTGGTTAGTGACCCATCCTCGTCTTAGCAATGTCTTTCATTACCAAGTATATGTCAGGCCTTCCAGCCAGACGAAGTTTGACGACTCTGACGTCGTTTTCACCACTAAAATCGAGTCTAATTCGTCCATCTGCATTGCAGACCAACTGCACTACCGGCTTTGAGGCGGCTGGATCTGCCTTCCCCGGTTACCTCAGCATGCTTTTTGGTTTGACTCAAAGGAGATGGAAGAGCAGAGGTAACACTTATCAGCCGAGCACATTGAAGAGGAAAAGAAGGGTAGGTTTTCTAGCGCGTGCCAAAAGCAAGCAAGGTTACAAGATTCTTAAGAAACGTCGGGAAAAAGGCAGATGGTACCTGACGCATTAGCGGCGGGACAGTTTTTCAAAATCTGCTCACTGCAGTTTTGGCTGCCAACAGTGGCGGTATATCACGAATTTTAGCATACGTCTGTAAATAGAGAATACACTTGAAAGTTGTAAGGATTTCAAATTCGGAAAGACTCCATGAATTAACTACAGTATTTCAGTGGTTGACAGTGGATTTGTCGTCGAATTTATGTACAGGTAAGCTTCACAAAGATCCGAAAATCTAGGCAAAGTCGATGACAATTCCGGGACCATGAGTGGACGTGAGAGTAGTTTGGCCAAGCAAACTAGATTTCTTGGCCTTTTGGTTGGCCAAAGCGGTCTTGACACCCTTTTGGGCTGCCACCAAATTTTCTAACATTTGCTTGTCGGAAAACGAGCATTTGCCCACAGCTACACTGACGCTGTTACCGCGCTGTCTGAAAGGCAAAGAAGCTGCGCTGCCTTCAAGGAGCGCCTCCAGATTGTCCGAGACTGTGCCCTTCTTCGCTGCGGGCAGTAAGCCACGAGGTCCCAGGATACGACCAAGCTGTGATGCTAATGTGGATGCTATGTCAGGGGTGGCGAAGCTTTTGTCAAAGTCGATAGCCAATTGGCCCGACTTAATTTGCTCTACGAGCTCAGTGCCGCCAACAACATGGCATTTGTATTTTTCGCGAGCCAGCTTTGCCTGGTTTTCGTCGTTTGTGAAAACTGCCACCTTCACCTCCTTAAGAGCATTGGGGAAAGATAGGTTTCCGCTTAAAAGTGGTGCTCCTCGCTCGGATATCACAGCAGTTGTTAAACTCAGCGTTTGCTGAGAGATAGGTTGGCCAACCTCAGCTGCACGTAAAAATCGCAGAGCCCTATCAACAGGCATATAAAGGGGGTGGTCACTTGCTGCGCGTCTAGCAGCAGCTTTACGTTGTGCCAAACGTCTGATTTCCCTCTTTTTCAACTGATCTTTGCTTAATTTTGAAGTTGTAGAACTGCCTGATTCTTCAGCAGAAAGACGAGGAAAAACCTGCAGACATCTTGTTTGGTTTTTGCTGGCGAGTGTGTTAAACCTAATGCCCACCCTGGAGAGCATTTGAGTTTTGATCAAAGAACGGTGAGATGAAGTGATTGTAGAGATCGAGCTTTCACTCATCAAATCGAAGGTTTAACAGTTTTTTCAATTACTTATATGAACTTGACGAAAGTACTCGTGTGAAATCAATGAAGTACTCGACAAGAATACTGATGGCATGTCGGGTATATCGAGCACTTTGTGAGGTATTGAAGAAGTCTGTTGTGGTTTCGTGTCAATTCTATATGATGCGTTTATTTTAGTTGCTGGTCGTGGCGCCTCTCTTCTTGCCCTTTTTCAACTTGTTGACGAAATTAATCCACTTGGTTGGAATGCCTTGATCATTGAGCAATTCAATTGCAGCGGGTCCATGAGGACCCTGCACCGTAACTTCTGAGGTCTTGGGAGCTGTGGCGGTCTCACCAATAGTGGTGGAGCCGCTGCATTTCTTTCGTAGCATTTCGGCCAGTTTTTGCTCGTCAATCTGGAATTTATCGAAGTTTGAGACTTTGGTGACAACCTTGCGTCCAATCTTCATCTCGGTGATGATCTGTACGGTCGGAATGCTACCCTTTAGCGGGCTTTTGAACAAAGGCGTTCCATCTGGCTTGAGAACCACGAAGTGTTCTGAAAAGTTGCCCTTTAAGATAGGGCTCATTATATTCGCTCTTGGGATGATGCGCACGGCGTTTTCCTTCTTGGCGGCGCGATTAACAACAGCATACAGCACGTCGTCGAGTTTGACGCAAGACTTGTTTTCTGGGCTCATAAGATTTTTCTGAGCAATATAGCGATCCACACCGCCCTTGATCTCTTGCGGGGTGAAAAGGTGATCGATCTTTAGGTCGAGGGCCCTTAAAAAGTCTTTAGCACTGCTGTTGGGCTTATACAGCGTTACAGCGGTCATCATAGCAGGAGTGGCCTGATCCTGGGAGCTCTTGGATCCCGTGTTGCTGCCCCCAGCCGGAGCGGCTATACGGTATGGTACGAAACTGGCCAGTTCGGGCCTCGATTCTTTGGTGACTGCGCCCACAACGACCAAATCATCGCCTTTGCCCTTGAGTTTCAAAAACCCTTCTTTTTCAAAATGCTTCAGAAACTTGGCAGTCTTACGCCACGAGGTTCTTTTCATGTTCACCTGTGCAAGATCGACGGGCGGAAGGTTGCGTAAGATGTGGTTCGAGACAAAATTCGAGCTGCTCACTGGCACATGAAAGTTGGGGTCCTGCGTCAACGTGTAGTATAAAGATCGGGTGAAGAAATGGTCCACGTCTTCGGTGCTCAATTGCTCCAGTTGCTCGGCCATGCTCTCGATATCCACAGATTGAACTTCTCGTTTTTCTGGCTTTGATATCTCTCCCATTTCTGCGCGGTCTTCATCTATGTCTGACCCCATCACTCCTTCGTTTCCTCCTTCTTGCTCGTCTTCTTGCTCGTCTTCTTGTTCTTCTTCTTCACTTTCAGATTCCACGGATTCTCCGGGCTCTGGAGGCTCTACCTTGGCCTTGAACGTTTTGCAAAGGCCATCCTCCCAGGTGTGAACAATTTCGACCGCCACTCCTGTCTCGCCAATGACACGGCTATAGGCCGGTAGGTTGAGCTGAACGATACCCACCGCTTTCACGACTCTTGGAGAGCGCGTGCTGGCGATTCCCACCATTCGAGTTTTGACACATCGGGGGTCAAATGGCGGCACTGTACCTGGAAGCATCAAATTGGCACCCTTCACCACTTTTTCCTCCACCACGTATTCATGAGCCAACACTATGGGAAGCAGTTCAGGCCATTTCCAGCACGTATACACCGTAGGGAACATCAAGTCACTGAACTTTTCTTTAAACCAGATGGGAACGTTGCTTTCGTCTGTGAAAACTGTGCCAGCTGTGAACTGGGTCTTGAACGTGGTTTGCTTCACCACCTGTGATGGGAATGCATATTTGTCCAGTTCTGTTTGCGTCTGGCAGTGGCTCTGAATTTTCTTGCGCTCTGAGTTCTTCAAGTTGCTTAAAGCCTTGATTTGCGGATCTTTCTTGAACATTGTGGCCTTCTGTAACCCAAGTGCCAGTAACTTTTCACCGAGTTCACAATACTAGTACCCTGTATTGCAAATATGGTCCAATCGACCTCGTTAAAAGCTTAATTCAAGCTTTTTATGATACTTTGTTCGCTCTACTATCTACTTCACCTTTTCTTGTTGTTGAAAACTTCTTGAAGTGTCAACTGAGTGGTTGTTGTCGGTGGAAAAGTCACTGATGGAGCGTTTCAGGTAAATGACTAGTTCTTGAAGGTTTGTTCAATTTCTAGTAGCCTTTTTGAACTATTTTGAAGTGCTAATGTAGCAATGGTTTTTCAAAAGTCTTGAGTAAACGTTTAATGAAGTAGCTGCAGTAGTTAAAGGTAAGTTTTGATCACCTCAAAAGAATTGCTAGTCTTATAGGAATCAATAGGTAAGGTCAAGTTAGTATATCTGGCAAAGTAAACTAGCCTGATTTACAAGAGAGAAAAGAACAAGATTTAACAGGGGTTCTCTGATATTGAGAATAAGGAATACCATGCATGCTAAGACAGGAGAAGTAGAGGCATTTCGATTTAAAGGGAAAACTCAGCTTGGTCCTCATCAAAGAGTACTTTGGAATCCACAATTAGCTCTCTATTTGGTTGTGACAGGCAAAACCATTACCGTTAACAGACAAATAGATGATCAACGGGTAGCTACAGTGGTGCTGAAAGACGTTGACCAGGTCTTTGCATACCAATGGGATCAAGAAACCGGCAAACGGTTCGCTGTTTTTTACCGCAATGGAATCGTTAAAATCTACGATTGTACAACGGCAGGTGGACAATTGCAAAAAGTGGTGAACATAACAGAAACACAAAACAAAGCTTTGAGCTCTGCCGTATGGGCAAGAGTGGCCTGGGAAACGTTTTCTGACACTTACGCGGTGCTCAATGTCGACGTGGCCGCTTTGATGCCGGATATGGTTCGAATTGTGAGAGATTCTAAGCAAGTCAGCATGGCACCAATGGGACCTTGGGGCCCGGACTTGAGCGTCCCAGAGGCTTCTGTGATCCTGGCACACAGCCAAGAAGACCGCTGCTACTTGCTCACAGTGGATGACTTGGTCACAGTGCGCTTTAGCAGCGAGATCGACCAAATGTGCAAGATTTTGCCGCCCAGGTCCAAACACGGTCCGTTCGTGGGCGTTGCCCGTGACGGAACTCTTGAACACATACGTCTGCAGCTTACAGAAGTGCCGCTTATGCGCGAGCTTGTCAAAAACTCTGGTTACGTGCGGTTTTTGTGCGATTATCTTGCCGACCACATCTCAGTGTGCAAATCAGACCTAATAGATCCATTTGCCCAGTTTTTAGCACGTCTAAAGTCCGCATACAGCGGCTCGAATTTGTACACCCAGCTATGTGAGGTTCTTGTGTCTGGAAGTGTTGATCCGGCGTTAGAAGACTGGTTGTGCAACAGTGTGGGCGACAAAAATTATAAACGCTGGAAACAGCTTTCGACAAGAATGTACGGGGACCTGAACAACGTGCTGACACTAGCGGTGGTGCCAGCCTGCGAGCGGCTCATCTTGGCATGCGAGAGAATGCAGGGAATTCACAAGAGTCTCAAACTGCAGAAACTGAAGGAAATTGGCGAATTTGACGCTACAAAGTGGCCCAGCCCAGAGGTTGACGTTTTACTTCAAGAGTGCCAGAAGATGCTGACAGATACGCTGCGCCTGGTGGCAGATCTGAATGCTGAAGCTGCACTACACACGACTTTTCAAGAGTGGTTTTACGACGTAGTGATGGAATGTGTGGATGAAGACTACAAGAGGAAACCAAGCGTCGAAAACCAGAATGGCAATAGTGCAGTGCAATTAGAGCGGTATCTCAACGTGGGCTGGAATAGCTCCACCGCTTCTTCCACAGCTCATGGTTTAGACTTGTTGGCAACGCGCGCACGTGACCAGCTGGTCACGTGCGCAAACGAACTTGATCGACTTTACACGAAACCGTGGATTTTAGAGCTAGTCCAAGTGAATTGCACCGGCGCAGCGGAACCACATATGCAGGTATGGGATGCTATTGTGGACGAAACTGATGATGATGCAGACTGCGTTTTCTTGGCGAGTCAGAAGGTTATGTGTGCGCCAGATCACGAGAGCAGCAGCACTTCAATTGTTTCCATTACCCGATGTCCTGGTCCCAGTAGCACTACTGCCAATAATATCACAATGGAATGGGATTTGAACTCAGATCTAAAAACTTCCTCGTCCGATTCCACTGACTCAAAGATATGCGATGCCATATTCATCACGTCCCACGGAGAGCCCGATGCAAGAGCTCCAGCTCTGGTCGTTCTCCACGGCAGCAACGATACCTCTCTCACTACACTGAAATTACATCGGTCATCGCTGGTGCCAACAAGTTTCACGCTGACAGGTTCCACCCAGCAACTGCAGCAAGGAACAAATTTGTTCGCCGCCGCTCCCGCCACCAAGATCAACGCCTGTTTCCCGGGTACTCTGCTGTCTGTCCACAACAACTCTGCAATGGCAGTCTACGAAATGTCATATGACCAGCACAGATGTGGTGGTCGAGCACCATGATTACCAATGTTGTCGTACACAGGCGAAGTTGCACCACCATGCCACACAGGGCCCGGAAACCAGGCTTGAGAATGAGTGTCTTTTGAACGAATGTGGTGGTGGTGGTGGTGGTTGTGGTTGTGGGTTATGACGACGCCCATTGCATGCCATGCCATGCCAAACGAGAAGGAAGGAGAAAGAAACGCGGACAAAATCAGCGCTGAAGGGAATACTATATATGGGGCCCCAGTTTGCAGGCGAAAATCCATCATACTTACCGAACCTTTTTCCTAGTGGGACGTTCAGATAATAACACTGGGTTTTTGAGCAGTGTAGTCAGTTTACTGTGAGCGAGTGTGAAAAAAAGCATCACGTGTGGAACTTTTTCCTTCAATCAAATTACCACTATCAGAATCATACACCAGTACACCACACCATTAAGAACATAAGATGTCAGATTTGGACGCTCTTGAAGCGGAATTCGGTCGTGGCAAAAAGGACGAAACAAGAGTGACAGCCACGCATGCAGACTCTGATAGTTTTGAATACGATAGTGGCACTGGTCAATCGAAAAACCAAGACAAAGATGGAAAATCCGCACAATTCGCCAAAGACCATGGAAAATACGGATCTGGCTACGGCGCAAGCTACAATGCGGGCATCACACACATCCCAGCTTATGAAGAGCCCACGGTGGATCTCAAAGACTGGTTCGACGACAAATTGAAACCATACCTCAACCTGGGCTCCGTCACTTCGTACGTGCGCAGCCTGTTCCCGTTCTTGTCATGGATTCACCACTACAACTTGCGTTGGTTGTACCAAGATGTGGTTGCTGGTATCACCGTGGGGTGCGTTTTGGTACCACAATCGATGTCGTACGCACAGATAGCGACTTTGCCGCCGCAATTCGGTCTGTATTCGTCGTTCATCGGAGCATTCATCTATTCGTTCTTCGCTACCAGTAAAGACGTGTGCATCGGGCCTGTGGCCGTGATGTCACTGCAGACAGCGAAAGTGGTGGCTGCTGTGACGGCCAAGCTGCCCCACGAATCGGATGTGACTGGTCCCATCATTGCTACAGCGCTGGCGCTGTTATGTGGGATCATCGCACTTGGCTTGGGTGTTTTGAGACTGGGATTTCTGGTAGAGCTCATCTCCACAACCGCTGTGGGAGGATTCATGACGGGCTCTGCTCTTAACATCGTCGCAGGACAGGTTCCTGCCTTGATGGGTTACAACAAGCTGGTCAACACCCGTACTAGCACTTACAAAGTCATCATCGAGTCCCTCAAGCACTTGCCTGACACTAAGCTAGATGCTGCGTTTGGTTTGGTCCCACTATTCATTTTGTACTTATGGAAATGGTTTTGCAACAGTGGAGGCCCCAAACTTGTGGATCGTTACTGCAGACGCGAACGTACCGCAGCGATCTGGCGTGGTGTATTTTTCTATTCCCAGGCTCTTCGTAACGCCATAGTGATCATTGTGTGCACTGCGATCGCTTGGGGGATCAGCCACAACAAGAAAAAAGCTCCCATTTCGCTGTTGGGTAAAGTTCCATCGGGGCTCAAAGACGTGGGTGTTATGACTGTGCCCGAAGGCTTACTCTCGAAGCTTGCTCCAGAACTGCCTGCGTCTGTGATCGTGCTGCTTTTGGAACATATCGCCATCTCAAAAGCTTTCGGAAGAGTCAATGATTACCGTGTGGTACCCGACCAAGAGCTTATTGCCATTGGTGCAACCAATTTGATCGGTACGTTTTTCAACGCATACCCAGCTACAGGATCGTTTTCCAGATCGGCGTTAAAGGCTAAATGTAACGTCAGCACTCCTTTGTCAGGTCTTTTCTCCGGCTCGTGTGTGTTGTTGGCAATCTACTGCCTAACGTCTGCTTTCCGCTTTATTCCTAAGGCCACTTTGAGTGCAGTTATTATTCACGCCGTCAGTGATTTGGTTGCATCTTACAAGACCACCTGGAGTTTCTACCGCACCAACCCACCTGATTTCGTGTGCTTCATCGTTACCGTTTTCATCACAGTTTTCAGCAGTATCGAAAATGGTATCTACTTTGCAATGTGTTGGTCCGTTGCTGTTTTGCTATGGAAAGTGGGTTTCCCTAGTGGTCAGTTTTTGGGTCGTGTTGATGTTGCCGAAGTACTCAACCCTGTGCTCACTGGCGCTGACGACAGCGTTTCTAATGAAGGCCAATTGAACTCGGATGGCAGCTTTTCTGGATCTTACTCCGATGTGTGGCCTGACTACAAGCTCAAGGGCCAGACCGATATCGAAGCTGGTGGCACTATTGCCGAAGAAACCAGACATATAGCGCCTCCAACCGCCAGAAACGGTCCCAGCGTCAAGTTCCACACCAAATGGGTTCCGTTCGACCAATACAATAGAGAAATAAACCCCAGTGTCACGGTTCGTCCCGCTCCTCCAGGTGTTATTGTGTTCCGGCCCAGCGAGAGTTGGACGTACATCAATTGTTCGCGCCAATACAACGCCATTTTTGACGAAGTGACGCGCCAGACTCGTAGAGGTCACCTTTACGTAGCCAACTCGAAGAACAAACGTTGGAACGACCCTGGTGAGTGGACTCCTCCGACTTTTCTCAAAAAGTTGTTCAAGAACAAGAAAGCTGGCAGTGCCGATATTTACGACAATGAAGAGGCTGCAGTTTTGAGGGACGACCGTCCAGTGCTGCGCGTTATCGCCATGGACTGGTCACAAGTTGCACAAACCGATGCCACGGGTCTGCAGACTTTGGTGGACCTGCGGAAAGCCGTGAACAAATACGCTGACCGCCAAGTCGAATTCCACTTCAGCGGAATTATCTCTCCATGGATCAAGCGCGGTTTGATAAACGTTGGCTTCGGAACCGTCAATGCTGAGCATGCCGACGAATCGCTACTGGCCGGCCACGCCAGCTACCATGTGTTGAAGGCTTCTCCTACAACCGCCTCCGATATTTTTGAAGAAGAAGAGCCCAGTCCGAGAGCCATCTACGCTGCTTCGGGAACCAACAATCCGTTCTTCCATCTGGAGATGCCAGATTTCGCTCAATGGGATTTGGGACAGGAAACTATTTGACTAATGAAAGGAAAAAATGGCATAGGTGTTCTCAACATTTGATCTTCGCAACTACTTATTTCAACGTAATCTATCTTTTTAAACTCACGTTCAAACAATACAACTTGGTCTCTCTAAACCTGCTTTTTTCTAGCTCATCGGACTTTTCAATGATGTGATTTGACTTATATTGTATATAAAGCGACGCTGCTGTAACTAGATGCGATGACAAGGTGTCTTTCAAGAGCCACAACTCCTATCTTCAAGATGGAGAACAAGATGGTGATAGTTTTGTGGACGGAAAATCGCTATGAAAGTATATAAAGATGGCTTCTTTTCGTTAGTTTTATGGATCTTGAATATCTTTGGCTACTAGAGTATATTATTAGATTGAAGATCATCGAAAGTATCTCTAAAGATAAGAGAAAGTGCTTAAAAAGTGAACAAAAAGTCGAAGAAACCACTGGATTTAGCTGTCCAAATCTACCCAAACGACGGCAACAAGTTTTCCAAGTATTGAGACAGTTTTGGACAAACTTCAAACGGGTTGAAAGCCTCAAATAAGGGCTTAAAAAGGTGGTTTTAGGATTAAGTTAAACTTCAGTAAAGCGATAAGGACAAAATGGCAGAATCGGTGTCGTCGCTTTCAGAAGGTCTTCCACAAACTAACGATACGTATGCGGGGCTGGCAGGTGTGGTCGCTAGCGGAATACAGAGCCAACAAGACGAAATAAGAAGATTGTCATACGGATCAACAAGTTCAACGTCTAAAAAAGTTGGCGATGTTAATGTCCAGGTCAGTACAGACGTCGTCTTGGAAGAGGGATCTGAATGCGGCAAAACAAACAGATTGCTTGGCGATGGACAAGAAAAATCGGAACTTTCAGCTGCAAAAATTCAAATCATCATGACTTCGATGTATTTGGGCATTTTCCTCGCTGCACTCGATGGAACCATCGTTTCTACACTTATGACACATATCGCTTCTGAGTTTCAAGCTCTGCCCAATATTTCGTGGATCGCCACAGGATACCTTTTGTCTACGTCGTGTTTCCAACCCTTGTACGGAAAAATATCCGATGTGTTGGGTCGGAAACCAATGCTTGTGTTTAGTAACGTTGTTTTTGGTCTGGGATGTCTGATTTGTGGATGCAGCAACAACCTGTGGTTTTTGGTCGGTGGCCGTTTTGTCACAGGAATTGGAGGAGGCGGTCTAACCTCTCTGGCAAGCATAACGACCAGTGACATCGTGCCGCTGCGTGATCGTGCTCTTTATCAAGGAATGTGCAATTTGTTTTTCGCTATTGGCACCAGTTGTGGCGGTTTGGTGGGTGGATTTTTTGGCGAACATGGTGGTGGTTGGCGTGTAGCGTTCTTGATCCAGATTCCGGTCTGTATTATTAGTGGCATTCTGATCATATTATATTTGGATCTGCCACCTCGTCATACGCATGGAGGCAAGTTGCAATCGTATGATCAAAGACTGAAAAGGCTTGACTGGCAAGGTGCTGTTTCACTTGTGATAGCGCTTTTCCTGTTTATGCTCACGTCGTCACTTGGTGGGAAAGAAATTCCTTACGGCTCTAAACTTTTCCTTTTGATGTGCGTGCTCACATTGATTTCCGGTGCTGTGTTTGTCAGTGTGGAAACTTACCTCACTGCAGATCCAATTTTGCCCGTTTCTTTCTTAAAGGATAGGTCGGTATGCGCTGGTAGTTTAGCGAACTTTTTCTGCGTTATGGGTATGATCACGGTTAACTTTTACTTGCCGATTTACTACGCAAGTGTTATGAATATGGGTCCTACCGATGTAGGGAAAAGATCTTTACCCAGCTTCATCAGCATTGCCTTTGGGTCCTTGGGGGCCGGTTACTATATGAAAAGAACCGGTAAATACTATTGGTTTACACTATTTGGGTGCTTGATCGCAGTCTTGGGTCTAATTCAGATAAACTTTGTTACGAGCTCAACGCCTGTATGGCAACAATACTTGCTGCAAGTTACGCCAGGGTTGGGTGTGTCAATTTTAATTACTGTCACATTACTTGCGATGATCGCGGCGGTCCCACATGAACATCAAGCTGCTACGACCTCTATCTCATATGCTTTTAGATCAACAGGCTGCACACTGGGCGTGTCTCTTGGTGCTGCTATATTTGGTAATCGTCTGAACAAGATGCTTGATACTAAAGTGTTAAGTTTGGTGTCTGAAGAGCATTCTGAAGCTGAATTGAGAAAGATCATTTCCAAAGCTGCTCATTCGGCAGAATGGATACATCAGGGAGCGCCACGTTTTGTGCAGGCAACACTGATCGAATGTTATCATACTGCTTGTAAAGCGACTTTCAAGTTTTGTCTTGTGGTTATGATACTGGCCTCGTTCAGCTGCATCTTCATCAAGGAACATCGGTTGCACACATCGATCAGCCGGGACAATTAGATCTGGGGGAGAAGTGGGAGGCGGCATTTCAAAGAATGTGAGAGGAATTACGGTAGAGTGAGACATGAAGTCTTCAATGCTGCGACAGGAAATGGGAATTGCAATTTTTCGGGCAGTTTTTGAAAACTTGTGAAGACGAGAAGGTTTAAAAACATCGGACCGACCTAGTGGTGGCATTTGGAATGATGGTGAGCTAGGACGAGCTTTAGACAATAAACTGGCGCTGGCGCAAGTGAATGGGGAGAGATCTGGAGAGAGAAGGAGATTGTATAGACCAGGGTCACGTGAGGGTCTCGATAGGTTCAAAGCTGGCTGGCTGGTTGAGGTATGGTGAGGATGTCACGGGGGAGAGGGATATGAGAAGTGTGTGTGTGTATAATGTAGTTTTCGTGAGGTATATAGAAGTCAAGTTGTTAATACAAGAAGAGTAAACCAAGAAGTGTGTGTATCACGTGGTGAAGGTAGGAGAGAGTGGTTAGCTTTGGGAACAGGAGAAGAGGGAGGGCGTGTCATTACGTAATAGGGAACACCCAGACATCTACTTGTGGAGATATCACATGATCGTAGATCACATGGGGAGGGGGAAGGAGAAGGAGAGGAGAGAGAGCATGTCATTACGTAACAGGGAACACCCAGACACCATTAAGGGAAGATAAGGTGTCACGTGGAAAAGAGGAAGTGACATTACGTAATAGGGTACACCCAGACACCTGGATGGGGGTGTCACGTGGGCAAGAGATGTGATATTACGTAATACAACACACCACCCAGACACCAGCAAGGGGTATCACATGGGGAGAAGGGCGTGTCATTACGTAATGATAAACACCCAGACACCATAGTATCCACCCAGACACCCACCCACATACACCCACACCCCCCTCTTTATCCGTCGGAGTTTTTTTCCATCTTTTTTTTCTTTTTTCCCGGCTTTAGATTTTTTTTTTTTGTCCTTCTCATCCGTCTCCTCCCTCACCATCCCACTTTTTCTCCATCCCATACACTGGAAAAATATCGGCCCACTTTTCCAGTCAGTGACACAAACCTGCAATCATTGCACCACCTTTACTGGAACTTCCACACACCACACACATAAAATGACCCGTAATCGTACGTTAACCTTTCTCATCACTCCACAACAACAGAAACAGAAACAGAAACAACCACCACAACAGCACATTAAACACACCACCGCGAGAGATAGCGGGGAGAGATGACCGAACCAGTAGTAGTAATCTTGATGTCTTGATGTCTTGATGTCTTGATGTTCTTGATGTTTTTGGACCAAATTTGTATATAAAAGGACCACGATTGTGGGTTTTGTTTTGTTTGTGGGTTCTGGTTCTTTAGTTTTGTTTCTGGCTTACTTCTTTCTTAGCTCTCCAGTAAATCAATCTCATTGACTTTCATACTACCACAACTTGACCATGCTATCTTCACAAATTTTGAAAAACTCAGCCGCTACTTTGGGACGCTCATTGGGCGCTGCCGCGCCCAAGAGCGCCAGTAGAGTGCTGTTAAGAGCTTCTCCGGCCAGAACCGGCCAATCCTGGGCTATGATCGAAACTAGAAGACTGGCACCAGCGATCGTCGGATGGGCTGCTTTTATCACAGGCATGCTAGGATGGCCATTTGCTTTGAGAGCTGTGATGCTTCCCAAACAACTAGATTAGAGAGGCAGAGACAGGAGTAGAGGCAGGGACCAGAAACGGAGAAAAACAAGAAATTAAAACAATAATAATCGCTGTTCAATGTTCCTCTAATCTCTCAACAAAACCAATGTGTATTTTCTGTGTGAGACAACAACGATATCGTTGTTATCCACACCGTGTTTAAATATTCAATTTCAAACGACTTGATGATAATGATGAACAATGATGAACAATGATGATTTTATCGTAAACTCCACCTCTTACCACCTCAAATTCACGTAGGACGGGCCTTGGGCCCCCAATTGCGCTCCGGATTCTCCTGGAACCGCACGATCTTGAGCTTGCGAAGAGCTTCAATTTGACCACTTTGCTCGTTGGGCGAAAAACTTAGTTTCTCACCGTACTCGCTGCCCTGGCTCTTGCCCTGGCTCTTGCCCTGGCTACCACGTCCAATAGCATCGTTGGTCAAAATCTTGTACCCAAACGAATTCGTATTCATCTTGTCAAGTTTGCACAATTGGTTATCCTCGCAATAGCGCTTCATAACGTACCAAATAGCGTCCCAGGGCGCATCGGTCTTCAAAGACGACGGCTGCGCGTGTGTCAACGAGGTCGAAAACCCTAGAGACCCCAACCCTGCGACTACGGTCTTCAAACTCGGTACCTGGAACTTCAAAATCGAAGAAACCCGGTTCGGAGTGAAGTAAAACGGCGTTGCCAGCTCGTTCTGCGCCAGCGTCAGCATCCCCTCAATCCGTTTGCGGGTCTTGTAAACTTCGTCAGTGTGTTCTTCGCGATTGATCCGCAACACTTCCTCAATAAACTCTTTGTTGTGCAGCGGGCCCGCGTACATGGGGCCTGTCAGATGGTGCGCTCCGCCGCAGTACGGGCATTTTTGATCCACAGGCGGACCTTGCGCAAGCGAGTATTTTACAAACGTGTTGCCCTTCTTGGTGCTCCGTTCGCTTTGACGACCCATCCGTTGGTTGTGGTACGCACCGCATCCACTACACATGTAAGTGATCATGGTGTTGCTCTGAAGGTTCTTGACTTCAAGCGGATTGGTTCTCACTTTCACGAAAACTCGAACGTAAAAATCAATGCTCAGCGAAAGCACGGGCTCTATACTCTTACGGTATTTGGCAGCACTTTGGCCCAGTAAGTTCAATACCAATCGCAGTGCGCTTTCGTGGGTTGCATCGTGACCTGCCATGTTCACACCGCCGTACAGCGCAAAACATTTTTCAGGATATCCGTTACCTGCTAGTACCGACAAATCGGTGCATGTCACTAGCATCAACCCGTCATCTTCGATATTTTGCAGAGCGGCATCCACAAACGGCGTCACAGTACCGTAGGGGTCCAGGTCGATGATGTGGTACCGTTTCCGCTCAGCCTTGTTGCGGTACATCAACACGTTGGCGTCGTCGATGTTTGGCTTCACGATATGTCCCACTTCATTATCGTCTACGTTTCTTTGGATTGCCTCTACTGCGGCGGGCAACAGATCGTTGGCGATAATTTCCTTCACATGTGGAATTTCATGTGCGTATCTAATTGCCCGAAGTCCCGTGGCGGAAAGTGCCTCCAAAATACGAATGTAAGGTCTTCTTTGATGTTTCAACTGTTGTTGATCTGTGATTTCCTCGCGTCCATCACTCAATTTCCGTTTTTTGGCATTTTCATGCGTTCGGCCCTCGGGTCCACGTTTTTTGCTCTGTTTGCGTGCTCTGATCTGCTCTTGCTTTGGCTGGCCATACAAGTTGTCCCATGCCTTGATACAGGTAACACTTAGGTCTCTGTTGAACTGCTGGATAGGGTTGTAGAAAACGGTTTCTTTCTCGGGAAACAAGATGTGGCCTTTGCCCTCAGTGACAACATTGAATTTCTCGGCGCTAGGCTTGCTCACAGGTGTCAAAAACCGATTCTTGACCCGGTTAATGGCGGCTTTTATCATGTTTGAAGTCTATGCGATGAGCTGGTAGCGATGAGATGAGCATTGTTTATCTTCGAAAATTTTCTATATATTACCATTGAAATTTGAAATGACCACCTTCACCAGAGCTAACAAAACGGAAAACAGATGTGGAAAGCATCGATTGTGAGTTCCAGCTCTTCCCTAGGCTCTAGAATATGGCTCTAGTGATTTTGCTCACAATTGTAGCATCATTTTGAGCCTTCTAGGTCCAAAATCGGGGGTTTTTTTTGACAATAATCAATAGTAGAGTAGATCTGGAAGAAAAGACAAGATTCGAAGGCTATTTGACCTGAAAGTGTAAGAATTAGTATGACTTTCGACCATGACGACCGTCATTTTCCCTCGATGCTGGACCATTCAGAGTTTCCGTATCGAAATCTCTAAGAAACCTCTGAAAAGAGTCCCTTTCATGTAGTGTCAGCACTCTTATTTATCATCTTGATTCTTGAAATAGAAGATTCAGCACAGGTTTTACAAACACATTTGTTTTGCCCAGCTTAGCCGTGCAATTCTGCTAGCTCAGTTGTGCGCATACCTAGTGGGTGCTTCCTTTCTACTAGTCGAAACCCATTGAAAAGTGTGTGTTTGCGTGTGTAAGTAAGTATGTTATTCAATAAGAAAGCAGACCCTCTATTCAAATCTTCAACAAGAACGTTTTTCGACACAATATCACACCCAAATGGCTCCAAAAAGTGCCAAATTGCCGGTGGCCTCGCATGCCAAAGAGCAGCAAAATGTTACAATCGAAGATCTGCTCTTTCCAAGGACCACGATTGCGAATTTAGCGAAAGATAGTGTGCTACTGGGATCGCAAAAGGACGGAGCACAAGAGAAAGACGGCGACGACCAAGACGAACAAAAAAAGGTGGTTCTTTCAAAAGATGCCGTGACTGCACTCCAGCGAGCGGCTACGGTATTTGTGAACTATTTGATGGTTATGTCGCGAGAGGGAGCCTCTTTCCAAAATCGGAAAAGCTGCAACGTCGACGATGTATTGGCAGCTCTGGACCATTGTGGGCTCGAGGGTCTCTCTGCTCTGGTCAGAGAGCGTCTTGATGAATATAACAAAGCACTTGAACTGCGGAAACTGGACAAGCAACAACAAGACGTGCAAACAGAGCCAGAAACCAAGCCTGATGACGAGGTTCAAGACACACAGGATGACTCTGAACTCCCAGATCCAGCAGCAGTTCCAACAACCAAAAAGCCAAAAGTCGATGGTTGAATGGGCACATTCCTGTTCCAACAGAGAAGCAGCGAAGTCTTCCCTCATGGACACTAAAAATCAATACACATACACCTGAACATACACACCTGAACATACACACCTTCACATGTAAACTATCAAGTCTGCAACTAAAAAGAATCTGGATGCGAGTTGTCAAACCTTTTTCTATCTTCATGCTACATGTAATGCACGGCGAGAAAGACTATTGTGACGATCAATACAGACACTGCTGTGATGGTCGTGCACATTTTGACGTTCTGCCACCACATTTTCGATTTGATTCGTCCCGCTTTGCGCTTGAAGTTGTAGCTCGATTGATTCAGCTTGGAGGTCCGATCCACAAGCAACGAAACCCGCTCCTGTCGCTGCAGAAACTTGTCTATGTTGTCGTTCATGAGCTGGATGATGTCCTGCATATCCTGCTCGGTAGCCTCTGCCGTTGAAGAGTCACGGTACGACATAAGCTCGCTGTAAAATTGTTCGACGATGGTTCGTACGTGCGAGTCCAATTCCTGGTCAGTTTCGTTAGCCATAGATTTCAGCTCCGTCAATATCCGCAACGGCAGGATTTTGGGCACATTTGCTGGTGAAAAGCACACGTACACCATATTTCCCGCCTCTGTTCCGTAGTAACAATCAAATCCGTCGAGCAATGAGCTCGACAGTTTTGTTACTTTATTGCCCTCCAATGGGACCACCTTGGCTAGAACCAACTCGTCCACAAGCTTCCGGAACACTTTCGGAGTGGCATTGGATCCGGCTCTACCCAAAGAACCGTAGTTCTCTGAGGAATTATTGTAGTATGTGGCTATTACCTTATTATCACGCAAAGCCTCTATGTAAGTTACTGAAAAGTGCATGTTAGCAGCTCAAACTTATATCATTCTGATCCTTGCAGTCTACAGAACACCAATGTGGTATTCATTAAGACAACATACCGTTGTATTTCTTCATTTCTTGTGTTTTAGTTGACGTGTTTAAGGTTAAGGTCGTTATAAAGAGTAGTGTATTTAGTTATAATTAAGAATAATAATAGAGAGAAAGCATCAGCAACCGTTTTAAATCTTTTGAAATTGGTACATTGTCGATGAGACCTTAAATAACTAGGCTAGCTCACCGTATGTGCCCTGAAATGCTCAAGATTCGCTCTCCAATGAAAGTACTTTCGTCAAGTTTAGACGATTTTGAGTGGATCTGAGTGATGACGATTTTAACGCTTTGGTCTTATTTCAATGAACGCAAAAATAAGGCTCTTTCACTGAAGTTTGACTCGTCTTAGTGCTCTTTCTGTGAACTACGGCTAAAATTGATGGGGTCTTGCAGATCATCCTTCAAGGTTTCATAAATAAGAGCCGCTTTTCGAGTTACTCAATCAGACAGACATACTAAAAGGCAAGACAAGCTTAAAACTGTAAGAATATGATTAGAGATTTTGAAACGACAATGCGTTCGTACTAAGTCAATATAAACCGACATCCGTCAGATTGGCTCTTTCCCGAGAGTTACTTGAAAGAATCCGTTAATTCTTACCTTAGGTTTTCCTTGTTGAGCTTCGAGTTTGAGAAAAATTTATGGGACCACTTGTGGCACCTGCACGGTGGTCAAAGCGTCTTGCGGCCATTCGAAGTAACCCTTCTCGATCAGCTCCTGAACTGTCATTGCTCGAGTGCCAGTGTCCTTTAAGTATGCAAGATAACCCTCTTTCAAGGGCTTGATGGAGCTCCTCAGTTTAATCTGGTCCCCTGTCCACTCAACACCAAAATAACCACCATTTCCAGCGCGGCGAATTTCACTGTTGAGTCTCTGTGAATACTGCACATCCATGGGGAAATTCAAGTCGTGGTATTTCCCGTTGTCACCGTTTTTCTCGACAAACCAGTTGTCGTAATATTTCATGACTTCTAGAGACGGCAGCTTAATACGTCCGCTCCATACTCTTGCTAGCCACGCTCCCTGAGTTTCACTCAACCGTGTGGGGAGCACATATTTGGGTAGCCCCAGAATGCCGACGGTGGGCAGATGGTAGGGCACGATGTGGTTGTATAAGTTGTGCAACCGTGTTCCGTCTGTGATAAGGCCGCTTAGAACGGAATCGCCTTGGGACTGTACTTCTGATGGCTTAGGCAAGAACGGCAGCGATTTCAAGTATCCGGTACAGTAGATCACTTTTTCGACATTTTCGATTCTGGCACCATTAATCAGTTCAATAGACTTGGTTTGCTTGTCGAATTTGAGAATGTCTGGCACCTCGCGGATATTCGAATCGTAGCCAGAGGGCAACGCAGATTCGGATCTTTTGGACTTATAGATGGGTCTTTTCAAATGCGTGGCCAATTCGAACGCCAAGTCCGATCCGGAAGCGCTGTTGCCGATGATCACGATGGCACCTTTGGTATTTTCGAAATCTTCGGGACAATCAAAGTCTTTGGCGTGCATTACGGAGGTTGGAAACGCTTCGTGCCATTCTTTCAGTCCCGGACGTTCTGGCACAAACGGCAGATCGTAGAAACCTGTGGCGATGGCCACAGCGTCGAATTCTTCCGTTTCTGATCGCCCCGTCAGCAAATCGGTCGTAGACACCGAATATTTGCGATTATCGTCGTTGTAGTGCAGTTTGACCACTTCACGGTTGAAAACCACGAGGTCTTCGATTTTCCTGGAGTATTGCACAACGTAGTCCCAAACCTGGTTTCGCAGCGGGAAAAGCGGTGCGTCCGAAGGGAAAGGCTGGTTGTCGTATTCCATCAAATATTTGGGCACATTGGTGTCCAAATATTTGTATACTGGTGTTTGGAAAACCAGTCCGTGTTCTTCATGCACATGTGGTTGGTTTCGTGCATGCGGTGTCTGGCATGGAATCTCCGGACACGATGTGATATTGTTTGTCTTGAACATGGGCTTGGTATAGTTCCAAACGCCTCCAAAACTGTTGCGTTTTTCAAACACTTTTATGTTGGCAAACCGGTTCTCATGCAGCAGTGCCTTGGTGAGTCCTGCGCCGACAGGTCCGGCTCCCACTACAGCGATGGAATTGATTTTCTTGCCAATAGCACTCCATACAATCCCGGACGGTCTCATTGCAAAGAGGAAGTGACGAAGCTTGGCACTGGACGACGAAGACTCTTCAAAAGGCTTTTAATCCTAAAAGCTTCTCGAGGAAACTCAGGTACTAAGCATTGTTACATTATATAGAAAGAAACCAAAGAGCCGGGGTCTAAAATAAACCAAATTTTTTGGTAACGCCATCATTTGAAAGCTCTACTCGGCAGCTTGAAGAGGTTCAAGAACTTGCGTTAGAAGTCGCTTTAGAAAAAGCGTTAGAACTAGTGGTAACATGATTTTTTTTCTGGTGTGCAGGTTAGATGTGGCTCTCACTTTTTCTATTGTTAGTTAGTTGGTGTGAGATGAGATGAGATTGGTATGGAAAAACATGTCACGTGGTAAGGAAAAACGAAATAAACGCCGAATAATATTCGATTAGGTAATGAAAAAAAAGCGGCGATAAGAAAAAAAAGTCACGTGATAAGATGACGATTACAAATTGAAATTTACATCATGTGACTCTAAAAGTGGATTACAAATCAAAGTAATATAATACGAAAAAGGGCACGTGATTGATTTGCAATTATCAAATATCACGTCCAGAAGAATCACTAGTAACGGAGCTGTGGTCAGGTTAGCTAGTGTATAACTCTTTTCCTTAAAATCTATAACAGCTTAAGAACCACAACTTCAGCAGAGACAAGCGAGAAAGAGCGATGTATAAAGTCCCTTCAAGACACTACCAATTCAATGCAGTAGTCTTAGCTTGAGAAATTACAGAATGGTTTGAAGAAATCTGAAAAACTCGCGAAAGATTGGTGGTTCTACGCCGAAAAATGGTTAACGCAAGCAAGTGGAGATGGTTGTCCTACAGCAGCGAGATTTCGTAGCCAGGCATTGTCATATGGCTCTTTAAAAACCTCTTTGATTTACATTCGTGATTGATAGGCTGTTTTAGATGGTTTGCTTCCCCAGTCCTTCTGCGTCAAGCAATGAAATTGATGAGCAGAGCTCAAATCTTAGGTGCAATCAACACTAAAGGTTTCAAGGCGACTTTGCGTGCATGAAAAGAGCTCTCAGAACTTTATCACGCATAGCTCAACGGTCACTGTGGTACGTTTTTCAGTCCTCTTTCGAGCCTTGAAGCGAAATGAATGACTGTCACGCTATTTGTTTGACGAAGAATACAGTTTGAAGTGTTCCTAGCCCTGGCACAAAAAGTATGGGTAAGAAAGTGTTATGTTTACTCCCGAAAAGAGTTTATGTCAATTTCCAATTATTCCAAAGCTTCTTGTAGCTAGTCCAAAGCCGTGGTGATGAAAAATAATCAATTTGAGTCGTTCATTATGGTAGCGAACCGGATTGGAAAGATCTGAGGTACTCAATGAGTTGTAGCAACACGTACCTTCAGATCCGTCGATAGAAGGACCTGAAGGCACCTTCGTGACACCATGGAGCTGATCTCGGTATGTGACAATGCCCTTGCGTTTATACAACGCCCACATCACATCCAAAAGAAGCATGATGTAACAGTTGAAGAAGAATCAGTTTGTCAGCGTGAATCTAAGTAATCCATTGTTATTTTCACAATCCGAGAAAAACGCCATCAGCACTATTCCAGCTTCTGGCTACACTGAATTAGAATGACCCCCAGTCAGCATGAAAAGTAGCTCTTTGAGCGGGGAATTTGCAACGTCATCCAATTTTTACAAAAAGAGTGCTGGGCTGTAGTTAGGCTTCCAAGGAGGCTCAAATTGCATCGTAATAGATTATCCGGCATGAGGCTTGAGCGCTATAAGGAGTTTTCTTCATGCTTTTCTCACCGATATGACAGACTCAAATTGTTGCACCGAGAAGCGGTCTCTACACGTATCGCAATCAAGATCCGGAAAGTTTTAGGGAACCGCACTGCTTTGTTGTGCGAAATATTGCTTAGATTCCGAAGTGCCCTCAATTTTTATCTGTCACCAGCCCAAACGTTGTGTTTTCTTTACCTATAGAAGAGCTACGACTGATCTTGCAAGTCGTCTGCCAATGATTAGAGCAGAGGATGGCCAATCACTCACAGTCACAAAGCAATTGCCTAAGAGGGCCAGTTGCATTCCAATCAAGGAAGAAACAATGGCACCCAGGCTTATTAACTTTCTTCGTGCTCGCATTTGCGCGGTCTATTATTCCCTGTATGACTGCTAGTGCCAGATGTGACGTATTTTGACACAACTGAAGACAATATCAATGGAAGGACTAGATTGTGGGTTAATATCGTCGACAACTCATGGATCAACAACAGGCAATCACATCAAGAAGTGAGGGCTTTCTGATAGAAAGCCAAGACCTCAAGGATTAGGTCGGTTACCTGTGCAATTGAAATTAAACACAGCAAAGATGCCAAAAGAACACCCAGGAAGCCTCGCAAGCCTTTTGAAATGTATAAATATTGTGAATTTGATGCTAGTGTCTATACTTGTATGCTAAATGTTGGCGAAAGTGCCGATGTGAATGCGAATGTGAATGTAATTGAGAATGTTAACGGGAGACTTTTACGTCCGAAACCGTGCGTCGCACCAACCCTTCACCACGTACTGCACTTCTCGAAGCGGTTGATTGGGTCTTGATCGTGTAAGTTTTAGTTTCCCAGATGGTCGTAGCATTTGGTTTGAACAGGGTCCAATCCAGGGCTTGATATCGGAGTTGACTCGCACCAGGGACCTGGTGGTGGGTTCTGAGGTCGATTGAGAACCTTCGGGAGGTTCAACAACGACAAACTTCATGTTCCAAGGCGCATGGTCCCCGTGTAGGTCCTGGCGAGGCTCGCACATCATATCGGACCATAGTTTCTTGCGAGTGATGAGCGCCAGCTTGATATCGCGTACGCTGACGCCATGCGCTTGCGAAGACGCTGGTATTTCCAAGTTCCAGATGTCGCGGTAGCTCAACCTCCGCAACACCTGCTCGTCGACGTTGAGATCCGGTATGAGATTGTTGGTTTTGGCTGTAGTTTCCATGGCGTACAGTTTGAGGAAGTTGGGATTGAACGTCTGTTGTCGTATGCGTCGGTTGGGCACCGACGAGGACGTCGTGCGACAGGTCAAGTTTGACCGCGTAGGAGTTTCTTGAGTCTGATGATGGTTGCGATGTTTCTTGGGCCAGTTTTCTAGTTCAACTACGTTGGAATCGTAAAGCGGGCAGGAAGACGGTCTGCGACGTCTTTCCAGGTACTGGGCGGTGCCGATGTTGGTGTTTGGGTCGATGGTGAGTTCCACAGATGTGCGACGGGGTTGTGGAGGAGGCGAGCGATACTCTTTGCGCTTGGGACGCTGGTACACCGGTGTGTAGCGTTGTTGCAGCAGTTCTGCCGACACATAGTGGTCTGTAAGATCCACATCTTGCGGGTTCACCAACTTCAATCGCGGAACGGGTGTGGTGTTTGCAGCGACTGTGTTGTTGCCGTTGCAGTTGCAGCTGTTTTGTTGTAAACTGCTCAGTGGATGGTTGTGTGTGGTGCTGGTAGCCAGGCCGGACGTCGTCGACATCGACAACGAAGACGATGAAAACGACGACGAACCGGACGACACCGTTGACACGGATCCAGGCGACCCGACGCTGCCAAATCGACTATCACTCAACTCGCACCGTGCCTCCAGCGACAACGTAGCTGTACTGTAATTCTGGTCGCTGCTCCAGGACGACGTTGACGACAGCTCTCTTTGAGATTTTAGCTGCGACAGAACCGAACTCATCGACGGTGTCACACTATTCACGCTACCATTCGCACTGTTCACACTTGCTGCACTTACACTTCTACTTCCACTTCCACTCACACGCATTATTTGACCGGGTCGTCCTATTCTGCTTTTCACTCTTGCGCACCGCACGCCATCCGTTAGCTCGTCGAACTGTCTCTTGAGCCGTAATCCAGGCAGTTCGTATGCACTCGAGGCCATCAAGAATTCTTGGGAAAAATAAGCTTTCTGTCTCGTTCTTTCGCTAGCTCGCTCTGGTCAACAACGCACTCACAGTTTAAACTCTTGATCTTCTTTCCTCTTTTATTTACTCTAGCTACAACTCAGCTCTGCTCGTCCACGTCCACGTCCATCAACGGCATTCCGCTCATCCATCTTTCAATATCCTATACAATCATCTATAATAACTTGACTTCGACGTCCCGACACTGGTCCTTCCGGTAGGGCCTCTACGTTACGTCCTACAAGGCTCTACGATATAGTCGCGATGACGCCGTGTTGACAACAACAACGATACCTTTTCGTAGTAGTGGGCTCTTACCTAGATGGGACTGTCGCTATGCCAAAAAGCGTGAAAACCTGCAAGATGGGCATTCCTTGCATTAGACATGCCTAACATCCAATTGGATCACCACGCAACGACAGTTGTGAGCAGCAAGAGCCGTGGACAACTGAAAGAATTTGCATGAACAATGGCGAGCGAACAAGGCGAAGCGATCGGAAGCGAAGCGAAGCGATGAGAAGCGGGACGCACATTTTAGTTTGCATCCGTGCATGTTTGTAAAACTTTCCCGTCACGATAGGTTCCGTAAACACTGGGGATTCTGGTAGAATAAACGCGAGGCAAATTCATAGCTGGGACGGAAGCATTATTGTAGGTATTCCAACAGCTGACTTTGCCGTTTTCATCATGTTTGTAGAATCTGCAGGTTTCTTCGGGTTCGCGGAATCTGCCGGTTGATTAGGTTTGACCAATTTCACTGGTGTGGGATCAATTGCAAGTTTTGTCTTACGCTCTTCCTTAGCTCGCTTGCGTCGTTCACGCTCTTCGTGTAATTTGCGTTGTTCTGCGCGAGTCTCGCTCAGTTCTTGGCCAAACACAGCTCGCAGCCCTGCTTCCAAAGTCTGCATGCACCATCCACACACAAAGGTCTCTGGAAGCGAGTTTGCCGATGTGACAGGACGCTGCTGTGTAGCAAAGGGCAACTCGGGCTCCGCTGTGCGTCGTGTGCTGCGGCGTTGCGATCCCTGGCTGCGTTCAGCACCACGTCCCAGCGTTGCAGTGGCAAAGTCCCGACGATTCAAGGGTTTCTGTCGTGCCTCTCCCAACATCGCGATCCATTCGTCGTGCTGGCACTCCAAATGCTGCCACCGTAGACACATATCACAGCATACCAACGTGTGTTGTTTAACGGCCTCGTTTTCATTGAGGTTCACGCCGCGAGCCACGTTGCATGGACACTGGAACACCCAGTCTTGCGAGTCCGGACCGTAATCAGCCACAGACACGCCATGGTTGGCCAACTCTTGTAGTTCCTCTTGCGTAATGACCGCTTCGTCGGGCAGTTCCAACGAAAGTGCCTTCAGTGGACCGTCTGCGGGTTCCTCGATATCAATAAGCGGACGCGAAAACTTCTCGCCCTTTTCCAACACCACTGCGTCCACTTCAGCCATCTGGGCAGCATAGTTCTCGTGCGCATACGTTCTGCGCCTTAGTTTCTCCAGCTTTACGTCTTGCTCAAATTTATCCCATAATTGGGGCCACATCGAGTCCTTGATAGCTTTACTGACCTTTGCCACGGCGCGCTGGCGGGTTCTCAGATAATGGTCCCGTTCATCGAGTTTTTCATGCCATCTGGCCTCCAAATCTCGACGTTTAGTATCTTCTTCGCGTGCCACTAGCCTGGACGACCGCTTCCGTCTTACCAGCAATTCCGCCATTGACCTCTCGCGTTCGCGATTCGCCAGCAATCGACGTCCGTTCAATTCCACATCTGCAATCACCGGCAATTGCCCCGCAAGAAATTGTTGTATGGACTCATCCGTGGTACTATTCAAATATTCAACATATTCATCCCACGTCCCTGTCACAACACGGAAGGCAAGCGAGATTTGAGTCAAAAACTCGTCAATGTCGGGTCCGAAATCCAATTGCACCACTTCCACACTTTCCTGATCCTCGTACCGTACACAGCAGTTGCGAAGTTTGATCGGAATTCGTAGTTCTGCGTTTTCACTTGCAACTATACTTTTTTCGACGATTTTACCGCCTGGAAGCACCAAAAGCGAAACCCTGTTTTCCAAAAGGTACTCCGGAAACTGGAACTGTGCTAAATGATTACCCAAATACATTCTGAAGCCTTGGTTGCGCCGTTCAATATACTTTATGCATGCATACAAGACTTTAAACTGTTCCACCAAACTCAAATCCGAAAACCGAGTGTCAGGGTTTTGAGAATACCAAACTGCAGCGTTGCGCTGTGACAGATTATACTTGATGGCCACATCCCACTCTTTCAGTTGCACAGTCTTGTTCTGAGTGACGGTTCTTAAGATGCGACTCCGGATATGTGCATATATGCTATCTTCGCAGGCTTCATGTAAATCTTGAAGCAGGAGTTTCTCGTCAAAAGCAATGCCCGCGTAAAATGCTTTGCCCTGGTCTATGGTGTATTGGGTGTCACATACGACTTCAAGCCATGCTACCACGTATTGGAAATGCCAATTGTGCACCAATTCGGGACTCACGGCCGGACCTGGTGCCGTTTTGGACAGCTGTTGTAGCTGGTCTTGCGAAAGGTAGTCTTCCAGTACCACTGGATCGTTATCCAGCTCTCTTTTCATGAAATTTCGGGCGTTAGTTGGTCTTCTTTGGCCTTAATGCGTACGCTGCACTGTGGTAGAATGTTCAAATTTGGCCCAAAAAGAAAATTTAAAGAGGGAGACCGGATAATTCAGACGTGGAAAGACACAATTTGATGCTTAAAATTGTGTTTCGCAGTGTTTAGGTGGCAAACTTTGGGTATTTAGTGTAGACGCGTGTGTCGTCGATGCCCACAGCGACTCTACCAGTTAGTTATACAGTATTTACATTAATTTAGAAGAAATCATAATAGCTGAGGTCACGTGACTCGAAAGCCAAATTGTTAAAGAAATCGTCGAGAGCGATATGATAGAATATTACATGTGATATGCACGGGATGTGTATCACATGATCTAAAAAGCATTTTGTCGTATGAAGAGACACATATTTTCCTTCATCTCTTTTTTCTTTCTTTGTACCGTTTTTTCCACTATTTTTCTCTCTGTATGACCAGCTTTTCTAGGTACGGCAAAACACTTTTCTATTGTGCTCTAATGCAGTTTTGTATGCTGCACGCGTCCTCCACGACGACATCTGTGTATGCATCTTTCATGCATGGAAGAAATTCATCTGAAAAAAAGAAGAAAAAAAATAGAATCAGCTGCGGTCTGTTTCCGTCGATTCTCATTGGTGCATTTTGCACGGCACTTCGGTTTTCAAAGCCCAAATTCCGGAGTAACTATACTCTGGATCTTTAGCTGAACACGACCGCCCACATTACACGAGTTCTCAGTGTTTAGGATTTGCGCATGCGGAAGTAGGCCGCATAGCTGTTTCGTCTGATGTGATGACTGATTAACCACGAAAGCTCGTATACAATGATGATATTTTACAATACACGTTACTGCTCTTGATGAGGGGAAATGGGAGCCATTTGTAAAGTTGTAGCTTCTCTTTTCCCGTGTGAGGGCTGCTGTGGTTTTGGCTCTAGGAAAACGTGAATGACAACATCACGTGACCCCAATGACTGGCCTGCGCGCGAGGCTACATGGCGTTCCAAATATTTTTGGTACAGATCTAGTGTGGAAAAATATCTCACATTTCAAATCTGAGCGGATCTAAACACTTCTTATCTTCCAATAATCTAACCCTGTTGTCTGTCACGTGAGTGCAACTTCGAAGACATTAACTATTAAAAACATTAGAATAAGCAGCACCATTAGTCAAACAATACCAAGCGCCAATACCTAGTGCTAACCACAATTAGTCTTCATCCGATACCTCAAACTACGCTCGACGAGTTTTCCCTTTCCAAAAATCTAATCAACATGTCAAATTCTGCATTTCTGTCAGTTCTCCAAAAAAAGCCGGAAAAATTCAGACAAATAAAAGTCACATACTAAATAACAGCGCTAACACCCTATTCAAATAAATTAAACCTAATTCTATCTCCCTAGCAGTTGCACTCGAGGTCATTTGATCTGTCATCACTCGATACGAGCCAGACTCATCTTCATCGTTGAGATGACAGTGGAAATGAACCAAATTTCAACGACAGACGACATCAACAACATGAATATCACATACACTGACAGTTTGAATAGCTCAATGTACCGTTGCTGATTTCCAAATAATTATTCCAGTGCTCTGCACACGTCTTTTTCGCCCTTTTTTATTCGGTTTTGGCTACAAAAAACATGCCCACTTCTTGAAGTAGTCTCAATCCTACCTATCTCGAAGAAAACTTTCCCCCAATTTCGCTCATTGAAGCCTTAAATCCAAAACCAATGATCGAAATCCTCGAATTAGCATTGCCAGTCACCACCAAGTCTACTTTTCCCGGCCCAATCTAAAAGTTCCTCACATGCTTTCGAACCCTGACACTTAGCCTCAAACGGCAGATTTTTGCACAGCTAGCAACCCATTATAAGCTGGTACACTTTGGGATAGATTCAATCAATTTTAGGACCTTTACAACACGCTTTATCTTGAACTTTCATGGTTTTTGGTTCTTGGCGTCACATAAAGCCAAACGTGATCTCCCCATATATATATAGGGATAATATCTTCTTATTCACGAAATAATCTATCAAGTAAACTCTCATCTCACTCATCACCACCATCAAACCACCAAACAAACTCCAAAACAACCCCAATTGCAGTCTCCTATGCCTTCCAATACCGACTACCATATTAACCGGGAGTTCAGGATGGGCGGGGCTGCGAATTCGCTGGCCACTGCTCCTGCCACGCCGCGAATGATGGGAAAGCGGAGTAATCACGGAAGCTCTTCAAGCCATGGAAACGACACCACTTCGAAGCTCATGCCAGCTGTAGACGTCTCAAACACATCCCATAGTGGGTTGAAAGGAAGCGGAACTGGCCAGGAAAGCTCGAATGTGGCTGCCAAGCAATTTCACCGCAAAAGTCTCGGAGATTGGGACTTTCTCGAAACCGTCGGAGCAGGATCGATGGGCAAGGTAAAACTTGCCAGACACCGTGCTACGCACGAATTGTGTGCCATCAAGATCGTCAATCGCGCCACCAAGGCTTTCGTACACAAGGAAGCACACATGGCACCCCCCAGAACGCAAGAAGAAGTTTTGGAACGCGAACACAAACTCGAGAAGGAAATCTCTCGCGATAAACGTACCATACGAGAGTCGTCATTGGGCCAAATCTTATACCATCCACATATTTGCAGGCTTTTCGAGATGTGCACCATGAGTAATCATTTTTACATGCTTTTTGAATACGTTTCTGGCGGGCAACTTTTGGACTATATTATTCAGCACGGCTCGTTGCGAGAGCGTAACGCTCGCAAATTCGCCCGGGGTATCTCCTCCGCTCTACAATACCTGCACATGAACAATATTGTGCATCGAGATTTAAAGATCGAAAATATTATGATATCAACTTCTGGAGAGATTAAAATCATTGACTTTGGTCTGTCGAACATGTACAACCCCAAGAAACAGTTACACACGTTTTGTGGGTCGCTATACTTTGCAGCACCTGAGCTTTTGAAGGCATGCCCCTACACAGGACCTGAGGTAGACGTATGGTCCTTTGGAGTAGTGTTGTATGTGTTGGTTTGTGGAAAGGTCCCCTTTGATGATGAAAATTCCAGTGTTCTTCACGAAAAGATAAAACAAGGAAGAGTTGACTATCCTCAGCACTTGTCCATTGAAGTCATTTCCTTACTTTCCAAGATGCTCGTTGTTGACCCACATAAACGTGCAACCTTAAAGCAGGTGGTTAACCACCAGTGGATGCAAAGGGGCTACGACTTCCCTGCACCTTCGTATTTACCACATCGTATCCCTCTAACGCCGGACGCATTGGATTCAGCCGTGATAAAGGAAATGTACCGTCTCGAGTTTATTGATGATGTTGTGGAAGCTACTGCATGGCTCACCCGGATACTAACAAGTCCCGAGTACGAAAGTCTGCTCAAACAGTTCTGGGCCAACGCTAGTAAGGGAGGTGTACACGAAGATCCCACCAGAGCTTTCCACCCATTGCTGTCAATTTATCATTTGGTGGATGAAACTGTTAAAAGAAAACTCGCCAAGCAGCAAAAAAGAGCCGCTCTTCTGGCTGCAAACCAGGTACCACAGGCATTGGATGTACCTACCACTGGGCCTCCCGTCGGTGCTCCGGCTACTCCCGGCGTTACACCTGTATCAACTCCCGCAATGGCAGTGCAAACACCACCCCTACAGCATAAAAAGGAACCATCCGCTAACGCCAGATTACCAAATGTGGTTCCGCCTTTCCCGATGGTGAGTACCGCATCCGCCAGCTCTCCTACCAAACCACGGCCAACCGTGATGATACCGCCCAAACTCGCAATTCCAGAACAAGCTCACACGTCTCCTACAGGTAGAAACCCAGTGGACACAGGTTATGTTCCTACTGACCTTGACGTAGTCCTGTCCCCAACTCCGCAGTCGCATGATTATGATCAAGCTACAGCCGCTTTGCAGAAGAAGGCCGAAGCGGCACATACACCTTCGTCACAACCAGTTAGTTCATCAAACGATAAATCTAAATTTGGTACGATGTTTAGACGCTTTTCTCAAAAGCGCCATGGGCATCAACAGCAGAGTTCACAACCTCAACAGTTGCAGCCACCACCAACTCAACAGCGCCTGGGGCCACAATCAGTTCCTGGTACAACCATGAAGAAGACTCATACAAGAACGGTATCCGAGAACGTGCCGTTCACCAGGTTCGAGACTCATGGCGCTCCACCTTTGCCTGAGAGTGTTACCAATGCAAAACAACACATGGAATTACCAGCACTACCGTCCAATGCCGCAAGCATGGTCAAGGATCAACAACTTGCCGCGGAAGGCGTTCAGAGATTGCAGATAGCGGGCGAGGACGAACCTGTATCTCAGCTAAGCGTACCAAAGGGGAGGAAAATGCATCCATCTGCCAGAGCTAAGTCTGTTGGTCATGCTCGTCGGGAATCTGTCAAAATTATGAGACCTCCCGTCTCTAATAACATGGACCAGCAAGTCATGAATATGAATGACGAGAAGTTTTTGGAGTACGGCAACGATGGAAAGTCCGACTACATCAATAATGTCGAAGGCCCTTCACAAAGCGACCGGGATCTCACCGACGAAGAGATTATAAGTATTGCATCCAAGGCGCCTATGGGTTCCATGCCATCTATTGATTACCCTCGCTCTTTGTTTCTCAAAGGGTTTTTCTCTGTCCAAACAACTTCTTCAAAACCTTTGCCAATTGTAAGATACAAGATAATTTCTGTTTTGAAGAAGCTAAGCATCGAGTTTAAAGAAGTTAAAGGTGGATTTGTTTGCCTACACAAACAGTCGTACATTCCTTCAAGCTCCCAACCGCCGCAGCAACCAGTGATAGTGGTGAACGATGCTTCATCAATGGGTAGCAACAATAGCTGGGGGGCAAATTCTCACAGACGAAACTTTTCTATCCCAGCTCAGCAATCCTCTGTATCCCGTAATAGCTCACTGCGACGTCAAACATCCATGGGTAAATCTCAGCAACCAGCAATCGCTGCCACTCCACAAGCCGCCAGCACTCATGAAAGAAACTTGTCCATCATTTCACCTAGCCATGGAAATGGTAGCATACCTGAAGTTTCAAGCGCTTCTTTGGAGTCTTTGAACCAAGATGATATCTTAACAACTTCAAAAGCCCATAATTTGAACAATGCTGAGAACGGCGGAATCACCAATAATTCTAAGGAGAGGCCACCGCTCAAATTTGAAATACACATCGTAAAAGTTCGCATTGTTGGGCTGGCCGGTATTCATTTCAAGAAGGTATCAGGCAACACTTGGATGTACAAAGAGTTGGCGTCTCACATTCTAACGGAACTAAATTTGTGAGGAAATAGGATATGGTTTTCGGTTAAATTCTTGACAATATTTTAATGCACAGTACAAGTTCAAGTCAGTTAGTTCGTTACAAATATGAGAGAGCTGGTTAATGAATGTCGTGTTAATGACCATTAATTAATGTTTGTATATATATATATGCACGATATGTAATATTCATTCCCTTCCTGAGACTCCGAGCCCTGTTCCCGTCAACCAGATTTACTTTCTTTGAATAGCTCTAACTGTTCCTCCAATTTTTTGTTCGCCTGTAAAATAGAATTCATGTCTTCTATTAGATAGTTCAGCAGGACATGTTTGGGTATTCTTTTGTCTGCGGATTTCTCTTTTTTGACCTTCTTTCTGCTTCCCTGAGTCTTGTCATCTTCCTTGTGTTCTATCTCGGGAGGTGCAGATCTTGGAAAATGTATCAGCTCCACCAAGTCGTCAAAATACTCTTTGATGGCACTCCGGCGTTTTTTCTCCAATGCTACATGTCTCCACTTCCTTCGCTTTGTGGGGTCGCTTCGTATCTCTAATGGAATTTCAGAATCAAGCACCAAGATTTCTGGCGATTTCAAGATAGCCGGAGCATACACGGATGCAGATGCAATGTTATCCTCAGCTTGTTCTTTGGCAACAGTCTCATCAGTCTTGTGATGTCCTTCTGTCAAAAGATGTTTGTTTGAATTTTCTTGGTCGGAATTGTCCGGTCCGTAGATGTTTGTTATTGTGTTCTGCAGCTGGATTGGGCCACTTGATGGTAGCGTATTGAGCCCAAAGTGTGGAGAGCGCCTTGCCGATTCCAGATCGTCAGAGGCACCTAGGTGCTTCCGCACATGGTCATGTTCTTCATTTTTAGCCCACGCGGGATTCGGCAGTCCTGACCAGCTGGCCGCGGCTTTCCCACTCGTAGTAACCAGACTGTCCAGAAACTTTTCTATTGCGCTAGACTCAAATTCGCTAAGCAGACCAGGCATAGAAGTATGTTCTAGTCCAGCCAGAGTTAGCGAATTATTTTCTGCTGGATCCTGATCTTCTTGTTTCATACCACAAGGCTCAGGCGGACTCCATCGATCCACTACAGCGTCCATGGCCGATGATGAGTTATGATGATTTTGATGTATCTTGTCAAGCTGGTCGTCATTGTTGACCATCTCGTATGCAGTTTCGAAATCTATGTCTAGATCATAGTCAAAGACATCAAGAAGATTTTCGGCCTCCATGTTGAGTTCCCGCCGCGCATAAATGTGTCAATTGAGCCTTCAAAGGCCCTTATGATGCTGTAGCTGTGGTCATCGCTGCATGCTCGAAAGAGATGATGTACATCGAGTTCTTCACATGGACCAGTGAAAAAAAGTGTTGATAGCATCCTGCACGAAGGGCCTGACATCTCTAAGATGAGGGAACTTTGACTGGGAGGGCTTGCTTGAAGAGACGATATTCTTGTTTTGCTTCATTCTTCCCAGAAGCTTGTGATAACTTTCGAGATCAGATGGAGCTTATCACATCATCTTTCAAGACACGTAAGTGACCAACTTACCATAGAGCAGCATGACCTTGATGCTTGTAGGTTGCCCGAATTTGTAGCCTCTTTCTCAGATTTCATCTTGCACGAACAGTTCTTGTTTCTTACTTGTCAACATGACTTTTGAGACTTTTTGTCATTCTTCTTTTTTATGCATGGTTATGAGTTGCATTCTCGTGTCTATAAGTGTTCACCCTGGAAAAAGAAAATGGCTTCTCCTTTTGCATGGAAAAATCAATGCGATCACCGTTTTCTTGGTAAGCTTCTGATCGGATCCAATTGAGTCTGTGATAACGACGAAGACCATGAGAACAGATTTTTAAAGTTTCCTCGAACCTATACTTTTCATTGCTCCGCCTTATCGTCAATACTGAAAAGTCGTCGTCGATAGAACAAAACCACTTACAGAGCTCAGCATGTTTCACAGCGTGCTCGCGTCGAAAATGGCGGACCACCAACGACGGCTCGTCCGTCGACACCAATCGTAGACAGGTCCCGTCGGGATAAAATCGCAGGTACCGATAGTATGTGATCATGTGGACGGGTCTCACCAGTGAAAGCGAGCCCTCTGGGTTCACACCGTGTCTTAAATAGTTGACAACACTGATGTAGCAGCCCTGAAATTTGACGTACGCCCGTTCTTGAAGCATACGCTTATAATCGCTTCCCCAAATGGCCTGCTCGAGCACTTGCAGATTGCTCAGCCCATTGAGCGTCAAGGAGGCCTCGTCATACTGCTGAAGCGGGTAAATCAGTCCTGCAAATGTGCGGTACGGTTCTGGTCTCTCGAAACACAGTTTTCGAAGCCTTTTGCATGTTAATGACAAATTGACCCATGAGTCTCCGGATGTTGCCACTATGTGTAGTACGATTTGCTGCAAAATATCGTCAGACAGCAGCTCCAACAGCCAGCAGGGCAATTCCTCGATCTTTTCGTCATCAGACATCAAAACACCGTTGCCATCATTATCATGAGATTTCGAAGTTTGAGTTGTTTTCTTGCTTACAACTACAGGCATCACCGAGGATGAAGTAGTGCCAGCTTTATTCGACAATGTTTGACGTATCAGCTCTCGATACTTATTCTCAACGTTTCCGTCTATCTTCAGCGCCCTCCTGTAACATCCTATTGCATCCATCATCATACCATCCTTCTCTTTCGAAACCCCTAGTTCCCACAATTCAATAGCGTTAGAGCTAGCTTTTCCCGCATCCTGAACCATCTCCAAACACCTTGCAATCTGGGAAATACTGAACTGTTGGATTCAAAGCCACTGATGACACTGCTTGTTTCGTTACAGTTCTGATTCAAGTTCAAAACTCATCTCAAGGTTCAGCTTTATTAATTTCCATAGCTCATCACCATTTCTCTACAACACCGAAACAATGAAAGATGGTAAAACTGGCTTGGCTGTGGGTTAACTAGCTCGATGAGTTTGGAACAATTAGTATTTGAAGCCAGTAGCTTTTGCTGATATGGACTCTTGAATTCCGTACCAGAGCTCTTCAGCTCGCTTTTCCAATATCAGTTGAAGTTCATCAGGCGAAGAGAGATATTCAAAGGACGAAATGGAGACACTGCTAGGAGCCATTCAAGCAATGGAAAAGAACGGGTACGAAATTGCTGCTCTCGTCCAGGCGCCAGGCAGTATTAGCAATTCTCCACGGATAGTGTGTTCGAGAACTTTGAACGCACGCTTGCAAACGACACTGTGGGAAATTTACGAAGCTCATCAACAGCAACGGCAAGAATCTCAGAACAAAGCAGACGCAACTCTGGACACAGAAGTGCCAGTTTTGGAACTGGACCTGAGAAATGCGTATGCTGTGGAAAACTACCTAAAAAATGTCTTTTCTATGCTGCGTCAGTTGCAATGTAAAGCCATCGCCAAGGCATGGATTAAAGTGGTAGAGCCTCGGAAAAAAGCCAGATACCCTTACATCAAGGGCGAGCTCTTCAAACCGTATTGGTGGCCACCAAACGTGGAACATAAGGAACCTGATCACTTACGCAAACCGCAAAGGATTATGCTAATGATCGCCATTCTTACAAGACTTATACCGCATTGCAATGATCCTAATTTACTGCTCAAGCTCAAGAAATCCACGATGTCTATCCACTTTCCCAAAAATTTTAGTCATCATCAAATAGCGCTGGACTACGTGTACAACATTTGCGGAGCGTTATGTTCGGGCTTGACAACAGTTGCTGCTGTCGATTGCAATCTACTACAAACGGTAAAAGCAGGTTCAAAAAAACACAAGACGATCAAAATGGATCCTGCGCTAGAACGGCTTACTCTACTTGGAACTATAAGTCCCGTTAGTCTAGATGGCGCGGAAAGTAGGCCTGGAAGTGGCTCGTTCCAGTCATTGATACAATCGTTTCATGAGGGGCAGCCAATTAAGAATGAGCCGTGTGTTAATATCCAGCCCGGTTCTCGGTCATACTCTTCTGATGCCAGCCTTATGAAATCGTCAAGCATGCGCGCTCAGTCGTGTGTATCTTCCGCCTCCAATGAGTGTCTGAGTGCTGACCATTTCAGTGACCTCGACCATGATTTTGTAAGGTTCTGTGAATCAAAGTCTAGCTTTGAGTACTGAAGAAGATTATGCCACGTAGATCAATTGTTGTATGTACTCTGAAAGACCTTTATCCGAACCATGAACATCCCTCAGGCCTGACATTCTAAAATTCCATTTGCATGCTGGCTTCATTTTCTAGAGCTGTATTTTGGGGCATAATCATTACGGTTGGTCAGCGTACCAGGATTTACTGAAGCAGCGATCCCAGCTCCTTCTTCCAAAAAGCTTATTTCCGTAGTTATGTTCGAGAACTTAGGACCAAAAGGTCTCATTCTCGACACGCTTTGTTGAGAAAATCATCTCAGTGTCACCTGGTTAAAGGCACCCAAGCGTCAAGATAAGCAGGGTACACAGTGTTGGTTCTTTTCCTTTCATGTGAGTTGCAGATTTATCTTGGGTCTAGCAGTAAAAACTTGAGTCCCTCGACCGCTTCATCCGCGTTTCACAACCTCCTACTGCTGCCTCTCATAAAGTTGGCATCAGTCTGCTCTTGACAAAGCTTCTCGTAAAGTTCAGCTTCCGCCCACAACCTCACTAAGTGGCTCCTTGGTCAATTTGAACAGTTAATGTCGTCTGGCTTCGAGAATTAGGCGGATGAGTGAGGAGGCCACTCGATGAAACCACCAATGTGAGTAGTTTCGAATTGTTGTCAGGATAAGTGAGATAGATAACCAAAGCTGGATAAAGATATGGATGAGGTGCCTGAATTAATGATCAATTTGGATTAAGGAAAAGTCTGGCACCTGAAGCTTCTTTTGAATCCGCTCTCAACAATATGCTCTTACCACTTCGAGTCGTTAAAATCTAATTTCCGATGTTCAACGCGAGTGTTCACTAAACCGTTTTAGCTGCCCTTTGCTTGTTCTCATGAACTCTCAGCACCCTGCCCTCTTTCCTATGACTTAAGAAAAATAGCTTAGAGATGCAGAAGTCTCATCAACAGAATTGCCGAGAATCTCTGTATTCGCACATTGTTAACCACAATGATGAATATTGCCACTTTACCGCCTTATGATGGCCATGTTACACTGTAAATGCCTGCTAAGGAAATGGTTGCTTCAAACTCAAGTCCGTAGCGGCTTTTCACTGAGAACCAAGATTTATAACATCCCGAGGTTTCGATAGAATCTGACAATCCATGCAACGTCAGAGAATTTCGCTCAAGCACAGTGTGTGTAAAATCGTCGCCAAATATCAAAATTTCCGAGATCTCACTATTTCAGCTTCGTCGCCTCTTTTTCACCGTTCTAAAAACTGAATCACACGCTGGTCGAATTCAAGAGGGTTATCCAAAAATAAGTTATGGCCGGAAGATGAAACTTCGTTATATTCTGATGCGATACCACGCGATTCTGCCTCCTGTGCCAGACATTGTCCCGCTTGTCTATTCATCCAATCGTGGTCTCCATATAGCAATAGCAGTTCCTTAGCCCTGAGATGCTTGACGCTCTCCAAGAGCGGATCGCGTGCTAGCAGCCGATTAGTGAAAAGACCTAAGAACACATCCTTGCTAGTTTGGCTTAGGCCGTCTTTCCCAAAAAACATCTCGAACAGATACTTTTTGTAGTGTAAGCTAGGAACGCGCTGGTAAACCGTACAGATGTAATTCCAGCAGAATTTGGCGCCCAGTGGACCCAGAGCACGCAAAACACCCGTCTGAGATTCGAATATGAATCGAGGGATTGCTGGACGTGATGGAACGTAGTGTTTGGATGCCGGATTATTTCTGTCGACATGATAAGTCGTATTACTACTCCATTGATTGTTGACTGCGAAAGCATTGCGTTCCACACCCAATGGCGAGACTAAACATAGCTTAGCCACCGATTGCGGATACTTGACGGCGTATTTGAACGAAAGATACCCGCCAAAAGAATGGGCTACCACGTTGATGGGACCCAAAGCATTGTCGCGACGCCATTGTTCCAGCGCATCCACGTAATAATCCTCAAATTGCTGGACCAGGGCATGGTGATGTAATTGCTCTATGGTGTAGGGTAGCTTGAAAGTGTCGTTTTGAAACTTTAAACGCAGTGGAAGCGGTCGACCAATTGCGATTTCGAGTGGTATATCTTTTGAGAGTCCATTAGCGGGCAAGTCTATAGCGTAAAGATCCTGGATCGCATCTGAGAGGCCAGCAAAGTTGCGGTGGAATGCCATAGCCGATGCTGCGTGTCCGTGGACCAGTAGTGTTGGAATCTTGAGACGAGCTTTTGGGTTGTGGAAATGCCATTGATTGATCTCGTCTTTCACCATGGTATTTACTGCACGATCTCCCAATCCCAAGTCTTGAACAATAGCATTTTGCAGTTCTTCCAGCCGCGGTTTAGAGGATCCAAACAAGTTTTGAGTCCATAGTTTCCAGCCTGATGCTCGAGCAACTCCGGGTTGCGATTTCACCAGCCGAGCGACCATTTTGCGGGCGAAGTTGCGCGGTTGAGAGCTTGCATGTCGTACTCCGATCATCATTTCTTGGCTTGTTTTTTGTCGTGTGAGTAAGTAGAGATGTGGTTGACAAGAACTTTAAAGAGATGGTTGAACAACTACACTAGTATTAAAATCGTAAATCACCGCTATAAAGAGGCTACAAAGAGCCATCGGTGGGCTCAAAATCATCTCTATGAGTAGCGTGTGGGATAGGATTCGAGAGGAGCAAGTAGTGGAGGCCCTGCAAGTACCGCAGAGCTCTTCATCTGAACAACAAGAAGAGCGCACAGATCAGAATGAACATAGCGTCTGGTCTTCAGAAGAGGAAGAAGAACTTGACGATGAAGACATCAACGACAGCGACCTGTACACGGACGACATGGATTTCGAGCAGAATCTGCTCACAGCTCAGCAACAATGGGAAGAGTCGCTCGAACAGCTGAGCCAAGTACTCAATTGGGTGTTGTTGCCGTTAGTAGGAAAGTATCTGGGGAGACGAACAGCCCTGGGAGCATGGAAACGCATTGTCACTTATTTGTGGGGAATATAGAAGACTGTATGAGCTGTATGTAGTAATAAGCAGACTATGTAGTGTAATAGTGCAAGAAGGAAAGGGAAATCCTGAGAAATGGTATCACAGGAAAGTTTTCTGGATGTGTGTGTGTGTGTGTGTTTGTGTGTGTCGGGATGCTTGGGGTTTGCATCAATGTCAACTTCCGTCCACTTCAAGCAGGTCCCAAATCTCCTGTGTGTACTCTATGATGAACTGCGTGCGAATCGCTGCAACAACCGATTTTTGCAGCGAGGGTCGTACTTTCGAGGTCAAAGCGTCTGCACAAACCACATTGCAGATTCGAATCAGCAGCTCCATCAAAGCTACAGTTAGTGCCCTCACATCCAAAACCTGTGGTTCTTCCCATTGCGGACCTCGCGAGAATAACAAATTTAGCTTCTCCAGAAGAGCGTACAGTGCTACATCTGATAGTGCATGGTCATCCTGCATCACATCACTGAGCTCATACAGCACTCTGAATTTGTCCAGCGTTCGAAATGCCCACACAGCTGTGTTGCATTTTCCTAATTGTTCTGGTCTTACTACAAAACTGTTGAACAGCGCTTGTTGTTGACAATTCACCCGCAACAAATGCTCCAAGAGCACTACATTGTCGGCGCCTAGCTCCTGGGCCATCAAAAACTGTAGCTGAAGGGCACCAATGGGCCTCTTGAATGGTTTTTTGACTAGCTCTTTCTTGCAGTTCGTCCTTTGACTACAACTTACAAAACTTTGTCACTACCGGAAACACCAACTTTGACCTGAACAACTCATCGGCATGAAGATAATCGTGTGGACCCTGGTTATAGCACAGCTAGTTCTACTACTATTCTCACCAGTGCTGAAGACGTGGCCAGTTTTCCGATGGTACTACAAGAAAGTGTTCTATCCGATATTTGAGGATGTAAACACTCTGCGATGGAAGTTTTGGGTGGTTCCAGCGCTGTACCTTGGTGTTTACACATATTGTACAATACTGTTCTATCAAGACGTGGAGCCGTTGGTCAGGGCTCGTTTGGCATTAGTTGAGAGATGGATTGTTATTCCAGCCTTACTAGTTGCATTGCTCGTCACTGGAACTTTGACAATGGTAGTGAAACCCCGAACATCGCGGGATAACGCAACGTATGGATCGCCCTGGTGTTTACCATGCGACAATCTGATCTTTCACCAAAATCAGGTCTGTCGTACATGTAAGCTGCCCAAATATGCACGATCACGGCATTGCGCCATCTGCAATCAGTGCACACTAGTGGCCGACCACCATTGTGTTTGGGCCAACAATTGCATTGGAGCAGGCAATTACCAATACTTCTACGGGTTTCTGGTGGTCAATGTGCTTCTCACAAGTTATGGGAGTGTCAGACTTGCATGGCTATGGCAGTCTGGAGACGATAGATCGCTGTTGGTGTTGGGCGCACTACTTGGAAGCTTCGCATTAATTCTGATCGTTTTTACATACTTCCAACTGGCGTTAGTGCAGGCCGGGATGACTACAGGCGAGGAAAATAAGTGGTTGGTAGTTCACGATATGTTGCGAGAAGGGAAATTGGTAATAGACGACACAGACCAGTACTTTTATCGTGTAGGCGGTGAAAATGGTGATCAATATGAGTTTTATTCTACAAATTTCTACGATGGTGACACGTATGAAGTTCGAGACTATCGAGTGGTGCGGGACCCTGCAGAAATCACAAACATTTACGACCGTGGTGGATTTTGGGCAAATTTGAAAGCGTTAGTGATGCCCTGATCAGTTGATAGAAGAGTGTATTTTTGCAGAAATCTGCTCAGCACCAAGAGACTTATTACCAGCATGTCTTTCATTCTGCATGATGAAAGACCTCGTTATTTTTTCAACCGAGTGCATTAGGCTCCTCAACAAGGTCATCCAAACATTCAATTGTGGTCGAAAAAAACATTCAACTATATCCATAACCACTTATAAGACACATCGGTATACCAAAGGGCCTACATGTCAGTTTTCTTCGTGGATGTCACTTTAATACCTGTTCCACGTCGCTGCCTGCTGTAAATTCGCCCTGTCATTTCAATGGTGACATATGGTATTATACAAGAAGTGATACACAATTTGATAAAGTTGTGGCATCAAGGTCATCTACTTGCATTGCAAAGCTTCTTTTACCATCCTTGATAAAGATTTTGATCAATTCTTTGCAGGAGTGGTTTATCCATTAGAGCAGCCTTTGCGGTATGTGTGGAATTTTTTAGTGATTTTATGGAACTCGCCTCTGCCTCTTCGATCAACCGAGTTCTGTATCTATTGGGTATCCTCTCATTGCTACGCCTTTGAAGTCCCACAAGGGACCAACGAATTGTCAAATTCTACTTCTACAATAGCACTAACGACACCTAGATGACAGTTTAGTGAGGTAGCAGCCAGATCAAGTTATTCGCCTGTCAATGCTACGCTATAAGTCAGTCGCATGTGTAGAGAGGCTCCACTACGCCGATGGCTCATCAACAGCGTTTGTCAACAACAACAGCCTCGGACCGTTTTTTTTTGGTTTATAAGATCAAGCAAATCCTCACTGATTGAAGCCAAGTTCCCATTATCTTCAAATACCAAGAACATTTTCCTCGAAGTACCTTCAACATGAAGCTTGACACCAATTTTGAAACATGCACCTTCCTTGGTGGTTCGCAAGGTTTAGCTGAAGCTCGACAACTATGTGAATTGAAATTCGATTTTCGTCTCAATAATAGTTCTCGATAAAAATACAGACGAGATTGTTGCAGGGGACGAGCTGGACGTTTGCATGAAGAACGCCAACGGCAAGGTTTCGAATTTCAAGCCCGCTTTTTAATCAAGAGCTCATAGAATTTTGAATGGCAGGGAGCTCTTGTTATTTTCAACGTGGGTTATCACGCTTATACATCTGTTTGAATTCGAAGACTTTGACGAAGGAAAATTATGTGGATTTTGGCAAGCCGAGAGCTTCTGTGGAACGGCTTTGCCACTATTGGGGTTCGTGTCAGGTGGGATATCAAAAGAGTTTGCGGCCATGAATGAACTTTCACAAAGGAGTTTGGAAAGTCCTAAGTTGTTGCTGTTGGGAGATGGTAGATTGATAGCGATATTTCTCGACTAGATTGCTTGCAGGTGTTGCAGATTGGCAATGGGAGCAAAAATTCGCGCATGTCATTGGTACTATGTGAAATAAGCAACGCTTTTCACGCGAATATAATTCGAGCATTGTGAGATAGGGTGTAGACGCCGTCTTTTTCCAAACATTCGTTTACATGGGTGCAAAACCTCTCGCTCGACTCTAGCAGCGTTGAATCATACCGGACTGGATGCTAGTATAGCCACACCCTTGGTTTCTTATAGCCTAAATTTTACAAGCTTCCATCCAAAGAAAACTAGTATTTCTGTCGCTGTCCCACACAATCAGCATAATCTAGCAATGAATTGGACCATGTGGTACCTTTTGTCCGCTAAATAGAGGAATCAAAGTGGCAAGATCTCATCCCACGCCAAAAACCTGCCTTTCTGCTTTATCCTTTTAGCTAGCTCTCAATGTCGTCCATGCATGTCATCTTGACCCGTCTCGTTATCTGTCATCTGTCATCTGTCACAGCCAAGTTTTTATCACGTGATCTCGCTCAAACACCGGCAACAAGGCATTCCACCTGCTTTCAAGATGGAACTAGACTAACCAAATCTCAAAATTTGCTAGCCTTCGAGCCTCCTATGGCTTTCAAGCTCCACGTAAGCATGAAACTCTTCTTTTCGTAAGTCGCATACACTCCTTTACTGTTCGTCTTCGAAAAATCCAAGATTTGTGCTGGAATTAAGCTTTTTATTGTTGAAACATCTTAAACTCTTCGAAATAGCCGCATTGAAGCACCTGCTCTTCTTGTTGTGTTCTGAGTTTCCGCTCATCTTTCTTGACTGTGAGACTCGTACTCGAGAGTGCTAGCCAGCTCGTGATGTTTTTCCTTTAATTAACATGACTCAAGAAATCGAAAACTTTCATTTCGACGCTCATTAAATGAAACTTTGTTCTAAAGCTTTCAACGTTACTTGACTCCAAACGACATATTTAGGCGGTTTTCTTCTGCATTGAAGCCGACCATCGAATTTGCCACCTCAAGTTATCTTGTAGTGCGGCAATGCAGCTTTCTAAAGTGCCAATTTTAGGCAAGGAAACTATCCATGTTGGCTACAACATTGCGGACCATATTGTAAAGACTATCATCGAGGGATGCTCGTCGTCTACTTATGTGGTTATCAACGACACCAATGTGGAGAAAGTACCTTACCACCACGATTTGGTGGATACTCTGAACTCTGCGGTCCAACAGGTGGGTTCGAGGCTTTTGAGGTACTCGGTTAAGCCTGGTGAAGCGCACAAGACCAGAGAACAGAAGAACGAGATTGAAGACTATTTGCTACGTGAAGGATGTACTAGGGATACCGTCATCATTGCCATTGGCGGTGGTGTTATTGGTGATATGATAGGGTTTGTTGCAGCCACTTTCATGAGAGGTGTGCGTGTCGTGCAAGTTCCCACATCATTGCTGGCTATGGTGGACTCCTCCATTGGTGGAAAAACTGCAGTAGATACTGCATTAGGCAAGAATTTCATCGGTGCGTTCTGGCAGCCACAATTCGTTTTGGTGGATATCAAATGGCTTGAGACGTTGCCAAGACGAGAATTCATCAACGGTATTGCTGAGGTCATCAAAACGGCTGCTATCTGGAACGGGGATGAGTTTGCTCGTCTTGAAGACAATGCAGAAAGCTTCCTGCAGATTGTAAACGGCGCTAAAACCACCCGCGTCTCCGTGGCTGGTCAAACGCACCAATTGTCCATCACAAACATCGAGCACATTCTAGACCATGTGTTCAAGCTGGTTCTCGAAAGCATCAAAGTGAAAGCGCATGTCGTGTCCTCAGATGAAAGGGAAGCGGGTCTAAGAAACTTGCTGAACTTTGGCCACACCATTGGACACGCGTATGAGGCAATCCTGACCCCACAAGCCCTACACGGGGAGTGTGTTTCCATCGGTATGATCAAAGAAGCCGAATTATCTCGATACCTGAACATTTTGTCACCAACCCAGGTCGCCCGTCTCACCAAGATTCTAGCAGCCTACGGCCTTCCTATCTCGCCCGAGGAGAAATGGTTCAAAGATTTGACGCTTCATAAAAAAACTCCCTTGGACGTCTTGCTCAAGAAAATGAGTATAGACAAGAAGAACGATGGGTCTAAAAAGAAGGCTGTTCTACTAGAAACAATTGGAAAATGTTACGGAACCTCTGCTCATCAAGTTTCAGATGAAGATCTACGTTTTGTTTTGACTGATGAGGTTCTAGTTTATCCCTTCACGCCAAAGGAAACACGAGACACGAAGGTCATCACTCCACCTGGCTCCAAGTCAATTTCCAACCGTGCTTTAGTTCTTGCCGCTCTGGGAGAAGGCACTTGTAGGGTGAAGAATCTGCTCCATTCTGATGACACGAAGCATATGTTACATGCCGTTCAGCAGCTCAAAGGTACATCCATATCTTTTGAAGATAACGGTGAAACCGTTGTGGTCAAAGGACACGGCGGTCATACCCTTGAAGCAACTTCTGATCCTTTGTACTTAGGAAACGCTGGAACTGCTTCAAGGTTTTTAACGTCCGTCGCTGCTCTGGCTAAATCTTCAGCATCTCAGAAAAGCGTTGTTCTCACCGGAAACGCCAGAATGCAAGAAAGACCTATCGGCCCTCTGGTGGACTCGCTGCGTCAAAACGGTACCAAAATTCAGTACCTAAATAAGGAAGGGTCATTGCCGCTCAAGATTGATACGGACTCTCACTTTAAGGGTGGAAGGATCGAGCTGGCCGCGACAGTTTCGTCCCAATACGTTTCTTCTATTTTGATGTGTGCCCCATACGCAGATGAGCCTGTGACGCTTTCTCTAGTTGGCGGTAAACCTATTTCAAAACTTTACATCGACATGACGATAAAAATGATGGAAAAGTTTGGCGTGAAAGTAGAGATTTCCACCACCGAGCCACACACTTATCATATTCCCAAAGCAAGCTATGTCAACCCTCCCGAATACGTCATCGAAAGTGATGCTTCTTCAGCCACTTATCCTTTGGCATATGCGGCAATGACAGGAACCACTGTCACAGTGCCAAATATCGGTTTTGAATCGCTACAGGGTGATGCCAGATTCGCCCGTGACGTATTGAAGCCAATGGGGTGTTTGGTGGAGCAAACAGAAACATCTACCACAGTTACTGGTCCCCCTGTAGGAACTTTAAAGCCACTCTCTCATGTTGATATGGAGCCTATGACTGATGCCTTTTTGACTGCTTGTGTGGTAGGTGCCGTCGCACACAGTGAGGGCGCAGCCACCTCTAATGTCACTACTATAGAAGGTATCGCAAATCAGCGAGTCAAAGAGTGTAACAGAATTTTGGCCATGGTCACTGAATTGGCCAAATTCGGCGTAAAAGCAAGCGAACTTCCCGATGGAATCCAAGTTCATGGTGTTGATGATTTAAGAGATCTCAAGGTGCCCGCATCAGTCGACTCTTATGATGACCATCGCGTCGCGATGAGCTTCTCGCTTTTGGCGGGTATGATCAAGTGCACGGCGCAGGAAGAAAAGAAGCCAGTCAGAATACTAGAAAGACACTGCACAGGCAAAACTTGGCCCGGTTGGTGGGACGTCCTACATACACAACTGGGCGCATCGTTGGACGGTGCTGAACCGCTGGAAAACATTTTGCAAAGCCAAAAGACAAGCGTTGTGATTATCGGTATGAGAGCCGCTGGCAAAACTACCGTAAGTCACTGGTGTTCTAACGCTCTGGACTATAAATTTCTGGATTTGGACACAGTGTTTGAGGAACAGTATCAAAAGCGTGATGTGAAGGACTTCGTTCAGGAAAAAGGATGGGACGCTTTCCGCAAGGTTGAGGCCGAAATCTTCAAGCAGACGATCTCCAACCACAAAGAGGGCTATGTCGTATCCACCGGGGGCGGCATTGTCGAAAGCCCAGAATCTAGGAAGGCTTTGAAGGCTTTCGCCGACCAAGGTGGCATTGTTTTGCACCTGCATCGTGATATAGACGAAACGATCAACTTTTTGCGCAGCGATCCTACTAGGCCTGCCTACTCTGAAGACATAAGAGATGTATGGGAGAGAAGAGAGCAATGGTACCACGAGTGCTCTAATTACATTTTTTTCTCTCCTCATTGCGCCACCCCTCATGAATTCGGCCAACTGAGAAAATCATTTGGGTCCTTTATTCGCACTATCACTGGTAAACGTGAAGTTAACATACCAAGCGGTAGATCTGCTTTTGTTTGCTTGACATTCGAAGATTTAAGCGAACAGAAAGATGTACTCGCCGATATTACTTACGGCTGCGATGCCGTTGAACTTCGCGTCGATCACCTAAAAGGCTTTGAGTTGTCCTTTGTTGCTAAGCAATTAAGCATCTTGCGCGCTGCTACCAACAACTTACCGCTCATCTTCACGGTAAGAACCAAAAGTCAAGGCGGTCACTTCCCTGATGATCGTCAGCAAGAACTTTCGAAGCTTTTCCAGCTTGCTCTAAAGTCTGGTGTTGAGTTCATCGACCTCGAATTGACTTCGTCTGCCGAACTCCAATACCAGGTGGTAAACAGGAAGAAAACCACCAAAATTATTGGCTCTCACCATGATTTTGGTGCACAGTTCGATTGGGAAGACTCGGAGTGGGAAAACAGATATAACCAGGCCCTTTCACTAGATTTGGACATCATCAAATTCGTCGGCACGGCAAAGAGCTTCGATGATAACCTTAAATTGGAACATTTCAGATTGACTCACACACAAAAGCCACTGATTGCCATCAACATGACAGATGCGGGCAAAATGTCGAGAGTTATGAACACTGTGCTCACCCCTGTGACTTCCAGTCTGCTGCCTTCAGCTTCCGCTCCCGGTCAGCTAACCCTGGCACAAATCAATCAGATCTATTCGACATTGGGAGGTATGCCTGCCAAGGAGCTTTACGTCGTTGGATCTCCAGTGGGACACTCCAAGTCGCCTGATATGCACAACTTAGGTTTTAAGATCTTGGGTCTGCCACACACCTTCGGCAAATTCGAGACCTCCTCTGCTGACGAAGTAAAGAAGTCCATTCTCTCCAAGCCAAATCTCGGAGGTCTGGCGGTAACCATTCCGCTAAAGCTGGATATCATGAAGTATATGGATGAGCTTTCTGAATCCGCTAAATTGGTGGGAGCCGTGAACACGGTGGTACCAATGAATGGAAAACTACTTGGCGATAACACCGACTGGATTGGGATCTACGACTCGTTTGTTGCGCAAGGTGTTCCAGAGAACGTCGACGCTGCTTCTGGTTTCGTTGTTGGTGCTGGTGGTGCTTCTCGTGCTGCAATCTTCGCGTTACACAAGCTGGGCTGCTCTACGATTTACACCATAAACAGGACAGTGCAGAAATCCCATGAAATGAAGGACCAATTCCCTAGTCATTTCAATGTTAAAGTGTTGGAGACCCCCGAGCAAGTTGATGCAATCGTTGAGAACAACGTTGGGCTGGCGGTGAGTTGTGTCCCAGCAGACAAGCCTTTAGATGCCGGCTTACTTGCTAGAGTTGAAAAATTGTTCGCCAAGTCTAAAGACATCACATTTGCTCCCACACTTCTTGACGCGGCCTACAAGCCCAGTGTGACCCCGCTTATGACCGTGGCAGAGGCCAAATTTGGATGGCAGGTAATTCCTGGCGTACAAATGCTTATTTACCAAGGTGTGGCTCAGTTCAAGCTCTGGACGGGCTTCAAAGCTCCTTTCAAAGCCATTCACGATGCCCTCACCCAGTAGGTTGAGTTATGAACACTTACCGTGTGGCCTGAACTAGGATTTCAAGGAAAGCTGAACGTAACGACTTTCTGTCCAAAATCAAACGTTTTACATAAACACCACAAATAAATGCCTCTTAAAATACAAGTCGCACTGGTTATATCTGTCGATGAGATTGACGCAATTGCAGCGATGGATGCTGGCTCTCTCAAAGCTTTTACTAGTCGCTCGCTTCCGTTATCCATGATGAGCAGGGACGAGGATTAAATGAGCTCAAAAGCCGCCTGTAGCTTTCAATCGAACAAAACTATGATCAAGATCCTGTTCACGTATGCCTTGGTGGCAGCAACTGGATGACGATATACTCTCAGGCGGAAAATGCATTCAACTCGAACACTTTTGATAAATCGCTGTCTCTAAGGGTAGATGGTGGGTTTAACGCTCTTTCTATGAGTCCATCAGGAAGAGACGTTGTTTTGGCCAGTAAGCAAGGACTATACGTTGTGGATTTAGATGATCCATTCTCCGCTCCACGTTGCTTGCGTCACCTAACCTCGTGGGAAGTGGCCGATGTGCAATGGTCGCCTCATCCATCGAAATCATCCTGGGTGGTGTCAACTTCAAATCAAAAAGCACTGGTGTGGAATCTGTCAAGAAGCTCGTCGGATGCTATTGAGCATGTATTGCATGGTCATTCTCGTGCCATTACTGATATCAACTTCCACCCTCAACATCCGGAGATTTTAGCCACCTGCTCCATCGATGCATACGTACATTCATGGGACATGCGTTCGCCACGAAGAGCTTGCTATAGTGCAAGCGTATGGTCTGCTGGAGCATCACAAGTCAAATGGAACTTCAAGAACCCAAATGTGATGGCATCTGCGCATGCCAACGATATTTTCGTGTGGGATCTGCGGAAGGGGTGCACACCATTACATGTTGTTAAAGGCCACTCTAGCAACGTTAATAGTATAGATTTCAGTCGCACCAGTGACTCTGAGATTATGTCAAGCGCCAATGACGGCACTGTTAAATTTTGGGACTATGCAAAAAGTGCTCAAGAACCACTGCGAACTGTGATTACAGACTTCCCTGTAGCAAAAGGTCGGTACTTGCCCTTCGGGAAAGGGTTTTGCGTCATGCCCTTTGTCGGTGGAAACAACTCTGTCTACCTATCAAGTAGCGTCACAGAGAGTGAACCAGGTACAGTGTCGAAGCTTCAACCTATCTACGTTTTCAAAGGACACACCGATCGAGTTTCAGACTTTCTGTGGAGAGTGAAATACAGTGGTGGAGCATTGGTGGACGACCGGGAATTTCAGCTAGTGACATGGTCCAAAGATAATGATTTAAGACTATGGCCAGTGAATGAGACCACCTATGATAAAGTTGATTTTCAACGAAATCAGACTCTCGAGCGCCCGTTTAGTGAGCATGATTATCGTACGTTCCGTCAAGAGCCCTTGGAATCGCGGAATTTACCAAGCTATGCACATTATCCCAAGGAACAATTTGTTACCAATTCAGGACTCAAGGACTTTGATGATAAAAATAGGATCAACCATCTCGCTTGGGTTTCGGGAGTAAGAATGCATCATGCTGATTCTCCTCGGGGCCTTTTTGATTTAGACAAGCTACAGAACCTGGGTGAAGAAGTCACTATGATCGGTCACAAGTTTCCCAGAGTTGTTTTCGAAAAGATATCTGTATCCACTGGGACTTTGACATTGACATTGTCAGGACCTTGGTCTGAACAAAATCCCGAAGATTTAGTGTTTCTACGTGTGGACTGCGTCTTCCCACCAAACTACCCATTTAAGAGTCCACCGCGATTCAAAATTGAAGAGAATCGCGAGCTTGACTCGACGAGGGTTAAAGAAATCACAAACCATCTTCAAGAAATAACCCGCAGATACACTGATTTGGGAAAGTATTGCTTGGAGCCTTGCTTGCGCTTCCTTTTGGGCGAGAAGATAAATCTAGATGTCTTGGAGGAGGAAGAGCAACTTCTGAATTTGGACGTCGTCGACTCCTTGGGACTGAATGATCTTTCTTCACTCGAAAGCTCTGACATGAGGTCTGGTGCTATCTCTGTAACATCTGAAACTTCTGATGAAGATGAGGAGGATCTCGACAACAAAAGCAGCAACGATGGGTTTGTTTCTCGCTCCGCGCACGCCTTAGATCTCGATTCTACACCAATTCCAAAAGGATGCGGCGCAACTTGGACTTCCTCAGGCAAATTAGTATGCTTTTTTACCACTGAAGGTAAACCAGAAAAGAAACAGCAAGGCGCTCAGAAATTCGGCCAGCGCGGATCTATTGGAATCAAAGCAGAGTACCTACCGGAACAACTTTATGATGAGAACAAGCCACCTGTTCCTTCACGACCTAGACGTTACGTGGAGACTTTCTCGGCATCCTCTGCCCATAATAGCGAGATAGGAACTTCTGAAAAAGACACTGATTCCGATACCAGCTCTGATAGTTTTGGCGATGATTGGAACGACATTATGCGAACAGATATAACTTTGAGGACTAAGATGCCAGTATTCTCGAATTTTGGCAAATCACTAGCGTCTGCTCCATCGGACGATGGGAAAAGCAATGTTTCTGTTGCGAGACCAAAAAATGCTGTCTTCATTCAAGACTTTAGTCATTTAATCGCCGATAAAAGACAGCTTGCGGCAGAATATATTTTCACTGGGGACAGTTTAGAAGCTGTTTTCAAGCACAACTCCTATGTGGCTGGACTCCATGAATTAGAAGACATCGCACACTGTTGGAAAATGGTCGGTAATCTACTTATAGACCGCGACGAGCGCCGAAATTCCAACTTTGGATGGCATCAAAATGCCGAGGGTGATAGAGTGTTCATCAAAGAAGTGATGAATTACTTGGAAAGGTCTAAGAATGTGCAGATGCTGGCCATGTTTAGCTGCATACTGATGGACCCGCCTTCAGCGATACGCAAAAGTGCCGAAGCGAGGTCGCGCCAAGCGAACGTTATTACCTTCGAGTACGAGAACCAGAGCAATTTTTCAGCATCTCGGCATGGCTCGTTTGCACCATCAATGAGATCAGAGGACTATTTTTCGCCGCGTCAGCATAGCGTCAAAAATCGCAGACCGCGATTATCCAACACACTTACGCCTTCGGAAACGGTTGCTCAGCATTCCATTTTGCCTGACATTACCATTGAGATTGTGAACAATGATGAGCTTGACTACCTTGGTGGCAGGAACCCATCTCTTCTAGACTCCGAGGACGAATCCAAATATCGGTCCTACCGGTACCAGTACTCGGAGTTACTTTTTTACTGGGGTCTTCTCATCAACAGGGCAGAACTTCTGCAATTCAACAGCACTCAAGAGAACAACACGCCCGATCTTTGGCATCATTCTCTGGGCTACGGGCTAGACCAACGAGCAGAAAAGAGCTACTCGGGAGTTTCCTACAAAACACTGGGTAGCGAGTCATCTTCTTTGACCAACCGCATTTGCAACTACTGTGAACTGCAGGTCTCGGGAAGAGGCACTGTGTGTGGCAATTGTCAGCATCTACTGCATGCCCATTGTGCCAAAGCTTGGTGGGAGCTGAGCGATGTATGTGCCTCGGGATGCGGCTGTCAATGTGTTAGCATGTTTGACGTCACGTGATACCAATCCTATCGTTCTTTAATAACATGACGTTCGTACCACACTTTGATTAGGTAAGAATCTCGAACCCTTTTCGGCAGCTTACCAAATGTGGAAACGATTACCCCTTTCGGATTCAAGAGCTGAAATTTCGTATAAGCTCGATGAAATCATCTCATCTGAATAAGCTTCCCACTCCTAAAGCTTAAGGGCAAGACCAGTCTAGTTCTTCAAGTTGAAGAAGAAGAAGAATTTCTCTTGTGACGCGACCATCATGACTTCGACGAGGAAAGTCGCCGTTATCACGGGCACCAACAGGTATGAAAATTGAACTATTTTTGATGTGGTAAGGACGACATAGGACTAACAATCAGTTTCTTTCAGCAACTTGGGTCTCAACACGGCTTACCGCTTGATAGAACAAGTGGAAGACAATGTGCGGTTGACTATTGTGGTGACGTCTCGAACCTTGCCCAGAGCTCGAGAAGTAATTGGACAAATTCAAGAATTTGTAGCGCAAGCCAAGAGAACAGGACCAGTTGACTATGATTACCTTTTGGTGGATTTCACTAATATGGTCAGCGTCTTGGGTGCGTACTACGATCTGCAGAAGCAGTACGAGGAAATCCACTATTTTTTCGTGAATGCAGCGCAAGGTGTTTACCAAGGAATTGACTGGATGGGGGCTGTCAAAGAAGTTCTGAAAAACCCAATAGATGCAGTGACAAACCCCACATACAAGATGCAGCGTATTGGTGTGAAATCGGCCGATGGTCTGGGACTTGTTTTTCAAGCCAATGTTTTTGGTCCTTATTATCTCATTCAAAAGCTGCTTCCTCAATTACAAGCAGGCCGCGCGGTCATAGTATGGATTTCGAGTATTATGTCTGATCCAAAATATCTTTCTCTGGACGACATACAGCTGCTCAAGAGTCCAGCTTCTTATGAGGGTTCTAAACGACTTGTCGACCTGCTACATCTGGCAACTTACAAAGACCTGAAAAATCATAATATCACACAGTTTGTGGTTCAGCCGGGCATCTTTATCAGTCACTCCTTTTTCCAGTACTTGAACGTTTTCAGCTACTACGGTATGCTTTTCCTTTTCTATCTTGCAAGAGAACTGGGATCGCCCTGGCATAACGTGGATGGATATCGTGCTGCCAATGCACCCGTGTACGTTGCCACATTAGCAAACCCAAATTCTGAACAGCAGAATGTTAAGTACGGCTCTGCCACCCACAAAGATGGGAAGGAATACGTCCGCACAGCAGAAATAGACCCCACAGGTACGCAAGACGTCTATGGATATATCAAGCAGTTGAAAGCTGAGTGGGACGAAAAACTCAAAAATCAGATAACCAATTCAAGACAGGTTTAAAGCGGTTTTAGTAGTTTACATATCCCTCTTTTACATATCGAAATGCAGGTCCTAGCTAATGGAAATCGCATTCGAGCTCATTGCTTTAAAGCCATCAAGGAAGCGACAAAGGTTAAAATCAATCTTGAGCGTACCTCGTTGATATCCTCTGGAACTAGCCAAATTAGGGCACCCAATTTTCTCGCGATGGAAATAGCCAGTCTGGCGTTGGCGTATTTATCTTCCTCCGTATTTCCAGCAATCACTAGATCATAATCGACATAGCCAGGCGCGATTCCGTTCAGCACATCTAGTAGGAAATGGCCATTGGACAAAGCGGGGTCGCCGAAAGATCTGACACGAGAAGTCTTTCCACCTTTGGCAACTTGATCTTGAGCCCATTTCAAAATTTGGCCATCGCTGAGTTCTTTGCCATCAGTGGCCAAGGTCTTCATCGTATTAACAATATTTCTTCTCATCAACTGCCATACTAGGCCCAATGTGAGAAGCTTATTTCCGTCAACAATGTCCGAACCTTCGATACCTACAAGCGAGAAACCGCGAGACTTGCCTAGATCAACAGCGTAATTAGTGTTCTCTAGAGCTTTGAATCTGGAAAGCTCATTTCCTGAAGCAGGACGCTTATTGACGTTTTTCTGATCAACGGCATCCGGCATCACTTTACCGTAGGCTTGCAATAAAACCAGACCGTCTTTCAAATCTTCGAACAAAGACACCACAGGAGGATCGACGTCCAGTGAATTGAGCCATAGAGTAAACACTCTCGCTTCTCTTTCCCCCTCGGCATCAAACTCTTCGATTTCCGGCTTTTCGGACTCCTCGATCGGTTGCAATCCAGGATGTGTGTTGAACAAATGTGCAACAAAAGCCAGATTCAACTTTGGATTACCAGCCACGAGAGAACTAGGAGTCAAATATTTTCTGCATTCTAGCTTCTCTGCATTTTGTAGAACCTGCTCAGCCCTCTGTAATAGGTCAGAGGTTTGTAATGGAGCGCGCGAACACGACTCCGGTGCCAGTTGGTTCAAGAGAATAGTATAGTTCTCACCATCGGCAACGTCTTTCGAGAAGTTACTAACCCGTCTGCCCCAGCCCGCTTGTTTCAGATGATAGTTGAACCAGCGAAGCAAGATCTGCTCGGGAGGGAGTCTCAAAAACTGTTCGAGGGTCTCGTCATCTTCGAGCAAACGGTACAGTTCTGGATGGTGTTTGATGTCGATTTTGCTCAACAGACCTCTGCGGATAATCTGCCAAATAAGACCCAGAATGAGATGTTCTTTCCCCTCAATGATGTCTTCTGAATGGACGTTCACGACAATACACCCAATAGCTTTGGCCGAGTTGATAACAATGTTGGCGTTCTCACTAGCGGTGAAGTTATTGAGACGCTTGCCGTTTTTTGGCCAGTTCAAAACTCTAGTGTCGATAGTGTCTGGTACCGAGTCGTTGATCAACTTTGACAAAACCAAGCCGTCTCTACACTCATCGAATAGCTGAAAAGTGTCGGTAGCAAAGGGCAGTTTGTAGCCGATATCCGAATCTCCAGCCAAAACGCTATTGATATGTTTTGTGAATTCTGTTCTCTCTTCTTCATTGATGGTGTGTTGACTACCGGTGGTGGAGCCACCAACAATAATTTTGGCCTGAGCGCCTGAGCCCTTATGCTGCAGACCGGTGAATGCCGGCGTCACAGGAATGTTTACAGGGGCAGAAGACGTTTGAAAACTGGTAGCTGGGGGTGGTCCGATTCTTGTATCTTTCAGCTTCGCAATCAGTTCCACATAATCGTCCAGCTCAACACGCCCCGAGGCATCCACGCCAACCTGTTTGAGAGTCTCTCTGGCCTCATCGTAAGAGGCTTCCCCCGATTTCGATACTGCAGCCAGCAATTGTCCCTTTTCAACCCATCCGTTGTCCTCAACGTCAATTTCCCGGAATTTTTCCACGGTCTGGAAGATATCTTCCTGGGTCAATACAGGAAACTTTTTCTGTTACAACCAGACGTTGGTTTTGATTGTTAGTATACTGCTGAAGCTGAGAAATGCTTGGATATGGTCGTTTGAGGCTCAAAATCCATTTTTTTCGCCCGTTCGAGTCGGAGAAACATACCTGTAGCTTAATGATATTCATGATTTTTGAAGGCGCCAATATATGCCAAAGCCCCGCTGTTTGAACTTAATAACAGAACAATTGTCAGTCTAGTAAACGGTAGTTTCCCTGGGGCTTTCTTGGGGTTAGGTTCGATAGATTTGGATAGTCTTGAGTTTAGGCTGAGTTTTTACAACTCTTGAAAGCTGAGTGAGAGACAGACCCCTTTTCAAAATTGAAATTGTTTTGAAAGAAAATGATACACGTAATTTTACCAGATCACGTGTACTGTTCATCACGTGCTGTGTGTCACGTTTGTGCTGACGTAATCTGAAGGTGTCACATAATAATCTGTACGATGAGTACCACCATCAGTGATATCCAGTTGTGGTGTCCAAATCCATGAATCTCTGTCTGAGACAGTTTGACAATACTTGCGTAGCCATTTGTAGAAATCCGGTTCGGTTTCCGGTAAAACGGGCTCATTTTGCTGGATTTGACGCTGGTGTCTGTGGATCAAATCTTGTTCGTGAAGCAGGACCGAGTGAATGTCGTGAAGTTGGCTTCGCTCCAACGTCTCCGCCGCATCGGAGCCGTTCCAGAATTGCCGCAGTGTGCTCTTCTCGGCAGAGACTCCAGTGTCGAATCGAGGGCGAGAGTTGGGGTGTAAAAGATGCCCTGTGGAGGAAAAATGGTGGCCCGCACCACCGTCAGTGCTACCCTGGACGTCATCCGTAATACCATTCCTTTCTAAAGACGAGGAAGGCTTCTCTAGCTCGTCTTCAGAGCTGTCACAACACCATAAATCCAGGTCCGGCCTGAAATCTTTGAGAGCTGTCTCTGCTTTGTGTTTGTCCTTGTGGAATACCAGACAATGTGTAGCGCTTTCTGAACTTCGCATGTTGCCAATTTTGCTCGCTGCCAGCAGCTTCTTGTCACAAAATGGAGTAAAATCGTAAACCTCTGAATTTTTGACCCTTTTGTTGGTCGCAGCCGAGTCTTCCATGAGGTTTCTTGGTGTCTCGAAGATATCGCGATCGTCTAGTAGCGATCGCCCTTTAGAAGGTGTATGATGTAATATCTTTATTTTGGGAGTCCTCCATGGCGGCAAAGACGGCAGTTCGAAACTGGGCTGTTCCGGTGAGCCTAAATGCTTCCTAGGCATACGGTTCAAGTGTTGATTTGGTGTGTTTTGGTGGTTTTCACGGTTAAAATCTCTGAATTCGATTCGGTTAGTGTGAAGAGTGAAGTAGAACGACGGTTAAATTTAAATATATTTATATATAAATTTCGAATATTTGAACAGAAAACGTCAAAGTATATAAAAGGCTCTATAAACGCTGTTTTTTGACAGCTGGGATGTTTCCCTGGTTTTCTCTAGTTTTTCAGGATTATGGCCTTTTTTTCGTAGCTCCAAAACCTGTTTTCTGAAGTAGTTTAGGCTTATTAGAGCAGCCTTGAGTGAACAAAACTCGTAAAACTTTTGAGCATTGAATTTCCATATTCCCGGGGCTCTATACTTTGGAGACAGATTAAACGGGATTTTTAAACGTGTGAAATACCTGTTTGGTGCTCAGAATGTGGATTGGGTCAAAATTAGGAGTCCGAAATGATAAAAAAGCGCGAGACTCACAAATCCAGATGCATTGAATGAGGTAACAGCTATCGAGCAAGCTTCATAGAAGCCCACTGAGAGTCAACCTCTCGAGGAAAGACGACAAATCGTCTCGCCGCACCTCTATAATGGAACTCTCGAAATTGTCTATCCTCACTTTGGCTCCGGTCTCTGCAGCTATCCGTTGAAACGCAATGCTAAAATTGTTCAAGAGCGGTTTGCGACTCTCCAGATTATCAATACCCCTTGGATACCTGGGTGCCAACCCCGCTACCAAATATTTGTCTGCTGATGAATCGAAGCTGCCGAGTACCAAGGGTAATAGTTGACGGTCATCTTTCTCAGCGCAACACTCGAGAATCCAGTTCCCCAGCCGCATCAACGTTAGTGGATTCCTGTACAGAACCAAATCGGGTCCATCTTGCAAGACACACAATCGATACAATCGCAGGTTTTTGATGAGTCTTTTCTCCAAAACGACCACGCCTGTGTTGAAAACTGCACGTTGCAAGTACTGTGCATGTTTAACACCACGCCGCATCAATTCTATATTGTCGTCCAACGCATCCCAGCTCAACCAGAAGTTACTGACCCATTTCCGCTCTCTACGTGTAATGACATCTTCCAAATCTGTATTTGACCGTTCTGCCGCAGCGGGACCATCACTTTTGGTGATATCTTTGGAATCAAGTGCTTGTCCGACTTCTAAAAGTGCGGTTATTGCCTCCACAAATTCGCTCGCACTAATTGCACCACGATATCCAAACGTACGCACGAATCCGTCGCGCACAATCTCTTGAAGACCGTATCTCTCAAGGCTTTTATCAAAAATAGTTCCCAATTCTCTCTTGACGCTGTTATCCATATACAGCCAGTTTTCTTGAGCCGTAGATAGGGAAATGCCCATACGTGCAAATATTTTGTGCAGTTTTTTCTTACCGTTTTCATTCCATAGCGAAAGTCTGGCGTTAACGTAGTTAGAGTAGAGAAAACTGTCGTACAACGATGAGTGCCGTAACATGAAAAGATAGTAATCCGGTTGGATTTCTAACGAGAGTGTGTCGGGAGTCTTTTGTGTCTCATGCGGCGAAAGACGCCGAACCTCGTCCTGCAAAAGCGGCAAAATTTGGTTATAAATCCGTGGGTAGGCGGCATCCAGCGAAGAAACTCCCAAAATTGTTAGCCACAGGTATGATATGCTTGTTTCTCCGAGTGTAGACAATAGCGAGTAAACCTGGGCGGATAGCGAGTTGGACACAGAGGTCCCTTGGGCATAGTAGTCTTCGATGATATCCTCATATTGGTTCATAAGCTTTTTCCGCGCTTTCTTTTCCTTTCTGGAATCTCGTCCGCTAGAAATTTGACGCTTGGCGGTACCGGAGCCCTTGCTATTATCGTCATCATCGTCGTTGTCGTCTTCATTATGATTATTATTATTATTATTCTTGTTATTAGTACTATTGTCATTCTCACCATCGTCATCGTCCATTGTAGGATTTTCGCTGTCGTCGTCAGTATCTTGCTGATCGCTGTCCTCTCCATCTCCATCTACATCGTCTTCAGAAGCCACATCTTCCTGGTTTTCGAGCTCTATGAGCTTGAGATAAGCCTCCTGTTGTGATTTCAGCGTTTCTTCAACTGTTCCGTCATCGAAACAGGTCACCATACGCGAACTGAACAAATTGAACAGATTCCAAGGTCTGTGTGTATCCAGCACGTAGATCTTGCGCTTTGTCAAATCTTCAATATCTTCTTCATCCTGTTCCTCGATATCTAGAAACTCTTCCACGTCTATCATTCCACCGCATCCTATAAAGATGACACTGTTAACGTTTTCGTCCAGCTTTCCGTAGAACTTTTTGAGCTCCGCGTAACCGAATACTGGGACCAATTGCAACTGCACCAGCTCCTTCTTGAACAGCTTCGCAAGTATCTTGCTAGCACACAGAGCATCGATATTCAAACACGAAACAAAAATTACCAGTTGACAAGCTGAATGTGAAGATGAGAACCTCAAAATTCGATCGTAAGCATCCTGGAACTGTCTAATTTTCAGAAACATGCTTTTCAAACGTCTTTAGAGGCCTGTAGACTTGATTTTGAGCTGTTTTGTTCGTACTCATCGAGTCGATGAGTACTATCCAGATGTTGTAGTTTAATAAATTTCCATTATTTCTTGTCAGTATTTCAGTTGATGACAGCTATACCATTCAAAACCAGAGTTTAACACCTGTTTGGCCGTTCTAAGTCGATCAATTGAAGTCGATTGTGTATCAATTATATACCGTTACTTATGTTAGCAATTTGGGCGCTTCTTCTAACGTCCGTATCGGCTTTTTTCTTTGATTTTGGTGGTCAGCAGCAGCAGCAGCAGCAGCATCAACAAAACCCACCAATTTCCTATGAAGAACAGGTTTTGAATAACGGATGTGGCGACTATCTGTGCCCCGATACACTAGCGTGTGTGAAAAAGGCCCAGGATTGTCCCTGTCCATTCCCCAAATCGCAACTGAGATGTGAACTTTCAAACGGCCAATATATATGCATTTCCAAGCCGGCGACCCAGGACGAAACGCTTAACTCGCTGTACGATGACCCTGTGAAGGGTCCTAAGACGCGTGCAAAGGGTTTGAGAGACTGTGGTTGGGTTGAAGCCGCTCACAAGGGCTCGTCTTGAGCCAGCTTGCAGCGCCTTTTCTAACATCTCAAGCATCCCTCCATTCATTCATTCATATTGCATCTATAGTCGACGTCTATACACCCCACTACCACCATTCACCAATGAAAAAGAAGTTAACCAAAATGCGGGAGAAACATACAGCCGTTTGCTCCATTCAGTCTCTGTTTTTGCCTGGTACCCACCTTCTATACATTACCTCGCCCACTTTGTAGCTTGCAAACAAACGGGCGAATTTGCCCTGCTGCCACAGTCGTAACGCTTCTTGACGCGATATGAGTAACTCAACGTAGCACAGAATGAAACTTTTCTTGGCTCCTCCTACAACCCTGGCAGTACTTGCATACCATGTGTAATCCATGGAATCTTCGCTGTTGAGAACCATTATACCAAACTCAGCGTGTTGGAAAGGCGGTCCACGTTTGTACAGCAGGAACTCGCAACCAAACTTGATCCCGGAACGGACACACCATCCGTGAGATCTGTAATGATGGTACGCCACATACTTTATGCACAGTTGATTGATATTAGCATAGGAAGGCTCTTTACCCACAAGATGGCGAGTCAAGGTGGATGCCGGTATATCAAGCACTGGAAGTGCGAAAGTCAAAAACAATGCTTCTACGGGCATCAGCTCTAGCACTTCCAGATCCACAAGCTTGTCATTTTCGTCGAGCAGTCCTGAGTCTAGTTCGCGGATCTGTACATCGGCTGGTCTTGAAGTCGAAGCCTGAATTTCTCGTTCCCTCAGCGATTGCAAGAATTCTCGCTCTTGTCTGGATATCTCCGATTCTTCAACGCCTTTTCGCCTAAGTTCAAGTCTTATGGCTTCGAAATTGGCCCTTTCTCGTTTGAACTCCAGTCTTTGCACTCGTCTTTCCTCAGTGACATGCTCTAAAGCTCGGGACGATTCCAATAACCCCAGTCTGTTCAATGTTCTCTCCTTCCAGGTGGGCTCGCTTCTAGACAATTGGGCGGTGCCGAAAAACCCGTTTCGCCAAAGATAGAGCATCTCATCGGGGTTTGCGACCGTTATATGCTTACCATTTGAAAACTCGGCATGTACTTTGGATGGTAACAGATTGGTGCTGGAAATGTAGCTGTACAGCCAATATACCCATGAAACCGGGTTGTGTGGGACTAGTTCTGGCAAGTTATCTAGTGGATGGATCGGCAGCGGGTGTTTGTAGTATCTGGCGTTGGGTACATATTTGGGCATCGCGGCGATGAGCTGTGCGATGAGCTGTGCAATACAAGAAATTTGAGTAGTAAGTATGCTAAGAGCGATCGATATATATATATCGAGAAAAAATCCGCCAGCGCGCTGAACTTGCATCCAAGCGACTACGTCTCTAGCGTTTCAACAGATTCGGTTTGTCGAGTGCTTAAAGATGGCAAGTCACATTGACTTTTCGTTGTTTCCAACTACAATGGATAATGCTAGGACTATCAACATAAATCTTAGATGTCTACTAATTACGATCAATACGAAAAATTCAGATACCGTTGTAGTCTATTGAGAAATCATAATGCTCACAGCGATTTTACTCTTCAAGCATTGTGGTTTGTATCATCATCATATTTCGGGATTCTTATGAGTTTTTTTAGTTTGGCCATGGCAAGATATTATAATTGGCCTTCTTTCAAAAGAAAGCATGCTGTACTGCCTGGTACAGGACCCTTTCAAAGTATGCTATTCGGTTGCGCGTAGGAGAAGAAGCAAGACTCACGAACAAGAATGCTCGGATCTACAACATTTGTTTTGTTTCTTTCGTTGTTCTTAGTGTTTTTGAAAAAAAAGTGGTGTTCAGAAGTGTAAGTTATGGATCGTGGTCGTGGTTTTTTATAGTGACATGTTTTAATCATTTCGTGTGTAATGATCAGATATCACGACTTATACAGGGTAAACTCGACACTGTGTAGTTAGGTTTGGAACCAAGAAGAAGTTTATGGTATCTGAGAGAATTTACTGTAATGGGTAGGCTTGAATTTAGGATAAAACTGAGCTATACGCATTCACCGATCGTTGAGGACTTTTTTCGAGTTAAAATGGGTGGAAAATGCAAACGTGATTGATGTAATATCTTGCGGGCGAAGAAACTGGTATAAGATGAAATAGTCGCTTTGACTGATCGAGTCAGACATGTTGGGGAAAAAATGCAGGCTCAAACTGAACGTCAAATGTTTCAGGTATACAGTATCGAGATACCGTTTCTTAACTCTTGATTTATACTGAATGACAGTTTAGTACGAAGTGATATATCAACCATTGAGTTGAGACAACACCCTCGGTAGCTTCTACCGGTCTTAGTCGCTAAAGCAGATTATTTGTCTTGTTTTGGCAGCTCCAAAATCTTCCTCAAGCTTCTAAGAAGGCTTCCTCAACTGCTAAAAAGAGATCGATAGCCACGTGACATGTGTCAGCGACTGATTCGAGACTAAACTGATCTGACGAACTGAAAACCGATGACCTTCCTCTTTATAATCATGTCGGTCGCAATCGTGGTCTTTTTTCGCTGTGGAAATCAGAGGAGAGCACTTCGACAACTTTCCAAGTGTCTTTCCTCGCGCATTTCTCAAAAAATCATTGACAATCGTTCTATTGCAATAGATATAATTTATACAGATGCCAGTACGAGCTCTTATAAAAGTTTGGGTGGTGTTTCTCGATGCCAGTTCGTTCAGTAATTGGCCATAGTTTGACGTTCCTGTGTTAGTATTACCACGCCCTAGGACTCCATCCTAATTCAATCAATTGGATGCAAGCTCAGAAAAGTATTGGCGTAAGATCACAGACAGCATTTCTGGCAGCTCCGAAATATCACGAACAAGCACATAGAATTCGAACGGGAAAGTGTCAAGATACTTTTCAACCTTTAATTGTAGGTTTCCAAAGCTATCTGGAACGTATTTGACCTGGCTCATGTCCATAATCGATTCTGAGGAATTAATGCCGTCAATGATAACGAATACAAGCATGATTTTATTGTCGCGCGCACGACGTACCAGTCTTTGAACAACATCGTGGTCTTCGCAAACACCATCAGAGATAATGATCTGCAATTGCCATAAATCAGCGTTATTGAAGGTCCGACCACGGTCAAAAATGCGAATAGACTCAGCTACCAGTTTCTTGACATCTGTTCGAGTATCCTGGAAGTCGAACCATTGGAAAATTTTAGCACCAGCATCGTTACCAAAAGGCTTATCAAACTGGTGAACTTCTTGTGTGGTATCTCCAAACTTGACGATTGAAAGCCCGCCAGATTCTAATTGCGTTAAAGCTTTAGACACCAAGCATATGCTTTGAAATGCTAGGTCCACAGATTTGGATTCACTCATGGACTTGGAATCATCAACGGCAATCATGATCTGATATTGACGTTTGCTTGGTTTGGTTCGTTTTAGCCAAATCTTGTCCTTCCGAAATTGAGACGCAATGTAAGGTATTATACGCTTCATGTTGAGTCTTTTACCGGTTTTGTAATCGCCTTTGAGTTTTGTAGCCAAGGTAGGCTCCAAAATGAGACGTAGCTGTTCACTCAGACCAGCAGCTAAATCAGCGGTTTCAATTTCACTCTTCCTCCACAGCTTGCGAGCTTCATCCAAACTTCTCGGTGGTTCAGCGTTGGCCTCCTCAAGAACGACCTTTTGATCGATTGCATCGATTATTTCGTCTAACTCATTTTTATCAGTTTCAAATAGCTCCGGGTTGGTGACAACATTATGCTGATTTTCCTCGTCTTGAGCTTCTAATGGTAGGCCGTTGGCCTTCCCCTGACTGTCCCGGTCGTGGACCTGGTCTGAAGGCACTTGCTCTCCATTATCTTCTTCGGGAAGAGTCTCGTTTTCAGGAAGAGGCTCTTCGGTTTTCTGATTATCTTCTTCCTGATCCTCCATTTCATCATCGATCGCCATTTCTTCGTCAATCGTGGTGGCCTGGTCTTTATTAGCAGAGCCTAAGGCTTGGGTGTCATGATCAGTATTAGCGCCGTCTAAGTGTTCGAAATCGTCAGGGCGCTCGTTCGCACTGGCTTTTTCTTCTTTCAACTCTTCACTGTTGCTCGCTTCTTTGATCTCTTGATGTCTTCGGTGAAACTCCTTCAAACTATCACCCAGTTGCTTCAAGCTTTCTTTGGCTTCTTGCCTAGACACTTCATTGGCATCGCCTGCATCTTCCTGCTTTTCTTGTTGGGCGTCGCCGGAGTCTCCTATATTCTCGTCCTCTTGAGAGTTGACAGCGTCGGCACCTTTACCCTGAGCACCACTTTGTTGTTGTACATTGGGGTCAAAGTCTTCATTGTCAATGTTCATCATGTCATCCGCACCGTCCAGACCCTCCAAGTTGTCGTCTGTGCCCTCTTCTCCACCCTGGTCTTTGTTCTCCATCTCCTCATCTTGATTTTTGAGAAGCTCCGCTGAGTCCTCCTCGGCAGAATTGGACTCGGTTTCTGAATTCTGATCTCCCATATCATCATCTGGCGCATTTTCATCTCTGTTCTCAGTTTCTTCATCGGGGTTAGGTAAATCTTCATCATCATCCATATTGACATCATCTCCGTCCGCGTTGGTATCTTCTTGTTCGTCATCTTCCTTAGCTTCTTCATCCTCTTCGCCATTGATTCCTGCCTCGTTGAAACCGTCGTCCTCTTTTTCGCTGTTGGAGCCTTCGTCATCTTCGCTTTCGCTTACATTGTTGGTTGAGTCTTCGTCTCCTGAGTCTAAGTTCATGTCCTCTGGTAAATCCATTGTTTCTACTTCAGGTACCGCACTATCAATCTCGCCGTCTTCATCGTTTTTAATCTCGTCGTCCTGTCCAGCGGCATCATTGTCCTCGTCAGATTCTGCATCGGATTTTTCTTCTTCCTTTTCGCTGTTATCCTCTTCACCGTCCGCAGCATCGTCAGCTTCAGGCTGTTTATCTTCTGAAGATTTATCGCCATTCTCATTCTCAGCAGCTTGGACGTCATCATCTGCAGAATTTTGCGGGGCACTGTCTGCTTGCTTCTCTTTGCTAGAGTCTTCAGTTTCTTCGTTCCACATTTTCTCATCAATAGCGTTTGGGTCATCGTCGTCCAAATTGTCAACTTCTTCATCCAAGTCTTCATCCTCTTCATTTTCATCTTCTTCCTCATTATCATCACCACCACTTGCATTTTCTAGATCACCGGCCATGTCTCCCTCCATATCAACAGCATTGTCGTCGTTTTCTTCTTGATCTTCATCATTGCGTTGATCTTCGTTCGGCTTTTGCGCATCTTCCAAGAGATCCTCATCTTCCTCGACATCTTTAGAATTCTGAGCTCCTTCGCCATCTCCGAGCCCAGTACCTTCTTGGAGATTAGAATCCTCAGTTTCCTCATCTGGAGGACTGGGCGAGCAAAAACCGTTCTTGCCCAGTCCATATAAAATTGATGCTAATGTGAAAGTCCCATGGGATAGCGTATGATACTCGGATTTTATTTTGTTCATCAGCGACACCAAAAGCTGGAAATACCTCGATATCATTGGCATTGTAAACTTCACAACAGCTCTTATGATCTGAGACTGCTCCAATGAGAAGTTCTGGGATTGTATCAGCCCAAGAGCGTCCTCCATGTTGGAAAAAACTCTCGAGGAACTAACTCTTTTTGACAATCCAGTGATTCTCTTATGAGAGCTGAGCAACCAGTTGTCGTCTTCCATCAAGATTTTCTCCGTTTGGTCTTCCAAAAGCTGTTGAATTGTAATCATGATTGAGGTACTCACTTTGCGGAAAGCGCTTTCAATTTTTTCCAGACTTGTATCGGTTGTTGATGATTGTGGAGGGCAGCATGATATTCTATGTTCGGTAATCCAATCAATCACCACTTGAGATATGAAAGCGGTTTTGGCGGAGCTGTTTGTAGAGAGCCTACAGGCGAAGTCCTCGCAGAACTTATTGAAGTCCTCAAGAAGCGTGGAGGCATCACTGTCTAAAACCGGACTTTCGCTTGCCGCATGGTATCGTGAAAGTCTCTCAATACCCTCTGAAAGAAGAGAAGCTAGCCATTCAGCTTCCTTATTTGAGACTGTCATAGAGAGCGTGTCGAAGGCATAGCGCAAAATTTTGGGAAGCCATGTACACATATAGGTGAATTTTTCGAAGGACATTGCGAGCGACCCGTGCATCAAAGTTTTAGTTGAGTGGGAAGTTTTCTCTAGTGTTTCGTAAAGGCCCTTTAGTCGCAAATAGTTATTTGAGAAGTCAAAGAAGGTTTTACGGCTTGTGATCAACATGTAGAGTAAGTTTTCAACCACTGCTAAGCCTTTTTCGATAGCCACAAGAGGTGCGTCAGCTGCCGGGCTCGAAATGACGAAGCGTAGGCGCGGCATCAAATCAAGGATCCTGTAAAAGTAAGAATCGCATTTTTCGAGTGGAGAATCTTCGAAGTTTTGTACGCAGCTTAACACGTACGTTACTGATTCTTGAACTTTCCGAATATCTTGTCTAAAGGCAGTTTTGAGGCCCATTCTTCTCAGCTCTTTCAAAGAATCATTGAGCAATTTTGATTTTTGAATTTTCAGAGCGGCCAATAGCTTCTTGTCCTTCTTGTTGTAGACCTTTGGTGTCTCATCGCGCAAGCGGCGTACCTCTGCGTTCACATCGCTTGCGAACATTGTCAATTGAGGATACTCTTCAGATTCTACTGAGAGACAGTGATTTGCCATTTTTCTCGAGCTCAATTCCGAATTTTTCAAAAAGGCAGGCCTGTCATCCCAGCTGGAAATCTTATTCACTAAGACGTTGACATCCGAAGAAATGGTATTACTGCCTTTGTCAGCGACAAAGTTTTCGAGCTGAAAGCTCTCATGTGTGTGACCTTCGAGGCCCTTTTCAATTAGTGGGAAGACATCTTGAGAGAGCAAAGTGCGATATTTTCTCACAAGTTTGTAAAGGTTGTTATGAGAACGATGCGAACTTTGTTTGAGTGCATCGATGTTGACATCCTTCCAGCTTGCAAGTAGAATCACGTCTGAAACATCTTTTTCGAGTTTCTTTCTACCATCCTTTATGGCTTCAGCGATCGTAGCAGAGAACTGGCCGTAAAATGACAGGATGTTGAATAAGGCCTGTGTGAGATTCGACTCTCGCCCCATCAAAAACTTAGCGTGGTTCGCAAAGGCATTTAGTAGAGCCAAACGACCACTGAATTCTCCGTAGCTGCATTTGCTTAAAAACACATTGAGGGATCCAAGTAGCTTAGCAATTTTCTCGGGGCTACTCTCGCCAGCAGATTGCTCTTCAGAAACCGTGAGAGTGATTGTCTCATAAAGATAGAACCACCACTTACCCATGGTTTTATTGAGCGCCAGATGCTCGTGATCGAACAAGCTATTCCAAGTACGCAGTTCCAACCTTCTCCACGTCACAACAAGATCGGTGAGCTCACGCACTGAATCCTGCAACGAAACCGAGACAGAAGCATATTTTTCCCATTCCGTAACAATTGTGAATATTTGCTCGATCTTCTGGAGTAGACGTGCAATCGGAGTGTTTCCGGAGTAGCTCATGAATTCTTGACATACCCTGAATAGGTCATTGAGCGTTGAGTGTTCAGGCCATTGGTTCAGTAGTTTATGCGTTGAAATTAATAGCTTTTCAACCACAGCTCCAGCTCTTTTCGTTTCGTAAAGCGAAGACCCGCGATAAAAGTCCAAGTCAATCGCCTGCTTCGGACTCTCGAAGCTTCTTAATTCTTGCGCAAGTTGGTTCAGTACTGGCAATAAATTGTTTGGACCGGGGGTGCAAGTTTTATTTTCTGCGCCAAGTTCTTTCAATGCATCACTAATCCGAGAGCCATCAGTCATCAATTCTGATAGCTCAGCTGGAGTTTCACCACCAAACGTTCTCAAGTAAGTTTGAGCAACATCGTAATAAAGATCTTCAAGACCTCCTTGATCCATGTTTTTTGATGAAGGCTCCTCTCCTACCGACAAAACTTGTCCATAATCTGGGAATAGTCGTTTGAAATCCGATTCGATATCCGCCTCAACGTCCTCAAATTTGTACACGCCAACCTTTGCCTGAGCCTCTTTCTCATCTTTCAAGCGGCGCAAAGACCACCTGTAGTATAATGTTTGTAGGGCATTTTCGAAGCTCCCTACGAGCCTAGAGTCTTTACCGTGGAAACTGAATAGCTTGAGGTAAAAGTTTGTTATGCGTTCGACACACAACGACTCCACCGTACAGCTCTTGAAAAGAGGTTGCAACTGGGTATAGGAGTCGGTTATACGCTCAGGACTACTCAACACATGTAGATTGAGAGTCCAGAGAGGCTCCAAGATTACCTTCTTCTGCGATTCGATCCTTCCTTGTTTGAGAAGGTCAAAACCGAACTTTAGACCTAGCACATACCCACGGAAAATATCGTTCAAGTCGGAGTACACTCCATAGTTTGAGACTAGACGCTCGAGAAATTGCGATGAGTTCTGCTGGAATAGGTTAAGTTCACCTTCTGAAAGGGAGGCAAATCCCTCTAAGGACGTAAGTAGTCTCTCGACAGGTTCTGCTCCAACAGTAGACTTCATGAATGCACCCCATTCTTCGAACAGTGGGTCTATAGCCTGTTGTGGTCTGTAAACCCTAGGTTTGGCAGGGGGACAATCTTGAGATGCTTCGCTAATAAGTGTCTCGAAAGCTGTGGGCACGTCTCCGCTTTGAATTACTCGACAGCATTCCCAACTATGCAAAAGCTCTTTCGATAGTGACTGCTTTACCATGTAATTGTCATAAAGAACATAATCGTTAATGGCTGGATCGAAAGATGTGCTAGGAACGAACAACTGCAAAGCACCAGCAGAGAACAAAACCCATGCTTTACCTAGCGAGGATAGAGTGTCTGATTCCAGGGCAGAAGCTACTCCCGCAAGTAAAAATTGCTCGTGGATATTCTTAAACCATATGTTGTCGTAATCGGATAGCGCCTCCTGGATCTCGCCTAGCGTCGCCGAAGATTTTATCTCAACATGTAGAGAGACGATTTTCCTGTACCACTCGAGGAGAGAATTTCTGTGTAAAGTGAGTTGATCGGCGGTAACAGAATGCGATGACTCGACGAGCTGGTCCCGTAACACCGCGGCATCCTCTAATGCTTGGGACATTTGACTGCCACTGATGCTGCTGAAAGAAATTACTTTGTTCAAAAGATTTTCCAGGATTGAGCTATCAAATACGGAAATGGTAGACGACTCGAATTGCCCTTGATCCTTTTTCCACAATAGATCAAAAACTGCCGGGTGGCTATGTGAGGTCTGTTTCAAGCTCAGAAGAGTTTCTGTTGAAATGGAAGTGTATGAAGCGATCTTAGTCAAGACGTGATCCGATTTCGACCCTTCTTGGCAGACCAAACGTAGCAGTGCATCAAATTCAGACCTGAAATAATGCTTTCTTGGATTCAAGAACCGCTTCGAAATTGTGTCCAATTGATGCACACCCTTCTGCAGAGTACTCAAAACTTCATCAAACTCAGATGTCTCGCCAGACAAGATGCTGACTCTGAGATCCAAAATTATATCTCTTAGTTGGGCAATGAGAGCATACGAATCAGAGAATTGTCCGTCAGCAACATCATCAAACTTACTGGAGAGAGAAAGAAGCTGTTCGAGTCTTTCCCAGTCGCACTTAGAGCTTGGCTGTGCTTGTCTGAAAGCATTCCAAATTGACGTCATTGAGCGGCCAGTCTCCATGAGTAAGGATCCACCTAAGGTTTTGGCAATTTCTAGTACTTCTTGCGTTATGCGGTTATCCAAGCCAGTTTCTTGCTGCCACGATTCCAACAAATCTTGGTATGCCCTTAACTTAGCGTTATCATGAACTTTAGATGTCTCGAAAGCGCCAATCCAGATAGAGCAGAGATCGAAGTAACTCTTGTAAACATGTGGAATGGTGAAAAGAGCCGTTGACTCCAGCGTCTCTGAGATATGACTTTTCAGGAGAGAAAGTACCTCGAATATTGGAATTTGAGGAGGCTTTTTTATTGCGCGACCCTGGTCGTTTGCGGCGCTTAGCTCCACGTATGTAAGGTCACTCAATTTCGCATGATGCGCCCTTCTTGTAGTATGGTCAAGCGCATCTGTAAAGCTTTTGAGCAGCCTTAAAGCGTCAAAAAGGAAGGCCGGTTCTGCAGTCGCGGCCGTAGGATAGCTAGGTGCCAGAGTTTTCAAGACATATGGATTCATTGAAGGTATCAAGGGCTGGCTTATGGCAAAACACTCTGGGTTGTTCAATATTCCTGTGGCAAGCTGTTCGTATTCGTCATAAACTTTAGCGAACGATTGCAAGATCCCATGCTCCTGGAGACTTTGAGCCTGCATAGCCAGTCTTGAAACTGACTGATCCTTGAGGTAATATTTTGAGTTGTGGACATTTTTCTCCCAGGCAGTCAAAGTTGGAAAAATCGAAAGAGGCGCGATAGACACAATCGAATCCAAAATCTTTGAGCTTGAGATTGCAGATATATCGTGTAGGTGGCCAAACTGAGACGCAAACGAGTTGTCTGACCTAATGTAACGCGACAGTGGTATTATTTCGGATTTGATGGGGTGTTCGTTTCCATCAGCAGCTGGAGTGGAAGCAAAGGTCGTTTGTTGATGTTGACTATCCATGTTCATGATATCGAAAGAAGACGACCTACTTGATAATTCATCGACATATATTTCAATGCTTCTGTTTCTCATTGCTCTGGACAGTTCACCAAACTTTGGATCCACAGTCAAAAAGAGCCTGAAACCTGGGTGTGGGTCGACAATCTTGGGCCGTCCATCTTCATGACTGCATTCGTTGATGATAAGAGATCCGTCCGTTTCCAGAAGAGAGTTCAATCTGTCCAAAACAGATGGAGAGCATAAATTCGCATTTTCGAGAACAAGCCAAGAACCTTCTTCCATTGCCTTGAGTAGTAAGCCGTCAAACCACTCAAATGTGACTGAGGATGGTTGATCTAATTTCTTCTGTATGACCCGAAGTTCAGCGAGTGCCCCCGAAACCGTGTCATTGTTGATATATTGTTCGACCGTTTCAATCAGCTGTAACAAAGATGGCAAATTCGAAGTATCCATGGAGCGTGTCGATATAAATTGGAAGAGATTGAGTGCTGCCACTTTTGCATCATCACCGCACAGTCTCGACCCTAGATTTATCGCAAGCAACTCTCTCAAGGTCGAAACCATGCTGTCTACTCTCTGGCCAATCTTCCTATTTAGATCGACCTGCTCATAACCACCCAAAATGTCCATGCTGTCAGTGTCTGAGTTCATTGGAAAGCTTATGACCTTAGCGCCCAAAATTCCAGAAATATACGTTATAATTTCAGACTTCCCTGAATTTGTTGGACCACAGAGAACTAGCGGCCAGTTCAATTTAACGCACCTCATGACGGATTCATAGACCTGGAAGTTACACTGCAGTGGCTTTACCCCACGAAGCGAATGATGCTTTACAAAAGCTGCTCTTGGCATGACTTCGCTGTTCACCTGCAAATACTCGGGTGTTATCTGTAGGTAATAAGGACGTTCTTCCCTTTCCCCAAAGAAACGTTCGAACATGTTGGCGACCTTGGTACGGTCTTCATTTGTCCTAAATCTTTGCGTTAAGATCATGTCCAAGTATTCTACAGGCCCGGCACCGGTGGTCAAACTTGGCGATGTGAGAAGTTTCAACCATCTCAAAGTGTCTCTCAGGTTGAATTCCCAAGGAGATCCTGCGTTACCCCATAACCTCCGGTTAGACACCTCATCTTCCATGGAAGATATAATCTCGATCAATTGGGCACACCAATTGGGGTCTACATCGGGGTAGAGATGAGATGCAATCAGGAAAAGATCTTGAGATGACAAGACATCAACGAACACGACGCTGAATCGATTGACGAATGATTTGGGGAGACCCTTTCTGCCGCCACCCTGGTTTTGAGGGTTTTGAGCAGCAAAAACTGTAAATCCTGGGTGCTTCGTGAATGATTTGTCTAGTTCAGGAACGTATGCCTCTCCTCTGTGATCCAGACAGGCGTTCAGGCCTTCCAGAACAGACTGGGACGCAAGGTTCATTTCGTCCAATAAAACCCATTCACCTAATTGCATTGCCCTCAAAAATGGCGCATCACGCCAAACAAACTCTCCGGTCTTCTCCCCTGGAGCATCTGATCCAAAGAGGTCCACCAAATCTGTCTGTTCTGATAGATTGATACGCGTCAGTTTATTTCCGGTGCACGCTGCCAGAGCTGAGACCAAGCTCGTTTTACCGACACCTGGACTACCCTCCAAAAGAATTGGTTTCTGGAGCTGCATAGCTCTTACAACCCGCATGAGATTGTTCAAGGTTGTGGGGGCATTAAGATTAAACTGCGGAGTTGTGGCAGAATGTTCTCTATCAAGTGCGAACATCCCCACTTGAACGCTCTGGTCATCGATCACTAAGGCAGGTTGCTGCGAATAATGCTGGAGCACATCTTGGCCATATAAGCGTCCCAACACAGTGAGACACTCCATCCTCTGTCCTTTGAGTGTTTCTGCATTATCCGAGAGATATGCTGTGTTGTTCGTACCGAGAGTATCGATGAAGACCATTGCAGCACCTTGCACTAGGGCAGCAGCTTCGTTTCCTAATCTTTTGATCGAAACATTCGCGAACTCGACCCATGACAAAATGTCACGCAAAGAAATGATACCATTGCTGGTAGAACCACCTCCAAACCTTTCACCGAACCATTTCGAAAATTGGACGATGGGCTCAACGAGCGAGGAAAGTTCCGTTGTGAGTTTCGAAGAGACAATCAAGCGTACGTCATCAAAATCTTCCATAGATGGAACCCAGATTTCGGTGAAACGATTTCTCAGAGCCGGGGACAATTCTTTTTTCCCATAGTCACCGCCTGGATTCATTGTGGCGAAAAATTGAAATCCATCCGCAGCCTGGACCAAACAATCCGAGCCACCCTTCTCTGCAAGTAGGAGATTTCTCTCGGGCTCCAAAACACTGTTTAGCCTTTCCAAGACTGAATCGTCAGCCAATGATATTTCATCCAACAAGAAGAAATTTCCTCCATTCAGGGCTTGAACCAAAGGACCATCGCACCACTCAAAGAGTACATTGAGCTTATCCTGTAGGTCTGCGATTGCCTTTACTTCGACAGGATCTAAGGAAGCTTTGTCCGCTCGCTCGTAGATGTTTGTCAGTTCATCAAGAGTAACCATTTCATCACCTTCGAAGTGAAGCACTTTCGTTAGCAGTCTGGACAATTCACCCTGAAGTTCAGAACGATGTCTGTTTGGACGTTGCGCGCCCAGAATATCGCCAGTTTCCGTGTTTTGATGAGCATTTAGAGTGACTAACTGGTGACCAGTGAAGCGCGCTATGAGTTGACAGATCGTTGTCTTACCGCAACCTGTTTCTCCAACTAAAAGAACAGGTTCATTATTTTTCAGGCATGTAGTCACCAAAACAGCAAGTTTGCGCATAGCCCTTGTCCAAATGACGGAGCTTTGCATTGACTGCAGTTCTTCAAGTTCCAGCGTTTCGTAATAACTGTCCATATCTAGCTTGACTCGCATGACTTTTTCAAGAACTTGCTTGACAACCATTCTCTCTTCTTTGGACCTGCACCTCTCTGCGAGCAGCATGTAGCCATCGGCTGCTAGATTTTCGTATCCTACAGCGCCTCTCAGGGCCCACCGGAAAAGATCACGTAGCGTGGCAAAACTATTCTTCTGCTCGAAGAGACGCGAAGCAGAACGCTGAACGGACAGTTGCCGGTAAGCTTCTACAATTTTTTGGGCATATGATGGCGCAATCTTGCACCTTTCTCTCAGAATGATCTCCAGCTCGTCTTGAGGAATATCATCGAAGTGCAATTCGAGGAAACGGTTTCGGAAAGCTCTAGAGAGGACTTTACGCCCACCATAAATACCTGGCGGATTTTGAGTAGCGAAAAGCATAAAATCAGGATGAGGATGAATCACCTCTTGGGTCTCTGGAATAAAAAGCTCACGGTTATCATCAAGCAATCTATTCAAGGCTTCCAGTACGTCAGTGGGAGCCAGGTTGAGCTCATCCAGAACAATCCAGTGACCTTTTCGTAGTGCATCAACTAGAACACCTTCCCGAAACGAAAGCTTGCCAGTCTCGTCGGCCATGTATGTGCCGAGGTACTCCTGGAGATCTGTGTGTTCATGATTGTTGATACGAACAAATTCATGGCCGGTTATGTCGGCGAGGTATTTGATCATACTAGTCTTACCAGCAGATGTTGGACCTTGTATAAGTACAGGAAACCTGCGTCCTGATGTTGCCCTCACTAGGTTGAGCATATTTTTCTCAACAAATGGAGTTATGATGTACTGCGGTTGCTCTTGAAGCTCATGAGGTCCCTTTTTCATCCAATAGTGTTTGAACTGGACATAATCCATACCAGGACAAGGTGGTGATTGTGAAATGACCGATTTGGGGTTTTTCAACCTTCCTAATGTGAACTTTTCGATTAGCGGTCTTAAAAGGGCTTCAGAATTCTCGTTCAATAGAGTGAGGAAGGACATACAAAACCCTTCGTACAATGACCTGCGCAAGCCATAGACTTTAACAATATCTCTGACATATATTAGAGTCCGAGTCAGGGTACGGATACTGAAATGAGGTTTCTGATTGGATCCATCGACAAGTTTATTCGCTTCCGCGAGTTTCTTAGCAGACAAGTAAAGCTCGGTAACATCATTTCCAACCCATTCGTCGCTAACACTGTACACGCCGATGTATTTGTCGATGATCGCTAATAGATCCGTGATATCGCGATCGGGAGAGTGCACGTATATTTCAGTGAACCGAGAACGAACACCGAGTGGTAGGTCTCGTTTTCCAACATCGGTAGCAGGATTCATACAAGCGAAGATCCTAAAGTTCGGGTGAGCCTTGACTGGTTCGGCTTGGCCCTTTTCCGACAGCAGCACGCTACGAGAAGTTGGCTCAGATAAAAGATCTGAAATACTTTCGAGAGTATCTGGCGACGCTAAGTTCAGCTCGTCCAAAAGAAGCCATTCTCCATTGCGTACGGCCTTTACCAATGAACCTTCCACAAAATTGAATACAAAGGAATTCTCTATGGAAGAATATTGGGCTTCAAATTTCAAGACGTTTTGATTAAATTCAGACCATCTGTCCAGTAGCATCTTATTTTCATGTGAATTCAGCTTTCTTTTCTTTTTCTGGTTATCAGAGGCAGAATCAACCTCGTCTTGGCGAAGAATGTTTCCTGCCAGCTTAAAGGCTTCATTCAAGAGCTTTATGACATTTTTCCACTGGCCCTTGTTGAAACACTTGTGAACCATAGTGTAAAAACGCTCGTTTTTCTTCATTGAGAAAGTAGCAGGGAAAATACTTTCGAAGTCTTCTAGTAATGGAATGGCAATGGTCTTTGTATTCACGGGTTTGAATCCACCTAGTAAATCCCCACTCTCAGTCTGTTGTGACACATTAATAACCGTAAGCTTTTGGCTTAGCAGTTTTGCCATTTCCTGCACCACAGTCGTCTTACCAGTACCAGTTTCACCTACAAGTAAAACAGGCTCGCACATTTTGATTGCTGTTCCTACCTGTTCCATCAGTCTAAGAGAGTGGTTTGTGCGAGCAAAGGAAGTGTCATTCATTGACTTTTTCACTAGCCTGGCGCGGTTCTTAGCTAAAACTGTTCTGCCAATTGTGATAAAACTCTTGGACTCTTCAAACACCGGAACGTGCTTAGAGAGATAAAGATTTATTCTTGAACTTGGTACTTCAAGTGCAACACCTATGGTTTCAATTATGGGCTTCAAAGCTCTCAACTCACCAATTGCGCAGGCAAAACAGTCGGCAGCTTCGAAAAAAATGCTATCATAAACATGAGATGGTATCAACTCCTGTGAACGCTGGATGCTATTAGCTTTAAAAATTTCCTCCACCCTGCTGCAGAATTTGACCAAGTCACGTACCGTGACGGCTCGGGGATGAACACCTCTGTTCATGGAAATGAACTGGGGGTTGGAATAAAAGTTTTGAACCAAATGATAGCTGGTTATGAACCTTCCGATCAGTTGCGACAACGCTGGAAATTTGTGAGTTAAAATTTCCTGGAGCTCCTTCTCGTCTGGTTCCGTAAGGTTAACTACTTGCCATAAACGAATCCCAATCAAATCAGGTCTGAAACTCTTCTCGTCCTTATGATCATTTTCGGTTATCCTGATAGTGGAAATAAGCTGGAAGCCATTAGCAGCCTTTATTGTTTCCCCTCTTGAAGGTATGCTTAGTTGACGCTGTTCCAATAAAGTAAGAAGAACAGAGAGCACTTCCGTTGGTGCCTTATCTATGTCCTCAATCAAAACCCAGCGACCTTCTCTCACAGCTGTAGTCAAAACGCCTGCTCTCCACTCGAAAGTGCCTGGCTTTTCACCTGAGGTGTAAGTTCCCAGCAGGAGTTTCGCATCGGTTTGTTCTCCAAGGTGGATTTTGACCATCTTTTCATATGCGCCTGTGTACTTACTGAGCTGGTTTACGAGGAAAGTCTTACCGGAACCAGCCTTACCCACAAGCATGACCGGTTGTGAATGCTGAACGCATCTACTGAGTTCCCGTATGGAGGAAACCGCCTTCACGGTTGGGACAAAGTCGTGCTCGGAGCTAACCTCATAGCGCTTAGCGCTGGTTTTGACCCTGGGAACTAGCACTCCAAAAATTGCCATGACATGTTCACTCAAATGGCATGGCTCTATCACCAAACAGTCGTGAGTATTATTCTTGTGGACAGGTACCTGTTTGTCGTTGTAGTTGCCCAGTAATGTGTGGTATTGGGACATTTTCTGGGCTTCGTTGACCTCCAAAAAGCGGTAATCGACATCATTGTCAGAATCGTACGGCGCTAGAATAGCTACAGAGTCCGAAGGAGCATGCTTCTCTGTAAGATCAATCGTAGCCTGCTCGGCCATATTCAAATACATGGAAAGAACCTTTACCGTTAGAAACTTGATGGCTTGATTGGAAAATTGAGCTTGCAGCAATTTGTATAACGGAACAGGGGTGATGAAACGTGAGAACCGCTCCCGATCAAAATGCAATAGCCTGTAGTACGCGAGCAGAATTTCGTGCAGCACTGTCTCGGGCTCCGACTCGCACGTATCTAACATCAAGTTGAGATGTTGGTGCTGTGCTTGAAAATATTGATCACAAAAAGTAGCAGTCTCGGGGTAAATCGCGACTGCCTGTGCTAGCCGATCTGCGATCAGACTTAGCTGATCCTGACCACTCATGTTTGCCCATCTGGCAACCAGGTCTAACAATATCGGTCTGTAAATAAACGTGTACGCCAAAGGAAGTTTGCTTAGAAGTGCGGCATGCGCTAACGCCTCCAAGTTATCGCTGACACTCATCGCCAAGTCGATTTTGACGTACTCCAGTATCTGTTTCTGTTGAAATTGACTGTTGTACATATGTGCCCGTTTTTCGCTCAGCGGAATGCTGAGCAAAAGCTGGTTTTGGCTCTCCAGCATTCTTGAATAAAGATTATCAACAAAAGTTTTTTGACACTATCTTGAACAAGTGCTACTGGTCATAAAACCAGTTCTGAACCTTTGGTGGTAGTAGTTTCTAGTTTGTAAGACGGAAGATCTGCTAAGTTGTGCTAAATCCAAAATTTTTCAAAGTTCATCGCGATGAGCCGTGCAAAGTGTTCGATGTTTTGAACATCTATAAGCTAACATAACTAACAGAAGAACTAAGCAGTGATGAATGGGCAACAAAACCGGGTCCCAGCTCTTTCGTGCAGAAACTATTCAATTTTGAGCTTCACCTTCCATGGTTTCAGTACGACCAATGGACCTTAAGGTCCAACCGGCGCCCTACCAAATGCGATGTACGGTTCTTGAGAAGATTTTGAAGACTTTGGAAAAATACCAGTCATCTTCGGGAAACGTAGGTGTCCGAGCAGTAGAGCTAGAATGCAACGTGGCTCGTAAAAGTGGATCGAGTCAGAGCTACAGGTTCAATTCAAGCGTGCTTCTGCGGGATCTGATCAAAACAAAAGGCAAGCTCGAGGATACAGGGAACTCAAATGCTCGAGGTGCTTCTAAAAGGTCCGCGAGTAAGGACACACTGACCAAGGATAAAGCTTTGAGTCTTTTGGAAGGAGTCCTTGTCAAGGAACCAGTTTTGGTCGCAAATGGTTACAACGTGGGGTATGCGGACCCAAATTTGAATCAACCTTTGCAGTTGCCCACGGAATCGGAACACAACTACATCAGCTGTATACGCTGCAATAGCAAGTTCGACAAACTGCAGATTTTGAGTCCCGCAACATGTCGTTTCCACGTGCAGCGCAAACGGTACAACCGCGAGACCCGTGAGGGAGAGTACGTCTGTTGTGGTGAAACTACTTCCTCCACATCTTTCCTGGCCCTTGGGTGTAAGACTCTGCCTCACCACGTCTTTCGGGCAGAATCGTTCGACGCAATGTCCAAGATTTCGCCTTTTAAAGATACTAATGAAATTTGGGGCGATTTCAATGTGCTGGCGCTAGATTGTGAAATGGCATTCACTTCTCTAGGATATGAAATGATTAGATTGACAATAGTCGATTTTTTTACGAGTAAAGTTGTGTTTGACAGCATTACTCAGCCTTTTGGTAAGGTAATCGATCTCAATTCCGAATTCAGCGGTGTGCATGCCATAGACGAAGATAATTCCATGACCTTTGACGAAATGCTGTCTCAAGTACTCAATAAGCATATGATTAATGCCAACAGCATATTGATAGGACACGGCATGGAGAACGATTTGAACGTGATGCGTCTTATCCACAGAAGGGTTATCGACACGGCGATTTTATATCCCAGAGGCAAGTTCAAGTCATCCTTAAAAGACTTGGCATTCGAAGTCGTAAGTCAGCGGATACAAACTGGTGAGCATGATAGTTCAGAAGACGCAATCGCGACAATGAATGTTCTCAAGGCCAAGTTGGGAATACCTTTGAATCAGAACGTGTGGACTTGAATGAGAAAAAAAAGTATCGGCACTTTTCATGATTTGCGTGCGCGATCCATCGAACTAACTTTGGCCTCAAGCCGGTCTTGTCGCTCTATAATTTCAGTAAGCATAGAAACTATCTTCGATAGCTGCTCTTGAACAGCGTTGTCCGCCAGGTCGGATTCAAACTTGACGCTTTTCTTCGGAATCAAATATCTAGGTTTTCGTATCTTGAAACCATCGTTTGCGGAACTCGTAGGGATATTAGACCTATGTTTTGAAATGATATTATTGCCAGGAGATCTATTCTTGCTTTCCAAACCTGCTTCGTCCTGCTCCTGAAGTTCAGGAAGCAGGTTTCGAGCTGAATTGACTGATGTTGTGAGGGCATTTATGGTTGCGGTAGGCATTTTTCCTGGTGACCTTAGGCCGCCACCGAACCTCGTGCGAATCCTGCTCATAGATCCGTCACCACCTGGTGCTGTGGAATTGCTATACGTCGTTCTTATTGGTGACGTTGGAAAGGAAAGTTGTATGGAATTGTCTTCCGGATCATTTTTGAAGTGCACGCGATCAACGCTCAAGGTTCCAGCTGGAGGCTTAAAATCTCGTAGGTATGGTGGTGATTGTAGCCTTTTTGGCGTTGCCTCGTATCCAACAGGCCGCTCCCAAGTGTGTTGTACCCTCTCAGGCGAGAGTCTTGTCGAGTTCTTTCGGTTTGTATTTGTGGGCAATTTCTTGTTGGGAGAGGTACTGAGCCTTTTGAATACATTTTTGGTCGGTGAACCCCGTATCTGTCTTTCAATGGTATTCTCATTCATTGTTGAGCTGAAGCTTGTGACAGATGAGATGGTTGACACTACCTCAACCTTGATTGATGACGCGGTAAGATAGTTCTGAAAACTAATACTTCTTAATAAAGTGGCACAATAGGTCAAATCTAATCCAGCTAGTAAGACTTGATGACGGAAAGGACAACATCAGAAAACAGATTTCGAGAAGACAATGCATCTTGATGAATCACGCATATTGAATATGACCATCGTAATTATCTAGCTCTTTTATCTGAACCTGTGAATGCAGATCTTGAATTTTGGTATCTACGTCAACGTCTACTTGTATTATGCAAAAAGGTTTTCGTCATCCACTAGTTCGTAGACCTGGTTATTCTCGTAACCATTGCTATGATAAATGGGCTGGTTGTATTTTTGGCCACCAGGACCTTCTTCTACCGACGTAGGAACATCGTTTATATTCAAAAATTCGAGGTTGGGAAACCTCTGTAAAAAATAGCCAAATGTCCTTCTCAGGGAATGCAGATGTGCATGATATACCTTGATAATGTCCTCTACAGCAAACACATTTTCCCCGAGAGCTTTGTTCATGGTGGAGGCCACGCCTTCTGCAGGATCGCTGACGAACGATTGGCCCGGTCGGATATCAACAAAAAGCGTGTAGGGAATGATTGGTGAAAGCGAGATGATTCTGGTGATGATGTCCCTATTTGGGATATCCTCCAAGCCTCTGATGAGGTGAGAGGCATGGGTGGGAAAAAGTTTCTTGCGAAGGATGTTTTGGAAAACGTCGCGGCAAGCGGGGCACACGCAGGATTCGTTGATCTCAAAACGGGCAGTATTTCCCGGTTCTATTGTAACCAGGTGTGGTTCGAGCGGTAAGCATTTCAGATCGAGGTATTTGAGAGACATGTGTGCGGGACTTTGAGCGAGCAGTGTTAATGTGCTTGGGTCTATCGCGTGCCCCAACATATAGTCGAGTTTCAAGCGACGCAGTAGTGGAAAAGATTTTATGCATGCTCGTAAAAACCCATCGTTAGCGAAGAAAGAAAGCAAGCTCAGTTCCTTGAGATTTTGGAACTTCAACAGCTCATGCAGATGATATTTTTCGTAAACGTCTATGTTTTCCGTTTCAAACCATGACAAAATCGTGAGTTTTTCCAGGTAACGCACGTTGAAAATATCACTGTACGTGTTTCTGGCCCTGGGGAAAGAGCCCGCACCATATTTGTCGTCCCTCAAGCTTAACGACAGCTCCCTAAGACGCAGTTTTGGCGCCGATGGAGCATAATTATTGAAAAACGCACCTGGGTCCATGTAAATATTCAGCGCTGTTATGTTGTCGAAGTGAGAGCATCGTACCAGCGACGCTAACTGCGAGAGATATGAGGGAGCTACCTTCTCTTGTGGCAGCACTCCAGGAGGAGGAAGATCCAGTGATTGGAGTTGAGGAGCGATCTTTTCCAGATCATCAATCAGCTCTGTTGTCAAAAAATTTCGGAATTGTCTCAATTTGGGAGTATCATGCGCTAAAACTGCCAAAAGATCTCGCAGAAGTGCAACATTCAAATGCCAAGTGCAATGAACAATTTCCACTTTCGACCGTAACAAAGGCGATCCGCGCAGGGTACGGATCAGGGCAATCAGTTTCTGATCCGCATTCTCATTTTTGTGCTCTTTAATACCTAAAACCGACCAACAATTGGCCAAGAGAGGTTTTGAGTCGCTATAAATACATGGTTGTTCATTGAGAAATAGGTTGCGGTATAAGATGGGCGAGATAGCTGACCTAACTCTTGAACTTACATACGTAAGCCTGACTCTGTCTTCTTGTAACAAGAATTTGGAAAGCTCCTCCCAGGTCTCAAATGCTAGCCTGTCGAGCATCGAATGGAACCACCTTTTAGAGCTTACGAATTGACGCTGAAATGCTCATCGAGCTTTAGAATCGTTATATTAAATGGCGTATCACGGTCACATGATACATTTTACCATATACATATCAATTTTTCGTCAATTTTTCCGTCCAGCCCGTTTTGGCGGACTGGACATTTGGTCAATTTGAAACAATACAGAGATGATCAGCAGTTCCCCTGCATAAGGATGAACCGTTTTACAAAGAGATTTACAATTTTTTTTGGCGAATTGAATTTAACATGTCGAGAATTGATGGTGAAGCGTAGGTGGCCGCTCAGCTGTTCGCGAAAGCGCTCTTTGTCACTACTTTTGGTTCTTCTTCTCAACTTGAGTTTGGTTTTTTTTTCCGGCGTTCGAACCTCTTGAGAGACACTAAATAGTATATTATACATAATCAAGAGCCCTGTAGTATTCCTTCAGGCCTGACACCGCTTCCGCTTTGATGGCTATCATGAGTAGCTTTTTGTCGACTACACCGAGCTTCCAGAGCGACTTGGTCAAGTCCAGCTTGAGACCTGGCACTAACTGATTTATGTGATTAGGGTTATTGAAATCAAGCACTTGTTCGTTGAACTGCATCTCGTCAACGACAGCGGAAACGTTTCTGCATGGCACGCTGTTCACATGCATGGAGCACAAGGATAGACATGCGGGCAAAACCAGCAGCGAGTTTTGTCTTTCGTAGGCATTCAAATCGATATTGTTCTCGGCCAACACTTTTTGGAACACGGATCTAAATCTTGTCAATGTCTGACCCGAGATGGCTACATGGATGGTTTTGGCGTTTTTGATAAAAAACAGGGTTACCTCAGACGAGGCAATTTGGAAGATCAGTTCGCGTGCCTGGGGCAGCTCGGAGTCCAAGTAAGGTCGTCTGTATTGAACTGCGTTCCAACTGAAAGCGGACACCAAACGTCGTTTCTTGGAGGCCGGTGGCTCTTCGGACGGCAGCTGGTCGTCTGTGGGGACGGAAACGGACTTGCAACGAACGTCCTTGAGATTAATGATGATTTCTTCAGTTTGGAGCAGCGGGTTCCAGCGTATTTGAGCGGCGACCAGCTGTTGTTCGAGCCGCAGAAACCGGTAGTAACGACACTCTTGGATGAGCGACTGGCGCCTTTCGGGCGTCAAGTCCAGCATGCCACCTTGCAAAAGCGTAATGAGATCGGCGAGAAAAGCCGGAGACCGGTTGACGTAGGGCGGAGATTGGGGAGGTGGCCGGGCCAGGTTCATCGTGAAGTACACGGCCTGCACATCGTCAAATAGCGACCGGCACGTCATGTCGAAGTAGTTGAGCGAATTGCCCTTTTGAGACAGCAACGCTTTGGCCAATTTGAAGTGTTGTCCGCCTACACATACGTAGTAATACTCGCAGTTTTTCAGCAAGTCCTGAAGTCGTGGGAGTTTGAAATACACCGCGTCCAAGAAACAAAATGTGAATTGGCTTTCGTCTTGGATATTTACGCTGTAGCCTTGGAGATGGTCCATGATGAGTTTGAAAACCTGCGGCGACCGGTCGATGAAAAGCGTGGCATTTTTGTTTTCCATGAAAAACTCGGTGAACAGATTCGGGGAGTCTGAATTTAGCGAGTATCCAGACACTTGGAACAGTTTGGTGCCCACTTGTAGTGAGAACATCTGTTCTGGAGGTAGATGTGGGTTTGCCAGTACCAAGGGATGCGACATGCTGTGTGGTGGTAGTGGTGGAGTTTGTTGATTGTCGTACGAGTGTCAGGTCTTCTTCACATTTATTTCAACGGTTTGTTGATGTAACTTTTGACCATGGGTCAAGAATTAATATGATGATATGATGATGGATTAATAATGTGAAGAATTCACGATTCTGAGCTCATCGGGCAAACTTTTCGAATCAGAGCACGACAGAGAAGAAGTAAGAAAAGAGTAAAACAAGACAGACAAGAACGAAAATATCTTAATCTTGCAAACAATTTTTAATGTATCTGTTTTTTACCAATTCAATTGATTAATTAACGAACTATAAACACCCAAAATTTTGTACAATTAAAATTTCTCCTTGAGAACGAGAGATGATGAATTTGAGAATGTGAGTGTGTGTGTGTGTATGTGAGGGTGTGGCTAGATGGACGTTGATTGATTAAGTGTTGAGGGAAAGAGGGAAATGGTAGGGTGTTGTTTTTAAATCAATAGACAAATTCGAAGTGTATCAAACACACGAATTGAAAATCGAATTAAAACCCAAACCATTTCCTAATCTCTAAATCCTTTTCACAACAAAACAACAGCCCGTCACACCAATCACAACTCACAACAACACGCACAAAGATTCAAATTTAATCCCAGCATCTCTTGAACTCGCGTTGAAAGAAAATCGTTATTGTAGGAAAAAAAAGGGTTGGTATTTTTTTTTCATGGTTTCAAAAAAAAACTGTGCTCTTGAGGTTTCACAAGAGTCGCTCACCTATTTTTTTCTGCAATGCGCGCACCTTTTTTGCATTAGTCAAAAAAAGCTTTCTTTTATTATTTGCGGGAAAGAAGAAACTAATTTATTAGCGGTATGCCGTTGTGTGCTTACAACAACAAGGCGGCGGCACCGGCAACCAAAGCACCAGCAGCTGGCAAAGCCTTGGCGGCAGCACCAGTGTAGGAGCTGACGGAAGCGGTAGAAGACTTGGTCTGAGAAGTCATGGTACCGTTAGTTGGGGCTGGGGCAGCGGTGGAGGTCTTGGAGACTGGGGCGCTGGTGGAGGTCAATGGGCACCAGGTGGTGTACTGGGTGACAACGTCGTTGATGGTGACGGTGGCAGTGGACACCAAAGCTGGGGACACAGACTCGGAGCAAGCGTGAGACTCGCAAGAGGTGATGGTCACCAAGGTGGTGGAGTCCTTGTTGACGGTGGTGGTGTTGGTGGCAGCGACAACGGCGGTGACGGTGGCAACAGCGGCGGCGGTGGAGAATTGCATTGTAATTGTTAGGATTTAAGCGAGTGACTGGTAGACAAGTAATATGATCTATGGTAAAAGGGAAAAAAAAAGATAAGAAGAAGTAAAAAATAAGTGGTAGGTACAAGATATCTCTTCGAGGCCCATGGTCCTGCCTTTATATACCTCATCCCGAGCCGGTGGCGAGCAATACTAGCAAGACCCCAAAGATATGCGAAAAAAGGAAAAAAAATTTCCGTGCGCGACCGGGTAACGGTTTCGTGGGATGGTTTGTTGTTGTTTTTAGTAGGCATCTCTTGTTTCTTTTTCTTCTGGTGGTGGTGTTGCTGCTGCTGCTTTGTTTTGCTACCCTGCGCTGCTCGGCCGTTGCTTACCTTTTTGGGAAAGGTCTGCGGCGGTTTCTGGGAAGCGATGCGAAAACGCGCGTAGAAAGCGACAGAACGGGTCACCAAGATTTCGACTTCTGCGGTGTTTTCTGAGATGGCACAGCACAACCCAAAAATAGCCTTCCACGAGAGTTTGTGAGTGGGGCTACTCGAAAGAGGTTACTCGAAACAGGTTACACAACGGGATTTTCGAGGTTTGGCAGGCGTATCTGGTGATTTGGTGGTGCTGGTGGGTGGTGGTAGTAATGTTTTTGTTTATGCCGTGTGAAGAGGGGGAGAAGGGGAAGAGCTCAGGGACGCGGACGTGGACGTGGACGGAGTCTTTCTTCTTCCTCTTCTTCTTCCTCTTCTTCTTCCTCTTCTTCTCTGTCTCTTGTTTCTATGCTCGGCGTTACGCGACCGGCGGGTGGGTGTGTGTGTGCGTATCTTTAGGGGGGGGTGGTCTTATGTTTTGAGTTTTCCCCCTTGGGTCCCATCTCACGAGCTTCTCTCATGCAAGCTTCTCTTTAGCGCCTTTGTCTAGGACTTGCCTTTCGATCGAGCAACCACGGACTTTTGTTGTTGTTTTTCCCAGTCTGGAACCCTTGTGGCTATTTATAGCTGCTGCGCGTCCATCTGCGCGCAAGACTCCCGGATGACCGGGCGGCAGTCGCAGGCGAGTTGTGGGTGTGTGGGTGTGCTGGTCTTATCATGTAAGACGAAACTGGGCTGGTAATACCCTTCCCTATCTCTCTCCAGAATGTTAAGTCCACTCACAACTGATGAGGGGTTGTGACTATATGTCTGTGACTATGTCTTATAGATGAGCCAGCAAACGCATTGGAAAGCTTACAACGGTGCAATTGTCCAGCTGTCCTTTTCGAAGATGAACTAGAGGGAAAAGAATCGAATGCGGGAAAGGGAAGGGGAGGTCGGTGTTTGTGTTTTGTAGTTTGAATAGAGATCTTTCCGGGGCTTGTGTCATTAATTGGCTTCTTGCAGCAAGCTCCGACAAGAGATTTTCCTACGTTATTATGTTGTCTTACAGTTGTTTATTGTAGAAGTGGGGAATATCACTGCTTGTAAGAATTTCATCACATACATTTGTAAATGTCGGGTTTGGCAACCAAAACATAAAAGATATACATCAAGTCATTAGGAAAAGATTAGATGTGAATGCACTTGCACACACTAAAAAAAAGGGCAGATAATGAGGGAGGAGGGGAAGGGGACTCTTGAGAAGAATCGAGGACGTTCAACAGGTTAAAGTGATTACGGCGAGTCCAAGAATTCGCAAATTCTGTCGTTAAATACGAACATGGATCTACTCATAAATAAGCATACAGGATTACTGAGTACACCAACACCGGGTAGGTTTAATCTTCTACCGTGTTTTGGCTCTACCCACTCCTCGTCTCGTGTGATGAGTTGAGTTGGGTAATGTAGTTATGTACGAGTGAGTCAGCCTTGGGTTTCCGTCTACTATTACATAGGACACCATAGCCATTTTCAAGTTTTGGAGTCGAAAAAACATCATCGTTGGTCATATAAGAGAGCAGCCATAACCATATTCGTACATTGTGCTGAGTACTTCAGACTGTTATCACTGTATACGGCGAATACCTAATGATCGGTATTTTTTTGGTATTTCGTACAAAGTTGCAACCCTCTGATCATTCCCGACGAACATTCATTCAAGCACTTCATACGGCCTCTTTAGACTTATTATCATCTTATACGTGACAGTTCGAATCATCAAGCATTTTGAACGAGCGAACTCGTCCATTGTCGTGTCCATTGGATTTGTGATTCGTGCGTCCCCACTCCTGAGTGCATCCCCAATCGGGTCCGGGATAGTCAGTTACTTCCCGGATACTCAGCTTTTTACAAGATAGTACCCGTTTTTGTTACCCGGACGCAACTTAAGAGCATACACACACCGCCACGAAACGCGTTAATCACACACCACGAACCCCCAAAATGTCTTCCTCGATCTCAACAATCATGAAACCCAATTGCACTTCTTTCAGTAGCGCCCTCAGTAGTAGGTAAGAGATTCGTACATAGTGATGTAAAACTCTAATCACGTGCCCGTAGACAATCCTTCAAAAAGGCTCACACAGTTAAAAGTTTCCCATCAAATTCGCATCATGCATCACACCGCATTTTTACGTCCAGCTACAAGAAGAGCTTCACCACTGTAAAAACCCCAATCCAATCCAATCCACACACACACACACATCACTTTGTACGTACCCAACGTCTCTTTTCTCAATCCCGTACAAAATGCCCTATTTCTCTCTTTTTTCGTCATTATTGCTATTCCACTCGTACCAAACGACACTCACCTCAGCTTTCATAATAATTATTAGTTAACATCTTAAACTAAAGCATGTAAATCCCAAAATTCAAACTTTATCACTGACTAAACTCACAACTTGTAAGCTAGAAAAACGGAACACCAACGCTGCGATCCCAGCTCTTTCTCCACCAAATCCGATCCTTGAACCAGCTCCCAATAACTGCCTTGCGAAAAAACCGTTCAAAAAGGACCCCTGTAGCCATATTTTCACCATAGTTTCTCCCCCTTGAAAACGAAACTAATCTCCATTTTCCAAAAGCCGTGGCTCCTTCTCCTCCAGCACTACTATCACATCCGCTCCCTCATAGCATGGCAGCCCAAGAAGAATTCATCAGAACGCAAATCTTCGGCACAGTTTTCGAAATCACCAACCGGTACAATGACTTGAATCCGGTCGGAATGGGTGCGTTTGGTCTTGTGTGTTCTGCTACAGACACCTACACCAATCAACCCGTTGCCATCAAAAAAATCATGAAGCCGTTCTCCACCGCTGTTCTCGCAAAGAGAACATATCGTGAGTTGAAACTACTCAAGCATCTCAGACATGAAAACCTCATTTGTCTAGAAGACATCTTTTTGTCGCCTTTGGAAGACATTTATTTCGTCACCGAACTGCAGGGCACAGATCTACACAGACTCTTGCAAACCCGTCCCTTGGAAAAACAATTTGTGCAGTATTTCCTTTACCAAATATTAAGAGGTCTAAAATACGTGCATTCAGCTGGTGTCATTCACAGAGATTTGAAACCCAGCAACATTCTGATAAACGAAAATTGTGATTTGAAAATCTGCGATTTCGGCTTGGCTAGAATTCAGGATCCACAAATGACCGGATACGTGTCTACTCGGTACTACCGTGCCCCAGAAATCATGCTAACATGGCAAAAGTATAATGTGGAAGTCGACATCTGGTCTGCCGGTTGTATTTTCGCAGAAATGATAGAAGGTAAACCGCTTTTCCCCGGTAAGGATCATGTGCATCAATTCTCCATCATAACCGATCTCTTGGGATCTCCTCCAGAAGACGTCATAAACACCATTTGCTCCGTCAACACTCTCAAGTTTGTCACTTCTTTACCACACAGAGATCCTGTTCCCTTTTCAGAGCGTTTCAAGAATGTCGAACCCGATGCCGTTGATCTATTAGAGAAAATGCTTGTTTTCGATCCCAACAAAAGAATAACAGCAGCCGATGCTTTATCACATCCATATTTGGCTCCTTACCATGACCCATCCGATGAACCAGAAGCCGAAGCTATTTTCGATTGGCATTTCAATGATGCAGACTTACCTGTGGACACCTGGAGAGTTATGATGTACTCCGAAATTTTGGATTTCCATCAAATCGGTGACAACCAAATAGATCCCAATGCTACCTTTGATGATCAAGTTGCCGCCGCCACTGCCGCCGCACAAGCAGCACAAGCGGCGCAACATCAGCAGGACTTATCCCAGTCGCACACTAAAAGTCCTTCAGATGCACCACAAAAGGCTGCGCAGCACTCATCCGACAGCCATCACCAGGAGGTTGCGAACACACGTCAAAATGAAACCTTGAACACTTACGGGAATCAAGCAGCTCAATACGCATCCGAATTTCAGTAGAGTTCAATTTAAATTACTATTTACTTGGTAAAGTTATGTATCTTCTTTTAATCCTTTGTTAAACCGGCCTCGTGGCAAAGAGCGTAAAACAAACTCTCAGGATTTTTAAGCAAATTCTGAGGTGTATCAATTTCTGCAACTCTGCCTTGGTCCAACACCATGATTCTGTCACTATCGAGGATGGTGTTGATTCTATGAGCAATGGTCAAAATTGTTCTATTTTTGAATGCGGTGCGGATCGTTTCCTGAATAACTTGATCTGTCTCGACATCAACTGCTGCGGTGGCTTCATCCAATACCAAGATCTTTGATGGAACAAGAAGAGCTCTTGCCAAACACATCAACTGTCTTTGTCCAACAGACAAATTGCTGCCACCCTCGGTTAACATTGACTCAAGTTCATCTTTACCCAAGCCTTTGATGTGATCTTTCAGGTGCGAGAGCTCAAGAGCATGCCATATTTGCTCATCCGTGAACTGGCGTGTGGGATCAATATTATCTCTCACGGTCCCTTCAAAAACCTGTGAATCTTGTGGAATGATTGAAAGATGTCTTCTCAAGTCCTGAAGTCCTATCTTATCTATCGCCTGTCCATCAATTGAGATACGACCACTCGCGGCTTCTATGATACGGAAAAGTGCTAGTGTCAAAGATGATTTACCAGCGCCAGTACGTCCTACAATTCCGATTTTTTCCTGTGGCTTAATGTCAACGTTTATATCTTTCAAAACAAGATCCAGTCCCGGTCTGTAACGGGTAGAATAGTTCTCAAATTTTATCGAGCCCTCGGTTGGCCAATTTTCAGGTGGTCTGCAATCTTCGATAACAGCTGGAGCTTCGGATGGTAGTACGGAGTATTCCTTTATTCTTTCCACTGATACAATATTTGTCTCGACCTCCACGGTCATGCGTACAATCCAGTTCAAGGACTGAGTTATTTGCAAGGCATAACTTAAAGATAGACCAATCATACCGGCGCTGAGAGTCCCCTGCTTCAAGCGGTATACACCCAAAACTGCGGCTCCCAAAATGATGACTGATCCAATAAATTCGAGACGGAATGCCAGCCAACGGTTTGCGTTTACTGATGGATAATACGCGCTCATGTTGTTGTCCACTCTCGCCTGGTTGATATGAACAAAGCGTTTTTGCTGACCATAACCCCTAATCGTGCTGATTCCTCCCAAAGATTCCTGGAAATGTGCATAAATGGGCGATCTTGTGACCGAATCCAGGCGGCGTAGCTCTCGGGAAGTCCTCAGATAGTATTGTTGATAATAGACGTAGAGAACGCTCATGGGGGCGATGACAAAGATAAATTGCCAAGTCGAATAGCAGATGACCAAAATGGTGAAGGAAACTTTGATTGTGTTGACGAAGAACTGTGAAAATGTTCTACCCAATAGCTCATCAACTTTGTAGATGTCGTTAGAGAATCGGTTTAAAATTCTTCCGATAGGTGTAGTCTCGAAAAATGACATGGGCGCCTTCAAAACAGAAGTCGCCATAGCATCATGCAAGTACCGTGATCCATGGATAGTACAGTAGACCCACAAGATGATTGTTTGAATAAGGGTTGATAGGGCCGAACCAAAGCCAAGCAGGAAATAAATTCCAAGGTACATGCCAACATGAGGGTTAGTACCATACTTAGTGTTAATTTCCGACCAATGCTTCAACCAAACGCTTCCTGCAACAGACAAAAACATAGAAATAACAGCACAAGACATGAACACAAGTACGTGACGTGGGTTACATGCCTTGGCGTATTCAAGATAAATGTCCCACTTAACTTTTCCCTGTTCACGATGTTCCTTCAAAGATGGGCGTTCCTCATCTCCAAATCCAATGCTTCCCAGGGTAGCGTCACTTGCTTTACGCAGACTGCGTTTGTCTAAATCAACCATATTTTCGTCAAGTTTCTGTAGGTCAATTTCGTCTTCACCAGTGGCGCTATTGTCAGAGGCTGATCCAGCGGGAGAATGCTCTTTCGAGCTTTTGCTGCTCTTTTTTCCATAACTGCTTATGATCTTGGATAAGGCGGATGATTTATCACTGGTGACATCTTGGTGGGATCCTTGCTGAATGATTTCCCCATTTTCCAATAGTGTGATATGATCAGCGATGGACAAAACTGAAATTTTGTTTGTCGCCAAGACCTTTGTCTTGGTGCTCAAAAGACCATTCGAACCCAATACATGTTCGATCAAGTGCTTAGCAACATGCTCGTCAACGGCCGCAAGCGGGTCATCCAATAAATACGTGTCTGCTCTGGCGTAGACTGCTCTGGCAAGTGAAAGACGTGCCTTTTGGCCACCAGACAGGGAGATCCCTTTTTCGCCAACCATTGTTTTATCACCTTCAGGGAGCGTTGCAATGTCTATGCTCAACGCGCATGCTTTGATGGTTTTTTCGTAAAATGCAGCATCATACCTGTGACCAAAAACTACGTTCTCCTTGACCGTACCGTTCATTATCCAGGGCACCTGAGAGACGTAGGCGATGCTCCCGTGAACGGTAGCGAAACCTTTGACTCTGAATAAATCACCTAAAATTGCTTGAACCAATGCACTTTTACCACTACCAACTTTTCCAACAATACATGTCAGTTCACCTTTCTTGGCTTGAAAATTTATGTTCTTCAGCGCCACCTTGTATTCTGGCTTTCTTTGCCACAAAAATGTAGCGTCTGCACCAACACTTACCGCTACTTCACCACGAGATGTTACTTTGGGCTTGCGCTGAACTGAGTCACTTTGTAATTCCTCGCTCGTCAAAAAGTTGTGCAAGCGAGTGACCGAAACAGATGCCTCAATGAAAGATGTTATAGCAGTTGGGATAATAGCTAGAGGAAAGCTCAATAGATTGAAAAGAGTTAGAGCCGGAAAAACCAAATCCGTGGTGAGCGGGCGGTCTTTTTGAGTTAAAACAAATACGGCAAATGTGGAGCAGGAGACCAAGAACGGAACAATGTTGAACTGGAAACTAGCCAAGGCCACTGTGCATCCCATTTTGGTCAGGTTTTTCAGCTCTTTCTCGTTTCTGACATGTTCTAACTTCTCCTTATACGGGTTTTCCCAGGCATAAAGCTTCAGAGACTTGATATTGTTCAAAATTTCACTGATGATACGAGTCCTTTCATCTTTGTTCTTCATCTGAATTTTTTGAAGCTTTTTTTGATATCTTATAATCACAGAGTTCATTGGAATCATTACGATCATAATGACAACACCAACCCACATAGACGGTCCCAGCAATTTGTAAAGAGAGATTAAGCAAAGAATCAGTTGGAAAGGCCCTGACCATATGATTTGGCCCCATTGCGTCAAGTCTTGCAAACGCTGAACATCCACACTCATGAGGTTGACGATATCACCAGTAGATGAAGCGGCGGAGGCCTCACTTGACAATGAAAGAGACTTTTGGTAGATCACAGACGTGAGCCCGCTCTTGATATTCATTCCGGTATCGAATGCACGTAGGAAATATTGGTGTAAAAAAGAGGTTTGGATCACACTTACCAAAAACATACCAATGGCGATCATGAACCCTTTTACAATGGGAACGTCAGTGAAAGCTTTGTTATCGGTATACTCTCCCACAAACTTGATCAAGATTCTTAATAGCTGGGGCTGTGTAAAGGCAAGTGTATCGAAGATGGCTTTGAAAAGGGCGGCAACAACCATTTTACCACCAAAAGTTATGCAGAGTGCCCACGCTAATGATGGTTTAGTTCTGTGCTTCACCTCATAATCCCAGTATCGGCCAAAAGACTCAGATATCTCAGCGCTACCAAAACTTTTAGGAAGCCTATACAAGTCTTGTTCGGTCAGATACTTTTCGTACCCCGTTTTCATCATTTTTGTCATCCAAGAAAAGGAGATGCGGGAGAAAATGTTGGCGACATCATATGGGTTCGCCTTCCTTGAACTATCACTAGTTAGATCTCCACGGCCTTGAACAGATTTGGTGAAAAACGATTCCAAAGCCAAGATAAGGAAACTTGTGATGCTTTGCACGGTAAGAAGTTTGATTGAGAACTCGGAGACAGGTATTATGCCTTCGTAATTTTCCCTTATCTTGAGGTTTACGAGTGCGCTGGCCCCAAACAAGCCTTGAAACAGCCAATAAAACAGCACAATCCCGTTGGACACGTTTGAACGGAAATACTCGACCCAGTGCAGCGCGAGTGCCACCAAAATCGACAAAAAGTTCAACATGCGTTGCGTTTGCGACGCCCACTGTTTCTCGATACCTATTTTGTCGTGGAAAAGTGCCATGGCTGCAAAGACTAGTTGAAGTGCAACCAAAGAGATCCTGGATACCAATAACCAGTTTTTCCGATATTTGACACCTGGATGAGGTCCACTAGACAATCTTACCAGTTCTTTACAGCCAAAAACAAGCATTAACAATGCAGCGCCATTACGTAGAAACCCGTCTACAAAACAAAGTGTAAAATCTCCATATTTGGAAGAAATGGGTCCCCATCCTTCCTTGTCTTGGCAAAACTCACACCAAAGACTATGAGAAGATTTCATGATTAGTACAACCTGTGGTTTCCAATCGATATTAGAAATGGTATCTAACCGGTTGCCACCGTACTAGCTTTGCTATATAATGATACGGGGCGTTCTTTCGAGCCTGGTTTCTTGTGATACTCAGATTGTAAAAGGTAGAGATACCCTGATGGAATCTGTTGAAGGTGATGGTATTTTATTATATATTATACACTTGAACAAAATTTGATATCGGTAAGCTAATCGCTGACAAACGCGAGTACGCTGAGCACACAATACTTCTACATGTGCGGAACTTGAGGCATCATATGTTTACAATGTCGAGAATTTGATGATGGTACTAAAGTTCCATGAGTTTGACGTTTTAAAAACAAGATTTAGCGTTTTCTTTGGTTCATAGTCATACTGGTCGAAATAATGGTGAAATGACCTCTCCTTTACGAAAAAGTAGAAGCAAATGGTTTGCTCGCGATGGACTGGCTTTTAAAGTAAGCAGTAGTCATGAGCAGGGTCTTTAAACTGCTCTTTACTGACATTCAGGACGAATTTCGAGGACTACAATAACTAATCATTTTGATGTACGCGAACAAAAATTCGTTTTGGACTCCGCCCTAGCTACTAAACCCTGTGTAGAGCGCTGTAAAGACTTCTTGAGCTAGATACGATGGGGGGCAGACCCGGTACAATGCAACATTGTCGTTCCATGTCTCACAATAAAATTTACACATGAGCGTTTTCTTCCTATATATTGCTGTTCTTTTGTCTTCTCTTCAACAAAGTTCTTATTCCTCGTGGCCCAATGGTCACGGCGTCTGGCTACGATTGTATCCACTTCTGAAACCAGGAGATTCCAGGTTCGAGTCCTGGCGGGGAAGGACTTTATTTTTTGGATTTTTTTTTAAATACTGACAACTATGACACTATATTTATCCAAGATGGTGTCAGGTCGAATTAAGCACTGGTGCAATGTCTAATGCGACCGTAATTTTTCTTGCAAGGAACCAAGGTTCTAGTGTCACATCAGCCGAATTTCGCACTGCATTTGATATCTCGAATTAATGTTTTGTCACCAAAGTAGTGTTTTGGTTAAGTTAAAGAGAAAGGCAGGACCGAGTCAAATGAAAACAAGGGTGTCCTCATGACAATAAAACCGGTTTGCATTACAACTGCTCGGAATAATTACGTGAACATCAAATTGCGAATCTCTTCACTTTCTGGAGTCCTCAAAGCGCCTGTGTGTAAATGTCAAAAAAATTTGACTTCTATTCGAACCCTGGCACGCGCACTTTTATATTAAATTTCCCAACTGTACAACACACTATATCAATCAATCAACAGAATCGACAATCTCGAACACTTGAACAATCGTTTGAACCTTAAGCTATAACTAACACAGGCCTCCTGAGAGTGTGGCAGCCATCTCAGGTGCAAGCAGATATAACGTTTTAGCTCCAGTTTCAACCCAATTGATCTAGCCACTGCTTCCAGTGTTATAAAGTCAAGTCTACCTTTAAATTCCATCACACCTGTGTTCAGAAAGCCAATTGATTCGAGTACCGCTCACAATACAACTGCGACAAACTCCAGACTCTAGAAATATGCGAAATCACCGTGTGGATTCGCAAGCAGTGTCAGCTAATGTCAAGCTAGAGGTGATTCATGAATCTAATCCATATTTTGCAGGCGAAAGTATACAGGTTCTAATACGCCTCAAGCATTTGGGTTCGGTACAAGCCAAAGATCAATCGGAGATCAAACTGCAAGAACTGAGACAAAAACAGCAGGATATACAGAAAGAGGCCAATCAAGAGAAAAGAAAATCTTGGACGGTAAAGTCACTTTGGGGATCCCCTGATAGCGAAGAAAAAGCTGCTAACGAGAAAATTCAAGCTTCAATATCACATTTGGAGAAAGAGCTAAAATTCAATAGCCCCGTAAGACTCGCTTCTTGCTATACCCAGATATATGGATGTTTCCAATACGATCCTGAAATGATAAACTCAAAGGAATTCGAGCATCAAGATCACCATCGACTAGCTGGCGTCGGCTCTCTTAAGTTATCTGAGGGCAAAAACTCTATTGCAGAAAGCTTTGCAGGACTTTTATTTTCCAATATAGAAGATGTTGCGCGTGAATCTATTTCTGGACCTACTGTCGAGTTGATCAAAGTACCATTTTTTCTTATCCCACAAACACTGATTTTCTCAGAAACAATGTTGGATCCAGGCCAAACTAGGACATTCCAGTTCAAATCCCCGCGGCTCCCTCAGGATTTGACACCATCTTATCAATCTTCGAAACAATTAAAGATACAGTACTTTCTAAGCTTTGGGCTGACAGAAATAGAGTCCACCGTAATTAAACCATTCAGCGCTGAGTTCTCAGTCCACGTATGCCCTTTTGTTGATGTTTATGGTCGCCAATTAACGTCCAAACTGGACACTGATATTAGCATCACAGCACCGGGACGAGCTAAAGAAATTAAAGATAATTTACGGTCGCGACGTAAGTCAAGTTCCTCGATTGTACTGAGGCGAAGAAGCTCGGTACTCTCAATCAGCGCTTCGGAAGTCAAAGGAGACGTAAACTCTGAATGCAAGAAGCTATTCACACAATTAATAAGTGCTGAGGATTCTTCAGCTGTGCTAGCCGACAGTATAGAGGGTTTGGTGGATCAGATGATAGAATGTCAGTTTGGCGTCGATACCTTTGATACGTCGGAGGATGACGATGAGAATATTACGAATGACCTTAGTCAAGGCTCGGTACGAAAAGATGCCGTGTCTGTACGAAAGAATTTAGGCAGCCTCTTTCGCAATCTCGGAGGCGCACCTTCTTCTAGACAAATTGGGGAAGGCATTGACGCTTCCGAATCAACTAATATGATTTCTCAGGTCAAGCGACTGCAAAAGGAATACATCATAAATCGGGATGGAGTTTTCATCGCTAAGGTGATTTTATCAAATTTGTTTTACACGACCGCGGATGACATTGATCTCACCATACAATTGGGCAACGTAGGACCGCATAAAGTCTCTGCCATCACTACATCGCTGAAGTCAATTGAGCTGGTAAATCCTAAATATTGCATAGATCCTACATCGAATGGCAGCAAAATGGGTAAAATAGTGGACCAGTCTCGAGCCATTTGCTTCGATGAATTATCCACCATTCAAATGAAACTAATCCCGCAAAAGTCGCCTAGCCGTCAAATGACTAGTCAATTCAAATCAGACATTTTTCAGTTCAAATGGATGCTTTGCTTGAAATTTGTGCTTATTAGTCGCAATGATATGCCAGAGTTAATGCAAAAGTTTTATGAAGATAAAAATGGTTCGCTTTATCATGCGAAACATGTTTTGGACGGTGAAGAGTTCATCTGCCACCTACCCTTGACGATCCTGCCCACATCTAAGAACTTTGGCGGCTGGTGAACGGAAACTACTCCACATATTCTATTTTATCCCTTGGGCAAAAAATGATGAACACTTCATTTAATCAGCCCACACGTTAGTTTGCTCGTTGTAGGTGCCAGATTGATCATCGGCATCTATTTGCTCGCCTGACTTTCTCGAAGATCGGCCTGAATGCCCATAAACCTCATCTCCACTTTCACTTTGATGACCACTTGTACCGCCTGGAGTCTCGATCTCCTCGAAATCGTCATCAGTCATGCTTCGCGGAAAGCCCAAACTGAGAAGCGCATTGCCAATGGCGGCGTGTGTCGAACCAGAGCTTATCGTATGCGTTGAAGGTACCGGTGCCGAAGGGTCCTCGCTGCCTTTTAGTCTCTTCTTTTTCCCAAAATAGTCTTTCCAAGATGTCCACTCATTCTCCTTAGTATTTTCGCTGACGGCCGCTTGTTTTGCACCATCCGTGGCTTCCAAAGACGCGTCTTTTCCATTAGTTTGCTGTTTGTCACGAGTGGAGGCTTCTTTTCGTATGAGCGCCTGGAATGACTTTCCTAGTCTTTGCTGTATACTTTCGGTGTTTTCAGTCATGTTGAAGACATGCTTTGGCGGGAAGAGGTCAAATAATCTATCATCAGTTGAGACGTTGAATGCATGATAATTTTGAGTTTTGCGCCATTCATCTACCCAGCGTGAACCATAACATTCGATCGGGCTATATGTCAACCACTCCTCAGATATGGATTTAATAGCCATCTCATTGCTCTCATTGTGGTCGAAAAAGATTTTAAGCTTCTCGCTAGACACCAGACCGGTCAAATAATCTTCAAACTGCCATCTAAGGAAATCTTCGCTGCCTTCGAATTGTAAATTTCTTGGAGTTGCAATATCGTTCTCGTTCCAGGTATCTATCACTGCAGATACTATGGTTTCCATCCATTTCTTATCATGAAAAGTCAATTGTAGAGCTCTATGCAAAGAGCGATCTGAACTGACAATCTCTACCGAAAATGTGTTGACATTCACAAGAATGTCACAGACTTGTTCTTTCTGTTCTAAAAGTAACGAGTTTGAAGTTCCGGCGACAAAATGCTTGGTTTGCGTAGATTCAAGATCGTCTAACTGTTGTAATGGGCTGTATGGGGAAAACAATCCTCCCTTTCCAAAAACCTGCAAGGGAAAGCCCAAAAATGTCAAGACTGACTGACGATCACTCGATTTAAAAGAATCCACGACTTTGAGGTTATCAAAGTAGCTGTGCAGCGAAGGTGATCCACAATCTTGCAAATGTGATATAAGATTGGGAATAAGACCAATGAAGCCGAATTGGACATTGCACAGCGCCTCAACGTCACTGCCATAGAAAAGAACTTTACGTTCTAAAAGAATGGCTTTCAAAATAAGCAAGACATCCTTTCCGAAATCATGCACCACGCGCCTCAGGCATAGACCCACATACATGTGCGATTCGTCCGTAACAGCAGACATGTTGTACATGGAGCTCAAATTCGAATATAGAGTATCCAGAATAGCCTTATTAGTAAAATCGCGTTGTAAAAAAAACGCATTAGTCACTATACTGAGCTTATCCTTGATTTGACCAAAAATGGGTTTTCGTGCCACGACAACGATTGCCTTTTGCACAGTTGACCGCGTAACATCACTATCCTTTGACAAAAGCTCCTCTGTTCGAATTTGTCGTGAGCAAGATATCGCGAAAAAAGTTGTGTAGTCGTCAGTTTGATCCGATGCGATGGCCGCTGCGCCTTCTGCCGGGGGTCCACAACGTTCAGCTTCATTGTAAACCAGCGTGAAGTATGTAAATGTCTCTTCAAAAGAGTGCGATCCATCTGGTAAAGCTTGAAACGGTAAGTAAGGCCATAATTTCGATGCCTCCAAGTCCTCTGGTAAACCATACGAATATTCGACTTCCGGGCCCTTGGAATGGTGAAAATTGACCAAAAAGACACCAAATATAACGTTCGGCTCTGCAGATTCTGTCATGTTCTGTCAAACACGGTTGATTCTAAGAAAAAAGTCAGATCTGTGATACCACACCCGCTGCTTCTATTTGCCTGACGGATAAAGGATAAGTTCTTCAAGTTAAGACTTGAAGTCCCTTAGTACAAAGTGACATCAACACAATTTCGTCAATAATTTATATTAGAGCTGTACTCAGAAATCAGTCGACGAGATCAGCAAGATTCAAGAGCTTTTGAAGACGCCAAAGCCTTGATATGTCCGTCGAAGATCAATGGATAGCAGATCGCGTTGAAATTTTGAGGACTGGTTTATTCTCTGCGAAAAAACAGGATCAAGACCTGCTGTCTTTACCCCAGAACAGCGATGATGAAAGGACACCAAAGGAAGTGCTCGAAGCGCTTTCATCTGGCGATGCCGCTGGGCTGAAAGGAGAGATTGTGATCAAAAGATTGTTTCTAGAAGCGGCTAAAGACAACGATGAGACGATAAAAGTAGGACGTTTTGCCATTCTTATGGACCTCTCGCATCACATGAAGAATACGGCGAACAAGATGGGCGACGACGTCAACGCGAAGTTTTGGGCTTCAATCTTTTTTGACCTATTCAGAATGAGTTTGACTTTGCTGCAACTACCCCAAGGCCATTTGCAGTTTTGGCCTTACGTAAATTCACGCATGCATTGGTTCAAAGCCGGGTTTTTGAACGAAGATTCACTGCAGCACGGACAAACCACCTTGAGTGCAATTAAAGCACCTTTTGCCAAAGTGACTTACCAAATAAACAAAATGCTTCTGGCACTGAGGCTAAACTCCAAACTCGCTACATGCGCACATCATGAGCTCAGCATGAAGATTAATATCTTTCTATGCGAGTGTTTGTCTCCTATGGAGCAGGCAAACACAAACAAGCGCGGTAAAATAGCCAAAAAGCTTCCCGAACAGCTATGGGATATGTGGAACGATGAAAAAGAAGGATCAGCTTTCTATACCGATTTCCTCAAAGTTAAACAGGAGTTTATCGAAGAACCGATCATGTGGGCATTTTCAGATACCGGAAAAAGGCTCAGCTTACAAGATTATCTCTTGCCAGTGATGGATGAGATTCTGCTTCACGAATCTGAATTTTATGCTCACATCAAGACGAGAAAGGTGCGACTTAACCGACTGAACCAAAAGGCCAACGTTCAGTCATATCAAAATCTCCAAGCGCTGAACAACGTACAAGACATAAAGCGCCACAAATGGTCTTCGACATTTTCGGGACTTCGGCCACTCATGTTTGATCAACCTGATTGGGATTCGGAGCTAGTGATGTCGCAGCTGCAAGATCCATCAAACGACTTTCACCGGAAAAAGTTTCTGCTGGAGCTTCTCATAACTGCAAACCTGATTAAACGCATACTTTCAGATGAGACTGTTAAAAACTTTTATCGCACTCAATATGACCAACCGCTTGGAACCAAGCATAGCGACGAAGACGGCAGCAATGCTGCTGCACTACAAGATATAACCCAGATAATCACCAGTAGGATTGAGAAATTTTATGACCATCATGATAAAACATATAGAAGCCTTTTGACGGACCTGATTACGGGTGATGGGGCCTTCTTAGACCTGAAAGCGAAGAAGGGTTTCAAACTTTTCAACGAATTCACCTTCCCCACGGACAGTGAAGGACCAGTTCCTGAGGTTAACTACTCTTACAAGGGTTTTGGATGGATAAAACTTGGGAACAAGAAGCTAGACAACGTCTGGAAAACTAAGAGTGGGCTTGGGTCGATCGATTACAGTTTGCGCAGCTCTCAGGAAACATTTGACCAATTACGCGATGACTATCAAAAACGAAGTTTCGACACGTCAACACCAACTCATGGAGACCAGACGGTCGAGCAGTGGAAACATTTACGTCGCTTGCGGCCCCAATTTCTTTTTCAATTAAGTAATGTTGATGAGAATACTGGTGTCTCGGGTCTGTTTGATTCCAGCTTAATTCACAAGTCTCGGGAGAAAAAGTCTCGCCTGCCGGAGCAAGTAGAGGCTGCAAAAGAATATTTTGAAGCAAAAAAGAAGCGAAAAGTTGAGCTTTCGGAGGAAGCCGCTGAAACGGTTGAAGAAAAACAAGACATCTGTGATACTGATAAGAATCTGGCCACGGGAAGACCAGATGATACAACGCTTATGCCTACATCTGTCACCCTTGAACCGATGCATAACGGAGAAGAGACTACCACAACGACACTTCCTCGGTCGTCTTCACCAAGAGGCGGCGACCAGCCTATCGAACAACAGGAGTCTAAAGATGGTATCAAGGATGAGCCCAAAAATGACATTTGCATTGAAGAGCCAGACACGAGTCAAAACGACCAAGGAGCACCGACAATTGGCAAAGGAGAAGAAAGGTTGTCAGGCTCGGATATGGAGATCGAAGCGCCGTCACCCGCTAATCTGTGATATGACATGCCCTGCATAGCGAAGGTGGTGGCACTACATGATCTTCAAGATTTTGTATGTATTAAAAAAAAGTCTTCGATATCAAGGTGCTTTTTGCATCACCCAGAAGCTCCCATTATGCCTTATTTTCTCCCAGGAAGCTCCTGAGCAAGACGCACGACTCATTATCTAAAATAGCATCAATAGTTTCACAGTGTTTTCCGCTCTCTACGTATACCAAATGACTGATCTTGTCCTTCGTTTCCTGCCGTAGCCTTCTACTGTCTCCGCCCCTTGCTATTGGCACGAAATACTCAAAAGAAGCCGCGTTGGGATGCTTGAATCCCAAATCTCGAAGTTTTTGAAGTGCTTCAAAAATCACACTTGAAGTTGCAAAGTCATTGTTCTCCCCTGATCTCCCATTTCCAATGGTTCGTTTTGAAATTACTCTCACAGTTGCAGCTTCAAAGAGGTGACCTTCCTCTGCGGTGCAGTAGTTCAAGATGTCTTCTGTTATTTCCAAATTTAGAGGTGTGCCTCGGACATGCGTCAAAGTAAGCAGCTCGCGCCACCATTCATTCGAATCATTTTGATGAAGTGATGGCGGCAACAGTTGGTCATCGCCAGAAATCGAGCTCCTGGCACTTTCCGCTTGCGCATGCAGGTATGGAGGTACGCCGATGTGCACTATACTGTGACGTCGAGCAGTCTCGCTGTCGCTGCCCGCCAAACTATTTCTGCGGAATTCCGTGGGGGATACGGGATCTTGTAGTTGGCTGACACTGGTATGAATCGTTGTGTTGGAATTCATTTCATCAATCCCTAAAGCCCGCTCCGCAAACGAAAATGTCTTGCTTTTTACAGAATTTGGGGTGGCGTCAAGTATGGTGGCACGCTTGGCCTGTGGAACTTGGACTTGAATAATTCCATCTTCAGAAGGTAGATGGACCAAACAGAAAAGCTCACTTCGGGATTTGCCAAGCTCTTCGCAACAATGACGAATGTCGTCTTGCAGGGCTTCAAAGTTGATATCGAGACATATCAGCGCAGTTGCAGGCATATGGGGCTTAACTATGTGGTGCAGGATAACACATTGCCAGACACTGTTCAAATTCATTACGATACGTGAGCAATTAGCCAGTAAAGTTGTCAAATGAGTCCGACGTTCGACTGTGGAAAGCTCGCAAGCTGCCGATGCAGTATTTGTGCCCTTGGATTTCGATGTTAACTCCACTGTTCCACTAAGTTCGAAGGGGCAACTCATGAAAGCTAAAAGATCGTCGCAGGAATTTAGGGATATTCTGACCGAGTCTATCTTAGCATTTGAGGCACGAAGGGTCCTCCATTTGGTTGGCCCGGAAGCCTGAGATCCATCGTAAAATCGTAACTGCGAAAAGTCGCAATTTTGAAATTCCACTTCACCTACTGAAGAGTTCAATGTCGATACAGATAGTTTTTTCACTCTTGAAAAGTTCATATTCCGCAAAACTCCACTCTCATTTCTTACCGACGTTATTATCTTTAGATGTTCACGGACACCTCGTCCATCCAAATATGGAGAAACGGATGTAGAGCTATAGTTTACGAGACCCAATTCGTCACACGCTGGCAGACGGTAGTGCAATTGAGGGTCCATATCTGTTGGGATGCGAAAGTTCTGAATGCGAGATAAAAGCGGCGCATATGCTAATGCTTTCACAGGATTGACGTTTCTGGAAAGTTCCAAATCACGTATCGACACAAGGTTTGGCGCTCTCAATACATGCGATGGGTCCTGGACTGTCAGGCTCAACAATCGTTTCACGTTGTACAAGTTTGTCGTCTCGAAAACGAGATCTAGGTCGATATTGTCATGCTCCGCCAAATCGGAGCCACTCAAGAGGTGAAGCTCACAAAGACGAATAAGCCAAGGGTATCGCAAAAGCCCACGGAAATTAATTTTGCTGAGGTAGTTGCGGCCAGTTTTGTAAATCATGGATATATTTTTGCAATGTGCTGCGTCTATGCTTGCAATCTGTTCTATAACACAGGACAGACAAGTCCAAACTCGTTCGCTAAAGTGTTCGTCTGTGACAACGACAAACATGAAATTTTGATATTTTTGAAGAAACTCTCGCAGCTGAGTTTTGTCAAACCGCTCAATGTTCATACTGAGCGTATTCTCTACTCCGCTGAGAGACATATACTCCAAAAGTTTACTTTCTGCAAAAGACCTCTTGGGGTCCAATTCATCAGTTATGGCACAGTCTGAAATTACCAGAATGCCCAAATGTTTTGTAACTTGCGTTTGGAAACTCGGTGAGAGCTTGGACCAAGCTCTGGCCGTCTCAACACTATCGAGACCGTTAACGACTATTCGTTCCAAAATTTCCATTGGAAGAATCATCTTGAGAGAAGAGAAAAAGCGACAATCTATTGCAATTCCAGGAATGAGGAGGTAATGAAAGAGAAAGCCTGTCACAGAAACAATCTCGTAAGCCTCCTGTTTGTCTGTTTTGTTGACTCTCGATCTGCATTTAGGGATGATTCCACTCATCTCCTCGACCATACGTATAGCATGACATATCACTGGTGGTATCCTGGAAAGGCCAAGGTGTGAGGGTCTAGAGCCTTCCAATGATGCGTGGGTCTTCATTGATCTATCTCAAGTGTATATGTTTTTGAATTTGATTGATCAAGTGACGGCAAAATGTTGTGAAATGCCGTCTGGCATGTAATAGATTGTGTGAGAAAGTTAATAGAAAGAACGATGCCCAGCCATCTGGAAAGCGCTTCTTTTGTTTCTTCAAGTGTTGTCGATTGCAGAAAGTAACAGAATAATCGAAGTCAAAACCGGAAGTAAAGCGTTCTAAGCAAGCTTTCTTCTCATACTGTAAGCTCAACCAGACACTGGATGGCAGGCATTTCTTCCTCAAAAACATGCACGTATATCTACAGCCACAACGGAACACCCGCTAACATGTCATCAGACAAGTTTTCTCAAAAAAAAACACCCGCTGTCTCTTTCGAATCGGAGAATAGTCTGAGGATTAGCCGTTCAGTTATTCTGCCCAAAAAACCATACAAAAAGGAACTCAATTGGATATAATTCACGAATTGAACCAATCAAAGCTGATAAGGGCATCAAAAAGCCGCGCTCCAGCTATACATGTACGCTAAGATGTGTGTTTAAGCGAAGTTCATGTTGATTTACAAATAACGTGCTCGAAGTTCACGTAGAAAATCCAATTTAAACTACAACGTCCGTAATGTATAAAGTGATATGAGATTCAAAATCAGGTACTGCCATCTGATCATAGCTTGAAGTGCTTATATTGAAAGGCACGGAAAGTCAGTAAACTATGTGCTATTATGGTTTTATAAAAACTCTTCTTTCATGGGCGTCGGTTGCCAGGGCAAGCTTTTTTGACGTTTTCAGTCGTGAAAAGTGCATTTATATTCAATTTTTCGACGAAACAAGACCTTTTGCCTTAAAAAAACGGATTTTAACGTATCGAATACTACTGACACATATTCATGAGAGCTTTCTGCCAACCGAGAGTTGTTGATGCTGATAATTCTCAAATCCAAGCTCTGACGGCACCCCATCATTATTTACGAATTGTTTTTCACAGGTTACCATATATGAGGGCATCGACAACATCAACTTGAATCTCAACCTTTTACTCCAGATCGCCAATGGTGGTGCGCTTCTGTTCTTTTAACCACACGTCATACTTTTGATGACATACAGTTTAATCTGTCACTCGGATCCTTCGGGACACCACCGATGTTCCCTCTTGAAATTCGAGAATGTCACGATAATGATGGACCCTGCTTGGGACGGTAACTCAGGAGACCACGAGGCAGCAATGGATTTTTGGGCCCAGTTGATAAGTCAAACAGATATCGTGCTACTGAGTCAGCCGACTGCTGAATCCCTAGGCGCATACGCCCTACTGTATGCTAAGTTTTTAGCACATTTTCATTCTCGTATTGCAGTGTACGCTACGTTGCCCGTGGCCAACCTGGGCAGAGTCACTACACTCGATTTATACACATCCCAAGGGCTTGTGGGACCGGTAGAATCCAATCTTTTGGACTTGCCCGATATCGAAGAGGCTTTTGACCATATCATTTCAATTAAACACTCCCAGATACTGGATCTCAAATCCAAATTTGAAGGACTCACGGTTGTAGCTTACAACTCAGGCTACGCACCTGGTGGATCAATTTTCAGCATAACAACATTTTCAGACAAAGTCATTTACGCACCGCGATGGAACCATACCAAAGATACAATTTTAAACAGCGCAGCTGTACTTGACATTTCGGGAAAGCCCTCGACATCGTTGATGAGGCCCTCCGCGATAGTCACGTCCACCTCCCAATTGGGCTCTTCATTACCATATCGAAAGCGGGCATCGCAGTTCAAGGATGTCTTGAGAGGAGTTCTTTCCAAAAACGGTACGGCCGTTATTCCTTGCCAGATTGGTGGAAAGTTCTTGGACTTACTTGTGCTTGTGAATGACATGATTTATGAACAAAGACGTTATAGAAATCAATCTGATCCGTCAATTTTCTTGGTCTCCTATTCTCGAGGCAGGTCTCTAACTTACGCTAGAAGTATGTTGGAGTGGTTATCAGCTTCTGTTATCAAAACTTGGGAGGGCAGAAATAATAGGTCGCCCTTTGATCTGGGCACGCGGTTCTCAATAGTGACCCCCGAGGAGCTCAAAAAGTATTCGGGACCCAAAGTTTGCTTTGTTTCCGAGGTGGATAGACTAATAAACGATGTAATTTCAGCACTTGGAACATCGGATAAAACAACTGTCGTACTTACTGAACCGTGTGGCGCTCCTGAAAGAACTAACAAAATCTTGTCAAGTATGCACGCGACCTGGGTTAAGACAACCAAGAATCGGGACAATAGGACTCTAGATACCAGACCGATCCTGTTTGCCCAGTCTGTCAAAGCCGAATTCGTGACGACAGAGGAACTCCAAGGCGAGGAACTGGAGAAATTCAAGAGTAAGCTCCAGGAGAGAAGCAATTACCGCGCCGAGCTGATGGAAAAGTTGAAAAAAGAGGCTAGGACAGATGGTGCGTCCAACGCAGCTGGGGGACTCGAGGCAGTGGATGAACAAGAAGATGACGACGACGATGATGACGACGTTCCTGACTTCATCACCGCTGTCAACAGGAAAGCAAATGCTGCAGCGAAGCCACTCGAAATTGCTGTTGATGTTTACATCAACCCCGAAGCACAGCCCCGACATAAAATGTTCCCATTCCAACCGGTCAAGATAAAGCGGGATGATTATGGTGATGTTGTAGATTTCTCTCAGTTTGTTCCCAACGAACAACTAGAAGAAAGTGATAAAAGGTCTGCAGCGGATGCCTTCGCTGAAGACGAAGACCCTTACGAAATAGAACTGACATCGAAAAACTCCAAGAAAAGACGCGGGGGAAATACTGTAAAGGGTAGCGGAAACAAAAAAGAGGAAAATATCGACGACGTGTCGTACCTGAATGCACTCAATAAACCTCAACGGAGATCGGTGAGTGAAAATAATGTCTCCCTAAGATGTTCGGTATCAGTTGTGGATCTTACCAGTTTGGTTGACCAGCGGTCAATGTCGGTCATTTGGCCTGCTCTAAAGCCTCGAAACATGTTACTGGTGGCTCCAAAAGATGCTCAAAATGCGACAGCTATCAAAACGTTGAATTCCAAGCTTCTCGACGTTACGGAACTTGATTTTAATACACCTGCAACTTTCGAAACACTGATCCGGTCCTTAGACGTCTCCGTAGACCCAGAACTTGATCAGAGACTCAAGTGGCAGGGCGTTAGCGATGAGTACACAATTGCACACGTTGTGGGACGCCTGGTACGCGATAATACTTCGTTGCTCGACGGGAAGCAGCACCACCGCGATAAATGGGTACTCAAACCTTTATCCAACGGTTCCAAAATGTACCCCAAGGTGTCACTTGCCATTGGGGATGTGAGACTAGCCGAAGTGAAGCGTCGTATGACTGAAAAGAATCATGTGGCGGAGTTCAAAGGTGAAGGTTCGCTCGTAATAGACGGTAAAGTCGTTGTTCGGAAAATCAGCGACAGTGAAACAGTAGTCGACGGCTCTCCCTCAGAACTATTTTACAAAGTAAAGGCAGCTGTTGCAGATATGCTGGCCAAAGTATGAACTCATTGAAAGCTCAGAAGTGTCTTAGGCTAATGTCGCTGTCGTCCACCCTCGAGGTCTCTTCAGACGAAAGGGTAGTTATAAAATCTGCCAGATGAATGAAATATCGAATCGATGAGCTCGCTTCAAAGACCAAAATACCAATGACAGACAGAGATGCGAGCTTTAGAGGACGCTCTAAAATATCTCGGCATGGACTATGGGATAGTGCAGAGAAATCGGGATTTTCGAATTCTCAAAATTCGCTTCCTGCAAGGATTACGGGTGCTTTGAGTCAGGAACAAATTGTTGCTTACCAAGTTATGTTTCGCATCCAAGAGATTACCACCAAACTGAGGCTCAACTTGGTGAATCCACCGGCTCGTCGCAGTCGATCTGTATCTCCTCCTCCTGTTTACGATGCACGAGGGAAGAGAACAAATACTCGAGAACAGCGCTATAAAAGACAATTGGAAGATGAAAGACACCGCTTGGTGGAGATAGCTTTGAAAATGATTCCACACTTTGTGGCCCCCGATGACTATAAGCGGCCCACGAAGTTTCAGGACAAATATTATATTCCGGTTCAAAATTATCCAGAGATCAACTTTATGGGGCTTCTTTTGGGACCTAGAGGTAACACATTGAGGAAACTACAGGAGGATTCTGGTTGCAAAATAGCTATAAGAGGACAAGGTTCGGTGAAAGAGGGTAAAAGTGCTTCTGATCTCCCGAAGGGTGCCATGAACTTCGAAGAACCCTTGCATTGCATAATTAGTGCCGATAGCGAAGACAAGATTCAAAAGGGTATCAAGGCGTGCGAGGGGGTGGTTGTAAGGGCAGTAACCTCTCCAGAAGGACAGAACGAACTCAAACGGGGGCAATTACGAGAACTCGCTGAACTCAATGGTACTTTGCGTGAGGATAGCAGGCCGTGCCCCATTTGTGGTTTACGCGGTCATCGAAGGTTTGAGTGCCCAGATAGAACGACTTTTTCACAACAGATTATCTGTCAAAAGTGCGGACAATCTGGTCACGTCAGCAGGGACTGTACTTCTGGGCAAATCGAAAGCTCTTCCCGGAACGACTTTACTAGTCCAGCAATGCTATATCAAAGAAATTCAGAGGTTAGCACGAAAAGATTTCTCGCTCAGGATGACATGAATGGTCAAAGAGGCTGGAAAAGACTCAACACTGGCTTTAACGAAGATCACGACAATTACCAAAACAGAAATCCTCAAGCAGCAGATAAATGGCCCAGGCAAGGAAGAGAATCAGTCGTGGGTGAGGCGAATGCTCGCTCAAATGCAGAAAATAGAGGCCCCCCAGGTATTGAAAGCTATTCCTCATCATACCAGCCTTCATATAAGGACGCGCCTGCCGTTTTTGGCCAACAAGCGCTACAAGGTGCCGATCCGCTTCATGCAGATATCGCTGCGCCAACCTATGCGCAGATTAATAGCCAGACTGAGGCTACAAACACCTTAATTGCGGAAAACCAACACGCAAAGAGCGCCACAGCCGAGCCAGTGACGGGGCCTCTTGGCACTTCAATGACTGGCCCCCCCGGTGTGTCAATTATGGGGCCACCTGGCGTGTCGATGAATGGTCCCCCGGGTACTTTATCCAGCGCTAACATCAATTACAATGCACCACCAGGCATGGCCAGCGCGTCACCTCCCTCCATAGGTCCTCCAGGCTTCTCCATAGATCCGCCACCGTTGTCTAAGAGCCCTGAACTTTCTTCGGCATCAATGCTGCCGCAAAACCCAAGTGGTCCCCCGGGAATTTCAGGACTGACCAATATAGCTACACCCCCTGGGTTTGAAGGCTCCCCTGTTGCTCCACCGGCACCGGAAGAGAACAAAGATAGTCGGAAGAATATTTCGGGCCCCCCAGGCTTAGGCCTTTAGTAGAAGCAGCATATTATAATACAACATTCATTAAAGTCTATTGATTGAAAAGCGAAGCTAATTAAGGTTTCTTCTCTTGCTGCCATTTTTGCGCCATTGCAAGCAGCTTTGATCTTTTGTCCATTTCTGGAGAGATTTTAGTATCATCAGGGAATTCCAAGTCCGCGTACTCAACTTCAACGCCGCCTTCAATTCTAGTTTTATACTTCAACAGCGGTAGCCTGTCTTTGGCTTTCCTTTGAGTCTCAGGAGTGCCGTGCACATCTTCGTAGTCACTCAGAGCTCTCAACACAGCTTCTCTCTTCTGCTTTTGGCTGTTGGTTGCATAGTACAGAAGAGCCTCCTCGAAAGTCTGCCTAGTATTATCCTTGTGCTTATCCGTAATTTGTAGTCCGCTTTCCTCTTGGTCAAATGATGAGGATGACTCTGTATCTTTCGCAAGTTGCTCTTCAGTCGGAATGGAGCTTTGGTAAAGAGCCATTTCTATCCAAATATCTGAATCATAAAAGCTCATTTCTAGAAGCTCTTTGTATGCACTTAGAGCTTTGTCAAATTCGCCTTCTCCGGTCTCGAAGTCAATAAGCTTCTTCATTATCTCACAGCGTCTATCATTATCAAAACCAACATCACTTGATGCAGCCAACCGGTAGATTGCTCGAGCTCGTTCCTCATCACCTAAATTCTCTTCAAGTTCAGCGTAATCGAACCACGTTACAAGGTCTGAAGGATCATACGCGATAAACTGTTCATATATCTTCCTGACGCGGTCAAAATCCTTCAATCGAATCTCGAGATCAATGTAATCTTTGTATAGTTTTCTTTTTGGACATGTTCCCAAAGCGTAACCAAGAATTTTACGAGCCGCAGTTAGGTTCCCCTGTCGCAACTCAAATTTGGCATACGAGGTCCAGATTTTAGCAAATGTAAACCGCTTGTTCGGCAAAACTTCCTTCGTTAGCCTCGCGAACAGCTCTCGAGTTTTCGTTATATTCCCAGAATGTAGTTCGAAATAGATTAAAACTCGAAGCCACAGATGAACGTACCGGCGCCAGCTCAAGCTTTTGTCTTGTTCCTCAGGTGCATTTCCCGAGACTGATTTTTCTAGCTCTTCAGCCAATGCACTGGGATAATGATCTGCAAGTAAATCCAGATAAAGCCACCACATGTCGTAATCTCGAGGATTTCTGGCAAGCGCAACTTTATATTCTCTTCTTCGCTTTTCGGCAATGGACTCATCAAGATTAGAGCTCGCGTTGTACATTTTTTCGAAAGCCACTCGTCCTGAACTCAAAAACTCGTTATTGGGCCATTTTTCCACTGCCAATCGATACAACGCTGTCGCACGTTCATTTTCTTGTTGTGTGGCCTCCCATTCTGCAAAAGCACCGATAATAATTGCAATATCTTCATCTGGGGTTGCCGGATACAACGCCAATGTGTCTAATGCTAAAGAGTATGCTTGGCGTATGGTATCAGAAGACCCATGCTTCTTTTCAAACTTTGCCCATTTTAGCCATGTTTCAACGCCTGGGTACGCCAAGACATAACTTCCGTACACTCTGCGTGCGTTATCGAACTCTAAATACCGGACTTCGAAGTCCACAAACGCATCGAAAGCGTTTTGGCCTGGCTGTAGAGAACACCATTTGCTGAACAGTCTTCGCACAAGATCGACGTTTCCTAGGGATTCTTCAACGATCACATATTTCAGCCACAGTTTATCAATGCGAGGAAGTAAGTTCGTAGCTCGCTCCAGAAGGTTTCTTGCATGGTTTATATTCTTGGCTTTCAGTTCACAGTCGATGTACCTCAGCCATAGCGGCACATAGCTATTATTGATCAACAGTGCCCTTTCAAACACAGAGCGGGCTCTTCGCAGATCATGCTGCTTCACCTCGAATTGAGCGTATCGAATCCATTGTTTGACATCCAGCCTTTTAACTTTTAGAACGTTTTCAAACTCGGTCCTTTTGCGTCCTTGGAAGTCTTTAAGTTCTTCCAGATCCAGAATTTCCACCTGCGATTTCGGCTTGGCAATTGGTTTGCGCTGTGAAACATCTCGCAGGACGTCCTGGTGAGCAATTTGGTGGCCTTCCGGCTCCGTCACTGCATTAACTTGTTCGACGTCCATCGATGTATGATAAAATGGTTGAAAAGACCTTGTTTGTGACGGTTTTTGGCTCAAAAAAACCGCAATTTGAGAGAGACCAGTGGGAGTGGCTTTGTAGCTCGAATAAAGTGACCGGAAGGTGGTTATGGAGCTCTTTTTAGAGCTAAATTTCTAAGTTGAAGATGAATGATCTCTATAATATTCGATGTCATTTATAGTATTTAAGACATTAATATTACTGAAAAGAACACTTCGTCGTCATCAGTAGGAATAATCGTTATAAGAACCCTTTAATGGAACTTCCAAACGAATTCAACGTATTCAGTGAAATTGTATCTACATAATGAGCCCATTTTCGAGTTTCTAGCTAGGTCTGGTCAGCTCATGTGGTAATTTCAAAAAACCTATGACCGGGACGTCTTGAGCGTTGCACAACGATGTTGCGCTAAAAAACCAGGAACCAGGATTCATTGTTGTAATAATAATGACTACTTTCTTCAGAATCCGCCTCGCAGTGTTAAAACAAGGTGCAATTGCATCCCAGAAGTCAAATTGGAGGCCGATACCGTCATTTCATCATCACTAAAGAGGCAGTTATACCGCCATGATTGTTAGTAAATGGGATGGGAACTAGCAAAGACTAAATTATCATCGTAATCCAGCGGTAGTCTTGTCTAGGCAATCTTGTGGATTCAAAAGCTCTCTCTTGTTACTTTCAATACATACATTTGTTTGCCCTGGAAAATGAGTCTCTGCTGTGATGGAGGAATGCCCTCTTTTTCCTCTAAATATTCTTTGATGCGGGAAACTTTGTCTTGTGGGTCCACCACTACTTCAACCTCCTTACCAGTAAGAGTCTTGACCGTTAGCTTCATTGTTAGATGAGTTTTGATTCAATTGTAGTGATTCTTGGAATAGCTGTAGATGATTGAAATTAATTACTCTGTATAGATAGAACTTGAACTTGAACTTGAACTTGAACTTGAACTTAAACTTGAATTTAGACTTAAAGTTGACCTGAATATAATCTCGCTCGTCAACTATAAAAGGGCTTTGATAATGTTACCAACTCCTCACGTTTCATGCGACTACAACAAAGTTTATGAACCGTCTGAGGATTCTTTTCTTGTGTTGGATGCGCTGGAAAAAGACCAGCCGTTTTTAACCGAGACTCTTGGACCCAACAGCGTGAATCTAGTGTGTGAAATCGGTTGCGGGTCCGGGATTGTAACGACTTTTATGATGCAAAACAATATACCTAGTAAATATTCTATATATGTTCCCACAGACGTGAATCCTTGGGCTCTTGAGTCCACTGTGAGGACGGCGCAGCGTAACGAGTGTGAACAGCAAGTTTTCAGTCCCGTGCGCATGAATTTGGTGCATTCCATGCGAGCCAAAGAGATAGATCTCTTGGTTTTCAACCCGCCTTATGTGCCAGCTGAAACGGTACCAGCTATACCGCAGGACGTGGAGTCATCAAAGGTTACACCAGGAGAAGACGATCCACCTGCTGATTGGCTGGATCTAGCACTGTTGGGAGGTGATGATGGCATGGTTGTGACTTGGCAATTACTCAATAACCTGAACACTTTTCTATCCGCCAACGGGGTGGCATACATTTTGTTCTGTGCAAGAAATAAGCCCCAAGATGTAGCCAGGCACATGCAACAACACGGCTGGAAAGCTGAGTTGGTCGAACACCGCAAAGCCGGCTGGGAGGTACTCAGCGTTTATAGATTTCACCATTAGCAATCTCTAAGCGACCAAGACGTGTTTCGCAAAATTCATGCATCATCATTTTTATTGTCTTTGATCAACTCTTTATGAACGCAAATAGGTCTGCGGAAGTGTCGTCGCAACACGCTCTCCGGTCCACAGCTTTCAGCGCGTACATTTCCTCATAGTGTGCATAACTAACGGTCTGGAAGAACTTCCTTAGCTGGGTGTGCTTTTGAATAGCATGTACGCCCAGCAGGAGCGGAACTCTGAATTCTGAGCCCTCCACAACAGAAAATTCGCCCGTATCGCTCTTCGTAAACTCCTTGCAGTCGCTTATTTCATCGGCCAAGCTGATATAGGGCTCTGTCTTGTAGATGCAGTTCATGGTGTCTATCACGAAAAGCCACTCGTAACTGGCAGAAAACTCTTCAAAGTTCAAAGTCAATAACAAATCCACGCTCTTAGCAATCTGAAAAATCGCGTTAGGCTCGTAATCTTGTTGCATCTGTAGGCATTCAAAATATTTTTGAAATCCCGTTTGTAAGCTGTACGACAACATGCTCCAATATTCGGCGAAGTGCATTGCCGAAAACTGAAGCAAAACACATCTCAGAAGGAGAAAACAACAAGATTTAATCTGAGCCTCTTCCGAAACTAAATTATGCTCTAACTGGCTCATCAAGTCTTTGAACTGCAAGAGATAATGGTCCTGAGGAGAGATCAAAAGAAGATACCCAATTCTAATCATGTTGTGGCACTTGTTATCGATCTCGGATTCACTCCAGGCGGTAAAGGGATTGATATTGGGACCCAGAGCATTTGCCTTGGCACTTGTTGACGTGATCAGCTCATTCACTAACTTCTCCTTGTTATCGGGATAGCTAGACCACTCGTATATGATTTTGTTCCACATAGCACTGTCTTCCAATGAGCTGAATTTCTTGTCGCTCGAGAAAACGTCATTGATCAGGGTTTTCAAGGCCTTCGACTTGCCTCCGATCTGCGAAATTGTGAGCAGAAGCTTCAGGACGTGGGGCGGGGAAGATTGGTTCTGCCTCTTGATGCTGGAGAAAATGTCAGACTGAGCTACTGTAGCTATGGCGGCACTGCATTTGTCTCCAGCAGGAAAATCAATGACAATAAATCTTAGTCTTGAAAACACGTAGTCAAGGTCGCAGTACGTCGAGATATCTGAGGTATTGATATCGTCATTGAGCGCACTTGGAAGATATCTGGTGAAAATATCAGAAAGTTCTCTCTTCACTTTTTTGTCCTCACCAAATCTAGAGTTGTGAGTTTTTTCGCAAACAAGCGCTATTGTCTTCAAAAGTAAAGAAGAGATCTTCTTGTAATGCTGAGAATAACTCGACACGTCCTTCATGAACAATACGAAATCATCGTACAAGTCTTCCACCGCGGCATTCTCCAAAGTGGCAAGATATTCGAGAATGAAATTGAGTATCGACCTTGCATTGAGCTGATTTATCAAAAGAGGACTAGACGTAGCTCTCGAAGAAGTGGTGTTCGAGAACTTAACCGTGGATAGCCTGTTACAGCGATAAACAATGCCTTGAAACAAGTGTGGCAAGGTCAAAGCCGGCTTATTTCCATCAAGGGCGTGTATCAGCGTCAAACTAACGTTGTTAGGATGCTCTGATATGAACTCTTCAAGCACTTCCAGAGGCTCGAGAGCGAATATCGCTGCGAGGAGATTCTTGGATTGCGATTTATACTTGTAGGCCTGATGATGTAAAGAATCTTCAAACATGTAAATCCCAACTACGTCATTTTCGTTTTCTTTGGATTTCGAATACTGGTGCGACCAAGTCCACACCGGTAGACAACAGGAAACTACAAGCTTAAACGACTGTATGATGATCTCACGCTCGTGTTTGATTTTAGATTCATCACCAGTTTCATTCGAAAAGACGTTTGCTACCATGCTTTGAAGGAACTCATTTCTTGTAGGACCATTATGGGATGCACCCCCGCTTTCTTCTGCCGCTAGATAGCTGTGTGAGACCTCCATTAGTTCTTTGAGACCGCTCATTAGGTAGGCTATCGATTGGTATCGCATGCTTCTTTCCGCGTCATTACTGAACAGGTGCTTGATCCTTTCTGTGATTGATGTCGTCAAGGGCAAAATAATGGAAAAAATGGAGTCCTGGAAGTACACCAGACTTTCCGAAAGAAGGTTGACGTAAGAGTGTATTATGAGAGGACTTCTCATACTCAATACTCCAGTCACCAAAAAATCGATGTACCGCAAGTGGGAGTTGTCGTCATTGAAAATTCCCAACTCGATATGCTCTTCATGCGAAAGCCTCAACACTTTGGAAATTAGGTGAAGTAAAGACACAGATATCAGTTCTGACTCCTGAGTTCCAACCCCGAACTGCTTGTTTGTTAGCTCGAGAAGAAAGACAACGATATGTTGGAAATTGTGCTCGGTACCATCAAGTAAAATGTCAAGCAAGAGTAAAACTGTGCGAACGCTCTTACCCGTGTGATTCTCCTTGGCGCTTAGAAATTTAATAATTATTGCGATAACAAGATTCTTGTAGTTTGATATGTCGTCACCTTTCCACGTCTCGGTGGATTGAACAGAAGTTCGCTCTGATTTGAATGATTTCTGCACAACAGGTTTGTCGACAATAAGGACATTGATGAGAATTTGGCAATAGTAAACAAACGAGTCAATGTCATCCAACTCGCCGAGAGTGTCTTTGTAAATCAATTCATTGTTGAGAAGATTTTCACATAAAATGTGATACAGTTTGTTGGCAGAACCTTGTTTAACGACTCCGGAAATCCATCTGGAGGTGCTCAGATAGTTTGGATCCTGATCATCAAAAAGCTCGTCAAGAACCAATTCAAGCGGCCTGCGGAGAATAGATGTGCTATCTTCCGAATTGATCCAAATAGCATCTAGCGCACATATCTTTAGATTGATGTCTTTCTCTTCAACGAAGGCGAACGATAGTGCACTCTCAACATATTTGGATCCCAAGGAAACTGCTAGTTGGTCCAAGCACTTGACCGATTCAATCTGGGCCTCAGAAGTGACCAAGAATGGCCAAAGGTTGGCGACTAATATTTTGGAGAGTTTCGCAGTTTCCACGACACGCAGTCTGGGTGCGAGATATCCTCTACAAAGATTTACCCACCCAAAAACAGTGTCGTTGATTCCGGAATCTGGGCTAGCGTCCACCTTAAGCAAGGTGTCCGTTAGCGGTCTCGATAGATCGATTTGTATAGAGTTGTTATTCTCTGGCAAAGGTGAAGACTCTGTTTTCTGAGGAATCTTATTATCAAGCTGCAGAAACAACTCAACAGCTTTACTAAATCGACAGCCTCTTTTTGAAAAGTATATCAAGCATTCTCTCATTTTAATGACAATCAGTAAAGTTAAATCTTCCCCAGAGTATGGAGGTGTGATATCAGATGAATCCTCCATGCTTGGTGCTTTTGTTGCATTCAAGAAAGATGAGTAGTAATCTGTGATAGCTCCATATTCGTCAATATCTGAATAGGTCGATGCTTTCGATAGTTCTGAGTGTTCGACAGGCAGATACGCTCTTTCCGGTATGACGGATACGAGGAGCTCACAAATTGTCCCAAAATCATCCTCAGGGTAGCTTGAATGTTTGGAGAGAATGGCTAGTAAAATTAGCGGCAAATGACGCACAACAATCTCCTCATCATGGCCAACCCTAAACCGTGATAACACGAAGATCAAAAGATCTAGATTATTGTTTTCTACAGTGGCCTGAAAGAGGTGACTGCATATTATATGCGTTTCGACCGAGTCAAAAAACTCAGATGCATTTTTCATGATTGCATCGTTGTCCTGATGATGAAATGCTGCATTCATCAGCGGTATGAAAATCTTTGGTATGATGTGCGATGCAATCTCCCAGCGGTCCATGATAGCAAGGCAGATTTTGTAGGCGTCTGGTATTTGCTGTTCTTGCTTTATCATTTCAGCTAGCCCAGAGTGAAGGCTCGCTTCCCCATAACGTGGGAAATAGTCATCCAAAGACCTTGGTTGGGAATTGTTGGCAGCAGTTGATGTCGGTCCAAGCAACCAGCTCCATATTCTTCTACTTATTGACATGTCTCGACTGAGCATGGTTTTGCAGCAGCTTATCATTAGCAAGATTTTATCTGATTCTGCAGCCAAATGCTGCAGTATAGGGGAGTTGAGATTGATGCGTTGTAGAAGCAAGTCTAGAATGCCTCGTTTGATGAGAAGCTCGCTGTCTTCAGCCAGACAGCTCACCAAACACCGGATAAGCAGACCAGGTTCAGGATGCACCACATCTTTTGCCGCCGGCAGCAGGAGTCTGAGTGCCGATTCTCGTTTGCTCTTTACATCGTCCTGCTTCTTTATCAATTCGTCGGGTGGCGACGACTCTTGTTCATTTTGCTCGCGAATTTTGTGAGGAATAGCATTAAAGGACGGCAGCGCTTTTGTGAGCCACGCAAGGCCACCTGGCCTTCTTTCTTTGTTGTTTATCATAATCATGAAACAACTTTGCCAAAATAAGGGCTCGTCAGCTGCATTTTCTCGGAGTGTTTCGATCAAAGCCAACGTGGCGGGTTGAGATTCACTACTTTCATCGTCGATATCAGGAAATAAACTGGCCAGAAGCGGCTTAAGCACCAATCGAAGTGTAGAGGCCGGCATTTGAACCAAAAACTTTTCATACAGCTCAAGCAATGGACCTTTAACAGATATAGACGCATACGACATCAAAGGTAAAATCCCCGGAATCCATATATTGCACTCTTTGCTCAATGTATCTATTCCGATTTTGTCGAAAATGATGCTGTAGACTTCAATTGTCTTCAAATGAACCCCTGATGGTAAGTTTGGCGATAGTGATGATGCCAAGCGCCTGCTAACCTGGTAGGGGAATGGCACATAGTAACGCACGTTCTGGAACTGAGGTGCCCAGCTCTGCAGTGCTTTCAGCAATTTACCCAAGCTTGCGATATAATCTGCCCATTCTGTAACGGAATCAAAGTGTTGTAAGGCGCGTTCGATGCTGGTGTGAAACTTTTTCTGTTTGGCATCCAATTGTCGAGTACTAAAGTCAATTGAGATAGGCTTGATAGACACTGACATTGCGTTATTACAGAGCCCAAACTAGCATGTACTGCACGCCTTTGAAAGTACAATCAGCTAGTATTTCAAGAGCCGTAGAGGAAGGAGTATAACGGGTATTTGAGCTTGAATTGGGTACTGTTCTTCCTTGAAGAGGGTGTGAAGAAGAGTGTCAGTTCATTATGGATATTAGTAGATTGACGGGTATAATTGAAATTTGAAAATCGAAGACGACAAATAAGGCGTATAAGATGATTAATTTAGAAAGAAGAAAAAGTTTACATAATCAGATTTTTCGATTTGAACAAAGCACGTGATTTAGCGCAATCTAGTTACATAATCAGAAACACACGTGACAAAATTTGGTGATTGATGCCACGTGATCTTAAAAGTTGGAAAGGCATCTTTGCCTTCCATCCTCATGAGCTCGTCCTCCAGAGGCCATTAGTCTTGCATCTTTTCTCTGTGTCTGGTTTCACTTTCACGCCTAATTACCTAAGTTCAGCGACGCACGTAGAAAACTCACCACGTCGTCAATCTCTTGCGGGCATGTGCTATGTGGCATGCCTGGATAGACCTTCATGGTGTAGCGCGTTAGTCCACCGGGTCCCGTATAGAACTTTTGAGCTCGCTGTCCCATTTCCAATGATATGACCGGATCTGCGGACCCATGTCCGTGGAAAACAGGTGTGTCTTTGTTGATTGGTTGCTTCAATTCCAACAGCTTGTCATTAATCATGGAGAAGCCCGAAAGTGCAACAACCCCGCCGATCTTGACGGGAAGCGACATCGCACTTGCTAGCGCCAGCGAAGCACCCTGCGAAAATCCACCCACCACGATATTTTCGGCTGCAATTCCATTTTCCACCTGTTCGTCTATCAATTTACGCACTGTATCCAAGGACTTTAAAAATCCATCCACATCAGGCCTTGACTGAACTTCTTCCCATTCACGGATATCGAACCATGCAGGCATAGGGTAGTTCCCATTAGCAGTGATATTTAGTACCGGTGCGTTGGGGAAAACAAAGTTGGTGTGTTTGAAAAGAGCATCTCTCTGTAAGAATTCAGCAAAGAACGACCATCCAGAACCAGAATCGCCCAAACCATGCAGAAAAATTATGGCTTGTTTGGCAGGTTGAGCCCGAGCAGCAACTCGAATAGCACTTATGCTGGACATAGCTGCCTCTTATTAGTGCTTGTTTCTTAAGTTGAGATGTTAACAGAATACTATTCCAGACGTTTAATTCATCAATTCGAATTGAACAACCTTGATCAAATATCATCTTCAAATGTCAAAACAGCATGGAAAGACCCGATTTACCACCAAAAGGGGCTCCAAAGAGTGCGAGCAGCACAAGTAGAGATGATTGTGAATTGCCTGAAAACATAAACCTGCTCCCTGCCAAGGTGATCGCACAGTTAGCATCTGAAGATCGAGAACACTTGAAGGACTATGTGATGCGTTTCGAAGACTGCAAAGACGTCGAAAATGGCAGTTCGGAGCTGGTAAAAAGATTAAAGTTGTTGATGAAGGGGTTTCGCAGCACCGAGGAACGTCGTGAGCGTTTGAAACAAAGCTTGAGTGAGACCAAAGAGCTGGAAAAGGACTATGAGACCAATTGGACCAAATTGAATAACTTGATGGCCACAACGTATAGTGATGAGGCCTTGGGTTTGAAAATGAAGAAAGAGCTGGAAGACCTTGATCACCGCGCTGCGGCGTTGGAATCGAACCGGGGCCTGGATATCGATGATTTCATCGCTCAATATTTGGAAATCAGACAGCAGCACCATGCCAAACGGGAAATGCTATGTTCTTGGCAAAAAAGCCGCTAGGTGGTCTGGTTGACAATGGAGTTTTCCAATCACCGCTTGTTGAAAGCGTTCCATATGCAAACTTCACCGTCCCATGCCGTAGACGCAATGTAGCCGGGCTGGCCCCACAGACTCCAATCGGCTCCAAATACAAATTCACTGTGATGTGGAAACACAAACCGACAGCCCTTGGCTGGTTCCACGCTGTTGGTTTTGCCCGTTGGTCTGCGGCCATCCGTGCTGAGATCCTGCCAAACTTTGCAGGTCATGTCGTAGGACGTCGACAAAAACATATCGGAATGATGTGGAGACCAAGACACTTTTCTAACGGCCAGATCGTGTCCACCGACTTCATTAACGCTCATTGGCTGTCGCGAATGGATGCTCATCTTGCGTACCATGCGAAGATCCCAAATTTTTATCATATTGTCAACACCGCCCGTGGCTACAATAGATGGCCTGTATTTGTTGAAGTCGCATGTCAACGTTTCCATCCCATTGTGTGCCAAGAAGCTGTACTGATTCGAGACAGGTGGTTGGCGTAGATCGAAAAGCGTCACGTACGAGTTACCGGAACACGACATAACCGTATTGGGATCGTGCGGTGAGAATTGCGCCTGGTATATACATTCCTTGTTTTTAGAAATCGAGCTGTGTTGTCTCTGGTTTGAAATGGGCACATCTTGATGCGCCAAGACGGAATTAGCTCTCTTCATAGGTTTAGGGACCAAAGTCGCCATACTATTATTTCTTGTAGGGGTCCATATCTTGATCGTACCGTCCCAAGAACTACTCACGAACACGTCCTTGTTGATCAAGTTCCAATTACAGCTCAAAACCTCCTTTTCGTGCTCTTGAAATATAGCGATCGGATAGTCCTTCAAAGTAATATCGAAAAGTCTCAGCGATCCGTCTCCTTGAGCTGCTAGTACTTGGTTTTCATGAAGCTCATTCCAAGCAACATCAAAAAGTCCATCCTGGGTCAAATATGTCCCGCTTTCAAGCATTCTCCCTTGACTATCAATATCTAAGATATACAGTTTACCGTTACCAACAAGTCCGAAATTGGAACCAGAAGCTACAGCTAGCTTGTTGTCGTAAAAAGGTGAGTATTGAACTCCATATCCACTAAACCCTTGCATATGATATCGCAACATTGTAAGTATACAACACTTCTCTGGGTCTTTTTCTTATTGTTAGCCGTTAGGCATGGATGTATAAGATCGTAGGTATATACTACTATTCATAAATACATCTAACAGCAGAGAAAGTGAACTAAAACAGGTAGTTAAGATATATAGGAGGATATAACATCCTTATTTAACGTGGTGGATCGGATTGAAGCGATTCATATGCATTTAACGAAAGAGGGTTGTCGAAGGAGTCAGAGTTTCTGTCAATCGGCGAAAAACAATTGAAGAAAATGTCATCATTGCGATTCGTCAGCCCGAGGAGGAGCAGGGTGGGCTTGTGAATCGTCATGCTGGTCGTGAGATTGCTCGTGAGATTGTTCGTGAGATTGCTCGTGAGATTGCTCGTGAGATTGCTCGTGAGATTGCTCGTGAGATTGCTCGTGAGATTGCTCGTGAGATTGGGATTCTGGATTGGGCATCTCGCCATTGAAGTTCACGGTGGACACACCGTCTGCGGTTCTTCGACTAGCCACACCAGTACTAAACATAGGATCAGGATCAGTTCTCCGATGATTGAAGTTGCTGAAGTTTCGAGCAAGTCCCAAAAGACTGTTCAAGTTGAAGCCCCGACGACGCTCGGGACTTTGGTTCCTGCTGGTGTTATTCCCGCTCAGTGATTGTGCATTGTCTTGCCCCGCTTCATTTCGGTCTTCAAGGGTATCGTTATTAGCGTTGGAGGCAGAAGCGCCAAAGGAGTTTCCTTGTGATTCATTCGATGTAGCCGCAGAGTCGCTGTTATTCAAATTGAAAATATGGTTTAGTGAGGCGATGAAACTATTCGTTTCTGGGGAAGTGTCTGTGGTAATTGGAGGGACGCCCTGAGCTGCGTTTTCCGGAGGAGCAGTCCGTGAAGCCGTAGTGTCTACAGAGTCACCTGTACTGGGGCGTTCCTCTCCTTCTTCACTCTGTTGCACCGGAGATCTCCCACGGAGGTGAATGAAGGTGATGGGCATCAATCCTATACCGCTTGGCCTTGCACCGTTGAGAATCAAAGGCGGGGTCTGACCGGCAGTCGCTGGTGCAGAAGTGCTATTTGGAATTGGGGGTAATTGCGGCGAGCCGCGGTTGGTGCCTGTGTCATTAGCAGCGGGACTGCGATTGGGCCTGAATACGATGAAATTAGCCAGACTGCTTAAAGGGTCTGCTCTCGAAGCAGGTCCTGTACCAGAGTCGTCTGTTGCCGACAAAGGACTTTGTGCTGGGGCTGCTGGGTTACGTCCTGATGGACCGGTTTCTCCTGACCCCGTGGCCATTGGACCATACAAAAGCAGTCTAATCCTTTCAAGGGTCTGTTGGTCCAGAAAGCTATCTTGGTCCTCATTTGCCGGAGGGCTGTTAAGGCCCGAAGCATCCACAATAGATCTGCGGCAAACCGGGCATGTGTTGTGCTCCTGAGTCCATTCTCTTATACAGTCCCGTCCAAAGATATGACGGCAAGGAAGCTCAACGGGAGAGTGCTTGTACTTGGTGGATGCTACGTTCTTAGCACCTGAATCCGAGACATCCGAGTTCTGCGCAGGATCTTGTTGATGGTCGCGCTGTATAAAAGAAGATTCTGACGATGCTTCTTGAGGCGTTCTTTGTCGTTTTGTGGCATCGGGCTCATTACCTCCTTCTGAGTCTAAGCCTCTCTTTTTATTTTCCATACGCTGCTCTTCCAACGACGTTTCCTCCTCAAAAGCATCATAGCAGATACTGCATGTTTCCTGTGGTGCCTTATCCAAGCCTAAAACTGGCAACTTTTCGAAAGCCTCTTTTGAAATACCCTTGGGACGATTGAATCTAGTATGCAACCGATTGATAGCTAGAGTAGAGGCTAGTCCTACTACCTGCTCCAACCGCTCTTGTGTAGCAGATGGCGGAACGTCCGTAAAATTCAGCACAAACGGAACTCTGCTAACTGTGTCATCATTGTCATCACCAGCGTTCGGTCTGCCTCCGTTCAAAACGGCATATTGGATTGTGACTGTAACATTTCTTGTTTGACGGCCGTTCGAACTCGAACTAGAAGGTGGATCACTGGGTGCCGTCGAACCTGGATCAGATCTCTGTGATTCTTCATTGTCTCCTGCCTCCATTCTTGTCTCAGACTTTGCAGATTTTGTAGCAGTTGAAGCGCTCAAGTGTGAGAATAGATTGTTGGTACCAACACGTATTGCGCGGAGTATAGTGCGTAATCCTTTGGCAAGCCTGACTAACGTCACTTCTTCAAAGAGGTTTTAGGTTAAAGGGATCACAAATAATGCTAAAAACCTGGCTTTTTTTCCGGAAATCTCTACAGTGAAGCTTTCGGGAAGCTCCTGGCTAATGATATGCCAGCGCGGTATTCTTGATCCGTATTGCTGGCCGTGGATCAATTGATATCTTAAAGTTGATGTGCTGTGGCAGGTCAGGATGCTAGCATATCTATTATTTGTCAACTGCGATCACGTTTAACGGATACCAGTGACCACGTGACTACTAAGATACTGGACCGAAGACCTGTGTTAGAGTATTCTCTCTCTCTCTCTCTCTCTCTCTAGCTCGAGTTGCGATTCTTGATGTGAACATTTTGGCCATAATTGGACAATGTGGATTGAATTATTGGGCTTTTATTTGTCCCTGAGTTCCCTCTCAAAAGTCTACTCTTCGTTTGCTTCATTGAAGTGTCAGTAGAAAGTAGTCATCGCACTCCGATGACAGAATGACAACCCAAGAATTTGGAACATCAGTTTGAACTTAAACAGTGCTTGTGGCTCGCTGGATATGCGGGGACGAGTTTTCAAAATTACCCTTGGCGGATCATAGCTGGGAAGGCAAGACCGAAAAATGTCTGGATCTGTTACTTCGCCAGCTTGAATGTTCCATTGGCGTTACTGACTAATTTCCCTTCATCGACTAAGATGGTCAGAAAAACCTGCAATTGGGATACTGTCGCCGCATATCCGATTTCTTTTGGCACAGCCATGTTAAGAAAAGCGTGGATTTTTCCCGGCTTCATGTTCCCCAGGTTGGTTAGCATGCCTTTGATGAAGGGCCAGACCTTTTCCATTGAATCAGCAATATCTTTTTGCTCTGAGTTCACAGGACCGTCGAATTCACTAGTTTTCGCGGTCGCGATACTATCAATATCGCCTGTGCCAGATAAGGCTTTGGGATTCCGATTCTCCAAATCTTCCACTGGCTTGTATACGCCAAACGCTTCGTCATAATAAAGGACAGAAGCGCTGCGCCAGAAGAGAAGTGCCTGAATAACCTCGGTTTCGTTAGCTCCCGTTCGTTCGGCTATTTGCATTTGCGTTAAACCCATTGATTCCTCATGACCAGAGAAACACGACAGGATGACAGCCCTCTTCAGTGGAACATCAAACTTCAATTTACGTTTATCCGCAAATGTAAGACATACCTCTACGATAGTCTGATCCTGATGTACCTTTAGTTTTCGACCCTTCTTGACCTGCGAGTAAGCTTCCCTGTATCTCTCAAAGTCCTGCTCGAGATTCAGTGGAAGCTTGAGGTTTTTAGATGGCATGCAAAGCTCTTGAGAAGTACCCCAAAACAAATAGGATACGATTTTGGGGAAGATCGCAGGATTAAGGCTGGCCCAGGAATGCAAGTCAGAGCACAGCGTTTCACTTTGCCTGATATCGCGCAACATGACATCTATGTTATTGACGCTGGAGACATCTTGACCACCAGGAAGTTTTTTGAAGTCGAATTTCTGCTTTAATACTTTCAAACTTTTCACCCAGTTTTGTTCCAATCTGTAGCCCTTTAGGTCTAGTAGTTTTCTGGTGAAAAGAGTGACAAACGCAGTTATTATAACGTCTCTAGATTCAAATAGGTCTACCACGATGTCGAACAGACTTTTGCTCATCAAAGCGTCGTCATTGCTCGCTTGTATCGAGTCCAAAGGCTCAGGCACCCAGCGAAGGTAGTAATTGAAAACCTGTTGACAGACAGGTTCGTATGAGTTCAAAACAGGCGATCTCTCTGGTAGCGATTGGATCCCGGTATCCAAAGTTGATGTCATTATAGGCTTATGCGAGTCCATGAGCTCTGCTGCAAGCTGTGCTGCGATCTCTGTATGTTCCGAACCCTGACTTCCTCCTTTGACTTCCGAAGCGCCTAGTCCAAGCAGAGCGTAAAGGAAAGTAACAACTGTATCCCGTCGTTCACTGAGGAAGGGCCTAACAAAATCTGTCAATAATCGAAAATATCGAAAGGACACATCCACAGTAAGAATGCTTTTGATGGCTTTAACATACGATAGCACAATTTCTGCGGTTGTAACGCTAGGCTTTAACATCCTGGTTTCGAAACGGCACAAGAGCTCGGTGATGAGCTCTGTGTATTTCGAAGGTGTCTTTAAAACGCTTCGAAGCTCGAGTAATGTTGGTTTCGATACCGGATAGTTTGTAACAAAAATCTCAAACACTTGTTGAGTTCGTATGCGAATGAATTCGTGTTCAAAACACATATAGATCTCTCGAGTAATTTCATGATCATCTTCTGCACAATGCAACATTTCGCTCAATGGGCCCCAATACTGGCCTATAAAGGAGTTAAATGTTTCCACGATAACAAATCGTTTTGTCCACACAGTACCCATCTGTGTTGCGGCGTACACCTGGACTTTCGCTAGGATGCCTTCGACCAGCAAATTCGTGAGGGACCTGCCCTCTGCCTGACAAAGCCATTCATAGACCTTGTAAGCCATTTCAAAATCGTCTTCGAGCAAGAGTTGCTTAAGTCGTAGCATGACATTGCGTTTGAAAACGGGGTGACTGAAAATCAGGTAGCCACGAAGACCATTCACCTCCTCCAGCCATTCATTTGCAAGAAAAACAGGAATAAAATTGAGGGGGAACTCGTAGTATCTTTCTAATTTCTGCACGTCCTTGAAGTTGAGCAATGCCTCAAAGTTGGCGAAAAAGTGTCTACGGGTTTGATAAATCACAAATTGCCGCAGCAATTCGAACAATGTGTCGTCCAAATCTTTCAAACTGAACAAAGTTTTTATAGCGCTCTTAACCCTTAAGATCGGCGGTCTTAGCTGATGATTACTGGTCGGATCGTTTGGATTGATCCACGTTAGTACACCATCAAGGTCGTCCCCAAAAGTTGCATCATGATTGCCCAAAGCAATATGTAGTTTTGTGATCAGTCTATTTCCCTCTTCAGACTCATTCATCGATCTTAAAACCCTGGCTTAGGTCCTTCTCCATCTCATCTTGGTCAGAAGTTACAAATAATGTCACTAGGTCAATTGTACAAATTAATAACATTGACGATGCGATGAGCTCACTTTAGGGCGATTGGTAACAACCCGATGCTTTGAGAGAGTAGTCAAACTAACTGAAATGGTATGTGGCGATTGACAAGATTGCAATATAGTGTTTGTACAGAACTTGCGATTACTGACAGCTCTTGTTAGAGAGATGACGATGTTAATGAGTTTATCGCATTAACGAAATCCACGAGACAGACTGCTCGCCACTTCCTGGCAAACAATAATGGAGAATTGAGCTACGCTTTGAACAACTTTTACGATACTTACGAGAATGGATTTATTGAAGATATCAGACCTGTATCGCAGCAATTGGTCGAATTGTTCGAAAAGTACTGTGATGAGAAAAGTGACGCAGAAATAACCACGGACGGACTTGTACGTTTCGTAGGAGATCTGGGTTTTGAACTTGAAGATCTTGCGACTCTGTGTCTGGCACACGATTTGAACTGCAAAGGTTTGCAAGACCCAATTACCAGGGATCAATTCGTTGGAGGCTGGCACTCCATTTTCTGCGACACTTTTGAAGATATCAGAACTACGCTCATCGAACAGAGCGGCAGGCTACAGAGAAACCCAGAGTATCTAGAGACCATCTACAAGTATACTTATGGTTTGGTTCTCGAGCCAAACCAAAAGGCTCTTCAGCTCGAGTCAGCTCAAGAATACTGGAATCTGTTTTTCGGTCGCTCAACAGACGCCAAACTCGCCGTGCAGCCGTCAAACACTTTGCTAGAGCTCTGGCAAGGGTTTCTGAGCTCCCGGGGTCATATCAAGATCAGCCGTGACGTTTGGCAAATGTTTTTCAAGTTTATACAAAAATACTCTACCGTAGAGGCCCTTAAGAGCGAATACAACGAACTGGACGCGTGGCCTCTGCTTATAGATGAGTTTTATGAGCATCTTGAAGATCAGGGAACCTTATAAGCAACTCCTCATTGTCTTGCTTCGACAAGTTGTTCATCGTGGCTTTCAATTAGTTACCCGTAGCTTTTACTTCTTATTATCAAATAAATGTTAGCTTCAACAACATCGTTACAACTCCAAAAGTCAGCTGAAACAAGACTTTTAGGTTCCTCAGGCGCACTGCAAAGCTGGATAGACGCTAATCGGACGCTGCTTGACTGAGGATCAAATCGCATTTTGAGTCGAAGGTCCAAGAAATCTCGATTTTGAGACTTGTAAGACGAATTACATTTGACATCTGAACAAAATAGCCTACAGTTATTTAGGGTAGTGAAAGCCATGTCTTCTAATCCAACCTCAGGCTCTCCCGTGGCAGGCAGCGGTAACAACGCTCAGGGGCCTCCAACGCAGCAACTGACACCCGATTCGGTCCAGCATTTGGCATTACGATACCAGCAATATTTCAACGAAGCGCAAAGACTAGGGCCTACGACTCCTCAAGGCCAGGAGTTGTTGAGAAGAGCCTCCAGGATCAAGGCAATGTATGTTGCGTACAACACACAGAATCAACAGGCAGCCCAAGGTGCCGTCCAGGGTGCAGGTGTGCCATCTGGAAGCGCCGATAATGGCACTGCTTCACCAACAGCTTCGCAGGCTTCAAATGGGACTCCCACAAATAACTCGATGACACGCAATATTCAGAGCTTGCTGACCCCACAGCAAAACGAAGCTTACGGAAAACTTCTACAGACTTTCAACGAAAATGGTGAACAGATAAAGGGTGAATACGGATACTTGAAGAAGCAGATCGAAATCCTGGAAGACGAGATCAAAAAAAGACAAAACAATCCAGCCATGGTGAATCAGCTGGAGAGCAAAAAGTCTGAAATTCTTAACAAATTAACGGGATTCAGTGACTCTTACCGAGCATTGAACCAAAAACTTCGTGAGGACAAGAAAAACTTCTATATTGAATGTGCTGCCACGAATCCACACCTCAAGCGCTTTTTGCAGGCGTCGACTCAACAGCAACGGGCCAATGCCGCCAATATGTCAAACGGCAACTCACCCTTACCTTCAGGTAATGCTACTGTAAACGCAAGTAGTCCAGGCCGGCAGCAACCCGTTGTACAACAAACACAGGCCCAACAAGAGGTTAAGGACACTCCGGCACAACAGAAATCCAACGCGAACAGCAGGTCCCCCACGCATGTGACGTCCGTAAATGCTGCAGCGCACTTGGCTAACACGGCTAGTCCCGCTAGTAGACAGGCCATCTTCAAGCAACCAAATCCCTCGGTCCCGATCTCCGAAAATGTTGCACAGAAAACGCACACTCCCGTAGTGCATCGTTCTAACCGTCCTACTATCACTGGTGGTAGTGCCATGAATGCTGCTGCTCTAAACGCTCCTGTGATGACCAAATTGCCTCCGTACGAGGTCGACAACGAAAGAGTTATGTCCAAGAGGAAGCTGCGTGAGCTCGTCAAGTCGGTCGGAATTGATGAAGGTGATGGTGAGACCACAATTGACGGAGATGTGGAGGAACTTTTACTTGATTTAGCCGATGATTTCATTACGAACGTGACAAGCTTTGCCTGTCGTCTGGCCAAACACAGAAAATCCGACAACTTAGATGTTCGTGACATACAGCTGCATTTGGAAAGAAACTGGAACATTCGCGTTCCTGGCTATGCAGCTGACGAGGTCAGGAGCACGAGGAAGTGGAATCCCACAACCAGCTACAATCAAAAAATTCAGGGTATTAACAATGCAAAGGCTGCAAAGACGGCCAATGCAGCTCAGGCCATGGCAGCCCAAAGTGTTAGTGGAAATTCGGGGACTAAGCCACAATCGCTCTCATAAACTTTATGGTCTTAATACTGGAGACTGCTGGGAGAATTTGGTGCAGACAGACCAATGTGCTGTTAGGATAGCTGAGGATGACTGGCGAGCACCGGTACCATTTCTGTACTCGAGAAGACGACTTAATGTACTCGGAACCAATGCTGGGACGAAATAAACAGCATCATCCAACACGGCTCATCGGCAATCATCAAAAAATTTTAAGACGGAGGTATCCAAAACTACACGCTAAACGTCGAGGCTACCCAACAAACGTAGTTGATACCGGGCTTTTGAATAAGCATGGTCAAGTCATATCAAAGGTTCGAGCAAGAAAGTGTGCTCGGTGTCATTACTAGCAGCACAAATTGTTTATGGATCCCTCCGCAAACGAGAAATGGGTCGGGCCAAGTTTTGACCGGGGCTCTTGAAAATATTAACTGCTGGTCCATGAAGTCCGGAGAGCTATTGGGAACTCTAAGTGACGGGCTTCCGCCTGGTGCTGTGGATGGAAAAACTACCAGGCCTGCCGAATCCTCGTTTCTGCAATATCAACCAGAAACGAATCTTTTGGCAGTGGGTTACGCCGATGGTGTGATTAAAGTGTGGGACCTGCTATCGAAATCTGTGCTGATCAGTTTCAATGGACACAAATCTGCTGTCACAACTATGAAATTCGATAATACTGGTACCAGACTGATTTCCGGATCCAAGGACTCAGATATCGTAGTATGGGATCTGGTAGGCGAAGTTGGTTTGTTCAAATTGCGTTCGCACAAAGACTCTGTAACAGGGCTGTGGTGTCAAGGTGAAGAATGGTTGGTCAGCACATCGAAAGATGGACTTATCAAGGTATGGGACATGAAAACGCGGCAATGTGTTGAAACGCACATGGCCCACGTTGGAGAATGCTGGAGCTTGGGCGTCCATGCCGATTTGGCAATCACTGCAGGCGCCGACAATCAGCTTAAGCTCTGGGAACTGGATTTCGATGCGAAGCCAGGCAGTATTCTAACGGAGAAGGGTACACATGAAAAGCAGAGCAAGCAAAGGGGTGTGAATATCGAGTTTCTCAGCGTCAACGAGAACTCTGTTTTTTTTGTAGTACAAAATGCTGATAGAACTGCTGAAATTTTTAGACTCAGGACGTCTGAAGAAATTGCAAAGGCACTCAAGAAAAGAGAGAAAAGACTCACGGAAAAAGGTTTGAATGAATCAGAAATAAAGCAAAATCTGAAAGACTCTTACAGCTCGTTCGTGATGCACCCATTTCAAATCTTAAGATCAGCTTTCAGAATAAAGGCAGTGTGCTGGGGCGCTGCAACAAGCTCCAAATTGGAGCTTGTTGTTACCACAGCTAACAACAACATTGACTATTACTCCATTCCTTACCAAAAACGTGAGGCAACTACACCATCTCCGGCGAAGCTGTATTCAATCGACATCAAAGGTCACCGCACTGATGTTCGCGCGGTGGATATTAGTGACGATGGAAAACTGCTAGCTTCCGCATCGAACGGCCTTTTGAAGATCTGGAACATGAAAACCGAGAGTTGCATCAGAACTTTTGAATGTGGCTATGCCTTAACCTGCAAATTTCTTCCAGGAGGAGCCCTTGTAATTTTGGGGACGAAGACAGGTGAACTGCAACTCTTCGACTTAGCCTCTTCAACGTTGCTGAGCACAGAGGCTGCTCATACTGATGCTATCTGGTCTTTAGACATTACCAGCGACGGAAGAAGACTTGTCACAGCATCTGCCGACAAAACGGTTCGATTTTGGGAGTTTCAGGCGGAGCAAGAGCGTATTCCAGACTCTGCCAACAAGGTTGTTACTAAGTTGAAGCTTTTCCACGATACTACGTTAGAACTTAACGACGACGTGTTAGCTGTAAAGATTTCACCAGACGACAAGTTTTTTGCCGTGTCATTGCTTGACAACACAGTGAAGGTGTTTTTCTTGGACTCCAAAAAATTCTTTTTGAGTCTGTATGGACACAAACTTCCAGTTTTATCGATTGACATATCATATGACTCGAAGCTTCTGATTACTTCTTCTGCCGATAAAAACATCAAGATCTGGGGTCTAGATTTTGGTGACTGTCACAAATCTTTATTTGCTCACAATGATTCCATTATGAAAGTATGTTTCGTGCCTGAGTCCCACAACTTTTTCAGCTGCAGCAAGGACACATTGGTGAAATACTGGGACGGTGATAAATTTGAGTGCATTCAAAAACTTGCCGCGCATCAAAAGGAGGTCTGGGCATTAGCGGTCTCCTCTGACGCCAGAACTGTAGTTTCTGCTTCTCATGACCAAAGCATACGTGTTTGGTCCGAAACTGACGATCAGGTGTTTCTGGAAGAAGAAAGAGAACGTGAATCTGAGGAAACGTACGAGGAAACTTTATTGACTTCACTGGAAGATGGCAATGGTGACGACATGTTTCAAAAAGCTCAAGGCGAAAGCGAAGAAGGAATAGATAACGCGACTGAGGTTCACAAACAGACCACCGAATCATTAAAGGCAAGCGAAAGGTTGGTGGATGCGTTGGATCTCGGCATGGCAGAGATCAGAACCTTGGCAGAATACGAAAAGGCTGTCAAAACCTGGGAAAAGAAAAAGTCAGGACCACCACCCGGAATTCCACAACCCAACAGCATACTACTAGCCGTTCAAAAAACCCCACTGGAGTACATTATGGACGTGCTTATAAGAATCAAGCCCTCTCAGCTAGAGGATGCTTTACTTGTGCTCCCATTTTCATATGTCTTCGACATGCTCCAATACATATACCTGGTTGTTGAGGACAAGAGTATCATGACAAGACGTTTGCCGCTAGTTTGTCGTATTCTTTTCTTCCTCATACGATCAAATCACCGTGAGCTTTTTTCACAGAAGAACGAGGAACTGAAAGTGCAGGTTGGTAAAATCAGATCTTCTCTGCGGAATTCCATTCAAAACAAAGCCGATGATTTGGGTTTCAACCTTCAAGGTTTAAAGTTTGTCAAGAACCAGTGGAATATGAAGCATAATTTTGACTTCACAGACGACGTCACCAAGACTGGCGGAGACAAGAGGGTCAAAAAGAGAGTTTTTGAAACTTTAGTATAGATATAATCAAGTATTTGCATTAGTGGGATGAGATGGGTACAGTGTTTTCATTGACCAGGGTATTATATTTAATTAAAGTATCAACAAATATCTATTTGTTCCATTCCTATCGCTCGGACCAGTCACCTCTGTTCGAGTAAGTGGGCCTTAGAAGCCCATTTTCGATCATGTCTCGCTGAAGTTGCTCCTCCATCTGTAGAGCGATTGTTCCGTTGTTATGGCGAGTAATGGAATCCTTAACAGGGCTACTGGTGACACTAAATGTGCCATCTTTCCTAGGCCTACCTCGCCGCCTGGGCGATTTCTTTATGACAACATTGTTGAATTTTTTACCCCCCACACATATCATCCGGCATCTGTGAACAATGAGTGCGTCTTCACGTACAAATTTTTTACCACAAGGGCACGCAAAGGACTTTTCGGCATGAATCTTCTTGTGCCTTACCAGATCATGATTTCGTACAAATGCTTTGTCACAACCCTCGTAGTCACAAATGTAAGGCCTGTCTTCCAAATGTGTCTGTATATGTGAACGAATGTTGTAGCGTCTTCTGAAAGTCTTTCCACAACCGGGATAAAGACATTCGAAGCTTTTATCTGAAAGTTCTTGAACGTATCTGTCAATCTCACCAGGTGGCAAAGTGGTAGGTTTTTTTGTGATCTTCAGCGGACTGCAGTTGTGAGACAAATGGTCATGATCTGGATGAAATTCTCCTGCATCATCATATTGTCCACAATTATCCTCATAGTGCTGCTCATGGTCAAGATAAGGACTGGAATCCTCGAAACGGCCTTGCGATCTTAATATGGGCGAAGGTGTTTGGGCGTACTTGAACTCACTCTCTGGTCCTTCATCGCCGTCCTCGTCTTCGTGGTCTCTCTCATGCTCACTTGGCGGCCTCAGGTCCTCATTCAATGTTTTGAACACAGGTCTACTGGCTGGATACCTAGAGCTGGAATATGACACATTGCTGGGATCAATTGTAGCTTTCGTAGGAGTATGTTGAAAAACGTGTTTTTGAGGAAGGCCTGCGGAGCTGACGCTTCCAGGATGTTTTTTGTTCATTGGTGTGTTTTCGGAAGATCCAGGTATGGTTGGTAAAAGTTCTAATGGTGGTGGTCTATTCAATAGGTATTTTCTTTTGGGAACCTCGTTACCAGGTCGAATACCCAACCCAATCGAACCTCTGTTCGTCGAACCAGAGACATGATTATGGCGATCATCATCGTCGCATAACTGGGGAATAGTTGAGGCGCTAGACGAAATGGATTCTTTTGCTCGATGATGACTTGCTCGTGGTGAGGACGAAGTTGAGGACATCCCACCCACAAGTATTCTATTCTGTGGCGTTATTGGATTGGTATTTTCAAGACGCCCGCTCGCATTTGTTGCATTTTTGGCATTAACCTGTTCAAAATACTTGCTCATCCTCTGAACGGTCTCTACGGAGACCTTGGGGTTCAAATTTGTAGGACCAAAATAGTTTTCAGGACTAGAATAATCTTCTCCACTATCGCTAAAGTTGTTTAGCGTATTGAGATTTAGCGGTTGCGGATTATGCCGTGTGTCGCAGTTTTTCCTATTAGGCGAGCCGTTCATGGATGTACCTGAGACAGGCGATATGACACCATTTTTTGATGTGTTGACGATAGGTTTCTGCAGACGTTGCTGAGCTGGAAACTTGTATCCACCGGATTTGCTATTGCTTGTGACAATTATGTTTTTACCGTCTTCTCCAAGATGCGATGTTCTTGATGATGGGGTTTTGGCGGGAGAAACATTAACCGCTAGATGCTGTGCAGCGTACTCCTGCTCTTTCAATGCCATTTGTAGTTGCTGCTGTTGGCGTTGGCTGCTTCTGAGTTGTTCTTCCAATTGTGCATTCATTACTTGTTGCCTTTCGAGAGCCAGTCTCAGTTCTTCTTGCTGCTTCAAGATCAATGAATTCAAATTGTTGTTTTGAGCCTGATACTCCCTACCGGCAATGGCAGCGTCGTAAGAGGAATTCGGAGCCCGAGCTTGGCTTGTGCCATGGAGTGTGTTTTCGTCAAAATTGTTTTTCGTAAGGCTGAGTTGTTTGTTGTGGTTTGCAAAGCCAAAGATCGCGGTTCCACTGGGTCCACGTTTGTGAGACTTTTGCGGGGTTCCCAATGGCAGGTTTATGTCACGGTTCCAGCCCGTATCGCACCGCGCCGGAGAACTTAAATCAGCATGGCCATTTGTATTTGTATTCAACCTCTGCGGTATCATAGGAATATCGAGATCTTTCAACTCCTGCGTCAAAAAATCGTCGATGTCTTCGTAGCTGCTTGGGAAAAGGTTTGCCAGCTCTACATCTGGGATCTCTAGATTCAAAGGGTCGAAGTTTTTGGGCTCGAGTGTTTGCCCAAGGCCTAAATCCAGACCTGCTGATTCTGCATTGTCCAAATTGAGCAAGTCACTGTCGTTGTTGGACCCCAGCCATTGGTGACGACTTTGGTCTCTAGTTGATGTCATAGCTCAGAGACAATTGGGATGTATATTGTTGTTTTGACTTATCGATTGTATCGGAGTGTTAGCGATGTTTTATTATTGTTATTATTATTGGAATTTTCCACTATGCACAACACTTGAAGCTGTTGTCTTCTGAGTCAAAGTCTTGGCGCGATTTGGGACCGAGTCCGGCACTGCTCGTCGGTGCCCTAGGAAAAGCTGAGAATTTCCTCTTTTTGCCTGGGGAAAAGCGCAGTTTAACCAAAACAGAATGTTATGGGAAAAATCTTGTGCACTTTCAGAACGGGAAACAGATGCGTTACGTTCGCTGTCAAACTGCGCTCGTCAAAGAGAAGTGTTGATTTCAAGTGGAAGTTCAAGCTTTGGTTGAGTATTGAAGTGGAATTGGTGACTTCTCGAGCCAAGGTAAACATGTTGAGAGAGTTTCAAATAAGACAGAGATGAACTTGAATTAGCAGTATTGTAGAATTCAGTTCGTAATGGCCTCTGATGGACCTTTAACCCAATGCGGCAGTACTGTAAACAAACATACCGACCGAGATCCCAAAAGGGATCATGTGCCCGGAAAAATTAAAAGACTTTATTGCGACGCCGGAAAAATGTCATGCAGCTGAACGCAGATCCGGAAAAATTTGAAAAAGCTCTATTTTTTCATGCGCTCGAAGCATGCAATATGGAGTTCTATGCATATGGAGGGAGTGGGGGGGAGTGGAGGCTCGAGGAGCGCTAGGGGCCTGATGGGAAGGGAATCCACACGTTTGATCTCTGCTTGGTGACCTTGACGCCCGTGCATTGGAAGGAAAGATTCTCTAAAAGCTGAGGGTCTACTGGAATGGTCATAAGAGCCCGGTTGAGCTCTTCGGTTTGGTTCGTAGAAAGTTCGCTTTCAGGGAAAGGTGCAACACCACCGTTTTTGGTGCTGTTCGTTTGCACAAAGGCTTTGGAAATGGACATATGGGAGCGTTCGTGGCCCCACAATGGTTGTTGCACGCGAGAATTTGAACAATTTTTGAGGTCTTCGTCTGGATCGGTGCGTCGACAAAAATCCAGCGATTCATGAACCGCTTGCCACAGTTGGCGTAAGGGCCCGTTTTTCTGTTCATTTCTGACGCCCAATGCAAGAAACAAGGCGTCTTTCGCGGCATTTTCGTACACTTTTAAAAAGGGTTCGAAATCGACCTGGAACGGGCCTGGAATTCGCTGGAAAACCTCGATTCGCAACATTTGCTCGAATGCGTCCACTTCAGCCGCGGTGCCGAACTCGAGGTTCGCACTTAGCGAGACGTGCAGCGGCAGCGGCGATCCAAGATCGCTCATATGCAGCGGCTGGAAATACAGTCCTCCGCGTCGCTGCTGCAGTTGTGCAGCTATCTCGCAGGTTAGTTTATCAAGAATCCGACGTTGCTGCACTGTTGGACGCATTTCCAAAAACGCAAAACTAGTCCATTTGGCGGCCTGTGTCGTCGAGATTTTTGCAAGACTGTTCATCGGTTGTTGTTGTACTTGCAGTTCGTGTGATTGTGCTGTGAGTTTCTCAATGTTTGGCGAAACGTGAAACTTATCCAGCAATGCACTTGGTAACGCTGGCAGATCAACGGTATCGTCCGATTCTTTGTCTTTGCTTTCGTTGTCGCTAGGGTATTGATCTTTCAAAAACTCCATAACCTATTCAATAATAGGTCAAAAAATGCCAAAAAACCCTCTTTAAAAGCCCAAAAAAAACACCAACAAAACTTACTCAACTACTACTATTTAAATGTCTTTCCCAGCTTTGTTTCAAACGTTTACTTATACTTCTTTTCCCTGTCAAATCCATCGTGAACTATAAGTTAAATCTGTCTTTTTCTTTCACATGTCTGGAAAATCTGCCATTGCCAATTATTTAAACAGGCTGTCGAGAATACAACGATCATCAACAGCTACAATTTCCATAGAAAACTGGTCAATGAACACCCAATTGACTCGTTCTGAATAGTTTATAACGTCTCAATAGTTGGCTTTTAGAATTTTGTATAAATGCCCGACAAAAGCTCTCGGCCAAGACACTCGCGATCCGGTTCTCGATCCGGCTCGCACTCAGCAAGTGGTAGAAGATCATCTCTGCCGCGATTGAAGTCTTCACCAAGATTGGTGAGAACTATCAGTGCTGAGATTGATGCGGTGTCCCAGGACATCAACCACTTGAAATTGGAAAGCGATTCGTCGTCGCTGTCGCTAGAAGTGCCGTTTGTGAAGGGGACCCTTAACGCAAGTCTCCCACTCGAGTATTTACGCACAGATGTGTTGAACTTGGCACAGGCTTTGAAGGTCCCCAAATGGCATAATAGCAATAGCGGTAATAGTAGGAAGACAAATGTGATGACGCATCTGGTACCCAAGTCTGTTGTGCTCACCAAGATTACTGGTGCACTAACCAATGCGATTTTCCGTGTACAGTACCCGGGTCTACCATCGCTTTTGTTGCGGGTGTACGGACCACAGGTCGACAGCATCATCGACAGAGACTACGAACTGCAAGTGCTGGCACGCTTGTCGGCTCACAATATAGGTCCCAAACTGTACGGATGCTTCACCAACGGTCGTTTTGAGCAGTTTCTCGAGGACTCGAAGACTTTGACCAAAGACGACATCAGAAACTGGAAGACTGCACAAAGAATTGCACGTCGAATGAAAGAACTACACTCCGGGGTCCCCTTGTTGCCCTTTGAGATTGCCCGTGGACCGAGTACATGGCTTCGTCTCGAAAAATGGGTCAAAGTTATCAACGATTCGCCCTGGTCTCATGACGCTGGCAATATTCAGAAAGTTCTGACATGCCAAGATTGGCAGTTTTTCCTAATGGCCATGCAAAAATACAGAAAATGGCTGGAAGAAACTTACAAAGATACACACAGTGGTCTGGTTTTCTGCCACAATGATGCTCAGCACGGTAACCTACTATTCACAGCACCGGTTGCATCACTGCCTGCTACCCCTTCAGTTTCCGCCGATTCCATTAAAACTTCAGATTCGCTATTCCCAACAGCATCTAACGTTTCTTTGGAGCAGATCATTAGGCCTTCACCCCAAGAACAAAAGCAAGATTCCAAACTAGTGGTAATTGATTTCGAATACTCGGGAGCAAATAGACCGGCTTTTGATCTTGCTAACCATTTTAGCGAATGGATGTGTGATTACAATTCAGCCGATTCCTACAAATCTGACGAGACAAAATACCCAACCAAGGAAGAATTACTAAATTTCCTTTATTCATATGCTTCCCATCGTCGAACTTCCAGAGATCGTAGCATCGATGATGAAGTCAAAGACCTTTACAATGATGTCATAAGGCAGCGGGCTTCTGTATCTCTTCATTGGGCTACATGGGCCATAATCCAAAGCGGAGAATTGAACGACTCACCTCAGAAGAAGGTGGTAGAGGAAGGCCCTGGAGGTGAAAAGTACGTCATAACGATTGACGATGAAGACAACGAGGATGGCGATGAGGACCATGCCGATGCAGATGGAGAAGCGTTACACGAGGGTGCTGACATTGAATCCTTCGATAACCTCAAGTTTGCAAAGGACAAAATGGCGCTCTTTTGGGGCGACATGCTTCAGCTGGGTTTGCTGAAAAGGGAGGAGCTTCCAAATTTTGTCAGCATCAAGAGCTTAGATACAAAGTTTCTATAGAAATGATGAACTAGAAGGTTCTTACCACAAATACCCACTAGCATGTAGTAGTCGAACTTGGCGAAAACTGAGTGAATGGTTTATTCACATAATAATAATTTGCAGCAGCTTGCTCTTAAGTATATTTTCTAATAAATACGACGCCTCATGGCAGCTATGCTCGGATCAACTACCATAATAATTTGCGTCTCGTCATGCTTTCCACTTTGTTCACTTTTGAAAGAATAAAGACTAAAAATGCGCGATGATTTGTGGACTTGGTCCCTCGCCTAGACAAGCTTCAATATCTACAAGCTTGCTTACCCGACGGTGTTTCGTAAAATAACGTACGACGTTTGTGGCACATCAAATCATCATTTCAAAAAACCAAATGCCTAAGAAAGCATCATCTTTCTTGGGTCTTCGATGAGCTCCTTGACTGTCTTCAAGAAAGTGACAGCTTCTCTTCCATCCAAAAGTCTGTGGTCGTAAGTCAAGGCCAAGTACATCATTGGTCTAGACACAACTTGACCATTCACGGTGACGGGTCTTTCCTTGACACCGTGCAAACCTAGCACGGCAGTTTGAGGTAGGTTGATGATTGGAGTACCATACAAAGAACCAAAGACACCACCGTTAGAGATCGTAAAAGTACCACCGGCCATATCTTCTAGAGTTAACTTACCGTCACGGGCTTTCTTACCCAAACGGCTGATTTCGGCTTCCACATCTAGCACCGACAAAGACTCAGCGTTACGAACAACTGGGGTGACTAGACCCTTTGGTGTGGCAACGGCAACAGAGATATCTGTGTAGTCACGGTACACAATTTGATCACCTTCAATGGCAGCGTTAACAGATGGGATTTCCTTAGCGGCCAATGTGCAGGCCTTGGCAAACATACCCATGAACCCGAACTTGATTCCGGTCTTCTTGATAATCTCGTCCTTGTAGAGCTTACGCATGTCCATCAAGGCAGACATGTCACATTCGTTAAAGGTCGTTAAAGAAGCTGCGGTATTTTGAGAATCCTTCAATCTTTCAGCAATTCTTAGACGCATACGGTTCATTTTAACTCTTTGTTCGGAACGAGAGAAATTGGCCGAACTCTTGGGGGGTTCCTGGGCTGGTGCAGTCTCCTTTTTAGGCTGGGATGAAGGAGCAGGCGAGGAGGTTTTCTTTGGTTCTTCCTTCTTTGGTTCTTCCTTCTTGGGCTCCTCTTTTGAAGGCTTGGACTCTGGCTCCTTGGACTCAGCAGGTTTCTCCTCCTTGGGCTTTTCCTGAGCCTGACCGCCCTGTGGAGCTTCACCAGCTTCAATTTCAGCGAGAGCATCGCCAACGGTGACTGTGTCGTCCGGTTGGAAGTTCAATTTTGAAACTTTACCGGTAGTTGGGGCATTCACCTCCACGTCGATTTTGTCGGTTTCGATGGTTGCTAGAAGTTCGTCTTGCTGGATGAATTCACCAACCTGCTTGGTGAACTCTTTCAAAGAACCCTCGGTAATCGACTCCGCCATTGGAGGCACCTTGACAACTGTGGACTGGGATCTTGAGGATCTTTGAAAATGCAGCGCAATCGACGAGTTTTTGTGCTGCAAGAAACCACCAAACTGAGGAGCAGCAAAGCTCAGGGACCGTTTGCTGTAGCCTGAAGCCAATGGCTTGGCAATTTTGACACTTGATCTGATCATCTTTTCGAGATTTTTGTATTTTTGGGTTTTGTAATGGGGTGTGGTTTAAGAGTCGTTAAATTCGTAAATATCTCACGATCCAGAAATGCTCTGGGTTTGGTTCCAAGTGGGAAATTAATCGTTTGCAGCCTATTTTGCAAATAAAGATTACAGTTTCGACACTCAACAGACAAGAAAGAATTCCTAGCTCCGTTTTTGTTGCGAAAAATTGCTTGGAAAAGGTCGTTAAGTTTAGTCAACTTGTATTTTAAGATGTAATTTGATTTTCAATTTCTTCATATGCAATATATATATTTTCCCTCAAGCTATTAAACACGGTCGAAAAAGTCGGCTCCGAAGACGGAGTTCGAGAAATTGACAAGAAATGGAGTCCTTTGAAGAGAATAAAGGGGTTTTTAATGAAAATAGAGAACTGTGATGAAGACGGGACTTCTTAAACAATTGGTAGAGACGAAGACAGAATTGTCCTAGAAAATTTGGGTAATTAAATGCATTTGTTATTCATAGATCGTTTCATACGGAATGTTTTGTTTAACCCCAAGATCAAAAGAATATGGGTTCCAAATACATTATTATCAGCTTTAGCAGAGCTATTGAAAACAGTTTTTTTTGGCTGTAACAGTTATTGTTTTGGGTGTTATTGACTGGGGCTCTTTTAATACTTTTTTCGTTTTGAATCACGTGACCAGCGTCTGCGTCAGTTAAATAAGCTCTTTCTCTCTACCGGTAACCATGAGCGGTCATCTCAAGAGATCTCACGACTCTCTCACGACTCTCTCAGGTGTTTTTAAAAAATTAAAAAAAGACTCTTAGTTCTTAATTTCTTTCCTCCCTTCTACGAAGCCAAAGAGTTTCTCTGCCCACACACTCTCTCTCTCTCGCGGTTTTCATGAAAACATCAGTTACTTTATTGAACTTCAAAATACATCAAACAAGCCATTTTTTTTGAAGTAAAATTCTAACCGATTTCTTGTAAATCCAGGTTTCCTAGATAAAAGCGTCTCGCTCAAGGTATCTTAAATCGCTTTCATGTTCTTTATCAAGCGCACAATTCCACTGCAAACCAATTTTTTCTGTTATTTTACCTTTTTCGAATAATGAAAAAAAGTATTCGCAGATCGCCGCATAATTAAACGTTTCCGAGTTTCCAATACCAATGATGTACATGCTCTACGCGATCTGCGTTTGTTTCCACTGTCATTCTGCTGTCGTTCGTTCATCGCTTTTGCCCTTTGTCACTACTCACCTTCACTGACGCGGGAGTTCCGGTCGGAAACCCCCTCCATTTATTGATAAGATGTCTACACATCTAATCCGAGCCAGTATATAACATCAAGTCAAACTCTCCAGCAGACCAGAACCGTTTCTGATACAAAAAGATGCGCAGTTGTGAATTATCCTCTTATTCACTCCAAAAACAAGGAGCAAAGTTGAGTTTTGCTTAGTTTTCCGCTATTTCAGCCGTCCTGCCTAACCGTTGTTGTGCTAGTTCACACATACGATCAATGTCCAAGTTCTCAGTCTTTTATGGAACATTTGTAGATACACCGGTTTTGGGCCAGCTAAGAATTCGTCCCAGAACCAGCGTGGGAGTCAGCGTCGATGGAATTATTCAATTCATACAAGCGGAATCCCAAAATCCATTGCAAGATGCACTCAATTTCGATCCAAGTCTGAAATCGTGGGAAATCAATGTTGTGGACACTTTTGATCATCAGGGAACAACTTTTTTCTTCCCAGGTTTTATCGACACACATGTGCATGCCTCACAATATCCAAATGCGGGCATTTTTGGATCTTCAACCCTTCTTGACTGGCTCGAAACTTATACTTTTCCACTGGAAGCAGGCCTCAAAAACCTCGATAATGCAAGGGCAATTTACAGCAAAGTGCTCGACAAAACACTGGCTAACGGAACAACAACTGCGTCCTATTACACAACTATCGACGCAGACTCCTCGAATCTGATGGCTCATATGTGTGCGCAACGAGGCCAGCGAGCTTTTATCGGGAAGGTTTGCATGGACCAAAACTCACCCAAATATTACATCGAATCGCTTCCAGAGTGCCAGCACGCTGTTCAAAAAGTTGTTGGCTACATTCAAAACGAGCTCAAAAACGATAAAGTCAAGCCCATTGTCACACCAAGATTCGCCCCAACGTGTAGCAGCGAAATGATGACATGGCTGGGTGAATATGCTCAAGAACAAAACCTGCATATTCAAACACATCTGGGTGAAAACGTAAAGGAGCTAGAATGGGTCAAGGAATTGTTTCCAGAGTCGAAGTCGTATACGGAATTGTATGACTCGCATCAGCTGCTGACAGAAAAAACGGTGCTGGCTCACTGCATACACTTGTCGGACGAAGAATTGGACTTGATCAAAAAGAAGAAATCCGGAGTTTCGCATTGTCCTATCTCAAATTCCTCAATTACTTCAGGGGAGTGCCAAGTGCGTCGGATGCTGGATCAAAACATCAAGGTTGGGCTGGGAACTGACCTTTCGGGAGGATTTGACGTGAGCATACTCTCTACTGCAAGACAAGCATTGTTGGTGTCAAGGCACCTGGCCATGAAGGAATCGAATCCGGCGAAACAAGAAAGTCTCAAACTTTCAGTGAACGATGTACTATTTCTATCTTCGTTGGGCGGTGCCCAAGTACTGGACCTCGAAGGTAGCATCGGTTCTTTTGAAATCGGTAAGCAGTTCGATTCGCAGTTGATAGATCTGAACGTCAAAAATTCAAAAGTTGACGTGTTCGATTGGCAATTCGCGAAATGGAGTGAAACGCACCGCGACGCTGAAAGTGAAGAGCTTTTCAAAGATCTCATGGCCAAATGGCTATTTACGGGAGACGATCGAAACACAGTTCTCGTCTGGGTTGCTGGAAGACAGGTGTTTTCTAGTTTGGCCTAGCTGGCTCGACTTTTTTTGTTTGGTGGGTAGTGATGTTTTTGGAATCTAGAGGCCAGATAAAATGCTAGGGATTATTGTTCTTATTAGTAATATGCAGGTGAATACAAAATGGGTAGGTTTGGGTGTGCTTCCTGCCATTCGGTCACGACTCCCATGATGCTGTCTTCGAACGGCTCGCTTGATTTCTCGGCCTGCAAGGCCTTTTGCGACAGCATATCGGCAAGTTTCAATATGGCTTTGCCACCGATTTTGGCGTTTTCGTTGTCATCTCGAATGTTGATGTTGAAAACATGCACAATTTTATTAAGTTGACCGCCACGGCTCATCAAGTCTTCGCACACAGCGTCAAAGCACCTTTCTTCACAGGTGATCACGAAGTCAAACACCTTCATCCCGTCCTGCCATTTTTCAGGAGCCCGCTTGAGTTTGCGGTTTCGATCCAGCATTTCCAACAGTCCGTTTGACTTGTAGCGTTCTACAGACTGTGACCTCAGATCATTGAAAATATCGTTATAGGGCGTACCGAACGAATATACGTTCGGCTTATCTTCTGAAAGACCCGGCAGCCTCACTGCAGAACCTGTACCGTACGATGACACATCGTACCCAGCTTCTTTTAGTATCCGGTGAGACTCCATCGACCGATTGTTGTTCGATGCGCAAACGGTGCAGAACTTCAAACCCGCATTACCTTCTGGTGCCATTGTAACTGATGGTAAAACTCGGCTGAAAAACAGTTTAGCCGCCGAAAATCACTCGACCTAACTCAATTGTGCTGGTGGTCTTATTATTGAAGCTTTGTTAGACAAAGATTGATCTTGAATGTTACTTCGTGTTGATCAAACTGTATTTCAATTCACTTTGAATATCTCATCGAATTTAATATCACAGTTGACGACAGAAATAATCTATAATTCAAATAACTCGATTAAGATGGGAAACCTTTAAAACCTTTGAGCTATAACTACCAATTGCAACAAGATTTGACTTTGGAAGTTAACCTTTGGAAAAGTGATGCTAGTCTTCTTAATTAAGAGCAGAATTGCTTTGGGAGCCCAACAAAGATGCCAATTGCCAGGAAAACAGTGACTTTGGATATTCATTTTGTCAATACATGATGGAACACTGAAAATTCCCAAATCTTGACTTTCGCGAAAAACGGGTATTTAGTATTCAGAAATGAAGCCATTTCGAGGATACAAATGTTGAACGCTAATCATTCTTCGCGCAACTTCGAGCTGAATGACTTTTGAGCTTTTCTGCGACTTTCAGTAGTGCTACAATTGAGTTTTATGTTCAGTCAGAGAGCTATATTGATTGTCTTGAAAGAATTCGAGGGAACAGCTGAGCGACATCAGAAAGTTAGTCTGGAAACACAAATGGTTCTCAAACTTGTCTTTTACTACGTACGATCAGAGAGCTTGAGCTTGATTCTCTGGAGACGGTTTCATTCTTGAATATCATCTGTGTGCTTCTCATATCAGATGTTTCTCCACCTCAGGCAGGCTGTAACAACTCTAAATATCCGTTTAGAGATTCTTGCTAAGTTCTTGTGTACTTACCATCGGTCCAACATTCAGGCACAAGTCTTAGCGGGCACTTGAACGTAAATCGTACTACAATCAACCGTCTTTTCACTATAAACATCAAGTGAGCTTTTCATCCAAGCAGAAGCGCTCTGAATAACTCGCATCACTTCTACAAAAATTATGAGTTGACGCTTCGGTAAAATGAATGTCGTGTCACAACCATACCATAGAACAAGCCGCTGAACGCATCAAAGACTTCGGGAATAGACTTCGTTGGAAAATTCTTCTGAGAGACACACATATTTAAAGTTGAAAAGCTCTCCTCTCAACATGAAAATCTTATGACAGTAATCTGAATCACATAAGCAAAAGTATACCTGTCTTCTCCCATGCTTGACACCCTTTCTAAGCCCTTGCAATTTGTCGTAACGAAGCGCATCTCAATTTCAAACTTGTGGGCTTAAATGTTGTAAATCAAAATTCAAACGCCAGATCACCAAATTACCAGAAGAAAATGGCGATCTGCCTGCTTCTGCTCAACATAAAAGTTTCATAAAACAGTGGCTGCAGCAGGCTTCTGAGCTTCCGGTGGTATTATCAAAGAAACAGTCTCCTCTCCAACTAGCACACGTTCCACCTCTGTATCGGGAGTTGTACTGTCCTCGTCACCGACCACAAGAATATTTTGATTTCTGCACTGAACGTCTTGAAAATCATCGTCACGAGCAGTATGGTCAGCCGGCTGATCCAATGGCGCCACGACATTGACGTATTCATCGCCTAGCGTTGAGTTTTGTGCACCTATCTGCTCATTCTCTTCTTCAGACTCACTGACAACGCCGTCGTCTTCGTAGAAATAATTTTGAGGTCTTGAAGGAAGAACATGGATGATTCGGGATTGCGAAACATCACTTTTCCAAGTCTCCCAGTCACGTCGACCTTGCAGCAAAACTCCGATCAGCATTGAGGGATCAAGCTCTGAAAAGTGAACTTTATTGAAACGCTGTGAATGCACAGAGTTGAACTTGTCCTGTGATGAGTCAAGAGATGCCAGATCCAGTTGTGACGTGTGTGGGTCCAAATAGAATAGATATTCGTCTTGATAGCCAAAGAAATAAAGCGAAGAAGAAGGGCGGCCGCCAGCGATGCCCACAGATTGTTTGGATGCAAGAATTTGCCGTATATCATCCCAGTAACGAGCGTTAACTTTATCCAGACCGAGTTTGACGCCCAAGAGCAAAAGAACTACTGCATCCTGGGTTTTGGCAAAAATCGGTTCTATTTCTTCTTCGTAAACGTCTGCAGAATCAGTGGAAATTACGCATTCGGATATTCCGCATTCTGGGAATCCAAGTACGAGACTTTGGATGCTGCGTGAAGTGGCAGAGGGTCCAAACCATTCTCCTGGTGGCTTTCGGGAAAGTTTTGCACCCTCTTTGACGAAATTATGGAGCGAAAACGGAGCTGAATATCTGTCTTCAAACCAGCCGATTATTTTCGCTTCACGACTTGTTTTTGCATCGTCTGCATTACTCCCTAACCGTTGTAGTGCGTTCCCCAGAAGGGCTTGGCCGGTTCTGATCATGCAGCCCCACCCGATATCACTGCAGAAACAATCGGGATGGTTTATAGCACTTTCAATGGAATTAAGTGGATTGTCCTTAAAAAGGGTTCCAAAATTCATGGGCGATGGACCGCTGGGGTCCTTTGGAATCGGCTCGAATTTCGTTCTGTACGTGAAATGCAGCAGATTACGCACGCAAGCCAAGAGCTGTGGGTTCCAGCCTCTATCCTTAGCAAACATCTGGCTAAAAACGCCCGTCACCGGTGCATGTTCTTGTTGCGATCCCGTTTTGTCTACAGAAGCGTACGTTTCACCCAAAATTACAAGGTCGTGCTGAGTGTCGGTATTATCCAGCTCGAAAAGCTGCTGGGACACTCTCTGGAAGAAGTCCATAGCTTCTGGAGTACTTTGAAGCCGCTTTACAAGTAAGATCTAGCATTATAAGTAGGGTGTGTAGTAGAGATGGATCAATTATAATTATTCATTAGTAGTCACTAGAGTGTCAGAGGATGAATACAAGCAAGGCAAGAATAGAAAGACAAAGCCAGCGACAGAGACAGCGACAAAGAGCCAGGGAAATGATGGTTTAATTTGTTTTGAAGTTATGAAGCTTTTGAGCCCACTTGGGGCGTAAATCCTTGTTCATAGTTACGATCTGAGGAAAAAGGAGTTTCTGGTGATTATTCAGTCATTTTTTGGTGATTTTGAGGCATTGAGAACTGGATTTTCAGAATTCAAATCGATAGAAGAGAATTATGGGTGCGTGTGTATGTGTCCCTGGCTCTTTTTGTTTATTTTTTGAACTGACAAGGTTTCAGCTGCAATGGTACAAGATTTGAGTGAAAGTGGGCAAAAGCTACGAAACACGATTCAGTAGCGAGAGAAAAAGACATTAGGCTATCGGCAGAGCAATGCAGTCTTGACGTTCCTTTCGCAATGCACTTCGATTGTTGAGTTCGATATGCCCTTAGTTTAACGACAGTGTTCAGTGTCACTCTTGTCTTAAAGTGACGCAAGATCTCCATCACTATATACGACACAGTATTGCTATCAAAGCTTTTTAGGGTTTATAGAATCGCATGAACATTCAGACTAGTGTCGTTGGCCGAATGAAAAAGCGCCACATGTATCCATCAATTCTGGAGGCTTTACTTTTCAATTGTCACTGGTAGATCCCATAAAAGAGCTGGGGAAAATGCGTGACAAGTCACTTTGGACGTCTCGAATCAGTTCTCAACCTGAATATGTCATGGTAATGTCACCAAGTCCGGTAGATGTGACTTTGCAAAAGATGAAATTACCGTTTCTTACGTGCCACATGTGCTGTTGCTAGTTTTTACGCTCCTATGCTGGTTCCGCTCGGTATAATTGATATTTCGCGGGACGAAATCTCTACATACCCGTTTGTCAAATTTCTCCAGCTTCCAATAACAGTTACGTAGCAAAAGAAACACGTCCATTAACCTTGCAATCAGCACTCTTTCTTTCCAAGCTAGAAAACCTTATCGGCACTCCCTTTTGTCTTATCCGCTGCGAACCTAACTAATCTTTCATTTCATAGCTATATTGCCTAATGACCGAACGGCATCGCCGAAATTAGATCTTATCGATCTTGCCAAGAGTTCGACGATAAACTCGACGAAGACGTCAAGACCAACAAACCCGATGGTTTTACGGACTTCGCAGCTCAAACACTCTCTGAATTATCCAACATGCATTATATCAACCGAGAACCATATCCTCCCAGCTTATAGGATTTTCCAGGTATCGCTTTCTCATTCTGGCAAACGTATAGTGGTATAGAAGAAGCATAAACCAGATTATCAACGGAATATGTCTGCTTTGGCCAAATTTTTGGAAAAACTGGAGGTCAAGAGGAGTGGACTTCCGGTATCAACGTTGCGTAATCCAGATCTGGAACCTATTCCACACATAAAGCGACAATGGGCGTTTTGGTCATTTTTCGCCTATTACGGACTTCCCAACGTCTCAGCAGCGACATTTAGTATTGGATCCGCACTCTTGAGTCTGGGTCTGAACATCAAGCAGTCTATCGGAACCATTATCGTGGGCAACATCGTCATCACCTTGTACACAATTATGAATTCCAATCCGGGCTTCAAATACCATATCGGATACACGTTGGAGCAGCGCATGTTGTTCGGGATTCGAGGGTCTATAATCGGTATTATCATCAGAGTCGGTCTCTCCGTGGTGCTTTATGGCTATTTGGCATGGTTAGGAGCACTGTGTCTTAACCTGGTCTTTAGTTCGTGGTCAAAATCGTACATGAACATGAAGAACACGTTTCCGGAGTCTGTGCCCATGACCACACGCGACTGCGTAGCTTTTCTGATCTTTCAGCTCATCCAAATGCCCTTTAGCTTTGTGAAACCACGGAAGATCAACACCATGGGTATCGTCTTCTGTTTCATGGCTATGTGTTCCGTCATTGGGATCCTCGCTTATACAGTCTCCACTAACGGCGGACCGGGGCCATTATACTATAAGAGTCAGGAACTATCTGCAAATCAACGTGCTTGGACATGGCTTTTGGCTATTACCGTCTGGTATAGTGGCATGTCCCCGGTGATTGCAAACCAATCGGACTATTCCAGGTATGGATCACACAATATCAAAATGCAGATCGGCGTCGCTCTTGGAGTTTTCATAACAGGAACATTGGCTCCCGTAGCTGGTATGTTCAGCGCTTCAGCCACAGAACAACTGTATGGTGAGGCTCTCTGGCTTCCTACAGATATGGCACTCAAATGGCTTCAGGACGGATACACGGCTAAGGCACGCTGCGCAGTGTTTTTCATTGGTTTGAGCTTTACCGGAACGCAACTAGTGGTTAATATGACCCAAAACGGCTACGCGTGTGGGATGGACCTCGCAGGGCTTTTCCCCAAATATATCGATATCACGCGCGGTACGCTATTCGTTCAAATTATATCTTGGGTAGTTCAACCATGGACCTTTTTCAATACCACATCGGCATTTCTGAACAGTATGACATCATTCGGAATTTTCACTACGCCCATCATGGCCATCAATGTTATAGACTTCTACGTGGTTAGGAAGGGTCGTATTTCAATAGCTGACCTTTTCACGCAAAGCCCTGAGGGAGCTTTCTGGTTTTACCACGGTATCAACTTACGCGCCTTAGCTGCGCTGCTAGTGGGAATAGCACTTGGATTACCAGGTTTGGTGTTTTCTGTTAATACCGGGCTAAAACCCAATACAGCGATGAACAACTATTACAACGGTTACACCTTCTTTTCAGTGATAGTGTCAGGGGCTCTGTATTACATTCTAATCCTGATATTCCCTATCAAACATCGTGTTGGTGTGTCGGATGAAAAGGACTACTTCAATGCCTTCAGTCCTGAAGAATGTCTGAAACTTGGCATGGAGCCCTATTCTGAAAGATTTGACACTGAGTACATTGCATTGGAAAAAGGCGAGGCAAAGGATATGGAGCGCGGTCAAAGATCCGAAGAGAACATGCCAGCGTCTCTGCATTCTAGTAAAAGCGAACTTCCAATAGTAGTGATTGAGTCAGCGGCCCTAAAGAGCTAGCCTAGAGACCAACTGACTTCGACCAACGTGGTGTCCTTACTAATGCTTCTTCTCCGGTGCTCTCGGGATTGTTTGTTAAGGATCATTTGGATGACAGTACAAAAGGGAAGACGTAAATGAGTGGGCGCCCAGAATTTGTTGCTTGATGTCGAAGAAGCCAACATCTAATGAAAATAATGCCTTTACACCCGCTGAATGTACCTTCTGATTATGCTCGATAAGTTTTTGTTGCATCGTGCAAGCTCAGATTCGACTAAACAACATGTCAAGGTGCGCACGAGCAAGCAAGAGGAAGGCATGGGAATTCACTAAGAGATGAAGTACTCTCTGTATTTCACCTTGATTGATTTAGGTCAAAAGTAAGACTCATGAGATATTTTGAGCATGATCATATATCGAAGCTCTCATTCAAAAGTTTTGAGCATCTATGTTGTGGCATCGCCTCTATACCATGTTAAAATTGTTATCTTTCAATTTTCTGTCGCGATTTAGTGGTTATCAATGTTATTCTCAATACACGAGTCTGACACCTGGCGCGAGCCTTACAGAAGGTTGTTACGAGCTCAGAAACTCGTAACCACGCTTAAACCTCTGACAAGTATGATCGGTGCGTCTCAATTTCCCGAAAACAAGTCTTTTTCACATATTACAACGAGCGACGAGATATTTTCGAGAACTACACTTGTGCCGCGAACAAAAATCTAGATTGTGCAAGTCAGAATAGCAAAAGACATTTCTTGGAATGCTTAAGATGGAATCAAAATCGCAAAGTTTGCGACAGAAATTCGGCCTCAACTACCTAACAGGATTTTGGATTTTATAAATGGAAAACCTCAATCATGCCCATCAACTATAGAAAAAACCCAAAAAGAAAATTGGCGTTAGCTTCTGTTTCCTTCTTCCATTAATTCTCTTAGTCGAATAACAAATCTGCTGATAACGTCGTTTTGTTTCTTGCTAAACTTGAATTGTTCAGCGGTCATGGAAAGAAGCCATGAAAGAAGTAAAAAGAATTTGACAAAGATCGAAATTTCGGTGGAAAAATAACTTCAGAGAAGGGACCGAAAACTCAGTCAAGCAGTAGCTTCCAATAATTGAACTAAATCGCCATTTTAAGAAGTTTGCGTTTTCTGAAAGCCTTGTTTTCATCATATCTATCTATACTGACGTTCTGCTTTAATTGGCTTTTCGTAATGTAGACCTTTAATTTAAGCTATATGACATGAACATGAGCTCTTCGCAACTTAACCTTTACTGTCAACTTGAAGATCTATAATCAATCATGGCCAAAAGACACGGCCACTATCGTGCCAGAGGCACTGGAAGAAGCAAAGCTGGAAGTAGTAACTTCAAAAAAGCGAAAAACAACCGTAAACAGAGTCGCGGTGGCTCTAACAGAGGTGAACATAATGCTAATTTCGTCCCTGTCGGAGGCGGAGACTTAGGCAATATGGACATGATGGACGACTACTATTTTGGACACAACCATGCCGTTAATTCCATGCATATGGGTGGTTTCAGGCCTGGGAAAGAGAAATTTGCAGAAGAGGAAAAAGAAGCTCGGAATTTGCCATTGAGGAAAAGACCTGTGGAATTCACCAAAGCTGAACAAGTTTATGACCTAGCTCATGATTTTATTTTGAATCTGAAAAAGAAGGAAAAGGAAAGACAGGAACAAGTTGTAAAAGACACCGATGGAGACTCCGCAAGCAAAAGAATAGATCTAGAATTAGAAGAAACTGATGAAGACCCTGATAGAGGCTCGAATACTCGAAGAATCGATCTGGACTCAACGTCTGAAGCACATACCGAGGAAACCATAGAAGTAGAGGTTGACGTGGTATCTGAGGATACCGTAGAATCTGGAAACGAGTCTGAAGAATCACCGATGGAGTCTAACCCGGGGTCGCCGAAAGAGCTTTCTGATGAGAAGCTGTTTTTCGTTGATGAAACGCCACTACCGCGGACTAATGTTAAAACCGTTCATGTCGATCCTCCGATGGAAAAATTGACCCAAACCGGTATCACAGCAACGGAGTTTGAGCCTGTTCTCGTGGTTGGCAAAACCGAACTGAATCTAATCGAGGAAAGGGATGGAACGGCCTCTGTAAGCATACCACATACATGGAAATCCCATCCCTTCAAGCCAACTTCTCAAGATCAACTGGAAAGAAATAGTTCCTGGGATGAAATTGGTGATTATGACGATTATGATGAAGTTGATGATAATGACTATGATGATGAAGACAATGAATCCGATAAAAGTAACTATAGAGGAGACTACTCCTCCGAAGAAGAAGTAGAAATTACAGATTCAACACCCCGCAGCTCTTCGATACTTTCCTCCACGATCAAAAATTTGTCACTGGACGAAAATGAAGAGTCAAAAGAACAATCGAAGGAAAACGACGAGCCGGAATTTGGTTTTCTTGACGAGGATTTTGCTTTGAACGTTTCTGAACTCGACATTAGTAACATCCGTATTGGATCGCGAGACAACTCTTACTATATGTCAAGCTATCGATATTTTGGCGATTACGATAAGCGTTGGGTTGATCAAGACGATTTGGAAGAGTTTGTCGCGGAGCTGGGATTACCTGATCATCGAATTGGAGCGTATTTGCGGTATGTCATGGACGCTCTTGTGCCTAAAAAAAATGATGACGACGCTCTTGAGCAAAGAATTGCCAAAGAGGCAGCGCTTCTGGGAGACAGTGAATCCGAGGGCACTGAAGAAGAATCAGACGTGGCTTATCCGATAAGCGAAGATGATGATGAAGACCTAGGTGAGGGTCTTGAGGACTTGGTCGCTTACAGCTTGAAATACGAGGCAGTACGGAATAAAGTGTACGATACAAAAAGTTTGCAGACTAGCGGGAAAGGGTCTAAGAAGAAATTGCTACTTAGTGAGCAGCTTGATCTGGATTCGGATCTGAAGGATCAACTCGAGGACAAATTTGCTACCCGTTTGAATGACAAACGAACTAAAAGGCAAGCCAAAGAGGACTACGTTTCTGCCTCTAATAGTGGGTCTGACGACCTATTCTTGAAGTACCCATATGGATTTCATGTGGAAAACATCAAGGACGAGTTCGACCTTTTCTTAGGAAGCAGCAAGCCCACGATGTCTTTCCCACCGTTCGATCCTCATGGAAACAAAACTATAATGAGTTTTGCCAGTGCTTATTCCATGAAAACTAGAAAAATGGGCAAGAGTGGGAAAAGCAATGTTTTGGTCGAGAAAGTGAAGAAGACGAGATGGTCTCTACCGAACTACAACTATGTGAACCAACTACTCAGAAGAAGACGCGTGTTTATGCGGATTGATGTACGGAGACCACGCGAGGAGGGGCATCATCATCATCACACCGAAAAAATCAACGTGGGAAAAGTCAAGTTCCAGACGAAAGAGGGCGAGATTGTCGGTGAAGACGCTCCCGAGATTGGCGTCGATAACATTGGGCGGCAAATGCTGGAGAAGCTAGGCTGGTCCCGTGGTCAAGGTCTAGGTGCTCATGGTAACGAAGGTATTAGCGAGCCAATTTTCGCGAAAGTTAAGAAGTCAAAGTCAGGTTTGCGTCATGGTTAGAACACATTATAAGTTGATGACAAGAACACTCGTTTCAGGCCTTCAATGGGATCACTTGTTTCACTAATTTTACCACGCAACATCAAGTTTTCCTTCGACAGATATAATACTCCAGTTTACAGACACAATCGGCTCAGAGGCAAAGAATACAGCAGAATTCTACCAAAAATTACTACAGTTTTACGAGCTTGAAAATGCTGAGATTTCAGTCATTAAATGGTACTTTTCCTTCCATTTAAATACTTCTGTCTGTGTAATGTGTCTATTGGCGATATTTCAATTATTTATGTAAACACCATAGCGTCTGTCAACGCCTCACTTGAACAAAATACAAAGGTCAGAACACAAAGGTCTAGCACAAATAATATCGAGATCGATAAACTCTCAGTAATGCTAGGATTGGGCAATAGCCATGTGTACTCGATGGCCAATCAAAGTACAGTGTCAAACATATCAAGAGATGAGAAGTACGACTATGAGGATGAGATCTCTGATGAAAACGATGAATCTGGCATTTCTTTGAGCAAAGTCAGGGTCGAAAACGGATTCAGTTTTCGTTCATTCATCGATCAAATCAACGCTAAGACAAAAGCTTTGGCAATGGCCAGGGAATTGGATGCTAAAAGAGGTATTGTGCATCAAGATGCCACTGCAAGTGCAGGTTCAATTGATTCAGCAACAAGTGCTTCAAGTGACCTTCCAAAAATCAGTGAAAAGAGTGCACCTCGAACATCGATACGCAGGATTCCATCGGGCGCTAGGGCATCCACAGCGCAGCCGGATCTGAGTGCCACCCCAATGAAAGATGTATCTCAAAATGAGAACTCCCATGCGCAAACTATCAATGACCTGTTGGTGCAGTCAACCCCCATAAACACGAGCAAATCTGCTCCTTCGAGTAGAAACACTCAGCCGCGAGACCTGCTCAGAGAAAAGTTTATGGAGAATCACCGGCCGCAGGCCGATCTGGAAAAGTCAATATCTGAGTTTCCACAGGAAAAGGGTCCCGACAGTGGTTTGAAAAAGACAGCACATATTGAGTTTGAGGGTGCTGATGTCAAAAGTGCAGGAAGCAAGCTTTCGATGACTGAGCTTAATGAAAAGGATCAAATGATTGACGAACTTCGGGCCATTGTCAAGGATCAGGACCTGAGGAGTACCGAACTGCTGGAGCGCATAGAAACATTGCAAGATCAAGTTTCAATGCAGGAAACTTTGGCTAAAACTATCCAGGATCAAAGGTCTCAGGAACAAGAAGAATTGAAAAGGAGCAACAACCAGATCTTATCCAAAGACCAGGAGTTAGACCAGATCAGAGAGCATGTTAAGCTACTTAGTGAGAATTTCGAATCTAGTAACAATGAACGCGAGCGGGAAGCGGCAGATTTGCGATTCGAGCTTGATAATTTCAAAGCATCAGCCCAAGAGTTGACAGGAAGAATATCAACACTCGAGCAAGAAAAAGTTGAGCTTGTTGGTGAATTGCGTTTGTGCTCGATCAAATGCGCTGATCTTCAATCTGCCAGCAAGACTGTGCAAGAGAAAAGTGAGAGAGAAAGGCAAGAACACTTTTCCGAGTCGCGAGATTCGGAAAACATGATAGTATCACTGGAAGCAAGCATTCGAGACCTTCGAAGTGAGCTTGAGAAAGAAAAAGAAGCTTCTTCAATCAAAAAGGCCTCTAGCGAAGACGAGCTGGGGCGTTTACGGGGCCAAAATGAAGACTTACAAAGAGATCTGGAGAAACTTACTTCCCAAATAAAGGAGCAAACAGCACATCACAAGAGAGAAATTATCGAAGTTGAGAAAAGTCTCAATGGCGCTCGTCAAGAAACTGAGAAAGCCAAGCGCCGTCATGAAATGCTCGAAAAACAGCACACGGAACTACAAGGTTTGAGAGAGTCGCTAGAGACTACGAACGCTGAGCTGAAGAACGTTGTAAAAAGGCTCGAACAGCTTTCATCAGAGCAAATCCAAACGATCGGCAAGCTGGAAGAAGAGGCTGAGAGGAAAATGAAAAAAGAAGCCAATGCATTGTCTAATGCAAAAAAACATTCCAAGCAACTTGAAGAAAAAGTAAGACAGCTCCAAGATGTTGTCATCACAAAGAAAAACGAGCTCGAGTCAGCGAAAAAAGACAATACAACGTACGCATCGTATGTGGGAAAGGTCAAACTCTTTGAAACCCAAATTGGCGATCTGATCAACGAACAATACACCACAGACATGTTCTGCAGCCATTTGGATGCCCAGTTGAAAGTCAGATGTCCTGGAACTATAGGTTTCTTAACGGAATCAGAAAAAGAGTCTTCCTCAGTCACCTTGGCGAGCTTGCAAGCTGCAAAGTCAGACGTTGACATGTTGCAGCGCGCTATCAGAAACGATTGGACGGTGAAAGTCAACAAACTCGAAAATGAGCTTGCCAACAAGACAAAGGAGTTGCCGCCGCTACGTGAGCTAATCCAGGATCTCGAGCACAGAGCCCAGGGTCAAGAAGCCCGGATAGCAAAGCTGGAAGCCGAAAAACAGTCGCTTTTAAAAGACAAGGAGAACGATCTGGAGACGTGTCAGAGTTTAGGAAACGAGATAAGCGTGTTGAAATCACAATTGGTCGAAAATCAAAGCAAAAGCTTTGTGGAGCTCTGCAACAAAATTGAGGGATTAAGCGAGGAGAGACATCAACTACAAAGCCGACTGCAAACATTAGAAACTAACCTCGAGAACAAAGATGTATCGGCCGCACAAGTATCGAAGCTTCTGAGCCAGGAACGTGAAAAACAAGCTGTCTCGCAGGAAGAGCTGCTGCAACTAAAACAAGAGCTTCAAAAGATCCAAGGTGATTCTGCTCATGCCATAACTTTCCAAGTAGCCTCGCAGGCGCGGCCACACTTGAATCGGAAGTTTTATGACTCTTTGATGGTCGACGCCGTGAATGACATGGACCTCATAGATCTACAAAATGTGGTCAAGAATCTCATTCTGCTTTTGGAGATTCCACTCTCCAAGATTACCAAAAAGATGCCTTTGGTAGCCATATACTTGCGCTACGAGAAGAGTATATGTTTGCATTTTGCCAACAAATTACATCATTTGATGTTTGGAGAAACAATCGACATCAAACGATTTACCAATATCGTGTATGGCCAGTACATTGAACACCACGATATAAGTCAGTTGGGTCATCCTTTGGAGGCGTGTTTGGATAACTTATACAAAGCGATCAGCGTCAAGATCGTAGCGTCACAATAAACGGTAGGGCTAAAATCTTTAGTTAAATCAATCAAGTTAAGCAGATGAGCTGAGGAAGAAGCGAGTAGAAGAATAAACTCTGATTCATATCAAGAGGCCTCCTCAAGTGCGAATGAAACCTTCGTTTGGTTCTCCCAATGGCTATGAAAACCTGTTACTATGAGCTTTTGGGAGTGGAGTTCACGGCGTCTGATTCTGACCTTAAAAAGGCATATCGTAGAAAAGCGTTGCAGTACCATCCTGACAAAAACCCCGAGAATATCGAGGAAGCTACAGCAGTATTTGCGACAATAAGAGCAGCATATGAAGTTCTTTCTGATGCTCAAGAAAGGGCATGGTATGACGCACACAAAAACCAAATTTTGAGTGATGACATCAATACTTTCGATGAGGGCTACGGTGACGGGAATGAATACGAGGTTGATGGTTCAATCACAGGAATAACCACGGATGACTTGCTCAAATTCTTCAATTCTGGATTGTATTCGAGAATTGATGATTCTCCAGCGGGGCTTTACCAAATTGCAGGTAAAGTATTTGCCAAATTAGCCTGTGAAGAGGTCAAGTTCGGAAGAATGCAAGGACTTGCAAACTATGATAAATACGAAGATCAGTGGTTCGAGACGGACATACTTGAGTCGGGCTACAGAAAAGCGTCCGACAAGTACACTTCTAAAGCATCGATGCTTTTTCCAGCTTTTGGAGACTCGACTGCCTCCTTTGAGCATCTGCGAGTCTTTTACCGCAATTGGTCCAGTTTCAGTACTGTAAAAACGTTTAGCTGGAAAGACGAGTATATGTACTCACGCAATTACGACAGACGAACGAAACGGGAGATTGGGAAACGTAACGAGAAGCTGCGACAGCAAGCGCGAAGCGAGTATAATAAGACTGTCAAGAGATATGTTACATTTATCAAGAAATTTGATTCCCGAATGAGAGAAGGCGCCGCCAAATTCGAGCAAGAAAAGCGTAGGAAAATGCGTGAAGATCTACAGCGGCAAATCGAGAAAGATAAAGAGGCTAGATCCCAGAGCGTTGGCGATCCCTTCAAGTTGCAAAGTTGGCAAACCGTGGATGATTTCGACTGGAGCGAAATTGAAAAAAATTATGATAGAAGCGGAAATTTGACGGACGATGACGAGAAATCCGATACAGACGTTATCATTTTCGAATGTTTTGTGTGCAACAAGTCGTTCAAGTCTGAAAAGCAGCTTGAAAACCACAACTCTACCAAGGTGCACAAGAAAAACTTACAACAAATACAGAAAGAAATGCGCAAAGATAATATGACTTTAGGGTTAGATGCTGTTTCTGACGTTGACGAATTTGATTCTGCTACGGAAGACACGAGCGGGAGCGCCGGGCAATTGAATCTCGACGAAATAGAAAGCGAGTTGCAACGTATCGAACAAGAACTTGACGGTATTAGCGATGACGATGAAGATGACGGTGATAGCATTACCAACGACTTGGACTCAGAGGAGCTGTCTCAAACATGTTCTATAGGACCAGAGTCCGATTCAGAACTTAAGCTGCATCAAGAGCATGTGGAAGTTGACATCGAGAACGATCAACAAACGGATTTTGACGCGCCCAGCGATGTGGAAGACGATGAGCTTTCGAAATTATTGGATTCTCTCACGTCAAAGCAAGATCAGAGTCTCAATGATGATGAGGAACCTAGCGATGAGTGGGACATGCCCAAAAAGTCCAAAAAAAATCAAAAACTCAAGATCAAAAAAGCCCAAGATGGATCACGTATACCTAAGCCATCGCTCCAATTTGCATGCCAAAAATGCTCGAACTCCTATGCATCGAGAAATGCGCTGTTTGACCACATCAAACGTGAAAACCATTCAGCTGCTATTCCCAAACAAAAACTAAAAAATAAGTCCAAAAACAACGCCAAAAAAAGGTAACAAAACTACCAAATCTGGAAAGTCAGTTGCCTTTCTACAACGATGGTCAAATCGAGGCAATATCTTAACGATAAAACCAGAATGTTCCTGAAGAACTATCCCAGCTCAGTCTACACTTTCTGTCTAAAGTTTGTCACGTGCTTCAATAAGGCTCATATACAAACAGTATATTACCAATTGTCTGTTGGAAAACTTTTCTTGAACAATGCTCATCGAGGTTGAAAATAGGAACAGAAGCTCTGTTGCGAACTCTTTGGCTTGCTAATTTGAGTTTTTTTGAATAGGTCTGTGGCTTGGTTTATTTTGGTGAAAAAACTGGGCGGAAATCGGACCTTTTCAGACCTTTTTCAATGCAAAACAACACTAATGACAGACCACCGCTTTCGGCGAGTGCTACCGGCAATGCTGCGGTGTCGAATCTCTCTAGTGCACTCCGCCAGGTGAATTTGGGCAACAGCAACACAACCACGGATCAGAGCAACATCAATTTTGACATTCAGAGTCGAATGACTCGGCAACAGCTCTTAAGTGAAGTCCAGAGAAACTCGTTAAACGCTCAGCAGGCCGAAGAACTAATTCGTGTGCGACTACGGGAGCAGCAACAACTTCAGCAGCAGCAGGAAGCACAACAACAACAACAGCAGCAGCAGCAGCAGCAGCAGCAGCAGCAGCAACAACAACAACAACAACAACAGGAACAACAACAGCAGCAGCAGTTCTTGGGACCAGCACAAATAGACAGCTCCAGAATCACGAAATTTTTCCTCAACCAGCCGGAAGAGGGTTACACCCTATTCTCCCACAGATCAGCACCCAACGGTTTCAAAGTGGCCATAACGCTAAGCGAATTGAATTTTCCCTACAACACAATCTTCCTTGACTTTAACCTGGGCGAACACAGAGCTCCTGACTTTGTGGCTATAAATCCTAACGCTCGTGTTCCTGCTCTCATCGACCATGCCATGGACAACTTGGCTATCTGGGAATCTGGAGCAATTATTCTACATCTTGTCAACCGATACTATCGCGAAACGGGTGACCCTCTACTGTGGTCCGACAACATTGTCGATCAATCTCAAATCACGTCTTGGCTGTTCTTCCAGACTTCAGGACACGCTCCTATGATCGGACAAGCTCTCCATTTTAGGTACTTCCATTCACAAAAGGTTCAAAGCGCCGTTGACCGCTACACTGATGAGGTACGGAGGGTCTATGGCGTCGTCGAAATGGCTTTGGCGGAGCGAAGAGAAGCTCTTATTATGGAACTGGACACCGAAAATGCTGCCGCTTACTCGGCTGGAACCACACCTCTGTCGCGGAGTCGATTCTTCGATTATCCTGTGTGGCTAGTGAGCGAAAAAATATCTGTTGCCGACCTTTCTTTTGTTCCCTGGAATAATGTTGTCGATCGCATTGGTATAAATATCAAGCTTGAGTTCCCAGAAGTATACAAATGGACTAAGCACATGATGAGAAGGCCTGCTGTGATCAAAGCACTTCGCGGAGAGTGAATATAAGGCATAAACGGAAACATGGTTACTCAACGAGGCTCAGGTATTCGCGGCGTCAAATAGTGGCCCTGACAATCGAAACATGGATTGAATAGTCGAACTTATTACTTGTTGTTGGCCTCATATATCACCATGGATATAGGTATTGCCTGGATGGCATTTCCGCGGTTTGGCACAAGACTTTCGCTACTTACGCTCTTGTAATTGTAAAATGGATCAAACAGCATAATTTCAAGAGTCTACAGGTGACTCGAGTCTTCAATGCTTGTGATCATTGGAATAGACTTGCTTGGAATTTTGGTTCCATATATTTTAATAAACCTTTTAATAGTCTTTAACTAATAGTGGTTCATGAGAATTCTCAAATAGTGAAAAACGGTAACATTTCCACCTTTACTCGGCTTATATCAAGATTTAGCACACTTGTCAATCCAGTACTTGGTCTAGACGATCAAATATGAGTTTTCAGAGTCCCAGAGTGAAAAGTTTAAGCGAATTATGCGAGCTGTCGCTATTGAGAAATCATCTTGTGCTGCGAAGCGTTCGCAATACACCTTACAGGCTGATCCGCAATGTCCTGATGAAGCTCAAAATGGAGCAGCTTTGCAAGTTAGAAGAAACAAACGTTCTGCTCATATTTGAAGATGATGAAATATGGCATAACCTACTGGTTAAAGATTACCCATTACATGCAGATAAGTCGTTTCTTCGAAAACGAGAGGAGATAGTGAACTACTTTGTATCGTACATTGAGCAGCATGATGCCACTTTGCTGGAGGACGTGGAACTCATGAAAAGTTTCCTTCGGTGTGCAATAAAGAAGGATCCGGAACTCCAGAAATACAGGGTTCCCTCTAGAATGCTTTACTTCAAATATCAGGCGGACACAGTACGAAAGCAAGAAGTCAGCACACAAAGACTGCGATCTCAAATGCAGCAGCTTCAGCAAGAAAAGCAGAAGAATCAAATTGCGCCTCTTGACGATCCTTTATACTGCGAAAAACGCACAAAGTCAGGCCTCAAGAACAGCAGCAGATCAGATCTGTTTGTAAAGTCCTACAAGGAGCATCAAATGCGGCAGCAACATTTCAAAAACGGCGGGTTCGATGCCTCCAAGCGTCCTGTAAAACGGGTTGCTTTTGGTGGCCAGGTTGGCATGCCCGCAAGCCGAAATGGAGAATTGAGTGCAGAAGTGACGTATCCTAGTGTTAACAAGGCTGATGTACCAAGTTCAAAGATTATCAGAAGCCCTACTCAGCATGCAAGCCCGAAACGGATCTCCAGCCCGCCGCCCGCGAGAAGACTGCAGGAAGAGCCAAACCCATTTTTGAAACGCAGGAAGCCGATGTTTCGACGTCAAAACTCGCCTTCGCCAGTTCCTTCTTCAGGTCATATTAATGAGCATGCTACGAAACCTGTGGTGGTAAAAGTCGGGTGCAAGATAAGCAATAAATCTAAAAAGTCCAGCATATTCACGGCACCCTCGCCACAAGAGCAGATTGCCAAACAATGCGGAAATCAGTCAAACGCCTACATTTTCGACAACAAGTCACGTCCTTGATTTTGTCGATGATGCGAACTTTTTAAGAATTTCCGCTGGCCGAGCTGTGAGTTATTGCAGAAAGAGGTTTCTACTAGGAAATGAAAAAAAACGGAAGAATAGAATTGGTGCTTGGAACATCAATTGATGCTTGGACAAGACAACGCTCGTGTGGTTAAGCCGTTGTTATTCGCCCGCTTGACTGGGTGCTTTCTAACGTCGCAGAAGGACAAAACTATTATTGCTGACGTAATCGGGTTTCGCCTATACAACTTAGAGCTATCTAGCCAAGCACGATGACGTGAAACCCGTTGGCTACAATGAAATCCGTCTTTCTAGCTCGCCATGCGCCCTTCACCACGAAATAACTTTGCTTGCCGCTGGGTTTGCAAAAAGAAGAGAGAAAATGGGCCAAAATTTTGGCAACTCGAAAACTGTATTCGTTCGAGCCGAAGAAAAGGAAACAGAACCGAGCAAGGGCTGGAAAAGAAAACGAATGGCAACGCCAAAGCGACCTCGAATTTTCCTACAAGACGAAAAGTGTGGGGTGGTAAAATGCCATAAAAATTCGGAGCTCAACGTTGGATTGCACCTCTTCTGCATTAAAGTGCATTCCACGGGCGCGACTAGACGAATCATTCACACTGAGGAAGTCCAGCCGCCACCATCTCTACCAAGCTTCCCTTGCCCACTTAGCTGTGTGCACGCATCTTCACCATAGAACAAAACCAGCTGTCAACGCCGCTTCTTTGCCGCACTCTGCTTGCAGCATCACGAAGTCCAGGAAGATATTAAAGCACCCGTTCCTTCCGGACAGAAAAATCAATCCAAATTTCAAATTGAAGCATTAATCAGCCTTCCAAAAACAGGTACCTAATTGAATAAAACCTGCTGTCATTGCTAAAGAGTTTAGCCCTGTTCAGTTCCTTTGCCAGCGTGTCGATTGTCGCTCTGTCGTTTTAGAAACGTACGTGGAGTATATGCACGGTTCCCGTATTACTGGATTTTTCATACCCGAACTTTATTAGGTAAAGAAGGCTTGAAAAATATAGAACTGCACCAGCCTCTGGCAGTATTCTTCCGAAAGTTCAAGCAAACAGACAGCTAAAGTGTGGCCATTGGACACTCAAGAGTATTGATAACAAGTGGTGAGGATATAAAGATTTTAAATTCCTTTCAAACACTTTTTTCGGTTGATTTTTGAGCTCAAAAGTGGACAAAACAGTTGTTCTGTTCAAATACCAGTTGGTATACAGGTTTTTGGAGTCTGAAGTGGGAATTTGATATTTGACCTGGATTCCTAGGTTTACAATGAAGCTTAGCAGTACCGTTTGGGCCCTAGGGTCTTTATGGCAAGCGTCGGCGCAACTCCAGGCCCCCGATAGCTCCAGTGATGGAAATTCTGGGATTCCTGCCCGGGATTCGACTGAAGCCTTGAACAAAAGGTACATCAAATTTGATTTTAACAAGCTGAGAGGTGACTCTCCCGATACAGCCGAGGCAGGAGCTCCAGGAAAGGCCAAACTGGTCAAAAGAAATGATGGAACAGCTTTGGTGTATCTTAAAAATGAGCAAACTTTTTACTCTGTGAACATCGGTGTCGGTACGCCTGAGCAAAACCAGACTTTGCTTATCGACACTGGATCCTCGGATCTGTGGCTAATGGGATCCAACAACCCATATTGTGCCTCATCGTCGTCTAAGAAGAATGTCGAAGTCAACTACGAAGAAAAGGATCTCTTCAGTTTGCTCTCGTCCCTCACGGCGGAACTCACCACCGTTACACAAGTTACCGGAACCCAGCAGACCCCAACTTCGATTTCCTCGGGAGATGCCACGCTCTCGTGCTCCCAGTATGGTACCTTTGCCACCGACTCGTCATCGAGTTTCAAGTCCAATAACTCCGAGTTTTACATCTCCTACGGTGACGGTACCTACGCATTGGGAGTTTGGGGCTCCGACAAAGTCACTTTGCAGGACGTACAAATTCCAAGGGTCAATTTTGCCGTTGCCAACGAAAGTACATCGGAATTTGGAGTCATGGGTATCGGTATGGAAGATTTGGAATCTACAAACACACTTTCTGAAGAACGCCATACGTATGTCAACTTCCCCTCTGCGCTCGTGTTGCAAGGCGATATTCATACCAGAGCTTTCTCGCTGTACTTGAATAAGCTCGAAGAAACACAAGGATCCATTTTGTTTGGCGGCGTGGACCACAGCAAGTACAGTGGATCTCTTTACACAATACCCATCATCAACACCTATAAAAATCAGGGATACGCCAACCCTATCAGATTCGAAATCACATTACAGGGTATGGGGCTGAATGCTAATGATACTCAAAAGACGTATACTACAACCAAGATCCCAGTTGTTTTGGACTCGGGCTCTACTCTCAGCTATCTACCAGCCTCTCTAGTGAGCGCCGTGGCTTCGAGTTTGGGTGCCACTTACAGTTCATCAAGCGAGCTTTACCTATTTGATTGTTCTAAAGTTAGCAACGATGATTCCTTCGTTTTCGATTTCGGTGGATTTCAAATAGAGAGCAGTTTGGCCAACTATATCTTGCAGACCAGTGATAAGTCTCAGTGCGCTTTGGGGATGATTCCGCAAACTTCGGGCAGTTTTATTCTTGGCGACAACTTCCTCACAGCTGCCTACGTCGTGTACGATATCGACAACATGCAAATTTCCATGGCTCAAGCCAACTACAATGGCGGTGCGGAAGATGTGGAAGTGATTTCGAGCTCGGTGCCCAGCGCTACCAATGCTCCGATGTATTCGTCGACTTTTTCGTCCACCGCTTCAGTTGTAACGGGTGGTAATATATTTACTCTGTCGTCGAATGGAGCCGTTCAGACAAGTGGTGGCTCAAATAGCACATCCAGTAGCAGATCTGGTTCCGGCTCTGGATCAAAATCCAGTTCGGGCGCAAGTTCCACTGGTGGGTCGTCCGGCGGCAAAAAGAACGCAGCCGTAGGTGTTTCTGTGCCCAGTCATGGACTTATTAGCTTTTTGGTCACAGCGAGCATTGGTCTTGTCGCTGGCCTTTTATGATTTTTTGAACAAGAAAATGAAAAAAAGACAAAGTTGAAGTTGATCTTCAGTCTGCTACGATACTCTGATGTTTATCTGACGCTTGTGAGCCAATGCTATCGATCGTTAGTGGAATATGAGCTTTTAGGTGTGTAAATTACTGGTTTGAAGCCGTATAGTAAAAGCAGGACCAACTGAAAATAAAAATGAAATGACGAAAAAGGCGGGGACGAGAGACTCGTCTATGCAGAATTAAAGGTTGATGGACGACCCACGAGGTGTAGAACGATAGTTTGAACCGGAGGATGAGTTTTGAGCTAGATGAGAGAAGGTCACATGGGGTTTCCTACTGTTCATCAGTAGCATAAAAAATTATGATTTTGGCATGAATACAGTCTTTAATTGCAATTTTCTGTGATCATGTTGCATTTCGAGGTCAAACATACAATGATTGCTTGCATTCAAGTGTCTTGACCCGTTTGCAACCGCATTCATTTGTACACCATAAATGCATCTTAACCGGGTTATAGTTCAATACGGCAAAATAGACTTCTCGTCTATAGTGATTTACACTTTGTTCAACCTATTACGCGGATTACTCATTAAAGGGCAAACACAAGATAGGACCACTTTTGAACGTGGTCGGTGTTTGGTATGTGGAAGAGATAGGGAAATTTTACACTCGATGGTTTGCAATGAAATGAAATGAAATGGAAGGTGTACCCAGTGGTCACGTGCACCATATCAGATGGGGTTCGTATAGCACGACCCGTTGTTGACAAGAATCATCATCATATCTCACCTTCCATTTCATTATGGAAATTACCATTTCTCCTTCTTCCCTCCCGAGAATTCACTGTCACTTACCCGACAGCCCCTTTTGTGTCCTTCGATATCACTTTGTCACAGTCTGTCGCGAAGCCATCACTCAAAAAAAAGAGAAATTTTTAAGCATCCGACTTCCGCGTCATCTACCCAATCTTCTACTCGACGACCAGCCAATTTTCACCTGCACGTCGTCCACCGTGAAAATTACTTTATCGTATAATACAGCTATGATTGAAAACTTGACAGAAGCACACATACTCGCTCACGCACAATGTCCGGTCTTCGGAATCTCACATTGACTCATCGCGAAAATATAAAATAAAATGCTCTTTTTCACGTATTCTCTCTTCTTTCAATTCTCTTTTCGAAACTTTCTTCTTCTTTCAATGCTCGAGCTTCTTATCGCAACATCGAACTTTCCGCTACAAAGCGTTAAGGCAACACTAACACACACGCTACCGTATAACGGCAAATAGAATATGTAAATTACAAGACGGCCCGAACGCATAGATTGATCAATTTTTACAACTCCAAATAGACGGGTTTAGCGGACCCCTACGCATTAACTACAGCATTTAGCCATCATTACTCATCGTAGCTCTGAAAAAACATGCAAGAAAGCCGTGCCGTGCAGTAAGTATATTTTCGCGGAAGGATTTGCTCATTTTAGCTGTAAACGGACAGGTTATTGAGGGTGTTGTTGAATAACGCGGACGACGCCCGTGGAATTAAGCCTCTGAGTTTATCGCTCCGGAAGGAAGAGAGCGCATACATATTATTATAAAAAATTGACGGTGCTGGTTCGTACAATAGTTTGTTTAATTGTAAGTTTTTAAAGCTGGAGTGTTGTAGAAAGGACTTTTGGCCAACTGAGTTGAAGAAATAAGGCCAGTATTTGAGAGTATAGTGACGAAACGTAGTGACGGAACGCAGTGCCAGCAGCTTTGGAAAGAGAAAAGATTGAAAAAACACATTCACAATTGGTTTCCCAGTCGAATTTCTGAAATTGTGAGATCGATAGAAGTATAAAGAGTTATGTTCAGACGTAAGAAAGACAAGGCTGAGGAGAAGGAAGTGGACAAATCCAAGTGGATACCGATCGAAACTCCAATCGCAGATTTGTCGGATTCCATCCATCCTCCAAAAGCAGCAGAATTGACAAAGGAACAAAAAACTAAGTATGCAGAAGTGCTTAAACATTTCCAGAATCCGGAACTGAAGGTTCCAACCACGGAAAAGGCTAATGGCCCAGATTCAGCTTTGGAAACAATAAAACCGCTGGAAAAGGCGTGGCTCACCAGAGACTGTCTTTTGCGGTATCTCAGAGCCACCAAGTGGAACGTAGCCGACAGTATCTCACGTATCACACAATCGCTCGCCTGGAGACGTCAATTTGGCATTAACGACTTCGGGGAAGAAAACGGCGACGCTTTAACAGCAGCCACCGTAGAAGAAGAAGAAAAAACCGGGAAACAAGTTGTCCTGGGGTTCGAGAACGATGCCCGTCCAATCCTGTATTTGAAAGCCGGACGCCAAAACACTAAAACCTCGCATCGCCAGGTCCAGCATCTGGTGTTCATGCTCGAAAGAGTCATCGATTTCATGCCCGCCGGTCAGGACTCCCTAGCGTTGTTGATCGACTTCAAAGAATACCCAGACGTGCCCAAAGTGGCCGGCAACAGTAAAATACCACCCATCGGTGTGGGAAAAGAAGTGCTACACATTCTACAAACTCACTATCCAGAAAGACTGGGCAAAGCGCTGCTAACAAACATCCCATGGCTCGCGTGGACTTTCCTAAAGATGATCCATCCCTTCATCGATCCCATGACTCGGGAGAAATTGGTCTTCGATCAACCTTTCCCGCAATATGTTCCTGAAGACCAACTTGATAAGCTTTACGGTGGTCTTCTAGACTTTACATACAAGCACGACGTTTACTGGCCAAAGCTTCTGGAAATCTCTGCTCAGAAGCGCTCCCATTATTTGTCACGGTTCGAAAAGTTTGGAAGTCAAGTTGGTCTTAGCGAATACGACCTAAGAGGTGATCATTCGGAAGTCACTTATCCGGTCGAGCCCGTCAGTACATAGAATCGCATGAAAACAAAAAAGTGACAAATTGTTGAGATGGGCCACAAAACTATACAAAATGCCTACGCTTTCAATCCTTTTCTTGTGCTTAAATAGAGTTCTTTTCTAAGGACAAAATGTCAATGATAATATTAAAATGCTTATGCTATCCACGTCTCTAGTCTAACCTTTTTCTGTCCCATTGGTTGGTCAAAAAGGCTTCGCGCATTTGCGCAATTCCATAAACCCAGTATTGGGCGCCACCATCGTTTGCCAATCTATAGCATACATCAAACCTCCGGCACCGTTGAAAGCTCTCGCAAAAACTACACCAAGGTCGTTTCTTGCCGTGGATAAATGGTAATTCGAGCCGTCACCTAACGATATAACTTGCGCTCTTACTATATCACCAGGTCTAAAACTTTCCATGATTTTTACTCTATCCCTGTCGGTCGCTCTGACATCCCGAGCGCTGATAATACCCCTGAAGGTTTCTCCCAAATCCGAAGCTGCCTGAGAGACTGATAGAGTGGCGGCAGCAGAACCGCCTCCTGGAGCACTCACGCCAGCACCATTACTGCCGACGCCGGAGTCCACGGGTATGATTTTATTTTCGAGCGCCAGAATTTCAACATTGGCCCTTTGCGATGAAATGCGTGTAATTCTTGCCAAAACAATGCTGCCCTCACGAGGCAAATTATTGGCGAAATCCTCAGTAACATTTTTTTCTGCTAGATTTCCGTCTGTCACAGTTACTATGAATCTCTTTTCGGGCTCCGAGTCATCGGAAACCTCTTCATCTTCTTCTTGTTCTTCTTCTGCTTTTCCTTTTCCTTTTTCCCTTCCTTCTTTTTCACTTTTCGGTTCTCCACCGTCCGTGACGTCTTTTGATTCGTTCCCCTCCGTCGGTACTGCCTGAGACTCCTGCTCTGTGAATCGCACATCCCCAAGAACAGTGGCTGTCAGAGCTCTCATCGCCTGTCCATTGACTTCGTAGTTCTCTTCAATAACACCATCGCCAGGAATATAGCGTATAATTTCTTGAGATTTCTCGCTCTTTTCACCTAACTCATATGTCGGGCAGATCAATTGCCCAGGGTATGCTAAGGGGTAGCTCCTAGTGTGAAACGCCATTAAAATCTTGATTGAGAGCTTTGCCAGACAAGTAGTTGATCTATCATCGAGTGCTCTCTTGAAAATATCACTTCAAAAGATAAATTTTTCAATACTAAGGCCAATGTCTTCTTACGAAGACCAAAGATCCTAAAGTAAGCCAGCCCATCAGATAGAAGCATTGCAATAGGGCCCGCCATTACCAACTGTAAAGTTTTTTTTAGGTCATCACTCTCAACTTTCTCTCTCCATTGTATATTTGAATTTGTTTTCTTGTCTATCAGTAGAAATGCGTGTAGCACTTGGATTCTTCATGAACTTCCATCTCGGATTTTAGAGTGTTCAACTCATCTTTGATCATTTGCGCTAGTTGTGGGGTGAGCTGGTTGCAGGTAGCGATGTCCGGGTGTCTGTCATACTCGTTTTCGGTGTAAGTTGCATATAGAATAATGTGGGAAGAAAATGCAACGGTTTTTGCAGACGTAGACCCTGCAAACGAGTCTGTCATTGTATATGCACTTGACGAGGGCTGCATCAGAGTTTTTGCAGGAGGGTTGTTTAGCTGGTTAGCGCGCAGTCCTTTGAACGATAGCGACAATGGCCTGCTACCTTGCGTGATGGGGCTCTGCCATGGCGATGCTATTTCGTCTTCATCTGCAATCGATTCATCCAGTTGGTTGAAGTTCTCATCTTCGAAGTCCTCGTCATTGTCTGTTATCTCGATTCCCGAGGCCAGGTATTCCGAGACAGAACGGTCGCTGTCATTACTGCGTTGGCTCATTGTAGCCAGAGGAGGGCCCAGCAAGACATTACTGTCGTTCTGATTACGCTCTCTCGAAGGAAGACCGAGATCCAGGGAATCTGATTGGGGAATGTCGCTTTCCTTTAACGAATGCCTTGAATTCTCTGTCGGGTTCAATGAGCGGTACCCGTTCTCAGCAGAGTTGAACTCCAAATCCAAATTCAAATCCTTCCCAAAATCGATAATATTGGCGAATTCCATAATATCTGACATAAATTCGCGTTCGTAGTTGTCAGCTGCCGGGGCATTTGTTTTCTTCTTTGGGCTGGTGTAGTTGTCCTCACTGTCGCTGTCCACCGTGAGATCATTCAACTTCTGCTCAATTGAAGTAAACGAGAAGTCTCTGTCCCCGGGGTTAAAGGAGCTGCTTTGGGGCGCCGAATCTTTCTGGCTTCGGCTGATGCTTTTTTGAGGCGAAAACTCAAGGCTATCGAAAGTTCCATTTCTCAGTATACTGTTTGTGGGAGATTTGGTTAAATCTGGCGTAGATAGTTTAACGCCAGCAGGTTCGGTAATGTACATTCCACCATTTTGTACTTTAGCTGAGATATGATCAGTAAAAGATCTGCGGTGCGAGTTGATTGAGTTCCGTTTGTTCGATTTGACTGAGCGCGACCTCTCCAGCGATACGATTGATTCGACCTCCTGGGCGCTGAGAGACTTGGGAAACAAAACTTCACCGGAATCTACCTTTCCGAAATCGCTTCCGCTAGTTTCGGGTACCTCAGGGGCAGGAATCAAAGATATGTTATTTGCAAGCAAAATTGGCGCCTCTTGAGTGGATATGTCAGGTGAGTTGCGCTGGAGAGCCTCGGCTTCATGCACTGATTCCTTTACCTCTTTTTCAGCGGGAGCTTGGAAATTTCTTGAATCGTTTCCAGAAAACTGTGTAGATTGAGTGCGGTGCTCGAAATTGAGTGGGGTTGGTTTGCGTGCCCTGACATCGCGTTTAATTGGCACGTCATCATGTATGGACGTCGAGTAATTTTGTTTTTGGCGTTGCTTTGGTAAAGGCGAGTTACCACCCGACCCTTCTTTATTACCACTTTTGTTCTTTCTGAAAGCGCTGAAGATACTGCCATTACTATGTGACTTTTTGGTCAAGCGAGTTGAGGCTGGTAGACCATCATCTTCTCCTGTCTTTGGAATAGAAAATGTTGACGAAGTCGGCAGTGAGCTCTCCGGGTGGGGGCTAGTGACGATGAAAGACGCAGATTTCTGAGGCTTCCTTCTCAGGAACGAAAATATGTTTTTGCGCTTTCTAGCGTCACTAGATTCCTTCCCAGACTGTTCGACAGAACCGCGAGAACTTGAGGACATGCCTGAAAATGACCTTATTGAAGAAGCCTGCTTCTTTGCAATCGGACGTGACGCATTGACACTTTCTGCGGATTCCGTGGGAGCAGAACCTGTGCCTGGTGTTTTGACATTCGCTTTGGTACTGTTCTTCTCTGTCTCCTGTAATGGATCCTGTTTTGATTCGATTGTTGTCGGGAAGTCTGAAGCCGCAGGTTCGACTCTGGGGGTGGGAGGATCCATTTTAGGAGTCATCAGGAAATCTGGCTGCTCTTGTACTGCGTTATGTCCATGTTCTTGCTTGAAGCTCATGAAATTGCCGCCATTCGACCCGCCAATGTCGATCAGATTTGGTGATTCTTTGACCAGCGCAACGGACTCATTATTGAGAGAGGGGGTCTCTTCTTGTATCGATTGTTCCAATAACATGCTCTTTCTCATGCGATTTTCGACTCGTCTGGTTTTGTCACTCAAAATACCAGATAGTGCGCTCAAAGAAGGCGAGGCAGTCACCTTCAAGGTTTTTGTCTCTGTCTCTGTCTCTTCAACATCCGCAAAATCATCAGTGTACCCGTTTGAATCTTGAGGATCCTCAAATTCGTGCACATTCTCTGCTTTTGGAAGTCTCAATCCCGAATCGTAGCTGGTATCTCTGGACATATCCGGTAGTACCACAGAGTTCCGAAAGTTACGTGCATGGTCGGAATTGTCTATGGAGTTCGACGAATAGAATGAGTCATTGAAGTAGCTCTCTTCATCATGACCTGACTTCACTTGGTAGCCAGACATGACACAACGACACGTATCCAGGATTTTTGTATATCCTCACTTGCTTGTTCTCCTGCGTGCGATATATCGCTGCAAAAGTACTGTTTTCAATACGCGTTTTTTTTTGACCAATGAAGACTAGCTTGCAGTGGCCACAAGTACGGTTGATGTAGACTATGAGATCTGGGAAACAGTGGGGTTTGGTTGGATCTCAAGAGGTGTGCTTCTTTAAACACCTTTACGCGCTCTAAACAATTTTCGTGATCTCGAAAAGATATGTTCGTCTGTGATGATACGATTTGCACGCTAGTATAATTACAGTAGAGAATATATAAGTATGTGTTAGCGAAGGATTGAATGAGAACTGAGACCCTCGACCACTCCAGTCAAGCTTGGAAATAACCCATATCTCTTGGGAGTAGTAGAAAGAGGCCGTTGCAATTTTTTTCGAGAAAAAACGACTATTTTTCGTCTTTTTTGTCTCTGGGATTTATCCTCATAGCTTCTTACCTTTATATGTATCAAGTCACATTATCACACATTCTTTATCAGAGCTGTGCGCCTTAGTGTTGGTGTAAGGAAGCCTTTTCTGGACGCTTTCCCGCGTCTTCGAGGTTGGCATCTTTTTAATGGCCTTACTCCTCGAAACCTGTGCCGTAGCTGCCAAATCTGGGTTGATGGTCGGCTTTGAATTTGGATTTGGATTTGGATTTGAAGTTGTAGTTGTAGTTGCAGGTGGCCAGAGAGGACTCTTGGTGTTGGGCAAGCCCTTGACCAGGTCTGGAACTGGGAATATTATTTCGTTGTTCAATGCGTCAATCTTTAGCACTGGGTCAATACCAAACTGCAGTATGCTGTTTGCCAAGAAACTGTAGAGCCTGGACCATGTTTCCTCGAGCTCGAGCGTGCTCTGGTGTCCGAAACGCTCCTTGACGGTCTTGAGAAATGCCATGCCCATGAGCTCGAAATGGAAAGGCTCAATGCCAAGAATTCTTGAATGGCGTTTCCCCAGACCACTCAAATACGCCTCAAGCGTTGATAAATCGTCTAGGTTGTTGACGGCCATCGTCAAGACACCTGCAAAGGCGACAGCTTGGTGGCGGATCGATGGGAACATCTTCTCAATGGACGGCTCCATATACAAAAGGTTCCCGTAAAATTGACTGCAGAAAATGGAGCTAGCGAACGTAGCGCTACCAACGGTTTCTGTGGCGAAATGAGGGCCGCTTGTAGGGCCAGCAGATGATGCAGAGACATGCGAGAAAGATGAAAACGATGGGGCTGCGGCTCCCGAAGCATTTGTGAAGGCAGAACTCGTACTACCACGATGCATTTGGCCCTTCATACCGTGAGTGGCCGCGCCAGCGCTGCCAACGCTACCAAAAGCACGTGGTGGAATGCGACTCGAGTTGGTGGAAACGCTTTGGCGGTGGGCACGGAAACTACTGGTACTACTGTTGTTGCTGGTGATACCACCGCCACCGCCCCAGCCATGCGGTGCCAAATCGTGCCACAGACGGCGGATTGTTGACCGAAATTTATCTTCAGGAATATCGTCGTTGAGCATCACCGCCCACGAGCTGCGCAGCAGGTTAACTTCGCGTGGTGTAAGCTTTAGTACGATTTTGTAGCGGACGCCATGGCTCATACCTGTGCCACGCGACGATCCACTGGAAACGCTCGAAAGCCGGTCCATATTGTCTATGCTATTTAGCGATGTCGTGGTCCGGGCTATCCCATCGCTGAAAATGCTTTGTGACGTCTCTGAAGGCACCAACGAGTCCCGGAACGAAGCATAATGGTCTCCACTTGCTCTTGATTGTGCCGATATTCCTAGCTCGCTTTCCGGAATCGATTCCTGCTCAGTTGCAATGAAATCGATCTGCGATCTGTCTAGTGTGTTGAAAAATGGTTTACTGCTCATTATTAAGATTTCGAGCTGATCTGACCAAGCTGATCTGAAAAATAAAGAGGCCAGCTTTGTCGTCCGCAACTGATTTTGGAGTTTTTGAGATTCTGATCTAAAATACTCTTGTATTTTATTTCAACGCTGCCTGATCTACTCTGCAGACACTGCATGCATGTTTTTGCTGGATTTGGTCATATCTTAAAGTATTTCAACGGCTTTGCCGAATTTTTCACTTTGTCGTCATGAATAAGCGAGAGTGCAAAAAAAACTCAATTGGCGTGCCAGTGAGAGACCACGGAAGGGGAATGCGATGCGGAGGATGCAGCTAACGAGAATGCCACGCCAGGTGAATCAAGATTGGCACGCAAGAAGGCGCATCGGAAGGCTACATTGTGAGAGAGTTGAAAATCAGCTTGAATTTCATAGGCCAACGTCTGTGACCATTATAGGAAGAGTGCGTGTTTAGCACGCTTTCTGGGGACAGTGTAAGGGCTAGAAAATATGGAACGAAAAAGCATTTACGTGGAAATCACAGTAGAGGGAGTCTAAAACTTAAAATGATCTCGTCGTGGACCTTTTTTTTTCGGTAATACGAGACTCGTATCGCTTACTTCTAAGCGTGCGCAGTCTGTTTCTTTCCTGGTTCAAAAACTAAAGTTTGTTTTTAGCGGGGAGAAAGGAGTCGTAGTACAGCATTCCTAAGGAACCCTTTTTGAATATCTATTGTGGGATCAGAGGAGTTCCTGTCGAAAGCTGTGCCAATTACGCTCGAGAAATAATATATTAATTGAAATTAACTCTGGACATGAAAATTCACATTGTAGAAGACAACGAGAAAGGAAACCAGAGTCTGATTGATTGACAAGTGGGAATTTTGTGCCGTCAGCTGAATTTTTGGGAACCGTTGTAGTTGTAAGTGTGTTCAAATCTTGGCAATCGTGCAAACTGAACATCACAAGAAATTGGACAGTTGCCGCATGAGAACTCGGTAAATCGTCTTCCGGTTGCTGAAACTACTGCTGTAGACATCTCAATTCACATCAATTCTTCATGTACGAAAACTGCAAGTTTAGCGGATCCTTCCGTTAAGGATATCGCGGCCCGTCATTCAGGAAAATTCCTAACTTATTGGGTTTTGCCAGCGTGCGACACGTAAAGGCCAAGTGATGTTGAAGAAAGTCAACTACAGCCTCTCTGCAAGGTCCGGGAATGTGAAACTATCACCAATGGCTAAGACATAATGACGACAGTGATGTCACTTCCCTTTCCTAGCGCATAAGCTTTATTCAAGGCGATGCAGCTGTCTGCGGGGTCCGAAAAAGCGGTGTTTCAGGCAAACGATAAAGCGCGATGGGTGTGACAGGCAAGAGAGGACGTAATTCGAAGAATTGACAGGTCGAAAAATGGGATTTACACCGATGACAAAGAAATAACATGCTGTACATTTCTCAAAACACACTCCTGCACCGCCCACGACATACCTATCCAGCGATTACGAAACTGCAAATGACCGAACAGGCCTAAAAGTAGACTTGAAAATGAACCGAAGTTGGATGTTTCCCAGAATAGAATCGGTGTGTATGATGGATTTGGCAAATCTTTTTCAATCTATCAGCCTCGTCTTCGAAACGAGCTTACACTCATGTAGACTGGGCCAGCTTTAGTCGTGGAATCCCGAACGATTCCTGTTTCGATAGTCACCCACGACAATCTTGAATGATATCACTCTGATGATGAGGGGAGGGGCCCTGTTCGACATTCGCCTCTTAACAAACATATGAGATACAGGTTTTCTCGGTTAGAAAAGGATACGTATTTCAGTTCAGATTTATTAGTAACACAGCGGTGGTAACAACTCCCAATTTATTGCAGTTCGCCTCGTCGGTGGGAAAGAATATACCGCCGTCTTGCAAAAAGGTTTCCAGCACCCACGATTGAGTTTTGACGCGTAGAGAGGTACATACAAGACGTTCAGCTCATTTGATGAAATGTTAATTCTACGGTACTAAATTGTAGTTTCGTTAAATTCGCATTTATTTCGACCCTACGTCTTAAGCGGAAATGCAAAAACACTCAAAGAATAACAATCGTAATATTCTGCCTAACAGTTCTCAAAGACCTCTCCATTTTATTCTAGATCAACTTTGTTCGAACTCATGAAGAGTAGGTTCACTTTGATATCCATTGTTTGATGCATTGAGATTATTCCGTCGCTATCGTTGATCACGTGATTTCTTCAAGCTTATTTTACATACTTGGGATTTCAAGACCCACGATCAGCTTTTCTGATCCTTTTTAAGCTTACCTCGTCTTTATTGGCTCTCGGGTCTACCCTGACAATTTAGTTTCTCCATCAATAGCACATTTTGAACCTCTTTCCCGTCTGTGACTTGCAATTCGTTCAGTGCTCGAGACTGATGGACCTCAATTTAACTTGTTTACACTAAAAATTCACAAAAGATTCAACTTTTCATGACATTTAAAGGCAGCCTCTGGCAACACTGAAGCGGCCATGGAGGTCCGAAATAACGTCAACGACGTATGCTACCTTGAATCGTTGCACGGGAAAGCCCTGCTTTCCCGTCTGGTGAATTTTCAGCCGCTTACCAGTTCGCATGCAAAGATCAAATCATATCCGCTCAACCAGATCAAAAACCAAAGAGTACAAGAGGCTCTGGTGGTACGAGACTTACTCAATGTACTGGTCGGGTTAGAAGGCGTCTACATCAGATACAACAACAGTTATCAACCAGAATTGGGGCTTCAAGATGACATTCGTGGTCCCGATTTCAGAATCGCCAAAAACATGGATCTTTCACTTAAAAGTTTCGCTAAATGGATTGTAAAATTTGGCAAGATTTACGTTGTTTTGACACGTTTCAGTGAGCGATATAGTGAGCCTGTTTATGGATCGGTGATGCACCGGCTCTGTTTTGAGATTCGACAGTTCCTAACCTACGATTACGTGCGTAGTATAATTGAACAGGCAGAAGCTGAATTCCAAACAAATCCACTTTTCAGCATTCGAGGTCTAGGACAGCTGCTCACACAGAACTGTGCCTATAAGGCACAATTACTGTACGATTTGGTACAAGAGATAATGCGAGAAATGAACCGTCGGGCGCTAATGGATCGCGAACAGGCGGATTTTCAGAACTTCATGCAAGATCTGAAAAGGGACACTTATAACAATAATTCCTCCCTCAAAAATGAGACGAGCGCTCTCTTCATAACCGATTCACGTATAAACATTCATGCGCGCGGTGGTGTGATTTTGCAAATGATCCAAGACACCATCAATCTACACAGAGGCAACGAGCGTAACGTAAGCTTTCTCCAGAAGCTATTCGAAGACGTTTCAGTGCAGTACTGCTCCATGCTGGATAGCTGGCTTACCAACGGTTCCCTGGAGGATCCGTACGGAGAGTTCATGGTCGCTGATACCGCGAAATCATCATCGCGTCAGGAAGCACTGCGACTCAATTCATTGAACAGTGAACGCCTCTGGGATACACAGTACGTGATACGGAAGGACGGGATTTTGAATGATTTTGATAAAGGGAATATAGCATTCAAAGTTCTGATGACAGGTAAACTGTTGGACCTATTTCGCAACTGCTGTGATCTGCAAACTACCATGGGCATCTTGCCCAATGAAAAATTGAAATATCCTCTCAATAGATTGCCGCAGAGAACAGAGCTTTTGTTATATGTGGATTCGCATTACTCACGCGCCAATAAATTGGCACACGTTCTGTTTTACACCGGATACGATCTACCGCGAGTACTTCAAGAATTCCATCACAACTTCCTGCTCTTTAACAACCCTGGCTTTTTCAAGAAGTTTTTCAATCGTTCGCTAGTAGAACTTACTAAGCTCCGCAACGGCTCGGTTATAGAGAAACTCCGAAGGACATTTCGAGAGTATCAAAGCTCTCGAGAAGAAGAAAACAACAAGGTAGTACTACCCTTGATGAACTTACAACTTGACGAAAGTTGTTTTCAGCGGGTCATCGAGCAGTTTTCTTCAGAAACAAGCACTGACAACGACAACGCAAACCTTTTACAGGCTAGTAACTTTGGGAACCTTCGCGATTTGCTATTACGAGATTTAGACGTGCAAGAAATGAGCGAGGGAAACCAATCCAAGAGAACTGAGTTTGATTACTCTATTCATCACCTACAATTTGAGATCATTGTACCATATCCTTTTAACACCATCATTTCGAGGACTTGCATCTTTCAGTACCAGGCAATACAAAGGTATCTCTTATTACTGCATTATTACAATAAGGTTCTCGAAGACACATGGTTTGAGATCAACAAAAGCAAGATTTGGAGGCATCCGGGCTTCAACAAAGACGTGCATTTATGGATACGACGATGCCGAGTGTTACATTTCCGAATGGCACAATTTATGAAGCTCATGCTGGAATATACCAGTCTGGACGTTATTCAGAACGGCTGGTCGGACCTTGAGAAGCAAATAAAGAATGCAACATCAACAGATTTCGACTTTCCACAATTTCAGAACTCATTGCAAGATTTTCTGACGCAACAAATGTCGCATTCATTGTTGACCAATGCGTCATTAGTACGAATACTGGTTCAAATAACAAACATTGTCCATCGGTTCTGCAAGTTCGTCACCTCGCTAAGGAAGACACTGTGCTCATTAGACGTGCGTCTTTTCTCTTACTACCATGGACAATTGTCGGATGAGGTGCAGTATGACGAAATAGCAGCTTTGCAGAAGCTTCAGGAACTGCAAAAACATCTGACTTTAATTTGGGACAGCTTTACTCAGCATAAAAGTGCATTCGCTGAAGGAGTAAGATACTATTGTAATCACGGTTCTGTACGAAGCGGGCTGAACCCCGTTTTGGCGCTGGAAGAAAGGCTGCGAGACATCGAGTTTGATGGCTAATGACTTCTTTTCTTTGTAAGTCAGAAATGACAAAGAAGATAAATAGAATATAAGAGTCTAATGAAGAATGACTTAGCATTTCCGCATCAATCAGTGAGTTGAGAGATCTTTCCAAGAGCTTGACAAGACTGGAGCTCAATGTAATGTGGGCAAAAAATAATTCTCCGCGACGGGGAATTGAACCCCGGTCCCGGGCGCGACAAGCCCGAATTCTAGCCACTAAACTATCGCGGACTGATATGTAAAGAAAATGTAATGCCAAACTCTCAACCCTTCTAAATGTCATATGACCTGAGCTCATCGGCTCAAGTGCCTTTCGACTTCTTAAAGGAATCAAACTCTCGGCTATTGACTAGCTTATTCAACATTTTGTATTTGACTTCACCCGATTCCACCTTTTCCAGACTATCGTACTCGATGAAGCACCGCCTGTACCAAAAAAAAGCGATAATTCGACATATCTGCATTTAAAATGACTTCTGATGCCCTGTCTCGAGAGATTGTCGCTGTCTTTGTAAGTGTGTATTCTTGCGACGTCTTACTTCCAAACTTTCATCACGGACATAAAAATTTTGATCGCTTTCATCCTCTTCAGCTTCACACATGAATTTTCGATCCCGAGCACTCGGATTTACGCTGTTTGACACCTTTTTCTTGACGGAATTTAGTGCTGCTCGACAGGTCGGTAGTGACAAGAGAGAGTAGGTTGCGAAGTCCGATTTGTTATACAGGGGTTTCTTTATGTAGCTTACGATTCAGGTACTTTATAACAAATGACTTTAGGAAAACTTGGTTTTAGCGGATTCTTGTTAGTTAAGGATAGAGTAGTAGTTCCACGCAACTTTGAAAGTAATTACCTTCACTTTGAAATTTCATTTTAACATCAGTTATTCATCGGAAAAAAGGTCGCCCGAGTCCGATGTGTTCGTGATTGATCGATCGGCGTCGGAGTTCGACGCAAGCTCAACGGAGTCCTCGAAAAGACCAAAACTGTAGAAGCGGCTTCTTAGTGTCATTACCTTTCTGAAATCGGCGCTGCATATATTAAAACGATCCTTGCGTATCGGAGCACCACCTTTTGAAAACGCTTGCTCCATTCCGCATGTGTTGAACCTTGTAAAGACCAATGATACGGCTAATGGGAAAAGATTAGGGTAGATAAAGCGTCTAGAATGCCACCACTCCAGAACATCATTAACGGAATTTGCAGACATCTCGCCTTCAGACTTGTATTTCTCCCACTCCTCCATCGTTTCTAAACTTGTTGCGACAGATGAGGACACCAACTTCTTTTCACGCCGGTCAAGACGAGGAATTTTGTATACCTTGTAACTTTTGGCTGGTTGACTCTGTAAAGGAGGGGATGGTAATGAAGACTGTTTCATCTTCGGTTGGCATTGGGCAAGGTAATGCTTGATATAAGTCTCTACCTTTTGCAATTGGTGTTCTCTATCTGATCCGTCTAGCAGCTGGCTGAAAGAATCAACTTTTGATGTAGGATCTAGAAACGCTGCCACAAAATATAGCTCATTGTTCCAAAACGATTCAAAGTAATCTGTGAACTTGGGCCTTGCAGAAAGAACGGCAGAAAGAACAGTGTTTTTTGCCTTTCGAGACAAGCTTTCCTTTCCGTTAATAAACGTGAAATCGAAACAGCCCTCCGACGGAGGTTTGATACCTTGAACGTCAGCATTGGCGCAAAGATCGAAGAATTCTTTCATCGTGTAATAGAATGAGATTGCATTAGGAAGCTGGTTGAAGGACTCATTCAGCAAGCTATCATTGAGATACTTGAATATGGAGCAGCAATGTACGAAATACTCCAGAATGTTTCTCGTATCCGGAGAAAGTTGCACATGTGGCGCCATCTTTGAGGCAGCCTTTTGATGATCTGATGACTTCCGGAAGTCTTCAAACCATTCTAAATATTTATCGTAATGCTCCAAATACTTCGCAATTTGATTCCACACCGGGAACCATGCGTTATCATGAGCTGATGGAATCTGAGGTAGCTTTGCGATAGCTAGAGAGTCCTTGGCAAGAGATGACCTTTTAACAATTCTTGCCAGCTCTGTGATGTTCTGTAGTCCTTTTTGGAACATATCGTCTTCACTCATCGTTTTCAGTATTATTTCGAATAAGCCGTTCAAAATATGACTAGCACATTGAATATGGTGAAACACTTCAACCTGTATGAGCTGCTTTGATCTCAAAGGCTTTATGAGATTGCAAACCGAGGTCAAATTTTTAAAAATGCTATTAGCGACAGTGTCAGAAGTTATGGATCCAATCTTCCCTTCAATTTTGAATCTCTTTATAGTTGAGCTGAGGGTCTCAAATAGAAACTCACCAGTTTGGGGGGTTTCAGTTATGTCCACGAGGTCTAACAGATGGCTGTTACACGGTCCATTGAGTCTGTTGTGAAGTACCATGGGTCCCACAGAATTCAATCGCTCGTTGTCCAACAGACTTGGAGCGAAAGAGGCAGATATGCCCAAATAGGACCGTCCGCTGAAACCAGTCCATATGTTCAGCTCCAAATTTATGAAGTCTGTTTTCTGCATGGCCGAAATTAGCCCTTCATCCATCCCCTTTGTATAGGTCTCTACTTTGTCACTTACAGTGGTTCGCGATTGAATGAAAGACATTTCGGGCATTAGATTCCCCATCCATCTGAATGTAGTAGACTCAACAATACAGAATGGTAGAAGCTTTTCTGTGATAAGTGCTACCATCATAAAAGCTCCAGGATTCTGTTCTATTTCAAAAACCAAAGTATCGGGAAGTGGTATTGGCAGTGATCGCAGACCAATAGTATCTGAAATACGTTCTCTTGGTTCCTGGGCCTTCTGAGCTCTGAACTCGGTTGCATGTAGGTTCTTTATATGCTTGGAAAGATTACCTGTGGATTTGCTTTCCTGAAAGGCCCTGCCACAATATATGCACGTTGCTATCTTCATTCCATCTACCTTGGAGATTTTGAAGTGACTACGCATCTTGGATCTTGCCATCCATCTGGATGCTTTCGAATCACTTGCTGGAGTTGCAGCGTCATGTTGATCGTTATTGGAGGCCTCATTATGGCTCGCGGACTCTCCTTCCATATCTGAGCCAGTCTTTTGTGCTTGATTATCGTTATTATTAGCGAGTTGACTGCTCATTATAGTCTTCAAAGATGGCCTTTGGCTATTGCATCGTCATGTTGAAGTTGAAGTTGAAGTTGAAGTAAGTGTGTATATCTTTTTTTTGAATTACGCGTTCTTATTAAACATGTACTCGCTAACGCGTCGCGTGAATTTTTAGAGTACTCGCAAGATCGTTAACGCGTCGCATATGATAGTGTCATAGTAGTAGTGATGACAGCAGGCATAGTTGAAGGACTGCTAGCGTTGAGCGGTCAATTCTGAATGATGTCGATGGATCAAATGTCTTGTTTGTATCCGTTGTAACATGTATGCTTGAATTGGAATCATGCAATGAGCCTCTTTTCCTTTAATGATGCTCTTCGTTGTTGCCAAGTTCTGATAATGTCTTCGATTGAACTTGGATTCATTTCTCAGTAGCTTGTTCATTCGTATGTGAAAGTTGCCACGCTCTTTCACGTCCGTCTTCCTAATATATCTTCATCATCTTTTGGTGAAGGCAAGTATCCAGGTGGACTCTGGTGGGCTAAACTGAAAGCGCCACATGTAAGCTGGAATAGCAGTTAGCGTCCGGTTGCTTGAAACTGACCTGTTCTTCAAGAATCCGGTTTTTGTCTTATAGAGTTTGACGCTTGTGTGTGCAAACACACTGCGTGATCTGTGATGCGTTGATTCTTGCAGCCTGACGCCAGGAGGCACGTTAATTCATGAAGGCCATATAGCGGTAGTTCATGTGCTGCTCTGTTGCGAGCTTTGTGATCTGGAAACCCGGGTGAGCACCGTTTTTGGCTTCTCAAAGTGAAGGTAAGCATGTTGTTGAATGCCCATTGTCTTGAAAGTCACGACGCATCTCGATAAAAGCATAAATGCCAACCATTTTGGGATCTTCATATCGTGATTTAGCAGGTCCAGTGTGTGAATTGTGGGCAGCTAGTCCCATTAGTGATACACGTCGTTATTGGGTTTTTTTCTCTCGGCGTTGCAGATCTCAGCAACAGGCATGCCAATGCCCTCGCGCAACAAATCTACAAGTCCTCCCATAGTTTGGTCGGTGGTAAAACCTACATGAAGGCACACTTCCTTTGCATGCATCAAAAGGCAGTCCCCTCCATTTAATTTATCGGACTCTCTATATTTTGAGGACGTTGTTCGAAACGCGGGTGGCAGTAGGTGGTATTGTCCTGATTGAAGAATCCTTTTTAGAATTCATCGCTCAAAGTTTGTCGGGAGCGGCGGCATTGTTTGACACTTGGGACGAGTTTACCACCTACGGATCGCTGGTTTCCTTGTCCGAAATACGCATCTCAAGACTACTTAGATTGGGAGCAATTACAAGAGGGCTACAGAAATCGAAAAGGAGATGTCAGTAGTAAAAGCATGGGAATCTACTGTCATGTTGGGAATTGGCGCTTGTGGGGGGAAAGAAAAAGTGCATGGAAATGGCTAGAACGATTTGGAAGTGTCTCCCTCATTAGTGACAAGAAAATGACGAGTGTTTAGGCCAATGTCGTTTTGATGACAAAAGTTGCGGTGGCTCATTCTCAAATTTGTTGTCATATGCTGGTCCCAGAGAAATAACAGGTTGTAAATTCTCACATCGACTATCGTTTTTGTCATAGGGAAGGATTTGCAGGCCAGATGAGAGGACGACTAGAGGCCAAGAGGTGTCAATTAGGCTGAGTGACCATGTGAGAGCGTCAGCGGGAGAAACAAGAAAACTTTAACCACTGCCAACCAGGCTGTTCGATGCCAAATTCGGTCCATCAACAGAGTGCAAACCTCCAGGCATCTGAAAGTGGCAGTGCGTTTCTAAAAAATCCTCAATAAACCTACGCACCCAATTGAGACACACTACTGAATTACCTCAAGGAAGTAATGGCCTCGTGGTCTCGTTGCATCAATGTGAATACATCATCGAAATCCAAATTCACCAACCACAAGTGATTTTTCGTCCCTGTGAACATCACGAGTGGTAATTGTAATGACCGAAGGTACACAGCCCAGCTCCTGAAATCATATTGAACTCTCAAACTGATCGCTATGCGCTCTCAATTGTCATGTATGGCTCTAACTTTATGCATGGCTGTCAATTATGTGGAAGTGATATTAGCTGTCCTCGAGTACACTACCGCAAATACACCGAATGCCAAGACAATATGGATTAAAGACCCTATGAGTCCACGGCCATCTCGAGTCCCAAAGCCGTAACACCCAACGAGCAAGACAATAAACACCACATTCACACCCAATCAAGTCCTAGTTCACGCTCAAAGTCATCCCAGACCTAGAACAAAAACCTCCCAGGATCCGACACCATTTTTCACATATGCAATCGCTAAAGCTGGCGTCTCTGACACCGCTTCATTGAGTACAGAGTGACAGAGTGACCAGCGAGCGACATTGGCTTGCTTCCTCTGTTGTTCACCGTTCCCGATCCATTGAGCTAGCTAGCTCATCGCGTGTCGTCTCGTTCAACAATACATGGTGACAGCTCTTTTTACGAATGTTCTCGAAAAAGCTTCCACTTTCATCGGGCTTCCTACAGCTTCCTACAGCTTCCGACGCTTTCGATTCCAGATCACGTGCCTCGGACCCTCGTGACACAGCTTCTGGAAGCTAATGCACCACCACTACCATTACGGTAGCGTAGCGTCCATGTCAGTCGTCTCAGTAAGTCCACCACCAATATCACCACCACCATCACCACCACCAACGCCCACAACAGCACACGCTACCACACTCGCCATCATCACAACAAAAAAAACAAAATGTTGTGGTGTGATCAAGGAAGCGAGGTCTCGGTCAATTTTGCACGCAAAAATTGTGAAAGATTCGGGTATATATAAGGCGCGCCTTTGACCACTTCAGTCCATCAACCTCTCTTTGTAGTTCTTGTCTATCGCTTTTTCTTATTTCTCCAGAAGTCTTCTTTCCAAGAAACTACTGAACAACTCTCATCAAAAAACAATCAAAATGGCTATCTCTAAGGTTCACGCTAGATCCGTCTACGACTCTCGTGGTAACCCAACTGTCGAAGTTGAAATCACCACCGAACAGGGTCTATTCAGATCGATTGTTCCATCGGGAGCTTCCACCGGTGCCCACGAGGCCAACGAAATGCGTGACGGTGACAAGTCCAAGTGGATGGGTAAGGGTGTTCTGAACGCCGTTGCCAACGTCAACAACGTCATCGCCCCAGCTTTGATCAAGGCCAACGTTGACGTCAAGGACCAGTCCTCCGTTGACGAGCTATTGTTGTCTCTAGACGGTACCGCCAACAAGACCAAGTTGGGTGCCAACGCCATCTTGGGTGTCTCCATGGCCGCTGCCAAGGCCGCCGCTGCTGAAAAGAACGTTCCTTTGTACAAGCACTTGGTGGACATCTCTGGTGCCAAGTCCCAGCCATTCGTTTTGCCAGTTCCTTTCTTGAACGTCTTGAACGGTGGTTCCCACGCTGGTGGTGCTTTGGCCATTCAGGAATTCATGATTGCCCCAACCGGTGCCAGCTCTTTCGCTGAGGCTCTAAGATTGGGTTCCGAAGTCTACCACAACTTGAAGTCTTTGACCAAGAAGAGATACGGTCCTTCTGCCGGTAACGTCGGTGACGAAGGTGGTGTTGCTCCAAACATTCAAACCGCCGACGAGGCTCTAGACTTGATTGTCGACGCCATCAAGGCCGCTGGCCACGATGGTAAGGTCCAGATCGCTTTGGACGCTGCCTCCTCTGAATTCTACAAGGACGGTAAGTACGACTTGGACTTCAAGAACCCAGAATCCGACAAGTCCAAGTGGTTGTCCGGTGTTGAATTGGCTGACTTGTACGCCTCTTTGGTCAAGAAGTACCCAATTGTTTCCATCGAGGATCCATTTGCCGAAGATGACTGGGAGGCCTGGTCTCACTACTTCAAGACCGCCGGTATCCAGATTGTTGCCGACGACTTGACTGTCACCAACCCTCTAAGAATCAAGACCGCCATCGAGAAGAAGGCTGCCGACGCTTTGTTGTTGAAGGTCAACCAAATTGGTACTTTGACCGAATCCATCAAGGCTGCCAACGACTCCTTCGCCGCTGGCTGGGGTGTCATGGTTTCTCACAGATCCGGTGAGACCGAAGACACTTTCATTGCCGACTTGGTTGTTGGTTTGAGAACTGGTCAAATCAAGACCGGTGCTCCAGCGAGATCCGAAAGATTGGCCAAGTTGAACCAATTGTTGAGAATCGAAGAAGAATTGGGCTCCAAGGCTGTCTTTGCTGGTAAGAACTTCCACAGCGGTCAAAACTTGTAAGTCAACTTAACTTGCTGCGGTTTATACAGTTTATGAGTAAGTAACGAAACATAACATTTGAAGCTACGACGTTGGAAGATCTAATGAGAGTAACAAGTCTTGGATTGAACAGGCGTGTGACATCGTTACAGGGTGTCTTTATACCGAGTCCCAACCGTTTATGAGATCCTGATAGCCCTTCATTCGGTGACTCGACTGTTCGAGCTTCGCAATGAACAATTATCTTTCCTTATAGAATACATTAAATTCATAATTGAACATCTGTCAAAACCTACTTGAGCGCACCTCTAAACAAATAACCAAAGGAAATGAAGCACAGCGAGATGAATCACGGTGATATGAATCAGGGTCACAAGGACATGTGTTCTATGAACATGTTGTTTACTTGGAATTACGAGAACACATGTGTAGTGTTCAAATGGTGGCACATTCGTACTGTGCCGCAATTGGTCTTTAGTATGATCGTAATCATACTAATATCTCATCTATATGAGTATTTGAAGTACTACGCAGGTAGATCAGTGGCCACTGGTGGCTCAGGTAACGGACGGTCTGCGAAAATCAGTCGAGCCAGTTGGTACGGCCTTCAGGTCGGATTTTCGTTTATGCTCATGCTGGTCTTTATGACATACAATGGATGGCTCATGCTGGCGGTGGTTATGGGCGCGGCATGGGGTAATTATTCATGGGGCAATAGCACAGTCGACAATGGTGGTACGCGTAGTTTGGCGTGTCATTAGAGTGGATATGGTGGCCGCCAGTTTTGGCCGTGACGTTTGAGAGTTTTTACGAGATTTTACTCCATTACAAGGGTCAAGATAATATACACATTTAGGAATATGGAAAATCGTTTCAGGGAGGGCATCTTTTCTGGGCAGTAATGACATTCAGCCTCTAAAACTTTGTTGGTTTAAATGTGATTGCAGCACTTGCTTGATGAGCAATACTACAGTGACGATGTTTATGACATTGTAAGCAACACGCCATATCGACGTGCATTCCTGAGCGAGAGAACGCTGCGTTTAACAGAGTCATTTGCCCATTTCTTGTCTTTAATAGTACTTGGAATTATATATCAGCTGTCGTCTTTCCAAAAGAGCGTCACGATAAAGAGGATTCTGAGAAGATCTGTTTCGCGTGATGCAGTAAAAAGGATTCCATCGGGGGGATGTTATTATTCACTGTAGATAATCGTAACAGTTGTCCGATGCAGCCTCGGTGCAACCCCTCTGAGACACCGACCGTGGCATTGTCAATGTCACGAACTTCGAGTTTCAAATATTTATTATGTACTATTTGGTCGATTTAGAAGTCTTCTACCAAGTTCAAGGGAACAACCATGGCCGAGCAATCCCAAACGGAAAGATCCGATTGTGGAAAAGCTTTTTGAAAGCAAACACCGCCATTCACACAGTTCTAGCAACACTTCAGCTTGTGGCTTTTAAAGAAGATCGTTGTTCATAAGCCCGTTTGGTATCACTCTGTACTAATTAAGATTCTATAGACTGTCGGTCACCTTTCAATCCTCGAGACATCAACGTTTATCTTCAAGCAGCGATGGTCAAAAGAGTAGCTATAATAGGAGCAGGGCCAGGTGGACTTGTCACAGGGAAAGTTCTTTTGGCCAATACCCATTTCGAAATTGTACTCTATGACTGCAACACACAAGTAGGCGGTGTATGGTGTTATCCAGATGACGAGCAAGGAAGGAAAAACAGAGCCATGTACAATTCCTTGGAAGCCAATTTGAGCAAGCAAATAATGACCTTCAATGGATTCCCATTTCCTGATGATGTTCCAACTTTCCCCAACAGACAGCAAGTTTGGGAATACTTAGTTTGCTTTTACGAGACGTTCATCGAGGGTCAAGAACGAATTGTTACTCAGTTCAACTGTAGAGTTGACCGTCTTCAGAAAACTGGAGACGTGTGGCATGTCAGCCACAGTAATGAGAAAGTTGTCGAGGTTTTCGACTTTGTGGTGGTTGCGAATGGCCATTTCGAAGCCATTCACATACCTTCAGACATTCCTGGTGCCAACGAATGGCGCCAAGAAAGGCCAGATTCGCTTGTCCACTCCAAAGAATTTCAATCCAGCGACCGCTTTCGAGGCCAAAGAGTTGTCGTGGTCGGCAACGGTAGTTCGGGGTCGGATATTGCCAACCAGATCAGCTCTGTAGCTCAATGCGTCTACCACAGTGTCAAAGAAATTTCCAAGACCGACTGGGACGACAATCCGGTCGTAACAGCAGTTCCAGTGATTTCAAAGCTCAATGTTCGCAAAAATAGGACTGTGACACTTGAGAATGGCGAGCAATTGGAAAATATCGACTGCATAGTATGGGCCACAGGATACATGTATTATCTGCCTTTTTTGGGTAGCTACCAGGAACAGATTCTGGGTACTGGAAAAACTGGAAGGGATCCGGTTTCCAGACTTCATGGGCTGTGGAGACAAATGGTATTTGCGCAAGACCCCACGCTGGCTTTTGTGCTTCTTTGCAAAAACGTGGTTCCTTTTCCATTAGCTGAGTCGCAGGCATGCGTTATCGCCAAAGTTTTCTGCGGATCAATTGAAGTGCCATCTATTGACGCTTCTGAATGGGCTTCGCGCGACGTAAAGGACTATCACTCGCTCCTAACGCCAAGAGACATAGAATATTGTCGTGAACTTCAAGCAATTCTGGATTCCTGTGGTGGAAAAGACGAAGCAGCTCGGCCCAAGGTATGGGATAATCAGCTTGCTGCTCTAAGATATCAAACAGGCTCCGCAAAAAAGGAGCGCACCAGGTTATTGGTTCGCAGAGCATTGGAATTGCGAGACAAAGGCCAGGCATATTATTTGGAATAGAACGCCATTCGTCGAGACTTCACGCATTCTGACCAAAAAAGCATCAAGTTACAGCTCACTTAATTCAAATACAATCTCGAATGAAGGCCACCGCTTTCAACATGAACTTGACCGCTTCAGCTGGTGTTGCATCCACGACTCGATCGTCCACCATGCTGTCCAGTATGTCGTCTTGGACGAAGCATACAAGTTCCTAATTCCAAGTATTACAGGTGACGTCTGTATAAGACAAAAATATCATCATCGCCAAATCGAAGGCATCGGTCAAGTTTTAACAAACTCAAGCCAAATTTGTTAAAGATTCAACTGTAAGTCGAATAGGCCATAAGGCAGGCTCAACAAAGCCCTTTGAGGTGTCAAGAAGATGGGACAGCTGAGCAATGAAGGCTTGGAGGGTTCTAGTGTGCTTTACGAACCATATTCGTGTGCAAGATGTCGAAAATTGAAAAAACGATGCTCGAAAGAATCGCCTATTTGCGTGAACTGTAACAAAGCCGGGGAGCCCTGCAGCTACCCCGGACGAGCGCCAAGAAGGAGTAAAAGAGAGCTGGAATTGGAACGCCAAGAATTGGCAGCTATGGCATATGGCGATCAAAAGGCTAAACGCTTGCAAAGATGTGACTCGGAGCCTCTTGTGGTCTCATCTGAGAGACTAGAGCGAAATGGCAACAATTCAAGCTATGAGAGGCAGCATGAGAGCGATGCAGACGGAATAAGCGGGCGTTCCTCTGGATCGCTATCCTCCAGTGCCCCCGCAAATGCCAACAACGACGCAGTGCTTCATAACAGCCCAGAGTTGAGAAATACTTGGCAGCAACATCAAGATACGGGCCTGCGACCTACCAAAGACTTGCTTTTTCATGAAATGTACAAAATGGACTCGGTTCCAATTCGGGCGTCATCGCTGCAGATCGCCAATGTAGCGGCAGTATTCAAAGGGGGACGACACTCAAGCATGCTGCAACCAAATGACAAGGGTGCGCGAATTGAGAGACGACTCTACGACCGATTCATCGCCGCTTACTTTAAGCACAATCACCGATCATACCCTCTTTTGAATAAAATCGGGTTTTTGAACGAGGTCTCCACAATCCATGAGTTTGAAAACATGGAGGGCAATTACGAAGACACATTTTTCTTTCAGCTGTACATGGTAATGGCAATCGGATGTACCACTCTTCAGCGGGCGGGCATTTTGACTAAAGAAGAAGAAGAGCTCAGCGAGCATTTCGCGTATCTTGCGATGCGGAAATTCTGTCCTGTGATGCATTTACAAAATGTTGAAACTATCAAATGCTTGCTCTTACTTGGAATATATTCGTTCTTTGAGCCCCAGGGTGTCTCATCTTGGACCATAAGCGGTATAGTAATGAGATTAACAATCGGTCTAGGGCTGCACAGAGCACTAACGACCCGAAAAACCAAATCCATGTCACCCATAGATGTTGAAATGCGGTACCGCGCTTTTTGGAGCTTCTACAGTTTTGAGCGACTCGTATCCACGTCGCTGGGCAGGATATCAGCAATCGACGATGACGATATTAGCGTCCCCCTTCCTCACGCAATGTACGCAGAGGAAACGGAGGACATAGAAGTCACCAAAATGATGATTGGGTTGCGAAAGATGGGCGGCATCATATACAAAAGAGTTCACAGCGTAGGGGCTGGGAAGCAAAAACTTTCAAACGATGGCAAGCAAGAAATAGTCGATGAACTAAGAAAACAGATTGATATGTTGTACGAACAGGAGCGAGACAAGATACGAAAAAACAACTCTATAATTTGTCCGAGCAAATCAAATTGCATTTCGTTTCACACTTCCGATATTTGGCTTGCAATGCGCTATGCCCAACTGCAAATCATGCTGTACCGACCCTCATCGCTAATTCCAAAACCACCCATGGAATCTTTGACAATTCTTGGGGACTTCTGCTTACAAGCCCTCAAACACACATACGCGCTGTATCGGAAGAAAATGCAGCCTCTCAACTGGATTACCCTCTTCCGCACGTTGACCATATGCAACACCATGCTTTACTGTCTCTGCCAATGGAGTATCGACTTAATCGAGTGCAAAATTGAAATTCAGCAATGCGTTGAAATCTTGCAGCATTTCGGGGAGAAGTGGGTATTCGCTGCCAAATGTGCTGCGGTCTTTCAGACCATCAGCAATGCTATCCTGGATATAAGTCTGAGCAACGGACAAGTACCAAATATGGATGACTTGACACGTGAACTCTTTGGCGCGAGCAACGAGTACCAAGATATCTTGGATGAGAACAACGTTGATATTTCTTGGGTTGAAGGGCTTACATAAAACGTAGTAATGATCGCTTAATGATGATGTGGTAGTAAATGTGGAACGCAAACGCAAACGCAAACGCAACAGGCTCAATGAAAGGATGCTTGATGAGTTTATGGCTAAATATGTTGTGTTATATCTCAAAGTATCAAACGTATCAAACATCTGTTGCCTCCTTAGCTTAGTGGTAGAGCGTTGCACTTGTAATGCAAAGGTCGCTAGTTCAATTCTGGCAGGTGGCAATTTATTTTTTTGAACGAATTTGGTTGATATCACGTTTTTGTAATTTTTGCCTTAACTATCAAACTAAGCCCGTTTCGATCACGAAACTAAAAGCTTTTAGTCCCGTACTTGGCCGGTTGTCTTTCAGAGGCCATTCTCGGGTTATTCAGTGCTTCAGTTTCCAGCGATTCAGTGATATCGTCATTGGTAGTTCGTATTAGGCGATATGTCACGTAATACAGTGTAGTGTGGAAAACGATGTTTGAAGAGACAACTCTTGCAGAAAAGTGTCAACTTAAGACAGGAGCAGATAGTCGATCCGTTGCTCCATCATGATCCTTCAGGCATTGTCATATGTGGGAACCGTTTTAGGCTTCTTATTTTTGACGCTCTCCATTGCAGCAGGCTTATATTATATCAGTGAATTGGTTGAAGAACACTCAGAGCCCACGAAACGGTTTTTGACAAGAGCGATATACGGGATAATAGGTCTGTACGTCCTTCTGCTGGCTCTGGATTCGTTTCCCTTTAAGCTCAGCGTATTTTCCATTGCATCGTATTTCGTATACTTGCGAAACCTCAAACACTTCCCCTTCATTTCGTTGAGCAGCCCTACTTTTCTGGCCAGTTGTGTGCTAGTTGCGCTTAATCACTATCTGTGGTTCCGACATTTCAACGACACGGATGTCCCACCTCAATTCAGGTACGATCCCAATTATATTCCACGCAGAAGAGCTAGCTTTACAGAGGTTGCTTCGTTTTTCGGCGTTTGCGTATGGTTTGTCCCATTCGCACTATTTGTGTCGCTCTCAGCCGGTGACAATGTTCTGCCCACTACTACTTCAGGCTACTCCAAGAAAACAGATGGTTTGAACGCCGAAACGCCACGATTTCGCAAAAAGGCTACTGGTCTTGTACGTGTGGTGATCGACTCTGTAAGAGAGTATTTCTATCTGGCGGCACGAGTATTTGGGTACGACAAGAACTCCCAGAGAGGCAAATTGGGCGTATGAGGAGCTGGTGAGAGTCCAAGAAGAATGAAGAGGAAAGAAAAAAAAAGTCATCGGACAGAAAAGGGCGATGGCCCATGAAATTGCATACGTGTTTCTGAAGTAATTGGTGTTTTGGTGGTAACGAAAGATCTCTCTTTCTTGGATGTCCAATTGTGCGTGTTAAACTTTTTTGCAGGTGGAATTGTTGTCATGTTTTGTTTCAACGACTTACGTTCATTAGAACAAGTAGTCCAGGATTTCACGACAGTGATGTTTTCAACAAATCCGAGCTTTTCCCGTCAATACTACAGATGATAATAACCCGGAAATTTCACCGCAAGAAGATTACTCTGAGCTTAGCTGCCAGATTCATTGCGCGATGTAAAACAACACAATTTACATAACAGACGATCATTACATAGAACAGTCAGGATTGAGATCAAGTTAACAAATGATAGTTTATATTGTGCGCTTCTCCTACTCAGCGCATCGAGTTCGGATCAGGTCTTGAGTTCTCTCTATCTGCTCATGAAGTTTGGTATGTCTATCTGCTTCAACTACACAGCTTAGCTGGGTAATTTAAAGCATCTTCTACAACTCATCTCTCAAACTCGAAAGAAACACGACAATGAAAAATAATGACCATGAGCTCTTGAAAGCGACATTTTGGTCAGAAGACTATGCGACTGGGATAAAATCTCTGCTCGAAATAATCCAAAATGATGTCTTGGAGTTATCCGAGATTCTAGCTTCGATCAAAACTTATGACTCGGAGATAGTGTCGCCAGCTATCATGGCATTGAAAAAACTGATCGTTCGAGATGAAAAGGCAGAAAGCGATTCATCGCTTTGTATAACAGCTCTGAAACGGCAATCGGAGGCATTGGCCGGACTTCTGGAGAAAATGGAGCTTTCCAGTCATTCAAGACTTGAATCCAAGTGTCAGATACCATTGGAATCTCTTTTGTTCGAGTACAATGAGTATTTAGAAGGGACTAAAGAATCAACGAGGCGCGCCATGGATGGATACACCAAGCACCTCACGATGGCCAAGCAGATGCAGGATCAGTATGCTTCAATGGCAGCACGATTGCGAGACGTTGGCAAAGAACTGTTTACCGAGCCTGATAAACAACACGTATCGCAACAAGAAGATAAATCAGGACATTCATCGCACGCATTTCCACTATTTTTTGACAAGAGCATAGTAATCGAGGGTGAAGAGCAATTGGAAGTTTTCTGTAATAAACTCAAAGAGAGTATCACAACCTCGAAGAGGCTGATAGCTATCCCTGGTATATCTAATGAGTATTTCACCGGCACTAAGCTCCTGGACGCTCTCAAGAGAATAGAACCGAAAATGGATGTCTCGCTTTTCAATATTGAGCGCGTCGGTCAAAGATTGCTGGCAGCCGGCATCATAATTCCGTACCAGAGTATCATAAGCGCCCAATCGCGCTTCTCAGTAGACGACTATTTCTCCTGGGGATCAATCCAGCCTCAGCAAGCAGTGAGTGGAAATGCAGTTACGCCGGGAAACACTGTTTTAGGTGGTTTCTTCAAAAGGTTTGGTGGCGGCACTGAGGAGCAGATGACTATCACAACGTCAGCCGAATTGGAGGCGTACCAACAAGAATTTACTAAAGGTGAATCGTCTTTCTTTCAACAATGCCAAAATTTAGACTATTGGCGCTCTGAGCTTGAGCTTGAACTACAAAATGCTATGCATCATTACTGGAAATTACTTCCTCAGAAGATTAATAAAGGTTTCCTCGCAAATCGCCAGTTTCTCTCGTCATTGCAGGAATCATTTTCGTTGCAATTAGAAACGGACACAATAGATCTGGCTCAGGAGGTAGAAAAAGTGTACGCCTCGAATCATAGTACCGTTGGCTTTTATATGCCACAGCCTGGTGTTACATTTTCGAAATATGACGTCAATGGGAACTTAATAGGACCTTCTTTGTTTCACTCGGATTTGAGAGATCTACAATTGGATGAGACCGGGGTTGCGGTGATAATGAGAACATTACTGGGTCATCTGGAAACTTTTAGCGCTGATATTGTTTTGAAAGCATGGACATTACCACTGGATTTACAAAGAAACTCCAGACTGCGACGGGATTGCTGTTCTGAATTTTTGGCATCGAAGGGAGACCATTTTGCAGCCATAACAAATATTCTTGTCAAAAAGGGCCAAGAAGTAAATGACGTTGTTGGACTTTTACAGAGTTGGCTTTTGGAGCTACCTGATAGTTTGATTCCCATGTCGTGCTATGAGGATGTGAAAGCAGATGGAATCACGGGTCTTAGAAGATCCTCTAAAGAGCATTTGTTACATTTGGCTGCGATGTGTGAGCATTTTCAATGGCTCGTAAGGCATTGTGGTGAGGTCGAGGTGACGCAAGCATTTGAGGACCGAGTGGATTTCCCACTGTACCATGTCTTTGCACGCAGCAGAATACAAAAACCTGGGGATAACGAGGTTATGTCCAGGACGGTGCAAGGTATATTGTGTCACAAAGGTAATTCTCAACGTCTGGTGGAGATGCTGGCTGCTGATAGAGAATCAAATGTGGCCAAGCTTAGTGTCGATGTTCCGATGCAGTCTTCTTCTGCTGCGTTTGTTCCGCGGCCGCTAAAGTCGCTCAGTGCGAATTCTTCTGCTGCATCCTCCAGGCCTGCAAGTCAGCGAATTAGCGGTATTGATCTCTTTGGCAGGGACACTTAACGATTTTTTCGGTATGGGACCCAAACTGGATTCTGGGAGTGCCATATGGATTAGGAAATGATGCATGGTTGACGCCTACGTCCATTGTAGCTAGACTAAAAAATTGCTGGTCTATATAGCTGACTAGAGAAGGACCATGCTCTAGAGTTGGGTGGCATGGCATATGGGCTCTTCTCAAAAAAAACTAAAAATCGGGATTTTTACCACATCGTTGGGAGAAGAAACGCTCAAAGCTGATTACGATCGGGTAGAGCTAGTGACTTTTTCAATTGGGCAGAGCTAGTGACTGTTACAATTGTGCAGAGCGCGCTGCTACGCTGTCATCGTATCGCGTTACTGCATGAAGGAACCTGACACCTAAGAAGCCAGAAATCTGGGGAATGACTGGTTTAAAAAAAATGACAACCGACATGGGAATACCATGGGATACCATGGGTCAAAAAAAAATGCGTGTTACACAGCAATTGCTACCCCCATTTGGCTTGGAATATTGCATGGTTGATGACAGGATATATGGTATACTTATATAACTCTTGGTTCGGGTATGTCACGTGACTTGTTGTTTGTAAAGCAGTCTGATGGTAAGATGTCGAGTTTTGTTCGAAGCTCGTTGGATCGTTTAACATCCAGGTGTTCTTTTTAATTGATACTCAAGTGGCTTGGTTTCCAGATGACTCTCGTGTTTACTTTTGTTGATTCATATCACATTTGGTGAGATTTCCATGTATTTTTCTCAGGTCTCAGCTCTTTCCTGGATGATTAAATTAATGTTTTCTAAACATACTTGAACATTGAGCATAATCCATCATCTCTGAACAAACCGAGTGAAAATGAGATAAAGCTACCTGAATAGGTTGGCATGGGCCGTTTCTCGAGAAATAAAAATGAAATTATCCATAAAGAATTCACCTGTTACAACATCCAAAAAATTTGGTGTCAAAGGATATCTTGATTTTTTCACCAACCTGTACGGGACTCGAACCCGCAGTCTTCCCCTTAGGAGGGGGATGCCTTACCATTTGGCCAACAGGTTTTTCTAGGCTCATCACGAGACCTCATCAACTAATTGTAAGTTGACCACTAGGCCATTGAGGCCATTTATTGGGATGTCATGGATGAGGTATTTTAGACACATAAGGGGACAATTGCACCCAGTCGTGAATAGTTATTGCGGAGTTCAAGGTTCTTCTATAAAAGAATTGTGGTTCTCAACCTGTAACGTCTGTTTCTTCTAACCAAGCCATGATTCCTTGAAAATTCACCAAAAGCTCTTCTATAGGCCACTCTTTCAACTATATTTGTAGTGATTTTGAGTTGCAATAGTCAGCTTCACAGTCACTCTTTAAAAACACATTTAAGACGAAGTTCTGTTAACAAAAGGACGGCCAAACGCTCCGCACAAAGACGTATAAAGACAAGGTCCTTATGGTATCGTAACAAGCGTCACGTCTCAAAGAAGTTTTACAGCACGAGAAGTGACGAACGCACCAGTGTTTTGGACTTTCATTCATATTAGCGTCAGTTTTTTACGGTAGCTCACCCCCAAAATTCAATTAAGCGTTCCAAGAACAGTCTGTGCCAGTTATGTCACAATTCAGGGCTCCGAATTTCACTGAAGTGTTCGAAGGCGATGCAGAAGAAGTTTTAGAGTTTTTGAATGATCTCGACTACGAGCTTGAAGCGAGTAACATAACCGAAAATCAAATGAAGATCGCAACCTTTTTGCGAAACATACGTGGCTCACCGGCATCATGGTTTCGCGCCTACAGAAATCTTGCGTTGACGCAGAAAAAACCAGAGATGCTGATATTCGATAATCTCATAGTTGCCTTCAAAAAGTCGTATGGGCTAGATGCATCTGCAATTTACGAGAAATGGGCAGAATTGAGACAGACAGGCTCCCTGCAATCATACACCGATGAGTTTTTGACGTTGTTGGGAGCTGTAAGTAAGGAGGGGCCTCTACCGTCGCACATTGAAGCATACGCGTATACAAAGGGGCTGAAGAACCCATCAAAGCAGCTTGTTAGAACCAAGAACCCATCAACACTCATCCAAGCCATTGAATACGCTGCTGCAAGCACCGTAGAACCGGAAAAACCGGAAAACCGGGAAAACCAGCCAAGGGCGACAGAAATTATCGTACCGCACACAAGTTATGCTTCAGGTGTGGAAGCTCTGGTCATTGGATCAAGAATTGTCAACGGAGTGTTTCCTGAGGGATCGCTTTTTCGAACGATAGCACTGGGAACGGGGGCCCAGAGGTTAGAATTTACTGAGAATATTTTGCTTGTAACACACTATTGAACGTTGTAGTCGGTACGGGCTACTTGACACGTATCGTGTGCGCTCAAATTTGTTGAAAATTATACGTCTTATATTTATATAGGTGCATGGAAGCATGTCCAGATGGAAGTATTGTGTGCGCTTACTCTTGATCCCCGAGGTTGAATAACACACCAACTGCTGTCGAGCGTAGGCCATTGGAAACCGGTAGTGGGGCCCAAATTGCTCCAGTCGCTCTGAGGGTTGTTCATACATTGGTGATAACGGGTCGCAGAACGGGTGAAAAAAACAGGTCAAAATGGGTCACTCAACGGTCCCACAACGGGTTCCAAAACGGGCTGCAAAACGGGTTCCAAAACCGGGTCCGCATCTTTCATGCACAACGGGTCCTACTTTCAGGCACCAAAACCAACGTCACCATATACGATACTAATCCTATAATCTTAACGCTTTCCGCACACCAAATCAAACCGGAGTATTACAACGGCTCTCTCCAGATTCCAAGATCCACACAGTCCAGCAAGATCTGAAAAGAAAACGGGCCATTCAAAGCATCTCCCCACGACTCCCAACCCTACTCAACGGGTTTCTGGTTTTTTAGAAAAACCGTCGGTATCCATCCCACATTTTTTTCCCCGTATCTACTTTACTTTACCGTGCTTTACTTTACCGTGCTTTACTTTTCCCGTAGCATACATAATCCAGCAAGCTATTTTGAGCAAACCGTTACAATTTCAATTTTCAAGAATGCTAGATCAGCAAGATGACGACGTTTGCATCAACCGCATAACTCTACACGCACAAAACTACGAAACCAGACTCCTCAATCAAGGCTTGCTTACAACACCCTTGTCACTGCACAGCCGTATTCCTCCACTATCTCCAAGCCTAGATTTGTATCCATCTTGTACCCATCTTGTATTCATCTTGTATTCATCTTGTATCCATACAATAACACAATTCCGTCAAAACATTCTCAAAGCCTTAATGCCACTTTTTCAGCATCCAGATCTATCCAAGCCTTAGGCTCAGCAAAACCCTGGTCTTGCTATTCTTTATCTTTCTCTCTTAGTAGTGGTAAAACTAGCCCTGTTCGGGCCAGACTCCTTCCATTATTGCTCCTCTGCTATTTTTCTCTTTTATTGCTTCTTGCGCGGTTCGAACAGTGGCCGGTTGTAGTTATTTTTAAGCCGCTGCAGCAGCTCTCCCCTTAGAATCACGCAGATGTCACAAAATTAACGCTATAGCAATCATCCGTCGGCGTTATCTCTAGTCTAACGCGTGGGGGGACATATGGCGGTTTTATTGCTAAACAATGACCTCAGCTAATATGCTGGCGCTTGGCGGGTCCCCTTAAAAAAAAGGTATAAAAGGGGGACGATTTCAGACCCTGGAGGGAAATTCTCTTGAAATTGATCTTACTTCACTCTTGGTTCTTTCAAATTTTGTTGTGTTTTGAAAAATCAACAAAGACAACTCAAAAGGTTCTCTCTAACTTTAATCCTCACCACATCTAAATCCCACAATGGCGCTTACCCTTACCGATTTTTTCAAACTGCTTGGAGCTGTGATCATCCCACCTTTGGGAGTCTTTTTGGAGCGTGGTTGCACCTGCGATCTGTTGATCAACATCCTGTTGACGTGTCTAGGTTACATTCCAGGAATTGTGCACGCAGTTTACATCATTCTGAAGTACTGAAGGAAACTACCAAAACGAGATGCACAGCATGAAAAAAGGCTCAGCATGAAAACTCGCAAAATTGCATTTGGTAACGACACGCCAAAAAGCGGAAATAAGGGTTACTACTACCACTACTACCACTGCTACTACTGCTACTGCTACTGCTACTAACACTACTTTGTTGGTGCATGAATGAATGGCTTACGAATGAACAGAAGAAGAAGTGAAGAAAAGAAAAAAAGTGATCGTGCATTTTCAGCATGCGGTGTATACTATAATAAGTAATGTTAATGATCAATCGAGATGACAGAAACTGGAGAAAAGAGATTCCCGCCAGAGGCCCACCAAAAAATCCCCTTCCTCCCCGCCTTTTCACATTTTTCGAGAAAACAATTGACAAAACGTCTTAAAATCGTCTTTTGCTAAGGTCTTACGAATAATACAGACAATAATGCGATGTTACCGCACATAAGCCCTTCCTCACTGCTCCTTCTTCTCTTCTTCGGATTGCACTGCAGCTTTCTCAGCAGCAACCTCCTGTCGCAGCTGCACCAACCGCGCAAGTTGTGGCCCGCATTCGAAAAATCCGTAACGACGGAACTTGCGAATCTCCTGGTTGATCTTGTAAACCTCCTTCTCATCAATGGCCTTGATCTGTTCCTTAAGATCGTGCTCCACCTGGATCAAATACTCTTCACTCAACACAAACTTGCGGCTTTTCTCCATGGTCTTGAAAGTCGACTCTGTGAACCGTTTATCCAATGGCGTCTGGAATCCCTCACCGGTCTCCAACAAAACCCCAGGGGTCGCTGCCTTCTTCATGATACCACTCTTGTATGCAGCCACCATCCCGCCGGCTTTCTCTAACCGGTAGTTGTAGTACGTGTCGCGGTAGTCATCGTAGGTGGCACGTTTCACACCAATCCATCCAACGGACCGCAACGTCTCCTTCAAAAGTTCTGTGTTTTTGGAAATGATCGGTTTGCGTGTGTAATAAAAGTTAAGTGGGTTAACCGTAAGCGGGTTTACCAGCCCCGTGTACAGTACAAGCGCGATGAACAGCACTTTCAAGCAGTGCAGCGTGAAAAACAACCATTGTGCTATGGTACCGGCAGAATTAATCTGGGTTTCTTCCAGCAGTTTTTCTGAAATGGCGTTGTAACCGAAGTTGCGTGCCAACACTGCCAATCGTTTAGAAAACTGGTTCGTCAAACATATGCCTGGAGTGGGCGAAATCACGTCAGGCAGATCCGTGTATAGCCACGCGAGCATGAGCACAACAAACGTGGCAATATTACCGTACGACAACTCCCACTGAGGTAGCACCAATTGGCCAGGCCACAATTGTTCCCAGATTTTCTTATTTTTCAGATCTAGCGGTTTGCGGTATTCGCGTTTGTCGCAGTCGTAGTGGTAGATCAAGCACCCGTCCTCCGTCAAGAAACCAGGGTGCATCGATTTGGTCAATCCCTTAGGCTCGATCTTATAGAAAAGCGATGGTCTCAAAACCATGAATCTCGCCAGCCCGGTTTTTGGGTTGAACATCTTCATGATTTTCGAGTCAAAAGTGTCATTTTTGTCGATTTGAAAAGTGTAGTCACTCTCGCAGTCATCGTTGAGTCTCACACAGATCTCCATTGTACCTATCAACAAGTCTTCGGCCCTGTGTCGATACGTTCACTTCTATATCTACAGGTTTGCCACTTGTTAAAAGTGGTTACCGATGGTGAGAAATTGAATAAAATCCCAGATCTTTTATATAGGGAAAAATTAATTGTGTGGGGCAGAAGTAGAACAAAGCGACAACAAACAAGGCATTTGAGAGAGCCTTTAGATACATGAAACAATGAAAGTTAGTAACTAGAATAAATAACTAGAGTTGGTAACTCTTGGATATTAAGGAGAGAGCCTGAATGTTGAACGTTGAGCAAATGTGCTTTATAAAATCCAGATCACTTTATACGTAAACTACATTTCAAGACATTCAGACACTAGTTCATGGGCATCTTGACGATTAGTTCTGGACTAGAGCTCCCACTTGATCTACAGTCTTGCCAAATCCGGCTCGAATACTGCATGCGGGATAATTCGGTTCTAAACAGATTGGATATGACATTTCAAGCGACGTCACAGAATTCAAAAACTATTTGGCGGTGTGGATTTCCAGACGACCTTACCACGACATGACAAGAGTTTTGAAGTTAGTGTCGCTGGAAATTTAGATGGCGTTGACACAGTTTTTCTTGACATGCAAGGTTAGGAAGACCAAATTTTTTTCATGTTGAAGTGATTGTCCCTCATGTTTCCCAAAATTGTGCAAATTGTTATGGAAGAGTTCAATCGCATCCCCAGCTCACTCAATTTGCATTCAGAATCCCCAAATATGATGGCCCGTCAGGGCTCCAAATACCAATTGCTGTCCATTGTCATATTTTCAAGTATCCAACTTTATCGCTTGATAATCGCTGGAAATCTTCCCGGAAAGTTTGCTATCTTTTCACCTGCTTGACTTCATAGCATTGCCGATCTTTTCAGCGCTTGTAGAGCCTCGCCTTCTTCGCTCTAAAGTCTATCATTCTTCGAACTTGTTTAGCCCTGTTTAACTTTTAAATTCGTAATTAAACCCATCTCATCGCATTGTTGAAAACATACGCATCTTTCGAGACAAGAAACCCCATAAGCAACATCGCTGGCATGTCGGCAGCATCTGCGGGTCTGGAACTGTACCATCTGACGTTACAAAGGCAATCCAACTACATCCATTCTTGCGTGGGGCATTTTGTAGACCTTCCTGGCAGCGCTGTTGGAAAGCGTAAATCGAGGAAAGACTACCAAGTATGTATCGCTAGTGAAACACATCTCGAGCTTTATGACCTGGAAGAAGGGGGATTCCGATGCCTCGCAGTGGTGCCAATCTTCGCTACGATCACTGCCATGCAGAGCTTACCAGTGGAGACCAATTACTCGTACTTGGTTCTGGTAACAGACTCTGGCAATCTGTCTTTACTTCAATTTGTTAACGATGCAAAAACCATAAGACTACATTCACTATTCAATGAGCCCTTTGCGAGAAGTGGGCTCCGAAAGCTGGCGCCACAGAGATATGTCGAGGTTGACCCTCAGGGCAGATGCATTTTCATATCTGCCACCGAACGCAACAAACTGTGCTACCAAACGGACTTCAGAAATAGCACTCTCAATGTTTCCTCACCTTTAGAATTCCAGAAATCAAATCGCATTACAATTTCGACAACCGTGTGTGACGTGGCATTTGACAATCCAACGTACGCATCGTTGGAGATGGATACTACGGATGGCTGCAAATACTTGGCATTCTATATGTTGGATTTGGGTTTGAACCATGTAGTCCAGCAAATTGAGACTTCATTGCCTTCGAGTGCTAATTTCGTCGTCGCTGTACCGAATCTGGAGCGGTACGGTGTCAACACAAAGTCAGAGCAACATGAATCTCAAGCTAACGACGACGCAATAAATTCGTTTGTTATAGTGGCTCTAGACAGTAGGTTGATGCTCAAAGACGCTCACGGGAGTTTTGGTCTTGAGGTAAATTTGCCGACTCGGACCTCAGAGGCTCTAACTATTATCTCGGCAGCAGTACACAAGCTTAAGAAGGAATTTTTCATACTGTTGCAATGCAACAATGGAGATCTGTACAAAGTGAAAATAATACCTGATGAAGATTCCAAACTTCGCCCCAAAATCACAGTGGCTTACTTCGACTCAATCGCACCCAGCTCGAAGCTTCATATTTTTCGAAATGGGTTACTTTTGTCTCTTCAAGAGCTTTCTGGATACAGCCTTTATGAATTTGAAAGTTTAGGCGATGATGAAAATACTCTGACATCAAATGAGCCGGCAAAGCATTTGAAGATAACACCTTCGTCACAACTTGAGAATTTGTCCGTTCTACATCAATCTCATAGTTCAAATCCGGTTCTGGCATCCGAGGTGGTCGAATCTACACCGCTTACACTACTCATGAGTCAGTGTAAGCAGGACCTGAAAATCTTAAAATCCGGGGTCAACTTCAGTGAGCTCATCACATCACCACTGCCGCCAAAAGTAAGCGGGCTTTGGTCGATTCGCTTGAGCAGTGAACCATGGCATAGGCTTATATTATTAGCTCTGCCCAAAACGACAATGGTACTGAAAATCGAAGAAGGCACGCTCGAAGAGCTGGAGGCAGCTAACAATAAATTTAAGATCGAAAACGATACCACCATTTTTGCTGGGTTGATGGGACAAAAGACGATCATTCAAGTCTGCGAAAACTCTATGTTACAATTAAGCTATGAAAGGCAAACAGAGACGATGAGCATAAGTCTGGAATGGCTTCCCCCAGCGGGTATTAAGATAATGAAGGCAACCACTTCGTCGTGTCAGCTGGCGCTTGCTCTTTCGAACAATGAAGTTGTTTACTTTGAGCTGGATATCACAGCCGGTGCGGAGACTTTGAACGAATACCAAGGCAGGGTTGAGCTCCCTGATAGGATTACAGATTTGAGTCTATGCGACGTGTTCAGAAGCGATTTTCTGGCTGTTGGGTGCCAGGATTCGTCTGTTAAAATATATGGACTCAAAGCTTCTGATGATTCCTTTCTAGAAATGATCTCAATGCAAGTCTTACTTTCACCACCTAGCAGCGTAAAATTCATGCTCTCGAAGGCTCATTTATATTTGCATGTTGGTTTGAACTCGGGTGTTTACATTCGCTCGAGTGTAGATCGATTTGATGGCCAGCTTTTCGACCTGCGAACCAAGTTTTTGGGCTCAAAGCCTGTTAGAATCACAGCTTTGCCACACATCGATGTTAACGCCGTATCACATAATGAAGAGGAGGAAGGTGATGAGGATGAGGACGAGGAAAGTAGAGTCGATGGTCGTGCAGCTTCGAGTGAAACGTCATGTGTTGCTTTACATTGTGACAAAGCTTGGGTCAGTTACGAAGCTGACGGTATGTTCTACGTTAGGCCAATGATTCTCTCGAAAAACGTTTCATTGGAGGCGATTGCCGAATTTCGAACAAGTGACATCAAAATAAATGGATGCTGCGCTCTATCATCGCGCGGGTCCCTCTTGATTGGCCGCCTTGATAAATTTTCGAAACGTAATGAGTGGTTTCAACAAAACGAAGAGCTTGACATTCATGATGAGGCTGTGGAAAGGAATGAATATCGCGGACACAGGATCATCGCAGACCCTGTAGATCAAAAGTTATTTTACAGTGTTGAAAATGACATCAACGGAGGCGCCTGCCGACTCTCAGCTCACCGAGCTGGGTTTTCATTGGACATCAACACAGAGGGGAATAAATATTTTGGTATTGATGACGTTTGTCTAGGTGCGCAGATCGCTAGATTCGGAACCAGCAATAATTATCTCGTGCTGTCCACTAAGAACCTAAAGCTCAAAACATTTCTGATAGAAAGAGGCTCTAAGGAAAAAAAAAACAGCCTCCATATCAAATTCGTCCATGATACTGCTGTCGGTGAGAGCATTCATGCTATTGCTTCCTTTTCTGACAAGTTATTGGTTCCCTGCTCCAATAACTTGATACTATATGGAATGGGACAAAAACAACTTTTGAAGAAGTCAATCAGCCCTGTTCCTCCATCAATTTCCAAGATCACAAGTGTGTGTACCTGGGGGAGTGACAGAGTAGCAGTTGGTGATATTCATGAGTCCGTAACCCTATTCATTTTCGACAAGAAATTAGATCAGTTCATAGGTCTGGCTGATGATGTCGTGAAGAGACATGTAACGACTATCACATTCCTCGACAAATCTACCGTTATTGGAGGTGATAGGTTTGGAAACGTATGGGTACTGCGGGTACCCGCGCGCATCGAAAAGCTCATCAACGAAGAATATTCTTTTTTTGCGAGCAAATATGAAAGGAAGGACAGCAATGAGCTTCCTCGAAACATCATGGAGTGTCCGTGTAAATGGGATGTGCTCAATCATTTTTACATCAACGACATACCTATTTCATTTCAGGTCGTCAAAGGTTTAGATTTGTCAGACAGGGCATGCGTTCTATACACAGGTCTTCAAGGCACAATTGCATGTCTTGTTCCGCTCTTGACGAAGAATGAGATCGAATTTTATCATGCATTAGAAGATACGCTTCGAAATGCAGACGAGACGTTCTTCATGAAGAATGAAAATGAAAGTGCGGCTCGAGACACTGATAATCGAGATGAAGTTGGAAGCGTGGGCAGTACTTTAGGCAAACCAAATCTTTCCAGTCCAAGGCCCATGATTGAAGGTGCTTATAGTTTGGTGGGCCGCGAACATTTGATGTACAGAAGTTATTACGCGCCTGTGAAAGGTGTAATTGATGGCGACTTCTGCGAAAGCTTTTTGTCTCTATATCCAAGTGAGCAGGAGTTTCTCGTGAGTCGCATGTCCGTTAAGAGCGCAAAACAAGTTCAGAATCGGTTGATGGAAATGCGCACCAGCAATATATAGTCATTTATGAGAGATCAGACTCACTTTATAGTGAACAGCTGCCGCGAAACCATGGCGTTACGATTTCCTTCTTTTTCAAATGACTTAACAACGTAGGTACTGCCGAAGGAAGAATTTTTCCGAACCAAAGTCCGTCCACCTTGGCCGCTTTGCTGGAGTCAAGACCCAGAAAGTTGTAAAAAATGATATTGCCAGCAAACTTGTGGCCACCGATGTGAGAAATAATAGCCAAGTCGGAATCCACTTGAGCGTCAAGTTTCTCGATTATTTGCGGAGCAATAAGTCCACATCTTTCGTCACGCTCGTTGTGACCGCAAACCAAAGTGATGTCTCGATGGTAATCTTGACCTTGGAATATTTTGAAGGGTGGACCCTCATTCGGGTCAGATCTTGCGTCCAGAAGCTTAGATGCGGCATCGGCTCCTTTCAGGTAGTTGTAGAAAGAAACTTTTTTATTCTTCTGAACTTTTCCCTCGCCAAGAAAGTTTGCAAACTCCTGCAATTCGTGAGCCTCAATTTCGTAGACTTTCATGTCCGGAAGAGTCAGGAATCTTGCTTTTTGGGTACTCACTTGGGGCGAAGTGAGGTCTCCTCTTGACACGGAAATAGCGTTTATCAAAATTCCATCACCTTTGTGTGTGTCTCTCAAGTGGGACTTTAGTTCACCAATGGCCGAATATGGCCATTTAGGGTTAAGCTCCAATTTGCTTTGCCAACCTGATTTCCACGACGGATCCTGTCCGGCGGGATCCACTGGAGAAATGAGCATCACATGCCGATGATAAAATGGAACCTTGGCCGGGAGCACTAGTGCTGAATCTAGCTTTTTATCACTGTTCAAACATCTGTTCAGGTCTCTTATGTCGCAATCACAATTCTGCTGAAGTGTTGGATCCACCTCCAGCTCAACATGCCTGTAATCAGTGTGTAAAAAAGCTCGTCTGTGCAGCCGGGAGACAGGTCTAAGCGTTCGGCTAGCCGGTAGCCAAAAGCCTACGGTTGTACGCATTATCGTATTCTTTCAAAGGAGCACTTAGGGATTTGACGGAATGCAAATCTAGAGTAACTTTTTCACTCAAGAACTCTTCAGATTCCTGATTTACTCACAATATTCACAGTTAACACTAACTGTGTAAAAGCATCAAAATTCAAAGAAAATAGTAATCTTGCTATACCCAGACTCTTGTAATCGATCCCACTTTAATAGTTGTGGCCTTCAACGATTAAATTCGAGAATCGATGGTGAATAGGGTACCGTTTTTTTTAACTCCGTAGTTCTCCGTGTATGAATTTCGTCAAATTAATCGAATTAGGCTGAAATTTTTAGTCAAGGCGATGAGCTAGCGATGAGCTAGAAATGGGTCAAGGAACAGGTCAAAGAAAAGAGCACTTCGAGTACCACTAGATGTCGATCAAATGCCAGATCTGTAACGAACAAGACTCGAAATACAAGTGTCCGAAATGTGGGATCCGCTACTGCTCTTTGATATGCTTCAAAGACGCTGAAAAGCATGTTCACGATGAGCAGACAGCCGAGCAAAAGGTGGAAAGCAAGCCATCTAGCGAGAAAGTGGAACAGCCAAAGTTGAAGACTGCTGAATTAGACGCGATCCACCGGGAAACCCCGGAAATTCAGGAGCTGCTCACTTACAACACTGTTAAATTCCATCTGGCAAAAGTATACCGGATCCTGGGAGCGAAAAATGAGACGGCGGGATCCACGGGCATGGATCTGTCGTCTGAGGCCAAACAGCAGCTTGCCGTTGACTATTTGAATGCCTTGAGATATGGAGGAGTGCATTTCAACGAGGCAATCGAGGAGTTTTGTCAAATAAGTGCGAAAAAACTCGATTCAGGAAGCTAGCGAATCTGAGTTCGGGGGAAAGAAAATGCGATCATGGCCATCATGGCGATGGCCATCATGGCGTGACTCGCATGTATGCAAGACAGAGATGTCAGTCAAGTGCTTTGCAGGTCATCTTTGATAGTTGGCATCGGTACCGGAAGAGTAGCTTTTTGGTCGTGACTGCGCAGCACCACGTCAATAAGATTGTGCACCACAATGGCATCGGTGAAAGTCGGGAATCCACCAAACTCAAATCCTTGTTTTGTGAAATTTTCGGGCAATCTCTTGGAGGGATCTGCCCTGAAATGGTGATCTGCGATTGCTTCGTAAATGCGTAACACGTTGCCGACGATGGAATTGTAATTGCGCAGGTGGTAGACTTCCATGGTTTCGGCAGAGCTCGTGGATAGATCCCCGGTCGGTTTTTGGCCGCAGAAATACAGTACTAGGTTGGACATTTCGGCAAAGCCTGCGTCACCTTCCAATTTTAGGTCACCTTTAGTGCCGTGAATGTCAATAACCAAGTTTTTAGTGAATTTTTTAACTGGTGTCCCGCCTTTGAAACTGCAAGAAACGGGTACGTTTCCCTGTTCGAGAGACCCTTGGAAAAGTAAATGGTCTGGTGCCGACTTGGGTTTTTCTTGATCCATGCTTTTGCCTCGCTCGTCGACCAACCGCTGCCTCGGGATGTTGTTGAAGATCATACCATTGACTTCGGAAAAATAGGAGCCTGTGATGTATTGCAGAATATCGATAGTGTGGCCAAAGGCTGCGGAGATCAAGTTGACACCGCTCTCCGCGTCGTAAAGATAATCTGGCGATTTGAAAGGCCGTTCGTAGCCGTAAAATCCGCCAATTGCTGCAATCTCGACGCTGCTTATCTCGCCAATACACCCCTGTGACACCAGCTCTTTGGCCCTCAAGACGTATGGTGACTTTCGGCCTTGTAAAGACACAATGGTTCGAATTCCGCGTAAGGAGGCCAGTCGGTAGACTTCTTGGGCCTCTTGTAAGTTGCGGCCCAAACTCCATTCCGCAAACAAATACCTAAAGCTCACATTGCCCTGAGAGTACTTGAACAGGTCAGTCACCACTTTATAGAAATTGGGCACGTTAATGGAGACCACAATGAGGTCCATTTTGTCATACTGGGCAAATAGTCGTACGTCCTCGAACGGAGTGGCCCGCACCAGTTTCAACTTTTCAATAGTAGACTTGGAAGCTTCCAAATCAACATCCAAAACTGCTGTGATTTGAAACTGTGATGGAACTTGCAAGATCGCAGGATAGTGCGATTTTATGGCCCATCCTTTGGTAGCTGAGAGCCCAATGAATCCCACCCGTAAAGGACTTGTCCCCGGCACTGTTGATACGGACGATCGCTTATTCATAGATACCGGATGGTTTCGTGAAGTTGTGCTTTTCTCCACAGCTTCCCTTCTCCATTATCTAGTACAATCCATTTTGATCTGTTATTGAAATCTGAAAATGTCATGTGGATTTCACGCGAGCTCATCGGCTATAGTTTGACACTTTTTGTTCAACGTTTTCAACAGCTCTTTGGATTATCAACCTGACCCACCCAGCCAGCTTCTTTAAGTTTTGAATCAAGCGTCTTCGAAGATCTTACAAGCAAACTTCTGGCTTCAGGCTTCAAACTGCGTTCTTTAAGCTAACCTAAGCCAAGTTAAGCGGCGTATCGTGAAGCAACAGTTATTTTATGTACATGACAAGATCTTGCGGAATCAAAATCTCTCGTCACCCACTCACTCACCAATTGAACACTGATTCCTCCTCTTTGTAGATTTTGACGTGTTACATCTTCACTTTCTGGTCGATGCCGTTGAAATTTGTCGAATCAGCTTTCATGTCAGTTGATCCTGAAAAGTCAGGAAACAACATGTTCTGACAACGACTCCGAACCATTATTCGAAGAATGAGACAGACTTTCCATTACCCATTACCCATTCACAAACTCGACATTCACGATTTCATGAGCCAACTCTATCTTCAATCCACCCTCGCGTCTCTATTTACTATGTCAACATTCTCTACGCAGGGATCATGCATAGAATCGAACTCGAAGTCAGACAACTAACCAGGGGAAGAGCTAGTGACAGCAGCGTTCGAGAGTTACTGCAAAAGTTGAACGAAGCTTTATCAATTCATTAGCCGCGAGCAGATAACTCTAGTTTTCGTTTTGCACTTTTGTTACATTAAATTATTAAATGTGGTGGTATATGAAAAGTGTATATTTTAAGATCCGAGATTTGCACGCAGAAAGGTTAAAGGCGAAGCGCAGAATTAGAAAGAATCTGGTGGTATCGCGTGCAGATGTCGGGTGAGCTTGGTGAACCTTCCCATTCATGAGTGGTCGGTCCGTCCCGTCCTTTGGTTTGGTAATAGTTTCGTAAGACGAGAAAAGGAACATAGAGATGTGCATGTGCAATAGGACAGCGCGCTTCAAAAATAATACAATGGATACCGGAAGAACTTGAATGGAAGGTTGCGGTGGTTTAAGAATAGACGAGAAAGATGCGAGAAAAGCCTGAAGGATCTCAGAGAGAGAGAAGTTCGGGACTTTTAAACGCTTTCTTGGTCACCTGGCTTTTGGGTTTTACGGATCTTGAAAAACTTGATGCCACTGTGGTGAGACTCTGGTTGAGTTTCGGGACCTGGGGCAACCAAGCCAGCGTCGTTGAGCTCACCACCGTCGTGAATTGGGTAGGATTCGGTGTCTGGCTGTAGGGCCTCTTGTTTGCCTTGGTACATCAAAGCCTGTTCCTTGTACTTTTGCATTTCCACGTACTCCTTGTGAGACTGGTAGGCACGACGCAAGAAGGTGACTCCGGTACCAAAGAAAATGTAAAGCGAGCAAGCAACGCTGGCCCAGGCGATACCGTGAAGGGTGGCACTGATGCTGGCGGAATGATTACCCTTGTGGAAAGTGTTGCGAGCCATGACAGTGGCGGCTGTTTGGCAACTCACGGCAGCAGCGTCAAAGATAGCGCCCACACTGGAAAGCATGAAAACCACCTTGGTGAAGCCATAAGAGCACCACGAAAACGCGTACAGCAAGAAAGAGACGCCCATGAACGCAAGTGCGATCCAGAAGAAACAGAACGAGAAACGGGTCAAGTAGTAGTAAGTGGAGCGGGAGTCGACAAAATCGGAAGGCAACTCGCTGGATGGAGCCTGTTTGAAGTTGTCACGAGGCGAGATAGGGTAAGCTGGAGCCAAATTTGGACACACCAACTTGTTGGACGAGTCGTAGGAGCACAGACCCCAGAACGTCCAGCGGGAAGTGCCTGAAGGAGCGCCGGTGATGCCGGTTGTGTCCGCCTCCAGCCAGTAGAAACGGTCGACGGGGAAGTTGGTGGTCGAGCCCGAAAGCACGATCAGAATGAGCAACAGGGTCGTCCCTGCCAAAAACAGCAGGGTTATGGACCTGTTTATAGCGGAACCCACGGCCATTGTGTTTAGTTTTTCAAAAAAATGAAAAATAAGAAAATTGTAGCCCTGAAAAGCTAATTTAGCGCTGCTGGGAGATGGAGGAGAAGGTATAAGGAGGAGGAGAAGGAGGAGAAGTTAAAAAGCGTAAAATTGCTTATTTTCTTTTTTTCCTTTTTCTTCCTTTTTTTTGAGGGGGGTGGAAGCGGAAAAAAGACTTTAGAATTAATCTTATTTCCTCTAACCTGGTTATTCAAACAATAACTGCGGTTGTTGTGGTAGTTCTCTCACAGGGATTGAAATGAAGCTCAAAGTGCGCCGTCAAACAACTTAATCAGAGCAGAATTGTATGTTGGCCCATCCCAGGTTTTTTTCTCCTGTTGGCCTTCTGCTCTATTTATACCCGAAACTTTCTGCGCGCTTGTCCCGACTTACGTCAGCTTGTTTTCCATTTAGGCTCTTTTTTCCCCTTTTTGCAATTTCAAGGCCAGGTTTGTTAGTGTTTTGCTATTAAGGGTAACCTGAGGACAAAAGGGCGGCTGGGTACGGGCGGGTAACCCCATTGCGGACCGTCTTGCTGCGGCGTTTTCTGAGCGTGTGAGCAAAAAGAGCCCAAATTGGTACACTGGGGAGGAAGTGCATGCTGCTTTGTTTTCTATGCAATCCCCCACGTCCTATAGGAAGAGAGACCATCTCTGCTGCTGCTGTTTCTGGGCTGGGACGGTTCGGTAAATTGCTACGTGGCAAACTGGGCAATCGACGTAGTGGCTCGCTTCTGTGCGTCAGGGGCACGGTGTTCCTTGCATTGCTGTTAAAAGTACGCAACACAACACAGCAATCGATGACGACTAAGCGGGCTCTATTCGCAGCTTCTCTTAGACCCGATGAATTTTTTCGGACTGTTCGAGAAATCCCGACGTGTCACGTGGGTGGGGAGTTCAGTTCGAGCAATTTGGGTGTATGGGTGGTGGGTGGTTGGTTTTTGCACAAAAGAGCAGTTAGTTAGTTTCACACCAGGGCTTAAAGAGATTTTTTTCGGACGTTATGGCCTTGAATCTCTGCATTGAAGTTTGTATTTGTTGAAGGGATCATAGTAGACGTTAATGCTTCTGTGAGTACGCACTTTGAGTATGCGCCTTCTTTGTTGATCAATCTGGATGCATGCTCATGTATGTGTGTGTCTTTCCACAAAGGTCTCTTCCACAACACCATTGCAACTCAGACTCGCTCGCTCATCTTTTTATGAAGATCCTTTTTGTTGATACCTTTCGTATGACACGATCTCCCCCTCCCAAGATCAAACATACCGGTCTCTTCACTTCGCTCACTTCGTTCACTTTGTTCACTTTGTTCTCTTCTTCTTGCTTCTCCGGTCCGGTTTGTCTCTCTGTTGTTGCTGCTGCAAAAACCGCTCTGTAAGCTCGGGCTTCACACATCGTCTGGGCGCTCTTTCCACCGACATGACTGGTTTAGATAGCCGGAACGTTGGACTTGTCATCATCGCCGCAGCCGCCGAATCACAGTGTGTGTTTTCAGAACCCTTCGAAAAGCGTCTGGAATCGTCCACAGGGCCGCTGTTGTGCCCGCTTTTCTCTTGTTTCCGGTCCTCACACCATTTGGCCAACTCGTGTGTCGAAACACCCTGGTCCAAAAGCTCCAAAACGTCTCCCAAACACTCCACGTACCCCATGTGTCTACTCAGCGAGCTTCTCTCCGACGACAATCGGTACAGACTGGTCACTGCATTGGCGGCTATTTTGAATTCTTGTGTAACCTGGCGGTTTAGCTTATCGATGTTCTGGTCGTTCACAGGCCCCTCTGGCGGGAGACTTTTTTCCAGGCTATTCAACTGTTCCATGTTGGAGGTTGATCGGGCTATGTTCTATGCCTATGAGTAGTTTTTAAACCCTTGTAACGAGAAATGCTCTTGGCTCTTGACGTGTGTGTAAGAAAGAACGTTGAGGTTTTCCTAATGTAATAAATTCTACGATCGCCTAAATCTCTAAAACAGATCACTTTTGACGCAGCACTGGCTCAATCTTCTGGAAAATGTGTCAACGTGTCCTGCTAGTCATCACAATTCTCTAAACTCGAACACACGTCGAATCTTATTGCAAAAACATCTTCAGACATTTCCTTAGCTTCTTTGAACTGACCTGTTGCCCTTACTGGTTTTGTTCTCTCTGTGTGCGGTTCAGATGCTGGTGACTTGGTGACAACACTCTCCCGAAATTCTGCTCAAAAACAAACCGAACATGCTGAGTGTGGTCAACTGCTCCGCCAGCATTGCAAAATGCTAACTTTTCTCCTGGTTTAGACGATTCGGTCCGTAATCCTGATCTTCTCACTTTAGCCACACGTGACATTATATAGTCGATCCTCTACCCAGATCTCCAAATGGTCTCATCGATGCCCAGGTCGGTTTTTTTCAGTATGGGTCCATATAAGAACATCTCGAATTTATTTCGGAGCTACACTACAACGAACAAATGCCAAAAAAAAACAATAGAAACGCGCGTAATTGAGCAAACATAGCCCAACTTCTCGGGAAAAGATTCAATTAAGACGGCTTGTCGAGGTTTCGTGCGTAGCCCTTTTGTAGCATGTTTCAGTCGCTCGAAGGTGATACCTTTTTTTATGGTAATGAAGTCGGCAACACTTTGAAAAGAGACTTCCACTGTTATAATGAGATCGGATGTGGATCCATAACGCAAAGTAGTAGCGCTAAAAGGCTGAAAAAGGCCAAAGACGGCCAGTCTAGTGCACAACCTACGCCTGAGAACTCCAGAAGCCCGTCGCCTCTGATAGACAGCACGCTGGAGGCAATAGCGATGAGCACGCGAACCGACTCAGGCGCCGCCCGCGAATCTTCGCCCTATGTCGAGGTGGAAGACTACATACGTGAAGGTTACGGATCGCCGTTCATCAACGGCGCTTACAACACTAGACTGAGTTTAGAAAACATCACGCCGGTCAATTATAGCCTGTACGACGTGGAGGCTGAAGAGTTCGAGGAAAGCGAGTTTGCAGGGACGCATTTGAGAAGAAGTCAAGAAGAATCGCGAGAGACCAGTCAGGATGTGGAAATGGAGTGATCTGGCCATCAAACCGCCAGCAAGCCGGATTAATCTACGAACAAAATTGCATGAAATGATGATTAAAACAACAACAACAACAACAACAATTAAAGATAGAATGAGAACTGAACGAAAAATTGTGTATGTTCTATAAACAAATGGAATGATGATAGTAAAGAGCTCCGCCAAAGCTCAGGGTAGCAAACTGAATGGGAAATTTTTCAGACAGATACACGCGTTCTGTCACAGAGGATCCAAAAATTAATTAAGCAAAAAATCTCCCGGGGGCGATTCGAACGCCCGATATCCAGATTACAGTGGTTAACATTACAGTCTGGCGCCTTAAACCAACTTGGCCACCGAGAGGTTATTTGATGGTATGATGAAAAGTTCTGTGTATATATACAGTTTTCCACGCACGCCACTCCAAGCAGCTTTGTTAAGCTGCTGATTACAATACCTTCTAAACACCTGCGCGATGAGCACATATATTCTCTTGCTGGCGCTCCAACTACAGGACGAACCAAGCTACTACCAATTGCTGGGAGAGCTGTTTTGAATTCTGCTTCGTCCCTTTTCAGATGCCGCGTGGCTTGCTCATCCTAATTGAAGGGCTTGATCGAACCGGGAAAAGTACACAGGCTGCGAAACTCGTTGAAAGTCTCAATAACGATGCCCGTCTGGTCAAGTTTCCAGATCGTACCACGCCAGTAGGTCAATTGATCAACCAATACCTAGTAGATTCCGGAACGCGACTGGCAGACCAAGCCATTCATCTTCTGTTTTCTGCAAACAGATGGGAAGTTGCTGAGTCTATAAAAGCCACCTTGCTGGAAGGCAGAACCGTTGTGATGGATCGCTATGTATATTCGGGAATAGCTTATTCTGCGGCCAAACGCGTACCTGGGATGGGTTTGGAATGGTGCGTCCAGCCGGACAAAGGACTTTTGAAACCAGATCTGACCTTTTTTCTTTCCAACAGCGAAAACGAGCAGCGCCAAGGTTTCGGGGACGAACGCTACGAGTCCTCGAACTTCCAAAGTAAGGTTCGTCAAGAGTTCGAAGCCATATTTGACACTTTTGAGAGCCCACTCTACAAGGAAAAGCATATGGTGTTTCTCAATACTACTGGCAAGACCATAGACGAAGTGCACGGCATGTTCGATTCAGCTCTCAAGAGTTTTATCCAAAACAATAACGATATTAACGAGTTTATGTACTTTTAATTTAGCCTATCCAAATAGTTGACCCGCTCCAGCAGCACATCTTTGGAAGTTTCCTGTATTTCACCACCTATGAGCAGCTCGTCCAAGACCATGTACGCCTTGTGGAAGTTGAAAACAAGGTCCAGCTCACAGACATTACCGAAAAAGGCATCCAGCACCTCGACGAACAGGTGTATGTACGAGAGATATATCACTTCCTCATCCTCAAGGTCTATCCCCAGCACAAAATAGAGCCCTGCATATCTCTTGTACACGAGCTTTGTCGAATCTGAAAACTCCACGAAATTACTCTGGTGTCGATGGTCTCTTGACGAGATCAACTTGTATATTTGCGCGATTGTTGATTGATTGTTCGAGGAGTCGCTAGAGAATGGTTCGAACAACCTGATCAATCGGAGCGCACCCTGTTTATTCAAACATAGTACGAATTTGATGGCCATTGGCTTTCAATTGTTCTGTGTGTCCGACCTCTTTGGCTCTTCTCACTAAGGTTACAGTTTGGAATATAAATATAACTAGTGATTAGTTTAGTCTTTATTGAAGAAGTAGAGATGGAATAGTTTAAAAGCGTAACGCTTTGATTTCATCTACCAAAGGATTAACGTTTTAAGCTCAATTCAGCTCGAGAGGTTGTAATGACTCAAGATGCTGAGTTGTCTTTTCAATCCTTGCGAATTGTGTTTTCCGATCGCATTCGAGGCAATTTCGTAAGACTTCCAGTTTCCATCGTCCATGTACTTGAAAACACCTCGATACCCGTTCAAGAATTCGGAATTACGATTAATACAGATGGGAACAAGGTACATGTAGGATGGGACGGTTTTGAAGCATTGCAGTCACTAAATGGACAAAGCTGTGTAGAAATCAACCCTATCCTTGCCTCTGCGCACAAGATCAGGGAAGGATCCGTTGTGGATTTGAGCATCAGACAATTTGATCAAGGTCTCGTCGCAAGCGAAGTCTACGTAGAGCCGCAGTCAAGTGATGATTGGGAGGTTATTGACGGAAATGCCAGATTTATACAAGACAACATGCTATCCCAAACGCGAATTGTGGTCCAAGACGAGCTGCTGATATGCTATGTGGAACAAACGGTTGCGAAATTCACCATTCAAAAAATTGTACCGCATTTTTCAGGTGCTGCCAGAATCACTACAGACACACTGGTTATGGTGGCGCCTAAAGTCAACAGATCGAGGCTTGTGAACGGCAAGTCTGAACGACATGATGATACGCGTTCTGTGCACAAGCCAAGTGTTTTGAGAACAGTCCAGCAAACAGAAAATCTGCGAGGCTATTCGATGCGTGTTGCCCCGCAAATAGCTAAGTCCTCCCTGGCGCTAGTCAGCATCATAAAAAATCCGTTGGAGCCATCCTCAGAGGAAAGCTCAGAGGAGGAAACGAAACTTGAACGTGCACAAAGCATTGCTGTGTCTGTAACGGCTGACCCTCAAACAGATGCAAAACATGTCGCACTATCTCGCTTCACATGGGACTCCCTTGGTATTGACGCTCGAAATGGGTACAAGTTGAAAGTGGCCTTTGTCTCACTACGACCTGAGCAGGCCCCACCAAGCGTATTGGTCTATCCTATAGATCAATCTGAAAGTGGCAAGAAAACTTTGTTTGGTGGTAAGCTCTCCAACTCGCAGCAGCACGTAGTGCAGAGCATAAAGGCGGAAATGATTGGCTCGGTATTGACAAACAGGTTAGTTCTACCGCTCGACCAAGTATACATCGAGCTGGTTTCGGAAACAGGTGAGCATGTACCCTTTTATGAGTGGAAGGATGCGGAGGTCGATTTTAGATATATGGATAAACCCGTCAAAGTGTTGAAAAATCACTTCTTCGAGACCAAAACCCAATTGCCGAGATGCATTGGGATGGGAACACTACTGGACCAAATGCAAAATCATCTAACACTACCAATCATGAGTTCTGGCTGCTCGTTGGTGACTGGGTCCAGCGGAATGGGCAAGACTTTGTTAATAAAACAGCTCAAAACCCAACTGGAAGCCACTTCGACTCTTTATGTCGAATACGTGGACTGTGAAGACTTCATGGACAACACTAATTTCGTAAAAATGAAACAAACGCTGCAGCGGCTGATGGCATCTTGTTATTGGTATGCGCCATCTCTTTTGATTTTGGATAATGCAGAAATTTTGTTTCCGCATAACAAGTCCGAAGAGGAAACCCAACCCCAAAGTAATGCAACTGAGGTTTCCACGAGGTTGAGCAGAGTATTTATACAAGAGCTTGAGCAACTCTCGAAGAAGGTGTATGGGAGTGTTCGTGTACTTCTGACAGCAGAGAGACGAGAGAATCTCAATCAAGCACTATTTTCAAGGCACGCAATTGGCAAAACATGGCATCTAGAAGCACCAGGCCGAGAATTCAGAGGCTCCTTAATGGGTCAGTTTCTCTCTGACAAATCTTTGAGCCTTTCGGATGGTCTTGACCTTTCGACATTAGCTTCTGAATCCGAAGGTTACTCTCCAAGAGACCTCCTTCTCTTTTCAGAAACACTACTGTGTGAACACCTCTGTGATCAGTTGAGCACGTCTATACCAGTGACGAAAAATACCTTCGAGCGGACAATCGCCACTTTCACGCCTTCTTCCCTGAGGGGCATAAAATTGCAAAAAGACACAGGCGTTAAATGGTCAAGTGTGGGAGCGATGCACAGAGCGAAAGAACTTTTGTTGGAAACACTGGAATGGCCTACAAAGTATGCGCCGATATTCTCGAAGTGTCCTTTGCGGTTGAGATCTGGAATCTTGCTGTACGGATACCCAGGATGTGGCAAGACAATGTTAGCGAGTGCTGTGGCCCAGCAATGCGGAGTCAATTTCATATCGATCAAGGGCCCCGAGATTTTGAATAAATACATTGGGGCTAGTGAGCAAAGTGTGCGAGAATGCTTCGAAAGAGCACAGGCTGCGCGACCTTGTGTGTTGTTTTTCGATGAGTTCGACTCTATCGCGCCTAAGAGAGGACACGATTCCATTGGGGTCACGGACCGAGTTGTGAATCAAATGCTGACACAGATGGATGGTGCAGAAGGCTTGGAGGGCGTCTACGTCTTGGCCGCAACAAGCAGACCGGATCTGATAGACTCTGCTCTTCTGCGGCCGGGACGTCTCGATAAAAGTGTACTTTGCGGGCTGCCATCGGCTTCCGAAAGGTTGGAAATATTGGAAACCATTATCGAAGCGGGGGGCATGAGTTTGGAAGAAGATTGCGATCTGCAAGAGGTTGCAAATGCCACTGAGGGCATGTCTGGCGCCGATCTGCAGGGTCTGTGTTATACGGCGCACCTGAAAAGCGTGCATCGCAAAATGGAGCTGGTGTCCGAGCAAACGCAGCCGCACAGCCGAACCGATGGTGGCAAGAAGGACAGTGATGGCGGAGTATCTTTTGAGTATTTTTTGACAAACGGAGAGAGTTCCGATTCGGAGAGTCTTGTGAGAGCAGAAAAAATCCTGTCAGCAAGTCTTGCGAGCCCAGAAATATCTTCATCGCCTACGCTTGCGGACGGTGTTACTGTTTCCGAGAAAACCTCTCCGCGAATCTCGCGTAGCGACTTGCAGAGCGCGTGTCGTGAGACCAAACCTTCAATTTCGTCCGCAGAACTCCAGAAATTGACCAAAATCTACGGCCTTTTTTCCAGCAACAGAGATGCCAAAATGCCGTCCGGGGAAGCTTCCAATGAAATCGGTGGAAGGATGACTTTGATGTAAGAATAGTGGGTATACTCATTGGGCGTTGCTTGTCACCGTTGCTTGTCACCGTTGCTTGTCACTGACGCTGTCACTGCCAGATTCGTTGAAAGAGATCAAAAATTCAGTGATGTCTGGGTGTTTGTCACGTGCCCGGATGTGTCCCCTTTTTTTCGGATTACGTCTTCCGTCGCCGCTAAACTGCACCCGTGCATCCGGAAATTAGCTTCTTCTAAGCTGAGAAACCCAGGGAAAAGCTAATTCATTGAATTGCAAGTAACAATTTCGACTTTATTAAAGTTCAAATTGAATTTGAGAATTTCAACCAGAGCTTTGAACAGGAACTTGAACAAGATTGATACAATTGAACACGGATAGCATACCTGGACGGTAAAGCTAGAATCTGAAAGTGAAACACACGCACAGATACGGTCTGTTTACGCTAGAGAAAACGCTTGTTTTGAGGCCTTCATCGAGCATTTCAAACCGTCTTTTTACGGTTTCTCTAGGTCAAACTGCTGAATAAATCACAATAATATGACCGCAATGAGGGATAGTCCCAGCCTGGGCGGTGCAGCGGCACAGGCAGTGAGCGCACTGCTTCCTGGAAGTCCAAAAGATGGCGGAAAAGATGGAGAAGGGAGGAAAAACGGAGAAACAGCGTTTGGAGCGAGCAGGAGCAGTGGACGCAAAAGCCCTTTGAGTCGTCCCAGCGGCCAGATCAACAGAAGTGCGTCGGCCAAGAGCCTGAATCCGCTGAAAAAAATCTTCCATAGGTCGCAATCGCACCACGAAACGGCCGAGCGAACAAAAGCGGAGCGGTCGCCGCTAAGTGCAGACGAGAAGTCTCGGAACCGAAGCTCGAGCTTCTTGCAACGTATGCATCCGCAACATCATGGTGGTGCCGGTGGTGTCGGCCCACATCAACAGCATCGGGAACTTTCAAAACAGCCGTCGTCGCAGATGCTGAACGGAGTTAAGTCGCACAATGTAAATCCGTTTGTAACGTCGCGTGCAAGCGGTTTCGATTCCCCTTTCAGTGCACTCGGTCGTGGTACGGACATTGCTGCTCCACGGCAGTCCCACATGAACGGGTCGAACCCCATGTCACGGAAAACGTCGTCGAACGAGTCCAATATGGTGTACAATCCATACGGTACGCTCTCCAAAAACGATACGTCGAGTTCGCAGCACGATTTGTCTTTTTACCTACACGACGGCAAAGACGAGCTGCCTTTGCTGCCAACACCCTTGAAAGATCCCAACGATTACCTTCCCGAGGGTTACAAGCAGTACAGCGTGCAACTGGCAGACAATTTCGTGTATCCAGAAAGAAATTCGGCAGACGATTTGAATCTTGGCTCAGGTGGGTCTAGTGAGGTACGCACAGTTCGGTCTGCCTTCCACAAGAAAGACTTGTATGCATTGAAAAAATTCAAGCTTTTGAGAAATGAGAAACCCGATCATTTCTACGTGCGGTGTTCCAAAGAGTTCATTATGGCTAAACGTCTGAGCAAAAACCATCATATTGCCAATACGTTTTTTTTGGTCAAAGTCTCCACAACCACTTTTATGACGCGAGGATGGGCTTTCATCATGGAATATTGCCCTGGTGGGGATCTTTACAGTTTGATCATACGACCTGATTGGAGGAAAAGACCGCTCAAGGAGAAGTTTGAGTATTGGAGACAAATTGTGGAGGGTATCAAATTTATTCATAGTCAAGGCGTGGTGCATCGAGACATAAAGCCTGAAAATGTGCTTATTACTCAAGATGGATTAGCCAAACTCACAGACTTTGGTATTTCAGATTGGGGACACGAGGACCCTGACGATTTGAGTAGTCCCATAAAATTGTTTGAAAATTATGTGGGGTCACCACCTTATACCTCACCTGAAGTTATGTGTTTTAACGATGAAAATGCTACTCGACAAGATAAATTGCCGTACGATGCTCACAAGATGGATTTCTGGGCATTGGGAGTGATTCTTTTCACACTGGTATACCAAAACACACCATTTTTGGAAGCATACAAGACGGATTCTAGATTCAGATCTTACGTTCTGTCTTATGACAATTTTGTTGACCATAATAACCCACAATTCAAAAAGCGTGGAAATCACAAGCCTGGGCCAGGGAGTGAATTTCAGTATGGACGCGAATTCCAGAATACAGGAGCTTCAAGGGTTGCATGGCGACTTGCAGATCCAGATCCCAAAACCAGATACACAATGGACGATATCTTGGCGGACCCATGGTGGTGTCAAATTTCGGAAGGTATCAGTGAATCTGCGGAAGCTATTCCAAAGTTGCCGGAACTGAGAAACACTAGTTATGACAGTAATGGGGAAAGAACGGCTTCGCGCTCGGCTGGGAACTCGGAAGAGGAACTGATGATGCCCACTTCGAACCCGTTTCTAAGTCAAAATCTATCCAAGGCCAAATCGAAGTCGATGCTATCTATTGCCGAGGTTCCTCCTGCTGCTGGGTCGAGTGCACCATCGCCGCGTGGTGTGGAATCGCTGGCGACCCTCAATGAGGACAAAGCGGTTGAAGCGGAAGGTGTGTTTGTAGACGCGTCGAGCGGGCCCGAAGAAACAGCAAAGGCTTCAAAAGCTTGGGGAACGGCTGAGAGTGGATCTTCAAGTCACGAGAGTTTAGCAAGACTTTCATTGCGGGACTGAGGATGCGGATGCAAGTGGGAAGGGCAAAATTGAGGACGTAGGGCTGAGGTTTTTCGGTCTGGGGATATAAGACCTAGGTTGTAAGACTATACGGCGTATCTATCGCAAATAGGGATGTTTATTGTAATGTTTGGAGAGCGGCGAGGCGGCGAAGCGGGAAGCGGCGAAGCGAGTAGCCAAAAGCGCAGAGCGTGGTGATTTTTTTGTTTGGCAGTGAAATTAATATTTAGGATGGTTAGAGGTACTTTTAAACTTAACAGTGTCGGAAATACAATCCGAGGAGTAAACAAACGGACAAAGCGCATGACAAGAGGGCTGACGGTAACTATGTTCAAGTATTCAAGCATCGAGATACTATTGCCGGTGGAAATTTATACATGATAAATCTACAATCGATATTCGAGCCGATCTTTCATCATCGTCCGTCGTACTTGAAGCGAGTCGGACCTGATCAACACGATTTGTTTGATCTGACTTGGACTCGACGTGGTCTTGAATAACCAGGGCCATCGTCATCGCTGGCCAAGGACTATCGAGATCATAATCACCTGCTTCATTACCACTATGGCTATCAACCTCTCAGATCATGTGCTACTGTATGTGTCAGAAAAACTATCTTGAAGACGAGTACTTTGGATTACTTAATGGAATAGTACTCGGGGAGGGGAGAGAAGGAGCATGAAAGCACTACACACGAAAGATAATATTTCCAGTGGGTCATTTCCAACGTTCTGAAACGTGACTTTTGGAAATAGATTAAGATTAATTGATTTAGAGCTGAGAATACTAAAGTGAGAATCCAGAACATAACAGGCTCACCTTTTTAAAGCTGATTTCTCTTTATTCACCTGACTCTTCTATAAGTGTTCTTTCTGGGATGTGTTCTGGTTATCTGGAATAAACTGCAAACGCGAAGTCTGGTCCAAAAGGTTTATAGTACTCACCTTACGCTCTTGGGATACTGCTCAATATGAGCAGAGTCGCCAAAGGTGTCATTAGTTTCAATTCTCGCGTTCGCGATCAAATGCGCCATCTGTAAACTTTGTGGAAGACCTTTCCATGAGAGTAGATTGCCTTTGACGGCACGTTTGAAAAGAATCGGCACCCTACCCAATGACGGTCATGTTACTCCAAGCGGCGTTTTATTGAGGTGCCAGGTCGAAAATGTCGCGTCATACCGGTGACCTCTTAGCAAGACAAAACTACCTTCATTATATTCGCTGCGACGGTCATAGTTGTATCACGAAGCGTTGTTTTTGAAGAAAAATGCCAAGACATCAGTAGCAAAGACTATGCCCCATCAAGCACTTTCTTACTCTCTTGTAGATTCAAAATAAAACTTCTTTCTTTACATGTGGCCCACACATGTTAAGTGAAATCTCAAATTATATGTGAGTAAGTGACTCTAGAAAAAAGATAGAGATCTCTACTAATCAGAAGCTAAGTATCCGAAAAGTACCCGATAATCCATGAGTAGGTAGGATCCACTAAAGAACCCACTCCGTACACAATTACTACCCACCTGGTATCCATTTTGGGATCCACTAAAGAACCCATTACGTACACAATTACTACCCACTTGGGATGCACTCGTGCAGCGTGTGTACATGACTGCAACCCGAAAGTACCCTATCCACAAAAACCCATTACCCTCCCGTCGCGAACTCAAAAATCAATAGGTTACCCGTCCTTTGCACACACCCATCCAATCACATGACCTCTATTTTTTTTTCGCGTCGCGACGCGACGCGTCGCGTGCTCCTCACGCCCCTACCATCCGTACACAATGCCCACCCCTAAAAAAAAAAATTTATTCGCGATTTTGTGTTCATCCCAAAACAACGTGATATAAATACAAACTTTTTCACAATTTTTTTTCCTAACCTCATGACTATCACATTTCTTGAAATCTAGCAAGACTTTGTTTGTATACGCAAGACGTAAAAATACTTGCAGAATCCCGAATAACAACACATTCAAGCGTGCAAACCACGAGTTCCCACGTGAAGAGAAACGTGTAACCGCCGAAGATCGAAGACCGAAGACCGAAGACCGAGACACATACCATCATGGCCAAGAGACTACTGCCCAACGACGTGGACGTCAGCAACGAAGAGTTGGTTAAGAGACAGCGCGCGGAGGAGGAGGCCGCCGCTGCTGCCGCAGCGGTGGCCGCGGACCAGAGCAACATCGACGCGGAACTGTTGAAGGAGAAACACGAGGACGAGGACGACGCGCGCGTTCAGCAGCAGCAGCAACGCCATTTGCAACAGCAACAACAGCACCATCTTCAGCAACAGCAGCAGCAGCAGCAACAACAGCAACAACAACAACAGCAACAGCAGCAACAACACCACCATCAGCATCGTCACGCAGACGAGGACCACGAAAACACAGCAGCGGCCGCCGCGGCGGCCGCTGCCGTCTACGGAGGGCTCATGAACGCTCAAGAGGAGGCCAACAACGAACTACAGCACCACCACCATCATCAGCTGGCCCAACACCACCACCAGCAACAACAACAGCAGCAGCAACAGCAGCAGCAGCACGCTGGAAGAGTCACCGAAAACGACGACGACGAAGAAGACGTGGATGAAGACGACGAAGACCTCAAACACGGCGGCAGCGCCGCCGCTGCTGCGGCTGCAGCAGCTCGTCGCGGTCGCAAACCGGTTCCCGTCACAGGCTCCGAAGAATGGCGTCAGCAGCGCAAGGACTCCCACAAGGAAGTGGAACGTCGTCGTCGTGAAAATATCAACACCGCCATCAACAAGCTCAGCGACTTGTTGCCAGTCAAGGAGTCCAGCAAGGCATCGATCTTGCTGCGGGCTGCAGAATACATTCAGAAATTGCGCGACACGGAAAACGCAAACATCGAAAAATGGACCCTGCAAAAGCTACTCAGCGAACAGCAAGTCAGCACGTTGACCAAGGCCAACGAAAGTCTACAATTAGAGCTAGGAAACGCGTTCAAGCAAGTCGACATCTTGAAACGTCAACTACGCAGTTCCGGTATTTCTGTCGATCAGGAAGTCGTGAAGCTCGAAGCGGAAGCCAGCAGAAACAATTGAGCGTGAAACGTAGCTGATTCTGTGCGTCTGCTCTGCTCTGCTCTGCTCTGCTCTTACTTTTTTTTATCCCTATTGTTCTATTCCCATTTTTTTTGAGCTTGTCCTGGTGCTCTTGGCCCCATGGAGGAAAGCTGCTTGGCCAAGAGAGGACGTTTATGGAAGGATTATGCGGTGACGAAACCTTCCAATTACACGAGTTTCTATTTTATGATCCGGTTGTACTGTGTAATTGTGTATAATATTAAGTTTTGAATACGACTGAGTCTCTCGCCTGGTTGGAGACGAATTTTATGGGACAGACGTTGATGTTTGGGTAAGCCAGGCCATTGCATAATTCCATGATTTGTTATGCTCAGAGACCTGGTATTTTGAATCTCAAGATTCTGCACTAGAAAAAGTTTACAGGCCTTTTTCAAACGTGTATTTTGAGATCGGTGGTGTGCTCAGCGATTAAGACTAAGTGGTCTACATCGACTCAGCGCTCAGACTGTCAATATTCACAGCCAAGAACGAATAGCATCACGAAATACACTCTACAAATGCGCAAGCTGAAGTTTTGAAGTTTTGAATTTTTACTAATTCTAAAAGAGTTTCGGGAGGCTGTAAACACGACATCTGGCGTCTTAACAGAGGTTGGTGTCGAAACGGATGCGACGACACACGTTGGGAAGTGACATCTTCGTTACCAAACGCTCGAGAAAGACAACGATCACCACGCACGAACACAAATATACTCGACCAATATGAGTCACGAGAATACAGTTTTCTTTGCTGTTCAATGAGTATTTTGATAGCTCATGAATGCTCACGGGTAATGTTTGTCTTGAACGTCAGTGTTTCGAGAGTGTCTCTCTTCAAATGTGGTGATTAACTTACTATGCATTGTCGTATGAAGATACCACCGGTAGATCTCCACACGTACACAGTGATCTATCCCATCTGTCGTCGTCGAGTGTAGTATCAATCGGTCGGTGTCGTTAGTTTGGTAGACCGCTGAGCTGCACTCGACTAGAGCTGATACCACGCAGAACGTTGTTTCACTACAATTGAGAAGAAACTCTGTTCACTGTCAGGACAACAATTATACCCAAAATTGTCATTCATGATAGCCTACAGTGAAACTTTTTGATCGTATTCACGCCTCTGGCGCTGCCTGTGCTCGTCTTTAGTCCTGCTCTCTTTTCAACAATACGCGCAATCACCACAACAGATGGCTCTTCAAGCACATCTATGACGTTCTGGGTAATCACTCTGCTTTCTTGGCCGTTTAAAGATTGGCTTCTTTCTCGAAGCAGGTATCACATTTGTCGTCTTTTTATTCTCGCTATTCTTATGGCGTCTTCGTTCCTATCCCATTCTCTGTTTATATGTTGAAAAGCCTTTCTTCACGTTACAAGAGCTCGAATTTGCGTTGTAGAGCGGAACTGCCAGCTTGAAAAATCTGGCGTACTTTTGTCTATCATCATCCCACCAAGTGATGGCTCCTTCGCTAGACTCAGCGAGTAGTCTTTTTTCTTGCTGACATTCAGACAACCCCGACGGTACAAAAATTCCTGGGATTTCCTTCGTACTCATTTGTGACCACAATAGACACTTTCAATGGCTTAAAAATGCTCGAGTTAACTTTCGATCTCGGCTTTTTGGAGATCTTGCCTTTCGTCTTGCAAGCGGAGGGATGCATTGCTCGAGCATGTTCCATAATGTTACCTGTACATTATCCTTCAGCCCAATGCTTGCCACACGAGATGCATCTGGCTTTTGCTTGTCCACTTGTGGTACCCATCTCCCGAAATAAGCGAAAGAAAGGCTACATCATCCATCGCCTAACAAGTCTGGTGGATTGAGGTGGTTCGAAACTACTCGCTGGAATAATGGGTATCAATGTAGTTTGAGAGACCGCGTGTTCGGCTAACAAGGGACGCGCAATGGACGGTCATCTGGCGAAGACTACTGTGATGTGGTTCGATGCTCCAGGGCTTGTGGTTTCATTCAAGCGCATTTTTTCAAGCAACACTTGATAGGAGTTATTGGACCGGGATAGGGGAGCAATTTACGACATACGGAAGTTAAACCACGATACTGCCATGCTCTTTCGAGAGCGCGAAGAAATCTCGATTCCCGTTCTGTTATGTCTTGCAGTAAACCAAACTCTCAAATAAACAGATGAGTGAGCCTGTGCCCACAACAAACCAGCAAAAAAGACGTCAAAAAAGGCCCGTTTTTCGGCGAGAAAGAAAACTCCATTGTCAGTGTTCGCTAACAATGTTCAAGGAGACTCCTTGGGTTGCATTTGTTCTATTTTATGGCCCAGTTAGGTCAAAGATCGTGCTTGCATTGTTTATCGCTGATCATCATCATTGTCGCGCGTTAGGCTTCCGGATATCACTTTGTACCATAAAAGTTACCGATCACGTGTATGACACTTTCTCAAAACCTTAAAGGACATTTTCACATTGTATCAACAGTTTAGGCTTCCCGATCGATGTAAATGATGAGTCTCAAAAGGAGAAATCTCAAAGTCTCTTCCAATTCTCCTTTTCACCTTCAATTTTGATTCAAAGAAAACCACAAATTTTATCATGTCCTTTCTCACTTTGGTGGACTCAAGTATCTATTTCCCAGTCAGGAACACGGAAGAATAGAACATATAGTGGTCAAGAGGTATTCGAATCAAAGCGAACCATAGTGCCAAGTGCATAAAAAAGTCTTGAATCTGACACGATTGCCCATTCGAACCCTGGACGAGACGTTATTTTATTTTTTATAACGCACCCTAATAAAGTCACGTTACAGTTTGTTGCTATGGTTTCCTGAGGTGTAATTTTTCTTGGCGAAAAAGCTTGCAGGCTTATCTGTCTAAATCTGCCAGAAACTGGAACTAACATAAAAGAACCAGGTCAAACGGGCATCAAAGTTCTATCCCATTCTTCAACTCACACCTATGGCGTGTTGAGAAGGTGCTTAAAGTAGCGAATCTCGGTTCGAAGCGACGCAAACTTTCACGGCCGGCCTCATTTTGTTGGTTTTTCAGAGACACCTCAAAGGTCTGTTTATCAACGTTTACACACTTAGCGTGCTCACTGTTACTCCCCGCAAACATCGAAAATAAGCCGATTTTCTGCCCAGTTTTGTTCTTTCGATCCCGTCCTTCAATTCGTGAAATGGACACTTCTGGCACATTGATCTCACGAGTTTTTCGCGGCAAAATGCTTCACTGGATTCAACGGCATGCACCTTTTATTTCAATTTTTTTGCGCAAGCGACGCCTTTTCAGTGCGCTGATATTACTTTTTTGCATCTTTCCGTGCATCCTGTTTGTCCAGAAGCTCGACGGAAGCCCGTATGACTTGGCCTACTCACAACTCGATAGGCTACGAACGGGTTCATTACATTCTCCCTCAAATATCGATGCAGCATACGATTTGCGGCAGCTGTACAAAACCTTGCATTTCGACACTGGCTTTGAATATCCAACGGGCTACGAGCTCCAAAAAGACCTACTCACCATTCATTATGGCCCTCAAAGAGGTCAAAAAGTCGAATCTGTAGACGACCTACAGTTTTACGATTCCGATCCACGTTTGCTATGGAGTGTACTGGCTAGCCATCTGACAAGTGAAGCCACTACTTCGACCCCACTTCCGTTCTCGTGGTACGATTGGGCCGACTTTCACGATTACAACAAACTTATCGCGGTGCGACAGTGTTTGCAAAGCTGCAGTTTTTTCTTTGGCCACCATTTCAACTCGTCTCTCTTATTGGAGATCGAGCGCGAGACTGGCGAGCAGTTATTTGCCATCGACAGGGGTTACTACAGTACACAAGATGATCCCGAGCTTAGCGAATTGGAGATCACTGAAATGATCCAGCGTGAAAATAGTTCTTGTGTGACTGACATCAGTTTCTATGCAGACTCAGAGCAGTCAAGGTCGTCCCACGCCTTTTCAGTAGGTTTCGTTGTCAAGTCTCTTCAAGACCAGGTGAGACCAGAAGTTTACCGATTGCAAGCCAGGAATCACCTTCTTCATGCATTGAAAATTCCTTTGTCTCTTACTATCCTGAACGGCGACCGCGGTGCCTGGCAGGTTCCAATCAGGCAAGATAATCGTCAGAATATGGTTCAGTCTGGGCTGCTGCAAAAGTACTTAAAAAGCGCTCTCAAAGGCTCTGATAAGCCTCTTGAACTCGACTTTGTGTCGGAGTTTGACAGATTCTCCAAAAGTGAAGCGTCGAAATTCCTCACTCTCAAGACATTAGATTTACATGAAGAGAAAGATAAAGCTTTCAAGGGCTTATTCACGCACCTCGAAAAAGAAGATTTCGAGTTCGATGCTATCGCTAAAATTGAAGAGCTTTCATCGCGCTCCAGATCGCTGTCCGCCCACGAGTCGTCTTATTTGGACAGTTTAATCTTTTCAACACAAACCCATTTCGCATTCGCGCCAAAATACTTTCACGAACCTGGGGGGCTCAAGGACTTTCTGCAGCTAGGAAGGCATCACGACTCGAGGTTTTTCAATGGCGCTATTTTTCGGGATCCGAAAGAAACACTATTACGCTTAAATTCGATGGTTATCACTTTTCAGAAATTCTTGAAAGCGAACAGTCTCACTTGTTGGCTAGCGCATGGTTCTCTCTTTGGCTATCTTTACAACGGCCTCAACTTTCCTTGGGATAATGATTTTGACGTGCAAATGCCAATCCGCCATTTACACATTTTAGCCCTGAACTTCAATCAGTCGCTGGTCGTGGAAGATCCAAGAGAAGGAAACGGTAGGTTTTTAATGGATGTGGGGAGCTCGATAACCCATCGTACACAAGGAAATGGCAACAACAATATTGATGCCAGGTTTATTGACATCGACTCTGGCCTCTACATCGATATAACAGCATTAAGTGTATCCTCCGCCATGCTGTCCAATCATGACGCAGTTCTCTTTCAGCAAAACAAAGATAGCATCGGGACTGAGATCAAGCACAGCGACCCCAATTTGATAGCTAACATAACGGATATTCCTCTCCAGGTTCTTTACAACAAGATACAAAACGACACAACGCGCTCTGATGAGGAAAGACGTCAAGTTCAAGAGCTAGCAGAAAAATTTAACAAGGATTTTCCCAGCAATCAGTCGCCAACGAAGTTTTTTTCGGCGGAACAGCGGTACAATCTTAATCATGAGCTTGGATTGTATAACTGCCGCAACCATCACTTTGTCCAGTTTGATTCGGTATCACAGCTGATTGCTACCAAATTTCATGGTGTTTCTGCACTGGTTCCAAGCAAATACATCACACTTCTGAAAAGAGAATACAGGGTACCAATGAAGTTTCGTGCTGTAACTTTCCAGACTAGATCTTTTGTCCAGGGTATAAGATCGTGGGTACAATCGTCCTTGCTAAAAAAATTGATGAATATCACTGGACGTCGCGAAAACCTGGAGGATGTCAAATCGCCTGCGAACAATCTAAAATCTGGCGATGTTGATATCATTTTGAGGAACAGTGCACGGTCTAATTCCGTTGATTTCCTCTCTTATGTGCATAACAGTAAAGAGATCAGCACCTATAGACGGAAGGAAATTGAGCTACAGTTTTCGGAAACCTATAGCTCTGAAGAGAAAATTTCTATGCTACAACAGCTCGACGCTAGCATTGGAACGCGGTTGAAGCCAGTGATGGAGGATCCGCGAATCAATAGCCTCCGAAAAAAAATGTGGCATACATTGTCTGGTGATGCTCAGTTGACTCCTGAGATTCTTATGGATCTTAATCTGGAAATCGCTGAAGAAACTATAGCATGGAACTCGCTGCTGGACGGGAGAGCTCTGCCATTTTTAATCGGCGTTCAAGAGGAAGAAGAAGCGGCAGGGGGAAATCATGATTTGAATTTGAAGGATCTTGCTATTGATCTCTCCAACGTTTTCGCTCGGGATCCAAACTTCTAGCTGTTTCTTGATACTTCTCACGTATACCTCATCAGGGTTGGTGATAGATTACCTCGTCACCGCTCCTTTATACCCAAGGTCCAGAGCACGTAATTCAGTAGCGACAGCATAAGTAGTAGTGAAGTGGTAAATTGTGCATTTCAATTTTATCGATTGACTTCGAACTCAACGTCTCGAACCAGCACTCCTTCGTAGCCTTCAGAAAGACTACCCACGACGTCGACACTACTGTTTGAACTATCCAGACTTTTTTCTGTATCACCATGTTGACCATTGAATTTAAAAATGCTTGAAGTTCCCGCAAAGACCGTAGATCCATCTTCAACACCACAGCGATTGCACATGATAGCAACGGCGTTACGATTCTCGAACACCCATGGCTTGTTACAAGTCCCACCCATATATGAGGTGCGTAGACCTCGAATTTTACTCAAAATCGGATTGAGAAGCCCTTCCATAAGCCAGCTTTTTCGGTCTTCATATGCTAAGAAGGGCATGAAGCGTAATATCCAATAATTCAAGTTAGACATATCAGGTTGACCAAGACGCTTGAAGATATGTGTCTCTTCAGCATTCGAACTCTCAAGAGCACGCTCCCGAGCACTAACTTCCGGGTTTTCCTTGACACTAGTGCCATCGAGTAGGTTCACATCCAAGTGATAATCACCTTGAGAGCCAAACATTGGTAAATGAAGGCTTTTCAATGACTCTGCTATCTCTTTTCTCCGCAGGCTTGGATTTTCGGTGCTCGAAGTGACCGATACAGAACTGAGCCACGCCATTGGGAACAAAATGAGTTCAGTTGCATTTTCAGCATGAAAACTGGAAAACTCAAAATCTTGGAAAGGTGCTTCAAATTTGTAGGGGCTCAGATCCATGCAAATACCAACCGCACTTTTAATGCTGATATCATGCAAGCGACCATCTGAGTCCCGCGCTTTTTTGGCGAAAGGAAGCTTAAATGTTTGAAACCCTGCTGGGTTCTCGCTACAACCCCATTCCTCGTCGGTTTGATACAGGAACGACTTGCGGTAGTTGAATGCCAGCTCTCCCTTTGAGTTGACGACTATCACAGAATTGTAGTTCACTTGTTCTGAGCGGTCATCACCTTTCTCCGGATAGCCCATCACTGTGACACACGAGAGTTGACGGGAAATTCGCTGACATAAGTCCCATTCAGGACCCTGACCTGCCGTATTCAGATAGGGTTCGATCTGTTGGCGAGAATGGAAATTATAGCCTGAGAGGGCGAATTCCGGAAAAACCACGATATCAGGCTTGTATTTTTCTATTCTCGATATCAGAGCATTCACTCTAGCTATGGTCTCACTGACGTGGCCAATCTGAGGATTTAGTTGAATCACAGCAATCCTCAATCCAACGGTAAGCTTTCTCAGTTGTTGCGCCATGCTAAAACCGTAATTTGTTGCTTCCAAGCTCTCTTCACTTGTGTTTGATTCGGCTGACTAGTCAATCGAGATGAGCAGGTTTTATTGATAAGTTAATTAAGAGTCTAAAAGGATGGCAGTCAGTTCACGAGGTATCGACAATGGCTCGGAAATTCATCTTGAAGGCCTGATCAGACTCTCAACGAAGAAAAACCATCATGAAAGTTGCCATGCTTGCGAATATTACTACACTTGGTGAAAGATGGTTGAAATTATATTATACAGGTTTTAGGTATGGGAGAAATTAGTTAAATGAGCTGAAAAGCATGCGATGTTTCGAGTTGATTTGTATCAGACGCTGTTGACTGACCTATGCATTGATGAAAGGTGGCCCGTGAGGTAACAGGGAGCCAAAGATGCGAAACCATGTGGTATTCTTGGATAAAATAATGCGAACACTATAACTTACAGTGCGTCGATGTGATCGGGACTGATATGCCGCGTAGAATGCAACAATGTGCACGTCCATGGCTTTGGCTACCGGTTTTTGGATGAAAAAGGCATGTGCACTTGGTTAAATCTGAATTTGATGCCATTGATCAAATGCCATGATTAATTCGAACGCTAGCTGCCCTTAGATGAAGGAGGCAGGGAGGTTTTTGGATCAGAGCTGAAGATCTCGTTACGATTATGCTCCCCCATAACAAAAAACTTGCTTCCCCGATGATTGTAGTCCACCGGGCTAGGTGGGTGCTGGTAGCCACCTTCACTTGTCCAGGGGAAGTTCTTTTGATTGTACAGAACATTTAATTCAAGGAGGCGGTCAGCATTTTGCAAGCTTTGCTTTTTGAGTAGCTTGTTTAAATGGGCATAGGAAATCGAGCTTCTATCCAATAGATTGTACCAAACCACGGTTTCCAACCGATTCTGGAAGGGATCTTTGTAAGCACCAGTGAAGGTGCGGTCGCGAACAAATTCCTCTAAGGATAGAAGCTTTTCTTCTCGTGACCGGTCCTCGTCATACATCAGTTCTAACTCTTTCTGACGGAAAGTGGTGACTTGGAAGCTGTTCCACAAGAAGCCGAAAAAGCTTTCAACGCTTTCATCACTTACAACCGCAGCATTTTGAAAGAGTGCCACAGTGTTACGGAAGTCGAGTTCTTTAACTGCCTTCTCTGACACACGAATGGGAGAGCTGGGGGTTTGTGCCATCGTCCGCAACGTAGAACGATCAACCCACTGGCGGAATTCTGGTACGAATGCGCTGCCTCCAAACTCTAGGTAAGAGTAGTTAGCTGGAACTCCATATTCATGTTTCAGCAACTCTACCACCCTATTGGGGACATAAGCTTTAGCACCGTGAAAATAAGTAAGTCTCAGAGGGGATAGCTCAGAAAGATGGCTGAAATGGTTGTTTCTACAGTTGTAAAGTTTCGCCGCTTTGTTCATGTTGTAACGCTCTTCCGGTGACTCATTGTCATGTCCGTTTTGAACAGCTTTAACAGAATTAGCGTACACATTAATGTGGTTCAGACGTGGACCCGTCATGTTGCCTCTTTTCTGCTCCTCTTCGAGCACTTCGCTTGGTAAGAGATCCGTTACGCCTTTAACAATATTTGGATCTTTGAAAAAGGCTTGACTGTGATTATTTTTCAAAACCTCCTCAACAAAGGGCTTGTACCTCCCGTGGGATCCATCTGATGAGACCGAAAGCCCAGTAATATCAACGTAAAGACCAGAGTCGACGTCAATAAACCTGGCATCAATGTTATTGTTACCGTTGCCGTGAACACGACTTGTGATTGAGTTTCCCACGTCCAAGAAAAAACGACCGTTACCTGTTTCTGGGTCCTCTATTATTAAGCTTTGATTGAACCTCTCTGCTAACATATTGAGGTGTACAATAGGCATTTGCATGTCATGATCACCATCCCAGGGGAAAGCCATCCCATTGTACATCCAGCCATAAAGAGTTCCATGAGAAAGCCACGAACTGAGGCCATTAGAATGAACAAAATTGAGCCAGGCCCGAACAATTGCGTCCAGCCGAGATCTCATGTCACCATGTTGAACCGCCCCTCTAAAGAACCTAGAATCGAAATGATGCCCCATATGAGTGTAGTCTGTAACAAGCGAGGCTTCCGTGAAATACTTTTTCAAATCCATGGTTAGCGTGTTCATAGAGCCTTCCAGAGACTCCATGTACATCTGCTGGTGCCGCGTCCTCTTGGTCAGAGCACGCAATTCTTGCAATTTTTGTTTGGCATCAAATTCAAAATCCGCTTCTGTAAGTTCGATAGAATATGGCATTTCCACATCCGAGCTCGGACCACCCGTGCTCGCAGGAGGGGATAATGCGGATGTTGCTGATGTTCCCTCGTTTGAATCATACCCCCCGTGTAGTGAATTGAAAATTTGTGTTTTAAGTTCTTTGAATTTCAGTATGTTGTCGAACGAGTGGTCTGCCTTTGGTATTGATGGATACGAAGGCATGTTACGCTTCATATAGTTTTCCAACAGTCCATTGAACAGTATGTTTTGAGGTTTGCCCTGTGGGTCAAGAGCCTCAGCGTTGCTCACGTCAATCTGTATCGAAGAACCGTTCCGATTCAAAAACGTCAAAGAATTTGGAGACTCCATGGACTCTAAGAGAGTTGCACGCGCTTGCAGTCCATAAAGCTCAGGTCTAGAAAAATTTAGTGGCGCAATAGATTTAAAACCCGGAAGTAAAGCGTTGGAGAGCTCATCTATGCAATAGCGCTCAACCTCGACTGCGGGTTCTTTATCTGCGAGACCAGACATGCTGCTGAACTTTGAAGCGCCCAAACCTTTAGTGCGGTCCTCTTCAAATAATTTATAGCCGAATTTGCGCTCATATTCAAGTAGTTTTTCAGAATCGTAGAATTTACGCACAACGTCACTACATTGTGGTTTTTCAGACTGTAGCATATCAATGAATCCATTAAGTATCTGTGAATCGGTCCAGTCGTACCAGCTAAAAGGCAGACTTAAGTTCTGAAAGGATGGATACTTAAGACCAGTGACTGAGTCGACGCGGTACTGTAAACCACCGTTCTCACGAATGTGATGCATTAATTCGTCATAGTAGACTGTCGTGGGGGCGCGTGGGTCGTAATTATAAGTCCGCAAAGGGTATTCGTGGTTGGTAGTATCTTTGTGAGAAAGATCATCGCCACGTTCGAGAAGGCCAGATCCAAGAGATTCCTGATCAATCGACTTGGGAAATAACTCTTGAAGAGATCCGACAGATTCCTGAAGGCGGCCCAAAAACGTTTGCGACAAAGTGCAGGGAACTACGTAACGGATTGCAGTATCGAACTTCCAAAATCGGTAGAAGTTGACAAGGTCGTCGGCGGTCGGCTTGACATGCGAATCTTGGGTATTCGGAAGCGCGTATGCGAGCAGCCGATCTGACAGCCTTTGACGGGAGCCCGACACAAGGCCCGGGAGCTTCCGATTGGGGTCTGCGAGCCCTGAAAGCATTTCCAGCGGGTTACCACTGAAGAGGGACGTCAGCTTCGAGGGGATCGAGGAGCCGTTGTCTTGCACCGCATACACTGACACGCCCACATACAAGAGCTCTGCGATCACTACCGCCAGCAGCAGCGAAACCAGTCGTCTGCTGTGGTGCTGTAGACGAGTGCGCATTTGTGGTTTTCGATATTAATTTTTTTTGGTAGTCACACAACTTTACAAGGCGGGACCTGCGCGTCAGTAAAAGTGTAGACCTTATAGTAGATGGCTATGCTGGGTGTTGTGTTGTAATTTCAGATTTCGAGTCCGTTGGCTGAAAGTGACTAGTCACGCGACACTCGGGGATATGCGGACCTAATCGGATTTCTTGGGGAGCGGAAAAAAGAAAAAAAAAGAAAGGAGGGATCGATTAGAGATCAAAGAAGAGAATGAACGGATGCTATCACGAGTTGGTAAGAAGCTTCGTCGTGTTGGAGGGGAAAAGAGAGAGAAAGAGAGAGAGAGAGAGTGTGTGTGTGTGTTCTCCTATGGTTTATTTGTCCCTTTTCTGCCTTCTTCTCCTGCCGTCAGTTGCCGCGACTTATTTTTTTTTTTTTGAACCGCTACGATTTCTGGCGGGTCCTAATGGGTCCTGGCGGAAAAAAGCGTTGCTCTATTTGTATGATGTGTAACTAGGCTCACCTTTGTATGAAAAGGTGGCTCGATCCCAAAAAAAGAAGAAGGAGGAGAAAGAGACGACGCCTTCAGCTGTACGCATGTTAGCGTCTGAAAAAAGTCCAGCATCGAGAATTAAGTAGGCGCAACGATGCGGAAATCGCGCCTTTTTTATAGTTCAAGAAATTCCAGAGCTACCTGTGTCATCATAAGCGGGCAAAAATGCGACAATGCACCCCTACCTCGAATCGCCGCGGGGTCTCGGAACACAAAGACACCCATGGCTTCTCCTGAGAGCAAGCACAGAAACCCATGTAGACACCCAGACTATGCATATGCATATGCATATGCACTAAGACGTAACCGCATACGCAACACAGCGCAACAGCAAACAGCAAGGATGTACACGCGTATCTATCTGAGGTACATGAGCAGGCTGCATAAAGAAGCTGCATTTCTTAGAAACTGACGCACGAAGGTCACATTCTGGTTAACTTATTTTGTCAAACAACCGTCGGTTTTATGCTAGAGATAAGGCAAGGAATGCACACCCAGCCCTGTGGGTGCCAGACCCTTGACAGTTGGAGAGGTTTGCACTGAAAGAGCGCAGCGATCTTTAAGCAGACGGCGATTTGGAATGCTTCTCAGACAATGTCGTGGAATTCTACACACAAGTGGTGGACCATTATGCGCTGCCGAACCGATCTGGCGGCTATATGCAGCTACTGCATATAGCCGCATGAAACAGTACAAAGGTCTGCATATGCATCATGCGTGTGCCATAGCGACAGTAATCAAAGGGTCTTTGCTGTTGAAGCATGGAATCAGGCCGGAAACGGTGGTTTCCGGTCGCTTCCGCCTCACACAATAAGCGCAAAGTGCGGAAAAAGCGGCAAGGAACAGTTGTAGGGCGTCGACTAGCAACAACATACATGTACTAGCTTTGGTGCTGGCTCGTCTATGTATATGCGCTTGCGCTTGTGTGCTTAAAGCTTTGCATCTTTACACGTCTCTGTGAAGAATCGAACCCCGGCTGAACGGTTGATGTAAGACTGTTCACATGACGGACGACAGTGGTGTACGCTAGTGGGTCACACAGTACACACTGGAGAAGACATACATACTAAGGTAATCGTACTAACCGTCTAATTGGTAGTGGAGTTTTACAGCGAAGAGTTTGGGATTAGAGACACGTCCCACACTGAATCAATATGGAATATGGAATAGTAAGGACACGAAGAAGTCATTCAGGGACAAAGATAACGGCTTTGTGGAGGACATCGGCCCGTGGGATGAAAGAGGGGGGAAAGTAAGAAAGCTGCCGATTCCGAGATCACGTGACCATCATTTTAAAAAATTCGAGTTTTAATTACACTCATGAATAAAAGGAAGTGTCAGAAGTTCATGAAAAGTTCATGGTATCTGCAATTGAAGAAGAAGAAGCGTGGTTTTAGCGCACAATAGAATGTGCGGTAAAGGCATGTTTTTTCCTTCTTTCCTTTTTTGTTTTTTTTTATTTTTTTGGCTATAGATCGAGACCCCATAGACGTTCGCGTTTTGTCCAGAACAGAATCCGACTTTCGAAAGAACATTAGCATTTCAAACGGGAGAGAGAGTCCATGTCAACCGGAATTTTAGTAAATTTTCGTCTCAAGAGATCAAAGATCACTTTATACGTAATAAACAGTGTCGTACACAGGACCACGTACTTCGAGAAACCATTCTAAAAGTAGAAAATTTCTGTTTGGCTAAGTCTAAATGGCTACACAGTACTTCCCCGGAATACTCATTGTGCTGGTTCGGGACCTTAAGTACGGTCATGTGACTGAATTTGTCTGGTGGAAAAACAGTTAAATTTGGCACACACATTCACTGCAACAATTTTGGAAGACCGATTGTAAAAAAACACCCTTAGGCGACACATTCGCACAGCCGACTTTAGTCGCACGTTCATTGTTCTTGTAAAAGACATTGCTAAAATATCACCATCAATTCCACATCACTATCAACGAAGAAACTGGAAATTTTTCCGACAGCTTCAAACTCGATCTCATCTCATCTCATCTCATCTCATTGCATTTCATCTTAAACTCCATTGCGCAAGAAATACCAAATACGCATCTTTTCCTAGCAGTTAAGCCACTTCCCCAAAAATGTCCGTCGTGGGGTCCCTAATCTTCTGTACGCAGTGTGGTAATCTGCTCGACAACCCATCGGCTGTGCAGCACTCCGACATCCAGTGTGCACAGTGCGGAGCTGCCTACGACAAGTCCAAGTTTTCCGATCTCCGGGTTGTAACGCGTACCGCGGACGATGCCTTTCCCTCGGCGTTGAAGTCCAAGCGCTCTGTCGTGAAAACCTCGCTCAAAAAAGACGAACTGGAAGAAGGTGCCACCATCCGCGAAAAGTGTCCCAAATGCGGCAACGACGAGATGCACTACCACACCTTACAGTTGCGGTCTGCAGATGAAGGTGCCACTGTCTTCTACACATGCACCTCCTGCGGCTACCGCTTCAGAACCAACAATTGAGCGCCTAATCCCAAACCTGTAAATTTGTACCAATTGGCAACCGCTCTCGAACAAAAAGGCCACTAAGATCTTCCTCGTCCCAGCTTCATTTTTTTATTTCCAATATCAACAACTGCATCCCTCTCAGCTCCAGGAGAGTCCCCAGTACTGGCAGAACGCATAAGATGCATAACCAGGTGTCGTTCCCGGACAATATGGCATGCATAAAACGCACACAAGCGAGCATTTCAAAGGAACGGAACAATTGTGTGTTGCATCTCATCACATTTCCCTGCATTCTTATAGAACCCAGCTGTGCTTCATAGGCGTGTTGGATTAGATCCATCGGGCTAGTTCAGTACTCAACGCCTGTACTTGTATGCCAAGTACTCGTCACTAGTATTTTTATTACTATATGTATTATCATCTTCTACAAAATTTCTGGATGGCAAAATTTTAGAAATTGAAATCAGATCCTAAGTAAGCCATCAGTGAAAAAGTTGACGATCTTTAGCTCAAAACTCTTCAAACCAAGTCAATTGGCGTTTCATTTAGAGCTCAACACCACCCTCTAATTGGAACCGAACGGCAACAATGGCACAGATGCATCCACAGGGTATGGAAATGCCCGATATGTCTAATGCCATTATGGCACAGGACGAAATGGGAAGACCATTCATCATTGTGAGAGACCAAGGTAATAAAGAAAGACAGCACGGGTTGGAGGCCAAAAAATCGCACATTTTGGCTGCTCGCTCTGTGGCCTCGATTATCAAGACGTCTTTGGGACCAAGAGGTCTTGACAAAATTCTAATATCGCCCGATGGTGAAATCACCATCACCAATGATGGTGCCACGATTTTGTCACAGATGGAACTAGACAATGAAATTGCAAAGCTCTTGGTGCAGCTCTCCAAGTCTCAGGATGAGGAAATTGGCGATGGTACGACAGGTGTAGTAGTGCTGGCTAGCGCTTTGCTTGACCAGGCGCTAGAATTGATCGAAAAGGGCATTCATCCGATCAAAATCGCCAATGGATTTGACGAAGCAGCCCGAATGGCTGTGGCCCACCTGGAGGCTCAAGCAGACGACGTGGCGCTCGATAAATCCTCATTTCACGACTATTTGTTCAAGGCTGCTAAGACTTCACTGGGCTCCAAAATTGTCTCAAAGGACCTCGACAGATTCGCACAAATGGCCGTGGACGCTGTCACCAGCGTCATGGATGTGGACCGCAAAGACGTGGATTTCGATCTCATCAAGCTAGAAGGTCGTGTGGGTGGCTCTCTCCAGGATTCTAAGCTGATCAAAGGTGTTGTTCTTGACAAAGATTTTTCACACCCTCAAATGCCCAAGCTGGTCGAACCCAAAGAGGGCCAGGACGGCGTAAAGCTGGCCATTTTGACCTGTCCCTTTGAGCCTCCAAAACCAAAGACTAAACACAAACTTGATATATCAAGTGTTGAGGAATACCAAAAGCTTCAGTCCTACGAGCAGGAGAAATTCACTGAAATGATCAACTACGTGAAAAATGCAGGTGCCGACGTTGCAATTTGCCAATGGGGATTTGACGACGAGGCAAACCATCTATTACTGCAAAACGATTTGCCAGCTGTGAGATGGGTCGGTGGCCAAGAGCTAGAACAGATTGCTATTGCCACTAAGGGTCGTATAGTGCCCCGTTTCCAAGATCTATCGCCCGAAAAATTGGGTAGATGCGGTAAAATTCGTGAAGTCGAGTTCGGTACAACAAAGGACCGTATGTTGGTAATTGAAGAATGCTCAAATTCGAAAACAGTAACTTGTTTCATAAGAGGGTCAAACAGAATGATTGTAGACGAAGCAAAGCGCGCTCTTCATGATTCTCTTTGTGTCGTAAGGAACCTGGTTAGAGACTCGAGAGTTGTCTACGGCGGTGGTGCTGCCGAGGTGACGATGTCTGTGGCAGTCTCTGAAGAAGCTGATAGACAGCACGGTATCGACCAGTATGCATTCCGCGCCTTTTCTCAGGCCCTTGACACTATACCTATGCTATTAGCCGAAAATTCTGGTCTGGATCCAATAGAAACGCTGTCACTACTGAAAAGCTCGCAAATCAAAGAGAAGGTCTCCACAACAGGAGTAGACTGTCTGTCTAACGACTCAAATAACATGAAAGAGTTGTTTGTTGTTGACCCATTGATTGGTAAGAAACAGCAAATTCAACTAGCCACTCAGCTTTGCAGAATGATTCTCAAGATTGATAACGTCATTATAAGTGGGAAAGACGAGTACTAATTTGTAAATATATAGCCAGCAAAAGTAGCTCGCAACGCGTTTTGAAAACAATTCATTCAGCTTTTGAAATTGAAATTTTGTACACAGGGACGATACTTATTGAATCTACACCATGTTGAAAAGACTGAAATTTCTCACAATTTCAGGTCCAATCTCATCGTAATCTTGTTTTGTATGACAGTAGCTCTTAAACTCGGCTGTCTGCGCCAACAAAGAACCACCAAACCACACTGCATTTCTCTGCCTTCTGTGCGAAATAACCTGTACATCGACACCTGTGGACTTCGTACCGCTGAGGCTTTCACTCAATGCAATCCTGTTGTTTACTATACCCTTTAAATCTCTTTGCAGACGGCGGCCAAAGTCTCTGAACATTGTGGACCCCCCTGAGAGTACAATGTTGTTGTAAAGACCTTTACGGACATCAATAGGGCATGCCTGGATTGTGTGATCAACAACGGTAGGTAGTGGAGTGAGAAAATCTGATGATGCAATTTCCGGATTGAAGAAGATTTCAGGTGCCAAGAACCTTTCATATCCCACGTCTATTACTTTGCGCTTCGTTTTTTCTGAGTTTTCTACGATGAATTGGGCAAACTTTTGAGCATCTCTATCAAATTTGTTGAACTCTTTGACGATATCCGAGCAAACGTAACAGTATTCCTGCTTGATACGCTCTGCGGTTTTCAATGTGGTGTCTTCTTCACCACGTTCTCTGAGTAGCGATTGAATGAAAAGTGTAATGTCTCTTCCTGCAATGGGGATGTTTTTGATGGCCGAGCCAACCACGTAACCTTCCGCCACTGGAATGACGTGGGTGACACCATCACCCGAATCTATAACCGTACCGGTCAGTGATCTGTCAACGACTTTCGAGGAGGTCCAAGATGCGGCCAACGCCAGAACCGCCTGTACAGCGATATAAAGCCCGGCACAGTTGAAGCCCTCGAAGAAAATTTCGGCCACCTGTTCTCTGTTCTCCGGTGGGTTGAGGGGTGGCTCAGTGAGCAAGAAAAAATGATCTTCGGGTTCCGTTCTTAGATATTTGAAGATCGAGTTTTCCCAAAATCTCTCCATATGATCCCAGTTTTCGACCTGGCCGTGGCGAATGGGGTAGTTTAGCGAGTAGGATGGCCCCTGTGCAGCAGTAAGCGCTTCGTTTCCGATGTAAAAGTCCAAGTCCTCGGTTCCACGCTTGCCGGCCAAATTGTTCGACATGAGTGCTGCGGACGCCAAATTATTGAAAGACGTGGCAGACGTGGAGTTTCCAAAATATGGATTTGACGTGCTCTGTGCAGAGCTACCACTGGCACCACTCCCACTGCTTTTTGTCGTCGATCGCTGTGCTGTGGCTATGGCAGTTGGAAAAACCCATGACGGAGAATCATTACCAGCAAATCCCAATTTCGTCAATCCCGTACCATTGTCCATGACAATGGCCGGATTATTTAAGTACGACATCCTCCAATGGCTTTCTAAAAGGCGTCTTGCTGGTGCTTAAACCTGTGGAAAGGGGTTGACAATCAAACCACCGGTCTTAGTTTTCTTTAAAAATATTAATATATAACGCTGTGGTCAAATTTCAGTGTTAGTAGTGTACATAATAGAAAGGCAGATGTGTCACGTAACACGAAAAGTAGGACTATTAAGTGATGTTTCTATCAAATTTTCGACTATGAAAAGGTGACAATTCGGGGTTGAAGAATTGGAAAGATCAATTACTGGTTGTTGCGTCTCAACCGGTATTCCACCATAGTGACTCCACTTCCTTTCCCTGAAAAAAAAACACATTTTTTTGTCTTCACCGAGACAGTGTCGCTATTCACGGAACTAGTCACGTGATAAGAATAACAAAATTGAAGACGTTGTTATTTAAAGGATTGGAATATTCTTTCACTTAAGCTTAAAAACCGAGGTGTCTTCAATGACAAGACATGGTGTGTTCCTCTTATGAACTCACAAGAACGCGATCGTCAATTGTCCCAAAAAGTTGAAAACAACTCCTTTGAGAAAGTGTGAATCACGTGACATTCCCGAACCCTAGATTTCCAACTGAAATTTTATTGGAGCCGCACTAGTAAGAGCATCAATACAACCTTTTTTTCTTCACTATATTTCTTGTATGTAGCTTCCAGATTCCTCAACTGCCCAACACGAAATCACATTTTGTATCGTCAAAGCTCGTATAAAATGAGACCTTATTTCAAACCTTCTACGTGAAAAGTGACCACGAGAATACTAGTTTATCTAAATGGTAAGGTAAATATATATATATATAAATCGAGTCCGGTCAACAATATAAGCCATACGCGAAGCTACCCTAGGAGCATCGAGACATCATTGGGGTCATCGACTTGCTCCCCCCACTGCTCCTCTGATGCTGAAAATGAAACATGATCTAGTCAGACGAAAGAAGCTCTTGTCCGGTGGTAAGGACGGATCTGATGCGATGGATGGTGTCAAAACTGGTGCCGTTGGAAGCGGGGCTGCCACGGTTAACGCGGGCGGTTCAGTTGAACATGACAATGCTGATTTTTCTGGCCTCACAGCAGGCATTCCAAGCGGCTCCGTGGGAGCAGATTCGGACTCGGACACTACTTTTATGGCCTTTGCAATAATCTTCAACAAACTAAAGAATCCAAGTGCTCAAGAGCGTTCTGCAGCATCATTTGAGCTGAAAAACAGTCTTGTGTCCCTCGCGCGTCAGGTATCCACCGAACAATTCCAACGATTCAGTAATGACATGAACAATAAGATATTCGAGCTCATCCATGGTTCTTCCTCAAATGAAAGGTTTGGTGGTATTTTGGCGGTCGACACTTTAATCGACTTTTATGCACAATCAGATGAGCTTCCCAACCAAACCTCAAGACTGGCCAACTACCTCCGTGTTTTGGTTCCGTCAAGCGATGTCGATGTTATGCGAGCTGCCGCGAAAACATTAGGTAAGCTTGCCATTCCTGGTGGCACGCTCACGTCGGATTTCGTTGAGTTCGAGGTCAAAACTTGCATAGAATGGCTCACAACATCCCCGGAAAACTCCTCTTCGAACTTTAAGCAAGAGCTCAGGAAGCATGCTTCACTTCTCATTCTTAGTGCCATCGCCGAAAATTCCCCATATCTTCTATATCCATACATCAACTCCATCTTGGATAACATATGGAGAGCTCTTCGAGACACAAGGCTCGCCATTCGTGTCGATGCAGCCAACACGCTTTATAAATGTATGGACATCATACAGGGCAGGGATGCAAAACTCACAAAGAAGTGGTTCGAAAGGCTGCTCGAAGGCTGTTCATATGGCTTGCAATTGAATACTCATGAAGCCATTCATGCGACATTAATTGTGTATCGACAATTACTGTCCTTGAAAGGAACATACTTACATGAACAGTTCGACGAAATTTATGAGATGACCATGAGATACAAAGATCACAAATCAAGCGTCATTCGAAAAGAGATTTATGCAATATTGCCTTTACTTGCTGCTGCAGACTCCCAGATTTTTACTGAAAAGTACCTGGATCAGACTATGATTCACTATTTGACTCTACTGAAAAATGCGTCCCCTACAAATAATACGGATAAGGCCGCCATATCTGTTTCGATCGGTGACATTGCGCAACAAGTGCAGGCAAGCATTGCACCTTACCTGGATTCAATATTAGACAATGTGAGAGACGTTTTGATGACAAAATTCAAACTACGTAAGGAGTTTGAGGCGGAGATTTTTTACTGTGTCGCAAAACTTGCTTGTGCGGTAGGTCCAGTTCTGGCCAAGTATTTGAATCAAGACCTCTTGGATCTGATGCTTGCTTGTCCACTGTCTAACCATATGCAAACGACTTTGACAACAATTACTGAAAAGATACCGTCTCTCAAGCCTGTCATAAATGAAAAGTCTCTCGACATGCTTTGTCTGATTTTATCAGGAGAGAAATTCAAACCACCAGGATCCCCGATTCCATTGAAACCTCTGCACAGCGAACGGGCGAGACATTATAGAGATCAATTAATTCTAAGGAAGACAGGTGAATTAAATGATGACAACTATGATGTTCATATACTGAATCAGGCATTGATCATGCTGCACAAGATAGACTACAGATACTCTTTGGCATACTTTGTTAGGATGATTACGATTTCATACATCGAGCACGAAAGTCCTCAGGTGAGAAAATATGCAGCCTTAACATCGTGCGATCTGTTTGTTAAAGATCAGATTTGTAAACAGACCTCACTTAATGCGCTGAATACAGTCTCGGAGGTTTTGGGTAAGCTGCTGACAGTAGCAATCACAGATCCCGTCGTGGAGATCAGATTCGAGGTTTTGAGGCATCTTGACCTGAGTTTCGATCCGCAATTGTCTCAGCCCGATAACGTCCGTCTTCTTTTTATGGCGTTGAACGACGAAGTTTTCGCTATTCAAATAGAAGCGATGAAAATCATTGGTAGACTTTCGGTTGTGAATCCCGCTTATGTTATTCCATCACTCAGAAAGACATTATTACAACTTCTGAGCCAGCTCAGTTTTTCTAACATGTCGCGCAAAAAAGAAGAGTGTGCGTCTTTGATAAGCACCTTAATAAGCTCGAGTCAGGATGTAACTAAGCCTTACATTGAACCTATTTTGGACGTGCTCCTACCAAAATGCCAAGACAATTCCTCCGCGGTAGCCTCGACAGCTTTAAAAGCGGTCGGTGAACTAGCGGTAGTAGGAGGGGAGGCACTAACTCCTTTTCTCGACCAGCTAATGCCTCTTATCATCAATACATTCCAAGATCAGTCGAATTCTTTCAAGCGTCTCGCCGGTTTGAAGACTCTGGGTCAACTATCAGCTTCCTCCGGGTATGTTATAGAACCTCTCTTGAGCTTTCCACAACTGCTTGGCGTTTTGATAAACATTCTCAGGTCAGAAAGCTCACCGAATATAAGGAGAGAGACCGTTCGCCTCATTGGTATCCTCGGCGCTCTGGATCCTTATAAGCATAGGGAGGTTGAACGCACATCGAGTGCCAATATTACAGCCGAACAAAATGCTCCGCCAATTGACGTTGGCTTGTTGATGCAAGGAATGTCTCCCTCAAATGATGATTATTACCCAACCGTAGTGATTACTACATTAATGAAAATCCTAAATGATCCTTCCTTATCTTCACATCATACTTCCGTGATACAAGCGGTGATGCATATTTTCCAGACGTTAGGAGTACGGTGCGTATCATTTTTGAAACAAATTGTACCGGGTATCATCAACGTCATGCAAGCATGTCCGCCCTCACTTTTAGAATTTTATTTTCAGCAGTTAGGCGTCCTTGTTTCCATTGTCAACCAGCACATACGACCCTTTGTTGGAGAGATATTCGAAGTTATTGCTGAGTTTTTCCCACTAGTGAAACTACAAATCACGATTATATCAGTGATTGAGTCGATTTCCAAGTCTCTCAAAGGCGAGTTCAAGGGATATCTTGCTCAAACCTTAGCACTTTTTTTGGATGTTTTGGAGAAAGATAAATCGAACAAGAAAATGGTTTCGGTAAGGATAATGAAATCGCTCGTCGTGTTTGACGCAAATCTCGATGAGTTTGCGCACCTAATCGTTCCAGCCATAGTGAGAATCGCCGAGTTTGGTGCTGGTACTCTGAATAAAGTCGCGATTATAACATTAGGAAGGCTGGCAAAGACTGTTAACCTGTCTGAGATGTCTTCAAGAATTGTCCAGGCACTTATACGCGTGTTGAACAGCGGGAATTCAGAGTTAATTAGAGCCACAATGAATACTCTGAGTTTACTACTGCTACAACTCGGAGTGGATTTTGCAGTCTTCATTCCCATCATAAACAAGACCCTACTACGAAATCAGATTCAGCACACGGTATATGATCAACTGGTTAATAAACTATTGAATCGTGAAGCTCTCCCTACAAATATAATAATTGATCGAGACTTGGAAGTCGCCAGCAAAGAAGCTGCGGACGTTGAGCTGCCAGCCAAAAAGCTCCCTGTGAACCAACTAATTTTGAAAAGCTCTTGGGAATGTAGTCAGCAGAGAACCAAAGAAGACTGGCAAGAATGGATTCGCCGCTTGGCTGTTCAGCTACTGAAAGAATCACCTTCTCATGCTCTTCGAGCGTGCTCGGGACTAGCAGGCATATATTACCCGTTAGCAAGAGAACTTTTCAACGCCTCTTTCGCCAGCTGTTGGACCGAGCTGTACACTCAATACCAAGACGACCTCGTAAGCTCATTGTGCGTGGCACTTTCCTCACCTAACAATTCACCTGAAATTCATCAAACATTGCTGAACTTGGTAGAGTTTATGGAGCATGATGACAAGCCACTTCCAATACCAGTTCCTGTTTTGGGCGAGTACGCCCAAAAATGCCATGCTTACGCTAAATCTCTTCACTATAAAGAGTTGGCATTCATACAGGAGCCAAGCACATCTACCATTGAATCTCTCATTAGCATCAACAACCAATTGCATCAAACTGATGCAGCCATTGGTATTCTGAAACATGCTCAGCAACATCACGACCTTCAGCTCAAAGAGACATGGTATGAAAAATTGCAGAGGTGGGAAGACGCTCTGAGCTCTTACAACCAGAGGGAGCTTGCTGGTGAAGACTCCATCGAAGTCAGATTGGGTAAAATGAGATCACTTCACGCACTAGGTGAGTGGGATAGGCTTTCTGAGTTAGCCGCGGAAAAGTGGGGGTCCTCAAGTCTAGACATCAGAAGAGTAATCGCACCATTGGCTGCTGGTGCTGCTTGGGGTTTGGGTCAATGGGACAGGATCGATCAATACATCGACGTTATGAAAAAGCAATCGCCTGATAAAGCTTTCTTCGATGCTATTTTATGCACACATAGAAATGACTTCGAAAAGGCTGAATCTCATATTTTCGAAGCCAGAGATCTATTGGTGACTGAAATCTCTGCACTAGTTAATGAAAGTTACAACCGAGCATACAGTGTAATAGTGCGTTCCCAGATGATATCAGAGCTGGAAGAAATCATAGAATACAAAAAACTTCCTCCTGCGTCAGAAAAAAGAGCTACTCTTAGGAAGACGTGGAATAGAAGGCTCCTCGGATGTCAAAAGAACGTCGATGTATGGCAAAGGATCCTGAGAGTGCGTTCACTTGTTGTCAAACCGAAACAAGACATGCAGGTCTGGATCAAATTCGCGAATCTTTGCCGAAAATCCGGAAGAATGGGATTGGCACAGAAAGCGCTGAATTCACTTTTGGAGGATGGCGGAGATCCTGCGCACCCAAATACCGCAAGGGCCCCACCCCCAGTCGTCTATGCTCAGCTAAAATACATGTGGGCAACTGGGTCCCAGAAGGAAGCACTGCGTCACCTTATCAGCTTCACCTCGAGAGTTGCTCATGATTTGGGACTAGAACCAAGCAACATGATAGCTCAAAGCGTTCCACAAAGCAGCACCATTCCACTACACCACGTTGAGGATTACACCAAGCTGTTGGCTCGTTGCTTTCTGAAACAGGGAGAGTGGAGGGTTTCTCTGCAGAGTGATTGGATCTTGGAGAATCCTGACGCAATTTTGGGCTCGTATCTGCTTGCAACACATTTTGACAATAAGTGGTATAAGGCCTGGCACAACTGGGCGCTAGCCAACTTTGATGTAGTTTCCACCAATTCGACCGACGATAGAATCCGAAACCGAAGCAACTTGAGCGACGGCGCTCTCCAACACACCGATGGTCCAGCAGGAATGGGTCTCGAAGGTGATGGCGCTGACCTTAGCAAGCTATCTCCAGAGCTGGTGCAAAGACATGTCGTACCTGCTATCAAGGGGTTCTTCCATTCCATTTTGCATTCTGAGTCCAATTCATTACAAGACACACTGCGACTTCTCACCCTGTGGTTCAAGTTTGGTGGCATTCCTGAAGCTACTCAGGCAATGCACGAAGGTTTCGATTTGATCAAAATCGATAAGTGGCTAGACGTTGTACCACAACTCATTACACGTATTCATCAACCAAATCAAACTGTCAGCAGATCTTTGTTATCGTTGCTTTCTGACCTAGGGAAGGCTCATCCTCAAGCTTTGGTTTATCCATTGACAGTTGCTATCAAATCAGAATCCCTTTCGCGACAAAAGGCAGCCCTTTCGATCATAGCGAAAATGAGAGTGCATAGTTCGGTTTTGGTCGACCAGGCCGAGATGGTCAGTCACGAGTTGATTCGAGTTGCAGTCCTATGGCATGAATTATGGTATGAGGGTTTAGAAGATGCCAGTCGGCAATTTTTCGGAGAGCACAATACGGAGAAGATGTTTGCTACCCTTGAACCGCTGCATGAAATGTTGAAAAGAGGACCATCGACTTTGCGAGAGATATCTTTCCAAAACTCATTTGGAAGAGATTTAAATGATGCGTACGAGTGGGTTATGAACTACAAGCGGAATAAGGATATTACGAATTTGAACCAGGCTTGGGATATTTATTACAATGTCTTCCGCCGAATTAGTCGTCAGTTGCCACAGCTTCAAACACTTGAGTTACAGCACGTCTCGCCCAAACTCTTGGCCGCCCACGATTTGCAACTTGCTGTGCCCGGTACTTATCAAGCAGGCAAGCCCGTTGTGCATATATCGTACTTCGAGCCAATTTTCTACGTGATATCTTCAAAACAAAAGCCAAGAAGGCTGTCCGTGAGGGGAAGTGATGGTAAAGACTACCAATATCTCTTGAAAGGGCATGAGGACATTAGACAGGATAATCTGGTGATGCAACTGTTTGGCCTAGTCAACACACTGCTGCAAAACGATTCGGAATGTTTTCAAAGACATTTAGACATCCAAAGGTATCCAACGATTCCTCTGTCGCCCAAGTCAGGTCTACTTGGTTGGGTCAACAATAGCGATACATTCCACGTCCTCATCAGAGAGCACCGTGAGGCGAGGAAAATCCCGCTGAACATCGAACACCGAATCATGTTGCAGATGGCTCCTGACTACGACAATTTGACTCTCTTGCAAAAAATCGAGGTTTTCACATATGCGCTTGATAACACTAGAGGTCAAGATTTACACAAAGTGTTGTGGCTCAAAAGTAGGTCTTCTGAAGCTTGGCTTGAAAGGCGTACTACATACACCAGGTCTTTGGCTGTGATGTCAATGGTCGGTTACATCTTGGGTCTAGGGGATCGGCATCCAAGCAACTTGATGCTGGATCGTATAACGGGCAAAGTTATACATATCGATTTTGGGGACTGCTTCGAGGCAGCAATTTTGAGAGAAAAATATCCAGAAAAAGTGCCGTTCCGTCTCACACGTATGCTAACTTATGCCATGGAAGTAAGTGGCATTGAAGGAAGTTTCCGTATCACTTGCGAAAACGTGATGAGGGTCCTTAGAGATAACAAGGAATCGCTAATGGCTATTTTGGAGGCCTTTGCGTACGACCCTCTGATTAACTGGGGGTTCGATTTACCAACACAGACTATTGCTGAACACACTGGTACAGAGCTTTCACTTGCTAATCCCAGCGAACTGTTACGGAAGGGAACGATTTCAGCCGAGGAAGCTGCCAAAATGGAGATCCGGCAAAAATCAGAAATCAGAAACGCAAGAGCAATGCTGATTTTGAAAAGAATCACTGATAAGCTGACGGGTAACGATATGCGCAGAGTCCATGATTTAAATGTTCCTGAGCAAGTGGAGAAACTAATTCAGCAAGCCACCTCTGTCGAGAATCTTTGTCAGCATTACATAGGCTGGTGCTCATTCTGGTGATGCTACCCTATGTTTTTAGAACATTCATCTATAGCCACTTGTTTAGCAAGGCGTAATTTTGTACTTGGCTTGATAGTCACCGAGTATTTTCTCCCACCGTGTTATGGGAATGTTGGTATGTATGGGATTGCAGTTTTCGTCGAAATGCTGTACATTGAGCACTTTATTGATCCGGAGTTCTTGTTGTGCCCGTTGAAGATTGGCGGCGAGGGTATTATCATTATTACCGTGCAAGAGTGCAAGTATCTGTAGCTCGCCCAAAACCACACCGATACGAGTTCCAAGATTGGACCCAACACTGTACGAGCTGTCAAATCCCTCTTGTAGATTATCCTCCTTCGCAGACGTAATACCGTCTACATATCCTCTTTTGCTATGTATGGATCGAAGTTTACGGATTTCAGCCGTTTCTTGTCGCTGGAATTCGCTGGAAGATACCTCAAGATCAGTAGCCCAGATATCGTTATCACTGATGCTCATAACACTAAGAGAAAACTCACTAGCGGCACTTTGAAGAGGTAAATGCACGGACTGTAATAGCATTCATGTAGCTGGATCAGTAGCTCATCGCTTACAGATGTCATTTATTTCATTAAATTCGACTTGATTGTAATCACAGTGTACGATGTAGTCATGTGATTTCGAGAAAATCAATTTATGATCATATTATCGAAATTAGCATTTTGTAGCTTTCAACGATGCAGAAATCAGCTTCCCATGTAGTTGTTATGGTTAAGTCATTCATGTACCCTCTTTTAACCTCTTTTTGCAAAACAGATTGTACATATTGGATCCTCCTCTCAAATTGGACGTTAGTTTCAAATTAGATTGAGAGTGTCACGTGACGGGACGACAGCGATAGAATTGACAAACAGCATACAAAATGTTTAGACCAGCACAAGTTGTCTGTAACTACTGATGATCAGGAAGCTGACAAAACCAAGAGTTTCCATCAGCTATCGGCTTTTTCAGCGCCACGATACGTATGTTTCATTGCACAACAACCTTACGATGATATTTCACCTTTGTCGACTACGAAACGGCAGATCGAATCGTAAAAAAACATCACATCTTCTACAGCTTGTAGGTCCAATTCTATTTATTTTTTTACGTAGCGATTTGGTCGTCATTGGCTGCCGCTGTCGAGATATCCTGTTTCTTCGGAATTTCTCGCTTTTCCTGTCGCTGAATCACGTGCCGTTTGATCACTCCTGATAGAAACTGGCGCTACACTCAAAAATAAGATTATACAGTAAATATTGGTGAGTCAACCCAATGGGCAAGACGGGAAGTTTCAACGAATTTGTCTTTATCGTGCCATTCATTCTTCCACTTGAATTTTATGATACATAATCAATGTCACGAGATCGATATATGTAGGACCAAGCACTCATTATTTCATAATTCTCCCTTCAACCGCACTATGATCCGTCTTTTCATGATAAATCAAATTCGACTGTATTCAATAGGAATATTTTGTTCATTTCATCAGTACGAATCGGTGGACAACTTTGAAAATGGGAGTTAAATAAAGAATCGAAAACAATTAATTGATCTTTCAAACAACTAAAGATTTAATTAATCGTTACATTTACCACTCTGCATTATGGATTGAATCAGTCTGAGATATCGATAAAATCGACTGTAATGACTTGTCTTGAGCACTGACGTTTACACATTTTAAAAAGTCACGTGACGGAATTTGGTAGTTCAAATATAAAGAGTAGTCAAATCAAACTTCAAAAGCTCAGTTGTTCACAACGATTGCACACATCTATAACAAGTCTAGACCTCCGACTACCACTACTGCTGCAACTTTAAGCTCTTAAGACTAATGAGCGAAGGATTCTTCAACAAACGGCAAAAAACGGCGCCCTCTGAAAGGACCAATAACGAGGATTCGAAGCCCTGGATTGAAAAGTACAGACCCAAGAAGCTAGAAGATGTAACGGCCCAAGACCATGCAGTCAACGTTCTACAGAAAACGCTAAAATCGGCTAATCTACCACATATGTTGTTCTATGGGCCCCCGGGAACCGGTAAAACTTCGACTATTTTGGCATTAACCAAAGAACTATACGGCCCAGCGCTTACCAAAAGTCGAGTACTGGAACTAAATGCTTCAGACGAAAGAGGGATAGCAATTGTTCGCGACAAGATCAAAAATTTTGCCAGACTAACAGTTTCAAAACCATCCACGTCCGATCTTGAAAATTACCCATGCCCACCTTATAAAATTATTATCTTAGATGAAGCTGATTCTATGACCGCAGATGCTCAAAGCGCACTCAGAAGAACCATGGAAACTTTCTCAAATGTAACGCGGTTTTGTCTTATTTGCAATTACGTGACAAGAATTATAGATCCTTTGGCGTCGCGTTGCTCGAAGTTCCGCTTCAAATCTTTGGATGCTTCAAATGCACTTGGACGTCTCCAGCACGTTGCGTCCCAAGAAAGCCTCAATTTGGAAAATGAAGTGCTGGAAAAAATACTCAATGTGTCCCAGGGCGATCTCAGAAGAGCCATTATGCTTCTACAATCGTCTTCCAAAATTGTAAAACACTTAGACCCCCCTATAGTTACACACCTGGCAGTAGACGAACTGGCAGGCACCGTTCCTACAGATCTGGTGTCGAATCTCACAACAAAAATCACCAGTATGGACTTTTCTGAGATTATGAAATACGTTGGCGATCTCAAAAGAAGTGGCTGGAGTGGGGCTGCAATGGTTAATCAGCTTCATGAGTACTACATCAATAATGATCAGCTCACCAAGTCTTTCAAAAATGAAGTTTCCTGGCTCATATTTAATTCGGATTCGAAACTAACAAATGGCGGGAACGAGCATATTCAATTAGCCAGCTTAGCTATTGGTATTGCCAACCTGTACAGAAAGGGTATGTGATATATACTCAAAGATAAGTAATACAATAACTGCGTGCGATTTCTCGACGTCGTTCGCATCGTAATCGTAAATAACATCAGTCAACTTCTTCAATGGTAGAAAATGAGCAAGTTTTTGTAGCCCTTCAGTCACTTAGTTTCGCGTAGACGCATCCCTCTCTGTTGAGCTTCGTTGTTCAAAGCATGTGGGGCCATTTGAGGGTTTCCATAAGGAGGTATGGACGCACCTTGACCGAAGAATCCAGGTGGAGGAGGCATCATATTGTTCACTGATAGAGGCATGTCCTGCGGCATGTTTGGTCGAGGCATTCCGTGCATCGGAGCGAAACCTGGGGGTGGTATGTTGTGAGGGCCGGGAATGAACGGGAGTTGCATGTTAGGTGGACGGATAGCTTTGTTATCCTTTTCGCCAGTTTGCCCTTGATTATTGAAAAAGGGTTGAGGCATGCCTACTCCTGGTGGTGGCATCTGGAACTGCTGGAATCCAGCAGGTGGTTGAGCCATCGGTGGAGTCTGAGAATACATATTCATGGACATGCCCATAGGATAACCAGAAGGTCCTTGAGGGGAAACTATAGGCCCATTTCCTGGCATCGTCGACAATCCAGGTGGTGCTCTAGCTCTTTGATGGTCTTGGGCTTTTGGTTGCTCACCACCAGAGGGCGAATAAGGTAGTGGAGCGCGCGCCTTAGATGCAATGTTGTCGTTCGAGGCACGTCTGTCATCGGGTTTTGGAGAGGGGGATACTTTGCCTCTGTTCAAAAGACCTTGGAAAAAGTGGCTATTCGTCTGTTCTTGAACAGGTGGTGTTGGTGCAGATGGAATTGATGCTGCATTAGGTTGTGGTTGTTTTTCCGCGGCACCTTTTGTGGCCTCCATGTTATCGAAGAAAGACAGAATACGCGACCCAGCACCAGACTTGGCTTCGGTTTCTTTGGGAGTTGGAGGTTGAGCCAACATGCTGGACGACTCATTTTTGCTAGCTGCGGGTCCGGTATTGAAAAATGAAGAGAAACGGGAGTGTGAAGAAGTTTTTGCGCTTTCCAAAGATTCCTGCTCTGGTTCGAGTTCTTCGAAATTAGAGGAGCTTTGTCTGTTTAAATTGAAAAAATCAGAGATGGAACTTCCATTATTGGAGAGTGTAGGTCTTTCAATCGCATCGGAGCTACCATTCGCCGAATGCCCCTTTTTTTGACCTTCCAATTCCTTCATTTTTTTCCTCCAATTCTCGAAATCTGTGATAGAGTTTCCGGTGGGTTTTATTTTCTCTTCCAATGCGAGCAGATCATCATTGTTCACTTGCACGTCTTTTTCTTCTAGATAAGGCTTGTCTCCTTTAGCAAATTTGCTTCCGCGTTTAGCATTGCGAGTATTTTTTGTTCTGTGATTCTTTTTTTCAGCACCAAATTCCTGTACTCTGAAATTAGATCCGTTTTTGTGACCATTGCCGGTACTAGCACCCATCTCAGACTGTCTGATATCGGGGTGTCTGTTTGTCAGTCTCCAGAAACTTTTCTTTGGGATATGCAAATTTGGCAACACATGAGACAGGTCTGGCACCGAATTACCGATTTCCAATAGTTCGTGCATCGTGTAGACATGAGCTTTCGTACCATTCAGAGGCTTGAACTGCTCGATCTTTTTGCCTCCGAGTTCGTCGATCTTCGTGGTTGTAACTTGGATGTCCTTAATATCATTTGAAGCACCATTTTCTATTTTATCACCCATAGAGGTTAATTTCTCCGGGAAAATTTCTGTGCTATTGTTCACTAACGAAACTTGCTCTGATTCTGACATCTTGAGAGCCAAGTTCCCACGCTTGAACGTATTTTTGCTGGCGTTGATGTCCGAGTTGTTCACTTAGGATTTTGGATCACTGGGTGAATTATATCATGACTTGCTAATTTAACGATCCAAGGTCGTGTCACTTTGTACGCATGTGATTGTAACGAACAACGTCAGAAAATCGCCAAAGTGATGTTCAAAGCGAAGAAAAACTACCACAAGTTTGAATTTGATACTAGCCGCTTCATTGTCAGCATCTTCGAAAAGTATTCTTGCTGTAATGCGTTTTCAACTCTCGTTTTTCTCAATCGATAATTTCGAAACATTAGTCACGTGACTGGTGATGCCTTCGAATACTGACGCTGTCAACTTCAATGTACAGCCAATGAACACAACCTTTGCAGACTCAATCCTCTTTTCGAGCTATTGTTGTAAATTCGAACGGTATATGCCTGCTGCTTTTTCTCTTTGCGTAATGCAACATGATATATTTTTAAAAATTCCAATCTATTGAATTGGATAGCCTGCTCGTCTCCTCTTGAATACACCGTCACCGAAAACAATCCAATTCGCTTCATTAAGAGCACTCTTGTTGCTTATATATGCTTATATGCTAGATTGTGGCCTGTGACAGCCATGCTATGCTTAGGTGAATGTTGCCCAAATCGAAAAAATAATTTTCCACCATCCGTCAAGAGCTGGCCATGAAAAAATGGATGTCTGATAACAACGGCCTGATCACCAAAATATTCAAAAGGAAGTGAGTATGGATACCTTCGTCTTCGGTTTTCTTTCCCTTTTCTAACCTTTTTTTTTAACTTAACCTTTCCATGTAGCCCGTGCGACGTTCAAACGTGGACGTAGAAACTTCATCGACCTCCAGTTTACCTCACTGTTAAATGAGGCACCAGGCTGGCTTATCCTACCATGTTTGTTACGAAACCGACAAAATATTTCTCAAAGCTTTTGTCGTCGCTGTTCACCAATGCATTAACAAATTCTATCGATAGCTGATCGGGGAATTGAACTTGAGGAAAGTAGTTTTCAGTGAGGTAGTTCAAACACAAATTTGATTGGGATTTCTCATGTATTCTGTGTAGTGCTTTCAGTGATCTAGAAAGATCGCACGCAACCACTCTGCAGCTCGCATCTCTGACGTTGAAGCCGTACTCTGGCTTGAATGGTATCTCGAAGACAAGAGGTATGACTCTAGCTATGAAAAACTCCCCCAATCCGTCCAGCTTACCAAAATTATTGGCATTGGGATCTTCTGCGTCGGTGCATGTGCCAGTTCCCAGAAACTTGACGAAATTGACCAGGACGTTAAGGGCAAGTTTCATCGACGACGTTTCATGTATCTCATCTGGAGTATATGTCAGTAAGTCTTCAAGTACCATGGGTAGCACAGCCCTATTTGATTCCGTCAAAAACAGCGAAGTGGAGTGGTTAGTCACAAAGGACTGCAAGAAATTGTAATATGCCTTTTTCAAAAGAATCTTGTCACGAAAGGAGTCCGTAATCACAACATTCTTTTCATTGCCGTTTTTTACTATGCTTGATGCTAAAACGCTGCTCTGGATTGACTCGGCGTCGCTTTCTTCTTGGGCCACAGCGCTGAAAACTTTTTCAATAACCGGTGAAAGTAGATTGTTGAGGAGTTGGTAACAGACATCACTCTTATGAAAGGTGTGCACAATCTGGCCCAAAAATCCCAAAAAGTCGTTCAATTCTAGTACCTTAAGATCAGATGTCAAAAAGATCGCGATCAACCGACTAGCAAATGGCAGAATTTCTTCGTTCAATATTGGAATCAATCGAGCAAAAGCAAATCTAGTTGCATCACGTATAACCTCATGTTTGTTGAAATAGGAGAACGTCACCAATATTACTTCTGCTACGTTGGAAAACTTTTCCACGAGCGCTCGCGAAAAAAACTTGCTCGCGATCTCGGTATTGTTAACCTGGTTCTCGGGAACCAAGCCCGAATGAATGCCCCGGGCCACCGTACCGATTGCCATTAGGACATGATGAGTTTGCATCACCCCGCTTGGAGATTTAGTTTGGTCTGAGATGCAGGACTCCAAGCTGGAAAAAAGAGGGACCAAAACGCCATCAAGTAAGTTGTAAGTCGAGTCAGTACTAGCACCAATAAGCATTCCGACACCATCAAACAGGTAAAGTTGATTGTCAAATGTGACACTTTCTTCTGGAGATTGCTGTGCAGTTGCTACCGGTTTAATTACCAGCAATTGGGAAATTTTCATGAGCAGCTGAGAAAGCGGCTCAGCTGCCAGTTTTGGTTTCGTTAACTTGATGAAACGAGTAAATAGGTACCATGTTCTCAGCCTTACCCTTTCCTTGCTGCTAAACATCCCCAATTCGCTGCAGAATATATTCAACAGAGTTATTTCATCTTTTGAGGATGCCTGCAAAAACAAATGATGTCTCACAACGAGCTCGAAGAAGGACACCTGTACCAATGCATTTTGAACCATAAAGATGTTTGTGCTGTCCAACAATGTGGCCATAAAGCGACACATGACATTGTGGGGCTCTGAAGAAGTTATGTCCTTCTTATTGACGCCGAAAAGGTTGTTGCGAATACTCTCTGCTAAATTGTGCATTTGGTATATGGCGAACTCCAATCGTCTCCAGTCATTTGAGCTCAAGAGAGCTTCTACATTTTCCACGAGGTTCCTCAAGTATATTCCCGGATTTATTACCGCTATAGTATCCTGAAAGATTTTTAGCTTTGACCGAATGGTCTCGTTAAATTCGTCAATATCGTCTATCGAGTCCTCATCACAACTTTCATCTATCATCATTTTCTTCATGCACACTTTTATCAGACTATCCAGAAAGTTTTCGTGATCTGAGTCTAACAAAAGTCTTTTTGAATTCATGGCAACAGCACTGCCTGGTTTCCCACCTAGCGCGAAGAACTTCTTCAAAAATTGTAGATAATGGGAGATGAACTGGAAACACTGCTGAGTAACTGAATCATATTCATGCTCCATAAACTTCAAGACCAATGGGGAGACTTGATGTATAATCAGCCTATCGGCAGCGCTTGCTATTTCTTGAAATTCCTGTCGTGAGTTATCATCATTGCACTGATCCAGAATTATCGATGATTCAAGACCAACTGAGGCCGCTAATCTGGCCAATTGTTCTTGAACCTCAAGGTCATCATTCCCCACAGCAACAACCTTCTCTGTCAAATTTAGCATGCTTAACAAAGCAAGTTTATCTCCCGGTTTCATTTTTTTGGATATGATTTCGCACAGACACTGTGCGCATGCAATTTTAGAACTAGGTTGATCCAAAAACTCAAAAATAATGTTGATATATTCGGGGTTCACGATCAAGTTAATTTCTATCCAAGAAATGTACGAACCGATGCAAGAGAGTGTAAGATTAGCAAGCTGAGCCGGAAACTGTTGCAATTTGAAGAGCTTCAGTGTGTTCAGCCAGAGTGAAGATAAGAGCTGTACGTCTCGTACTCTCATGGCGTCTTTGAGGTCGTTGTTCTTTGATTGAATGTCTTTGGATCTCACAAAAGTCTGCTCTGCGATCTCGGAATTGACTGCTAGCGCAATCTTTAAAAAAAGATCGAGACCCACACTGGAAAATTCGGCCGACGTACCTGACTGCAGCCCGGCAATGTTGAGCAGTTGGAGCAGGTCTTCGAAAAAAGTGGGCCACAAATTCCCGTTGCACTCACCGTACATACAGTAGAACAGTCGCGATGCCATTTCCGCAACCTTGTTTCTCACGTACTCAGGTTCGTCAAGTTTGTTGTCGGGAGCAGCCCCTCGGGTGCTTAAAAGCTCCACACATGTGTTTTTCAGAAACTCGAGTTGTTCGCCGGAGCTTGTCACCACTAGATCGCTCAGCACTTGCAGAGCCACGAACTTGCTGACATCGGTGCTTGCTGTATCTTGCAGTAAAGAGGCAAAAACCTGTGCCGCGGACCCACTACTCTTGGCCTCTTCCAAGAAATCTAGTGCCTGTCTTTTCAGCACATTGTCTGTAGTAGACGAATTAGCAATGTCGACGGCTTGCTGAATTTGCTGGATCATCAACATATGACGTTATCAGATGCGTGCAAAAGAGTGCAGAGATAAGCAGAATGCAAATGCAAGTGCAAATGAAAGCTTTTAAAAGAATGGTCCCCGTTGACCTTATTTTTGTTTTGTACACGCAAAATTGCAAATCGCCACCGATTTTTGTTCCCCAAATGCGATATAGCTTTCTCGAAACGCTTTTTCTTACTCCTATTACGCTTTTTCTTTGATGGATCGGCCCATAAATATAGAAAAGACTCTGTTCCAGAAACACCAAAGTTCGCTGTTCTTTCTTGTTTGAGAAATCACACCTGTCCTGACCGAAGAGATAGTAACACACACAAATAGTTGCTCTCTCTCTTTCTCTCAGATGCAAACAAAGTCCCTTGAACGCCGGTCAGAGTTGAATTCTGAATGGATAGACTGTGGATCGAGTTTTTAGGTTTTTATATCCAAGATTTTTCGAAACTCTTCGATTTCGTTATTGAAAACTTTTTTTAAGATCTAAGACGTTATATAGTCATAGTAACGGTAATGAAGGTAGAGAAAGACAAGAACGATTTGATCTGGCAAAGGGAGACGAAGAAGAGATGCTGAGATGATGGAGAATGTTTAAAAGACATAGGCCAGTGGAGAATTAAGAAAATTGCCGTTAAGTTTGTAGAACTTGGGGGAAAAAAGGAGGTCTTTTAGCGCTAATTGCAGGAAAATGACTCTTGTCACGTGATCTGGTGACAGTTTAAAGAGAGATCTGGAAGGATTATGGCCAGGTAAGATTTAAGGTTGAAGAATTTATGGCAGATTATAGGACGATGTGCATCCTCTCGTTTTATATATGTAGTTCGTTTTACTTCTTACGCCTCTGTATCTCACTATTTATAATTGCATTTCATATTTGCATTCCATTTCTCTCTCTCTCTCTCT